GGAATACTTCCATGGACACCGCACCAAGTTGACTACCTTCCTCACCCAAGTCAGCATGGTGATTGAACTTCAACCCAACCGGTACCCTACAGAGAGGTCCAAGGTACTCTACACCGCCTCCTTCCTGAGGGACACCGCTTTCCTTTGGTTCCAGCCCAACCTGGAGAAGGACCCGGAACCAGAGATGATGACTAGCTACAAGAAATTCTGCAGGGCTCTCCGCGACACCTTTGGAGACCCTGATGAAGAGGCAACTGCCGAAAGGAACATCTTCTCCCTTCGTCAAAAGGGATCGGCATCCTCTTATATCTCAGAGTTCCAACGCAATTCTACTCTCACTCAATGGGACGACCACGCCTTGGCCGCCCAATTCTACCGAGGACTCAAAGAAGGAATCAAGGATGAGATCGCTAGGGTTGGACGCCCTCATACTCTCAAGGAAATGATGGACACTGCTCTTAGGATTGACAACCGGCTCTACGAGCGTTCTCTGGAACGTGGATCTGGAACTCAGTTCACCAGCACTACCACTACCTCAACTCGCTCATTTGGAGGGAACAAATCTTACTCCAACAACAGCAACTTCCCTTCTCGCTCATCCCCTTCTACTGGTACCACTACCTCTACCACCTATACTCGCCAATCGTTCCCAGCCAGGAATGACCGAGCTACTCCGTCCTTGCCCATCAACAACAAAGGCAAACTTACCTCCGAGGAATATCAAAGGAGAAAGGACCAAGACCTTTGTCTGTACTGTGGATCCAAGGATCACACCGTTGCCAAGTGCCCACTTGCAAAGCCCAACTCTTCGGCTGGAAACAGTGCCATCCTTACCCGTGACAACCAGTCAAAAGGTCAGGCACTCCGCACCCAAAACGCCAGCGCCTAGCGCGGAGTCGCCAAAACGCTAGGCAGGACTTGCAAGATTCTCAGGACTCTCTGGACTCAATGGATTCTACTCCTACTACTTCATCTTCTACTTCGGACTCTACTTTGGACGCAAGGAATCACATCAGTCTTCCCGTCACTTTACCCAACTCTACCAAACCCAGCATGGAATATGCTGCTCTACTGGACTCTGGCGCTTCAAAGTGCTTCATGGATTACCGCTTCGCCAAATCCCTTCAACTCCCGCTTACCAAGAAGCGACACCCTTCAAAACTCCACATGATTGATGGCTCCATATCCTCTTATGGTAGCATCAAGCACACCGTCACCACCTCCATCAAGGTACCCAACTTCAAATTGGCAACTACAACCTTTGAAGTCACCCATCTAGGGGTCTTCCCGATTATACTCGGATACCCATGGCTTTACAAGCACAAGCCTTTCGTCAACTGGGAAGATGGGGAAGTCAACCCCCCACTTGAAAAAGCCAGTACTCCTATTTCGGCATCTGAGGATGCGACATCTGCGGATGTCACCCTTGGGAACACTACCACCGTGTTTGCAGCTGCGGCTGATCCCATTCCGGTGATGGATCAAGACATCATACCTGCCAGGTATCACGCCTACCTGGATGTCTTTGATAAGGCTAATGCGGACACTCTACCACCGCATAGACCATTTGACCATCACATACCTCTAGAAGAAGGCAAACAACCACCCTGGGGACCAGTCTACTCCTTATCCGAGAAAGAACTAGGGTCACTACGGGAATACTTGGATGAAAACCTAGCCAAAGGATTCATCAGACCTTCTGAATCTCCGGCGGGAGCACCCATCCTCTTTGTCAAGAAAAAGGATGGATCCCTCCGTCTCTGTGTGGACTACCGAGGTATCAACAAGATAACCATCAAGAATCGGTACCCACTTCCGCTCATCTCGGAGCATCTGGATCGCTTGCGCCAGGCCAAATACTTCACCAAGATCGACCTCAGAGGAGCCTACAACCTCCTACGGATCGCTGAAGGTGAAGAATGGAAGACGGCATTCAGGACGCGCTACGGCCTCTTTGAATACCTCGTCATGCCATTTGGTCTCACCAACGCGCCAGCATCATTCCAACACCTGATGAACCACAACTTCAGGACGATGCTGGATCACTATGTCATCTGTTACCTGGATGACATCCTCATCTACTCGGACACACTGGAGGAACACTATCAACACGTTACCTCTGTCCTTGAGACACTTCGCAAAGCAGGACTATTCGCCAAAGCCGAGAAATGTGAGTTCCACCAACACAGCGTGGAATTCCTTGGCTTCATTGTCGGAAGAGATGGTATTACCATGGACGTCAAGAAGGTGCAAAGCATCTTGGACTGGCCAACGCCAACCAACCTGTTTGAAGTCAGATCCTTCCTTGGATTCTGCAACTTCTACAGGCGCTTCATTGCATCATACTCCTCCATCGCCCATCCTCTCACTCAGCTCACCAGGAAGGACACTCCATTCCTCTGGACCGACAAACACACTCAGGCCTTCGACACACTCAAGAACGCCTTTACCTCAGCTACTCTCTTAGCTCACTTCAATCCGGAGAAGCCTCTAGTCCTAGAGACAGACGCTTCGGACTTTGCCCTTGCTGGAATCCTATCTCAGAAATCGGAAGAGGGAATCCTAAAACCCATCGCATTCTTCTCAAGAAAGATGGTTCCCGCCGAACTCAACTATGAGATCCACGACAAGGAGATGCTTGCCATCATCTCATGCTTCAAGGAATGGCGTCAATACCTTGAAGGCACCTTTACGGAAGTCCTTACAGACCACAAGAGTCTAGAATACTTCACCACCACCAAACAACTGAACAGACGACAGGGTCGCTGGTCTCAGTTCCTCCAGGACTTCCACTTTATCATCAAGTATCGACCTGGTTCACAAGGAACCAAGCCGGATGCTCTCACCAGAAGACCGGATCTTCATCCAATGACCAAAGGATCATCCCTCTCGCCGGAAGCCAACCCTGACAATCATCAGGCTCTGCTCAAACCCGGACAATTCCTATTCGCCACCGGATCTTCTGAACTCCTCCCTCAGTCTCAGCAAGACATCATCACCGCCTTGCAAGAGGAGACTTTCGCTCAGGACGTCATCACTTCACTGGACAAACACCCAGGATATACCTTACAAGATCAACTACTACTCTACAAAGGACGTACCTACCTACCCGACAAGAAAGACTTACGGCTACGCATCACTCGAGAGCACCATGACTCCCTTCAGCACGGACACCCTGGTCAGCGTAAAACCTTGCAACTGGTTCAGCGCAACTACTGGTGGCCCAAGATGAAGGAGTTCATCCACTCTTATGTGGATTCTTGTGATGCCTGCCAACGGAACAAGTCAAAACGTCACAAGCCGTATGGGGAACTCAAATCACTCCCAATTCCGCCATACCCTTGGTCCAACATCTCGATGGACCTTATCGAGGACCTACCTCGCTCCAACGGCTACAACTCTATCTTGGTCATTGTTGATCGACTCACCAAGATGAGCCTCTTCATACCAACGTCTACCAGCATCGATGCACCCGAGCTGGCTCAACTCTACCTCCAACACGTCTTCAGCAAACACGGATTACCGGAACGCATCATTAGCGATCGCGGTTCAGAATTCACCTCACGCTTCTGGCGTGCTATCGGTTCTTTGCTGGACATCAAGTTGGACTTCTCCACCGCTTACCATCCTGAAACAGATGGTCAGACGGAACGCACCAACCAAACTCTGGAACAATACCTCCGGATGTACGCCAACTACCAACAAGACGACTGGTACAGACTTCTGCCTTTAGCAGAGTTTGCCTACAACAACGCCAACAGTGAAACCACTGGCGTCTCACCCTTCTTTGCCAACAAAGGCTATCACCCTCGCTGCAACTTCACCAAGCCCATAGGACCCAACATCTCAGAAGGCGCGGAGCGCTTCACTGCAGACCTATCGGAACTACACAATCAACTCAAACTCTGGATCAAGAGATCTCAAGAGCACTCCGAAAAACAATGGAACCGTAAACACCTCCCTTCACCAGTTTACGAACCTGGCGACAAGGTCTGGCTCGATGCAGAAGACATCAAGACCACTCGTCCAAGCAAGAAGCTCAGCAACCGCTTCCTTGGCCCATACAAAATCACCAAGAAAATATCCTCACACGCCTATCGCCTGGAACTCCCTTCTCAATCAAAAATACATGACGTATTCCACGTCAGCAAACTGGAACCCTTCAAGGAGAACACCATTGAAAATCGCAAACAACCTCCGCCTGAACCTGAGATCATTGAAGGCGAAGAGGAATTTGAAGTTGAGGAAATCCTTGACTCAAAGATCAACAAACGATACAAGGAACCTCTACGTTACCTCGTTAAATGGACCGGATATGGACCTGACGCGAACTCTTGGGCGCCACCTTCATGGCTCACCAATGCGCAGGAACGGATAACGGAATACCACGAAAAATACCCCCTCAAACCGGGTCCATAAGCCAGCCACAACCAACATCAATATCACTTGCACTCTAGTGCAGTCAGTTATGGACCTTCTCCCTATTCCCCTGCACCGGTTCGATGCAGACCACCTATCTCCTTTTTGCCTGAAATGTGCAAATCAACACCTACACGACGCGCGGCAGCGCAGGGGCAGAATCTGATTGGTGGTTTGCCCTAAAAAGGGCAAAGATCGCCTTTCGCGCTAAAATGGATGTTTGCGGAAGCAACAGTCCATTATGGCATGCTTATGGCATGCATGCCGTCATCATCACGTCAACAACATCTCGTCATCACCACTCAACACACCACCAAGTCGACAACATCATATCTCGATCAATTTTTGGGCTAGAAACGCAAGCTTAGGCTCGTTTTGAAGCTACAATCTAGGACGTTCAATCCAACAAACAAGGTACAACCATACAACACATACAGGATAACCCAAAACCATTGCCGCGACACCGGTAACCACTCAACGACAGACCCCATTGATATCGAACCCCAGCAACGTCCACCCCCAATTAGCAACTAAAACCCCGGAGATCTGGAATGACTTAGCAACTGGATCCCTCAACATAACTAGGCAAACCACTCCTCCCAGTTGGGAGTCGGGACCTGTTCGACATGTTTCACCTGGTTGGCTCGCTCCGCGTGAGCAACCTCTTCAACGTGACCAACGCGACCGCGTGCAAGCAACTAGTGGACATCCCTCATCAACATCAGCGACTACACCAAGTGGCTACACCCATCAACTCACCTCCTCAAGGAAGTCATCCATCGGCTCGACCTGGTACGGTTGCTCAACCTGATGCAGCGCATCGACCTGATAGGACTGCCCGGCTGGGTACGACAACCCAACCGGCTCCCACGACTCGACGGGGAACAACCCCTCGCCCGTGTAGGCCCCAAATCCAGCAGCGACTGAAGTCCAGTCAACCTGCCCCACCATATCCTCTGATACAGCATCGGCCTCCGACCATGCTAGTAGCCCATCAACATCAAGTGACGACAAGTCGACTGAGTCAAACCAGGGTCCACCTTCATCGTCTGACTGAGCAACCTCGAGAGGATCCTCAGTAACCTAGGAGTGTCACAAGTCCAACTCCTCAGCATCCATCGGCATGGCAACGGCAAAGTACATACCGGCGACATGTCGACAACCCCTGTCTTGGCACCGATAGCATCAGCCTGCTTGCCGCAGGCAACTGGTGCCTCCGCCTCAAACACCGCTCCAACATCCATGGCGACCTCGACTTCTGCAGCAGCAGTCGAGCGAGCCTTGAAAAAGCTACAGGACTTTCCCTGTAGGACACATACATTGCACGGAGCAGCAATGCCAGCAACTCGACAGTCATGGCGGCCAATTTTCTTGGCAGCACACTCCATGCACTGAGGGTTTGCGAATACCCCATACTTCTGAATGAAGAGGTATCGACCTTGGCGACTTCGAGACGACTTCGACTGGCCTTTCGACTACAAACAACGCGGAACTCAGCAACCCCACAATTCCGGCCGACTCAATCACTCAATCCACAGCAATAGCGACCAATCACTACTCACCAATTGAGGCCTACCCGACTTACGGGACTTCGACTGGTTGGCAGCTTGCGACCTTGTTTTGGGAGTCATTCCAAATATCTACGGAGTAGCGAGTCGGGGAAGTCACTCCCCCCACCTACCCTGGATCCACCGGCAACACCTTGACCGGCGACTCTATATACCCGCGCGCCCCGCGCGTGCTGCAACAGCGCGAGATAAGGATGACCGATAAGGAACAACCGACCATGCCCAATGCGGCAATATCGACACCCGACCTGCACAAGCAATGTCGAGGACGACATTGAGCCTAACGGGGGGATGCTGTTACGGACCGACACTGTTCCGACACATATCATCATCATCCTGACACTTGTCAACACCATCTTGACATCTGTCACCATTATCCGACATATCTCAACACATTCCGACACATCCCAGTATCCCTTGACCCCTGTCAACATCAATCCGACACTTGTCAATATTGTCTTGACACTTGTCAACATTGCCTCGACACCTGTCGATATCTCAAGCGACACATCTCGTTTCCTAAATAGTATATAAGACAGGCTCTACAGACATCATTGTACTTCCCCTCATGTCTTCTCTTCTTTCCCAAGAAGAATTATCATATGTTACATCCCTAAACCTTAGCCACCTAATCACCTCTCACTACTCAACACTGGAGCTCTCGTCAAGCCCTTCACGGTCAGCAAGCAGATTGCACACCAAGCACTTCCCGTTGAGTATCTCTGCCTTAGCACAATTTCTACTGACGCTTTCCACCTAGGCTAGCCTTTCGCTACCACTAGGCCCGACCGTAACACGTATCTGTTAGGCGTCGAGAAGGCTCCAGGGAAGACCGGCTCGATGTATACCTGCGAGGACATATCCGGGAGTAATGTAGAACGTAGGACTAGGGTATATAGATGTAATAACAGATGAAAGACTATATACTACAATGATGATACAAAGTGATACAATACGATATGCTCCTTGAACAACTCCGCCGGAGTTGGTACGACTCGAGTCCGGCGTACACGCGCGTCGCTATAACAGGATCCCCCCGTTAAGGGCGGACTCCGAACGCCCTAGGCATCGCCGTACTCCTCGAAAGCAGGTTTCGGCTTGTTTGGGTATCGTCGATGATAATCCAGCACCGCTTGGTCGTCATGGTGGAAGTCCTCCGGATGTACCCACTCGTTATACTCATCCTCGTAACCTTCCCACCGCACCAGATATTGGGTACGCGTCTGACGTCCCCGCTTCCTGCTCCGCAAATCTACGATCTCAGATACTACCCACTGGGTGTCACCGTTATCCACCACCTCTGGAGGAGGAGGCGGGACCTGTTCCCGCGAGGGCAGCTCGTTCCGCTTGTACGGAATCAGCATTGAGACATGGAACACAGGGTGTACTCGCCGCAGTTGCTCGGGAAGCTCCAATCTCCGCGCCATCTTCGCATCTCCCACGACCTCGGTGATCTTGAAAGGTCCGAGGGTCTTGTAGTCCAACTTCTTGTTTGGACGAACCGTCTTGATGTGGTCCGTAGACAACATCACTTGATCTCCGACCTCCATTCCCTCGTCGGGAACGGGTCGCCTCTTTCTGTTGGCGTATTTCGCCATATCCACCCTTGCTTGCTCCAACGCCCGGAGTACCGACTCGTGGATGTTCGAGAGTCGCTCCCTGAACTCATCCGCGCTTTCATTGGGTACTTCGGCCATCCGGATGGTGAACTTGTGGTCAGTCCCCTCGGAGGCCATGAAAGGCGACATCCCTATGGCGGAATGCTTGGAGTTGTTGTAGGCGAACTCCGCCAGAGGCAACAACTCCGCCCAATCATCCTGCTGGAAGTTCACGTAACTCCGCAGGTACTGTTCCAACGTCGAGTTGCTCCTCTCCGTTTGTCCGTCAGTCTCCGGGTGGTATGCCGTCGAGAATCTCCTCTCGACACCCGCAAAAGCACATACATCCCGCCAGAAGCTAGACATGAACAACGTTCCTCTGTCCGAGATGATCTGATCAGGGAACCCGTGCAACTTGACGTAGTGGGAGAAGAATAACTTCGCCAGGTACGAGGCGTTGTTATCCTTTCGACACGGGATGAAGTGTGCCCGCTTACTGAAGCGGTCGACGATTACCAGGATTGCATCCTGGCCCAATGACTCGGGGAGGTCCGTGATGTGGTCCCAAGTGATAGACGACCACGGCTTCCTCGCCGCAGGTAGGGGGGCCAATTCTCCGATTGGCTTTTGTCGGGGACGGCGGTTCTTCTGGCACGTCAAGCACGAGGCCACGTAGTTGCCTACCCAGTCTCTCATTCGGGGCCAATAAAAGTCTCTCGAGAGAAGGTCCTCCGTTTTGTCTCGCCCGTAGTGCCCCGCGAGCTTGCCGTCGTGAACGTACTTCATCAGTCGGACCCTTACCGACTCCACATCAGGGACGTACAGGAGTCCCTTGTAGATTAGGAACCCCTCGCCATCCTTCTTGTAGGGACCCTGCTCGTTGGGCTCCCTCTCCATCTTCTCCAAGATGGCCTTGACTACTTCGTCCGCCTCGTAACCTTGCAACAGGTCTCTCCGGAGGTCCTCGCCGGGAATTGGCAGGGTACCGTTGATCTGTAGATGCGGAGGGATCTCCCGCGCTGTAGCCGAGAGATTCATGGGCCGTAGCATCGTCTCGGTCTGTCTTGGTTCGCTCTCTTCCAGGAGCTCCTCCTTCCGACTCAAGGCGTCGGCCTTACCGTTCATCACCCCCGGCTTGTACTCCAGGGTGTAGCTCAGACTGTTCAACAGCTGAGACCATCTTGCTTGTCGCCTCGACAGTAACTTCTCCGTTCGGAAGTACTCGAGGTTCTTGTGATCGGTAAAGATCCGAATAGGGTGAGGTCCCTCCAGGTAGTGTCGCCATATCTTGCAGGCGTAGACGATGGCCAGCATCTCCCTGTCGTGAACGTCGTAGTTCCGCTCTGCGGGAGTCAACGACTTTGACATGAACGCTACTGGTCGGAGTTTTCCGTCCGAACCTCTCTGCGACATCACTGCTCCAATCGCTCCGGCCGAGGCATCCGTTTCCAACGTTACCTCTGCATCTTCCTGGAAATGCGCCAGTATAGGCGCCTGCGTGAACGCTTTCTTCAGCGTTACGAACGCAGCCTCTGCGGATTCGTTCCATTGAAACCGCACTCCTTTCTTCAGGAGCTTCGTCATCCCCTGTATCTTCTGGGAGTAGTTCGTGATAAACCTCCGATAGTAGTTGGCGAAACCTAGAAACGACTGTAGTCCCTTCAGGTTTCGAGGCGCCGCCCATTGTTCTATGGACGACACCTTGGAGGGGTTCATCTTCACCCCTCCCGGAGACACGTCGTATCCAAGGAACTCCGTGTCTGTTGTGTGGAACTCACACTTCTCTGCTTTGGCGTACAGCCCATTTTCTTGTAGCCTTCGCAGCACCTCCTTCACGTGTCTCTCGTGCGTAGTCTCGTCGGGAGAGAACACGAGGATGTCGTCCAGGTACACTACGACGGACTCGTCCAGAAGGTCCCTGAACACATGGTTCATCCACCTTTGGAACGTCGCCGGAGCGTTCGTCAACCCGAACGGCATCACCAGACACTCGAACAGTCCGTATCTAGTACGGAAAGCTGTCTTCCATTCGTCCCCTTCCTTTACTCGTAACAAGTTGTACGCTCCTCGGAGGTCCAACTTGGTATAGACCTTCGCTGTCGTTAACTTATCGAGCGTCTCGGAAATCAGCGGTAACGGGGTCCGATCCTTTGTGGTAATGGCGTTCAAACGCCGGTAGTCAATACAGAGCCTGAGCTCTCCTCCCTTCTTCGGGACAAACAATACGGGACTTGCGGCGGGTGACGTCGAAGCCCTAATAAAACCTTTATCAAGGTTCTCCTTGATCCAGCGCTTCAATTCGGCGCTCTCCTTTTCGGAGTGGTTGTAGAGTTTTCCGAAGGGGGGTACTTTCCCTTCCTCTACGTCGATCGAGTGATCGAAGTCTCTATGTGCCGGCAACTCGTCGGCCTTGGTCTTGGAGAACGCTCCGAGGAAAGCGTGGTACTTCTCCGGTACCACCTTCCGTAACGTCTCCATATACTCGGGAGGGTCCAGGTCTCCCGGGAAACTCTCCGCTGGCTTGTCGTCCCAATCCCATAAGTCGGGACGCCTCACCCTCTCTTCTTCTTCATCATTGGCCTTGAGGTAGGCCACTACTAGTTCTTCGGTGACCCCTCCTTTGATTCGGTCCGTCGAACGTAACTCCTTCTCCTCCGTTTCGTAATCCACGGGGGAGTATACTATTTCTTTTGCTGGTGTACATCCGTTCTGGACGCACTTATCTTCGAACGCTACTGCGCTCATTTCCCAGTCAATTCGGGGGTTGTGCTCCTTCAACCATGGTAGGCCGAGCACCGTTGTGAAAGTTCCGAGGCTACATACGTAGAAGTACGCCGTTTCGGTATGTCTACCAATACGTAGTCTAGCTTGTACCCGGTGTGTAACTGCACCGGAAGAGATCTCTCTCCCATCAATGACCAGGAGTGGTCGGGGTCGTTCTAAAGGAATGAGGTCGAATCCGTGTTGCTCGACGAATTCGGTGTCTATAAACAAACTGGTCGCTCCTGAGTCGATCATCAAGACCGTCTCCGTCGGAGTACCATTCGGGTAGAAGGTGCCGGTGACTGTAATATGAGCCTCCGGCCGAGAGGGAGAACCTATGCTGCTCAGCACCAACGGTTCTCCAGTTGCTACGTTCAAGTCATTACTCGGGGAACTCGGATGATCTGTTATTCTGTTAGGCGTCGAGAAGGCTCCAGGGAAGACCGGCTCGATGTATACCTGCGAGGACATATCCGGGAGTAATGTAGAACGTAGGACTAGGGTATATAGATGTAATAACAGATGAAAGACTATATACTACAATGATGATACAAAGTGATACAATACGATATGCTCCTTGAACAACTCCGCCGGAGTTGGTACGACTCGAGTCCGGCGTACACGCGCGTCGCTATAACAGTATCCGAGACTTCCGATGCATCGAACATGAGCGTCCGTTCGGACGGACGAGACTGAAACCGTCCAACATCATTTGCACGTCCGGAAGCAAACGGAAGCAGATCGCGCTCTGACAAACAAAAGTGGATCCTGCACATGTGGTCGTCACAGCTGATACTCACACCCGCAGAAATCACATGGTCACTGCGAAGGTTGCGGCAGTTGACGGACCTCTGCTGCGAGGACCAAGATTTGCATTGCATCTGCTTGATTTACGATATAACAATAAACGACTACTTTGATGACATTGGGGTATTGGGGTATTTGCCACGGCGTGAAACTAGCTACTTGTGATGTTGAAAACCTATCTGGAAAGAGCGAGATCACCCTTCCTGTCCCCCCTTGTACGCCCTAGTACAATACTTTGTGTGAGAAACCCATATCCGTTACACCTACACACTAAGCCCTACAGCCCATTCGGCGATCCTAGCCGATGACAGGAGAACCGCTGACGCCCGAGATTGACCCAAAGAAAAAAAGGAGAGGATAAAGAAAGCGAGAGTATGTTGGGGGCTCGAGCGACGTCCAGGCCATGTCGACCAATCAGGTCTACTCCTTGACGGGGGCCAACTTTTGCTCGGCGGCGTTCTCCAAGTACTGGATGACGGGCTTGTCCTCGTCCATACCGGAAGAGTTGAGGGTGGGCATGTTGTCCTCGTTGACGTGCCCAGCACCGGTTCGCTTGGAGCTGTCGAACAATCGGTCGATGTACTCGAGGGACAATCCCCTATTGCGCAAGAAGAAGAGACAGGACAGGAGAGATGTTCAGCAAAAGGAAGCTACACGGTAACAAGCTGAGGTGGCAACGAGGGGGACTCACTTGGTCTCGGGGATAAAGTACCAGACGAAAGGCGCGGCGCAGAAGAAGATGGAACCGAAGATGAAGTAGGTCTTGGTGGTGACCGAGTTCAAAGCGATGGGCATGATTCGGACGATCGAGAAGGTGCAGAGCCACTAGTGATATCACAGAAAAGCCCCGAGGTCAGTCCCCTTTCTCATCAAAAGAAACGCATTCCCGACGGCCAGGCTAGGCTCACCTGCCACATCAAACAGACGGTCATCGAGACGATCCTGTATCGGGCTCCAAAGATCTCGGAGATCAAGGTCAAGGGGACCGAGTTCCAACCGAAGCAGTACCAAGCGGCGTAGAGGAAGAGCGAGGTGATGGCGACGTAGTCACCGGCGACTCGAGGAGCACCTTCCGCCTTGGGGCCGACACCGGTCAACTGTCAAGAGGATGTCAGGTCAGTCCCGAGTGTCACTTTTGTGGCTTGTAACAGAGATCGAAGTGGCCACTCACGTATCCACCGAGGAAGAACAAGCACAAGGAGAGACCGATAGAACCGGCGATCAAGGGGATACGACGTCCAACCCGGTCGACGACAAAGAACCCAAAGATCAAGGTACACACAAACTTGACGGTCCCGTAAATCCCGGTGGCGAACAACGAGTTCTTGGCGCCGACGAATCCGAGTTGCTCAAAGATGATAGGGCTGTAATAGTTGACCGCCTGGACACCGGAAAAGGTCTTGAAGAAGATCAAGGCCATACCGAAGAGCAACCTCTTTCGGTGGGTGTGGATGACGAAGAGTTCCTTGGCGATCCTGAGCATGCCCGAGTCTCCTCGAAGAGCTCGTTCGGCCTCGACTCCCTTGGTGACTTCGTTGAGCTCGAAAGCGAGGTAAGGGTGGTCCTCGGGGATTCCTCGGATTCGGGTCAAGTTCTTGATGGCCAGCTCTCGCTTGTCGACCATCAACAACCACCTAGGCGACTCGGGTACGAAGAAGGCACCGACGAGCAAGAAGGCAGCGGGGAAGAACTGGACGAAGACGGGGAGCTGCCATTGGAACCTGTTGGACTCCATGGTGGTCTCGATGGCGTAGTTAATCCAGAATCCAGCGAGGGTACCGACTTGGATGAAGATGTCGAAGAAACCGACGAGACGACCTCGGATGGAGGGAGGAGAAAACTCGGCGAGGTAGACGGGAATGACCAAGGACAAGAAACCGACGGCGAAACCTCCTAGGAAACGACCAAAGACGAAGACGGGCTGCGAGGAACAGATCGAGGCAATAGATCTCAGCTGACGTTTTACCACTACCTCGAGCAGTCGCAGGAGCTGATACTCACGACCGAACCGTTGGCAAACGTCTGGGCGAAAGCGCTCGCGATAAAGATGATGTTCGAAAAGATGACGGACCACTTCCTCCCATATTTCTCAGTAAAAGGCAATTGAAGACCGGCACCGAAGAAGGATCCTGCCTGGAAGAGGGAGACCATGTCCGCCCTCTTGGTAGCCAGTTGAGCCTTGGTGAGGTCCTGGGGAACCCGGAGACCAAACTCTTTCTTGAACGAGGGTAGGGCGAGGGTACCACCGAAGAAACCAGTGTCGTCTAAGGTCGTTGCAAGGCGGCGCGCGCGAGATGAGCTGGGAGGTGCGATGGTGAACGATCGAATCGAGGCGCAGACTTACAACCGTAAGCGGCGGCTCCCATACACATGATAATGGCGATCAAGTAAGTTCGAAAGTTGTGAATCTCCCTAGGCTCGGGTACCTATAGGACAACAAGCAAGGACGACCATCAATACGAGATCGCGATGCACAACAGCACAAGCGCAAGCGCAAACGGCGGCGCAGACTCACGGACTCGGCCAAGTACTCGGCCATGACCTCTGCGTGGGCATCGGCGGCATTGGAAGTGTTCCAGGTCTGCTTGCGCTTGGGGTTCTGAGGTTGGTACGCCTTGACGTCCTCGCTAAAGTTGGACTCTTGTCGCTGCATCGTGAGAGCGTCTTCTCGGTGGTTGTTTGCAAGCGCTATCGGTGGTCGAGGGTTGTTGGTATCAAAGCAAGCAAGGCTAGAGAGGTTGGTGCTAGCCAAGAGTTGCTTGTGTGCGTGAGGGATAGGGGGTTAGTCGTCGTCGTCCAACACCAATTTGCGGGGTCGAGCAGCGATTTCTTTATAGCTCGCTTCGACCTACTGCCTCGAATGTGGACCCCCACTCGACTTCTCCAGGTTTCGATGAAAAAGTCTTGGCATTCTCTTGGCATTCCTCGTGGCATCTGAAGTGAATTGATCGCCTGACACACACCGTGTGTACCTCTCGTTCGCCGCCGACAGTTGACCGAAGGGGATCGCGTCGCGGAGTTGTAGCGAGAGGGCGTATGCGGGTTCAGAGTACGGGGCAGCAGCAGCAGGTCCAGCGTGGGAGTAGATACATGACATGCCATCCCGCTTCTCCTCCTGGCGATGCCTCCATCTACTGCTCGACTCTCGTCCGTCGACCGACCACCTTCTCTTCGGTCCCTGGATTCTGAACAGGCGCAAGACGCACTGCGGCGACTACCGCCTCGTCCCTCCTCACGCCGTCGCACTTCGGCGTTCATCACACAGAAGACGGATCCTTCTCGTTCTTCTGCTTCCTCGCTCCTCAGTCTGGGGCACCATGAACCTCCGCACTCTCGAGGTGCAGCAGAATAGGTACCGCGCTTGAGACGATCGCGCGCCCGCGTGTGTCGGACCGGACGCGCCTGTGAACCAATGAATCGACGTTCTTTTCGCTGCATCCCTACATCCTCCCCTTCTCGACCTACGATCGTCCTGCGCCGCACCTGTCCTCGATCTGTTCTGTTCGCTATCTCCTGCCTATCCCGCCTCCTACCCGCCTTACAGTGTCCGCCTGGCCAATCGACAATCGGCCAATTCCCCGAGAACCCCTCAGCCCCTACCCGTTTCCCAAACAGCTGATCAAGAGACGATCCACCCAATCATACCAAGCCCTGCTCGGCGGCGGGCTGTTAAACCCGTCAAGACCCGAATAGAACGTCAGGGGGTTGCTATTTTCAAGAGTTCGGAAGTTTGGGCGAGTGCGGTTTCACCCGGTTCGTCGTTGATCGGATGTCGAGCTTTGTCGAGACGTTTGGCGAGAAAGCGCGTCTTGATCTCCGCTTGCGAAAGCCAAACGCAACGATCGCCTGCATTCATGCCATCTACTCCGCTTCTCGTATACAATCTGCAACCTCGAGCAAACGCCCACGATCTTCACAACCATAACCAACTGTACGCTTCGTACGCTACAGTATCCAACTCGAACGACTCAAATCGCAATTCGGTGGTCTCGACGGTTCCGATCAACTCGTATCCTAGCTAGTCCTTCGGTCTGCCAAGATTCTCTTGGTATACGAACGCCGAAGTGATGATCTCTCCTACATCGCTCTCGCTCGAGGGGGTTCATCACCCATCTCGACGCGTTTTGGTTCGTCTCGTATTGCTCGATCGTACTACTACTGTACGACGATAATCATCTTACATCTTGCATTTTGATGTGCGATGAAGACTTTGACATAGGCGTACTTCAGCGCTGCAGTGAAGCTCTGGACGAGTGACTTTTCTCTAACCTCCCCCGTCCGCGCGTTCAAAGCATACGGTCATGCAGTATGTTCAAGTCGTCAGGCGGCTTTGCGAGATCCAACACAAGGTACTGTAATGATAATCACGTCCTACGAGCTTATCACATCCTTCTGAGACGAACGAGCCATACGAGGCAGCAACGATATGATCAAACTGCAATCCTCCTTTCTATAATATAATATAATACAACTTCGCAACCCGCCTAAAGTCAACGTTTCCCGAACTTTCGGAGGGATGTCCAGAAGCTATCTTTCTGATCGGGTGGCGTGGGGTGACCTTGCCCATCGTCTACCCCTATATCGCCGCTACCACTGTGAGCATGAGTATGGTCATGGTGATGATGGTGGTGCTGGTGATGACCGGAATGTCCGCGCTCAGAAGCTCCTCCCGAGGAACGATGCTGATGGTGTCGGTGGTGGTCCTGAGGGACAGTATGATGATCCCTGGAATAATATGCCATCGGGTCTCCCTGAGGCGGGCCGTAATATTCTCCCTGCGGACCACCCGGTACGGCTGCATACATGTGTCCTTGAGCTGGAGTTTGATTCGGGTCTCCACCCTCGTAAGGATTTGGGTACGGATGAGGGTACGGTTGTACCTGCTCTTGTCCCGGATGATATTCCCCGTACTCACTAGCTCCTGCTCCAGCATGTTGAACCATCTGACCCGGTCGCTCTTGTTGTTTCCTCCATTGCGACTCTTCCTTGGCCCGCCTCCATCCTTCCCAGAACCCTGATCCTCGATTCGAATCGCTTTCGACCGAGTACTGCGGCTGTTGTTGTTGCTGCTGCCCATACATCCCCATCCCCACCAACGGGTCCATCCCCAAAGCCATCTCCCTCTCGTACCCCTTTTGTCCCGTCATGAACGGCCTCGCATAGAGCGCATCCATATGCCGAGGTTCACTGAACACGGGTTGAGCTTGCATGATGAGCGGTGGAGGCTCCATGCCAGGGTATTGATGCATCATCTGGGTAGTGGCGAGTTTATGCTGTTTACGGATGACACGGGAGTAGTAGCCGGCCATCGAGTCGCGGGAGCGAGAGAAGAGGAGTCCGAGAGCGATCAGCATGACGGCGATGAGGGCGATAATGACTGCGGGGTGAGCGCAGAACAACAAACGTGGTGAGATTCGACTGGCGAGAAGCATAGACTTTACCACAAGAACCACTCACTACCGGCGATGGCACCGCTGGAAAGTCGATTTCCTATCGGCTTGACCACGCTACCCCCTACTCCAGGTTTCGCAGCCAGCCCGACATACTATATTTCTCACACTGTATCAGTCGGGCGCGGTCACGTCTCGTTTCTGATCCAGACTCACGCGCTCATCTGGGCTGTAATATAGCGCACTACAATGACGTTCCTCGAAAACGTTTCAGCTCTTTGTGAATCAGACGAGCAACGGACCAACCCAACTTACGTGTAAACATTCGACAGGAAAGGCGTACCCAACAACACCTCCCCTTGTCGATCCATCGTGCTCCCGCTCGGCCAGGCGACGATCCCGCCCCAGCACGACCTCACGCTGCGATGTTGAACCAAGTCGGTGCTGTTGGCTTTGTAATTGCCTCCCGGTAGATGTATCGCGAAGTCGATCGAGGCGTCGCAAGGTACGTTCTGTGGGTGATCACGTCCGGTATCAGTATCCCTGTGTATACTCGACGGTGGCTTATTTAGCGGTGGGCCCACCCATCGGCTGGTAGTAACCCGATCCCTGATCGCCCCATCCACCCGGGAATAGATCGATATCGCCGTCGCTTCGGGGACGATGATCGTATACTGAGAAGGATCAATCGTGGCCTGTATCGCATCACAGCGGCGAAGGTGCATTTATCGAACCTTGTCCCTCTAGATCGTCACTGTTGCGGAAACTCACCCGGAAACCAGAGGTACCAATGTCGCGCCCATTGATCTCTACCTTGTTCAGCCTCGTCGCCCAGACGCTCAACAGACTTCCCGTCGGTCTTATCCAGTTCCTTTTACCAACAATCGACGGATCAGCCTCCATTGTACCACACCCCACTGCGACATTCATGCACGAAGCTGTACTCACCAACCGCCCCGATAACTCCCCTCCGGTACAGCTCCCCAATGTATCACCCCCGCCTGTTCCGTAACATCCAGAGAATAGGGCAACATGTCGATTCCTACCACCAGACCTTCTTGTGGCGGGTTCGACGTGGCCAAGACTTGCGGGATGAGCGAGTTCATCGGTGTTGCCTGCAAGTGCGATCGAACACGGCAGTTTCACCTCTCAGTACGTTCAGAATTTCGATATTCAATGCGGAAGCTCGAGGTAGACGATGGAAGACCTACCAAATCGATACCCAACCCATAAAACCCCTCTGTGTCCGGGCTAAACCCCGACCCCGTGCCAAAATTATCCACAACCGTACCCCTTGCATCTAAGAACTCGTCCACCAAGACCACCGTCCGTTGTTCCACATCCCTCCTTCCGTCATTGATGGTATCCCTCGCTATCTGCCCTGACACGTTGAGCAAAGAGGAGATGGAAGAAGAGTCGTATTGAAGGGTCGTGGATGGGTAAGTGTATTGCAAGGCGAGAGGGGTGCGGGTGAGGGTTGTTGATAGGGAGGGGTCATACCTGTGGATCAAACGACGTTGAACAGGTTTCAGATTGAATCGGTACGGGTGGAGTTACAGTAGATGTCTGGCAATTTTACCGGATAGGGGAATGTTCGTCGGTACTCACGCTAGACCTCCATCGACGCAACCCCTACATTCGATCGTAGATACCAGCAGGTAATTGATCGAGGTCGCTGCAACACACCACATCGTCCGACAAATCACACCAATCCCCATCAGCCATCCTTGTGCCAGCCCCTTCTCACGCCGCCAACCGAACCTCGCGACCCTATCGCTACTCACACAAAGTCAAATTCATAGGCTGCGTACTAAATCCCGGCCCATCCCCTCCCAAACCTATGTTCACGACGTTCGTCCCTCCGAACGTCCTCCAAATCGGGATCATCGAGAAGTTGGATCCTAACCTCGAGTCCCTCGCTCGGCGATCCAGACGGGGCTTTGGCTCTGGGGTCAAAGGAGGTTTGGCGGCTGTCGACGTGGAGAGGAGGAAGAGGAGAGTGAGGTTGGAGAGGAGCGACGAGACTTTCATTTCAGTCGGAGACGGCGTGTGGGTTCGATGTGGAAAGTCCTCAAGAATGGGATGCAAGCTGTCCTTTTGCCAGGCCAGATGTGCCAACTCGAGTGACGGAAGGAGTGGTGATGTCGCAGGTACGAGTCGGTCTTCCAGATGCCAGATGCCAGGTGAATGCAGGAATTCGGTGTTGCCGTTTACCACTGTTATATTATGATTTCGATGTGTAGGTCACAGTCTTTTGGTATACTCAGCCCGGAAATGGCTCGTGTGGCATGACCCTGAATCACCGCGGATACGAAGGACACCCCTTATCCTTTGACCTTTGACCTCATGCGATCCCTCTAGATCCCTCTACAGTATTTGTTGTGATCGTCGTCCGACTCGTGGTTGATGGTCGAAGAACAATCTACTTCTCGCTAATCGCATCATCATCCCTTTGATCGATCGAAACGAAACGAAAGGAAGCTTCCTTTGATCTGCTCGATTGATCGCTTGGACGATACGGAATTAGGGTTCAAGGTGAAACGCGGGGCGGAAGGGAAAGACCGAGCGTGTGCCGAGAGCGATCGACGGACGCCGAGGCAAGCGTTTGCAGCCAGAGCGGTCCTGCATGCGATCGACGAGCGTTTCTCAAGACATTCAATTCCTCACTCAAAAGACCTCTTGTCAAGGAATGCGAGGCGTGCATGTCACAGGACCATACTCGGGAGGGACACGAATCTCGCTGCTGGCGTCCGTCATGGAATTGACGTGTCTCGAATGAATGTGTAAACGGAGTTGGCGAGCCGAGCGACGAGTGTTCAGCGACCATCAAGGGAGAGGTATGTCAAAGACTGGGCCGAATTTAGATAGACGATCTACACACGTGCAATACGTGGTCTACTACCCATCGAGCGCGGTCGCGCGAAGTAAGGCCTAAGCCAAAAAAAGGTCGCGTCAACGAAACAACGCGCAAATCCGCCAAAAAGATGTAATCCTGTTGCCCTCCCCCAGAATCGAACTGGGAGTGAGAGATTATGAGACTCTTGTGTTACCATTACACCAGGAAGGCAGGGATATTTTAGCACGGCCCTTTCAAAATATAACCAAATTTGAACATCGAGACCCACCTCACCTCCAGACCCCCAACAAGACCCTCAAATGACACCTGTATACCACTACGACTCTGATATCAATCGACCATGACCATCGCCATGCAACTCGACCAGAACATCCCCTCGCAACAGCGACGACGTGCACCTCGCTACCGTAAACACCGCACGCTAATCTCCCACCTCAAGGGCGTGACCTGCCTCAAGTATTCTCCTTGTGGGCGATATCTAGCCAGCGCAGGTGAGCCCAGGGTTTCTGCAGGTCTTGGTACCGGGTGCTCATGGCATCGATCTTGCTCGGGTAGGAGCCGACGGGGTAGCACATCTATGGCAAGTCGGGTCTCACATCACAACGAACGGACGTCGAGGTTTGACCAGGTTCACGAGCTCATACCGGTCGAACTGTTTAGGGATGCAGATTCCGGGGAACATGTACGGTCGTACCGAGGGCATGATCGAGGTGAGCCTCGGCTTCCAACTTCCACCCGCCCTATAGCGAGTTAACCAGGTGGTCCGGGGCAGGAATCAACGACCTGGTATTCTCCCCTGATTGTCTTTACCTGGCCACGGCAGGGGACGAAGGGCTGGTCTTGATCTGGTCTATCAAGCAGGTGAGGCTCGATTCTCTCACAACCTTTTCTTCGTTCGAAATCAACCTCGCCTGACCACTGCCAACCCCTTCGCCTTCCCCTTCACCCGTCATCTCGCAGGGCACCATCCTCCGCACCCTCCTCTCTCACACCTCGCACGTCCTCTGCATCACCTTCAACCCCAAGGGCAACGTCCTCGTCACCGGCGGCTGGGACGAATCCGTCATCTTCTGGAACGTCCGGTCGGGCGAAAAGATGCGAACGCTCCAGGCGCATAGCGATCCGGTCACCGCCGTGGGGTATAATGTGGACGGGACGGTGATGGTGACGGGGAGTTATGACGGGTTGATGTGAGTCTCGAAGAGAAGCATGGGAGTTCAGATCGGATGACCTTCAAGCTGATGTTTGGGTCTTTCCGGTTGCGTGAATTGTCAGGCGGATATGGGACGGTTCGACAGGACAATGCTTGAAGACGATCGAGAACGAGGAGAACTCGCCTTGGCAAGAGCGCCGTCGCTACCATCACTCCCAGCTCATGACATCTGACCTTGATCTCTCTCTGGTGCCAACGCAGCTCCTATGCAGCCTTCACGCCAAACGGCGATAACCTCATCTCCTGCTCCCTCTCATCCTGCATCCGAATATGGAACTACCACACCTCTCGCTGCATCAAGACCTATACCGGACATACCAACGTCAAATACAGTAGCCCAGCTCTGGTCATCGATCCTACCGCCGGCATCGATGCAGAGTCGGAGAACAGGCAAACGATGGACCAGGAGCGGATACCGGACGCGTGGATCTTATCGGGGAGCGATACGAGCGAGGTGTGTATATGGGACGGGCAGAGCAAAGAGCTCTTACAGCGGCTCGAGGGACATACCGGTGAGTCGAAATCGCCAACCCTCACGGCTTCGAGTCGAAGCACGCCCCGAACTCACCTGTCAACTCGGGTGAACCTCCACAGACACGGTCATCGCGCTCGCCGTGCATCCGTTCAAGAGGATGATCGCTACTGGTGGACTCGAGAGGGACAAGACGATCATCCTATGGCGGGACGAGGAATGAGTTGAGGGATAGGACGTTATGCGAAAGCCTGGCAAGGGCTAGGCTCGATCGCGATTGTTTGAAAGACCCCTGCGATAGACTGCGGGACATTGATACCATACAACAGAGAGTACGAAATCGGTAATCACGCCAAAAAGCTGCGCAAGATGAATATCTGCCAAGGACCGTCGAGATTCGCTGCCTTGAGCCTCCTGCTCCATTCCCAAGTAACGATGTCCACTCAAACCCTTACCTTCTTGATGACAGCATCTGTGAGGTCGTTCTTGGCGTTTTCATTAGAGAAACGTCGTCACTTATCGTGTGGAGTCCACATCACAGAACAACCCACCTGTATATGTCATGACATGTACTTTTGCAGCGATTGGGTTTCCTTTGGGACGCTGAACCTTTTGGCAATATCCGGTGGAAGCGCGTGGCAAAGAGCTGAATGTACTCAATCGTCACCTGGAGCCATAGAGGATATGTTTGGAGCGGGAGCAAGGATCAGGTCGAGGAGCTCCTCTCTCTCCAGCGGAGCGAGGACACTTGTGATAGCCTCGAGCAGGGCGAAACCGTTGCGAGCTGTTGCCTAATACATTGGTTAGTATTGCTTCTTGTTCTCGATAACCAACTTGACTTTGTTTTTCATGTTAATGTGGATAGCATCGAGACTATCGCCGTCGCTTTTCATGCGCTCGATGACAAATTGCGTAAGTGCTTGCCCTGTCGCACTTTCAGAATTTGCTGTATAGCCATCGCCAGTATCTTTTCTTCCTTGGCCTCGATCCGCAACAGCTGCCCTATCAAAAATTCTACCTGCCATGTACTGTCTTCATTCCGTGGCTTCCCTAGCGCAGATCGTCAACCTGGACAGAGTACACCGCAGAGCCGCGTCCCCGGATTTCGGACCTGAATCCCAGTGAATTCACCGATACTATCAAGCTGAAAGATTTTGTATTTAAAAACGGTGGGTATAGCTTTGCATCTGCGCGTGTCTACATGCAAGTTAAAAATACAAACGGTCGACTCCTGCGACTCCACCTGCGCCGCCACTCATCTCCTCCAAGGCAATCGTTGTAGACTCTCGCTCAACAACCTCTCGCTCTCGTCTTCGGGCCACAGACTTCTCTTCTTGTCAACAGGGGAAGTGACGGGCGAAGGGAGAGCCGGATCGAGCCCGAGCTCGCGGTGCCAGTGTCGCAGCTCGAGTTCCGTCTCCCTATCGTCCTCGTCGACTTGTGTATCGACGCTACCTTCGCGTCGTTCGAGACGCGCCGTGAGGAGCGAGGTGAGTCCGGAATGCACAGGCGTAGGGCTGCGTGGGAACGTCATGGTCTTGGGTGTGGCCGCGATATCCCCACCAGCGAGTTTCGCCTGTGCTGATTTCCTTTCCTGATCGCTAAACGGTGCCTCGACGTCGACCTCGTGGTAGTTGCCATCCATCCGATCGTCCTCTTCGTCCTCCTTCATCTTTCGACTCAATAGTGCCTTGACCCCCTCCCAACTCTCACTAGCGAAACTCGCCCGTCTCATCTTTTTGATCTCTTTCGGGCTCATACCCGGTTGGACGGTAGACGGGTTGATGACCTCGATGAAACGTTCGGTCCTCACGTCCTCTTTCGCTGTCTCTCGACGATCGGCTTGGTCCCGACTGGTCAGGTTGCCGCAGAGCGAGGGAAAGACGACGCGGACGTGTCGACTGAGAAAGTACGCTTTCTTCGTCTTGTACCGAGATTGAGATTGAGGAGGTCGAGGTTGAAGTTGAAGTTGACGCAGGGTAGGGTCGTCAGGGCCGTGATCGTCATCCCGGAGAGACAAGGCGCTGCCCCCGTCCAACCTCCATCCATCACCTTCGATCGAGACGCCCATCGGTGACGACGCCTCCCCATCACCGCTACGGTAATACGACTGACGTTGATGCTGATGGTGTTCCCGCCGGACGGGCTCGGTATGACGTTTCCGCTTGGTCTTCCGCTCGACCCGTACGGGCACGCAAGTGAATTGCAACTCGACCGCGCTCCTCAAGACTTCACGCCGTCGATGTTGATTTCGATGCTGGTCGGGTTGTCGGCCCATACCCTCATCCTCGTTCTTGTCCTCGCTCTCCCGGCAACCAGCAACAGGAGGGACGGCGATATAATCCCTTTCCCTGACCAACATCTTCCCTCCGGGTTCTAATGCCGCCAGGTCGTATTTGAGTAGGAAAACCTTGATAGCGGAGATCTCGTTCTTGATGACGAGTTGGAGGAGACCTTGCGGGGCGAGCTCGTACCCCGGGAACGGGATGTTGGCATGTGGACCGGGGTCCGAGCCGAGTCCAGCTTCGAGTCCAGGTCGAGGCGAGACGGTGCTATCGAACGTCGGGCGTCCGGAAAGTCGGGGAAGCTGTTCACTCTCGGAAGAGAGCCCAGTCGGGATCGAAGATCGACGCCGGTCCCGCTTCAGAACCGAAGGATCATGCCGAAAGACCGATGCACGTCCAGTCCGCTCGACTTCCACCCGTTCCCCGTCGTCTGCCATATGACCATCCTCCATCCCCTCATTCTCTTGACACTGGCGCTGTTCATTCTGATGCCGATAATACCCCTCCAGATCCACACACCCGACCCAAGGCGTACCGACCGCCGCACCCCCCGGCCCGCCTTCTAGGTCATACCACCTCGCCTCGAACGGCACCCGTACATGCGGCGGGCTCTTCAACTTGGCATCCAAAGTCTTCTTCCCCCCGACGTTGCAATTATTGAAGCCCGTAGCTCCTATCTGGAGGGTAAACGCCGAATCCAAAGAATGTCCCTTGTGCGCATGAGACATTCGGGAAGAGAGCAAGGAGAGGGTGTATGATCCGGCCAGAGAGTGGGATGTGGATAGTTTCCTCTGACTCGGCGAACGGTTGTGTGACAGAGAACCCGGCGAAGGCGAAGGTAATGCATCCACATCTAGATCTAGGTGTAGAGGTCCGTCCAGCTGGGTGGAAGAGGAGGGTGAAGGGATAGAATTTGGGTGTCTCGGCCGAGCATGAGCATGAGGGTGAGCGTGAGGATACGGGGTGGTAGAGTACGTGTTACCCAATGCCGTCGATGAAGATGTTGATGTCGAATCAACTCGGTGAATCGGTACCGGGGTCGAATGTACCTTCGACCTTCTTCTCTCCTGCAGATCCATATCGTGCTTGATCCCTAACGTCGAGCTCTCATCCGACCCTGGTGGGAGTGGGGGTGAACAAGATCTCGGTCTGAACGGAGGATACGAGGAGAGCGGGGATGGGTTCTTTGGCGAGACTGTCAGATTAATCCGATTTCGAAAGGACGTTCATCTGGTTAGCCAAGTCGTCAAGAGACGCAATTATAGAGCGAATCAGGACTCACCTGCACAGAATTGCTGCATGGCCGAGACCATCCTGTCCTGTCCTGGTACGCCCTTCTAGCAGCCTCTAGTTTTTAGGACTGTCGGATCCTCCTCAAGTCCTCTTCAAAGTCCAATTGGGACGTAGATTATAGATTATAGATTATAGATTAAAGGAGTGGATGATACCCCGGCCGATATCCTTCTTGCTATCCCTTGGTGAATTGATGATGAAGGGTCGTCGGACGACCTTCCCACACCCCAGTATTCTTCTTGTTACTCGAACCTGATATTGTGCGAGGTTCTTTCCTAGAGCGTAGCTCTGCACTACGGCTCTTCTAGCTTCAGGCCGTATGATTCTGCGTTGTTCCCCTGTATACTACTGTGGTAGCTAGCAGAGTGACAGCCGTGGTAGTTTGATGGTTTTTGGATGTTGAACGATGTAGGACGAGGAACTACAGCTTTTGCACTCCGGGGGGGGTCACTATGACGAAAAGCTGCGGTCCGGGAGCTCGTAAAAGTCCTCCGAATCAAAGATCGTCCGGCCGACGAGTATCGCTGAGCGATAACGATCGAGATAAGAAGCGATAACAGAGCCAGAGAGTAGAGTGACAGGAGTTGTGCTCATCTGCGGGTGTTTTGTGAGAGGAACGAGGATAGGTGGTCATCGGGGATGGACAGGTTTACGGTTTCACGAGACAAAAGCTAAGGGTGAGGGTCGGACGACCTTGTTGCTTTTTTCGCTTCGACACATCATCTCCGTAGTGATCTCCGTACAAGCATGCACACATACCCATTTAGCAAGATGAATGGACAAACGAGAGCACAAGAACAAGCATGAGAGGCATGAGAGGACGTGTCCTGCACCCGATATTCAACATCGGGTTGATCGTACATGTCTCTTGTATTTCTTACTTGGATCCCGAAAGTCCGCGCAGATCCAGGTGTACAAACGTAAGATGTTGATCACCCTCCAAGGCTCATCACCTGCACCTGCACTTCCTCCTCATCGCCGCATACAAGAACAGGTGACCTTGTAAGCTTGTAACCTTGCATGTTCTGCCTGGTCGTAGCCCTGCGATACAGTACAGTATTCCATCAACCCAACCTTCAACCCTTTCTTCGCATTTGACCGAAACTCTTTAGCTTCCTTCCGCGTGCACGGCGAGGTCGAGGTTGACCATATGCACCCCCCACCCTGCATCCTTACACCTTTCCTGTCTTCCTTTGATCTCGAGACGCATTACAACCCGTCGAGCACGCCGCTACCAGAGAATTCACTCCGCTCTGCTTTGGTGTAGCTGAACACTTATTGTCTTGCGGCGGTGCGAATTCGGTGGAAGGCCGAACAAGAGAGCACCCCGGTCGATTCGTCATAACCATCAACCATCAACCATCAACCATCACATCACATTATTATATCGACCGCATCATACAACCCACAGCTACACCACACTACTACTATTGCAGCTCATCATTCCAACATTCCCACATCTCCATCATCTCGTCCCACATCCCTGTGCAACGAAAATTCTTTCAAGCATCATGTCCGCCACCGAGAACGAGAACGAACACGAGAACCAGAACAAGAACGAGAACGAGGACCAGGACCAGGACCAGAACCATAACCAGAACCTCGATCAAGATCGACTCCGACAGGCCGAGAGAGAACGATCCGTCGACAGCACTACGAACGTGAATATGCACACGAACACAGTCACCAATACTAGTGTCAAGAGACGGAGGACGGGCAGTATCAGTGCCAGTACCACCAACCCGGCTTCGGCCTCAACTTCGGTTGAGATTGTAGGTGGAGGTGGTGGGAGTAAGAACAAGCCGGGCGGGAACGGGAACACAAGTGGGAGTACAAGTGGGAGTACTACCACCGGGGGTGGGGGTTCGAGTGGAAGTACGGGTGCTAGAGGGAAGAAACCTAGGGAACAGTTCAGTTGTGTGGAATGTTTCAGGTGAGTAAGAACAAGTCCCTGGCTTCAGAGGAAACGCTCAAGGAGCTAGGAGCCAGGAGTGTATCTTTGTGCTGATTGAATATGTCTTTTCTATCGTATCCTTATCGGACGATGATGTTCTCGTGATGATCTTGGTGCTGTGTGTGTGGATACGGATGTGGGTGTGTGCGGGGGAATAGGAGGAAACAACGATGCGAGTGAGTCCCAATCTTCAGGCAAGATCATCCTCTGAAATCAAGCCGGGTTGCCGTCGTTCCGTTCGAAGGAGTAGCTCATCCCCAACCTCACCATCCTCCAACCTTTATTTACTTTCACAGCCGGAGATTCCCGTGTAGCAACTGCATCCAACGAAGGTTACCTGAACGGTGTTTACCTCCACCTGGGATGACGCTGGGTCATCAAGGTCAAGGTCAAGGTCAACCAGCTCCCACGAATATGCTCCACTCGGGAGGTACTGCTACGGTACCTCTGCCGGCTGGTCCCAACAACAATAACCATCACATCGGGACGGCCAGCACGGGATACTCGATTGGGCGACCTGGGACGCACGTCAAACCCAATGTTTTCGGTAACGGTGATAACGGTAACAACAGCCACAGCAACAACAACAACAACAACAATATCAACCCGTTCTCGAATCCATCTTCGTCCTCGATCTCCCTTTCACCACCTCAAGCCGGTCCGAGCTCCAGAGCCCGAACGTCGATATCGGGTTCGGTCAAACCGGACGTCGAAAACGCACCTCGACCTGCCTTGTTGAATACGATCTCTGGGTCTTCTTCTTCGTCTTTTCGAGGGATACATCCGGATCGACATCAGTATCAGTACGATCACCTTCGCCCAAACCAGACCCAGACCCAGCTGCACGACTCGAAATACCACTCGCAATCCGACCTAGAACGGCAATATGTCCATAACGACCATGATAGCGCCTTCCCGCGGCCACGTACGTCAGCACCTCCCATCGACATCGATAGCAATACCGACCCAACCTCGACCCTGGCAGAGACCACGGCCAGACTCTCTCGCTTAGAAAGGTTGTTATCCCTCAAAGACCAGGGGTACGCGGAGAAACGTTTGAGACTGGCCGAAGAGGCCGTTCTGAGGTTGTTGCAAGTTCGGGAGGGGGAGGAGGTCGATGCAGATCTAGATGGGGCTTTGTATGAGGGTCGGGGTCATGATCGGGGAAGAGGTGCGATCGTAGGGGAAGATAAGAGGGGGATGGACGAGTCGGAGAAGATGGGGCGCTCTCGGTATGATTACGAGGAGCGCGAATTGTCGCACGGGAGGGGCACTGGATCAGGAGATCCAGGCCTTATCGTCGGCTCAGGTGGGACGGGAGGTATGGGTCCGATCATGGGGGACGCGAGCTCGGACGCTGAGGGTGCGATGCAGGACGAAGGGGCGGTCGAGTTGTTGGGCGATAACGGGTGAGTCATCAGGATTCGTCGTTCAAGGATACCGGGTTTGCCAGCTGACACAGCTTTTCGACCTTAGGTATAACGGGGCGACCGCGCTGGCGGCTCTCAGTCGTGCGCCCGTACTAAGTAGGGTGAGTGTTGTTGCTCCAACAATGTTTCATCGAGTGGATCCTCGACGGCTAATTCACTCGTTCGCCTATTCAACAGGTCCAAACTTCCTCCGCTCGAAACTCGTACGACGACCGTTCCTTCCTCTCGATCAAGAATCACCTCTCCGGTGTATCGTCTTCGCTCGACAAGCTGCTCGACCTGACTCATTTCCAGAACAACGAGATCAGGGCGTTGTTCGCCGTCTTGCCATCGAGGGATGTGTGTGAAACGTTGATCGGGAATTACTGGAGAGAATGGGTAAGTGGCCACGCATTGCGCTTTCACTGGATTGACTTTGCAGACCCAGCTGAAAACCAGCCTCCCTTAACCTTGATAGGACTGGACCCGATGTCCGCTTCCTAACGGCGTCTTCCCCTCGGATTGGCGAGCGTGGTTCGACGTTGATACATTTCTGCGGGCGCACGCCAAAGTCCTGTCCGAACAAGGATCCAACATGATGGCCTCTCTCGCTCTCGTCCTCTCGGTCCTCGCGCTCGGTTCCGTCTCGCCCACCTTGAGGAGCACGGATGGTCACGCCCTTTCGAGTGCGATCTTTTGGGCCGCCATCAAAGCTTTGGCTTATTGCCAATCACCCGGGTCGAACGATAGCAAGGTCAGTATAAGAGGTTATGCAGCTGTATTGCTTCAAGCATTGTTCAAATCACTGACTTTCTCGTTCGCAGACCATGTGGGCGAGAGCCATCCTGATGCGATACGGAGACCTGATCAGAAACACGCAGATGCAATGGTACATGAAGAGTAGCTGGATTGCCAACGCCATGGATCAAGGGTTCCATCGGTGGGTGTTCAGGTCGATTCGGGTCGTGATAATACGTAGTCTGATTGTCATTCTCTGAAACCGATCTCGCAGTGATGGTGCTGGGTTCGGTCTAGCTCCCGAGGTGACAGCCGAAAGGAGGGTCATCTGGTCTCACGTGCTGCATGCAGGTACATCGCTGCGTCTCTACGTGACGCCATGAGACACCGTCGTCGCTTACTGAGCTCGTTACTTCTCGCGATCAGACCGGGAATGGGCGTTGGTGCTCGGCCGACCGATGCAGGTCAATCAATATTCGACGTTGATGCCGACGGAAGCCGACCTCATGGCGTGGCCGTGGGATTATCGGCAGTACTTGATGGCGCGAAACGAGCTGACTCCGTGAGTTCGAGAAGCACGGGCACGGTGAGAGATGCCTGGACGCTGAGAAACGGACCGGCCCACAACAGCATCCTCGAACGCATCTCGACGCTCTTCCAAGAACTCAGCTTGAAACGCACTCCTGAAGCTCATAGCAATGGCAACTTTACGCAGACCGATGCGTACAACGACAAGACGTATCAGGACCTCTTGACGATCGACCGCACGCTCGACGCCTACATGGCCTCGCTGCCCGCCCACTTTTCGCTCGACCCGACCAAGACCAACGACGCCCTCGAACGCAGGTACCCCCGACTCAAAGTCTACCGGCAGATCGTCATCGCCCAAGTCAGCTTTGTCAGGATCACGATGCACCGGCCGTTCATGCTCAAGGCGTTACGGAAGAAGAAGCATCCTTATCGGTACAGCTGGCAACGATGCGTCGATACCGCGGTCCAAGACCTCAGGGCGCGCAAGATGTGGACCCGGACGTTCAACCCGTCCGAGCAGAGACAGATGTTTATCGGCGCATGGGCGCTGTTCAACTCGGCCGTCGTTCTCGGTCTGTCCATCCTTATCAGCGTGGACATGGCCGAGGTTCCGGATCCTGACACGTATCAAGAATATATCGGACATCTACAGGAATGTGTAGAGACGCTGCAATCCGACCTCGATCAGGGGAGGGACGATGCGGTCTCCAGGAGGGAGAGGAGGATTATGGATTCGTTGTTGGCGAGGTTGGACGCTTGTACGAGCTCGGCGGCGAGACCAAAGATCTCGCCCAGGGTCGTCGAGACGCCACAATGTGAGTCGACTTGTCTTGATAGAATCAGCCCGGTCATACAAGCGATTCTGATTGATCTGTTATCGTATCACCCCTTGTCCTTACCTGATGCCCCAGCGGGCAGCATCACCCCTATCGCCGTTCAACCTCCTCGAATCCCTACGGAATCCCTCGTCAACGTCAACCCCAACGGTATCACCCCTGCCATCCAGTTCGACCCGTTCTTGCTGCAACCTTTCGCTCAGGAATCGGGCATGACGGTCGACGGCGCGTTGTTGAACGACAATACCGCGTTTTTCAATTGGGAAGGGTTTTTGAGCGAGATGTATTGCAACGATCCGATCTTCCCCTAAGATAGAGGTAAGGGTAGAGGATGACAGAGTATTGTTCACACCGGGCGAGACTGTGGAATGATCATATATCCATTTGCCTGCTGCTGCTGCTGCTGTGATAAGCGCTCGTCCGTTTCGCCCGAAGGTCTGACCCCGGACCGAGATTCCGCGAGCCGGTGAGCCTTGCGCCTTGAGCGATAACGATCTGACTCGAACACTTGGGCTCTGTCTATTACACGGCATTCTTGCTATACACCTCACCTATATCTTGCCTCCAACCTGTCGCTCGTTTTCTCTAGACGTCTACTCGAGCTACACTGACCTGCCGCTATGCCATCGACCGGCCCATCTCGCAAGACAAAGCCCGACGTCGTCGTCCTCGGGAGCGGCGTCTTGGGTCTATCCATCGCCATCGAACTCGTGAAGAAAGGCCACCTACCGCTCATCGTAGGCAAGGACCTGGCCGAGGATGTCAATAGTACCGGGTTCGCTAGTCCATGGGCAGGGTGAGTAGCTAACAGGCTCACTCGGACACATCTGCGACTGTCTGGACCCGGGGCTGACCTCTGATAAATACGGGATCGCTAGATGCAACTGGTACTCTTTCGCTGCGAACGACGATTTCTCCAACCGAAACTACGATCAGCGGACGTTCGAACGTCTACCCAAGCTCGCCAAAGAGCATCCGAATTTGTGCGAGATGATCCCCTTTGTGGACGTCTGGAATGACGGCGAGGTAGAAGACCTCTGGTTCAAGGACCTCGTTCCCGAGGTGAGCATTCCTCATGGACCTGCCTGGATATACCTATGTTTGGCCTCGAATCTGATCGGACGATCTTCCCTCTGAACATGATAGTACGAGCGATGTGGACCCGGACAAGCACCAGCGGGTTACAAACAAGCGATCAAGTTCAAATCCTTCATCCTCCACGCACCCGACTACATCGCCCACCTCGCCCAAACCCTCCAAAACTCCGGCGTGACATTCCTCAAACGTCGAGTATCAGCACTAGACGAAGCCTACAACCTCCAACTCCCAGCGGACCTTGCCGAAAAGTTCGGCCTTTCCGGTGATGGGTATAATGGAAGGCTCTCCGTGGACCTGGTCGTCAACGCTACAGGACTCGGAGCGAAGAGCTTGGTCGGGGTCGAGGACGATACCGTCTACCCGATCAGGGGGCAGACGGTGCTCGTCAAGAGCGATCTGGCGGGAGGAAAGGGGAAGCGGTGTTACATGGGAACCCGAAATCTGAACGTCGGAGCTGACGGTAAGCTTCCCGATGTGGCCCCTCAGTATCGCCAAGATGGTGTTGCAGATGAAGCTCACGGCGATTCCTCGACCTCGTCTTATCGTCCACTCGCATTTGCGGATCTCGTAACGACTCATCAGGCAAGCCATCGGTCCCCGCATACATCATCCCCCGACCCGGACCTAGCAATCACATCATCCTCGGTGGAACTTTCGTGAAAAACGAATGGTCCACCTCGCCCGACCTATCCGTCTCCGAACGGATCTTGCAAGACTGTTTCAAGCTCAACCCGGACCTCGCTGGACCCGAACGACCTGGCCGGGAACGTACATGGCGGGACATCGAGGTCGTCAGTCACAACGTCGGGCTCAGACCGGCAAGGGAAGCCGGAGTGCGTGTCGAATTGGAAGAACGGACGGTCAACTCGCCCGGGGTCGAACATCCTTTGATTCCCGGTCCCAAGAACAAGAACAAGAATCAGGCCGAAATCGGGAACAAGGATAATGCGAAGAGGACGACGAGGAACAAGGTCGCCGTCGTACACGCTTATGGGATCGGACCGGCCGGCTTTCAGGCGAGCTTGGGGATCGCGGAAAAGGCGAGCGGGTTGGCGGACGATTGGTTACGGGCTGCTACGAGCGAGGGGTCTTCGATCAGGAGCAAGTTGTAGTATTACTTAGGAACAGGTTGTAGGCGAGTCAGGAATCGGCCGCGTATGTTATCTCATTACATCGTTCAGCGTCCGCGGCGATCGACAGCTGGGTTCCGAACGTTTCGCCGCGGTCAATCAACGTACAATCACACCTTTTCGTGAACAGAAGGAAATCGTGATTCACGTCTCGCGATCGCTACTCACCGCCGGTGTCAAAAACGACAGACGCTTGCGAAGCCCCCACGCCGACTGGGCCATACATTTCAGGGTCTAGAGGACCTCTGCCTCCCAGAATCCTCACAACATCCAACACCACCTGCTGAAACAGCCTCTTGCCGTGATCACTCCTCAGATCTACCCACAAGGTGGGACTAGGTCCCTCTGAGGTCCTACTCTCATGGATAGTGATGTCAACATTGCTGGGTCTAATCTGCCCACCCGTCCATAGGTAAGGTCTGATAGAACAGCCAATAATGCTGAGAAAGATGAGAGTAGGAGAAGCAGGGTTGAGGGATGCAGAGTTGGCGCGGTGCCGGATCTGCTCGTCCGCTTCTTTCGCGATGGCGGCGCTGACGAAGTATTCGACTTCTGCTCCGCTTTTGTTCTTGGCGCCGGTGGGTTTGACAGCGGCGGGTTTCACCTCGAAGATGAGGACGCATGGACGATTGGCAAAGTCGCGTGTGTCGAGATTGAGTACTCTGATCGCCCCGTCGACCACGCCGCGAAGCTTTAATTTCGGCGCGCGCAGGAGAAAGTCCTTGAGTTCAGAGGTCTTGAAAGCGTACTCGCCTTCGCAACGGAATCGGTAATTGAGATCTTTACCCTCCTTGTCGACAGCGAAAGGAATAGCCGATATCAAAAGATAGAGGATTTGATTGATGATCGCGCGGTGGTCGCCGAGGGTAGGCGGATAGACCAAGAGCTCGTAATCATCGCTACCGCCAGGCCGCCAGAGCTCGGCCCACACCTCGGGTGATTCGGCCGGCAGAGGAGGTGGAACGACATTGCCAACGATGTGGACGGGGGCGACGACTTCGCTAGCCATCTCGGCGGATGTTGTCGAGGATGACGTTTGTTCGGTCTCGAGTTGAGCGATCTCTGAGGGAGTCGGTTTGGTTGCGCGAGACGAGCGAGGATATTTCCGGTCAAAGATAAGACCGGCGACGTTGCCTTGCTTCTGGATTTCGAACCAAGATCGCCGGCCGCGAACAGCTCTGTGACTGTTCTCGTCGTGCTTGATCAGATTTGACCTTCTCGCGAGGTCTTCAAGCGAAGTTTTCGTAAACTCTAAAGCCGGAGCTGGCAGAGTGCGTCGTCCAGTATGGGTGTTCGTCAGGTCTTGAATCGGAGCTGGCAGAGTGCGTCGTCCAGTATGGGTATTCGTCAGGTCTTGGATCGCAGATGGCAAAGTACGTCGTTCGGTGCGAGTGGTCTGTCATATACGGGTTCGGCGTCAACAATACATCAGCCGCAATCCACGTCAAGATTGTACAGATCAAACTCACCGCCAAACCACCAGACCGCCGCTCTCCCCCTTCGTCGATCGGTTTCGTAAAATGTTTGGTCGTTAAACTATCGTTGATATCCTCTGATCCCATCCCCTCGCTGCGTCCCGTCGATTGACTGCCGGCACGACCAGACGAGTGCCGTCGTCTTTTTCGTCACCGGATATCTGATAGAGCTCTTTAATCGGATTTGTACTGACGTACTAGATGATGTATGACGGCTACGGTCGACTTGTCGGGAGATGATCGTCAAACAGGACGCCGGCGAGGTAAGAGTAAGAAGAAGGACATCTTGCATCTCGAGGTCGAGGTCATCACTCGAACTTTGGCGCGCGTCGAGTCTCTGGTCACATCTCAGGGGGTACAGTCATCATGTCATCTTTCATAACGACAACTGCAATCATAATGTCGGTATCGTTGTCTAGTCTACTACATTCTTGTCCACAAACTCTCCCATCCTCCTTTCTTTGCATTTGAGTGTCATCAAGTTCGCCGACGATGACCGTCGCCGAAGCAAAGACTACAGCGTACCACGAAATCGCATCTACTCTTCGACCTCGGCCTCGATCGCAGCAAAGCTCAACGGAGTAAACGCATACCCGCCTGCCATGTAGTGCTTTCCGTTGGCTTCGACCCTGTAGCGTCAAGAGAGTAACGTCCATAGATCAGCGCTCAACTCCCTCGGTCGACTTCCAACCCGATAGACGTACCAATGCAACCTCAACGCGTGCAAAAACGCACTCAACCCTTCCATCACACACAAGATCGCCAACGTCAAGATGAACCACATTCCGAACATGATGACCGTAAAGACGACCCCAAAGATACCCGTAGATCCAAAGGCTCTCTCCAGGGTCATGTTGTACAATACCTCGGAGAGCTGGGCGTGAGCGAGGGAGAGGGCCCAAAGTCGGAGATACGAGGCCGTGTTCGAGATACATCCCAGACAGAATTCGATGGTGTGGATGACTTGGTGGATGATGACGTCGCCCATTTCAAACGGCTGAAACAAAGTCGAAGCGAACGAATATTAGCAATTTCGCTTCTTCCTTCTTCTCTTCAGACGTCAACGCGAACCGCGACTCACGTGCTCGTCCTCCTCGGCCTCGGCCACGGCATGCCCGTTCCCATCCTCCTCATCCTGCATCTCCTGTGTCGTCGACAACCTCGGCTCACCATCGTCTCCGTTGCTACCACTCCCGATCCCCTGATACCCCTGTCCCTTGATCTTCTGGTGTTCCCGCCAGAGCATGTACGGCTTCAAGCACAACATCCAAGGCACGCAGACGAGCGCCAAGAGCAACAGACAGACCTGGACAAACGGCTGTCCTGCGTACAGCTGGGTCGACGGGTCGACGGTACCGGGCGAGAGGAACATGTAGATGAGCATGTTGAGCAGTCCAGGAGGAGCGGTGGCGGATTGAGACCAGTCGATGGACCACTTGTAGACGATGCAGACGACCAGGTAGCCAAAGATGGATTGCATGAAGAGGATCTGGGGGATAAATTCGGCGTAAATGTTCAAGGGCTTCTTGAACTTCAAGTGATTGGGAACTTGAAGACAGATGGCAAACGTCATCTGCAGGTGCGAATCCAACACAGTATCCTCGGATCAGTACGGCGAACCACTTTCGACAAAGCCCCTTGGAAGCGGACTCACGTGAATGACACCGAGGATGATGGACATCTTCATCTTGTACGAGTTGCTGAACACCAACGAATTGTCCGCCCCATGCCAAGCCGGGTCCAATCCGAACAAGTAGGTCCCACCCGTAGCGACGGCCTCGACGGTGCCGTTCTTTCCCTCGGGCCATTCCCAACCCGACGTCCAGATATGCAGCGACTTGGAGAAGATGTCGTTATACATCAAACCGGTGTACATGGAAAAGAGACCCATGAGGAGGATGATGTATCGTCCAAAGAAGAACGTCTCAAAGATCTGCAAACCGAGTGCAAGCGAATGTCAGTCTCGCTCAACAATCACCGTTGTAATAGCACATGCTCGCTGCTCCACTCACCTCCCCGAGCCCGGCCTTGGCCAACTTGCGTTCATACATGACCATCACGACCCCAGCGAGCGTCGCCAAGAACCCATGCCCGATATCCCCGAACATGACCGCAAACAAGAACGGGAACGTGATGACGGCAAAGATCCCCGGATTGACCTCTTGGTAGGTGGCGATCCCATAACTGTCGATGATCGTCTGAAACCCCTCGGTAAACGGTGTCGTCCGGTGGAAGGTCGGTGGCGTCTGATGGGTCTGGAGTTCGGACAAGATGGGAGGGACCGCAGTTCCCGCCGTGTCCGTCGCCCTCCGAAGAGCCTGTTGAATACCGGTGATATCCCTCGTGGGGCACCAACCCTCCGCGACGAGCGTCTTTTTCTTGGCATCATAACTGAGCAAGTTCATCGTCTGATAAATAGTCTTTTCCTTGGCCACGGCGTCTTTCCACGAATAGAGCTGTTCGGCAATCTTGCCCAGCTCGACCCGCCTCGTCTGCCCCGTCTGGAAGAGCACCGAGTTGATATCCTCCAACCTGGACGTGACCTCCCTCATCGCATCGTTCCTCTTGTCCGGATCCGAATCGATGGGGTAGAGGGTCCCTCCCATGCTCTCGGCGACTTTACGGATCTTGGCTAGCAACTCGCTCCCATGGGCAAAGATGATAAAGACGTCCTTGTACGTCTCTTTCCCGTTGGTGGGGTCGACGAACGGTTCCTCGATCTCGGAGTAGTTCATATAAAGGTTACCTCGGAGGACCCGCCAGAGGACGCGTTCAAAGATGGGCATCCTCGAGCGTTCGATCGTACCGGCGACGAACCTGCGATATAGACGAGTCTTACTTGTCAGCCTACGCTAGGCAATACGAGCTGGATCCGCGGTGGACTCACTCGAGATCGACCCCGTTGAAACCGCTCTCCCCAGGTAAAGTCCCATACTCGGCCGCATTCTCCAAAAGCGGGGCCGACCCATCCCCATTATCATCAAACGAGCTCCTAATCTCCACCCCACCCCTTCCCCTCCCGCCATTCCCATTATTGTTATTCTGATCAAAGAACCCCGCCGTCTCCCTCAAGACGCACCGCGCCTCTTCCAACTCTCTCTGCCTCCTGCCCAAGACCTCGAACGACGAATTGATCTGGTTCAACCTGGTCTCATGTTCAGTCAGCTTGTCGTCCAGCTCGTCAAACGCCTGAGCGGCCCGTGGGCCGACCGAGGTGAAAGGCGGGATGGCGGAGAGCGGGGTCAAGCCGATAGGAGGAGAACTCTCTGTGATCTGGGTGTGGAAGAGGCGGCACCGACGTTCCATCTCGTCCAGCCTACGGATCTCGCCGACGAATGATCGTTGAAAGGCGTTGACTTCGCCATTGAGCTGTATTTGTACGAGAAGCGAGATCGTTTGATCATCAGCGTCGGCAAAGTGTGAAATCGAGAGGTTGCATCGTGCAAGACTATGTTGCTAGACTTACGTCGAGGAGGTGGACATTCCCGGTCTCTCCGAGCTCGTAGATGGTGTCATGAGCGCATTCCCGAGGGATGAACAGCTGGATCTTGCTCAACTCCTCGGAGCCTGCAGACAATCAAAAAAAGGGGAAAGAGAAAAGTGGCGGTGGGGGGCGACCGGGTCAGTCAGGCAGTTACGACCAGCAAACACCGTTTGGATAAGGAGACTAACGGAACAAGCTGGGGTACGACATGGTTGACGAGGTCTACCTGTCGATATCGTTATGATCCTGACTATCGATCGAAGACTCGCTTGAATCGCCTTTGATCGATGTACCGATGTCGATGATGATGGGAGTTGATCGATGATGACGACCCCTTCGCTCGCGTCTCGGATCCGAGATTCTCGCCACAAGCGCACAGCTTGCCGCCTTAAAAGTCTGCGCGCTTCGATTTGGCTGATAAACACCGCTTAACTGCTTACGTTATCGATTCGCAATAGCTCATCTCTGATTGGCTGCAAGACGTACGTTTCTCGGAAGCAATCGCTCGCGGGCGGAGTTTCGTCATCATCCAGAGTGCATCGGGCATCACCGATTCGATCCAAGACCTGGAGTATAAGAATCACCTTCGAGTGCTTGCAAGAAGTATTTGATCGCCGTTGCTCCTCTTTCTCTCAATAACAACTCGCACACCATCGTACAAACTCTATTACCTCACATTACACATCACACGTGCAATCAACAATGGCCGTAAGTCTCCCCCCCTTAACTCTCCCTTCACCGACCCGAACTGATCTTCTCTGCTCTCGCTTTCCCGTCTCCTAACGACACAGGACCAAACCCCCCAATGCACCGGTAACCCCACCTCCTGCTCGTTCTGTAACCCGACCCACGAACGCGATTCATGTGCCAAGGACGAGATCGCCGGATGTACGTCGGCACCGGGAGACTGCCAGGCTTGTAGCGAGGGTCGAGGATGTTTGAAGGGATGTGCTGGGTGAGTCCGAATTTCGGTCTTTCTTTTTTTTCCTTTTTTTTCTTTTTCGTGCTGGATCGAAGGGAGTTGTCGCTGACGTCTCATCCCGTTGTCCTCTTCTCCTCCCCTCTTCGGCCCCTCTTCTCCCTTGAACGAACGTAGATCCCCGGAAAACTGTACCGTCTGTCGAGACCGATGCCTCAAGCCCGCCTCGACCACCTCGAACACCGCTTCGTTCGGTGTCGAGCCCGCTCGACCCAAGTAGAGTTCGATTCGCGATCGACGTTTCTTCTAGAGATGGATTCGGCACCGTCAAACGTTGAGGCGTCCGAGAGTGTTCTGGATCGAAGTGTTCAAGCGGAGGATGATCGGGTTGTGTATCTCGTATGTCATGTTGTATCGTTATCCATCCTAGCAGCTACTTTGTCGTGCGCCTTCCCCGGCCATCGAATCGAATAATATATCATGTGATGTATCCTGGATCCCGCTCTTTTTGCTGTCTGTCATCTCTGGTGCCCGACGATCTTTCATGGGTACAAAGACGTTTCGCTCTACGAGAAGATCAGGTTGGCACGAAGTTCCGGTCGGTTGTTTCGGTCACATTCAGAAGAAAGATACATCGAGGTGTCTCCAGGCTTTAACGAGCGACTGAACCTCACCGTAGTACGCGGTTCGATAACCATAGCAGGCGAGGCTCCGAGCATGGTTGTTCAAACATGACTCATACAGAGAGAGGTGGAAGCAGTCTTCGCATCTTTTCAACTACGATGATGAGATACAGAAGATCACAGAGGGAACAAGGCGGGTTGATATGATTGTATGTGAGAGCCGGGCACGGAACTCGGAAGTGCACGGAACGACGCATGCAGAGGAATCCGCACCATACGCATGAAAGTCGTTCTGAGCGGCTTTCAATACATTATTGCCTATACACGGAGCTACATCACGTCAGCAGGGGACAAACGACGATACATCCATCTATCTGATACAAGTTACAGTCTTGAGACATTCCTACAATGGGTGCCAAAATCTGCTCAAGGTCATTCATTGTTCATTGGACGGCTCCTTTGTCTGGTCCGTCAACTCAAAAGTCTGTTCATCTTCCAGATCCTTCACTCGGGCCTCAGACTCCATGTAGTAATAGAAGACTCTATAAGCGCCAAGTGTCCAAGGAATGCCGTTCAGAATCGCCATCGTCACTAAGGCCAGCTTGCGCTTTTCCTCAGGCTCGAGTCTGATGTCTGGTCCATTCTGTCGCCGATTCGACTCCTCCAGCTGCGTAAAGCCCTCGATGAGGGCAGCCACATCGGTTCCGCTTGCCCGCTCGGATGTAACCCCGTTGATGTAAGCGTTGTACGCCTGGGGAACTATCGTCATCGCTTTCAGTTCCATCCACTCGTTCCACTTCTTGAGATATTCTTCTTTCTCCGCTGCTGTCAGCCGCGACTTCTCTTCAGGTCGACGTTCGTTCCTCAGCTATCTCCGATACATCGATTGCATCGCCTCGTCATCGATATCACTGTGATGCTCGGTCTTACTGAACGTCAGTCCGTCATTCAAGAGTTTGATGACTCCAGTGTAGTACTCGTCATCGTCAGGCGTCCCGGTCTTCACGAACGAATCGTCCTCAGGACAGTAGCTCATATGGTCCGTCACAGGTTGATGAGTCACTTGCGATCGAGTGCATGCTGAACATGTGTCGGCGACCATCGTGGATCGAGATCGTGAGTTTCTGCTTCTGGTTGGTGTCCCTCAACATGAAGGGGGGTCGCACTTGCCATGGCGCGAGTAATCTTGACCAAACCTTATATACTCATACTCGCGGCAGCCGACGAGAATGGTTCTTTCAGGTGGTACAATCAGGCAAAAATGTCGTCACTGCAGCGTGTTCCTTTCTTTCCGGCCTGAGACGAGGAGGACTAGGTGATGGCGACATGGAGAAGCTCGAAATGTCGACATGTTACGTGATACACAAGTACCGTTCGGCATCGCTTCCATTGATCATGTTCGCGTGATTGGAGAGACCACCATCATTTTCAGTTGGATGGCGATATGCGATCGCTGCGCCGTCGGGCACAGCAAGCGCAGCGAGCTGGCGCGTTCCGACCATTCTGTGGCAACAGCGACGGCATTATCGGTCACGAGACCCAGAGGCCAGTTGATGCAGGGATGCTCCAGATGATCTTGTATCCTCCTCACCGGGGGCGCTTCCTCCATCGTGACTGGGGCCGTCAGAGAATGTACAATGATCATGTGAACCACTCTCCCCGCTGCCTGTACCCTCCTTTCTCTCCAATCTCCTGTGCGATTCCCCACCGGGTACAAGCGCGTTGAACCTCGTTGCAGTGTGTTTATGCCACGAGTTCCCGAACTCAGTTGGTGTAATACCAGCGCCCAACAAGATAGAGCAGAAGGTGCGCGTCTTGATGCTAAGGGCTCGCTATATCACTTTGAACTCCATCAAAGGAGCGGCGCTTTATGTTCCATGCGGCTACTACTGTAGTTCCCTCGCTTACTCCCTATAGGGCCCTGTCAGCAATCTCTCGCTTGTGACATCGATAACGGATGAAATGATGCACCCAGTCCCTCGGGCGATGTCCGTCGATCCGCTAGCCAAAAACCTGCGATACAACGCACAAGCCGTTGCCCCCCCCAACACCTGTAGTCGCGTATCGCAGAGGTATCCAACTGAAACAGTCGCGCGCAAGCCGATTTCATGCGAAACACGTGATGCGCGAAACCCTGCAACGGAAAACGGCCAAGACCACCAACTCAATAGACGGACTTGCAAACGAATGTAGAATGGAAATCGTCATGAGAGAAATTAAAGAAGCAGTACATGCACCGAAATGCTCGACGAAGAAAATGATCGGGACGCGACACAGCCAGGTGGGCTAGACGGTGCCCTTCTATAGCTCGTCCTCGTCGGTGAGGACCTCTGCAAGGATCAAACAACAAGGTCATATGGTCAGCCAGATGTTCATAAACAACTGTAAAGATGTCGCTCTGCTCACCCTCGCCTCGCTTCCTTCGGGCCATCCTCTCCTTCTTCTTCTTTCGGAGCTCGGCAGCGCTGGCCTTCTTGGCCTTCTCGACCTTGACGATCTTGTTACCCATGGCGTCAAACTGGTCCTCCTCGTCCTCCTTTCGCTGGTCGATTCGGGCACCGGAACCCTGACCGCTCTCGACCCAGTCGTGACCGGAAGCGATGAGGTGTCCGTCCTTCATGGCCCAGATCTCCTTGCACACGGATTCCGAGAACTCTCGGTTGTGGGTGATGACCAACACTCCTCCCTCAAAGTCCTTCAGGGCCTCGATCAAGGCGGCCAAAGACTCTCGGTCCAAGTAGTTGGTAGGCTCATCCAGACAGATGACGTGGGGCTTTCGCCAGGTGGCGGCACCCAAGACGACCTTGACCTTTTGACCTCCGGACAGACCTCGCATGGTGTTGTGCGAGACGAACTCGGACTCGAGACCGAAATCGGCGAAATGCTGCTCAATCTCCTTTCGAACGAGGGGCCTCATCATACCCAATCGCTGAGCCTCTCGCGAGTCGAGCTCCATGACCTTCTTTTCGAATCCACGGACGAGCAACTCGTCACGCGACATCCAAATGTTCTCGGTCGACGAGAGACCCTTGAACGAGATCTCGTACTCGTACGACTGCTTGAGCTTCTTTCGTCCGACCAACTCCTCGATGATTCGCTTGGCACCCTCGACAATGACGGTACCTCCCTCCTTCATCTTCTTCTCCTCCTCCGGGGTCAACTGCCTCGAGGCCTTTTGGAGCTCCTCCAAGTCCTCACCGGTCTGGTATCGCCACAACATGTAGTCCAGGGGGGTCTTGTCGAGGTGGTAATCGATGTGGTGGAAAGCGTGCTGAGCGACGTATCCGATGACCAAGTTGGGGTGCTTCCAGACCTCTCCGGCGTTGCTAGCGTCGCCGAGTCCACCGTTGGGCTCGGTCTCTCCGGTCAAGAGCTTGACCAAGGTCGACTTTCCGGAACCGTTGGGTCCGAGAATGGCGACTCGGGAAGAGAGCGAGACCATCAAGGTGACGTCGAACAGCTGCTGGACGGCGGAACCGGGGTACGAGAAGTTGACCTTTCGCATCTTCAAGAGCGACTTCTCCTTGGTCTTGACTCCGTCCAAGAGAGGAGGCACGGGCAGCTTGAACTTGTAGTCCTCGGCGGCCTCGAGCTGGTAGTAAGACTTGGCCTCGGGGACCATCTTGACGAAGGCCTCCAAGTTTCCGGGGTAACGCTTGATCTTGAATCGGTTCAAGTGGATGATATCGGTGACGGTCCTGTTCAAAAAGTCGGAATCGTGCGAGACGATGATCGAGGTACAGTTGGTGAGCGAGGTGAGGTAGTCGATCAACCAGGTGACGTTGATGACGTCCAAATGGTTGGTAGGCTCGTCCAACAACAAGATGTCGGCCTTGAACAAGATGGCTCGGGCGAGGGCGAGCTTCATCTTCCATCCACCCGACAACGAACCGATGGGGTGCTTCTGCTTGGCGTCGTCGAACCCGACGTCCCTCAAGGTCTTTCGGATGTCATCGGGCGTTCCCAAGAGACGCTTGTCGGACAAGACCCAGTCGACGACGGAGATGTCGGCCTCGGACCCATCAATGTCGTGCTGGACGTAGAAAGTTCGGACGACCGAAGGGTCGGGGAAACCCTCGACCTGGTTGTTGACGATGGCGTTCATCAAGGTCGATTTCCCGGACCCGTTTCGTCCACAGAGACCGTATCGGTGTCCACGCTTCAGTCGCAAGGTGGCCATGTTCAACAAGATCTTGGCACCGTAAGCGAGCGAAAAGGTACAGTTACACAAGTCCTCGCCCTCCTCTTCGTCGTCGAACACTCGGTCGTCCTGACCCTCCTCGTCGGCCTTCTTCTGCAAGAGCTCTCGGACGACGGGACCGTTGTCGTACCCGGGAACGGCCAAGGAGAGGTAAGGGCACAAGGTCGACTCCCAAGTCTGCTGGTCATAGTTGTGGGCGTTGACGAGTCCGGCAGCGAGGACACCGGCGTAGACGAGCGCGGGGTTCTCGTTGTCCGGGATCTCCTTGGCGTCGGCCTTTTTGAACTCGGCGATCAAGTTGGTGACGAGGTGGTTACCCTCGGCGATCTTGAGAGGAGGCACGTTGGTACCGTCACCCTCGTAGACCTTGGAGACCTCTCGCAAGGTCTTGATGGCACGGTTGACGACGCCTCGAGCCTCGGGGTCGGCCATGACCTCGGCAGTCTTCAAGAGACCGGGCAAGAGCTTGGGGACGAAAGGTCGGACGGTGTACTCGTTGTCGACGAGCTTGGTCATGTTGTCGGCGATAACGGCGACCTTTCGCTTGATGGCGGTGGCACGCTCGTCCAAACCTCGGGACAAGAGCGGGGCCATCAACGAGAGCGAGGGGGCGTCGACCTCGGAGACGAAAGTGGTGGCGGACAACAAGGCGATGGTCTTGGGGACCTCCTCGATGGGGTTGACGAGGGCCTTGATCAAGGCGGGGATGAACTTTTCGATATCCTTGTTGGCAACGAGGGCGGTGGCCTTGGTCAAGGTCGACTTGGCGGCCTTCTTGACGTCCGACTTGGTGTCCCAGACGGCGTCGGCGAGGACGGGGACCATCATGGGCATGGCCTTTCCGGTCTGAACGGGAGCGGCGACGACGAGCTGGTCGATGATGGCCAACGACCCGGTCTTGATCTGCCATTTCCCAGCGGTCTGGATCTGGTGCAAGAGCGCGGGCAAGAGGACGGGAGTAGCCCAGGGGTTCATCGAGGTGACAAACGACTTGACGGCAGCGAGCGAGGCGGCGGCGACGCTAGGAGTCTTGTCGGCGAAAGCCTCGAGGAGGGCGGGGAAGACGGTACCGGGCTCCGAGGTGACGATGAAGCACTCGAGCTTTTGAGCGGCACCGTTCTCGCACAAGGTCGAGATGACCTCGGCGGCACCCTCACGAGCCTCGGGCTTCTTCTTGTCTCCGAGGGCCTGCGCGAGCGAAGCGAGCAAAGCGAGCGCAGAGCGTAGAGCAAACACATTCCCGTCAACTTTCTGACCCTGCTGGCAGCTTCTTTATCCGAAACCAGAGCCTCGACTCACCTTGACCAAAGCATCGCCCAACCCAATCTCTCCAAAGAAGTTCACCTTCTCATTCTTCGACTGACTCGCCAACTGCTCGGCGGCCTGCTTTCGTGCGTCCTTGTCGGCGACGAAGAGGGAGGGGATGTCGAACGTGGAAGGCATGATGTTGATGGATGTGTAGGTGAAAGGTTTTTTGTCTGCTTTTGCATGGATTCGATCGGGAGGGGGAAAGGAGGTGGGGAGTTAGCGAGAGCGAACGCAATGTGGTGCGGTATGAAAAAAAATTCCCCCGAGGCCAAGAGGCAAGAAAAAGAGAAGAAGAACACTCACGGGTTTATATAAAAGGGGGGAAGAAAAAAGAAGGTAGTCTAGTAACGAGCTCGTGTAGATCAAGTCTCGTCCGTGTCTATTTGTGTCGATACAATCGAAAGGGAGAGTAGGATAGTTCTCTTTCCTTTTTTTTTTTTTTTTGGGTAGGGTGGATAGAGAAGATTGACTCTTTTCTACGTCTATATGGGGTTCGGGGTGAGGTGGGTCGTCAGTTTGATGTGAAGAGGTCGTTAAAGAAAAGTCACGTCACGGGGAGTGTGTGATGAGATAAGGTAAAAGAAGAGGTGAGGTGGGATGGGTGGGTGGCGAGGATGAAGCTTACCCTGTGTGTATGTGTGTTTATATGAATAGTCTCAAGGGTGTTGCCACGCTTAGAGAAGAGAAGAGAAGGGAGGTGGAGGTTATGAAAAAAGAGACGAGGTGGTGGTTGTGGGGGAGGTTGATCGAGATCAAGAGGACGAGAGGTGCTCGGGAGGTGGCGAAGAGGGGTTCTCTCTCTGAAAAATCGCACACAAAGGGACGGAGAGAGGGACGCGCCATTGGGTGGAAAAATTAGGAGAAGGCGGCGAGGGGCGACGCGTAAATAAAACAAGCCCGGAGGCCAATTGCATCCGACCTCCCGGCGAGAACGTGGGAGTCTAGAAGGACGACGGTTTCACGTGATCGAGACGTCGAGACCAGATTCACTTGACGTCTTGATACATGTTACAAACTCGACAATGCTAATCATGAGCCGAAGTGATACAGACGGACAAATCGGCTAGATGACTCTTGGCATCCCGAGACCGTATGATCAAGACGAACCGCCTGACGAAGTCGTAACACCTCATGTACCGAGATCCACGACCATACCCTTCCCCACCCCCCTCAAGCCGTTCCACCAATCCCTCACTCCCATCTCCTTCTTCCCCGCCTGCCTCACCCTCTTGACCTCGAGGAGCACCGTCACCATCTCATCATCCTCTTCTTGCGAATGCGTATATGAAGACGAATGCGGATTGTTTTCGTATGCGCATCGGACGAGCAGCCGATTGTTCGGACGATCATACCGAGCTTGTCCCGGACGTAACGATCGCAATTGTGAGCCGGTCTCTGAAGAACCCGGCTTGAGATCGCTCAACCCGCATTCGAGCAGCTGGATCGGGTTTCCCTGGACCGTCGTCCATATCGGTTCCTACACGCGCCACACATCATCGAAAAAAAAGGTCATCAACTCAAGTTTGTTTTCATCTCCTTTCAATTTCAATTTCCCACTTGGAGAAGAATCATACCATAAAGCATGCTTTTTGCTCACCTGAAACCCAAACGCTCGATGCCGCGCTTCGACCTCCATCGCGCTCTGTGTCTGGAAGTCCACCCGGGCCGTAGTTGGGCTGATCTTGCCGGCTTTCCGAAATGTTTCGCCTTGTGATGATGGTTGTGGATAACAGCTCGCCTATAGTATAAGGTTAGATCAGATTATATTTTGACATGTCATGTCATCCGGGTCAGCAAAAATCAAAGTCTTGTTTTTCTTCGAGAGGGGATATCTATGAATCGATATGACATGGCAGGGGAAGACGTCGGGTTTGGTACGTACAGTTCCATCACGTATTCGTTGGAGGGTGGATACGAGCAGTTCTCCGCCTCTTTTAGCCAAGGTCGGTAATAAACTGTTGTACGTCGAACGCTCGTCGATCTCCTACAAAAACGAATCACCACAATGTCTTTCAGTCCTGGTGTTATCGCAGAGTTAGTATCCACCAGTGAACATGTAACATACCACCCCCCCCTCTTGCGCCCAAACATCCCCACAATCCACCTTCCCCCTCCCCAACTCCAAACTCTGCACAGTGACCCCCGTCCTACCTCTCCGGACCTTCCAACTGTCAGCGATGGACCATTGGATCGGGGCGGCTCCTCTGTATTCCGGCAAGAGCGAAGGATGTACGTTAAGCCGGGAGTAAGGTTCTCGGAAATAGGTTTTGAGGAAGGGGGTGGGGATGATATGGCCGAATGAGGCTGTGATCAGGATCGGGCTTGGGCTTGGGTTTGGGGTTGAAAGTAAAGGAGGTGGATTTGGTGGGTTGCTGTTTGATGCTGGTGGGAGGAATCCTTCGGGAATCTGAGAAGAGCATATTGAAGATGATCAGTGGAAATGCATGAGGATATCCTTATTCTTAGAATTACCTGCCAATCCTTGAACCCCGTCGGAGGCAGAGTACTTGTGCCCAAACCTTGCTCTTCCGCATAAGTCAACAGAGGAGCTGCGCAATGCAATCATCCCCATGCTTCAGTCCACAAGATCATACCGGAACCAAGATCTCAGAGCTCACGAACTATCCGTCTTGTTCCCCTTGAACCTCTCCCCACCTGCTTTTCTCCCGAGGTGACGATTAACAGGTCTTTCCACAGTCCCTGTTTGCTAGCGAGAAGAGGTTCCAGGACGCCGATGGAAAAGGCATCTCCGCCTAGGAAGAGCAGTGATAGTGCATCTTTGCTACGAGCTGATGAGAGGAGGTGTCGAGTCGTGCGCATGCTTGTTGTAGAAGTCTATGGCGAGGCGATGTGACTTGTGTGCTTGCATGTCGATACCTTCAGATGCTCAGATGGCAGATCGTCAAATCCCCTGGTCTGAACGCCGAGGATGACTCATGAAATTATGCGTTATCGGGATGTCTCCCCTAGATGCGTTATGATCGATGGCATTGACGATCGGCGCCCTGCGGGACGTCGAGGGTCACTTTCCGATCTAGCACTCCAACCCAAGTTACTACACTCAAACGCACAAGTTATATCATCGACACAGCCTTCTCTTTTGCGGATAGCATTGAAGATCCTCCCTGTGCATATCTCTTCTATACGGTATCAACATATCTGTCAGATGATCCGGCAGTGATATGCAGAGCTTCAACGCTGCGACGCTTCCGAGCAGAGCTCCGACTCGACCCGGCACTCCTGTCAACCAGAGATATCCCTGGGATGCGAGTGTGACCATCATCGGACAGCGGGGAGGTGAGTCAAAGTTTTTCGCGGACTAGAATGCCTAAAAGTTGACCGGTTTGCACATGTCTGCAGTCGGCAAGTCGACCATCGCCTTTATCGCCAGTCATGCGTTGTGGAGGGACGTCCTCGAGACTGAAACGCTCCTCAGCCGAGGCTCCGACGACCCGGATTACAAATACGGCCACGATATACCTTCCATACTGTCCGAGAACAGACGAGGCAAGATCGTCATCATCTCCGCGGACCGATTGAAAGACTCGGAATCTAGGCGGGCGGTGGAACAATTCGCACAGTTCGCCGGTCCTGTCATCCATGTCAGTCGTTCGAGGGCGCTCTCGTTCAAATATCTACGGGCGGGCAATCAGATGACGGATTCCGAACTCCAAGCGCTCGACGAAGACTGGTCTTCCACCGAGGCGTCCTTGATGGAGATGTGTACGGCATCGTTCGTCAACCTGAATTGCCTGTCGGCGGAAGACATCTATCCTCCAGCTTATCGACCCTGGGAAGACATGTGTCCCAAGTCGAACATCGCTCGACCCAATGGAGCTCATCGCGTCATGTCGCACATGAAGAGGCTGGAGATGGATTTCATCCGGCTCATGCGTTTTGTGCTGGGCGTCTATACCAACCACGTCCCAATGACAGCGTTCCGGACGTACCTGTTGTCACTGACGTACTCGGACGTCTCACAAGCAGTGCCTCATATAGAGAACTTGTCAATCGGGGTAGATTGCTGGGAATTGAGGGTGGATCTGCTAGCAGAACGTAGCGTCGAATCCATCGCCTACCAGATCGCACTCTTGCGACGACATTCGGACCTGCCCGTCTACCTGACGATGCGAACGCGGTCACAGACCGGAGGTCTACCCGATATCAAGGACGACCCGCAGATGATTCCTTACCAACAGGCAGTCCTCTCTCTCGGCCTAAAGATGGGCGTCGAATATGTAGACGTCAACATCACCTCGCCGCCAGAGACGATCGCATCGCTCGTCCGGAACAAGGGCAACTCGCAGATCATCATCTCGTGGCACGACATGGCTGGGCGGGTTAGCTGGTCCGGACCCGAAGTCCGATCGATCTTTGATCACGCCTGTCGTGAAGGAGCCGACATCGTCATGATGATCGGGTACGCTAGGGATTTCCAAGACAACCTCAGCTTGCGAGCGTTTGTCCAGGAGATGCAGTCGAAACATGTACCTCTTATAGCGTTAAACACGGGACCCGAGGTGAGTGCGATTTGGCACCTTGATCATCGACTCTAGCTGACCAAGGTGCGGCCTGAATCGGTTGTAGGGGAAAATGTCGCGAATCTTGAACCACTTCTTGACTCCGGTGGCGCATCCAGCTATGCCTCGGATATCTGGACCGGGTCAAGTCTCGTATCTGGAGACTCAACAGGCAAGTCGGTGATGACCGAAAATCACTCCTTTCCCTCGCTAAACTACCGTCAGATGCTTTAGGTCCTATACTTGACGGGACTTCTCAAACCGTTGAAATATCACATCTTCGGCGCCGATGTCAAGACCACGGCTTCTCCGATAATGCATACGGTCGCATTCAGGAAGCTCGGACTGCCTCACACATACCATATCAGCGAGGCTAGCGATATTCAAAGCTACGAGGCCATCCTTAACGATCCCACGTTCGGCGGGGCCAGTATCGCTCGGCCCTTCAAGGTGGAGATCGGTTCGCGTCTCCGTCGACTGTCAAAACACGCTCAAGCTATTGGCGCGGTCAATACCATCACGGCTACACCTACGGGTCCCGTGGGGGACAATACGGATTGGAAGGGAATCAGGACTTGCATATCACGGGCGTTGACACCAGAGAACGTGATCAACGCCAACACGACGGCTCTGGTCATCGGGGCGGGAGGTGTCGCAAGAGCCGCGATATACGCGTTGAACCACCTTGGAGTGTCCAAGATCGCCCTGGTCAACCGCACCATGAAAGCCGCACATGCCCTGGCGAGCGATATGTCGAGGCTGGACCCGGGACTGTATATCCATGTCCTCGAGAGCATCGAACCCAAGGTGATCAAATCCTTGGGATTGCAACCTCGGATCATCGTCTACGCGATACCGATCCCCGAACAGGATGACCGAGATGCCATCAGAACGAGACCACATCAAGATCTGCTTCATATTCCCGGTGGAGGGGTATTACTGGACATGACGTTCCAGGGTGACCTTGCCCTATCGCCAATGTTGAAATTGTCCAAAGGGATAATGAACGACGCCTGGGTTTTCGTACCCGGTATAGAGGTGCTCCTTGAGCAAGGGTACGAACAGATCCGGTTATGGACGGGTAGGAGACCGCCTCGGACAGATATGCGCTCAGCGGTCATGCGAGAGTATACCGGCAACAACCTTTATCAGGGGACTCTGCGAAGTATATGAGCCGATGATTGGCCATGACATGATGATATAATCACAAAGGTTGTATATTATATGATACCAGGTTGTAGACAGAACATTCTTGAAGCATCATGGTTCGGGACGTCGCACCTCATTTAGCTCCAGGACGCTAATCGCGTCGAGTCCGGCGATCGAGAGTCGGCGGTTCAGCTCGATCCTTCGGTCGTGATGACCGGTCTTACTTCGAGCTGCTTGACCAGTGGACCAATAACGATTTCTGCGACTATCAGCTATCACTCAGCAGTCTGATTAGCTATACTTGGAATAGCAAGCCGGTCATCTCCAAGAGCTATGACACATCAGTAACGAGACACGACTAGCCCGTACACTGCACAAATGGCAGACTTGACCGGTAACGATGCGAAAGCTGAAGATCAAAAGCCAAACAAGACGGCGGTCGGTACGTTTAATGTCACGTCTCCTGGTAGCTTGCAGTGGTCCCCTGGTTTACTGACTTCGTGTATATAGCTTGTTCTACTTGTCGGGTCAAAAGACAGAAGGTGAGCTCAGCTTTCGCTCTCAGACATGTCAGAAACGTATCACTGCTGATTCTACCTGGGGTCGTATTCAGTGCAACGGACAACGACCACGATGTTCATACTGCGCCCAAAACGAGCTAGAATGTGTCTACTCGGAGAAGCGCAAGAAGCGAGGTCCTCCTCCAGGTTACTTGGCTCGGATCGCAGATCGAACACGGCTGCTGGAATACTTTATCGGATACCTCTCATCTCGCGAAGGTCGGACCTCAGGAACAACCTCACTTGTTCAGAGTGTACAGCAATTCACAGCTCTTTTGAAGAACGGTCATGAGGATCAGAAGCATTGGTCGAGATGGAATTTGGCCTTTCATCAGCATTGCGGAGATCTAGTCGATATCTCACTAGACGACATCGGCATGCCCGCCTCGCACGAATCAAGCCAGAAGTCAGGAATAAAACGAGCGAGATCGGTTTCGCCAACTCCAGATGCTGCCAATACCGGTGGTCCTTCCAAGCCGCAGAAGAACAGAAGCGTTACGATACCAGACCGTTCTAATTCTTCTGTGACGAATGGGTCTCAGACAGGGAGCATAGCGCACGAACGATCCGAACCTACGACGTTCGTTCGACAGCAATTTACGGGACCGGCCGGTAGCGGCTACTTCAATGCACCAGAGTATGGACGTGATTCCTCGAGGAATAACTATGCTCTGGATCCTGTCATCGAGCAGAGCAACCGCGGTCCGATGGGAAGCATGGGAATGGGAATGGGAACCGGCATGTTTCCGTCGGTATTCGATGATGCAAACGAATACGTCGACGTTGGGCCTTCCAGGCATGGCGAAACAGCGGACAGGAGCAAGAATAGAGTGACGTTTGGTGATATCGCTCAAACCGAAGACGGCGGATTGATGCATGACGATATTGCCGAGCCCGAGGATCGAGCTGGAGACGACTTTAAAAGCGGAGATGGGCCGTCCACAGCTATCGATCGTCAGCCATTCGATCTCAATTATACCAGTGGATTTTGGTCAGTCTCGTCTTGCTTTGTGGAAGACGCAAGTGAGCTGATAGTGTCTCTCATGCAGGCGTACGGCAGATGTGGAGGATCTGGCCCGAAGTCCACGTCAAATGTCCTCTCATACGACACCGAAAATCCAACTTCCACCCAAAGACGTACAGGACCACCTGATAGATACATACCTTTTGCACATCCAACCTCAAATGCCACTACTAGACCCAGCACAGCTCTCGACATATCGGTATTCGACCCATTTAACAACAGGATCTGATTCATACACTCCACCATCTCGTATCTTGATGATGGCCTTGTGCGCATACAGCGCATGTTTCTCGCCTACGTTAGGAGGAGCCGCTTCTAGCGTTGCAGCGTTGGGAGATGATAATGCGGCTGCAGGAGGCATTCTGGCCGACATCTGGTACGAGGAGGCCAGGAGCATGCTCCTTTCGTCGACTTTGAGGAAGAGGTGCGGACTGGATACCGTTCAAGCGATCGTTCTAATGGCGATGCGAGAACACGGAAAAGGCCAAGACTTTCAGGCTTGGCTGTTGTTAGGTAAGTGACACCGACGGATCTCGAGCACCCGTCGGAGGGATTGTTGACAGTGCGCCCGCATACTGCAGGTATCGCTATTCGCTGTGGACAAGATCTCAACATGCACGTCGCTTCGAGACGTCCGACAAAAGAGTCTCGTCCTACCTCATTGCTGAGTCTACGTAAAGCCATGTCTTGGCGATGCATGTGCATGTTGGACCTTCAGCTAGCATTGCAACTCGGACGACCGCCAGCTATCAGTTTCTCGGACAGGGAATTGCCTGTTTTTGAACTCTACGGAGACTTCATAACAGATGATTGTTTCGTCAACAGACGATTGGGCTCAACGGGACTCGATATCTTGAGCGTGTTCGATGCGTCTCATGCGTTACTCAAGATAGTCTGGAATATACAGCAGAAACTCTACCTGGGAGGGAAGCCACACGCGCGTGACGTAGCTCCGATCGAGCAAGCTCTGGAGAAATGGCACGACGAGCTACCAAAGACGCTGGTAGTTCACCTTGGAGGAAGACCCAGTCTTGGCGTAGTTTGCCTACACTTGCTGCATCAGACGGCTGTGCTTCTGCTCTTCCGACCATTGTGAGTGACATCCTCGCCCGTCTTGACTCTCATCTCATGCTCACATCTCATACCTGCTTGCTATGCAGCCAAGAAGACCCAGCCATCAACGCCGTAGAGCCCATGAGCTTGGCGACCACCACCAGCAAAGCGCTTCTATACGTACTCCAAAATTCGCTGTCGGGCGAGACGACAGTCGCGCAATGCCAACCGCAAGTCGTCTACATGATCTTCACCATCGCTGTCGGCTTCATGTGTACGCTAAGAGGACTCAAGGATGTGGCCGGCACGGTGACCAAGAGTCTGGACACCCAGATTGCACTGCACAGCTGTTCAGAGGCATTGAGCAAGATGGCAGAGACCTGGCCCCTTGCTAAAAAATACGGTCGGGCAGTAAAGGTTCTGATGGATGCGGAGCGTTTAGAGTCGCTCGAATCGAGGTCCACTGCTCAGCGCGATTCTGCGGTAGTCGAGCCCGGCGATCGGAGAACACAAGCGGCAGAGCCTTCGCGAAACGATCGTATCACGCAACAAGTTAGGACCTCGCTCGGCGGACCGACCAACGGTATGAACGACATAACTTCCAACACCCAACCTGCAAACCACCAGCCATTCCTACCGACATCAGTTGGGGCCTTACTCGAACAATTCCCTTCGTTCGAAGATATTACCGGAACAACCGGTTGGGGAACCGAGAACCTGGACAACTTTGACTTTTCCGGCATCCCGTTCGACCGCAACGATCCCGGGTTCGATCCCGAGCTGTCGGCCTTTCTCAGCAGTTTTGCTGCGGTCCCTGGTGTTCCTTTCCCCACGAATAACTTCGGACCGCACGATCCTTCGCAACCACCACCCTTTGCTCCGAGCTATGGCGGCCTGCCTGCCAATCACAGTCTAAGGGAGGAAGGGGTGCAGCCATACGATGCGGAACAGATGCCCGGACATGCTCTAGATCTCCTCGCCTATAGCGCTGTCAATCGCCAAACCAAATAAGATCCGCTTGACCTTTCACCAATCCGTTGTATTCGAGGCACAGAATAGACCATCAACGATATGACGCGCAGCCAGAATCTCTGCTTACTGAGTTCAAACTTGCCAATGGATGAAGTAAACCTAAGAATCCACTTTTTCGTATTCCTGGAAAAGTTCAGGTTGTTTATGGAGGACTTACAGGCTTTTCCTCGTGCTGTCGGTGGTTTACGGCTATCAAAGCTTCAAACCAGGCATATCCAATGAATCCCCACTTCTAGACCTGCCATGTTCTGGGTGCACCACCCAAGACAAAGAAGCCAGTGGCCTCGATGAAGTCTTTGCGCAGACTCGGACAATGGCACCATTGACATTTGCAAGAATCTCAAAGATGGGTCGAGCCAAGCTTCAAATCGGCTAGCTTACCAAACCTGACTCTTCGATCCCTCTTGCTTGCACTCCGTAACGTTAGGTCATTTGGCTTGACGGTATGACAGCGGATATGGCCCATATCGCCCTCATATAGCAGATTTGATATGTAGCGCCGATATGAGGTCGACATGACAGCGATATGACCGACTAATTCCGCCTTCATATCGGTCACCGCATATCGGAGGTATTTCACGGGTCCGGAAGCAGATCACATCACGTGATCTCATATCGTCAGCTCACTTAATTTCAGACGCGTTTGGACGCGACGCGCACTATCTATTGCTCGATTCGGGTAAACAATAGTAGTTGTGTACACCTCAGGCCTCATCGACCTTCGACTAATTCACTAAGTTCAATGTATCATGGTGCTAGTTGCCACCTCAACCTTTGTACTTCGTCATCTCCGTCCTGCAATATACATCTCAATGCCTCGGAACCCTGGCAGAGGCCTATTCGACTGGTCTAAGTACCGACTGTCTCCCAACCTCGCCCTGCCACTACCTCACGCAGCCAGTAGCCCGAAGATTGAAGAACATGGTCGGCCCAGCAAGACGACAGGTGGGTTCAGATGCTCATCCCTTTGATGTGGTATGTTCTTACTGAGTTGTGGTCTCGTTGTTTCAGCGCTCGTGCTGTTGCCGGGACTGCTCCAAATTTCCCTTAGGCTATCGGGAGGTCTCCTACTCTACGTACATCCGGCACAATCCTCCGAATCCCCTCAAATCCGAACGTTTGAGATCGCCTCTCTCCGAAACCAGAGAATCTGCTACCCCAGCACCCCTTGACAACTACGCCGACTCATTCCTAGACTTCGGAGATGATCAGGACACAGGGCTGGCTGAGCTTCAGGCACGGGATCGAGAACCGTCGGATGACGGGCCAGAAGGCTGGTGGGATAACAACGGGGCAGATCCAGAGCCAGACGATTACTCTGAGGTAGACAGCGACATCGACATGGGAGACGAAGAGGATATGGACGATACCGAAGAAGAGCTGGCTCGGCGGGCCAATCCCAACGGAATCCTGTTGTCACCTCCAAACCACGTGTGGCCTCACCACGAACTAGACCATACAACTCGCCATCTCTACACGTCCATCGCTCACGGCAAAGCTATCGGTATCAGTGTAGCTGTGGCGAACTCGCTGTTGGACTCTATGACGACCACGGTGGAGCTCGAGCGAGGGGATGTTCTAGACGATAGGACGGCAAAGGTCAAAACAGCGCTGAGTAGGCTGGGTGTCAACCCCGATGATTCGATCGAACGCTTCATACTTTGTCCGAATCTGACTTGCTGGACGAGCGTACCTTTCAAAGACCTCTATGTGCTTGCTTCTCCTGCCTGTGCCGAGTGCGGAACCGCCATCTACCGTTCAACAAACAACGTTCGGAAACCGCACAAAGTCATCCCGTACGCAAAGCTCTCCAGGTTCCTCCTACGCCTATTGAGAGACGAATCTATTCGCTCACGCTTGAACGAATGGAGGATCGATGAGGAAGATTGTGTCGATCAACATCTGCGTCCTGTGACTTCTGCACTTGATCCGGCTTACGACATCGACACACCACTGGAGGGCTTATCACACGGGTCAGCGTGGAGATCGGTCGCGAAGCACACAGAGAGGGTCGTCTGGGGGGACGACTTCGCTGTTACCGAGGAGCCTGTAGCTGGCGAAGATCCTGGTAGACATGTCGCTCAGGAGCATGGTTTACAAATCATACTCAACTGCGACTGGTACGTACAAGCTTCAAGCAACGTCCCGTCCGGTCACTGCTCGACTCGGCTGATCGCGATTGTGTTCCTTCTGCCCTGTGGCGATAGGTTCGCCGTCAAGGGTTTGATCGGCTCGTCTGTCGGTGCGATCTACGCAACCGTAGCCAATCTACCACGGGACATCGCATTCAAGAGGAAAAACACAGCGTTATTGTGCATTATCCCGGGACCTAAGGAGCCGGGACCTGGCTGCTTCGCGAAAGTGCTCGAACCGATTATCAAGGACTTCCAGCAGTGCGAGAGAGGACTGCAGCTATGGAAACCGGACGGGAGTTATGGCGTCATCTCGGCGAGATTGTTACTCTGCGCGTCAGATTTACCGGCGATGAAGAAGATGATGGGCGTCGTCGGCCATTCACATCGGCTCCATCCGTGTCACCAGTGCGATATCACCAAGGAGGACATCAACACAGACAAAGCTTACAAGTGGCGGGAATTGGAGGCCTTCGATCCATCTATTCTCCTACAGCGGACGTTCGAGTACGAGCGAGCCGATGCAGGCAGAAAGGAGCAGATCGAGGAGGACTACGGAGTACGATTCAGTCCACTCATGCGGCTGATCGGAGCCGAGCATGCAGCATCTTCACCAGTCGACCCGCTACACAACTCCTTCCTGGGAATCTCAAAGGCTTTCGTGAACATGCTGTTCCGCAACGAGATATTCCCCGACGACGAAGATCGTGACGCCTTCATGGCAGTATTCGAAAAGGCGAATTATCCGGGGCATTTGGGGAGAATCCCGTCGAGGATAACGAAGCAGTTCACTAGCGATCGCAAGCTCGCCGGCAGCGGTCTCAAAGCTGACCAGTGGAAGAGGATCATGCAACTGCTACCCATAGCCTTGTTCGTAGCGCTGAAAAATCCGGATGATGACGACATCGAGGACTATGATCAAGAACCCGTTCGGGAAGAGACTCCTGCACCGCAAAGGGGGAGAGGACGCAGGAAGGCCGTACCACGAGAGGTTCGTCGCAACGCTCGCGAGTGGTACCGTATCGCGATCATGATCTGCAGCGCGATGAGTACTTTACACGCTCATCGCATCTCGATTCGGGAAGCAATGTCTGCAGTCGACGACCTCGCCGGTGCGGCCACGGCGATACTGGCCATAGGAGAGTCACTTACTATCAATTGGCATATTGCTATGCACTACGTCGACGCAGTGCGACGCTTCGGCCCGCTTTCGGGATTCGGAACCTACCCCTTCGAGAGGAACAACGGGGCCTTAGCAAAGGTGAAACATAACGGTCAAGAACGTGATGTTCCCACGACTCTCTTGAGGTCATGGGAACTGGAGGCAGGCTTAGCTTCTGTGATCGCCAATCCAGCCCCGGACGCATCAGAAATCGAATTAGCAGGTTTAGAGGCGCTTACGAACGACAAGAAGTTGATCGAGGGCACGCTTATGCTGAACGAAGCACGAGGCGTCGCAGCGAACCGGACCATCCGTCTCCCCATGCCTTACGAACGGGGAAAGATGGTGAACCTTCAGCAACACGGAGTCGCGTATGAGACGCTGCTAGACTACCTTCACATGAACTACCCCCAGCTTAACGTCATCGATGCCGGTTTATATCACGTGCAAGACGGATTCGTATTACCTCACCGAAGCAGCGGGTATACGCTCTATTCACACGCGGTATACAATGGCTTCAAGTTCTGCTCTACTCTGTGGTCGCGCAGCAGGCGGGACGCATACGCCCTGGCCCGGATGGGTGAAAACCGGAGACATCTGTGCCGCTTGCATCTGATATTGGAGATCAACATGAGGATCCAGGGGGTACCTCTGCGAACGACTCTGGCCCTTCTCAGCTTCTTTCGACTGGCCGAAGGGGAGTACCCGTGGCAAACGCGCCAGATAGACTTAGGAATACGGATCTACCGCGACCAAAGCCTGCTGCCTTGCTTTCTCCCCCTTGAGGATCTTCAGGCCTCGACTATCGTGAGTAAGATACGCACTGAACAAGATGGTGACTGTCTCGTATCCATATCCTGCGATCGGGATGGACCGGAGCCCGAGTACTGGCTCGCTGCCGAAGGGAACACAGAAGCCGAGGCGATGCAGGCCATTGCTCAGGAGGATGAGGACGACGACTAGGAAGAAGTAATCAATAGACATGCGATGTGATGGACATTGGCCGCGCTGGACCTGGTTCGAAGCTATCATGATTTACAGTGGGGATAAAGTGAGTCCTGTGCAATACCTCATTGCCGACCGATTCCTCAGTTTGGCAGGTATCGAGTTTCCAGGAAAATGCGTTAAGCAGGAAAGGTGTCGTATCGGGGATCATTAATCGTATCGGAAACTGTCGCTGGGTCGATGTTGGTTGTTTGGGTAAGTTTTTCTAGATCTTTCTCGTGTCTCATTGCTGTCCGACTCCCGGTCTGTGTTGACCCTCATCTTGATCCGCGCCCATGTAATCGTCCTCCTGCGCAGGCAACAGGCCAAGCGACATCAGATAATCGTAATCCGCGCTCCCTCCCTGGCCGGCTTGGCCACCTGTGGCGAGGAACGATTGCAACATCTTGGCCATCTCGGGGTCGATGTAGCCCTGTTGGCTTGCCATGTTGAAATCGTCATCGGTCAGTGGCGGCAAGCCGGAGTTGCTGTGTTGCGGTGCGGGTAGAGGCTGAAACTCTTGTCGACCTACGTGACCGTTGCTGACAGGAAATTTCGAGAAAGATTCGTAATTGTGTTGGGCACCCTCATATCCGTTCGTCTCGATGCTGAGAGACCGCAGATTTCGATGCTGATCATTCAGATGGAAGCTCGCCGGGACGCGGGTGCTCGGACCAGGTTCGGGGATGTACGGAGGTTCATTGGCAAGTGGGGATCTGATACTCGGCGTGTAAGAACCTTGGCGCTGATGCTTGCTCCTCGGTCCGTCTCTATCAGGGTCGTAGCTCCGGGGTTCATCGTTCTCGTCTTCGTCTCCAGACGGCGTGCCATCGAGGACCCTCGTGCGTTTCCCAGTAACGGGGTTGGAGGGTGGAAGCATGAAGCCGGAGGAGCCTTGTGAGTTGTTGGAAGACGAAGGCATGCTCGGGAAGCTCATCGGGCTGGGGCTGGGTTGTGTGCTCAGCGATCGAGCTCGAGCCGCCGTTGCGGATCCATGGATACCGGTTCGCCGGATCACCCAGTCAAGCGCCGCGCATTCCTCGATCGAAGTCGGTACGTCAACTGGGACGATGAAGTCTGAGAGATCCTGATTATCTTCGAGCCACTCCGGACAGAACATCCATCTCTGAGGCGCTTTGTGTAAGTCTGTCAGGCGAGTAGGCAGGTGCGGTTCCGCTGGCAAGCTCATGTTGTCGTCCGTTTTCGCACTTGTCCCAGTTAGCTTGCTTCTGGGATATTCGGTGTTGTAGACGGTATCATAGATCTGCTGGAACAGCGGCGAATATACTCCATCTCGGATCGGCCAGTAGCATTGGATAGCTCCGTCAGTCCCGGTGATGGGTACGACGGGGATCAAGCAGAAGATATGGTCGAGCCAGTTGTAGCGGTCACTGGCGTATTCGGTAAGTGGTCGCCTCTCTTTCACCCACTTGAGAGTGGTCTGCAAGCGCGCACCGATGATCCTCTTCTGATCCTTCGAACGATTAGGCTCCAGTTTCTCCATCCTTGCATCCTGGGCGTCCAGGTGGGATCTCCTTTCTTGAATCGACGCCGCCATCTCTCCCGTCCCGTTATCAACTCTCTCGAGGTCCTTGATCTCCTTCAGCACCTTCTCTCGACCCTGGCTCTTCCATTCCTTTACGGCCTGTCTATCGAAGGACTCCCGTAGGGTTCTAAAGAGGCGGGCTGCACTGGCACGATAGAGGTCGGCGAAGGCGCGATAGTCGGGGATGGAGGCGGCGGGCATGTCATGGGGGAGACCAACGGCTTCTCGATGGTTGTCATTTTCGACGAAGGTCAGGAGCTTGGTGGTCTCCGTGACATTTGAGGTGTGTGTATAGGATTTTGTGAAGTCCCATCGCATGGCGGGCGCGCCGCGCAGAGCTGATGAGCCTTCATTTGCCGTCTTGTTGGTTGGCCAGATCGAGCCTTCAGCCGGGTACGGTTGCGGGGGCTTGGTGTCACGACCGTACAGGAACTCGGTCGCCAAACGAACGTATCGAGATATCATGGCGGAATCCCGGGAATCGACGTCTACTGCTGCGGCTCCTCGTCTCAACTGGATATCCTCGACCTGATTCTCCAACCTCAAGATCTTTGCGGCCTGAGCTGTGACGGTGGACCGCAAGCTTGTCACCTCCTGTGTCTGCCGGTCGCACGTCTGCTTGAGGTCCCGCATATCCTTGACATGATTGTCAAACGCATTGAGGCGAGTCACGATCGTATTGATCTGTTGTGATGCGATTCGCTGAAAGACACCTTGCTGCAGGGCTCCAGAGCTATTCTGCGAGGTCGATGTACCCAAAGATGGGCGGGAAGATCCTGTCTGTGTGAACGGGGACCCGGCTTGAGAGGGATTTGTTTGAGGAACGCTAGCTGATGGTAGAATGGTAGGTTGCGCGAAGGGTCTAGGTCGAGGAGTTGTGTTGGCTGATCGAGGATTGGATCCGGATGATTGATGTCGCAGCGGGGTCATGCCTAGGCTCATGTCGTCCGGTCTTCGAGTACGAAGCGGTGTCTGATGGGAAGGTTGTTGAGGTGGATGAGTTGGCGTCTGTCGGGTAGAGGTGTTGTGGCTAGATGGTCGTGATGGGGTTTCGGCAGTCCTTTGATGGTGAGTCTCTCGTTCGACCGCACGCCTCCCTGGGCTCGGATTGGGGCGAGGTTGCGACATCTCGGATGGTGGTACTGATGAGCAAAACGATTCAAAGGACTTCAGGTCAGCCTCGGACCTCTTCGATGGGATCTCAGTCCTATACGGTGAAAAAGGTAGGTTCACACTCACACGATCACGAAAAAGTCCAATCTGAAACGCTAAATTCACCTCCTTCCCTGCCCGACAGCCATTTCTCTTCCCAATGGGGTCTCTTGAACAACCAACCCCGACTTCTACCCGGACGAACGCCGCAGATCTGGCAGGGCGACACGAAGAACCAGCGTTGGTGGGGTCAGCGGGTGTTGGTATTCGAAAGGTGATGCGTCCTTGCCATCAACGGATACTCACCCCACACGACAACTTCACGACTTCGGGACTTCAGGGCTAGTCTGGTCAAATACGTAATTGTACGCAATTGTACGGAATATCTAATGCCGATAGAGATCGATCGATGCGAATCGTAAACAACAATCGTGATGATATGAGCATATCGAGTGTTCATGTGGGCCTCATATCGCCCTTATCAAATTAACATTTCGGCGTCATTTCGACACGCCCATATGACCTGTATATCGCGAGGGCGATATGACCGCGAAATTACGTCATCCGCCCATATATCGCTGGCGCGCATATGAGGCCGAAATGACAGCGAAATGAGGCCGATATGCTCATGTCGACGCCCATATCGAGTGAAAATATGCCCTGAAGTTAGGAAGTGTTGCTTGACAACCTCTGTCGTTATGTCCGGTATGAGAAACCAGGCTCATCTCCCAGAAGCATCCCGCCGGGCTCGCTCGCCTCACGATCGATCGCGACGGACTCAACCGTCAGGAGCGAGATCCTGCAGACAAAACGTGTTCGAGGCTTGTCTGATGCTTTCACGCATATACGATACAAGTCCAGTGTATTCGTTGACCCTTTGATTCCCTGCCTCGACCTGTTAGCAAATCTGCCAAAGAGCAAGACATCCGTTGATTCGATCCCTATTCTCTTTTCTTGAACGTCTTGCAGACATGCGTCACGCAGTAATCTACCTCACATGAACGCCGTTTGCACTTGTTAGCCTTACCCCTATCTTTGTCGTTCCGTAGCCAGACTCGAATTGACTCACCATACCCGCTCACGCCCAATCCGCAGACGACAGCAACAGCCTTGTCCGACAGGTAAGAGTGATGCCGGAAAGATTCTCTCGCGTGGACGTTGCTGATATGGAGCTCGACAAACGGGATGGTCACCCCCAAGAGAGCGTCGCGGATGGCTACTGAGGTATGAGTGTAGGCTCCTATATGATTCAGATGGGCAGGTCCGCATACCAAGGAAAATTGCAACGACAAGTACGAGTCAGCTTTTGTGTCTAGTATACCCTGGAGTGCGCTCACGACCTGCACAGCAAGTCCCACCTCGACTCACCGGCGTTGATCACGATCCCATCCACGCCGTCCGCCTTGGCCTGATGTATCCTCTCGACGATAGCTCCCTCATAATTGCTTTGGAAAGCACTACACTTCCCTCCAGCTGCTTCTGCTGCCCTTTTGCATTTCTCTTCGACGTCGCTCAGCGTGTCGTAGCCGTACGTCTGCGGTTCTCGTGTACCGAGAAGGTTCAGGTTGGGACCGTTGATGACGAGGACGTGAATGCCGGACATGATTGCTTTGACGACGATGATGTTCTTGGAAAGGGTTCGGGCGAGATAGATCTATCGTGAGCTTGTACAAGATAGCGAGAGGCCGTGCAAGGTTTATGCTACTACGAGTAAGACGAAGAGCTCGTCGACTGGTCGACTGATCGCGACTGATAGCTCCTCTCGAATGTTGATTAGGGCCCGAGATCTATGCGGCGCGCGATCCCATCTAGCGGCTGCGCTCGACCGGGTTACTGTCGTCCAACACCGTAATGACGACAACAACCTGATCAATTTCATGCCAATCATGGACCTACAGCAGAACTAGAGAACGTCCAGGCGAAGCAAGCATCTGCCGAGGAAGTCGTCTCCTCCGCTCACCCCAAATGGAGTCTCCTTTCGGAGTCTGGAGTCGTCCCGTGCCAAAGTCGGGGCGCGGGGGTCATTTGACCTGACCGGGTCAACTATTTCTCCGGAAGACTGCCTAGCCCGGAGTCTCGAGGTCGATTTGTTCCAGGAATGCACATGACGACCTCACCGGTTTTCGCAAGTATTGTTGTTCCAGCCATCGATCGACTCCCGCTCTGATAAACAAAAAGGCGAGAGCTGGTTCAGGTGATCATTTCCGGTACGAACGAAAATGTCTTCCCCAATCCAGATTCTCGCCACCTGCTTGCGACACCGCCTGCACTCATCATGTCGCTCTCATCCGCTACGACCTCGCTCTCGACCTCGCCCATCGATGGCTATGCCATGACCGTATCCACACCAGGTACCAGTGTCCATGGCGATCTCGACCACCCCTCATTCTCCATCGCCTCGCTGTCCCTGGGCACCAACGTCCATCACAACCTACCTACCAAGATCAGGACCGCTTCCCGTCTCGGCTATGATGCCATCGAGATCTTCATCCCCGACTTTGACGCCTTTGTGCACGAAGTCGGCGTCGGTCATCATGCGGACATGTTCACCGACGAAGACTGGCTGCTGGTCCGCGCCACCAAAGATCTCGAGCTTCTGTGCGCCAAGACGATTGGTCGGTACTGCCAGGAATACGGACTCGTGATCAGCTGTTTCCAGCCTTTCCGCGAGTTTGAAAACTTTGCCGGGGCGAGTCGCATGGCCAAGACGAAGATGGGTAGCCTGCCACCTCGTCTACAAGTAGCGCTCGACCGGGCGGAATCCTACCTCCGCCTCATGCCGGCGCTGCAATGCGACCTATTGCTCGTCTGCTCCAATCTGCTCCCCTACGACCCGATCGCCGAGAGCTATACGGAGCGCGATTATCTTGATGACCAGGTGGCAGCTTTCACCGAGCTCGGACAGTTGGCCAGCTCATATGGGGTCAAGATCGGGCATGAAGCCCTCGCTTGGGGTACCGTTGTAAATCGGTGGGAGCAGGTTTGGGAAGTGGTAGATCGGGTCGACCTACCGAATGTCGGCGTCATCCTCGACTCGTTCAACCAACTGTGAGTTGCCGTATGCTTGCCTTGAACCCTTGCTCAGCGCTTATTATTGCCCTTCATCCAGCGGACAACAATGGGCAGATCCCTCGGAGCCCTCGGGACGTCGACCATTACCACCGACAGTCCTTAGCGACAACCTGCTGAAACTTTCCCGCACCATTCCCGTCGAAAAGATCTTCTTCTACCAAGTAGCCGATGCTGCCAAACCCGATTCTCCCATCCAGTCCTTCCCGACATTCCCTAGTCGGATGGCCTGGTCCCGCAAGATGCGCCTCTTCCCCATGGAAGAAGAAGGGTACCTTCCCGTCCTCGATTTTACGAATACGTTGAAGCGGATGGGATACAAGGGAGTCTGGAGTCTGGAGGTCTTCAACGCCAGTCTGGATAGTCTGGATGAGAAGACCGTGGAGAGTCATGGACAGAGGGGAATCGATGGGTTGAGGAAACTGCACGAGGCGTGTTCGCATCTATAATCACGCTGTAACAACAAAATCGAATAGATGCGTGGAAAGGATTCGCACTTGAAGCTGTATTCAGATGATATCGCCCCGGATCACGAACACGTCGAACCTGTATTGATGGATTGCATGCTACACCACGGCAAGATCGAGCTAGTCGCCGTCAGGTTACGAGCGAGGCTGTAACATTTGCCAGTCTGGGCAAGCTATGTTGTGCTCGGACATCTCGTCGCCTCGCGCGATAACCTGGGACGAGAACAGGGATGTGAGGTAGACAAGGCCCCTGCATTTATACGATGTTCCAGAGTATCACAGAAGCCGAGAAATATCCCTTGTACATAGAAAATCAGAACGAAACCTTATAGATACATAGAAACGACTGTAGACGGTAACCCAAGAGGCATCACATCCTACGTCAAGGCCCTATCGACTTCCAACTCGGTCACCGTGATATCCTTCATGTTCTCTACCAACTCCCTCGCCTTTCTTTCCGTGTCATCCCCCAAGAGCGTCTTGTCGCAAGCCACCTCCAAACTCGCACTACCGACCTTCCACATCCGTTGTTGAGCGAGCCCTTGTTCGATCATCGCTTGGATCCCTCCGATCGTCTGCCACCCTAGAGCCGAACCGATCTTGAGCAAAGGGGTGAGACGGGGTTTGTAAGCCATGTCGAGGAACAGGCGTGTGGAGGGGAGAGGCAGCGGGTTAGGGGATGATGTCGAGTCGGTGGGTCCGGCTTGGAAAGGCATGGTGAAGATGTGGGTGGCGATGGTGTATACCATGCGTTCTTCTAATGTCTTTGGTGCGATTGCTGCAATGGAACCGGAAATACGAATCATCAGCACAGGACAGGACCGACATCTCCAACTCAAATCGTACTTACCAGGAATAGCTCCTACGATCATGGCTACACCAGGTTTCCGATCCTCAGCATCTTGGCCCAAATACCTCTCCACCTCATCCACGCTCGTCAGATGGATCAACTCGACCCCCTTCCCGCCCTTCCGTTTAGAGGCAAACTCTTCTATCGTCACCCTGACCTCTTCAGCGTCCCTGTTGGCGAGGAAGATGGGATTCATCCCTAACGTATAGAGGGCGTGGACGGCTGATCGGGTGGTGGCCCCACCGCCGATGACCATACCGGATGCTTGGCCGGCCGGGTAGGTTTGGGAGATGTCGAACGGGGTTTCTGGGAACTGGGCTTGAAGGGCCGAGACGAGAGAGTTCCTCACACCTATACACCACACCGAATGTAGATCCAAGTCAACGATAGTCCGAGCTGCTCAAAAAGCGGGTTCACAATGCTCACCTAAAAAGTCGGTGTTCGTGCCGACCAGCTTGATGCTACCGTCTTCCCGTGGGACTCGGACGACAGTATTGCACGCTCCAGTAGCATAGGATTCGGGAGAGATCTCGTCCAGGTGTTTGAGAATCTCGGCCTTCAAGGGCATGGTGACGCTATGAGAGGAGATGACACGGATCAGTCACTGGTGGCTCGTGCACATCCAGGCATAGAGCGAGGACCGACTCACGCAGCTCCTCCCGAAGTATGACTCCTAAGCTCGTCGATGACCTTCTGATCGACCTTGGTCGTAGACCACCTCTCGTACTCGCAAGGACTCCCGATGCTTTGGAAACACATGTTGTGTAGCGTCGGAGCTGCCGAGTGGGCGATCGGGTAACCGAATAGGTAGACGGACTTGTGGATACTGGGCGACATATTGGCGTGACCGTGATGTGTGATTCGGGTGTGATGCTCGATGGTGTACTCGTGGTTGATGAACTTGGCGATTTGGCGAGAAACGTCCCGGTTGAGAATGCTTGCAAGGACATGTCTGTCTATTCATATTGACAAATTGGACGAGAGTGGATCATGCCGGTGTCCTCCACTCCGGCCCCTGCCCACAATCTTTCTCCAGGTTTCTCCACTCCGGGCGACCGCTGGATCGTAAATTCCCCGGAGTGACCATTCTTCCGGTAGACGACGCCCCCCCATCCTTTCCCCGGAAAGATGGTTACTCGCGCAAGCGATCATTGGTTGATCGCTTGCAGGTGATTGGCCAAGGTGGATCATTCTCCGCACAGACCTCCTGCCATCGGAAGCAATTCGACCTATTTTTGCGGGGACCCGGAGCAGTGGTTTCTCCACTTTTACTCCCTTCATTAGCGACCTCGCCATGACTTGTCTCTTTCCCCGCATCCCCCTCGTTTTTCACTTGGAACCCCTGGACTCTCGCCCGAAAGCTTTCAGGATATATACCCCTACGATCTGATTCGATAGGAGCGATGATGACATCCAGAGTCGATCGTTCGCACCACAACCAAGTCGCCTCGCAACTCATAGACCGACTTGCGAACTTCCTCCGACTTACTCGATTACACAACAATACGACGACTTGACAGTTGACGACTCAAGATGGTCAAGCTCACAATTCAAGAGGACCGCCCGACGCCCAAGGAGGTCTACAACTGGAAGGTCTACACCTATGCGTGCCTCGCATGTTGGGCGTCCGTGATGATCGGATACGATGTGAGTCGAGCGCGCCAGACCTCGCCTCCGTGAGTTCAATTTCACTGACGATCTTCGACCCCTTCCCGTGATAGTCCGCCTTCATCGGGACCAGTCTCGCCCTCCAATCGTTCAAGGACGAGTTCGGATTGAAGACGGGAACCGCCGAGGAAAAGGCCAGGTTTAACGACTTGAGCGCGAATATCGTATCCACTTACCGTGAGGGTCTCCTACACCCTTCCGTCCTCATTTTTTCCTCTCTGACGTTTTTCCTTTCTTTTTCTTCTTTCTGCAACATCAGAGGGCGGCTGTGCTGCTGGAGCCCTGTGCTCGTATTTTGTCGGCCACTACTTCGGGCGTAAATGGGGTCTCTTCGCTTGCGCCTTGGTCTTCTGCGTCGGAGCCGTCCTCCAGGTCGTCGCTAGCAGCAGTACCGGATTGGGGATCATGTACGCCGGACGATTTATCGTCGGGTGGGGTGTGGGTGTGGCGAGTAGTTTGACTGTGAGTTGGCTTGGTCTTCTACCTTTACCCTGGGCATGCAAGCTGACGAGTTGGCGATTGTGCAGCCCATCTACGTCGCGGAGATCTCGCCGGCTGCTATTCGAGGTCGATTGATCGGTATTTACGAAGCCGGGTGGCAGATCGGAGCCGTCGTCGGATTCTGGATCAACTACGGTATCAACTTGAACATCCCTTACGGTAACAAGCAGTGGCACATCTCTTTCGCCGTCCAATTGATCCCCGGTGGAATGTTGGCCCTGTCCGCCATCTTCCTCTCTGAATCTCCTCGATGGCGTGAGTAGCATGTCTTTCTTGCTGCCCTTCCTTCAGTCGTTGCACATATCGCACACCGACCAAGTCACTGACACAACTCCTTTCCTCTCTCGTCTCGCTCAGTCGTATACAAGGGCAGGAACGTCCAAGCTCGCAAGAACCTGTCCAACATCCGAAACCTGCCCGAGGACCACCCTTACCTCGTGGAAGAGATGGAGGAGATCGAAGTCGCTCACGAGCGGGACCAGCTGGCCGGCGGTGCCGGGCTCTGGGGTCCTATCAAGACCCTCTTCAGGTCGCCCGAATACCTCAAGCGAGTCGGGATTGCCGTCTCGTTGTTTGCCATGCAGAACGGAACTGGAATCAACGCCATCAACTACGTGAGTCTGGTTGTGAAGGCGCGCTCTCACGATCGGTCACTGATTCGAGAGACGTGATGTGATGTACAGTACTCTCCTACCGTGTTCAAATCCATCGGAGTTAGCGGGACCAACACCGGTCTCTTGACCACCGGGATCTTGTGAGTGGTCTTTCGTGCGCGACACCGTCTGACGCGCGCTTACCATTCGTAACTTCTTCCCCGATCCGCAGCGGTCTGATCAAGTTCGCTGGAGCCATTGTATGGTTGCTCTACTTGGTAGACAGGTTCGGCCGAAAGCCCTTGCTGATCGTCGGAGCCGCCGGAGGTGCCATTAGCATGTACTACATCGGTGCCTACATCGCCATCGCCAAGCCCGAGAACAACCCTCCCGGTACCAAGCTAAGCTCGGGAGGTATCTCCGCCATCGCGTTCTTCTACATCTGGACTTGTTTCTACGGACCCACCTGGAACGGTACTCCCTGGGTCTTTGGAGCGGAGGTCATGCCCACCTTTGTTCGTGCTGCTACGCAGTCCATCATCGCCGCTTCGAACTGGCTCTTTGCCTTCGCCATCGCCCGTGCGACTCCCTACATGTTCCAAGACATGAAATACGGAGTCTACCTCTTCTTCGCCAGCTTCATGGTCGTCTCCATTCCCATCGTCTACTTTATCGTGCCGGAAACCGCTCACATCCGATTGGAGGAGATGTCCGACCTGTTCGCATTGCCTCCTCGAAAGGCGCACGGGATCATCATGTCCCGCAACCGAGACAACGCGAACGACCGACCTGCGACCGCCATCAACTCCGAGTCGTTCAACGAGGGAGACGACGAGAAGGGCGTCGAGTCTCGAAATGAATACGTATGAGGATCTTCTTCGGAAGTCACGAAAGACCGAAATTTATCATCAGCAGTGTAACAGTATTATTAGGCAGCTTGTTGGATCTTGCTTTGTAAGAGACTGACGAACATGAAAGGAATATGCATTGTCTCAAGGACCTTTACGCGTCGAGCATACTTTCCTGGTCAAACGCAACACTTCGATACCTTTCAGAGCGGCCGACCTTGACTGGCCGCTCGTTCGAGCGGTATCGCAGCAGCGAGTAGAGCCTATAGGCTAGCATGACGAAGAGGCTGACATCTTGAGCTCGAGATGGCTGCCAATGGGGATTGTAATGGTATTTGGCGCGATTAAGGCGAAAAAAGAAAAAACAATGATGCGAGTGAGGTTCGAACTCACGCGCCGAAGCACCAGTGCGTTTAGAAGACCTAAAACTGGCCCCTTAACCACTTGGGTATCGCACCCCCAGCAGGAAATCCCTCTGCTGCATCGTTTATGTTTGCCAAGGTGAGGATCGATGGATCTGAGAGAGCTCTGCTGTGGCAGATCTGCTCACCGCTCGACCGGAAAGGAGGAAGCTCGAGCCATGTGGCAACACACAGGCTCGACTGTATGCCACGGGCCAATGCTCTCACAGCCTCCTCAAACTGCACGAGGTCCATCCACTCATCCAAACAGATCATCGCTGTGCAAGGGCCGTTCACTTGTCCAAGCAAATGATGACCTACACAATATGTCTCGCCGATACACCAAGGTATGGGATGCCCAAGCATGTTTTGTTAGCAGACCGAAACGGGACGGCCGGGGTGTCAGAGGTGCAACGGACGATGGGGACAGTGTTGACACAAAAACCGACGGTGGGATTCCAACGAGTTGTGTCCTAGGACTTTCTGGATCACCAAGAAGGGAAGGACATGGTAGAGCGGACCAAGAAAGCCACCCTGGGTGGCCAGATAATTCAGACAAGGCCGAAAAAGAGGCGAGTTTGGCGACAGAGTTGCCTGGTGTGCACGGCCTGAACGACACGGTGAAAGTGAGTTGAGATTCACGGTGTGGGTTCTCATGAGTCCCAAGATGCCCAGCGTGAAGAGCGGACCAAGTTCTCAGGAACAGAAAATTGCCGCACGAGGGTTGTTTTCACTCACCAGAAGAACGAATGACTGTGACGATGGACGGGGATTCTGGCCTATGTATGTGGACCAGTAGCTATGAAGCAGACGCATGGGAACACTTTCTCAACCCCCTTCTGATCCATAGTCCCACGCTACCATACGGCGCTTTGCCACACCGTGGACACTTGCGTCACCCCTCCCACTTGGGTATCGCACCCCCAGCAGGAAATCCCTCTGCTGCATCGTTTATGTTTGCCAAGGTGAGGATCGATGGATCTGAGAGAGCTCTGCTGTGGCAGATCTGCTCACCGCTCGACCGGAAAGGAGGAAGCTCGAGCCATGTGGCAACACACAGGCTCGACTGTATGCCACGGGCCAATGCTCTCACAGCCTCCTCAAACTGCACGAGGTCCATCCACTCATCCAAACAGATCATCGCTGTGCAAGGGCCGTTCACTTGTCCAAGCAAATGATGACCTACACAATATGTCTCGCCGATACACCAAGGTATGGGATGCCCAAGCATGTTTTGTTAGCAGACCGAAACGGGACGGCCGGGGTGTCAGAGGTGCAACGGACGATGGGGACAGTGTTGACACAAAAACCGACGGTGGGATTCCAACGAGTTGTGTCCTAGGACTTTCTGGATCACCAAGAAGGGAAGGACATGAAGAGCGGACCAAGAAAGCCACCCTGGGTGGCCAGATAATTCAGACAAGGCCGAAAAAGAGGCGAGTTTGGCGACAGAGTTGCCTGGTGTGCACGGCCTGAACGACACGGTGAAAGTGAGTTGAGATTCACGGTGTGGGTTCTCATGAGTCCCAAGATGCCCAGCGTGAAGAGCGGACCAAGTTCTCAGGAACAGAAAATTGCCGCACGAGGGTTGTTTTCACTCACCAGAAGAACGAATGACTGTGACGATGGACGGGGATTCTGGCCTATGTATGTGGACCAGTAGCTATGAAGCAGACGCATGGGAACACTTTCTCAACCCCCTTCTGATCCATAGTCCCACGCTACCATACGGCGCTTTGCCACACCGTGGACACTTGCGTCACCCCTCCCACTTGGGTATCGCACCCCCAGCAGGAAATCCCTCTGCTGCATCGTTTATGTTTGCCAAGGTGAGGATCGATGGATCTGAGAGAGCTCTGCTGTGGCAGATCTGCTCACCGCTCGACCGGAAAGGAGGAAGCTCGAGCCATGTGGCAACACACAGGCTCGACTGTATGCCACGGGCCAATGCTCTCACAGCCTCCTCAAACTGCACGAGGTCCATCCACTCATCCAAACAGATCATCGCTGTGCAAGGGCCGTTCACTTGTCCAAGCAAATGATGACCTACACAATATGTCTCGCCGATACACCAAGGTATGGGATGCCCAAGCATGTTTTGTTAGCAGACCGAAACGGGACGGCCGGGGTGTCAGAGGTGCAACGGACGATGGGGACAGTGTTGACACAAAAACCGACGGTGGGATTCCAACGAGTTGTGTCCTAGGACTTTCTGGATCACCAAGAAGGGAAGGACATGAAGAGCGGACCAAGAAAGCCACCCTGGGTGGCCAGATAATTCAGACAAGGCCGAAAAAGAGGCGAGTTTGGCGACAGAGTTGCCTGGTGTGCACGGCCTGAACGACACGGTGAAAGTGAGTTGAGATTCACGGTGTGGGTTCTCATGAGTCCCAAGATGCCCAGCGTGAAGAGCGGACCAAGTTCTCAGGAACAGAAAATTGCCGCACGAGGGTTGTTTTCACTCACCAGAAGAACGAATGACTGTGACGATGGACGGGGATTCTGGCCTATGTATGTGGACCAGTAGCTATGAAGCAGACGCATGGGAACACTTTCTCAACCCCCTTCTGATCCATAGTCCCACGCTACCATACGGCGCTTTGCCACACCGTGGACACTTGCGTCACCCCTCCCACTTGGGTATCGCACCCCCAGCAGGAAATCCCTCTGCTGCATCGTTTATGTTTGCCAAGGTGAGGATCGATGGATCTGAGAGAGCTCTGCTGTGGCAGATCTGCTCACCGCTCGACCGGAAAGGAGGAAGCTCGAGCCATGTGGCAACACACAGGCTCGACTGTATGCCACGGGCCAATGCTCTCACAGCCTCCTCAAACTGCACGAGGTCCATCCACTCATCCAAACAGATCATCGCTGTGCAAGGGCCGTTCACTTGTCCAAGCAAATGATGACCTACACAATATGTCTCGCCGATACACCAAGGTATGGGATGCCCAAGCATGTTTTGTTAGCAGACCGAAACGGGACGGCCGGGGTGTCAGAGGTGCAACGGACGATGGGGACAGTGTTGACACAAAAACCGACGGTGGGATTCCAACGAGTTGTGTCCTAGGACTTTCTGGATCACCAAGAAGGGAAGGACATGAAGAGCGGACCAAGAAAGCCACCCTGGGTGGCCAGATAATTCAGACAAGGCCGAAAAAGAGGCGAGTTTGGCGACAGAGTTGCCTGGTGTGCACGGCCTGAACGACACGGTGAAAGTGAGTTGAGATTCACGGTGTGGGTTCTCATGAGTCCCAAGATGCCCAGCGTGAAGAGCGGACCAAGTTCTCAGGAACAGAAAATTGCCGCACGAGGGTTGTTTTCACTCACCAGAAGAACGAATGACTGTGACGATGGACGGGGATTCTGGCCTATGTATGTGGACCAGTAGCTATGAAGCAGACGCATGGGAACACTTTCTCAACCCCCTTCTGATCCATAGTCCCACGCTACCATACGGCGCTTTGCCACACCGTGGACACTTGCGTCACCCCTCCCACTTGGGTATCGCACCCCCAGCAGGAAATCCCTCTGCTGCATCGTTTATGTTTGCCAAGGTGAGGATCGATGGATCTGAGAGAGCTCTGCTGTGGCAGATCTGCTCACCGCTCGACCGGAAAGGAGGAAGCTCGAGCCATGTGGCAACACACAGGCTCGACTGTATGCCACGGGCCAATGCTCTCACAGCCTCCTCAAACTGCACGAGGTCCATCCACTCATCCAAACAGATCATCGCTGTGCAAGGGCCGTTCACTTGTCCAAGCAAATGATGACCTACACAATATGTCTCGCCGATACACCAAGGTATGGGATGCCCAAGCATGTTTTGTTAGCAGACCGAAACGGGACGGCCGGGGTGTCAGAGGTGCAACGGACGATGGGGACAGTGTTGACACAAAAACCGACGGTGGGATTCCAACGAGTTGTGTCCTAGGACTTTCTGGATCACCAAGAAGGGAAGGACATGAAGAGCGGACCAAGAAAGCCACCCTGGGTGGCCAGATAATTCAGACAAAGCCGAAAAAGAGGCGAGTTTGGCGACAGAGTTGTCCTGGTGTGCACGGCCTGAACGACACGGTGAAAGTGAGTTGAGATTCACGGTGTGGGTTCTCATGAGTCCCAAGATGCCCAGCGTGAAGAGCGGACCAAGTTCTCAGGAACAGAAAATTGCCGCACGAGGGTTGTTTTCACTCACCAGAAGAACGAATGACTGTGACGATGGACGGGGATTCTGGCCTATGTATGTGGACCAGTAGCTATGAAGCAGACGCATGGGAACACTTTCTCAACCCCCTTCTGATCCATAGTCCCACGCTACCATACGGCGCTTTGCCACACCGTGGACACTTGCGTCACCCCTCCCACTTGGGTATCGCACCCCCAGCAGGAAATCCCTCTGCTGCATCGTTTATGTTTGCCAAGGTGAGGATCGATGGATCTGAGAGAGCTCTGCTGTGGCAGATCTGCTCACCGCTCGACCGGAAAGGAGGAAGCTCGAGCCATGTGGCAACACACAGGCTCGACTGTATGCCACGGGCCAATGCTCTCACAGCCTCCTCAAACTGCACGAGGTCCATCCACTCATCCAAACAGATCATCGCTGTGCAAGGGCCGTTCACTTGTCCAAGCAAATGATGACCTACACAATATGTCTCGCCGATACACCAAGGTATGGGATGCCCAAGCATGTTTTGTTAGCAGACCGAAACGGGACGGCCGGGGTGTCAGAGGTGCAACGGACGATGGGGACAGTGTTGACACAAAAACCGACGGTGGGATTCCAACGAGTTGTGTCCTAGGACTTTCTGGATCACCAAGAAGGGAAGGACATGAAGAGCGGACCAAGAAAGCCACCCTGGGTGGCCAGATAATTCAGACAAAGCCGAAAAAGAGGCGAGTTTGGCGACAGAGTTGCCTGGTGTGCACGGCCTGAACGACACGGTGAAAGTGAGTTGAGATTCACGGTGTGGGTTCTCATGAGTCCCAAGATGCCCAGCGTGAAGAGCGGACCAAGTTCTCAGGAACAGAAAATTGCCGCACGAGGGTTGTTTTCACTCACCAGAAGAACGAATGACTGTGACGATGGACGGGGATTCTGGCCTATGTATGTGGACCAGTAGCTATGAAGCAGACGCATGGGAACACTTTCTCAACCCCCTTCTGATCCATAGTCCCACGCTACCATACGGCGCTTTGCCACACCGTGGACACTTGCGTCACCCCTCCCACTTGGGTATCGCACCCCCAGCAGGAAATCCCTCTGCTGCATCGTTTATGTTTGCCAAGGTGAGGATCGATGGATCTGAGAGAGCTCTGCTGTGGCAGATCTGCTCACCGCTCGACCGGAAAGGAGGAAGCTCGAGCCATGTGGCAACACACAGGCTCGACTGTATGCCACGGGCCAATGCTCTCACAGCCTCCTCAAACTGCACGAGGTCCATCCACTCATCCAAACAGATCATCGCTGTGCAAGGGCCGTTCACTTGTCCAAGCAAATGATGACCTACACAATATGTCTCGCCGATACACCAAGGTATGGGATGCCCAAGCATGTTTTGTTAGCAGACCGAAACGGGACGGCCGGGGTGTCAGAGGTGCAACGGACGATGGGGACAGTGTTGACACAAAAACCGACGGTGGGATTCCAACGAGTTGTGTCCTAGGACTTTCTGGATCACCAAGAAGGGAAGGACATGGTGAGCGGACCAAGAAAGCCACCCTGGGTGGCCAGATAATTCAGACAAGGCCGAAAAAGAGGCGAGTTTGGCGACAGAGTTGCCTGGTGTGCACGGCCTGAACGACACGGTGAAAGTGAGTTGAGATTCACGGTGTGGGTTCTCATGAGTCCCAAGATGCCCAGCGTGAAGAGCGGACCAAGTTCTCAGGAACAGAAAATTGCCGCACGAGGGTTGTTTTCACTCACCAGAAGAACGAATGACTGTGACGATGGACGGGGATTCTGGCCTATGTATGTGGACCAGTAGCTATGAAGCAGACGCATGGGAACACTTTCTCAACCCCCTTCTGATCCATAGTCCCACGCTACCATACGGCGCTTTGCCACACCGTGGACACTTGCGTCACCCCTCCCACTTGGGTATCGCACCCCCAGCAGGAAATCCCTCTGCTGCATCGTTTATGTTTGCCAAGGTGAGGATCGATGGATCTGAGAGAGCTCTGCTGTGGCAGATCTGCTCACCGCTCGACCGGAAAGGAGGAAGCTCGAGCCATGTGGCAACACACAGGCTCGACTGTATGCCACGGGCCAATGCTCTCACAGCCTCCTCAAACTGCACGAGGTCCATCCACTCATCCAAACAGATCATCGCTGTGCAAGGGCCGTTCACTTGTCCAAGCAAATGATGACCTACACAATATGTCTCGCCGATACACCAAGGTATGGGATGCCCAAGCATGTTTTGTTAGCAGACCGAAACGGGACGGCCGGGGTGTCAGAGGTGCAACGGACGATGGGGACAGTGTTGACACAAAAACCGACGGTGGGATTCCAACGAGTTGTGTCCTAGGACTTTCTGGATCACCAAGAAGGGAAGGACATGGTGAGCGGACCAAGAAAGCCACCCTGGGTGGCCAGATAATTCGGACAAGGCCGAAAAAGAGGCGAGTTTGGCGACAGAGTTGCCTGGTGTGCACGGCCTGAACGACACGGTGAAAGTGAGTTGAGATTCACGGTGTGGGTTCTCATGAGTCCCAAGATGCCCAGCGTGAAGAGCGGACCAAGTTCTCAGGAACAGAAAATTGCCGCACGAGGGTTGTTTTCACTCACCAGAAGAACGAATGACTGTGACGATGGACGGGGATTCTGGCCTATGTATGTGGACCAGTAGCTATGAAGCAGACGCATGGGAACACTTTCTCAACCCCCTTCTGATCCATAGTCCCACGCTACCATACGGCGCTTTGCCACACCGTGGACACTTGCGTCACCCCTCCCACTTGGGTATCGCACCCCCAGCAGGAAATCCCTCTGCTGCATCGTTTATGTTTGCCAAGGTGAGGATCGATGGATCTGAGAGAGCTCTGCTGTGGCAGATCTGCTCACCGCTCGACCGGAAAGGAGGAAGCTCGAGCCATGTGGCAACACACAGGCTCGACTGTATGCCACGGGCCAATGCTCTCACAGCCTCCTCAAACTGCACGAGGTCCATCCACTCATCCAAACAGATCATCGCTGTGCAAGGGCCGTTCACTTGTCCAAGCAAATGATGACCTACACAATATGTCTCGCCGATACACCAAGGTATGGGATGCCCAAGCATGTTTTGTTAGCAGACCGAAACGGGACGGCCGGGGTGTCAGAGGTGCAACGGACGATGGGGACAGTGTTGACACAAAAACCGACGGTGGGATTCCAACGAGTTGTGTCCTAGGACTTTCTGGATCACCAAGAAGGGAAGGACATGAAGAGCGGACCAAGAAAGCCACCCTGGGTGGCCAGATAATTCGGACAAGGCCGAAAAAGAGGCGAGTTTGGCGACAGAGTTGCCTGGTGTGCACGGCCTGAACGACACGGTGAAAGTGAGTTGAGATTCACGGTGTGGGTTCTCATGAGTCCCAAGATGCCCAGCGTGAAGAGCGGACCAAGTTCTCAGGAACAGAAAATTGCCGCACGAGGGTTGTTTTCACTCACCAGAAGAACGAATGACTGTGACGATGGACGGGGATTCTGGCCTATGTATGTGGACCAGTAGCTATGAAGCAGACGCATGGGAACACTTTCTCAACCCCCTTCTGATCCATAGTCCCACGCTACCATACGGCGCTTTGCCACACCGTGGACACTTGCGTCACCCCTCCCACTTGGGTATCGCACCCCCAGCAGGAAATCCCTCTGCTGCATCGTTTATGTTTGCCAAGGTGAGGATCGATGGATCTGAGAGAGCTCTGCTGTGGCAGATCTGCTCACCGCTCGACCGGAAAGGAGGAAGCTCGAGCCATGTGGCAACACACAGGCTCGACTGTATGCCACGGGCCAATGCTCTCACAGCCTCCTCAAACTGCACGAGGTCCATCCACTCATCCAAACAGATCATCGCTGTGCAAGGGCCGTTCACTTGTCCAAGCAAATGATGACCTACACAATATGTCTCGCCGATACACCAAGGTATGGGATGCCCAAGCATGTTTTGTTAGCAGACCGAAACGGGACGGCCGGGGTGTCAGAGGTGCAACGGACGATGGGGACAGTGTTGACACAAAAACCGACGGTGGGATTCCAACGAGTTGTGTCCTAGGACTTTCTGGATCACCAAGAAGGGAAGGACATGGTGAGCGGACCAAGAAAGCCACCCTGGGTGGCCAGATAATTCGGACAAGGCCGAAAAAGAGGCGAGTTTGGCGACAGAGTTGCCTGGTGTGCACGGCCTGAACGACACGGTGAAAGTGAGTTGAGATTCACGGTGTGGGTTCTCATGAGTCCCAAGATGCCCAGCGTGAAGAGCGGACCAAGTTCTCAGGAACAGAAAATTGCCGCACGAGGGTTGTTTTCACTCACCAGAAGAACGAATGACTGTGACGATGGACGGGGATTCTGGCCTATGTATGTGGACCAGTAGCTATGAAGCAGACGCATGGGAACACTTTCTCAACCCCCTTCTGATCCATAGTCCCACGCTACCATACGGCGCTTTGCCACACCGTGGACACTTGCGTCACCCCTCCCACTTGGGTATCGCACCCCCAGCAGGAAATCCCTCTGCTGCATCGTTTATGTTTGCCAAGGTGAGGATCGATGGATCTGAGAGAGCTCTGCTGTGGCAGATCTGCTCACCGCTCGACCGGAAAGGAGGAAGCTCGAGCCATGTGGCAACACACAGGCTCGACTGTATGCCACGGGCCAATGCTCTCACAGCCTCCTCAAACTGCACGAGGTCCATCCACTCATCCAAACAGATCATCGCTGTGCAAGGGCCGTTCACTTGTCCAAGCAAATGATGACCTACACAATATGTCTCGCCGATACACCAAGGTATGGGATGCCCAAGCATGTTTTGTTAGCAGACCGAAACGGGACGGCCGGGGTGTCAGAGGTGCAACGGACGATGGGGACAGTGTTGACACAAAAACCGACGGTGGGATTCCAACGAGTTGTGTCCTAGGACTTTCTGGATCACCAAGAAGGGAAGGACATGGTGAGCGGACCAAGAAAGCCACCCTGGGTGGCCAGATAATTCAGACAAAGCCGAAAAAGAGGCGAGTTTGGCGACAGAGTTGCCTGGTGTGCACGGCCTGAACGACACGGTGAAAGTGAGTTGAGATTCACGGTGTGGGTTCTCATGAGTCCCAAGATGCCCAGCGTGAAGAGCGGACCAAGTTCTCAGGAACAGAAAATTGCCGCACGAGGGTTGTTTTCACTCACCAGAAGAACGAATGACTGTGACGATGGACGGGGATTCTGGCCTATGTATGTGGACCAGTAGCTATGAAGCAGACGCATGGGAACACTTTCTCAACCCCCTTCTGATCCATAGTCCCACGCTACCATACGGCGCTTTGCCACACCGTGGACACTTGCGTCACCCCTCCCACTTGGGTATCGCACCCCCAGCAGGAAATCCCTCTGCTGCATCGTTTATGTTTGCCAAGGTGAGGATCGATGGATCTGAGAGAGCTCTGCTGTGGCAGATCTGCTCACCGCTCGACCGGAAAGGAGGAAGCTCGAGCCATGTGGCAACACACAGGCTCGACTGTATGCCACGGGCCAATGCTCTCACAGCCTCCTCAAACTGCACGAGGTCCATCCACTCATCCAAACAGATCATCGCTGTGCAAGGGCCGTTCACTTGTCCAAGCAAATGATGACCTACACAATATGTCTCGCCGATACACCAAGGTATGGGATGCCCAAGCATGTTTTGTTAGCAGACCGAAACGGGACGGCCGGGGTGTCAGGGGTGCAACGGACGATGGGGACAGTGTTGACACAAAAACCGACGGTGGGATTCCAACGAGTCATGTCCTAGGACTTTCTGGATCACCAGGAAGGGAAGGACATGGAGAGCGGACCAAGAAAGCCACCCTGGGTGGCCAGATAATTCAGACAAGGCCGAAAAAGAGGCGAATTTGGCGGCAGAGTTGTCTGGTGTGCACGGCCTGAACGACACGGTGAAAGCGAGTTGAGATTCACGGTGTGGGTTCTCATGAGTCCCAAGATGCCCAGCGTGAAGAGCGGACCAAGCCCACGCAGACGAACAGTCACCACATGAGGGTCATCTTCACCCACCCCAATCAATGACCGTGATGACAGATAGGGATCGTGACCTGTGTATGTGGCCCAGTAGCTATAGAGCAGATGCACGGGACCACTTACCTGACCTCCCCTTCCGATCCGTAGCCTTGTGCTATCATACGATGCTTCCCCACTAGAGACTCACGCCTCACCCCTCCCACTTGGGTATAGCACCCCAGAGCCCTAATCAGTGTTCTGCATCGTTCATGTCTATCAAGACGAGGATCGATCGATGTCGGAGAGCTCTGCTGTGGGAAATCCGCTTGGGACTCGATTGGAAAGGAGACTCCAGGTGGCAACACGCCGGTTTAACTGTGTGCCATGGGTGGCCACTCTCCACAGCCTCGTCAGGGTCATCCACCCACCCAGAAACAAACCAACACTGGCCAAAGGCCACACAATCGCCCATATCACACTCATTGGGCCACATATTATTGCAGGACACCAGACCCAACCCCGTCTTCCTTGCACATATACCGACCCTGAGTCACGTGATGTCGAGTGCCCCCAATCATGTCTAATAGCCTCCGAAAGTGACGTAGACTTGAACCTTTCGGTCACCTGAACGCCTGAGCTGCCAAGTTGCAACGATCGAGGCCGTCAGCGACTCTTTGAATGCTATATGCAACAACCATCGTATCTCTCTCTGGCCTCCCACACTCTCATTTATCTATCGGAATCTGTGTGCAAGAAGATTCGAGCTCCAGATCGAATCCGGTGCCACGCTTTGAAACCGCTGCGCAGACCAGAGCACCTCGGTTTCAACCATGTCGGTAACTTCTCAACCGCACCCACATCATCCTTCGCAACTCGACCCCAGGGAACCTCCTCCACCTCCTGCTTCTGCCTCGGATTCGGATCGTCATCATCATCCGCATGTCGGCGCCGTAGGGTTGGGTATCGGGATGGGTGGGAGCAGTGGGGTATCGTCGACCGGTCAGACGACCCCTTCGCTCTCCTCGTCAGGGAGGACCAGGAAGACGTCGCATTTGGCAACTCAGACGACAGTCGGGCACGGGAATAACAACGAGCCGGCCGTCTCTTCGCCCTTGCAACAAGAACATTTCGCCAGCAGGAGTAGCAGCCCGGCTCAACCCATCGATGGGCATCATCCGGCCATGTCCAGGTCGTTCTCACCAGGATCTTCGCCGATGCATTCTCGCGCCGGATCCCCTGCTCCAGCCCCAGCTCTGTCCGCTCACAACTCTTCCTTGCTCTCCCCTGGAGGCCGACGATCGTCTACGCCCTCACCCATGCCTGAACCGGTCAACCACCATCGGGTCAGGGACGATTTCATCGGTGTCATCACGCCTGGCAGTAGGACCCCTGTCGGATCCAACAGCGCCCGAGCGAGTTTCGGAACGACCCACCCCAACGCTCATCAGGCTAGTGGGGCTGGAACTCACGGTCCCGGATCTCAACTCAACGTCGACTCATTGAAGCATGAGATGAAGGTCTTGCAGGATGGCATGAATGCATCCTCGGACCCGTTCACCTCCACCGGCGCAGGTGGTAGCAGTGCGAGTGCGCTGGACGAGGATGACGAGTACGGTGTCAAGGAGCCTGTCCCTATGCCTATCGGGTCGCCAGGAAAGACCAGGAGTACGAGCCCCGTCCTTGACCTCTTGCCAAGGGGTTCGTCGTTGTTACCGCATTCCCCTAGTGCGAGTAGCGTTCATTCAAACGATCTGGGCGCGAGGACTCTCGGAGAGGTCGGGGAGTACTTGAGCGATTCCGGTACAAGGCAGACGGGGCAGATATCCCCTCCCGCCAATACTACCAGTTTCGACGCGAAGCGGGTGGGAAAACGAGCCTCGATCCCTCAGATCCAAGCGGGGTCGTTGAGCATGTCCATGTCCACGCCCAACTCCCCCTCGGCGAGCGCGATTTTCGAAAGAGACATCGAATCTCCCTTCGCCATCGCCCTCCCCGGAGCCCAGCCTTCTGTCAGTAACAGCCCCGTCCCTGGAGGTGGTAGTACCGGGTTACAAAGAGCACCCTCGGGTCGAGCGTCGAGGAGCTCGTCCGTCGCTCCGCCCCGTTCGCCGACCCCGAGGAAACAAGCCGACAACTCTGGTCGACCGTCTACGAGCGTCTCCCCCCAGGCTTTCGTCAATGCTGCCATGCTTCCTCCTTATATGCACGATTCCAGCGACCGACACGTCCCTACCGTGCTGGACGACGCGATCGAGGCCTTGACGCATTCGGGATCACAGGCTCTGCAGATCGAAGCCCCCGTCAATGCTTATATCGCTAGTCGGGAGGTAGGGAATCGGTCCCCGTTCGGAGGGGTGTCGAGTGGGATAAACCCGGGTGGTAAGGCTGGAGGAAGTAGAAGTCCGAGCCCGATGAGGTGGAAGGATCTCGGAAGGACCGGGATGGAAACTACAGGACGGGCGGGGTCGAGATCAACTTCCCCTCTACCTAGTCCTACGAGGGAAAAGAGGTCGTTCCCCCCTCGTCCCGAGGTTGGAGATTCGCAAGTATTCTCGCTCAACGACGATGCGAATACTGGTGACGACAAGCCTTTCGGCACAAGGCCGTCGATGCAGGCTAGGCAAAGTTCCCTCGGCGTACTTATCCCCGGAGCGTTTCCCGGGGCTAGTTCTCAACAGGAACAGGCCGGAGGGAGAAAGTGGAGGAAGAAGATCGACGAATGGATCGGCCCTAGGCCGAATGCTTTGCTGGCGGGTTCGAATGACAAGCAAGGTGAGAAGAAGCAAGGCAAGAGCGTCGATATCGGGACGGAGACGGAGACGAGGGGTGCTGGAAGAGACAAGGTCGACCACAACGAGGTGAGCGGATTGAGCTGGGATCGTACTCCGGATGATATGCTGACCTGTCTCCACCTTTACAGCTGCCCGCCGCCTCTCATCTACCGTCCCCTCCCAATCCGGATCAAGACGAACCCCGGCGTATCTCTTTTTATACTTACGATGACATGCTGCAATCCCGACCGATGACGATCAACCCCCTCAGCGACATCACGTCGGGTACGGTCGAGCCGGAGCATTTACCTACTCAGCTGGATGTCGCGCCTGCTTCGGATGTGACACGATCGAGGACGACGAGTTTGGTCGAGCGGATCGTTAATGAGGGATTGTGAGAAGATAGTTTGGGGTACTCGTTCGATATGAGAGCAACGTATACAACGGGGCACGAACGTTTGTATAATACTACAATAACATGAACAAGTCGAACTTATATCGAATATATCAATACCGATCGGAAGGGGATGTGGCATAGGGATCCGCCAGAAAAAGGGCTAGCCATTCTCGGGTGGGAACGTCGAGCTGAGCGTAGGAAGAGGCAGAGGGACGAGCGAAACCGCTCTCTCGAGCAAAGGTGTTGAGGTGCTCCTTGTAGTTGTCAAAGGTCGAGGTGATGGGGCTTGATGCCCAATAGTTTGTCAAGCTCTAAACCCTTCTCTACCGCTCTCCCATATCAATCCCGTTGTGCGGTGCCGTCCTCGACTGCGGATCTCTTCTCAGACATTTGCTGGGATGTCTCTGTCTTCCTGAAGGTGGTTCCCAAGCGTGACAAGGTATTTGTAGACCTCTGCAGCCTCAATATTCACATCAGCATGCCACGATTCTCACAGCATGGTATCACTTCGGATATCCCTCCGAGGCACTCAGCCAAGGTACTAGCCTTGCTCGTGAAGCCAGGCGCGAGTAGGCCATAGTGGGTGCCTATTACGAAGCTTCGCTCCGTGAAGTGCTTCTCGCTCTTGAGCCTTTCACACCAATACCGCTGGCACCCTATCCTGTTTCGCAGCCCTCCTTCTGATGTTGTGCTTGCTCAACTCCGCGTACGACAGCCATTTGGTTGATCTGCCGAACCACCTTGTCTTGTATCATGAAAACATCGCTCGTGAACGTGGATTTGCTTGCCCGTCTGCCTCCTTTTACGCCCGACGTAACAGTCCCGAAGAAAGACAAGGATGAGCTACTGAGACCTGCGGTTTGATATGGTACGACTGCGTACTTCACGTAGTCTCCCTCTAGTGTATTGTAGGAAGAAAAGTCTGCTCGCCTCAACATATCCTGTTGAAACAGATCAAAGCCAACCTGAAACACCTCTTTTTGAAGGTTGGGAACTGACGCCGACGTCAGGTCTAGTCTGTTCTTCCACTGCAATCCCATGGTCCTGGAAGGACACTTCGGTAGGTTTTGGGACTTGAGGGACTCTGAAGCGTCTACCTTGATCAAGTATAGGCCCGATGACGCATGCTCTGGGCGAGATTTGACCTGCAACTGGCTAGCCTATTTTGCCGCCAACCCATACATTGCCTCTCCTAAACGTCCAGCCCTCAAGCTAGGTGCGAAACAGCACGGAACTTGGACAAGGCCTTCTGGGTATACATTTAGACATGAGAGACTATGGTCGGGGAAAAGAGGGAAAGGCTGAAGGTATGATGACCTCGGCCTTAGCAAGATTTTGGCACTCATCGATTCGGTGATTGACTGCCCACTCGTGCTCCCGGCAGAGTTCCAATTTATTCTAGGAGGCATTCAGAGGCAAAACGGATCTATTGAATTTTGGCATTATTCCATGATATCCCTCATCATGGGTCGTGATACAAGAACGCGCGATACCTGATCACATGTGAATGGGCTCGTCGTAAGCGGCCATAGCAGCTGCGCACACAAAGGTCATGTCATGTCAGCGACCGAAACTTTCGTAAGATATAACAAGCAGTGCGCTCGACGACTCACCCTCCTTGAATGCTTCCGAAAGGGTAGGGTGGGCGTGACAAGTCCTGCCAATGTCCTCGGCCGATGCACCGTACTCGACGGCAAGGACGGCCTCTCCGATCATCTCACCGGCGTTGGGTCCTGCACGAACGAAAGCGACCAGTCAGCCCTGTGTTCTCCTCGAGCATAGTCCAAGCAAGACCAAGGGAACTCACCGATGATGTGTACTCCCAAGATCTGGTCAGTGTCCTTCTCGGTGATCTATAGTGATTGTCAAGGATCAGCCACAAAATCACGCCTTGATGATGTGCGTAAGTATCGATCCGCTTACGAATTTCACGATACCCCTAACAAAAGCGGGATCAAGCATACGCAATTCCGATCAGCAACGCAATCCGGCTACAACTTCCCTTCGAAACGACATTTGCCGACTCACTCGGAATCCTGGTTGGTCTTTGCTCGCGAGTTGGCGCTGAAGGGGAACTTGCCGACCTTGAACTTGACTCCGGCTGCCTTGAGCTCCTCCTCGTTCTTGCCCACCCAAGCGACCTCGGGGTGGGTGTAGACGACCGAGGGGATGGCGTCATAGTTGACGTGCCCGTGTCCGGTCTTCAAGATCTCGACGGCGGCGATTCCCTCCTCCTCGGCCTTGTGGGCCAACATGGGTCCAAAGGTGGCGTCCCCGATACACTTGATCCCCTTGATGCTCGTGTTGAACTGGTCGTCGATGACGATCCTGCCCTTGTTGTCCATCTCGACGCCAATGTCCTCGAGACCGAGGTTCTTGGTGACGGGTCGTCGACCGATGGCGACGAGGACGACGTCGGCGTCTAAAGTCTCGGCCTTGCCTCCCTTGGCGGACTCGACGTTGAGGAAGACCTTGCCGTCCTTCTTCTCGGCACCAATGACCTTGGTGTTGACCTTGAACTTGAGTCCCTGCTTGGTCAAGATCTTCTGGAAGTTCTTGCTGAAAAGTCCCAGACGCAAGATAAAGGTCAGAACAGTCTTCATAAATCTGTAAGACCCGTGCCCCACTCGCACGTACGCAATCTCAGAGTCCATACCGGCACCGATGGCGCCCATGTACTCGACGACCTGAACCTCGGCTCCCAATCGGGACCAAACCGAACCGAGCTCGAGTCCGATAACACCTCCTCCGATGACGATCATCTACACCAAGCCATCCCCCAAACGATTTTGTCAGTCTCCCTGTAAGACCCAGGACCAGAACGACTATACACAGCAGAACTGACCTTCTTGGGAACCTCCTGCAAGTCCAAAGCCCCGGTCGAGCTGACAATCTGCTTCTCATCAATCTCGATCCCGGGGAAAGGCGTAACCTCGGACCCGGTGGCGATAATGACGTTCTTGGCTTCCAACATCGTCTCCCCACCCTCGGTCAACGCCACGTTCAACTGGGTCGGCGAAGAAAACTTGGCCGTGCCCTTGACGTAGTCGATCTTGTGCTTCTTGAAGAGGTAAGATTCGATACCCGAGGTGAGACCGGTGACGGATGCGTTCTTGGCAGCGAGCATCTTGGGGAGGTTGAGCTTGACGTCGGAGACTGCAGTGTCGCATCCCACCAGAACGATCAGCCTTCCCATTTCCCACATTCACCGATCCAGTGCTAAGTGGGACCCACCGTCAATCCCCCTGTTGGCCAGATCATGCTTGGTCTGGTGGTAGATGTGAGAGTTGTTCAACATGGCCTTGGAAGGGATACATCCCACGTTCAAGCAGGTACCCCCGAGGGCTCCTCGCTTTTCGATGCAGACGGTCTTGTAACCGAGTTGAGCGGCCTTGATGGCGGCGACGTATCCTCCAGGGCCTGATATTGCAATGATGAACCCGATGAGAAGGGGAAAGGTGACGGCCGATGAGAGGAAGAGTGAGTGGAAGGGAGATAGGGGTTACAAGGCGAGATCGACGAGGATGACCAATCCCACATCCAAACGGGGGCGACGATCCAGATCAAGCGCAAAACCAACCAAAGCAAAACAAATCCTGTCAGCCTCCATCTCGATCATATCAACTTGCCCTGCATGGTCAGACACGACGCACCTCCTCCGATGACAGCGACATCGTACGGCTCGGCGGCGGTCGCCAACCCACGTCGGTAAGCGCTCAGACCGGCAGCAACGGCTGATCGGGGTACGACGAGCGTCGAAGCCATTGACGGTCGTACGAGCTGGGTGGTCTGGAGGTTGGCGAGGAGTGGAGTTCAGTATACAGTGAGGATGTTTGCAGAAGAGGCGATCAAGGACGAGACGGAATGCGTTCGACTGCGTCCTCGTCATTCGCCTTTCAAGAATTACTCACGGTTCGGGTGCACAACATGATGAGAGAGGTATGCAAGGAAAGTTTACTTGGGAGAGAGAGAAGGAAGGGGTAGGAGTAGGGAAGAGTAGTTGATGATAGAGAGAGGTCAAAGTTGTCAATATCTCACTCGCCTCGCTGATCGTGAGGATGCATGACCCAAGTTCCGTCAAGCCCATCCCATCGCCCGCGTTTCCCTAAGAGAAAATCTGCATCCGCGGTACAGGAGTTACTCGGCCCAACCACCGTGTCTAAGTGAAATGTGATCCGAAACGCATCTTCATCTGACCATCCCATTCATCTCCTAATCTACTTCAAACTCCAAAGACTTTTTACTACAAGGGATCCCATCTAACGCTCTTTACAGTCCGAGCTCGTCCCTATCGCATTGCAATTCGTGGCGTTATCAATCGAGCGGGAAAGAAAGGAGAGGGGAACGGGTGGGGAGATATCGGTCAGCACGTAACATAGGCAATTAGCCATATCGTAGCGTTGTAGACTTACGCCCAGGGCAAGACGGCCAAGTCACCGACAGCCACTACAGACGGCTTGGACTTCAAGAGGTTCCCAGCGGTCTAATTAATTCCCATCCAAACCACGCGTAATCATCAGCTAACCATTGTTCGCTTCTCTGAGAACCCCCCTAAGATCTAGTAAACTGACCTTGCTCAAAGTCTCGGCCGAGACGCTCGAAAAGTCCTTGACCTCGACCTCCTTTCCGCTAAAGATCCCCGGCGCATAAGCAGCCAAGAGCCCCTCCTTGTTATCCAGCGCGTTGGCCGCCTTGAACTTGGCCGCAGCGACGGCCCTCGTGACGGCCTCTGCGTCCATACCGCTCGACGAAGCGAGACCCTTGAGGGTGTTGACGACCTCTTTGGCGAGCTCCTTGACGCCCTCCGAGGTAGGGGCGGTGATCGAGACGCCGACGAGCGCGGCGTCAGAGTAAGGGAGGTGGAAGCTCTGGATCTTGCTTCCCGGGACCTTGGAAGCGGCCTGAGCGAGGGGGGTGGTACCCGGGACCCACTTGAGGGCGGAAGCACCTCCGACGAGCTCGGGGATGACGTTCAGCTCCGGGGTGATCTCGGTCGTACCGAAGGCGATGACCATGGTAGGTTGTCCGCCCGAGTGAGCGTCGATAGGGACTCGCTGTTCACCCCCGTAGTACTTGCTGCCGGTGGAAGACAAGCTCGATCCGGTCGACGACGACGACGAAGCACCTCCGAAAGCCTTGCCGACGGCCTCGCTCAAAGCCTCGGTCGAGATACCAGTTCCAAACACGGCAATGTTGCTCTTGGCGAAAGCCTTGCTAGCGTACTCCTTGACGTCCTGGACACCGAGGGGAGAGTGGGGCGAGGCGAACAACGAGTTTCCGAGTCCTCGTCGGAAAGCGACGTGGTGAGCCAGGTCGAGGGCGAGGGTGGAAGGAGTGGCCATAGCGTTCAAGGTCTCGGATTGGAGGGTGGGCATGACGAGCTCGGAAAACTCGTGAGGGTGGTATTTCGAAGCCGACAGGACGGAAGCGAGCACCTTGACAAAGTGGTCCCTATCAATGCGAGATCGAGCATTCAGCACATGTCACCGGAACCCGGTCGTATCGCATCCCCCGCGGCCTTTGTCGAACTCACTGGTCTCCCCTCAAAAACTCGGCGTTCAAGAACAAGTGCTCCCTGCTCAAACCCGATGAAAGCACACCTCCGTAGAGCTCGGCTTCACGGACAATCTTGAGGGACGAGGCGTTCGAGGTGGCCTGTCATGGAATTAAGAGGTACAAGAGAGTTGTTCAGGTTAGCCTGTCGTAATTTATAGCGGAGAAGGACTGCGGGAGAGAGGTGCGTGTGTGGTGTAGGAACGGGTTATGTTCTCGGTCGATCTCCTGGTATCGTGTCCTTGATTTCTCGTTGAGCTGCAAGGTAGGTGTCGTTCGATCTCGATCTCCCTAGTCGATCATGACCTTCAACATTCCGGTTCCGGCCAGCCCCCTATATCTTCCTGTAGAACGCGCCGACTTCCAACCAACTCCACACACAACTCTTTCCCACACCAACCTCTCCCCTCGCAAACTCGCAACTCACCTTGAAAGCAAAGTTCTTCAAAGCGTGCGCGACACCGGGCAAGGTCTCGTACCTGCTACCGGCCTTGACGACGACGCTGATCGAGGTGGTAGGCTGACCGAGATCGACACCGGCGACCTTGACACCTGCCGAGTCTGCGACCGAGGTGGCATAAGTCCTGGTCGAGTTGACGACGTTGCGGAGGGCTCGAGAACGGGCAAACATTATGATGCTGTTTGTTGCTGTATTCGGTGGTCCGGGTTCTTTTTGAAGGAGGGTGGAGGAGACGGAGAAGAGGCGAGAAGAGAGAGCGTGTGTGGGAGATGCGTCTATATGCCTCGAAGCCTGATAGCGGTGTTCTAACAACCGAGAGTTTGCTCAAGCAAAGTCAAGGAATGATCGACTATGTCGCCCATCGAACTCGACCTTTTCGGTTGATTTCGATTCGCGAGGACGATTTGGCTCAGAGACTGACACGTTTCCACTACACCCTACACCAGCTGCTAGCGAGCGTTCCGTTCCGCGGATGAAGGGGCGACCCAGGCCAATCAACAGGAATCTCTCCGGGGCAGACATGTGTGTACGTAAAGGTCACGGCATCGAAACCGACCCGGGGCGAGCTCGAAAGTTCAACATCGACTTCGACATCGGAGCGAGTTGAACATGATCCAGACACGAGTCATTCCACTACAAAGCTAGGATCCCGTCGCATAGTCTCTAGATCTCCTACCCATAATGTCCGTCTCAAGAACTGTCCTAGGACTAGCCACTTCATCGGTCAGGGCAGCGGGAGTGGTACCGCGAGCAGCCGCAGCTGGATGGGTCGGAAAGATGGGTGTGGATAGGTCATTCTCCTCGTAAGTCGGAACGGTTACCTATACGAGGAGACATGAGCCTTTGAAACTCACTTCGATGTCGTATGATCCCCGCTATACTCAGGTCCAGTCGATGTGGTGAGGTCAATGCGGAATCATCTACCTCCAGTTTCGCATCAGCATCAACACCGCCCGCCCGAACCCAATCTTCATCGAGTTCGAAATCATCCATCTCCCGGCAAGACTCTCTCACCGGCCTCCCTCCCGTCCTCCCTCGACCTCACGGCATCCAAGTCGCTCAGATCAAGCTCTACTCGCATACCGCAGAACCTCTCGAACGGTTCTCGCATTTCGCCCTCCACACCGCTCATTCACTCAACATCCCCGCTTCCCGTCCAGCTTCCCTTCCCATGACCCGGTCCCTGTATACCGTGCCCAAATCCCCCTTCGTACACAAAAAGGCTCAGGAAAACTTTGAATCGCGGAAATACACCAAGGTCATCGTCCTCTACGACGCCCACCCTCGGGTGGTAGACATGTACCTGCGATACCTCACCCAAAACTCTATCGCTGGGGTAGGGATGAAGGTGAAGACGCACGAATTCCTCGAACTCGGTGTCGGGAAGGGAGAGGTCGAGGGCGTCTTGAAGCGGTTCGGCAGGGGGGCTGGGGAGGAAGAGGTCTTGAAGCAGGTCGAGGGGCTCAAGAGGGATCTCGGGGAGGACGTCAAGGTCGACAAGGGAGAGAGTGGGGAGGGAGTGGATGCTCAGAAGAAGGAATAGAACAGGGTAGAATTTGGTCAAGGGGTGGAGCCTTGGTGGTGCCGCGGGCTGTTATATCATATCGCATTGGATCTACCGCGTTCGTTATTGGGCATGCTCTGCCAGAGTAGATGCAGGTTTTCCTTCGACGAGGAAGACCACCAGCTTCTGATCAGCCGTCGCTTTGCCTCAACAAGGCAGAATGAAGACAGAGATTGGGAAGTTGAAGCAATCGGGCCAGTGCATGCCAGATCATACGCCACCGAATCGTCTTGGAGCTTGAAGGCGAAGGTGGAGCGCTCCACAAAGATCAACCATGCTTTCTATCTCATGTCCTATTCCACGTTCGTTGCGTCTAGTAGCCAGTAATAGCTTGGCAGTGAGGTAATTGGTATATCGGCATTGTCTTTATGGTTTAGGACTGAGCGAGCTTAGCGTAGACTCTACGTCAACCGGATTCGAGACGTCGATCGATCGATGATGATGATTCTGTTTACAATTGCAACTCCTTAATTTCAGACCTTATACCTTGTCGAGCCTCGGTATATTCCACTCGAACACGTAGAATCGTTGCTTGTACCTAGAACCCTGGATCTCGTCAGCTATTAAACATGGAAGAAGATGGCCCCGATCTGTCCTATCTGGACAGCCTCAACCCAGCTCAACTGCAGGGTAAGACGACCGGAACCACGACCACATAACAAACAAACAGCTCACAGCAACTTGTCCTCCCGCACATGCCTGCCTTGATATGATCTGGATTGTTTGCAGCGGTAACCTACCCGAAAGATAACCCTCTCCAAATATTGGCTGGTCCGGGATCGGGAAAGACCAGAGTGCTCACGGCCAGGGTCGCTTACCTCGTGCATTACTGGGGATTGAAGCCGTATGAGATCACCGCTGTGAGCTATAACCAGGGACCCAGACTGCGTAACGTTCTTGATATAGTATTGATGTTTGTTTCTGAACTCTGACGACAGGTCACTTTCACGAACAAGGCAGCGCAGGAGATGAGGAAAAGGTTGAACGTACTGTTAGGATCTGGTACCGCGTCTCGGCTCATTCTAGGTGAATACCCAACTATCGTCGTTTTACGATCAGGTTGACCTTGTACTGATAGTATCGACTGGGCATCTTTCAGGTACTTTCCATGCTACTTGTGCGGGTTATCTGCGAAAACACGGACAGGTCATCGGTTTACCGAATAATTTCGCTATTATGGATGCTGAGGATGCGTAAGTCTTAGCGAGACCCTAACATATACCAACAATCGTATTGACTTGCCTACCCTGCTCGTATGCTAGCAAGAAAGTGATATCAGGCCTGCTCAAACCGATGTCTGCCGACCTCAAATCCCGGTATATTTCGCTAAAGGATGGGCAGGTCATGAGCGAGATCTCGAAAGCAAAGGCACAGGAGGAATCTCCGGAACGTTTACGAGCGAGAGCAAAGGCGTTGGGCAGCAAAGGCGAGATCTTGTCGATCATCGCTGATGTAAGTCACCCACGTAGCATTAGGACAGGACCGAAGGAGCTCACCTGCAATATAACTTCAATATCCCCCTTCTAGATCTACCAAAAGTACGAGGAGACATTACGGTCGGCCGATTCTCTCGACTTCGACGACCTCTTGGTATTCGGCCTCAAGCTCTTCCGAGCCGCCCCGAAGATCCTCGAGGACTGCAAACACATCCTCGTGGACGAGTTTCAGGACACCAATACCACTCAATACGAGCTGATGAAGCTGTTCTGCAAGTCGTATAAGTGTGTGACGGTCGTAGGGGACCCGGATCAGAGCATCTACGGTTGGCGTTCAGCTAGTGAGTCAATCTATGACCAGTCTGAGTAGGGATGGTTGACCAATTATGCCCGACTCCTGTAGATATCGAGAACCTAGATCATATGAAGCGAGGTGAGCATCTTTTAATGATAGCGGGGAACCTGATTTTGATGTTTAGGGCGGTCGTCTGTACTTCCAGATTTCCCTACAACCGATGCCGTTCACTTGGAAGAGAACTATCGATCGACTGGGGCAATTTTGGCGGCCTCGTTGGCAGTGGTCCGGCAAGGTCAGTCATGGTTCTACTCTGCAAAACATCGTACGGTGCTAATGGTATGACACCCGAGCAGACAAGAAACGCGCGAACAAGGGACTCTTCACTTCCCATGGTACTGGATATCCTGTCACGCTCAGAAGCCATTCCGACCCAGAAAAAGAGGCTCACTACATCGCCGATGAGATCAGGCGGTTGATCGCACATTCGGGAAACATGCTTGGTCATGACGATTTCGCCATCTTACGTGAGCATAATTCGATGGTTCAGCTGGACGAGGCTCATAGCGTCTTGTTCTGAAACAGTCCGGTATAACGCTCTTTCCAGACCAATTGAATTGGAACTACAAAAACAGCAGATTCCATCTCGGCTCATCGGTGGTCACAAGTTCTTTGAGCGAGTCGAGGTCAAGGATCTGTTGGCATACCTGCAGTTGGTGGACAATCCAAACTACTATGTGAGCATAGAATGGCTTATCTGAAAGGAAGTACTGGCTGATGTGCTTCTGCCCCTGCAGCCGGCGTTCGCGCGTGTTGTAAACGTGCCGAAGCGCTCCATAGGCGACAAGGTCAGCTTCATCTCACTATCTTTAGGACTAGCACGGTGTCTAATGGCAGGTACAAAATGACTACGACAGTCTATCGAAGACATACAAGCACAAGCGAGAAAGCAGAGCATCACAAGCATGGAGCTGTGCGAAAGAATTGTGGATGGCGAAACTGTTGCTGGTCTCAGAGCAGGTATCAAGAAGAACCTCGTCCCTTTCGTCAAAGCTGTACGAGAACTGAGAGTACATGCCAAGAAGGTGAGGCGGAAACAGCGGAGTCACGTCCCTTTGAGTCTTTGTTGATACGAAAACGACTTATTCTAGGGAACGGATGTCGCCGAGTTGATCAAACTCTTGATTGAAAAGATCAGCTACGAAGATCATCTGCGCAAGACGCAGGAAGACTTCGACTCCAGGTGGGAAAACGTACAGGAATTGGTAAGCTCTGGTCGGGTTGAAAGGCACACGCAGAGCGCTAATCTCCAGTACGGATTGGCGCCGAAACACAGATATCGTACGCGGTCATTGTGGCAAACGAGCAGTCCAATGCTCTACAGTTGCCGGACGTCGAGCTGGAAGGGTTTGTGTCCGCCAAAACCGTAGTGATCGAAGAAGAGGAAGACGTGAAGCCGGTCCTGCACCCCATTTTCAGTCGATCGGTCAGCTCGTCGAGTAGCGAAGCCAAACCGACAGTCAAGAAGAACAGCAACACGAAACAAACCAAAGCCAGAAAGGAACACGTGTTTGAGGTGGCAGACCCTGGCTTGGAGCTGGAATACGACGAGGAAGATGAGGATTTTGTTCTACTCGATAACATTGATAAGCAGCCGACAACCGAGGCTATCTCTGGTGGTATCGATGTGAGGTAAGTGATTGAGCTATTATTTCCTGCGAACGAGTGTGACTGATTCATTTCCCGATACTCTAGGCATACTCCACTGAGAGTCTTTTTGGAAGCATCGATGTTGTCCACAGATACTGAAAGCAAAGATGATGCCAATAATACTCCTGTAGGTGGTTCAGCCTCCGTTACGACTTCATCATCCGAAATCTTGACACTACTAGCATCGCCACAGAAAGTCACGATCACGACAGTACACGGCGCCAAAGGCCTCGAATGGCCTGTGGTCTTTCTACCATGTCGTCAGTACTCGAATGGATATCGCTCCAACATCGTCAGCGGCTAATTACAGATTTGCGTAGTGGAGGATGGGACATATCCATTCTACCGTAGCACAGAAGAGGACGAGATTCGGGAAGAAAGGTTCGCAACGAATGACGGGATACCGATTTGTACCTTGTGAAGCTGAAGCGGCGGTGCTGTTTTGACAGGCGTCTGCTTTACGTCGCAATGACGCGAGCTCAAGCTGCTCTGGTAAGTTGGCCGTCGAATCTCGAGTTGGTAGATCTCTTCTGATGACGTTGCATGTTCGCCCAGGTGCTAAGCCATTCCGCAAGGCGTATGCTCGGAGGTCAATACCAGGACAGGACACTGAGTCCTTTCGTCGTCGACGCTCAGAAAACGTCTCCTGTAAGCACGATCCATGAAATGCGCCCTAACGATTTATTGATTTCAGATGCAACAGGTTATGTTCAAGTCCCAGGGACCAGCCTTGTCGGATCAAAACAGAGACCTGTTCTCCACGCTGCTCGGTAGATCGCCAGTGTTGCCGGAAGACGCTCAGGCAGCGATTCGAGCATAGTGGGTTCCGCTCGGCTAATGACCGTCGGATCTTTCGCTGACGACCCTAATATAGCATGCCAACAGAGCCGCCACAGTCCGGCAAAGCCTTCCGTGGCGGAACCGATCAAATGTTCTGGTTCAACAGTCATAAGAAAGAAAGCAGAGCCACAGAATACTGGTCGTCAGAACAGGACGAGTATGCTTTGCCACCCATGCAAGGGGATGCCGCACGCAAAGCCATGGCCGTGCCCACGGAGGAACGCTTCGAACCCCACGGAACCGGTTTCATGTCAGCCCGAAGTCGGCTGTTGGACAATGTGGCTGCACGACTAGGCGACAACCCTCGATTCTCGACACCGACACCTAGTACAGACAAGCCACGGAATTATCGAACTTCGTCTGCGACCGGCACCTCTCTCAGGGCAAAGATGGAGTATGATGAGAAAGTCAGCCTCGATTTCGGTCAAGGTGGCGATATGACCGCGGCAGGTGGCAGTTCCAAGACCGACTTTAAAAACGCCAACAAGCAATCGCTGAATGCAATGAAAAATGTCGGGCTGCCACCCCCTATCACGAGCCTTTGGAAAGAAGAACCTACCGGCGGCCCTTCAATCGGGGTCAACAACTTTCAGAGCGCTTCTTCAAGCTCTCTAGCTATGATGAAGAACTTGGGAATCCCCGAACCCAGCGCCAATGCTGACCCAGTACGGAAGGCTGGAAGTGGCAACAAACGGCTAGGCGTAGGACGAACGATGGCGCCTTGGGGTGCCAAGAAGCCTCGAAACGATTGAGATGAGCTTACGAAATGAAACGACCCTCATGATCGCCACGAATGTTCCAGTGTAAATCTACGATTACGGTATCGCATCACAACGCATCGTGAATTTGCTGTATTGTCATCATACTATTACAAACGCCTCTTGAAATCTATGCACCAAGAATCGCCAACGCCTCATCCGCCTCAGATTCGCTAAGACCGACGTTGTCCAAACCTCCCTCGGCGCCCCGCCAGTTCTTGATGACCTGGACCAGAGCGGTCTTGTTCTCCCCATTCAGACCACCGTTCCTGGCAGCGCTCATCAACGCTGCAAACGATTTCTCCTGCAAATCCCAATCGGGCTCTGCATCACCGTCCGCTCCGACAGGTAGAGGATCCGTCAACGAAGAGACGAGACCGTCGATGATCCCGTTACTCGTCATGCCATCCAACATCCTCTTCATCCCATCCTCCCCCGCCTGAGTCTCCGCCGACTGGATGATCAAGGCGTTGAGCAGGAAAGCGATCTTCCGCCTGATCGTCATCTCCGGATCTCGGAGCCCTTCTCTTAGGATGATCCATCCTCGATTACTGTCGTTCGAGAGGAGGTCGCCGGCGCCCGGCCAGTTCTTCAGGGAAGAGGAGAGGCAGTAGACGGCTTTAGCTCGAGTCTGAGGGGAGATCTTGACAGTGGAGGTGGACGGGTGGATGGAGGAGATTAGGGAGAAGATCTTTGGTAGAGGGTCTTTGTCGAGGAACTATCGAGATTCGCACAGGCAGCAATGACAATCAGTATAGGATATCTTGACCATACTCGTTCATGGTCTAAGAATAACTCACAGCCTTCTGAGCGGTCAAGTTGTTCTGGATAGCCGTCCCGCTGATCCAACAAGCGTGGCAGATGACGGGATCTTGCGAGGATTCGAGCAGAGTCATGATCTTTGGCCACATTTGCATGTTTTCGATGTTGTTGGCGTTGTCGATCATCTCGACGAGCTATCCGAGGTAGAGGCGAGTGACAAAGATGAGATAAGCTCCATGTCATCTTGCTTCATCAACTGGATGTTGAGTCTCACCATCTCAAAATCGTCCAACGCAAACACCCGCTCGTTCACATCGTTCTTCTCGTCTAGAGCGATGTTGAGCTTTTCCCGCATGACTACCGCGTCGCTCTTTCCCATAATATGATCCAACATGTCCGAAGTCAAGTCCGACCTGGGCTTAGGCGTAGGAGCCGGTCCTGCAGTGGACGGAGCGAGCTGGACTTCCGGGCCGGATGACTCATTATCAGACGGGTGGAGAGCTGCTCGAGGTGCTCTGGATCGGTTTGAGGTATCCGTGTTGGCGATGGACCAGGTGAGGAGGGATTTCAGGGGATCGGCCATTTTTTACGAGTCGCGAACTGATAGATTCGGGGATGAAAAGTTCAGCTATTCGTCTAGCGTCTAGATTGCTATGGCCGATACTATGGATGATGTAGTACGCAGTACGTAGTATGTAGTATGTAGTAGCTGACGCATGTACAGATGATACCTTTGGATGGTTGAAATCGATTTTTTGCCTGAACATTCGAGCAAGTCCCCGATGTCAAGGGAGTGACCGAGGCAAACGAGAAATTGCGTAATCAAATCGAGTGACGTAAGGCTCAAATAGGTCACGTGATTTGTCGCTTCAGCAGATACGTTGAACCCGGGCATGCGGACCTTTCGAAGTCGAGTCATACCTACTTGCGATCACTTACTTCTGGCCTTTATTGCTGTGAATGACCCTCCATATGGAGAGGATGTGCAGCTCGTGACTATAATATAAGCGCCTTGATGTGCACTCACGAGCACGACCTGAATCAGACCCTCGGTTCCCGCACAACCTGCACCTACGATGACTCCCGAACAACTCTTGCCATCACTCGAACCGCCTTACTACGCCGTCATCTTCGTCTCCCGTCGAACGCAAGACGACCCAGAAGGCTACTCTGAAGCCAGTCAACGCATCTCAGACCTAGCCGCGCAACAACCAGGCTACCTAGGCGTGCACAGTTCTTCCTCGGTCGACCCTACGACGGGGAACGTTTCCGGTATCACAGTGTCTTATTGGAAGACCGAGAGGGATATCAAGAATTGGAAAGCTGTATCCGAGCATCGAGCGGCACAGCAGAAGGGGAAGGAGAAGTGGTATGATCGGTATTCGACACAGGTTTGCAAGGTCGAGCGGCATTACGAGGGGGAGAAAGGGAGGTGAAGAAAGCTGCAGCGAAGATCGGAACCCAGGACGGGGATATGCGTTGGGGAGCCAGTCCGTCTTCGAGCAGAGGTATAATTCTTTGACATAGGACGCATTGTGAATATCATAGTCACGGACTACTTGGCATGACTGTGCGCTGTGCGAGCATGTGAATTCCCAACGTATCTGTCGCTCAAGAAGAACAACGTTGTCCGGGAGGTATATCCATCACGTGATCGTCGAGATATCGGCTACATCCGTGTGGGTGTGCACTTTTGATTCCGCAGGTGACGTAGAGATGCCCCCGATGTTGATTGACCATCTTTCCGTGTTGGCCGCATCTGTATCGCAAATGGGTCTGATGTATACCTGCCCCGAACCATCAGCTACATAAGCTTGTGAGCTTCAACAACTGTCTACAAGCCTCCGAGAGCTCGCAGTAGCTCGTCTTGTCTGGGTGGCACTCCCAAAGCTTCGACGAACGCTGCCACTCCCGGCAGATCTGGGTGCAACGCAAAAATGTATATATAGCTATGGCAGCATCGCAACTGCTACTCCTTCATTTATCGACCTTGAAACTCTGCAAATCGTGCTCCTTATGGACAAGACTTACTTGCAATGACGGGGACACCACCACTACGCCTACATACCACTACCTTTGATCATCCTTTACATAAACGCTTCTTTTACCCGACGACGGGGATCGCTCGATATCGTCTCGATGCAAACAATAACACCATCAGAAAGGGCACGACGAACCAGAGCTCTTATGAAAGCCCTAGACAAACGGGTACCGGGCGCTTAGAATACAATTCCAGGAAGGCGAGAAAAGCTCGACTTGCCCTCAAGACTCATCACATCCAGCATCATCCCGACGGTTCCGATAAGCCGTCGACCTCGCCTGCAAATGTTACCGTCAGGGTGGACTCGGTCCGATCGGAATTCAAGCCACATTTGAAGCTGGATATAACGTTCTGGCTAGCGGTGACATTCGTATTGGGCAGTTGTGTATGGGTGGTGAACGGTAAGTCAGATCGAGTTGTATGAAGCTCATCTTATTGCGAGCTGAATGCTGATTATGTTATTTACGTATCCTCCACGTTTTGCCCTCTTTCTATTAGGGTTCACCGTCCTCCTACCTCTTTACCTTGGACGCATCGAAAACTCTGAGAACCTGACCTCGACCTACTTCAAGACCGCTGCAGCTCAAGCTTTCGTCGGTGGAGTAATCTTTGAGGTCGGAAGTTACTTGATGGTGGTGGAAGCGTTGAACAGGTGAGAAAATGCTGTCCGACCTATGTCAAGGTTGCGTTTGCGAGTGCTCATTATGAAAACGGTCAAGAGGTCAAGAGACCGGGTTCGGAGCGGCTGTAGTCCATCTGCTACAGTCCGGTCACCCCACTCCTTCTCGATCTCGTTCGTCACTCAAGGATCACGATTCGAATGCTCTTGAAAAGAGTCATACAGAGTTAATCGGAGTGCATCCGGGTCGGAAGAGATTCATCTGGTGGTACGTATTGCTGTTGGCTGTGCGAGATCAGAGTGTTTATCGAGGTCGTTTCATGAGCTGATATGATCCCTTCGACGATATCCGCAGGGGGAAACCGTTATGGAGAGACTTGGGGTATGATGCCGCTCTCATCCAATTGATCGCAGCGACGGTTTTCTTGGTATCCACCATGTGAGTTCACAAGTCTCTTCATCACGCTTCGCCTGTGCTGTATTTCGTTGCAAAAGCTGAAACGCATTTCTGCAGAACGGGACTACCAGGCGTAATCCCTGGCTTTCCAAGTTCCGGCAACGCCGCCATCGTCAAGGTATTCTTCTGGACGCCTCAAGGTGAGAAAAGAACACCTGCACACTCTTCTGACCCGAGCTCAACATTGACGACTGGTATCTGATATGATGTCTATAGTGGTTGGCGGGACTGGCTTTATCATCTCCGCTCTCTTCCTCATGATCGAGACACAGAAAAAATGGTGGTTACCGAACTTGACGGACCTAGGATGGCATAGTGAGTGTCATCAACTGGATATCTCGTTTCACGTGGACGGCGAGTGACTAGTTCTGATGACATTGTGGTAACCCCGCTTGTCAGTCAGTTTCTGGAACCTGGTCGGAGGTGTCGGGTTTACGCTCTGTGGGGCGATGGGGTACAACACGGACGAGAGATGGGTGGATAATAGCGCGATATCTACGTTCTGGGGTAAGCTCAGGATTCAGTCCGATTCATGACCTCTAGCAGTCCAATAGGCTGATCAAACGGATCGCGGGTACAGGGTCGTGGGCTTTTTTGATAGGGAGCGTCATGCAGTTGTACGAAGCGGTGTGGAGAGAACCGGAAGTTGGGGATTTGGGGCATGATGTGAGCAAATCATAAATATTTTATGGATGAACTAAGTTGTGCTAGGGGTTATACACGGTCAGCGCCGACAATATAATAGTAGGTACAAATACTGTACGACGCCATAAAAGCTTCAACAATGGCACGTTCAGAGAATCCGACTAAACATTACATATCCAAGACGAATTCGCACACGAATTCTGAGCCATCATAATAGAAATCCCATTTGGTGCATCCTACGCGATTTCGACCCAACTGCTTGGAGACGACATGATTGGGACCAATCGCTTTGCTGTATGTCTCGAGATTGCTACACGCTTTGGTCTGTTCTGGTGTCGTGTCCACGGGACGTCCGACCCGAAGGCCTTGCTGCATGCTCCGGCCGACCTGTTGATGCTCGTGCTGGAAGTGATAGCAAGCTGAGTAGGGCGTGAACCTGAAACGATGAAACTCGCCTATTTCTCCTCGCTTGATTTCGACCCAGAACCGTTCAATGAAGGTATTCAGAATTACTTCTATGTCCTGTCGGGCTTGCGAAACAATTTCAGTGAGGTTGCTTTGACAATCCTGCGAAGATCTGGCCTCCCTATTCAGCCTCTGTTCAAGTCTCCTGAGATCTTCGATATCCCTCGGTGTACCATACTTCACCACATTGCAGGCTAAGGACTCGAGTGCGGCTGCAGTAGGGGAACTGGACTTTGTAGTAACGCTGATATGATCGACAAAGGTACCAGTGTTCTCAGGTATGGTGGAGAAATATTCGGACATGATAACGGCACAAATCCGACAATGTAAGGGCAGTCCAGTTTGGCGTTACGAGATATCACCAAACAATATTGTAAACCGATCAGCAACCTCAGTTTAAGCAGCTACAGTCTTATAGGGACTATTATAGGAGCTTATCAATTTTTTTTTTCCAAGCCTGGAATGAAAGGAGTCACGTTCCGATAAGCTGTGGGCTCACTGACAGCATTAGGTGATGAGCTATCTAGCTCCAGATTGTGTCCCCCGGTCGTATATCAAAGATTGGAAAACAAAGGAATTACATAGATAAGCGAAAACTAGCAGCAAGTACTGGAATCTAGCCGAGATTCCAAAGCCCCGTGACCTGAACCCCCAGTTCCCGCTCAACGTGGCGCGCCGCATGCTAATTCCTCAGTCAGCTAACCGGAATCGGCCAGGCGGAAGATGGGACTCTAAGACCTTTCCTATCTTGGCGACTGGGCGAAACAACTTCGCAGGTCGCAATCTGTTTGATTTCTCCTGCTGCAGCTCATACAGTGCAGCTGAGTGTTTGGATTGAAGCTGTCGCAAATCGACGAAAATCTCCCTATATAAAATCCCTCAACCCAGAATAAAAATGGGAAATATCACTAGCTCAGAGACGTCTCCGTTACAATTCACCATCTCGAGCTAGACTATATTACCAGGTAGAGATCGCTGGGACTGCTGGGATGGAGCTTGACTACAACGAGGTTATACACTGGTTAGACAACTACTTCAACAGGCGCACCAAAAGGTTTGCCCGTTACAAAACCTGGAATATATTGTTGATTGAACCGCATGGGTGCTGGGATCTTTGGTATTTATTCCGCCGCCATGGTCTCTCATTATCATATGAGCTGAAACATGGTGATCTTACTTTTTGGTACCGCCCCTGGTATGATTCGTTTCAAAGACATGGTTTTCGGATAGGACGCAGTTTGCCCCTACCACGAAATCCAGCCTCGCGTTCTCCTCACTTTTATCTGCACTATTCCTTGGCCGACAAGCCACTATCATCAATATGTATTCCCTATCCCGATCAGTTGCTAATTGCGGGTGCTCTCAAGCGCACTGGTCGCGAACATATAATCAGCTGCGATCGTCATCATACAGTATATCGAACTCAGCTTCGCGCTACTTTGCAGCGTGATTCAATGCGTTTGGGGCAGCCTTAAGCATGTCGGGTGACGAAACTTATCGATCGGATTCCCTTCGCAAGGTGACCCCGGCTTAGTTCTCCTCCTAGAAGCTTAGACGATAAGTGTTCGTTGTGGATCATCGTACTAGTACACCGAGAAATAACATATGAAAAACTTTCTATAGACCGATTTCTGCAGACCTTCCCCGGCTGTTAACACTTCTTTTTGACTCTATAACATCCTGCCCTTGACTGCGTGACTTCACAGATCCATTCGGCTGTATTGTCCCCGTTCGACCTCACTTTCCATTCGCTAAAACTCATTTTCGGCCCATCATCCCACCTCCTGTATATGGCAACTTTACTGATATCTCCCCCATACGAAGTCAAACTACGGGCGATATCTTGCTGGAAAGGATTCATCAAGTTGATAGCTGGAGTGACTGCAGTTTGGCCGGTCCAATAGGAAGTGTGTCGGAAGTTCACTCCTTGAGAATCGAAGACGAATTCGTGTTGTATACGTCTGAACTCGAGTTTTTCGCTTGGCTCAAACGAATCTTGGAATCTGTCTAGGAATTTACCTAGTAGTGATTCCCTAGCATCCGCCGCTGGCTCCAAAACGGGTGCGAAAGCGCCCGCTCGGAATGGTCTTGAACCAAGGGTCTGGGACGGACTGAATGGATTCGCCGTGCTGAGAGATCGGTACATCCCGTCGTGGTGCCCGATATCGTCGGTGAAGGGCGACATGGACTCGTTAACTCCAGACTCTGACCAGTCTCGCAGATGATGATCGGTAGGATCGTTGCATGTAGGGTTGGATGTCGAGACTGTTTGTTGAGACATTCTGGAGGGCGCACGGAGTCAAATGACGATGTGTCTGCGCTGATTGAGACTTGTCAGATATCGGCGTATTGCATAGCATCTGCTACTTTATAGCTGCATAGCTGCAGGTTGGGCTCTATGTCGGTCATGGGATGAAAGGAGGTTAGCCTCTACCCAGCTGCTCCCTTGCCGATTTGCCTACCACAGTTGATTGACGTCACATGATCTCTAAGTCGACATCCCTTTGAGGGCACATCAGTAACAATGATGCAACCTTACCACCATCGAGTCAAGCGGACGCTCGCACGCAAGCTGCTAGCTCTCCTTTAATCCAAGCGTAATCCCTGACTCCGTCCTCCCCCCCCTCCCAACTACTGTACCCTTTCAGCCTGACGAGAATGTACGCAAGCCGATCTCGCGCAATCGATAACGAAACAACGATCAAAAAGACCTGCTCACTCAACCTTTTCGATGCATCTCCCCTTCATACTGGCACCTTGCTACAAGCATAACCAAAGATTCAAACAAGCACAATCTACAAAAACTCCGTCATCGAGACATTCAGGATGAATGAGCCGTTCAGGGAGAAAGAAGTTTCATCATGCTCCCTTGGACGCCTTCACATCTTGTTGGTTTCACTTACCTTGTCATTCTCTTTCATCTCTTGAACTCAGATTTCCCTCTGGCCCTCTTGACTTTCTCCCTCTCTGTTTGTCCTCAACGGATAATCCCTCTCGATCCGCTTCGGTCGGGTCAGCGCTTGCTGTCTCTTCAGCCTCCGCTGTTGATTCTTCTTTGCGTCGCAGCCCATAATTTGATCGAAAGCAGCGATGAGTCGCACAACAAGTATTATCTCGAGCCGTGTGGTCTATTCGCTTTGCATATAAGCGGAACGGGGTACATAAGTAGGTTGGCAGGTATATCGAAGTGACATATGATTATGAAGAGGTTCGAAGTGCAACGGCCCCGCGGTTGGATCGGGGCGATATACGGGGGTCGTTATTCTGATGCGGGTTGCAAATGCCGGTATTCGTCCCTTGCCTCGCCAGCAACAGCGTTCCATCCGGTATGCGCTATCCGAGTTGTCTTCCTGATGAGCAAGTTCGCGAAGTGGACGACTTGCCACCATGAGGCGGTGGGTGCAAGAGGGGTCATGGCTTGTGCGTCCTGTGAGACATGAGGGTGATGGTATTCCGCTTCGAGTTCAGCTTCTATCTCGGCTGGTGGTGCGGTGTCGATGGTGCCCGATCGCGACTGCAAGCAAGAGCATACGATTGTCAGCTTGAGCTGGTCTTACAACAGGCCATCACATAGGACTCACCTTGAACAATGCCGGGATCAAGCTGATCAGACTTAGCACCACCATCTTAGCGATCAATGCTGGGTCCTGGACCAAGCTGGCGATACTCTGCCCGGCGTTCGGATCGGTATCCCCATTGCCAGGATCTTTGGGCAGAGCCAATTGCCCCAAAATATCACCGACCGAAGCTGTGACGTAACTCCAGCTGGCGCTCCCCGCCGCCGTCGTCAAAAGGAAAGTCAACCAGCTGACGCCGACAACACCACAGGCGACATTCATCCCGCTCCAGGGAACAAGACCCATAGCGCGCATAATCAGCAGCCGTCGCCAAACCCCACCCTCTGCAGCAGCCGAGGGTTTTCGGACGGCCTGGTAAGGACCAATTGAAGGAGCAGGCTCGGCGTTGCCCTTGATGGCGGATCGAACGATGGCCAGCGGTTTAGGGAAGAGCAACGCGATCAAGGGTGCCAGCGGGCGGGAGAGCATGTATGCTCCGAGTGACCCGAACGAGGTGATCACGGTCAAGAGGATGAGCGCGGGAATAGGCGACAAGAGCGAGCCGACGAGGATGTTCTATAGCGTCTCAAGCGGGTCAGAGTCTGGTTCAAGATCGAAACGGGTAGCAAAAGCCGTTGCGACTCACCAGGATCAACGCTCCGGGAATACTCCAAGAGTGTTTCCACATCCCCGTGATCATCAACACGCAAACGGTATGCCACCATCCCCGTGAGCTCGACGACATGTACGCTCGAATCTCGGCCGAGAGGATCTGAAGGTCAGACACCTTTTTGGGCAGCGAATGTAACGAGGTTCTGAAGCGATGTACGAGGAGTCAGAATCACCGTTCGCGGTGAGGCAAGGCAATGCGCTACTCACATTGGCATGCTCTTGATCCCGAAAGCAACCAAGCCAAAACTCGCGAAGAACACAATTCCCATCAAACCCAGTGTCCACCCCAACTCCCCCACAACCTGCCTGAACGCCGTGTTCATCCCGACGGCCGTATCGTCTGCGTCTAGTTTAGGGAGTAACAACGAATCGCTCCTCCCCCTTGCTAGCCTCTCGGCCTTGGCTTCTGGGCTAGAAAATCCTCCCGAGTGTTTCATGACATAGGCCTCACTCTGACCCTTGTTTGATGTGCCTGCTAGGTAATCCTTGACCCGCCAGAGCGATGCCGCGAACCCATGGCTACCCGCTGCAGCTCCCGGTCTTCGCCTTTCGAACAACGAGCTAGACGTCCGGCCGGCTGCTGGTCGAGCTTGTAGTCCCGAGAGGGACGCGCGTGATAGCGCTGGCGTAGGCAAAGTATCGCCTCCGCGTGATGATCCGCTCGCCTCTTGCGATGCGTACGGTTCGAGGAAAAAGTACGAGCCTCCATCGGGCCGTCGAGACGAAGATCCGCCCGTCCGGGTTGACCTCGCGCCGCCACTTCGAGCCGCATCCGCCCCCTCATCGTCGCTAGGTTCCCGGCTCAATCCCTTTTCGGAATCCGTATCTTCCAAGCTTCTCCGTTTACCCATCGAGATCCACGATCGGGTCTGCCTCTGTTGGTCCGTCTCATTGTCGTCCTCGTCGGCGGCGTAGTCGTGATGAGAAACCGAAGAGTACCTCGCCGACTTGGAGAGGTTGAACCCGACGGCCTTGCTGAGACCTTGTATGACCCCTCCAATGACGTTGAACCCGGAATTGCCGGCGTTGTCTTCCTCGTTGGGGATGCTCCCGCGGGGCGTGATGGGATAACTCGCCGTGCGATCTACCGTCGACACCGACCCTTCACCTTCGGTCGTACTAGCGATCGTGCTCAAGCTCGTTCGACCTGGCGGTGGGCTCAGGACGAGCGCTCTAGCTGGAGGCGGGCCGTCCAGGTCGAGGTCCAGTTCAGGGGAAGAGGGTTGCGAACCCGACTCTTCCATGATCCTCGGCTCTAATGATGGTGAAGGGGAGAACCGTTGGAACCCCCTGGACCGACCTGGAGAGACCTTTGACAGCCCCAAACTGTTCGTACCCCCAACATCTTCCGGTCCGACAGGTAAGGTAGGCAAAATGTCATCCTTCATCCCTCCTGGCAAAGCCAACGCGGAGCCTGACCCGGGCGACCTAACATTCGGCGCCGAAGTCCGCCTCGTCAAGCCCAACCTCGTCGGCGCGGGACTCGAAGAAGACCCCCCGCCCAGAGTCTCGTTCGACGTCGGGTCATACGGTCTTGAATGCCTCGCGTGCAGATCGACCACTTCCGGGTGTTTTGCTATACTCGTGCTCCTCGACCGAGTCACCGTCGTTCCCGCTGCAACAATCGTTGAGTTCGACCCGCTCGACTTGTTCTCAATCCCAGCCGACTCGTCCCTGGACGGCCGTCGTTGCTGTAAATGAGCATACCGTTCGTCTTCAAACTCGCCTATCCGATCCAACAAGATCGACGGAGCTCGTCTTTCCGGCGTATAGTTCGGGTTCGAACCTTCCGCATGATGCGTGCTCGTCCGTGCGATCCCCGCTAGATGTGACGGTCGACCGAGGACGGAAGAGACGCTCTTGCTAGCCGGCCTGTTACCCCGTCGACCGGTAGGTTTAGGTTGTGATTGTGATTGTGATGACGAAGATGGTGCGGACATCCTGCTTGACGAGGAAGACGAAGCTTGAGCGTTTTCGTGATGGAGATCCATATCGTGATCGTGATCGTGATCGTCTTCCAACGGTACACCCTCAAGATGTATCGATATGGCAGGCACGTCCCTAACCGAAGCCGACCGATGAGGTCTAGGTTTGCTCTTCGCCCTAAGATTCGAGCTCGAAGGCGAGGTCGAAGATGAAGGCGATAATGGGGGCCCAAGTTGTATATCTTCACGAAGAGGCGAGAGCAAATTCGTCGACCCCGTAGAGGAGCCTGTTTGAACTTCCTTTGATGCCAATGTCGACTTTGATGTCGATGACAACGCCAACGTTGGTGCTGTCGCCAATGCTGATATCGTAGACAGAGATGAAGAAGACGAAGCTCGTCTAGCTAGAGATCCTCGTCCGAGCTTGCTTGACCTGGGCAACTTCGTTGTTAAAGTCGGGTCCGTAGACGTAGTCGAGGCAGAGATCAAAGGGCTCAGAGTATTGCGCGGAGAATTTCTCGTTATAAGACGTTCTTGCAATGTATCCGAATCCTCATCCTTCTCCTGATTCAGAGCTAAACTCTTTGATTCACGCTTGGGTGTAGTAGTGAGGTCGGAGGTGATCGTCGACGATATAGTGGTATAAGGGAGTACCAGATCGTCTTGAAGCGAGGTCGAACCGATAAAGGACTTTCCCCTGAAGCCCATCCGATCCAGGTCGAGAGTCCCGTCGGAGTAAACGGAATAGGTAGGTTCGTTCGGGGTAGAACAGGGGTTGGTCAATCGGATTCGGGGAGTAAAGGAAGGTTTCAAAGGACGATCGACGTTATCGGTTTCGTATCGTTCAAGTCGAAGTTATAGCACGAGTCGCAAAGTTCACGAAGAAGGCGACGATCAGCCGATCTGCACTGCAGCGATCCTCAACCAGCACCCGCCGACAAACGAGAGCTCACCTCGATCTAGCCTGAGTCAAACTGGGACGATGTAGAGAACCTCCAATAAATGCAGAACTCGAACCTCTCTCCAAGCCTGGTCGATTTGGCTGATCTGAAGTAGTAGTAGTGCTATTATTATTTGTGGTAGCAGTACTAGTGCTACTGATCGTGGTCCGGCGTCCTAATCGAGGACGATCTAGATCTTCGGGTCGACTTCCGTCTTCCGGGTCGATCGTCGAGGTCAAAGCCGAGTCGAGATTGGAGGACGAGGTCGAATCTTTCGATAATGTCGTATTCCGACGGGGTCCGCTGGGTCGAGACGAGGACATCGTGATGTTGCTCGATGCTCGATGTTGATGATTATGATAATTGTTGATGAGTAGTAGGTAGGTCGGAGGACAGGGATCGGTTACAGGATGTCTCTCGGTAAGACATCTACTAGAAGGACGGGCTTGGGGAAAGAGAAGGGGATATGATGAAGGATCAGTCAAAGGACCCCCCTACTTTCGGGCGGCGGAGGCGAGGCCGGAGATGTTTCGCTAGCGTCGTACTTGGACCTTGATCCGCAGGAGCAGAGGTCGACGGCAGATGCGGCAGACCAGGTCCAACGGTTTGCAAGCCTGCCTGGTACAAGTTGATCCCCGATACCCGGGGGCGGCCGTAGGGGAGACGAGGTTGCAAGTTGTCTGGGGGAAGAGGAGAGCTGCGTAGGTCCTTGATCGCGTGCACGCTCTCTGCTGATCTGCTGCTCGATAATCGAGATTACGCGACGGTTCGGCGACCACGGCGGAGTTTGATGATCAAAAGAGGCTGGCGGCGGCAGCCTATTCTTACGCTAGATCGGGCCTGGATTCATCATCCATCATCCTACTCTACCTTCCTATCACGATCGTGGACCAACACACTACGACTCAACCTTTTGACCTACAATTGCACCAAATACAATCCACCTTCTCGCAACATGTCCCATGTCACACAGCTTCGACGACCTCGAGACCTCCAACGATCTCGCTCGACCAGGAAAAAAGCCATCTACGACCTGCGCGCGAACGGGCGCGGAGGCGTATCATCACATGCACATGGCCATCCCATCCCCTGAGCCCACGTCAGCGATGATGACCGAGCCAGGGGGTCAGCGGGGAGAATTTCTCTTCTTGCCGGGAGGCTTGCGCAGCGACTGGCCCGACTGGCTAGCCGTCCATGTTCTATGAGATCTATGATCGTATTGCTGGTGGCAACAGAGCAACAGAGCTGTCTCCCTAACTCCCTGCTTCCTGCTTGCCAAAACACCCAAACACAAACAAATCGCACCTACGCATCCTCTCAGCCCTCCACATCGGCCAACTTGGCGCTCGGCCGGTTTCCGTCGGACCCGCTCACGGCCAGATTTCAGGCTGGGCATAGAGGCTCGGCACGCACGCTACCTCCATTTCTGGGGTTCAGGGAGGTATCGCAGGAATCGGTGTCTGTGGCGCCTAGAAATATCTCGCCTGTCTGGTATGGTTTGCTGCGTTTCAGAATGTTTTCCGTGAACAAGCAGGCATATTATTGTCTCAGGGAGTGTTTGTAACGAAAGAACCATCCTGCAACATTGCCCATTACGTCCTCATTCTGATTTTCTGACGATCTGGGAACGTCATGATGATCTGGTAACGTCAAAACGATGGAATGATTCATGAAAGACAGATTTTAACGCCATATACGTAACGTGACAAACCCGCTCCATCATCCCCCGATGTTGCCATCTAACTTTTCCGTCATGATGTACACGTCTCTGTTTTACTGCTGATGCTTCTGATGGTATTACTATTCTCTGCTTGCTCTTGTCTTCGTATCGTCGTGATCGTAACAAGAAAAGAAAGCCAAACAACCGCTTCTCTGTGATGATGCGTTGTGTCGAGTTTGTTGAATTGATGATTGTGCGCATCTCGTATCGACCCCGACTTCGTTTGTCCGTGTGAGTTCAGGTCGTGCAAGACGCGCGTATGCCGCATGCTTCGTGCCAAGTATTGTGTGTACGATGTGAGGTATGAAACTTGTGATGTATCGTGTCTTGCTCTCTGCTTCGTTGATCGTCGTCGTCTTCGTAACTCGTTTCTAGCGCATCCTGATCGATATCGCTGTGGGTCGGGTCGACCCTGACCTCTCACCTCGAAGAGGCCTCAGATGTAAAGCTCTTTGATCCCCTTGATGGCTCCTTCGCCCTCCTCCTTCTTGGCCGCACCACCTCGGGTCCGCCTTCCCTCGCCTTGGCCATCCTGAGCAGGCTCGTCCGCCCCGAGACCCCAGGCTTCCGCTTCGATCCGCTCTCGACGCCCAATCTCGGCCCGTCGCTTCCTCGCTTCGCGTTTGGCTTTGCCTCGCAAGACCTGGTCCTCGGCGTTGGAGCCCTCGCTGTTCGGGGTAACGGCAGGATCGCGGACCTTGGCCATATTCTTTCCCAAAACACTGAACGTCTTCCGAGCGGGCGAACCTGGTAGGGTTCCACCGTTCCGAGATCGCGTGATGCGGCGGGACGACTGGTCATTGGCAGAGACTGAGGTGAGTTGGCGTTTCCGACCATGAGTAGGTCGGGCTGGCGAAGGAACCGAAGGAAGCGCAGTCGACGTCGAGGCGGCCACGTCGCCGAGCGGATACGTCGAGCCGGTCGACCCGGATCCATCAGATCCACCACCGAGACTGATCGTGCTTCCCGTTCTCGATCCCTGACTCGCCGCGAAACTATCCAAGCTCGACGTTTCGTACCCATCGTCGTCGTCTTGTACGGGACGGCTATCAGCACTCCCCGACACCCGTCTTGTCCGCGCCGCCCTGCCTTCCAAACGCGGTCGGCCCATCGCCTTGATCTTTCTCCCGTCCGTCGACCCTGTGGGCGTGCACGTAGCGTGAGAACCGGTAGGTGAAGGTGCGGATTCGTCATTGTCTCGCCAAGCCAAGTGTGAGCCGGGTGCAGCATCCACCCTCCAGCCAGTCGCCCCGTCCTCCTTGTCCAACTTAGTCTCGACCGCATCAACCTCGACGTCCTCTTCTTCGGCCCCGACCTCGGCGACCAAATCATCAACGACCGTCTCCCACGCATCACCTCTCTGTAATCTTCGTCGAATATCGTCCTCCGAGACCCCGTGATCTGGGGGGAGCGAACGCAACACGGACTTGACCGATTCTTCTACCGCTGGATCGGTTATCGAAGACTCGGCGTGAGGCGTTGGTTCTTCAGCTGGTAATGTGGTCTACAATTGGATGGACTAGGAAATGAGCTCTGCGAACACACGCCTCGAGCTCAAATCCGGATTTCAACGTACCTCCTTTATCCTAGGTGGACCTTTATGAGGACCCGCGAGATTCCTCACGCTCGAATAGTGTTCAAAGATGTGATAACTGACATACACCATCCCCGTGCCACCTCCATCTTCCTCTTGTCCCTCAACGGGAACGGCCGAGGACGACGAAGACGACGCTTCGGCCGAAGACGTACCGCCGCCACCAAGATCCGCAGCCGAGGTCCCGTGCGGTAACGCTCGGAGGGTGTTCTTTGACGAGTCTTCGAGCGGAGTCGGGGATTCGTCTCGGGGTAGGATGATGTAGACGTACTACCAAGGCGGTCGTCCATGATCAGACTTGCCGTCATAGGTCTGAAGTCGACAAGTCGAGCTTCGACTCACCTCGGGCATGATGACCTTGACCGCTCGGCCTTTACATCGAGCGAACGCCGTCAATTCCATATGGCCACCGTATGTTCCTGATCACGTTGCAACGAACAACGTTAGATCCCCCCCTCGAAGTTTCCGACGATATATTACCCTAACAAGGGGACTGACCTCGCTGACGCATGACCGAGAGGTAATGATCAAACGGCCGTTCGGTGTCGACGAACCCTTCAAAATTCTTCGGATGCGCTTCCATATAGTCGCAGATCTACCTCGTCAACATCACACGCCATATCAGCCTCGAGATCGATGATGACACCCGAAGTACGCCCCGGTATATCGAACAAGACGGAACGGGACGACACTCACCTCCTGCCTCAACGCCAGATGTCGATTATCGTTCCCCCAGACCTGATCGCTCAACGCCCTAAACATGCAATTCCCATCCCCGACCGTCTTGCTCGCATACAACCCCATTCTCTTCAAAGTGGTATTGAGCATCCGTTCGGTAGTCTCCGGGTCAGAGGGGTCTAGGAGTCTGTGGGCTTGACGGCGGGTTTCTAGTTTCATAAGAGGAGGGATATGGGGTCGGTCAGGGTGAAACAGCGGTCGAAGACGTTCTGATGTGGTGTGATGGCTTACGTCTCGCACCCCCACCTCCAGTAACCTTCCCCTTCTTCCCCCCACCTCCCGCACTAGCGGCATGATCATCCCCCCCACCCCTGACCTTCCGGCTCTTGGCACCGGAAAGCTTCTTGCTGACCATCCCAGCTTGTCGATACGATCCTTCTTCTCCTTTCTCCTCTTTCTCTTGTTCCGTTACTGAGTTTCTCTCTCTCGTCTCGCCTAGGACGACGGAGATATAGATCTCGGCGGGCTCGCAACTTCCGCTCGAGTTTGAGGCCAAGAAGAAGCTTTCGACCTCTCGACGTTTTGGCCAGTTTTGTTCGAGTTTCAAGGAGAAAGGATAAAGGAAGATGCGGAGGAGGTAGAGGTGATGTGAAAGGAGCTCATCCGTGGTGTGTCGTCGAATGTGGTGCGGATTGATGCGATGCGATAAATCTATCTGTCGGGGTGCGTTGATGCTGAGAGGTCTCACGGTATACTGATTGCAGAGTCGGGGATGTTGTCAAGAGATGCAAGATGTCGTCTTTGTTGCTTGTTCGTTCGTTTGTTGTTGTTGCTTCTCAAGGTGTCGATCGTCCTCAAAGGATCAAAGGATGATCCAGATCCAAAGGTACCTCCCCCTTCACAAGATGCTAGACGTGTCGGAAGCTAAAATCCAACTTTGTGTCGCTGTTGCCCGTCCTCGCTCTCGCCCGGATCTCGTTTCTCGCTGGGAACTCGGTTGTCGAAGTGCTGACTAATACCTCGCCCCTCGTCCTTGGAATGCGATGGTAGCGATCCGAGCTGATACGAAGTATTCTAGTCCACCTGGTGGCTCGTAGTCGGAGGGACTGAGCTGTGGGTTTGGTTGTGATTGTTGATGTTGAAGTCGGACGAGATCGACGACGACGATGAGGTGTTTTTCTCGGCGCGCGGGGGAGAGGGGATTGTCACGATCGACGACGACGACGACGACAAGAGTGAGAAGTGGGGTGTCGGAATGCAGATTATAGTGTTCAGAGGCCAGAGGTCAGAGAGACAGTATGTATGATCTGTAACCAGATGTTGGCCCGAGGTCGAGAGGTAATGCGAGGGAGAGATCGATGAGCTGGTCTGGCTCTGAGACGTTCGGGATCGTGCGAGGGGCGCCAATCCGGGGACGACCACTTTCGATACGGGGACGACCATTTGACCAAATTTGAATTGAATTTCGACATCGTTGCAAATTAACGATGCTGCCGTAAGTTTGCTGCCGTAATGACCACGCGCAACGATCCACGTCATCATCGCCGACCGCAACCTCGAGCTTCATCGATCCATCTCATCATCGAGTAGCAAAGACGAGACCCAGACATATGCATAATATCGCGAGAGGTTTAATCCTCTCGCATCGATGAACGGGGGCGGCCAGCACCCCCCTTGATTACAATCCAGAAAAAAATATATCGCGCATGTATCTCGCGCATCGAACCGTATAGAAATGAAAAAAAAATAAAAAGGTCAAAGACCCCCCGCAAAGATGCGGCCTACTCGTCGTCGGGAACGTCAGGAGCTCTCTCGAGATCGGCAAAGAACTCGGGGTGGTGAACGAGCGCATGTTTGCATTCGCAAACATCCCCCTCGTCCGACCGGACCTGTTGGTCCTCCCCCGCCCTCCCGTGGCACATCTCGTACTTCTCCATCTGAACGATCCGAGCGCCGATCTGGACCGCATCGTCCTTGCTCATTTGTCGATCGTAAATCAACTTTTCGAGCAAGGCCGCATGCTTGAGCCAGACGTTGGCTTCCGCACCGATGTAGGCGGGACCTTGGGGCCGGGCGAAGGTCTTGCATCCTCCCGACGCTTCTTTGCAGAGGCCGCATTGCCCCCACAACGATCCGCTCGACGTTCCCGCGACCACACCTCGACAGAGATAGATCCCGCCGTACTTGACGCAATTGACGAGGGGAGGGTATTCCTTACCCTCCTTCTGCCAAGCCGCGGGCATCTTTGCGACGTCCATCAACTGCTCGGGGCCGGTGTAGGCCGGAGGGAGGTCCGTTCCGAAGAGATCGAAGCACCTCGAACATGCGAGACGCCAACCACCCTTCTTGGTCGACTAAACATAAGCATAAACTTTGAATCAGTATCGTTGACTCGCATCGTTCTTGAAGACAAACACAACGCAAAGATGCTCACCAAGAACCCCTGGATGGCGTTCGTGTCGAAGAGACCGCTCTCGTCCGGAACGATCCACTCGTTCCAATCCTCGGGAGTTTGAAGAGGGAGATCCCTCCTCTTCGACTCCTTGATGATCTCTTGGAGCACTATACCAGACGTAAACGTGATAGACAACAATCAGCATGATAGTTAAGAAGCATCTTTCCGACCGAACTCACTCTTGACATTGTTCCTCCTGGCAGGAGCGGCGTTCTTGGCCCCCTTGACGGTCTCCGTCATGATGCAGGCCATGTATGCGCCCGTCGAGAGACGAAACACCGCATCTTTGCTCTCCGAGAGAGCGGGAGCCGCTTCACTGGTCAAGAGAACCTGCTTCTTGCGGGGGGAAGAGGGCGACGCGGGTGTCGTTTTCGACTTCTTCGACCCCCCCAGCTTCCTCTTCTTTGCGGTGTGACGAGGCGTTCCGGGAGATGTGTCGGAAACATCCGACTTGTCGCCCTCTTCGGCCTGCTTCTTCCTCTCGTCTTCGTAAGCATGCTGCCAGTGGGAGAGGGTCAAAAATGCGGCCGGCCAGATGTGGATCGTGGGATCGGGAAGGTGGGAGGGCTTTTCGAGAAGGAACGCTGCTTCCCAGATGTTGGTTCTGAACGATGCGAGACAAAGTTCCGAGTCAAAAAAACGTCCTGATTGATACGAAAACAGTCTCCACTCACAAAGCCGGGCTCAACGTTCCGGTCTGGGCCCCAAGCTGCGTCCCCGAACCAGTCGAGGAGCCTGCCTGACCTTGCAAAGCCGCGCCAGCTTGTCCGAGAGACATATTTGCGGTCTTGGGCTCGGGCTTGGTCGTCGGAAAGATGGGGTTGCCTCGAAAATCGACAAGTTTGCTGCTCAAAGTTCGGTCGAGAAGGATGAGCGAGATACATGAGACGTAACGTTGCAAAAGGACTTACACCTCCTTCCCCTTCGAGTTGAAAATCGTCCCGTCCTCTCCCGCAATGTACCGCTCCTCGTCTTCGTTCTCGGAGTCGAAATAGACCGACCTGTCCGTAATGTTGTGTTGGACAAACGGGTTATGAGGATCCCGATCGTACAGGGGATGTTTGGGAGGCATTGATGCGAGTGAAGAGTGAAGAGTAAAGGTTAGTAAATATTGGAGAGGGGGAAACTTGCCTTTGGTCGAGAGATATAGGGAAAATGCAACGACGCGTAGCTTGAGCGCGTTTGTTGTTGTTGTTCTCTGTGTAGCAATGATGTCATGGAAAGAACAAATTGATCGATAGGCATTTGTGCGGGGGAACTGATAGAAACAAAGAAGAAGATAGTGAAACATCCTTTGAGACGCGTCGTTGCGTCTCATCGATTCTCCTCATCAAATGGAAAGTCTTCGAACATGAGCCCCTCCTCTGTTTCCCGCGAGGGGAGATCCACCCCATCATTGAAGACGGATGTTCCTGTCGGATCGTTGAAGAACGACAGAGGATCAAAGTTGGCTGTGATCGTTGCGACTGATGCTTGAGTCGCTGGAACAAGGATGTTTGATGATGATCCACTGATGTCGAGGGTGGAAGGAATCGTTTCATTGGATGATTGAGGCTCAACAGTGCGTGTGATCGGTGCAAGAGAAGGTTGGGAGGCGTTCCAAATCTCTGCTATCCTCGCATCGTTGGCTCGCTGACAGTCCCGATTCCTTTTCGTGTGGCCAAGTGTACCACATACGGTGCATGTTGGCGGTTTGCGAGGTGCTTTTCCCTCTACTCGTTCAAATCTACACTGCAACCTTTCGGTGGAAGTAACAGGCTGAGAGATGGCGGGGGCAGGACCGACTCCATACATCCTTTCGGTGATGGAAGGTTGTTGCGAGCGTGGTAACGATCCGGGAGATCCGTCCGTGGGCAATGTTGCTGTCGCTGAAACACGACCGACATGGGCGCGAGGAATCGGATTCAAAACGGTTCCGAGGCGAGTCTCGCGCGCGTTTCCCTCCGGAGGCGGAAGCAAGTAAGGATTCGCCAGCACAGGCGCGGTGACGACCTCCACCTCATCGATGATGTCGAAAACCTCTCTAGGATCGATGCGTGGAACGTAGGTCCCTATCTCCTTTGCCTCGTCGACCAGTTGCGTCTCAAGGATGATGTGCCAATAAGGATGGAAGTCTGCCAAGACGAAGGGACGCCTGCGAACCCCTTGCAAGAATGCCATGCATGTATGCTTGCACGGCAAACCTAAAGTCGCATGGAACGATCCACTGCAAGGTTGCATTTCGATGTCGTTGTCCTTGGCACTTTTCGCAGGGTAGTAGCCGGCTTCCAACACCTTCAAGATTGCGCGTCGAGAAACCTTTCCCCGAACCTAGCAGACTTGTCGAGTATCTTAGCGTGCGAAGTTTGCTTTGCAAAGTTCAGACTCACCAAAGCGAAAATCTCTGGCATGTACAGCAGCTTCGCGCGACTTTCAGTCGCATGTTCGAGGAAGATCTTTGCTTGCGTAGCACTCATGTGTCTAAGGATGTTCTTGGTCGTCTGAAAGAGGTTGCCTCGTGTGCCATTCAGCGATCGCTTGATTGCAGCGTGAGAACTCTCAGCTATCGATGTGGCGATGTTGTTCAGGTGAAACATGCGGTCGGTAAGATGCCTGGCAAAGAACCGTTTGTCTTCCAATAGGCTGACCATATAGGTGCACGGAGAGGAAGTTTCCGCCCCACCATACGCATGGATGAATGCTCTGAGCATCGATACGTATTCAGCTTCCGTTGGGGCTTGAACGATTGATGTCCACGAGGCCAACATTGCGTTGAATGTTTCTTCAGGTAGACCGCGTTTACACTTCGCAACGATGTTCTTGTTGATATGCCAGATGCATAACAACTGGTTCCAATCAGGAAAGATGCGAGTAATAGCGTTACGCAGGCCTTTCTCATTGTCGGTAAGGATGGTTTGAGTCGGAACGTTGCCCCTCATCAGTTTCTTAAATGACTCCATCGCCCAAATGTAATCTTCTTCTCTCTCGCGATGCATGAACGCAAAGGCTACTGTGAACGATGTGTTGCATCCAGTAGTCGCAACGATGTTGAGGAGAGGTAAGCGGTACATGTTCGTCTTATAAGTACAGTCGATGTATAAGACGTAACCATAATGTTGCATCAATGCCATGGCCATTGGCTCCGTCATGATGAGGTCGGTTAATTCCCCTAGATCCCCGACCTTGTGAATGACGTCGAACCCCGCCTCCTTGAGCTGCAGCAACAATTCGTCCGTAAAAGTACGACCCTGATTTCCGTAAGAGAAGTATCGCGTCTTTGCATTGTAAATCTCCCTCATCGAGACGTAGGTGGATCGATTCTCGCGAGCTGCTGACTGGCAAAGTAGCTCGAGTATCTTTGAGGCGGATATGCCCGCATTGAAAGCGTCGATCATCTTCTCCGACTCAACAGTAGTAGGTTTTCGATGCTGGTGATGTATGCGTGGGGAATCATCCGGCTCATGATTGTGAATGAGGTGTCGAGCCTCATAGTTCCATCGCCCTTGTTCGTCTATAGAGGCATATAATTTGAACAAGCATCCTGTTCTTTTACTTCTCGGATGTTTGCTTCTTATTCGGCCGTAGGTTTCGATGTACTTGTGCGAGTTGTGATGTTGACCAGCAAGTGTGCAGCCGATATACGCCGCTCGCATCTTTCCATCTCGTTTTGTCGTGTTAAGGATGCGTATTGCATAACCCTGAATTCGACCATGCTTATTTAATTCTTCAATCAGTTTCTCGAGGGTAGGTTGAGGAACGATGGGGAGGGGAGTTGCCACAAAGCCTTCAGGCGCATCGATGAGTTCAGGTTCATCCTCTTCTGATTGATCAAGCTCATCGACGCGTGAAGGTGGTAGATTCTCAACGATCAGGGGGGGCGGCGAGGCTGGATGTTGGTCCAGGGGAGGTGCGACGATATGATGAAGATTGGCTAATACGAAAGCTTCCATGATGTGCAAGGTTGTCAGGTAAAGAAGCTATGGAACGATCAGATAGAAGGAACAAGAGATCTTTCGGTCGTTCACAAGGAACGCGATACCCCTATCGGATCGTTCCGAACGGGGAGTTGTGATCGGGACTTTGAGCATCACGTGAGAGTCGCAAGGATGACTGTCACGTGAGCAGTGGAAGTTTGATTGCCAACGTTGCGAATCAAATATCAAATATTACGAGATGGTCGTCCCCGTATCGAGAGTGGTCGTCCCCGGATTGGTTCCCCGTGCGAGCTGCTCGAACTCGATGCTCCTCTCTCTCGCCCGAGCCCGAGGTGAAAGAGAAATTTGCATCCGAAAGGGCTGAAACGTTCCCCTGAATGGATGACGTTATCAGCCAGCCTGACTGCCGCCAAACAGAAGCGCGTTATCCTCGAGCGCGTAGCTACGTCATCATGACATCACCGAAACATGTACGAAGAGACGGGATCCTTTGTTTTTCGCTTGCTCGCCGCTCGGCGAACCTTGTTGCGTTGTCGCAACTCCTCGGTGGATGACGAGGGCGAGCGTGGGCGCATGGGAGGCAGAGGCAGGGAGGACGAGGAGCGGGAATCCCATGACGACGATTCGGTTGTCACCACACCATCACGACGAAGATGTGAGGATGATGACGAGATGAAGCTGCGGGCACACGACCACGGAAAGGGCTCTCCAGGACCCTATAAGAACTCCTGCTCTCTCGTACTAACCAGCTTCGACCCCCTTTCACCACCTGACCACTCTACTCCAAAACACGAACACATCAATTCTACCACCACACTTCTAATCCCCCCACTATGTCAGACTTCCACCAGACCACCGTCGTCGGTAACGCTAGCAACCTCGAGCCCGCCCTCTCGCAATCCCGAGCCGCCGGCGAGCCCATCTCTGACGCTCCCCGTGCCGTCGCCGTCGACGACGCTCGAGCCAACACCCAGGCCTTGGGTCAGGACGCCAGGCTTTACGGTCAGGCCGTCGGTCAGGAGGCCAAGGACGCCGCCAACTCGACCGCTCAGCAGGCTCAGCAGAAGGGTCAACAGCTCTCCAACTCTGCTCAAGAGACCGCCAAGAACGTCCAGGCTTCCGCTCAGGACACCGCTGCTCGGGCTCAGGAGACCGCCAAGCGGGCACAGGAGCAGGCTGGACAAAAGCTGAACCAGGCTGGGAACAAATTGAACCAGGCCGCTGGACAGGCCAACGAGAGGCTGCACGCTGTTGGCGAGCAGGTCGCTCATCACCCCTTGGTGCAGGACGCTACCAGGCAGACTCAGCAGCAGTTGAACGTTCTCGACCAGCAGGTGAGTCGGCGAAGACGGCGTGTGTTTTCTATCAAAAGAATGGGTGGCTGATCTATACGATTGCTGTTGTTCTTGTTCTGCAGCTCGCTAGGTTCGGCTTCCTCAACGAGTTCGAGGCCAGGACCAACATCCCCAAGACGTATGGTGTCCTCGGATTTTCCGCTACGTGAGTCCCAACATCATCGGTCATGGTATCGCACGTCCGGACCCTGAAGCTGACATACTATTCTCGCCACACAGCATCGCCCTCTTGATCCTCCTCAACCTCTTCGGCCTCGCTCAACCCATCACCAACCTGATCGGATGGGCCCTCCCCGCCTACCTCACCTGCCACGCGCTCGAGTCCCCTCAGAAGGGTGACGACGCCCAATGGCTCTGCTACTGGATCGTCTTCGGCTTCCTCAACTACATCGAGTCTGCCGCTCTCCGAGTCGTCCTCTACTACGTCCCCCACTACTTTACCATCAAGTTGGCCTTTACCGTCTGGTTGATGTTGCCCCAGACCCGAGGTGCCGAGAGGGTCTACTACTCGGCCTTGAGGCCCTTGTTCCAGCAGGGAAAGGCCAAGGCTAGGGAGATCAACGCCAACTCGCCCGCCACCTCGCAGTTCGGTGCCGGCGTCTCCTCGTCCAACCGATTCGGAACCACCTCGTCCGGTTTGAACAACGACAACTCGGTCGGTTACTCTACCGGTATCAACACCCGATCCACCGGTGCTCACGACAACAACCCCTTCACCGCCACTTCTGCCGCTGGGGGTGTCGGAGCCGGCTTCGAGGGTATGCAGACCACCGAGGCTGGTAGCATCGGACGAGTCGGTGGAATCGTCGTCCCCCCTGCCGCCGGATTGCCTCTCCCCGAGAACCCTATGGGTGCCGGAGCCAGGTACTAGAGCGTCGCAGAGAATCCCGATCGCACGGTGACTTTCTCTCCGCCTAGATGTCTTGTTTTACGAATCGCTACAAAATCTCAAAGGAACGATACGATACACGAACGACCTCTCCTCCTATACTCTTCTTTCTGCCCGAATATATAAAAGTCTCTTCCGGAGGTGTTTTCGGCAACGCTTTCGTCGCAAGGGTATTACTGCTGTACGCTACAACCAAAACGTCGATTTTAATAATGTATCCGATTAGGAATATTCGATCTGATGTGATGCAACTTTTGGTCTGATATTCCAGTCGGCCAGTGATCTAGTGATGCGTTGGATCCTAGTAGGGGTGTGACTCGGGTGATGCAAGACCTCGAGAAGATTATCTCTGTGTTCTTCCGGCGAAGGAAATGCAACATAGGAGGCGGCTTCCCCCGTGACGCGCCGTTTCACCATCACAGAATACGGTAAGCGCTGTATGGGAGTTGCAGGCCTTGGACCTTGTGGAAGGACTGGAAGCTAGGGGAGAATGAAAGTGGACTCAGAGGAGAGGCGATGGTAGCGGACGACAAACGGCCTGAGACCAGCATGACAGTAGGCCATCAGCATCTCGAAGTGGTGACGGCGCTCAGCTTGCAGGTGCTGACCGTTACCGGAGGTAGGGGAGGAGGGGGGGGGGCTTCGGCACTACCATCCTAAACCAACAGTGTCGCAAGGGATCCATCCAGGTCGCACATCCAAAGCTATCCGATCGAAATCGCGCGGAGTTTCGATGATCTAACTGTGTCTCGAGTCCGCTTGCGAAAGTTCCACTTCAATGCCTCATCGCGACCTGCTGAAAGGAGGAGATGTCGTCAGAGTCTACCATACAGACTTTCCTTTGGTAATGGCCCCTTAGCATTACGTTTTTCCAGCCTAGTACGACATCGACTGTGCCCGTCGATAATATATCTCTACTAGCATATAAACAAACACGCCGCAATACTACTGTAACCATGAAATCGCCTGCGAAGAGGAAGAACATCATAATCAGATCGCTTTCGAGAGGATCCAACATTAGAATCAAGATGGCCTCGGACTACACGCCTCCAGCGCTTTCCTCGGCCGTTGCTAGGGACGAAGGGAATGAGGCGCTCGTGGAGACGTCGAACAGACCATCCGCATCCACCCTCGCTTCGAGCTCCACGGCGGCGCTCTCGTCTACAGGAAGCTCTTCATCTCTGAGTCAAAACAGCACAACTTCTTTGAGCTTGCCGCAGAGCTTGTTGGGTGTCTGTCAGCTTTCTCGTGAATTCGTGCTCGTATCGAGAAGAGACTGGCTTCCGCTAAGAGGTAATCCACAGTGATAAATGACGGGAAGCAATGGCGTCGGCTCCTGCTTCAGCGAAAGTGGTAAAACGCCGCCATTCTCCCCATCAACCTGCAGGTGAACAATGTGCTCTTTGTGAGGTGCAAGGCTCTGCGGAACCTCACTTACGACGGCTGTCTTGGGCTGCCCCAAGCTTTGATCGACGTTGTTACCGGCGTCATGTCTCTGCTACAAGAATACGGATGAGGTTGGGTTCAAACAGAGCCAGCCTAACAGATCACTGAGAATGCATTCCACTTTAGCGGCGTTGACGATATTTGGTGTTGCACTCAAGAGTGGCTGTAGACACAGATGGCCAAAAAACTACTGAGCTGTTGATCACAGAGACCATCGATATTCCACCACAAGACACCTCCCGGGAAAAGCTTGCCGGCTCCCTGCAAAGAAGGGCACATCAGGCTCCGATATCGCGAAGCGGTTATCGAAGTCTCCAGTCCGGGAACTCGGTACAAGATCAGCTTTGACGACGGCCCGACCTTGGCGATCCAGACCACGAAACGTCTTCCCGGAGAAGCTCGCTCTTTCCGCATAGGAAAGGTGCAAGTTCCGCGACGGACTAGACGCGCTGCCGAAGGTACTCTTACGAAAACACTCTCCCAGCCTTCCGATGGTACAACCATTACACTCGATGACACAGGAATGTGGGATGGCTTCACAAATGAACCCTGAACTGCCCTTCTGAGATCTGTATCTCTTGAGTTTACTTGTTCAACCGACCGGAGCGCAATCAAAAGCAGACGTGAATGATGTAGACAGCTCTTTTGTGTTCGGTCGGATCGTAGCGTGTTGAGCTCGTCCATAGTGAAAGATCATGTCCCTCTCAAGCTCCCCCGTCGTGCCTTCGATCGCGCTTCTTTTGGGGAATATCTTTCATCAGTTCTGCGGCTGCTGATATTTGCATTTTCCCCAGAGTTGGAGAGGCGCTACAATGCGTGCAAGTTTCATACGCCGGCAAAGCAATTGAAGCGCTACCTCAAGAACACGACTGAGGACGTGTTCTGGGGCAAACCAGGCGGTCGCAGCAGCTGCGCATGTCCTTGTTCAGATTCCCGATCCGATAAGTTGAACATGTTCGAACACTTGGCGTTCTTAACACAGACACGAGATTCCCAGACGATATCGCGAAGGATTCAAGTTGTTGAGCTCCAATCTCATATTCGTAACGCTCCAGAAATCCAAAAACGCCGGACAATTGTGATCCTGTAACCTGGCCATATGACGTGCGCCACCAGAAGGATCAGGATATGTTTGAAAGCTAGCGCTATATCACGGGGTTTGACCGTGATCTCTTTCCCCGAGACTATTAGACTTTGTCATGGTATGATTATCCAGCACTTGTCGGAACTGGCCTCCGATTGCCGTTCTGTTGAGAGTGCGCCCTCAAACGCCGCTTGTATGATTTTCTTTCGACCACTCCGACGTCCTCTGAAACAGAATAATTGTCGTTCGCGGCGGATCATGCGTGAATGGTCGTGATACAATCAAGGTCAAGGGGAACACTGTGGTATCCTCACGGGTTTTATCCAAACCTATTTTGACGTTCAAGTTCTCGAGATTCCGCCCCAGTCAGAGGCTCAGACTGAGGTCTCGCGTTTCACATCACTTTCAAGGGACGACGTCGACCATCGATCAATCATTTAGAGTTTGGGTTGACGTCACTCGCGTGATCCCAAAAAGAAAATAGAAAGGTGAGCGAGTTGTGTTCGGCAACGACCGATCGATCGAGCGAGAGAGCGAGGGAGGTGCAACGCAGGGGTAGCATCGACCTACATCGTCGTGGATATGATCAGGTGGTATAGACATCAGGGTACAGAACGAGGAAGAGCAAAGGAAGAACTAGCTACATCGACACGCGTCGCTTAGTATCAGATAGCTCGCTGCACCCACCTACAGTACCTTTACCATCCCTATACTCATTAACACTTGCCTGAGCAACAATCACCTACATCTGCCTCCAAGTCCGGGATGGCGAGCACACAGGACCAACCCATCCCACCTAACAACACCGTCTCAGGACCTCCTGAACCTCGGGTGGAGACCGATGGAACGGGGAATCATAAAGCCTCTCTCCAACCCGAGTCAGGGGAGGGCAAGTCGAAGCAAGAGTCGGACCCCAGAGCAGCGTTCGATGATCCCAGTCAATACGGGTCGGACTTGTCGCCTTATAACAAGTTCCAATCGTTGAGGATCTGGGCGAGTAAGTCTCCCCACTTGATCGATATCACGATCTACAGGGTCTGACCTTCTCCTTCCACTTCCCGCAGCCGGGACCTCGTTACGAAACATAGTCGACGGCGCCAGTGTCTTTTACAACTACCGTTTCTTCCATAAAGAACGATGGTCCATCTACCTCAACCTCGGAGATGATGAGAATGGGAACCCGATCCCCAAATTACGGATCCTCATCTACCTCCCCCTGAGGGGTCGGGATTACGCTCTGAGGGGGTGGGTCAAGCCGGGGGAAGAGACGGGCAAGCCGAAGAAGCGGGGTGTGGTGGTACATCTAGCTGGGGGAGGGTTCACCATGTCAGTCCAGACCGTCCTTTCATCGGTACCAGCGTTGTCCCCGCTAATCGCGCTCGCTTACTCGAACGCCCTGCCTTTTATTTCCTCATCCAGGTGCCGACCGGAAAACGAAGGCCACCTCTGTCGAACCCTCTGCGACACCCTCTCCTCGGTCGTCATCTCCCCCGACTACGCCAAGGCCCCACAACACCCCTTCCCCGTCGCCCTGAACCAATGCTACGCGCTCATCCGCTGGATAGCAGACCCGGACGGCTTGTTCCAGTTCCTCTCCACCTCGGGTACACCGTCCATCAAGACTTTCTTGCCCAACGTCGATCCTACTCGGATAGCCTTGTCCGGAGGTAGTTCGGGTGGGAACCTCGCTGCCGCACTCGTCGTCAAATGCATGGACGGCCCTTCGCTCCCTCTCGACGCTCGGATAGTCGGCTTGGGTCTCCTTTACGCGATGATCGACGTGACGGTACCCTTTCAAGAGAAACTCAAGGACGTACCTGATAAGAGCAAAGTCCTCCCGCGTTGGCTTACCAGGTTGTTCCTCGACGGGTACTTGGACCAACTCCGGATCCCTGCCAATGCCGAGAAACTACGCGATCCGTACCTCTCCCCTGCGTTATGTTCCCATGAGCAACTAGAGAGGTTCCCCAAGACCGTCGTCGTGACGGCGGAAAACGACTACCTGTGCAAGGAAGGCGAGATCTTTGCCGATCGGCTGGAGAAAGAAGCCGGGTTCTCGATAGCGAGGGATGGCAACAATAAGATCGGGGACGGACACGGCAAGCTCTGGCGCAAGACGTTCAAGAACGTCGGGCACGGGTTCGACATCGCCCCAAACTTGACGAAAGAGACGCAGAGGATCCACGGGCAGGCTCGGGAAGAGGCGTGGGGGATGATCTGCGAGGCGTTTGATCAGGAGCTCAGCGAGAGGAAGCGGTGGGCGAAACGGGATGACGACCGGAGGTCGAGTCCGGAGAGTTCAATGCAATGATGCGATGCGATGTGGATGATGATCGAGAGAGTTCTAGGTCGTGTATACATGGTTTCTTTTATAATTCGATCTCGTCCCATGAGATCTTGTAGCCCTTCTACCGCATCGCCGTCAACCCCTCATGCGGGACCATAATCAATTGTTCGCATCTACGACCAGACGTCGAGCAAGAGTCGCTGCGGAACGTAAATGAATGACTGTCAGCATCATGCACCTACCGACTGCCCCAAACACCCTCGACCTGGACTCACCTGCCTCTCCTTCAACAGCTTGAACTCTTTCGCGCCCTCGACCTCGGCGGATCCTCCCTTGGCCTCGCCGAGCATGGCCATGAGCTTTTGTTCGACGCTGTGCGCCATGTTCTTGGCATCTCCGCAGATGTAGATGTAGGCCCTCTTTTCCAGGATGAGGGGGACGAGCTTGTCCCTCGCGTCCCAAAGCAGATCCTGCACGTAGACTTTGCCTACAAAGAGAGACGATACAAGTGGTCAGCCGACGTCCATGTACCACTTCAACATTGGGATTGTGGACTCACTACCGTCAGGCTTCCGCCTCTCGCTCCTCGAAACAGCGACTTCCAAATTCAACTTGCCCCCCAAACCCCTCTGATACTCTGGCCACTCGTCCCTGTACAGATAATCCTCATCCTCCTTCCTGCACCCGTAGAACAAGAACATCTCTGCCCAATCCTTCAAGGCCGATTCGGGCGTAGCTCCCGGTCCGGCCTTGGTGATCGCCCGCTGGGCGGCAGCGAGACGTTCTTGCACGAACCCTCTGAAGGGAGCTACACCTGTTCCCGGTCCGATCATGATGATCGGAATCTTGGGCGAAGTAGGCAGTCTGAAGGTAGACCTCCTGACGTGAACGGGGACGAGGTACTTCTCATCCCTGAAATGACGCTCCCTCGGCCCGGAGATCTTGTACTTGGGCGTGCTCGCTTGAGGGTGTACGATCGACGGGGCCGAATTGGGCTGTTGGCTCTGATCGGCCATCACGGGTGCTTTCCCTGCATGACCCTCTTGCGCCATCTTGACGTTCATGATGAAATTCGTCCCAACCCCGTAGACGAACCTGGACCTGCCTCCGTGGTGCTCGGAAGGCTGGGACTCGTACTTCAAGACCACCGCGGTAATGTGAATCGAGTCCGGGTAAAGCTTGGGCGAAGAAGAGATGGAATAGAACCGGGGTTGTAACCTGGGAATGACCGAGATGATCCTGTCAAACGGAATGTCCTTCCAGACCGTAGTGTTCCCGATCGAAGGGACCTGGTGGAGATCGTCCCCGGCTACAGCCTGGAGGACCTCGGCTAGCTTGAGAGCGGGTCCCTGGACGTGCTTGTTATAGGCATCCTTGTCCGTACCCAGCTTTGACAACCTCTCGCCCACTTCCGCGTTCGGCGCAAACCTAGCGAGGAGCGCCAAAGTCTGCCTTGAAGCCACGGCCGAGACATCGAGGTAATGCCTAAAGATGGCATCGTACGTAGCAGGGGTGGGGAACGGGATCTTTGCCAACGTCGGATCGAGACTCTCCACCTTGATAGCCCTGTGCCTCTTGTCCTCGCCAGCGAGACCGAGGACGCACAAGATCCTGTCCACCTCGACGTCCGGGTTGGTAGGCCAGACCCCGACGTGATCACCGGTCTGGTAGACGACCCCGCTGTCCTTGATGTCAAACTCGACGTGGATACAGTTGCGGTCCGAGTCGACCGAGAACAGTTCCCTGGCGACCTTGACGGGTGCGAGGTAAGGGTTCTTGGCATCCGGGATCCCAGTCTTGGTGATCGTCCCCGAAGTCGGTCCGCCTCCATTCGCAGTCCCTACGAACGCCAACGCCCTCGCGCTCAACTCTCCGTGAAAGACCTTTTCCTTTTCCGCGGCATCGGCGCTCAACTCTTGGACGACGAAATCGGCCACATCCCCACTCCCGCCCTCTTCGATGCCGGTGACCCGCTGGAAATCCACCCACATGGGATCCTTCCAAGCCAGATAATCCTCTTCCATAGACTTGTCATCGTCCCCCTCACCCCTCTCCCCGACCCTAGTCGCTCCGAGCTCTGTCAACCGCTTGTCCAATTTCCTCGCCACCTCGTTAAAGTGCTCATAAGTCCGGTTCCCCAGACCAAAGACGACATACTTCAACCCTTTCAACCTCTCCCCTCCTTCCCTCTCCATACTGAACTGCACCTCGTCGTCCATCAGGAACTCTACCAACGGCTGGGCGTTGTCGGTGGGGTCTCCCTCTCCGTAGGTGGCCATGAGGAAGAAGACCACCTTGTCCTCTTCAGCAGCGGCGTCGAGTTTGGTGAAATCGTATTCCTCTGGGTCGCAGACGAGGGAAGAGATGCCGAATTTAGATTTGGCCTCTTTGGCGAGCCTGATGGCGTATTCTTCGGCCGTCCCGGTCTGAGAGCCGTAGAACATGATACATCGTTTGTTCTAGTGAGCGTGGGTAATCATGGAGATGAGACGTCGAATCAAGTTGAGAAGAGGTAGAGGACGGCCAAGAAGGAAGAAAAAGATCGGCAAGGATCGAAAATGTCAGCATCTCTCTCTCTTTTCTCCACGACACAGCTCGCTTCATCCTCGACCTGAAACTCACGGCCTTGTTCATCTGTTCCAACCAATCCCTCGGATCTCCCTCTTCCTCGACTCCCCCCTTGCTTCCATTCCCGTTGACTCCAGCTCGATCGCCCGAGTTCTTGCTGGGCTTTCCGATGAGCGGGAGGCTGTCCTTGTAAAAGTACAGGACCGGGAGGAGGACGAGGAGCACGACGATGAGGGTATCTGCTGGGGTGGGCATCTTGCAGGGTTGTAGCTTGCTGCTGGGCTGCTTGGCTATAGGCTATAGGTTGATAAAAGCAGATATCGATCGAGTGAACGAGTAGACGATATATTTAAGAGTTGCTGAGTTGCACTGATCTCGCTGAGTGGGGGGGCGACGCGCGATCTTCCCGATCTCCCTTGGCCTCGGCAAAAGAAAGCAAGAAAAAGTGGGACCACCTCACCAGGGTGGACGGCTGATACACAAACACCATTGCCGCACACGACACCTGCATTTGCTATGCATGCAACAATCGATCACATTACGAGTCACTACCTTTCGACATGCTCTTTCAACGGTGTCGACCTCCCATGAAACCCCTCGAACCTAGCGAGTCTCGATGTTCGCAGTACCGGATGTCGAGATGTTGCGCTGGCAACTTTTGTCTGACTGTGCCGGGTTTGCCCCGCTTTTCTCGTCAACAAAACGCGGGGAAGGGTGGGCGCCACCAAGAGAACACAGCGCCACGGGAAGAGGACGAGAACAAGGTTTGGACGATCGGGGTCTCGACGTTCAAACGTTCCCTTGGTTCTAGTATTGAAACGCGAGGCGATGGATCGGGGGCTGGGAGAATTTTCTCCACGTATCCAGCCTGAATCATCTTGTGAGGGGTGAGACGAAGTTGTCTCCCTCTCCGCTCTTCTGAATCGCAAGTGTGCGGCCCTCAAACGTTTTTTTTTTTTTCTTTTTTCTTTTTTCAACCATGAACCATTGCCACTGCCTCCAAGTATCGCCGACCGAGCTCGAGTCGCATCCTCCATGGCCGAAACGTCCCTGCTATCGGTTTTCGGCCATGTTCTTGAATCTGTTCCTAGTCTTGATGTAATCACCCGTCTTATCTGAATCCCATTTTATATGCTCTGATGGTACCGCGCGATCTGGGTTCAAAAGCAACGGACAATTGACGATGACGGTAGCCACACCGATCACACCGCCCTCACAGACGCCGATCAGAAAGGCATCTCGTCCGGACCTCTTGGGTGTTTCATATGCCAGTCTCATCCCCCAGCCTTCCCACCAAGATCATCGTGCCGATTCCCAATTTCAATCCCATTGATCATCTGCCTGGTGGAATCAAGAATCAAAGGGAAGAACCCACCGGACACGCCGCCTGGACCTCAGCAGAGAGCTATGGGGCAAGGACATCCACTTGCAGGTCAAGGGCTGTTTGACGTTTCATCACCGCTCTTTCGATATTGTGGTTGTGAGAGCAAAAATGACTCTATCGAGTTTGTCCCCTACACCATTTACAGACAGATTTGGCTTTACAACCATGGCGACAGCTGATAGGAAATGCTCGCTAGTAAGAGAACCGGCAGGCAGGGGTCATCCGCTGTACCGCTATTCGATCCCACTGCTTCGCTAGTTCAGGTCGACGCTACCATAAGCCGGCCACGTCGATGTTCCGGAAGGTTTGAGGATATTGTTTTATATTCTTGTATAGCGATTGGACAGTACAATTCGTGGTATATTCGTAAATCCCTCGTAAGACAGATGTCAACTACACTGTCATAACACACCCGGCCGCCTGTCTGATCCTTCTCTTCCTCGTTAACGTCTCGCTCCAGCGGTTCCCCTACCAAGCATCCCCACCGCCAGACCGCCCTGCAACACCTTTTCTACCCGCCTGAACGTCAAGCTGACCCTTTTATCCCTCATGATCCTCACTTCCTTTTTACCAGCCTTGATAGCGTCTCTCAGTCGCTCTTTCGTGGCGGGATTCAGATGGTCCGAGTTCGACACTTCCACTCCGGCCAGCTTGACCTTGATCCTCGCTTCCCCTCCATCATCGTTACCAATTTCGCCACCGTCGAGCTCGAATACATCTTCCTCCACCGGACTGATCCCGTGCAAGAACGTCTCGTAGATCGCCTTCCTGCTGATAAACAATGACCTCGGTTCGAGGTAGATACAACCCATCGGGGTCGTTGCAATCGGCCTCCCGCACCCTCCTGTCTTCGCACTCGTACTCCCCGTTGAGGCTCCCGCAGTCTCTCCATCTGCAGCGATGGTAGACGATGACGTATCGTCACCATTACCGCTGCCAAAGACGTCCGATCGGCTGGAACCTGTCAGAGGTGGACTTGGATCCGATTCGGCGAGGTACTGAAAGATCTCTAGCGTTTGAGGGGAACCGAGGGAGACGGTCGCTACGATGGGGAGGTAGGCGGGTCCGTCTTCGTGCGGCTAATCTCAATGCAAAAAGGGTCGATAGAAGAGATAACAACAAGGGTGAGTGGGAGGTCAGTCAGTTTCTTGAGACTCGATCAGGGTGAAAGGACTCTGAGCTCACAGCGATGCCTTGTCCAGCTTGATACTCATTGATGAGCACATGGTTCGGTGTCCACCCTTTCAGCTTTTCCTCCCTACTTTTTGAGTCTTGCTTCTCCGGTAAGTTGGGAACGTGGCGATCTTCCAGTTCGGCCACGACGCTTCGTATTCGCTCGATCAACGCAGGGCTGAGAAGTTTAGTCGCCAAAGGATGACAGGGAGTTAGCTATAGTAGGCTAGATGTTGCGAATTGCAAAGAGGATATTCTTACAAATGAGTAATCCACTCAGGAAGGGATTCTGGGATCAAAACGTTGTTCTTCGACAGAGTACCACCTGTGGATGTTGAAAAGAATGATAGGCGATGCAATGAGTATTGGGAACGAACATGTAAGGCACTCCCAGAGCCTAGCCTACCAAGGTATTGAACTCTAGATAGGCATAATCGACGTGAGTCGAAGGGTTATGTTTGTAGAGAAACGAAGAGATCTCTTACCTCCTTCCTGTATTCTGCGTCTTCCACTATATCGATCACATATCACAGACACATCAACGGAGTTAGGAATGCCGCCTTGATCTCGTGTGCCGATCGAAACCGCAACTCACCTTTGGCTGAGGCGATTCAGCGACCTGCAACGCCAGACACAGTATCAGTCTCCTCCTTCGTCACAAGAATGTAGCTGGACCTACTACGGACCCGTTTCAAGAGGTACTCCTCTTCATACTCGGTTATAAAGTTTGGGACGTATATGGCCTCGGGAGGTAGACCGTCCAGTCGATGTACACGGTATGGTGAGGCTCTCGGGTCTGGAGTAGTTACGGACTCCATCTTGAGCAGTCCTCAGATTATTTTCAACTTCGAGTCTATGGACTCTCAGGGTCGAGGAAAGTAATTGTTGAATTGGATGGAATTGCATGTAGAAACGATCAAAGCAGACCCAAGGATGCTGTTGAACGAGAAGTGATGACGAATCGTTTGAGCTCGGACTCGACGTCTGCCACGAAGGACAACAACCCTGAAGAAGACGATAATAACACCTGATACATCATGACCTGACTACCTGGCTACGCATATCAGTCCACGTCCATCCCCTTCATCTTCTTCTCCCGTTTCTCCTTCCCGATCACCCTCGCCTTCTCTACCGCCTCTTCCAACCTGCTTTTCCCCGCCCCTCCCACATCCCCCTGGACCTTCTCCTTGCTCATCTGTTTCAAACACTCTAGGATCATGCCTACCAAATTGCTCCGTCTGAGCCCGTTCTCCAGCTTCATCCGGTGAAGCTTTTCTTGTTCTTGAAGCAGATTTTCTTGAAGCTGAGGTATGATGGATGACGGGGTATCGGGCGAGGCGATGAGTCGTTCCAAGCGAGGGATCGCGGCTGATCGGATGGCCAGGAGGTTGAACATGAGCTGTACCCCATTAGAAATCCAGCAAGATTCAACTCAGGATCAGCGGGCGAATCCCTTCCAGTGATGATGACGTGTGTCGGACTCACCGAACCAGCGGGATACGTCCCGATCCTCTCCTGTATAACCTCCGTCGCCTTCTTGACCCACCCTTCTCCCTCTTCACAACTCCCATGCCTGACAGCCCCGCTCTTCAACCCGTCCAGTTCCCAAACACATCCCATCTTGGGGACATAGGCGACGAAATGGTAGGCGTCCTCCTTTTCCTTGTCAGAAATCGCGTCTCGGGAGATGGAGAAGGGGGAAGAGTTGGAAAAGGAGTTGTGCGTCGTCCGTAGGAGTTCGGATTGACCGAGGATGTGACCGAGACTATGTATATATGGTTGGAATGGTCTCCAATCAGCTCGAAAACGATGGCAGCATGACAGACAAGGTCGCTGAAAGCTCACGTCATTGCGTCCATCCCCGCTCCGAACGATGCAAGGTTATCAAGCTCGGCCTGGATCCCACCACCGTTCAGCCTGTTTCAGCCTAGAGTTCTTGCGATTGACCTGATCCGATCCGAATATGATCACTCACACCGTGTGCGATGGTCTCGCCATCGTTCGCAGCCTCCTGTGGAGTGATGTTCATCACCTGTCATACAAAGAAGATTCAGCGATCAGGTTCTCTAGCAGATCAGCCATGATTCCCGCGCCCTGGCGATTTTTGTACGATACTCACAGCATTCACCGTCGCTATCGTAGCACAAGCATTGTTGATGACCTGATTTGCGAAATAGACCCCGCAATCCTGGCTCTCTTCGAAGGACACCAACTGCCCTCCCATCTTTTTGCTCGCCTCGTCGTTCTCTTCCTTCTTCTCCGCATCAGAAGTTTCCGTCGGGGCGACCCATTTAAACAGGAAGATCAAGGCGTGGATCGGTTGTAGGCTTTCCAAGGTCTCAGGGTCCAGGGAGTAGAGGTCGTCCACTTGTAGACCTCGGACGCCTATTTCTTGGAGGAGTTGGGTGAAGACCAAGGGGTCGCTGAGGAGGTGATAGTCGGGATGACGTTCAGCAACGAGCAAGCGTGTTATTGCAGGCGGTAGGTTTCCGAATACGGCTCACGATTCGGTCAAAGACCAGCCTGATTCATCTTCTACCATTATAGGTATCCTGCTATCAAAGTCAGTTGTGTGAACTGTGATACTAGGGGTTTTACAGGTAAAATAGGGAACGAGGTAAGCACATGAGTATACCTCTATAGGGTTCCCCTTCCACTTCGAGGTCGAGGGCGTAGACCGATGCTTCAACCTTTGCAAGCGCGACCGGACCCTGCAACGACTATCATACTCTTACCTCCTAGCCATCTTGAAGCTTCCAGCTTTCCCACACAAAATCACTTACCGGATCTCAAGGTGAACCTAGGTACAATACCGTAAGACCTCCGGAAAAATCAGCGATAAGAAAAGCCTTTGACCTGAATCATGTCTGCCTCCAAAAGCTTCGGTGAGCCATACCTGATCTTCTAATCGTACCTCGTTCATCTTCCGTTCGATCACTGATACATCCCATTTCTCATTTATGTACTTTCAGTCTTCGTCACGGGAAATGCCAACAAGCTGAAAGAAGTCCAGGCGATCTTGGCAGCGGGGACGAGCGGGATCTCGGTAACGAACCAGGCTGTCGACCGTGAGTCTCGAGTCGAACGCATCCAAGCGTTCGACTTAGGGCGATCCATCGTAATTGTCAAGCATGGAAGGAGCTGATGCGGTCGTTCTATCTTCCTTGTTCGTAGTACCGGAAATTCAGGGGACAACGCAACAGGTAGCCATTGCCAAATGCAAAGCCGCTGCCAAAGAGGTCAGTCCCACGCCTACCGAGACCTGTCACTCTAGAGACTCGACGCTGATTACTTGTTTGCGCTCAATCTTCTGTTCTGATCTGAAACGATGTGATGCGATGTGGTGTGATGGATTCGTAGCTCGGAACCGCCGTCGTGACGGAAGACACGGCATTATGCTTTGAGGCGCTCAACGACCTGCCTGGACCGTATATCAAGGACTTCCTCGGCAAGCTGGGACACGAAGGCGAGTTTCCTCCTAGATCACAAATACGACTCGATTACGGAACGCTCATCTCGGTCCTACACCCGCGCTCTTCGAATTACAGGTCTCCAGAAACTAGTCCAGGGGTTCGAGACCGACCGAGCCTACGCTCTCTGTACGTTCGCTTATAGCAACCCCAGCCCGTCCGGGTCGGGAGAACCCGAGGTCAAGCTCTTCGAGGGCAAGACGTACGGCCGGATCGTAGCTCCTCGCGGTCCGAGGAATTTCGGGTGGGACTGTTGTTTCGAGCCGGAAGAGGGAAACGGATTGACGTGAGTCCAATCCTGGTCCAGGTGGTGGACAAGGCAGCACTAAAGCCTTGTTTTGCCTCGGTGATGATGTAGGTACGCTGAGATGAGGGGCGAGGAGAAGAACAAGATCTCTCATCGATATCGAGCACTGGAACAGCTCAAGGACTACCTGGCTTCCCAGTGATAAGAGGTTGTAAAAGAATCATGTCAACGCTACAAGTATAGAGACCAAATCATTCATCGTCACAGTGGCAAAGTGCCACCCTACATCGCCCCCTGCATCAGCTCAAAGTTCCGCATCCAGTGAGGTTATATGCATTGAGAGGCTCTCGAAACAAGAACCAATTACCTTTCCAGCCAGGATGGTTGGCACAGTGAAGGGAAGGGTTAGATGTGGCTTTTCCGTCGCAATATTCGCCCCATTCAGGGGTTGTTGCCACGAAAGATTCGTTTGCTAGGACAGCTTTGTACCCTTGCTGAAAGATCGCCCTGAGAAGTATGCTTGTAACAGGAGAACTGTACATGAGTGTAAACAGGTGCCACTGCTACGCGTTTCAAATTAGAGATTGGTTGAATGGGCAGGCAGTGCGTACAGCACGTGGAAGGACTGATTCTTGCATCAATCGCTCTCTATTCGTCTTCATTCCGTACAATTTCTAACATAATTGAGAATAATGTCACTGATCATCAGACTCCATAGACAGCAGCTTATTGACCTGATGCATTCTACGCTGAAAGCCTGGCATGAAGGCGAGACAATCCTCATCAAACGATCCGACGTTCCGGTCATCATGTCTGTTCGTCATCCGAGATGCTCTGCCTCGAAGGCAAGCAAGCTTGCAGCAAGTTCTAGTCGACTGTGTAGCGTTACGGTTCTCTGAGTGGATGCTTGCTCGCTTGTGCTGCGCAAGAGGAGCTGGATCCCGGTGCGTCGATCAGTCATTCTGGTTACCGTTGGATGCTCGTCCCCGTATTGTGCTTGAATGGCATCGATGCCTGGAAGCGGTACAGCATAATGACGATATGATACATTGGCCGAGATGACTCTGGGTGAATTTCTTTGTACAATCGGGAAAGGAGGATGTGGCATATATGACTCTTCGCCCTGATGGCTAGAGTTCGATCAGAGAGGTTGATGGTTCGCAGCAAAACATGTTCCTATAGTCGAGGGGTTGACGTTTCCCGACCCGGTCAGATGAAACGTCTCCTCTCTTGCTTTTCTTCTTTGTTGTGTCTTGAGTGAGGGTGACATCGAATTCAGGCCGCGACGCCGGGTGCGCGATTCCTTCTTTGCAAAGTGGAGAGCATAATCTGCGCCCTCTCTTGTCTCTTCTCGACGCGCTGGTTCTGCTTGACCTGGGCTTCCAGCATGGCCAACGGGCTGACGGCAATCCCAGGGGCCGTAGCGGGAGTACAGGTGATGGTCGGCAACGACGAAAGGGTGTCGAGGCTCATGAGACCGTTGGCGTGCTTGTTGACCTCTCCTCCAAAGGTGGGCATGCTGCAATCTTCGCCGTCTTCGAGCATGACCTGCATCGGACCGCCAGACTTGGTCTTGAGCGCCGACTTGGGCTTCAAGACGTTCTCCACCGAAGGAGGCGTCACCTTCAACACCGGGTAGGTCGACTCGGGGGTCTGAGGAACCTGGTTGCAAAGCTCGTCCATGAAACTGATCGACTTTGTCGGCGAGTACAGAATGACGTCGTCAGACCCGGAAGAGCCCGTCGAATTGGTCCGGGCGTGTTGCAGGAAGGCGGGCAACCGAGACTTGCGAGGCGTAGCGGGAAGAGACGGGCCAGAGGTCGAGGTCGACCCGTTCTCGCCAAAGGACTGCTCCGACATCGAGTCGGTCGAGTCCAGCGAGTACCTCTTGGGTCGGGCAGGCCAGTCGTCGGTGTTGGCGTTGTTCTCCTTGTCGGATCCCGAACCCGAGGTGGAGGACCTGGCTCTCCCAGCCTTGTAACGAGCGCTGATCTCGGCCAAAGTCGGTGGCATCCCGCTCTTGAACCCGGGCATCAACATGGCCTCGGCAAACGAAGGACGTTTGAATGGCAGAGGAGTGATGCACCTCGGAGGAGGGAGGAGCGCGATGGCCTCCTGCTCGGTCTGAACGTCCTTTTCCGGTTCGGGCGCAGCGAACGACCCGCTGGGCTGGATCGGGGTGTTGAGCACAAACTCGTTGTTCGCCTTGGCCGCGATCGAAGGGATGTCCGACCTGGACCTCGAGTGGCTCAGGGTCTTTCGAGGCTTTTCCTCGTCGAGAGAAGAAGTATCGATCTTGATCGACGACATGGGTTCGGCGGGTCTGAAGACCACACCCTGGCTGACGTGCATCTGCTTCCTCTGGTAGCTCAGGACGTCCATGCCGACCTTTTTAGCTTCGGCTTCTTCCCACGGAAGGGTGACCTTGGGGTTGAACTGGAAGATAGGAGCGGCGGCAGATAGAGTGGTAGGCTTCGGGACCGACGAGTCTGATGACACAACTTTGCGCATCAGCACCCAAACTTGACCACTGTCGAGGTGTTTCGCTACTCACTGGTCATCCTTCGCTCGAGCATTCTGATCCGGTGATCGATATCGATCCCATCATCCTCACTATCACCCTCCAAAGCGCTCTCAGCCACGCTAAACGCCACAGCCCGATTGAGCTCGGTTGACGGCGACAAGTTGGACATCAAAAGGTCGTCGAGACTGGCCCCTTCTTCCTCTTCTTCTCCGATCCTGACGGGTTCCGTCTGTCGAATCACTTCCTGTCTCGAGATCTGGGCGGGAACGACCTTTTCCTGAGAACCTCGTCGAACGGCGTCGGTCTGAGGTTGAGTTTGAGTTTGAGATTGAGCTCGGGCGGCGACGAATCGGGGAGGACTTTGCATTCCGGTCCGAGGGGCGGACACGGAGTTGAAGACGGGAAGACCTGGAGGAGGAGCAGGCAAGGTCGAACGGAAGAGTCCAGGAGGGGGAGATGGGACCGTACTCGAGAAGAGGGTTGTTCGAGGGTGTTGTCGAACGTTGAGTGTATATGCCGATGTCGACATAGGAACGGAAGGGGGAGAAGGGGATCGACGGGTGGTAGGAGGGAACATCTCGTCTTTGATATTCAAGTTTGAGTTTGAATGTGGCGAAGTGTGTCTACGTTCGAGGACAAAGGGGCAAGACGATTCGAGATGATCAGCAAGTGTATGGCGTTGGTAATGATCTTCTCCCTGTTCAACGGGGTAGTGCAGAATCGACAAAGGGCTTCTGAACTCACCTTCCTTGATCGAGCCCTCGTGAATACAGCGACCGGTTCGTTATATACCTTCGAGGTGCGAGGGGTGAAACGTATCGTGGGCCGCAACGAAAGGGAAGGGGGTCGTGAAAGGAAGCTCTGTCTGCGACGAGGACCGGTCAGGGCTCACTTTCAGGGGCGTATGGTGTCAAAGGGATGTGAGTGACTTACGACGGTGTGATTATCGTATGCTTGCGTGTTTGACTTGGTCGATAGCTACCGTCCAAATGCGTGTCTTGCCAGAAGAAATGCGAAAAGGACGAGTCAAGGGGGGGGGGCGAACTAGGTCGGACTATATGTATCTTGCGGCGAAGAAGCTTGAAGAGTCTAGCTCGACGATGATGATTAGGATTGTTCAGGTGCGAGAGAGGTCGGAGTGCCTGGATATGATTATTATTTCGGGTCGATCCGATTTGTGCGGTAGAAGGTGGATGTGTTGGGTATAGCTCTCTAGCTGATTGTATGCATTCCCCCCGACAGGGAGACAAAGAGAGAGAGGTCGACCAAGATAATTCATGGTCGGCAGTAGTAGATGTTGGAAAGGGAGGGTCCGAGGTGGATATCACGCGGAAGGGGCGGCAGGGGGGAGATGGTTTCATCGCCGGACAATCATTCCAAAGGAAGGGGAGGGGTGGGGAGGCACCGAACAAAGAATCGAACAAAGATCAAAGAGCACATCATGTTTGATCGCAGTGAGTTCCGTGATCTCGAAAAAGAGTTCTGCCCGAAGATTGAAAAGGCTCACCGGTCGAAGGAAGAAAGAGGAAGAGGTAGGACCGGCTACGCTCCTGATGTGTTCGAGGTGACGATGCTTGGATCTCGTTTGTTCAGGTCGAAAGGCAGCCCGAATCACGCGAAACTTTGCTTCTTCTCGATTCGAGGTATCCACCTTCGAAAGTCCCTTTGATCAGAAGATCGGAATATGATTGCCGGCGGGCGCTACCAGAGCTTTGACGACAACGAATAGAAGGGAAACCTTGTCGATCTCTCCTGCTTTCTGTCTATCTGATGGATCGAGGTGAACGAGCCGAACCGAAGTATTGCCGTCGGGTCAGGATGCAAGATGGTATCGCACGGCTGTTCAAGTAGTTATGGCGTGGATTTGGGAAGATGTCGATGTAGAATGAGTTAAAAAGAGTGTAGTATTCGATCTTCTCAACGATAGGACAGTCGAGATGATAGTTGTAGTTGTGCAAGAAGAAATCCCGACCAGCGTGATCCTTCTGTCGTACTGATTGTCTTGTATTTCGTAGTCAAAGAGTGTAGATCGAGTTTCCTAAACCAAACACAAACGTTGTGAACGTCTTGCTTTGTATCGAACAAGAACTTGTATCTGAACCCTGGATCGAATCATTCGAGACCATATCGACCGCAACCAGTCACAAGTATTTCGACCGAAGGCGGACTAGTGAGACAGACACCCCTGCCCTTGCCCCCGCGCCCAGCCTCCCCTTCCCCAACTACGCTAGCCTCTGGAGCACGCGACGAACGCCATGACACATCAGAAATAAGGCACGGAGCGTCGAGTTCAGAAACCAAAACAGACGCGTGGTCCTCCTCAACCTGGACCTTTCTCGAGCACATGGCCCGTACCGTCGTACCGTACCCGGGTGTGGCGTTCTCGGAGGATGACATGGATGACATGAGAGGGTCGCTGCTTCCGATAACATCTGAGATGAACCGCTGACTCTTGCAGAGGTCATTCGAGTCGTCAATTTGCTGACCTTGCGAAAGGTGATCGACGAAATGTCCGGTATGCTGGAAGGCAATCAGAACTGGCAAGCAGATGGCGAGACGAGGCATAATCCTATAGCATGTAGCTTGAAGGACCGTCTGCACTCGTGTTCGAATACATGACGTGGGATCGCTTCCCCTCGGAAGATTCTCCTTCGCGTACCAGAAAAGAAGGATACCCGCTCGCAGGTCTCTGCGTCCCGAAGGTGCCTGGGTTTATGAATGACAGCAGTAAATCACAACACGTCAGCCAAGCCGCACCCACCGCCCATTGAGTCGTGGGATTGTGAGTTTGTATGGTCTGGCCGTCTGACATGATTCCCCACCCAGCAACTAGCAACCCAGCAACCAGCAACCCAGCAATCAGCGCGATCGAGCAACCCGCAACCCAGCGAATCCGCGCGATACAGCAATTCAGCGATCCATACTGTACCCACGCTTCATACCTCCCAACCCTGACCTAGAAAGCGACGCCTCTTCTGTTCTGGCTTCTGGCGTAGGAACCAACGCAATGGCAATGTCGCACTAGCCAAACATTCGATGTGTAAGATCGCGTGGTCGTTTCGCCCGCGAGGAGGTTTGTTCGAAACGCGCCATTTCTCCCGATCCGGGAGCCGCCACTTCTCACACGAGAATCTCGACCGAGGGGCGTTCGAGGCACAGGCGTGATATGGCCTCTATGATGAAACCGTACAAGAACGCCAGTGCGCCGGTACTGTCTTGCGGAACAAGTGGTGAATCGATGTCTGATGACCAGGATATGGTTGAGGACTACCAGACGGCGTCCCGGTTTTGGCTCGCAAAACAGCAAGGTCTATCACGTGTGTAGCCTTTCCATCGCGAGATGGAAATCGATTCATCTCCACTTAGGTATCGACTTGTCTGGGTATCCTGAGATTACGATCCATCTATCCCTTTGGACCATGCACAAGTCATCTTTGTTCGAGATCCAGTTGTGGGTGGACCAGGCTGGGTTACTACGACACACGCCGCCTCGATCAGTCAAGAAGACCCTAGACTATTGATACGTTCTCGCTGAGTTTCATACAACCGCCGAGAACGTTTCGTATCCTTCACAAATCAGATACGCCCTCTCAAGCTCAGCCTGGTATCCTTCTCGCCCAGAATCTCTTTCAACCGCAACAATACCTGCTGCTTCGTCATCTTGTCTCCTGGAGTCCCGCTCGACATCTCCATGCCCAGGTTGCTGTGCATGTTCTGCCGGGTCGATGTATCGGGTGCACGCAAGATCACGGCAGAATTCCACCACGGTCTCTCGATTCCGAGATTCAGCTCCTGCTCTTTTCTAGCGTCGTCCTCTCTCGATCCATCCGTGGTGAGAGGCTCGGCGTAAACCTTGATCGGGCAAAACTCTCGGTGCTCGCCTCTGACATCCAAGACCCGCTTCTTCCCCTTCGCATCCTTTCCTTCCCCACCTTCAGACCCGGTAGGAATAGCTGCGATATCGCGATCGCGAAAGTTGAACAGCCCGATCTTGCGATCACAGATCGCGCAATGCAAGACGTCCGGGACAGCTGCAGGCGGCTGTTCCGGTACGACAACGACGGAGGCCTTTGAGGAGGACGCTGCGGGTCGATAAGGTCTCCAGCCGAAAAAGCTGAGGTTGGCCGCTTCTGCCGAGATGTCGGACGGCTCGAGCGGTAGAATCTCGGGTGATGCGATCGGAGTGACGGTTTGTAGGCTTGCTAGTAGGTTCTGCAGCTCGTTTGATGACTGTGCAAATGATAGAAGTCGTCAGGATCTGCAAAGCGGGACAGCGTGCGAGGCGGTACTCACAAGGCCTCCAGCGACCTGCACTGCCGAGGTGGATCCTTTCTCATCCCGTTTCAAGTAGTCCGAGTCAAGCTCCCTAGCGATAGGTGCTAGTCGGGAGGATAAAGGTGGTTGAAGGGAGAGTAACTGATGATGTATCGAAGCTGCCAACGATATCGTAAGGTATCGAGAATGTCAGCAGGAGGCTTGGTAATTTACAGACATCCTTTCTTCACTGACGAGGTGATTGTTGCTGTGAAGCGCGTCGAATGGGGCAGGGAGGAAAATCTCGAAAGATCAGCAAGAGATCAAGCAGCAGTTGACCGAATCATTGCTCACGATTCGCCAGGGACAGTATTTCGTGTGCGCCGTGCGTACGGCTTGCTCGTACAACTCTACCAACCTCGCCCGCGCTTTGACCAACTTCGGATCGTTCAACCCCTTGATCACCCAAGCTGAACCGCACGTCTCGCACTGAATCCTCTCCCTACCGGCATTCTTCCAGCCGTATCGGGCCACATTTTGAGGACGCAAAGATTCCGGTTTAGAGGAATACGTCGGCAGGGTATAGCTAAGCAGGCGGGAACGGTATGATGTCGTAGAGTTCGGAGAGAATAGAGGTTGGGCGGTCGAGGAAGAGATCGATTTAGGAGTAGGGTCATTTGAGGCAGTAGGGAGAAGTCTACGACGTTTTTGAGTGGGCTGATAAGATGGGTCCGAGGGTATCAAGGCGTCTAGCATGGCTTGTAGTCTTTTCTGTAACACAGGATGGAAGTGCGTCAGCTGAGGGTCGCAATTTCGAGATGACAGGCTTAGCGATAGGTACCTTCGAATACTTTGTACTGGGTATCTCGACCTCTGCTGGTGGTGTGTTATTCATGGGCACCTGGACGTCGTCCTCATCCTCGTCCCAGTCGGCATCAAAGTCTAGATCCTCTTCGCCATCGTACAGCAACCGGAAAGCCTCGTGCAGGTCCTTCTGCAGGTCGAGATCGAGCGACATGATCGTGACTAGTCCACCGAGAATATTAGTGTTGGTTATAAGGTCGAAAGGGGAGCTCGAGAGCTCGGTAGTGCATGTCGCTATGAACTGTGGATATGTCTAGCATGTCTAGCATGTCGAGAAGGTCCTTCAACCGCTCGGTCGATCATGCGAGCTAGCCCACCGACGTTAATGACTCTGTCGCTTACGTAATACAGATTCGTGTTCACCAGCAGCAGAGCAGCAGCAGCAGCTTCAACGTGGAGGTTCGAGGGACATGACCCAACTTTTGGTGATGCTCTCGATCGAACGTTCTAGGTCTCGATCTGACGGCAAGACGTGGAACCTACACCAAGTGTCAGCGCCTCAAGAAGCAAGAAGATAGACAGCGACAGCTTGATCTAAAAGGCGACGACATACCTTCTCGCCATCCTTAAAAAAGCTCTGGAAGCTTGTTCACGACCTCACGACTACGGCTTCATCAAAGGGGAAGGTCCACCAGACTAACCGGCAGCCGTGTCTCTTTTCACAATGAGGAGTCCAGTCTCGCTATTTCTCCTCCTTCTGTCCCTCTTCCCGTCTGCTTTGGGAGCTCTCCTGGCAGTGGATTATGGGACAGAATGGACGAAAGCATCACTGATCAAGCCGGGTCAACCGCTCGACGTTCTGCTCGACAAGGGTATGCATCTCCATGGTTGACCATCAAAAGCTTGACGCCTAATCGATTCTGTTTGTATGCAGACTCGAAACGAAAGATGCAGAGCGTCCTAGGTTATAAGCGAGATGAGAGGGTATTTGGTGGAGAAGCTGTCAATGCGGTATGTTGTCACGGCCTTGAGATCCCGGGCCCCCTCAAGCAGCTGAACATACCTGTCGTCGATGATCCAGGCCACTCGATTCCCCTTGGCACACTTTCCCTACGTCAAGCCATTGATCGCACTACCAGGCTTACCACCATCCAACATCTCTTCTATCTACCCCTCGCAACCTCGTTACGACGCCGATACGCAGACCCTGTATTTCCAGCACGACGCTGCTCCTACTTACGCTCTCAACGCCAATGATACCTCGGGAAAGACAAACTGGTTGCCAGAAGAACTTCTCGCCCACGAGTTGAACTACATCAAGGCATTAGCCTCTTCCGCCGCTAAGGAACCCGTTACCGACCTCTTTTTGACGATCCCTTCCTATTTCACCCAACATCAACGAAGGGCCTTCAAAGACGCAGCTGAAATCGCAGGCTTGAACCTGGTCGGCAGCGTTGGAGAAGGAGCTGCGGTCGGACTGAACTATGCGATGACTCGACAGTTCCCCAAGCTCAACGAGGCGGAGACTGCATGGAACAAGAATGGCGCACAGATCGATGTCATTTACGATAGCGGAGCGATGAAGACCACCGCTACGGTGCTGGCTTTCTATACTGCCGATGTCGCCGAGGAGGCCAAGACCACCATCTCAAAGTCCGGAAAGAAGTCTAAACTCCGAGCGAAATCAAACCCTACCACCCACGTTCATGTCCTCGCCACGAGCTCCGAACCCACTTTGGGAGGAGTACAGATCGATCAGGCGCTACGGGAGATCTTGGTCCAGGATGTCGCACAGAAGTTGAAGATATCCGACAAAGAAGTCTTGGCGGACGATAGGGCCATGAGGAAGTTGTGGAAGGAAGCTGCTAGGACCAAAGCCATCCTGAGCGCCAACCAGGAGGCCAGCGTCAACGTGAGATCGAGCTATAGATTGACAAACACGGCGGGATCACTCATTCCTCGAACTCAACGTTATGAAACAGATCGAGAGCTTGATGAATGACGAAGATTACCGGTCCAGGATTTCGCGAACTCAGCTCGAAGAGGCTTGCGCGTCTTTCGCTGACAAATTCGGAGGTCCTATTCAAGATGTCTTGAGCAAGGCAGGTTTGAAACTAGTTAGTAGTAAAGCCCTTGATATCTCTTCTGCGGGACATAGATTGATTGCGGCTGTGCCACAGAACGACATCAACTCCCTCATCCTTTTCGGAGGCAACACCCGAGTTCCCTTTGTCCAGAACGCAATCAAGGCGGCTCTTGGAGGAAACGAGGACAAGATCGCTCAGAACGTGAACACTGACGAGGCCGCCGTACTCGGCGCGGCCTACTATGGAGCCAGTCAGGGTCGAAGCGTCGTCAGCAAGCTCAAGCTCAAGGTCGTCGAGGGGCTCGGCTGGGACGTTGCCTACAGTCTGGTCGACGGGCAGAACTGGAAGGTGGTACCGGACGAGATCACGGAGAACCAAGTCTTGTTCCCAGCTGGCACTAATCATACTTCCAAGAGGGTCCTCACGCTTGCCAGGGCCAAAAAGGCTCAGCCTAGTGATTCTCTAAGTGTCAAGTTTGCTTACACTGGCGGCAATGCGTAAGCTCAGATTGTAGACCTTGCTACGGGCGGCATGCTGATATCTACCATCCGTATTGCAGCCCTAACCCTGCCGAGATTGTTCAAGTTGATATCCGAGATATCGACAAGGCTTTCGTCAATATGACGGAGACCGACATCGCGGCGTCTCAGCTCAAGCTCACTATGCGTGTGGACTCTCGCGGATTTATTCAAGCCGTCAATGCGGTGGCGCATCTGCCTGCGATACCCAAGGAAAAGGAGTCGGTGAAGGACAAGCTCAAAGGACTCTTTGGTAGCTCTAACAAGGAAGAGGGCGACAAGGCGGAAGAGGTATTGAAAAACTTGGAAGCTGAATTGGAGGAGCTTGAAAACTCTGCGGACAAGGAGAAGAAAGTGGCGCTAAAGTTTACCGAGACGGCACTTGGCATCAAGCCCCTTTCGGCCGAAACGAAGAAACACGCCAAAGCTCGGTGAGTGATATTCGTACATTTTTCACCGAAACGATCAACGGCTGACACGATCCGTTTCGACTCAGTCTCGCCGCAATCAACAAGGTCGAAGCCGACGTGTCTGCTCGAGCTGAAGGCCGAAACCTTCTGGAAGGGTACCTTTACCGATTGAGCGGTCTGCTCGGTCCCGACGCGCCTTCCGATGCCCTTCAACGATTCGGTACCGATGAGGAGAGGGCCAAGCTGAGCGCTGGCGTACAAGAAGCTTTCGAGTGGATGAGCGAGGAAGCAGAGACCGCTAGTGTGGAGACCTTGCTGAAGAAACGGTCAGATCTCGAGTAAGCAAGGCGTGGAGCAGGATCAGCAAGTCTGATCGCTAACGTCATCATGTCGGATCGACAGATCTACGGAATTTCCCATCATCCGCCGATATCAAGAGGCAATTACCAGGCCCAAGGCGATCGATGACTTCCAAAAGGTCATGTCTGCTGCCAGGATCTTCTTTGTCGACGCTCAGAGGAACCTGACTCAGGCTGTCGAGGCGGACGAGCCTTCGAGGCACTCTCAAGAGGACCTCGACGATCTGCTTGAGCGATTGAAGGAGAATGAAAAGTGGATGAGCGAGAAGATGGTGTTGCACAAGCAGATCGAGGATTTTACGGTCGATCCAGTTCTGATCACGGCGGATTTGAACGAGAGGGGCAAGGCGTTGCAGATGATGGTATGTACTCGCGCGCGATAGCTTTTATCTTCAGCGCGTCGCTGAATTCGTCGTGTTCTTTCGCTTGTTCGCTAGGTCATCCGACTGGGAAACAAGCGTATCCCCAAGGCCAAGCCCAAGAAGACTGCGACCTCGACCGCGACGACGTCTGAAGCGACCGATCTGCCAGAGGAATCAGCCTCGACCACGTCGGAAACCGTCGAAACGTCAGCCACAGCGACGCCCGCTGCCGAGCCTTCGTCAGAAGAGGTCCCGGTGCACGAAGAACTATAGAGATTGCTGTAGCATATAGACGAGGATACGATCGGTGCATGGTTCGACGTTCGTACGCTGACGATGGCTGTGTTGTGCCGAGCGATGAAGGGGTGACGAAGCTATAACAAGCTTTTTTCCCGTGGGTACCGTCAGAACCTCTGGGGTAGAGCGGGCGAGGGAGAAGATGCACGTGGGGTCCCCCCTCGAGTGCGCGATTATTCGATTTCATTCGATCTTCTGTGACCCCCCAACCACCCATCACCCACCAGCTGGCCCATGGCGCTTTCGACCCTCACACCGTTCATCCTCTTCACCCAGCGTTTCGAATTGACAGGTATATCGGCATAACCTCGCCTTACAAGAGCTAGAACATCTTGGATGATGTCCATTGCCTGCTGCAGATAGAGGCAAGAGTCTCCAACATCATAATCGACAGTCATCAGCCGATCGACACACCGCACATCAACGCCGGTCCAGCTCTTTCGCGATCCTAACGGCCGCACATTGACCTGCAAGATATCCGGGCCGCAGGCTCGATTTCGACACTCAGCCATTCAGTCCATCTGCAAACGTTGGTGAGCTGGATAGCTATATCAGGATCTGCACCTAGGATTTCGGATCGTCGTTCAGGTTTTCAACACGCTTCGATCCATCTCGACTGGCTTGGCTACCCTAAAATTCACCGTGCACCCTTTTACCGGGGTAAGCCAGATTCGTTCACTTGGCGGATCAAATAGCACCTGCATTCGACCGAGATCTCTCTTCGAGATCAAACTTTCAAAGTTGACAACTCCCCCTGCTCGTACAGGCGTTTGATAACCCCGTGGACAATAAAGAGCTCGTATCTCCAGGTGACATACGATCAGCTCTCCTTCAAGCAATATGACGGCAAAAGTAGAAACACCCAGATCAGCTCAATCGGTTCATCCGTCAGGATCCCCTTCTGGAGCGTTTTCACCGAGTTCACATACCAGCGGACCGAGTACACCAGGCTTGCGGCTCAACCTGGGCGACCTAGAACCTAATGACATCCGGCCACATCACCATAAAAGGCAGCTGTCCGCTTCTGGAGCAGGATTCCCATGTTCAGGAACGAGCTCCCTGTTTGACGATTTTGTATCGTCGTCCGAGAACCACGCGGGCGTTCAGGTCAAAGGAACACCTCACGAAGCAAGGAGAGACGAAAATGCTCGCCGTCCGCTGGGGCAACGGGGAACGTTTAGCAGATCGCCTTCGGATTCTGCGACTTTCAAGACGCATAGGCCTGGCATGAGCCATTCTTCGTCATCGCCCCAGCTGTCGTCGCCCCGGCACCTAGCAGACATACTCGGTGACGGCTCTGGCTCGATGATCCCTCCTCCATCTGATGCTCGCAAGCACCGACATCACGTGTCACCGACGAGAGCGCCAACAATATCAGTCGGAAGTGCACCATCTCCCGCACCATCTAGATCCAGTAGTGGCGGAGTCCTGGTCTCGACAGTCAGAGACCGGGCGAATAGGGGTCAAGCGTCAAGGCGACCTGCCCGGAGTGACAGCCTGAGCGATGTCAAAGGGATCAGTGTTGAATCGAATAGCGAGGACGAACCTGATCGACGGAGTCATACACCAAACGAGAGCGCTGTAGATGATCAGTACAGGGATTCCCCACTGGATAACAGGCAAGTCCCCTTAAGCCCGGTGTAGAAAAGCTGATCAGCGAGATACTGAAGGTCTGTCCAACTTCCAGCGCTCGCTATTATCATCGCAATCCCTACTCCAAGTCGGCTTCGACGTCACCAATCAGAGATCCAAGTCTTTTGCTCCCCGAGGTGCCAAAAGGCAACAACAGCTTTGGCCCAGTCGGAAGCTTGCTCGCTCGACGGAGATTATCAGACTCGTCAAATCCCCTAGCGAACGGTAGTCTAGACGTAGCGTCTGCCTCAAAGCCACAAGCAGGGGATCTTCTCCGGAGTCCATCTCACTCTCCAACCAGCTTTCTCAAGGGCACCGATATCAATGCGAATGGTCGGTTGGTCATCTTGACACCGACGACCCAGGAATGGAGAGAATTAGGGTTCGAGAATCTCCGGGCCCTTGGCGGACAGGGCGGATCGAGTGAGCGCGATGGGGAACGGGGAAGAAAGACGAGTTGGGAATCAGCAGATAGCGATCTCACGTCGGATGGGTACGAATGGACAGGGGTGCCGAGGCGACCAGAACTGAGGACGACAACATCCGCAGACCCCTTGGAGCCTACCGGCGAAGATGTAGAAGTTCCTGGGGGATCTGGGAGAAACGCGCTAGGCTTTGACCCTGTCAACGAGGATTTCGATCGACCTGTTGTTCTGACGATACCACCACAGACATCCGGTACCACGAGCATATCGCGAGGAGGCTCTTCTCGAGCGTCTTCGAGACGGAACTCCATGCCCAATGTGCCTCAATCCGCTCCTCCCCTACTGGAAGAGGGCGATCTGTTTGCTCGGCTCATCGGCATGCAAGTTGACGAAAGGCAGAAAACTCGAGCGATAGAGGCCGAAGGTGATGATTCGGTCGAGATAGGTAGCGCTGGGTCAGCCGCTATGGCCCCGTCTGAGGGGCTGGACATCGGAGACAATACGCCCGTGACAATCAGTCGAAGCCAGAGCATGAAGGAGACCGGAGATGGTCCGAAAAGGAAAGAGAAGGAGAGGGAACGTTTGTTCCGCTTGGTCGGCGAAGATGTCGAAAAGAATGGCATACAAAAACCTCTGGGAGGATGGGGTATCAAGCAGATCGGCACGCGAGGGGGTCTGTCAGCTCTTTCGAGTCCGGGTACTCCTCCAGCCAATGACGCTACTGCTTCATCACGTGCTGTGCCAGAAGATCGACCTTCGGGGTTGCCAGAAAGTCCCACAGCATCTTCACCGGTCTCGGAAGCCCCTCGCAGGCGGATAGAAGGACTACATCCCGAAGGCAAGCCAAAACCGGCTCCTCCCAACCGGTTGGTTTCGACCGTTTCCTCGATCGGCGGGCTATCCATGACCTCAACCAAGCCAGTTGCTCATCCATCACCGCTGCATGCGGTCACGAGCTCGATACCCACCATCGTCTCTCCTGGCGAAAGTTCGACTAGCGAAACCAGTCAACCGTCTCGGTCTCAAAGCAGAGCTCATTCACGGTCACCGACAAAGATGGAGCCTCAGCACGAATCTCAAGCCGCTTCGACACAGGTCGAGCCCGTCAGTCCCATCACGTCGCGGCGACGGCAGTCTCAACGGTTATCGTCATTGGCAGGACGAGCATCCCAACCCTTTGCGTTCCCAGCGGCACTACCTCCTTCACACCCTACCAACCGAAAGCCGGCGACCGGTTTGCTGAGTGCCTTTTCTCCGTTCACCTCGACGAATGGCGCTGGCAGCAAAGGCGAGTCCAGACCAGCAATGTCACGAGAACCGACGGCACAGCCTTTGCTCTCTGTTCCGCACTATTTGCAAACTTCCGATCGCTCGGATTCGATGATATCGATCGCGCCTAGCACGAGAGCGCCGAGCGAGCCAGCGACGCCTCTGGGAGAAACTGCAGGCGGTATGGGAGGGCATGGGATCAATGACTATGTCATTGTGAGCGAGGCAGGTAAGGGCGCGTATGGGTTGGTCAAGCGAGCTCGTCAGAAGGGCTGGGATGGTGAACCGATGGGGGACGAAGTGATTATCAAGTATATCATCAAGAGCCGGATCCTGGCCGATTGCTGGAAGAAGTAAGCAGGTACTCCGGTCCGCGTTGTCGACAAATATGGCTGACTCAAGATTCGTTATTTCATAGACACAAAATCCTTGGACCTATCCCGATCGAGAGTGAGTCTCGCGCATGCAAACCTCACGATAAAGTCGAAACTGATCGGCTAGCATTCGCAGTCCATGTTATGGATCAACTCAGAAATGTCCCCTTCAAGCGTCCACCTCAGGCGTATCCCTGGGATCCGCTTCGGGGCCAAACGCAACCATCGAACGTCGTCGAAGAAGACTACTTCAGCTCCGCTAGTACTACCGCCACGCCGAATTCCGACACTGGCGAGACGACACCCACAGCCAGGACAGGAGCTGTGCCAGGCTCGTCGGTCGTCATCCTGTCACCCGAAACTCGGCCGTTGACGGAAGGCAATCTATCCAGCCTCGTCGGTGGAGACGTCAACCCGCTCGAATGGCATGCGAAGATTAGCGCGGAGACGGTCAAGAATCGTGGTCATCCCAACATCTGCAAGATGCTCGACTTTTTCGAAGATCGAGAGTTTTATTACCGTAAGTGCCTGCTCGTCCGACACTCGACGTGAGATATCCCGTGCTAACATTAAAGCTTTGACGTTTCACCAGTTGTCATGCCACGATTTGGAGTCGGTCTTGATCTGTTCGACCGGGTGGAAAGCGCACCGGACGGCTTACCGGCGTTTGAGATCCGTTCACTGCTGGGCCAACTCTCGGACGCTTTACGATTCTTGCACGCCAACGGGGTTGTCCATCGGGACATCAAGGACGAAAACGTCGTCCTCGACGGGCAAGGTCATTGTCAGCTGATCGACTTTGGGAGCGCTGCTCATTGGCGTCCGGGTAGGAAGTGGGACACGTTCTCGGGAACCCTGGACTACGCTTCGCCAGAGATCTTGCGGGGCGAGATGTATTCGGGCAAGGAGCAGGACGTCTGGGCTCTCGGAGTCGTAGGCTACGTCTTGATCTGCGGCGAGACGCCCTTCCTGAGCGCCGACGAAGCTCAAGCCGGTCTCGGTGTGGACTCTAAACCGTACGCGGCCTTGATGCGGCGGTGCAGCGGACCGAGAGGACAAGAGGGGCTCGAAGCGGATGGAGGAGGCAAGATGAAACATGCGTACGACTTTGTACAGAGGTGTCTGGAGATGAAGCCCGAGGACCGTCCTCCGGCGGAAGCGTTGGTCAAGCATCGGTTCGTGCTCGGTCGGGGTGGCTGGGTGGGACATCGCAACTGGATTCAGGAAGGACAGGCTTGAGCAGGTGTCTAATATGGTACGGCGCAGCGGAGAGTGTATGCACAATCGCAAGCGCAAGCGACCGTAGGTTGTTGCCTGCCGGATTGTAGATTCACGTACAAACAATGTCTAAACGCACATGAAGCAATTCGAGCAGAGCACGAGATGGAGGTCCGGCAATTGGTCCGGCTTTTGTCGAGGTTGGGTTGCCGAGAGTGATCGGCTTACGTAGTCTTTTTGCCACGTGAGATTAAACTATTCTCGGTCAGCGCCGTTCGTTATTAGGCAGCCGTGGATGGATGGATGGGATGGATGATTTCGTTTTCGCTTACGTCGGTCCTGGTCCTCATCTACCTCTCTCTCTCTCTATCTCTACATCAATCATCAAAGGAAAGCAAGTCCTCGACATCGCTTCACATATCTATCTAGACCTCATAATTCTCGGATCTCACCTCTTCTTGCTATTCCCGCTCGAATCCCTGCTGCCTCCACTCGCCCGCTTGAGCATACTCTACCGGAGCGATTGTCCACCCTGATTTTTTAGAAAACACGCAGTCGCCGGTTTCATTCGACAAATAATGGGCGGGTTCGACCATTTGAGAGTCGGACAAGTTAACGAAGGTTGTAAGTGTTTGTCCGGTGTCCATCGACCTGAACTTGACCTGGATCAGCAGCTGCAATTCGCTGACGCATGATTTCTACGACTGAAACAGACTGGGGCGCTCATACGAGTGAGTGTTTCCCGTGCATAGTGTTGCGATACAGACTACTAAGTTGACATTCCACTTCTAGGCTCCATCGACTGGTACATGATCACTTCCTCCAAGGCTGAGCCGATTGCAAGCTGATATTATCGCATTCTTCAATCAGGTGTGAAGAGAACTACACCTACAGCCCTTACATTGCCGAATTTGTCAACACCCTATCCAACATTCCGTTCATCTGTCTTGGCCTGTATGGATACTACCGAATCCTTCAACAAGGTCTCCCTCGCCGATATGGATACTTGATGCTCGGCTTGTCGATAATAGGCGGAGGATCGGGGCTGTTTCATATGACGGTAGGTCCCGATCTGGGCCGAAGACGAAGAGTCGAGCTGAATGCATCATTATGCTCGTCTTCAGCTGCAATGGTTTTGGCAGTTGATGGACGAGTTGCCCATGGTGAGTCTCGCCTGTCGAAAGAGATGCAGAGGCGGATCCGAGATGCTGATCCAGTCGACCACGCTCGTAGATTTACCTCGTCACGTATTGCGGTTTGCTAGTCTTTGACACTAGTCCGGAATTCAACACGAGGTTGGGCGGGCTGGCCATGCTGGCACTAGACCTGTTTGTCACCGTCAGCTAGTAAGCCGCCTTACGGCGATGGGATCCCCGTGCTGCCGTCCATACGTGCTAAAACACCGTCTTCTTCTGCATCCCTAATCCGCAGTATCAGGGCACCTAATCCCATCTACCACCAAGTAGCATTCGGTTCTCTGCAGCTTGTGTCCGTCTCGAGAATCATCTACCTTATCAAATACCGCCTCCCACCTAGCTCCGAACATCCCGCAAAAAAGGTCATTGGGGACATGCTATTCCGAGGTGTGGCTCTCTTCGGCATCGCCTTTATCATCTGGAACCTGGACAATCTTTTCTGTGATACATGGCGGAGCCTACGCGTTCAAATCGCGCCGTTCGGATTCATGCTGGAAGGTCACGGTTAGTGCTGAAATCGGGACTCTGATCGCGCGGCAGGACGTCTTCTCACTCGAATATACCTCTGGCAGCATTCTGGCATCTCGGCACCGGCTTGGGCTCTTATTGGATCATGACGGCAGCGACTTGTAAGTAAGGGGTCTGCGGCGTCAGGATGCTTGGGCTCACCCCCGAAACCCGCAGACCTGTGCTTGTGCGTCAAGACCGGCGTAAAGACGTACGAGATCAAGGGTAGCTACCTCTTCCCCTATGTGGCGCCAACGAGTCAGGCTTCTGTCGGCGGCAAGAGCGAACCCCTCAAAGATGCCACGGAAAAGACGCCCATCTTGCAAAACGCGAGCACGAAAGACAAACACTAGATATTATCGCATCTTCTTGGCCGCACAGCGATCGTCCCATGATCGGGCAAATTTTGCATCATCATACATGTACCAGTCATTCAAGTAGCATCATAATGATACAGTCTAGTCCGTTCGTCAAGTCATTCCTTCCGTCTGATGTCGTGAGATTGTCATCGTCGGGTTTGCCCGTGTCCCGTAATTTCGTTGGTGTCGTTTGTCGTGCTTGACTTGCTCGTCGTCCTGCGATGATGTTCCTCGTTTCTCGTATCACGAGCGCTCCTGTTGAGCACTGGTGTAATCTTGCCGTCTTGTTCGGTCCAATGGATGTTGCTGAGGTGATTTCGCGAAATCTTGCGTTTATGTTTTTGATGGTCAGATCGCTCTGGCTTGGGAGCGAGTGCTGATACTGCACGTCTGGGTGCCGGGGGTCGAGGCGTATGCTCCCTGACAGAACCCGGCGGCGTCCTCGAGTCGCTGATTAGAGCGGGAGCGATCTCCTTGGCGAGCTGGTTTTATAATTCGGTTCAGTACTCAACACCACAGCAGGTGATCGCGCCAAGTCTTACCTGTCTGACCAACACCGCTTCGTCCTGCCGACCCAATTCCCGGACGATAGGCGACATCCCAAACTGTGCGATCAAATCTTGGTGTTGCGGATGATGATCACATGCCACCTTGATGATTCGCAGGAGATTGAGCTTGGTAATCGCCTTCGCTTTCTTCGTCAGGCCTTCGCTGATCTTTTTGAATAGGTCCGCCCCAACCAGAGCAACAGTCAAGGGAGGTGAAGCTCTCAGTAGACGCAGGAAACTAACATAAGAACACAAGAGTCAGTGTGAGAGTGAATAGCTACAACGCGATGGTACTGACGGCTCAAGTACTCCTTCGAATGACGTTCCACTGGCGTTGATGAACGCCATCTTGAGCACGTGCAGTGCGCTTGTTTGAGAGAGCTCATCTTCGACTCTGGCAGTTTCGTCTTGAAGCCTGAAGTGTCATCATGGGTTAATCTGGTCGTAAGCTATGAGCCTTGAATAGGGCCCTAACCCTTACGAACCAGAAAACTATGGCTTCGAGCGCTGCGACCTGTAAATATGCGATTAGTAACATTTTGACTTGGATTTGCGATCTGCTTCACTCACCTTCCAGTACGCATCCGATAGCAGGTCCAGATAAACTGGAAACGGGATTGGCTCAATTAGAACCATTGTCGTTGTTATCATGCACCCGACCTCGACTCACCTTGGACCCCACCGTATTTCCACAACTGTCGCCGGGCCGTCTTTCCAGCATTGACCATATCGCAAAGAATTGGAAGAGCAAACTCTTTCAACGGCGATTTGAGCGACAATGCCCGCTGCAGTATAGGTATGATACCGTTGATAGCTGCTTCTTCTTGCCGCGTACGGCTCAAGCGACAAAGGTTGAAGAGCGTCTGGAAGATGTGCGAGCAGATCTCCTGGGGTACACAACGGTAGTCAGTTACTGTCGCCGAGGACGTTTCTTCCCTGTGAGACTCACATTTGTGCCAGCACGCGCTAGATGATCATCCAAGACCTTGATCAGAACAGCGATGGCATCCGCATTTTGCAGAACGTCCAGCAGAGAAGGACTGGTCGAGAGGTGTTTGACGGCCTTTACAACGGTCGTAAGACACGTCGAAGTCAAAGATCCGCAAGCACGAAGCAGTCCTGCGGATAATCATCGTTTGTGAGTAGCCTTTCGGATGCATTTATCAGGACGGCCTTGACTCACGCTTGATAAAGCTTCTCGTACCGAGCGCATCCCGCATTCGCGAGTCCGCTTGAGCAGTTTGACAAAACATGAGGACGATCCCCACGATCTGGACTTTGAAGCCCTCAATGTCATCCGTTTCGTCCTTCAAAATGTGCAATAAGACCGTTCCGAGAGGTTCAACGATGCCTTCACGTATGAACATACGACAGAAATCGTTCTTGGGGGTCGGCGTTTGCAATTCGAAAACCGATGCTACTCCACGCAAAGCGGACAAAACCAAGTCCCGATTGGCAGAGTAATCTTCATCCAGGAGCTCCACTAGTACCCGTAGTCCACGGCATCTGGGGCGTTCCGCATGAGCTTTGTAAGTTGACCTTTTCGTCATTCCGCACTTACGAGATGAACATTTGAAGTGTCAGAGCCGAGCCCGTCAGAGCTCCAACGAACGTTGCCGCTTCCAGACGCGTCTCGAGTGAGTATCGTCGTCCAGTGAATGTCTTGAGGATAGGAATCGCTCCGATCAGACATAGGTTCTCCAGCACACTGGGCTCGGTTGCTACCATCTGTAGACGGGCGTCAGCGCTCTCGGAGGGTTTGGATAGCTCCTCGAACAGCGACATACCATGTTCACGACTCGTAAGAGATTCAAGATAACTTCACGACTTGGAGCTGACTCCAAAACTTCCAACACCGCTAGCATACCATGAGACATGATGAAGTGGTCTTGAAGCGCCGGCGCGCCATCCATGATGTTGAGCTGCGAAGCATGTCGTCCAGATCAACGTCGGTGCGTCGAGGAGATTTGTTACTAACTCACGAGGTCGGTAGTATCTTGCTGCAGTGATTCCTCGGCAGACGTAGCCTGCAGCCGTTCTATCATAGCACTAACAGCAGCGCACAGCGATGAATGCTTGTCTCGCAACAAGTTAGCTTCCACATCCATGACTGAGTAAGAGTCTTCGATCTAGAGAAAACGAGATGTAATGAGGTGCGTTTGGACCCGTATTGCGTAGAACCATACTCACGTCAGCGAAAGGATCAAAATCGTCGTCATCGATTTGACCTTCCATCCAGCTTCGATCAGATCGCCGAGTACCAAGCTTGAACACCTCGGAGCCAGTCGAGACTGGATCTGCGCAGACGTGTCAGAATAGATAGAAGCCTGCGAATGAGGAAGCAATCGCCCAACTTACCGATATTGCCTTTCAATGCTTCGCCTATACCGAAAACGTCGTCGTAATCCTCTTCCTCGACCTCCGCATACTTGCTCAACTCCCGCTCTGTAGCTTTGATCTGTTCAGCATCATCCGTCGGGGTGAATCTGAAGGAGGACGTCCTGGATGGAGACCTTGAGGATCCGCTTCCAAACGATCCTCCAGATCCTAACCTGGGCCGTTGTGACAAGCTGCTGGAGATGTCACGCGACGAGGTTGGTCGTGAAGGCCCTGGCGTTCCGCGCAAGCTCAACATCGATATGTCCTCGGGCCTGTAGATCTTGCCCATTTGTAGACCGTTCAGTTTGAATCGTTGGAGCTTCTCATTCAGATCGGACTCGTCTGCCGGCGCAAGGTCGGAATAGTCTTCGGAACTGTCATCCTTATATAGACTCGGCGACCCTGTACCGAAACGACCGATAGACGAGATGGTACGTGTGACTTCTGGAGGGGATCCTAGGGGTGACTTGGTCGGCTTGATGGTCTTCATGTTGTCGGGCTCGTCTCGGGAGCTCTTTTCTGCTCGTGCTATGATGCAGGCCGGGAAATTGAAGAGATGTTCGGTTCGGCCAGAGGTAAGATCTAGCGACGACTCACTCTTCTCAAATCTCTTGACATCCGGTGCTTCCGCAAAGTCGTCATCCCACACGCTGCCCTCTTGGTCGCTCAATTCATTCGGCTCTTCCGTCTCTACGGCGTTACCCAACGGTCTCGACCACATTCCATTAGGCTTTCGACTGACAGAGGCAAGATGAGCTGCCAAGGATTCCCCGGACGACGACTCCACCATGCCTTTGGGTTCAACAGCAGCGATGATCCTGGTCCCCAGGTGCGGCTGCGCCTTGGGAACACGGCGCAACACTTTTGGAGAAGCCTTCGGCACCGCTGATTTTCCGAAACTTTAGGTTACTGATTGTGCACATGTGCATTGTAGAGAATGATAAGGCTTACCTTGCAGAGCCTCGTTCCACTCTTGCACGCGCTGAATCGCATCGTCATATACCGTTGTCAATGGTCGCCGTTTCATGTCGCTGATAGCTTTGCCTGTGGCCGAGACTTCTTGTGTGTGCAATTCCTGAGAACTGGTCAAGCCCTGAGACGGTCGAGGGGGGTGAGCTTGCAAGACGGATGTTTGGCTTTGGCCGGATGGTTTCCTCTTGGTGATGACCAGCTTCGATCTCTTGCCTGTCCGCGAAGCAGTGGGGCTTATATCTGACGATCTTGTTGCCGTTGAATTCTGTTGTGAGTCTTCGGCCTGACGAGGCGGATCAGAAGAATTGTGGGGTCGAGAGGACTCGATCTGGCGTTTAGAGGCCATCATCCAGGGATGCTTTGCCAACTTTTGCGCGGTGATACGTAAATTGGGATCCTTCTGGAAACACTGATACATGAAGTCTTTGACCATCTGATAAAAGCGGAAGTCAGTCAACGCTGCGAAGCTAATCAATAGACTAACAGGAACTCACTCCCGAGGCACCCTCCGGGATGGGCGGTGAGTCGTCCTGGACAATGCGAAACAACGCTTGCATCGGTTCGAGCGTGTGATAAGGCGGTTGACCTTCTAACAACTCTATAACGACGCATCCGACACTCCTACGATGTGAAACCAGGTTAAGTTCAGCGACCAAGCACCTGCTGCACTTGCAGGGGTAGGACTTGCCAGATATCGGAAGCAGTGGTTGCTCCGTTCTGCTCGATCACCTCAGGAGCCACTGTGAGACAGTCTCAATTAGGCAGTCGTTCTAGTCAACGACCTCTGCAAACTCAACTCACTCCAATATGGACTCCCTACAACAGACTCATCCGCTCCAGACCCAAGCCCATCGCCAAGCATCCCGCCCGCTAAACCTGGCATCATCGTCGCCACCCCAAAATCGGCCAATTTGACCGTCCCGTCCTTGTTGGTGAGGATGTTTGCACCTTTTATATCTCGATGTATAACTCCTTGCGAGTGAAGGTAGATGAGTCCCTGTAATACCTGGAAGCGAGAGGTGACGAGACCGGTCAATTGCATACCAAACTTAGCAGAGGCTATGGGCTCACCTGCGAGATGTAAACGGCCACTAGATCTTCCGGAAACTTTCCGTATCGCTTCAAAATGTACTGTAACGATCCATTCTCGCAGTATCTGGAATACGGACACAATATTAGCTTCTTACAGCTAGAGACAGTATCGAGGGGCGCTCACTCGAGAATGATGTGGAGGTATTCGTTTGTCTTGAAGAATCCTGTTCATAACCGAACCCTTTGAGAGGCAAATCTCAAGTGTCATATATTCAATGCGTGAACTCACCCTTGTACTTGACGATGTTCTCGTTCTATGACCAGCATCAATCAGCAAGGAAGTATTGTTACCCCTGTCTGTAAGCAGCTACTCACATTCAGGTTCTTTAACAGGTCAATCTCGCTCTAAACACAAAATCGTCAGCCTCATCAAGGAGAACTATTCGATACTACCACATCGTCTCATCGTACTCACCATGATATCTCCAAGCTCGGCTTTCGGTATGTCGCTAACGGAAATCTTCTTGATGGCCACGGTCTCTCCTGTCGTCCAATTGAGCGCCTCTGGAGCAGCGGGAACGGTTTCAATCTCAGCCAACAGGTCGCTTCGACAGAAAAATAGAAAGGCCTCACTATACACCTGAGCTGAAGCTCCTTTGCCCAAAGGCTCTCCTAGTTGCTATGCCCAAAATCACTTCGAGTGAGAACAAGTGAAAAATCCCTTCGAGATTCAGTTGCGGGCTCACGTAGTTTGACATGGCCATGTTGCCCCCCGGCTGCACGCCCTGAACATTCTGTCGAGTGCTCATCGTTTTGCCTCTCAGAGCAGATGAGTGCTCTTCCCCCCGAAGAACGGCGACTATCGAACGGATATGACCTCGTGACCGAGACGTAGTTGTGGGAGCTCCGGTGCGTGCGATCTGCCGATCATTCTCGGGCTCTCCGGAGCGTTCGGCGAGATTAGCGGGTGCGTGTGATTAAAAGGGTGTTCACAGATGGTCGATTCGGATCAGTATATGCTTGGAGGTAATCCTGAATACTAGATTGACCGAGCGGCGAGCAGCGAGCGAGCTCTTGCGTACTTTTCGACATCGACAACATCGACATGGATTGTTCTGAATTGATGGGATCCAAAAGCATCCGATGTTGCTGTTGTCGGAAGCAGATGTCCGGTGGCGGACGCAATTGTCCGGCAATTAGTCATGCTGACCTCAGCACCTCCACCATGACGGCACAACTGTATATATACAGCGAGGGAGCGAGTGGCCAGAAAGACCCACCCGACCAGAGCTTCCCGGTCAGCTGTAAACTTCGATACCGACCTATTCACACCTCGCCACTCTCTTTGTCTTGAAATCCGTAAAACAAATTCGCCTTGCGACGTCCAACAAGACATATTTCCTCATGGCTCCCCAAACTCAAAAGCAATGGACCGTTCAAGGTATCGCCAAGGACTTTAGCAACTTGACGCTTAACAAGGAGGCTGCTATCCCTGAGTTAGGCGATCACGACGTGCTGGTCAAATGTGAGAACGATCTATCTCTTATGGAACGTATCGCAAGCCTAACGTCGCTCCTCGCCCTCGCTTTCGATCAGTTCACGGAGCATCTCTGAACTATCGAGACCTCGTCATCGCCAAGGTAATTGCTTTCACAAGGGGACAACCTGATCCATCTATTCTGACATGGCCTCCTTGTCGCTGGAATCTTTAGGGTCAATACCCCTTCCCCCAACGAGACAAGGTCGTACCCGCCTCGGACGGCGCTGGAACCGTCGAAGCCGTCGGGACGAAGGTCCACCGATTCAAGACAGGGGACAAGGTCGTCACGCTCTTCAACCAGGCTCATCTCTCGGGATCTGTCGATGATTACATCATCACCACTGGGACTGGTGGAGTTATCGATGGAGCTCTTCAGCAGTACGGAGCCTTCAACGAGGACGGTCTCGTCCCCCTTCCTACCAACCTCGACTTTGTTGAAGGAGCCACGTTGACGTGTGCCGGTTTGACCGCCTGGAACGCTCTGTTCGGGTTGAAGCCCTTGCTTCCAGGTGATTGGGTCTTGACCCAGGGAACCGGCGGTGTCTCAATCTTTGCCATCCAGGTACGTGTCAAGCCGTTCCGCACATGTAGGTTCGATCTCCTCGAGACTGACCGCCACCGTATTGCTGGTCCCACCATAGTTTGCCAAGATGATCGGAGCTCGCGTCATCGCTACTACCTCATCCAAGGCCAAGGCCGACAGGGTCAAAGCGCTTGGTGCCGATCACGTCATCCTGTATACCGAAGACGAGAACTGGGGCGAAACCGCCAAAAAGATCGCTGGCTCCCGTGGAATCCAGCACATTATCGAGGTCGGCGGACCCAACACCATGACCCAATCGCTCAAGGCCATCGGATTCGACGGAGTGATCAGTGTGATCGGCTTCTTGGGAGGAGTCAAGGGAGAGAAGCAGCCCTCGACCTTGGACGCCTTGACGAACATCTGCACGATCCGCGGGGTGTATGTGGGCAGCCGGGCGCAGTTCGAAGAGATGAACCGGGCCGTCGAGGCCAACAATATCAAGCCGGTCGTCGATTCCAAGGTCTTTACGCTGGACCAGGTCAAGGAGGCCTACGAGTATCAGTGGAACGCTAAACACTTTGGAAAAGTGGGGATCGCTATCGAATGACTGCATGATGGACAGACCACACCAAAGTCCAAGTTGTAGCCGGGATAGGGCATAAAAACAGCTTCAACGATGACAAGATCATGTTTCACATCGCTAGTACACCCGTCGAGCGAAGAAGAGCCGCGGGTCATTTGCAGGGCGATCAAGATCGACCTGGGGAAAAAGGATGGAAAAAGGCGAAAACCCGGGCAAAAAGGATTTCGACGCAAGCTGGATTTGAACCAACGCATGCAATGCATAAGTGATGTCAAGAAACAAGTTCTAATCACTCCCCTTAGACCGCTCGGGCATTGCGCCATTGATGACAGCTGGTTTGTGTCATTGGATAATATCCACACTTGCGTCTTGAATTGCGACCCCGCGGCGCGAATCACGCGCTTCCCGATCGCGCTTCTACCTCGTCCTGTTACAGCTCCTCGTAAATTTGCTTCCTCCCGCTATCCACCCGTCGTCCGAAAACTGATCTTTCCTTCAGTTCGACCTTGGACCACATTTGCGCATCCCGACCAGAATCCCTCAATCCCAAAAGCCATCATTTTGCAGACCGATATCTTTTGATAATCACACTGTAGATATGGTATGTTGGTCCGACACTGGCTGATATTCATGGGGACGCATTCTAACCGTTCCTTTTGTTGCCTTTTCTCACCCTTCGAATCGCTCTATGTTCTGACGTGTGATGATACCCGCCCGCTGCTCGATGGACAACAATGATACGGCCACATGATAGCCTAAAGCTACCTCCGCCTCCGCCAAGCCCGCTCACAAGTTCGTCGTGGACTACTCCGTCCCCGCTGGTGACCAGGTCTTCGATGCCGCTGGTTACGAGAAGTTCTTGAACGACCGCATCAAGGTCGAGGGAAAGACCGGTCAATTGGGTGACAACATCCAGTTGAAGAGGGATGGTAAGCATAATCAACTCGTTCTGATACAGTATTGCCCGGGACGCTAATTTCGATACTCTACCCGATTGCTCTTTCCAGGAGCCAAGCTCGTCCTTACCGCTCAGACCCACTTCTCCAAGAGGTACCTCAAGTACTTGACTAAGAAGTTCTTGAAGAAGAACCAGTTGGAGGTGAGTCGCAGCTTGGAATCGCATTCACACGAAACATCTTTGCTGAACAGGTGCTGGTTTGTCCATATACGTAGAACTTCCTCCGAGTTGTTGCCACCTCCAAGGACACCTACTCCCTGCGATACTTCAAAGTTGACCAGGACGAGGAGGCCGACGAGGAGTAAACTCGCTTTATCTATCGATGACCTATTTCGAAGGATGAAGGATGACCTGTGGTCGGGGACGGTGTTAGGGCTTGTCGAAGTTTCTGTACAGCGGTTAAGGCTTGCTAGGGCTACAACGATGGCATAATACGTTCTCCCAACGCGTTCTCCAGCAGCGTGACGGCTGTCAGTGTCTCGAGATGTGTTTCCTTCATATTCCCCTACATACGCTATATCCGAGCCGTCTGCCTTCAAGACCATTGTGATGGCCAGCGAGGGAGCTCGCATTGTTGGCCTTCCTAACTCGATCGGACATAGTTGGCAACGGAGATTGTCGCCGTTCAACATCGCACAATGGACTGCTATGCGCCTCCGTCGATCGTACTGATGAAACGTCGATCTCGGCCTCAAACGATCCGCACTGCTTGCGACAAGTATGAAGGTTGCAGAGGGATATATGGGGTATGACAAAAAGCTGTCACTATCCACAGCTATGTTGGATGTTCAAATAGTATCCTGTGTATGAGTCGTATCCGGTGCTGCCAGGATCCTAATCCACAACCCTCCCTGGGTCCATCCAAGGATGAAGAGCTAAGCCACGCGAGCAAGACCCACAAGCAAGCGCGATGACCCACCTTGACCTGGAGCGTCAAGTCGCTCATTACCCAGGCTTGTTCCTCTCGACCTCGACCTTTCAAGAACGACCAAGCCACCGGCGGAGGAGCCCCAGCGCTCGTGCCAGACTTCACGGGAACGATAGTTCGAGATTCAGTCGCTTTTTCACCGGCATCTGAAGAGTTATCCAACGCTTTTAAGAGGCGAGCGAGAACATATTTGATTTGCATGAGGGCAAAGTTTTGGCCGAGGCACTGTGGGAAGAGATGTCGTCAATTCAAGTGAAGCCGAATCGTTCCAGCAACGTCGTGCATACCGTCCTCGGTCCGGTAGAGAAGGGGATTGACCCGCCGTTCTTGAATTGGTCATAGCCCTCGCCTGTCTGCCACCTCTCGGGCTTGAACTCCTCGGCGTCCTCGCCCCAGACAGCCTTGGATCTCTGCATGAGAAGCGTAGCCAGAATGATAGAGGTATGCGCGGGCATATAGAGCGGCGGAGAGCCTTTCAAAACAACTTCGGTGGCGGATCGTCGAATACTGTTATCGTGGCGGGAGGCACCTGGGTGAGCTTCCGAGTTTGTGCAATCCCTCGCTGGTGACCTACTTCATCGGCACTGGGGGATAGAGCCGCAAGACTTCTGAGATAAAACAGTGCACTGTAACCCAAACCGATTGTATTGATCTCCCGTTTCTAGGCCCGCCGATACGATTATATGCGCTCACTATATTTCAAATCTTTCAGGTCGCTATTGCTCCGCACGTGACCGCCTGGCTGTTTTCGAACTTCTGCTCGCAATTGCTCCATAACGTCTGGGTACAGTGTCATACAGTAGATGCAAAAGGTCAATGCCGAGGCAGTCTGAATCAGAATGAAGAGAACTTCAATTGAAAGCTGTCCCATTATCGCTCAATGGAGCGCAAGTTCGGGGTGAACCGCTTACAGTATCTCTTGCGGCGACGAGAATGTTAATCAGTTCATCCTCGATCGCTTCTCGACCTGTCCGAGATGCGAATTTGTCAGAACATCCGAGAAGACGGTATCAGCGTGAGGATCTCGATACTGACTATCCAGACTATTGATCAGATGATCTAGTAAGGAGCCTCTCGGCTTGATAGCGTTCGCAGCCGGCCGCGTACTTTGTCGTTTGTACGCTTTATCGACCAGGGGTCGTATGAACTTCTTGACCGTCTCGACGGGTGGCGTCATCTTGTTGCCCCACAATTCAAATAGCGCCTGATAGTACTCGTGTGGTCAGTATTAGGAGAGGAAAGAGGAATGATGATTCCCGGCGCACCCACGGTGTGCCCATTTTGATCCGCTTAGCCAGGACTTCCTGTTCACACGTCTTGTGTCAATCCCTAACGGTGTTGCATGGGATTGTACCTCGCACGCCGACTCACTTGCGCTTCTGCAAATGCCTTCGTAAGCTCTTCTCCCGTAATGTCGTTCTCGACTATATCAGCGTTGGCTTCGGCTGAGGCTCCGTCACACTGCTGGACGAGCTTGTCGAGCCCGCCAACGCAGTGGCCAAAGAAGAATTCGCTTGCGACGTCCAGAGTATAGGTGAGAAAGAGGGATTGTACGTCGACCGGATTACCGGGTCGCGTCTCTGAACTGGCATTGCGTTCTATCTCATCGCATACGCGGCGGTTTGAGTCGCCAGCAGTCCCCATAATGAGATCCATGAGCTTCTCGGTATGTGGCTCGAGGGTGGCGACTGGATCGTAAAGCGAAGAGTTGGTGCGAGAGAAGAACGGTCGAGTGAATGATCGATGCTGAGGCACGACCAAACGAGTTACAGTTTCGGTCAGCTCAAGCTAATGTCACACCGAAGCGAATTATCACTGATCACTGATCACTGACGAATTTCCAGTCTGCGCCATCGCCGACGAAGACACCTCGCGGTCCGAACAGTCCTTTTGCTCGCTCCATGAATTTTGAACCCTTGGGAAAGCTCTCGAACGAGCTCGAGAGGATCTGGTGGATGTGTTCCGGATTACTGGTTATCATCTGTGCAACATCGGTTCTCGGTCAGCTCCGAAACGTCATCAGGAATACGTCTTTTGCCATGTACTCACACTGTCTTCACCCAGGATCTTGGTGTTGACGGTTCCTCCAGCTCCTTCGAGAGCAGACCGTACCATCCCTTCTCCGAGATAACCTTCCTTGCCCTCCCGGTCCCAGGCTAGCATCAAATCCACGTTGCCGATACGACCGAAACGATTGAGCCAGGCTGATCCCCTAGGCTTGAAAGCTGGTTCCACTACGGGTATCATGACCGCGGACACGAGGCTTGCTCGGTAGCGAAAGTAAAGAGTCCTCAAGTATACATGGCAGCTATAGACTACCAGAGGAGCGATCGCGTAGAGCAGGCTCCTTATGATAATCGCCGAGTCTTTTGGTAGGACTAGGTAGAGGACGATGTGGGGGACGACCAAGTTTCGAGCCGTCGCCCGCAGAAATATGGGCGAATATGGGGGTGGACGCTGCATCCTGCCGGTCAACAGAAAGTAATCGGTAACGTAATTTTTACATGCTATATGTGGATCTGTAGTATCAAGTATAGCAGCTATAAGCACCAGACGCGCCAGACGATAAATGTAGAGCTCAAGTTGCAAGTTGGCCAAATATATAGAGATATAGAGACAGCTTCGCTCGGCGCGCTCGGTCACCGACGTTTTGCTTCCGGCTTCTAGCGAGCAAGTCGTCACTACTACAACAGAGAATCGAGGGCGCTGAAATTGAGACCGTCCGCCTCGCTTCATGCATCACTTTCGCCAAGACGTTGAACAGCTGACGACGGAGATGCGGGCGATTGGGTTGAGAGACCCCAAGAATCACGTCAAGAATGACAGTTGACACTAACGAATGTACTAGTACGTCCGCACAGGGCCACTCGAAGGGAATGGCGCATACCAACAATTTAATAGGCCTTAGAAGCCAAGCAGCTTTCCAAGAGCTCATTCCGTGATAGATGATCACCCTGCAAAATCTGCGAGCTCCGACATGAGCACACGAGCGAACATCATTTCTGGTGTTGTTTTCCAGAAGGGACAGATTCGTAGGTATGAGAAATATGACAGGGGAGGGTGGTTGAATGCGAGATGGGAACGGCTGCATATCTTCCCGTATGTACGGGAGGGGCATCTCGATGTGAAGGAGAACATGGAACGTACTTTTTTCGACGGTGGGGGCAAGGGACTTCTTTGAACTCCACGCTATCGAATTCCACTTCGAGGCAAATAGATCAAGCAGTGCCATTGCGACCCAAATCGTTACGCGGACAAGTAATGACCTGTATCGGTGTTCTGAAAGATTCCGCATCGTTGGCTAATTATGTCGAGCTGTCGACGGATCGTTTGTGCCTGACAGGCGATAAGCCTACTTGTATGACACCCTTTTTTGCTTCCAACACGTCTCGCTTCGAGACATACGATGATCGCTGGGATCACAAACGCTGCGGCGCTGAACCCGAGCGGTCCTTCACAACATAAGAATCCCACGATGCTCCTCAGCGATCATATGTGCATCGTCGAGAGTAGCATGACTCAACAACACTGAGCTCATATCGGTCACCAAGACACTGTTGCGCCGAAGTGTTACAATTGAGCTGACGTGAATATGTCAAATCGACAGCTTCAGCCGCTACCAATGATAGCGCCCAACGCGACGAGCACTCTGCGTTCCCGATCCCATCCACGATCAAACGCTTGTGCATTCAACGTCGTGTTTATTTCCCTCATGTATTGTGGCCTGAAGGATATGGTCATGGAGGAGAAGTTCGTTCAGCGATTTTGGTGGCGATCCCTCTAGCGGCACAGATACTTCGTCGTGATTAGGCATTCCCAATCTCACTTTGCCACGAAAACACGTAGGAGATTACGCTAGTACAGAGTATCGTTGCGCTGGTGTCATAGCAAGCTGTGACTGTACAACTACTACTACTACTGTAATGATATTGCCGAAGTCATCGACGAGATGCGACGACTGACCAAGGGCGACCTTTTGCGCTTCTCCCGATGTCAGCGCGGAAGCAAAATCGAGAGAACGGGTCATGCATGCTGAGCACTCGAGGTTAGCTAGGCTAGCGAACCCGTACGATTACCTTTGATACTATCACTTGTATACATTTTGATATTGACTCGTCTACCTTCCAGGTAAGCTACTTCACGAGGCTACTGTCCACTCCCAACACAATGTCCGAGCTAGATGAGATCAACAAGACCCGTATAGCGGCCGGACTCCAGCCCATCCCCGTGCCAGGGTCGTCGGCCGCTGACAATGGGAGTGGCGAGGATGGACAAGGAATGCAGGTCGACGAGGACCCGGATGTCGTTGCTCAGAGGAACTACCAAGAGAGGATGGAGCAGGATCGTAAAGAAAGGGAGACCAAGTGAGTCCTTGCAGGCGAAAAATTGACTCGAGCGGGTCATGTTGACGATTTCGTTCAATAGGGAACTTCAAGAGCGAATAGCAAAGTGAGTTGCAATTCAGTTTGGTCGGGCAGTCGTAATAGTATCGATCTGACATATCTTTCATCTGCATTCCGCAGGGCCAAAAACCAACGAGCTCTCAAGGCCAAACTCAAGGGTTCTACGCTCGGGGAAGAGGACCCTTCCGGCTCCTCTGCGGACCAGTCAACCCTCGCATGGTTGAAGGCCTCCAAGAAGAAGCAGAAACAGATCGCCGCCCAGCTCGCTCAAGCAAAAGCGAGGGAAGAAGAGGAGAAGGAGCGGGAGCTCCAGGCGGTGTACGGGGCCGATGATCTGAAGGGGATGAAGGTCGCCCATCGGACTAAGGATTTGGACAAGGCGGGAGGGGAGATGATTCTCACGCTAAAAGACTCTAGGATCTTGAACGACGAGGAGGACGAGCTTCAGAACGTCGATTTGGCAGACGAAGATCGAAGAAGAGCGGGAGAGGTCAGGAAGAAGAGGGCCAAGCAGGGTTACACGGGATACGACGATGACGAGTTTGGCGCTGGATCAGATGAGGATTTGGCCGGGGTCGGAAGGAACGTCTTGACAAAGTATGACGACGATTACGAAGGAGAAGGGCTGAAACGGGAAGGTTTCCGTCTAGGTGGAGCGAGTCCACCTCCCGAGAGCAAGAAGCGAAAGGCGGAGGACAGCGGGCCTGGTGCTATGGTCAGCGGTAGCATGGGAATTATCGACGACGATGATATTCCTCATAGCTCCGAGGCCAGTACGAGCAAGGTCAATCGTCAGCTGCTCAACCTCGATTATACCAGTAAGTCTTCGATCCTCGACCGAATCGCTCGTAGCAAAATTGACCCTCATCTGGCTATATCAGAAAACTTCGAAGTATCGGACTATGCAACGGAGGACACGACGTTCAAGAAAAAGAAGAAAAAGACCAAGCGAAACATCCGACGAGCAGATGTTGGACAAGAAGACCAGACCAATCCCGATGGTGGGGAGGTACAGATGACCCCGCTCAACAGGGAGGTCGGCGATAATCTTGTCGGCGATGACGACCTTCAGTTCGCCTTGAGCCGACAGAGAAAGCAGAGCATGATGAAGCGAGGAAAGCGAATGAGAGTGGATGATCTTGTCGCTCAGGTCAATGAGACTAGAGAGGCAAGCGAAGAAGGTTCTGAGGTCAAGCTTGAGCCCGGTCTCAAGGAGGAAGAGAATGACGGTTTGACCTTCGATGATACGACCGAGTTCATCCGCAACGTCACACTCGATTCGCTCGTCAAGCGAGAACCTGTCGCTCGACCCATCGCTTCGTCATCAACTGCAGCAGCACCTGCGGCAGGGATACAGCTGCCAGACGGGGTGACGGTCAAGCAGGAGCCTGGCGAGGAGCCGGATCGTATCCGAGTCAAGATCGAGACGACGGACGATGATCAACCGCTGGGTGGATTGGAAGTCACCCAGCAAGACGACGTCAATATGGAGGACGGCGAGCTGAGTGAAGAGGATAGCGACCTCGCCGAGATGGCATTGAGGCAGGGCCTGAGTATCGAGGAGATGAGGTTGAAGATGGACGCCGAGTTAGGCGGCGTCAAGAAGGAGGACGCTGAAGATGTGAGTTTTAGATCACTAATCTGTTTGTTTCGATTGAGTCCGGTTCGTTTACACGCGCGTGCCCGTTTTACAGGTCATGGTATCAAAACCTGAGCCCACAGTCGCTGGAGGAGTGGCCGGAGCGCTGGCACTGCTTCGTCAACAAGGTGCGCTCAAGGAGACGACGAGCGAGACCAAAGAGCGCGAGCGTACGCAAAAGGAACGGGACCTCTGGCTCGCCGATCACCGTCGAAGGATCGCCAAGAGGGAGCTGGAAAAGGCCAAGCTCAGGGGCGGAGCCGTCCGAGATCAGGCCCAACGGGAGTGGGAGATCAAGACTCGGGAACAACAAGAAGCAAGGGACGCTCTGCAGGCTTATGCGAATTACAAGCCAGACATCAAGATCGAGTACACCGATGAATTCGGTCGAAGTGAGTCGCATCGGTTGGTCACGCCCGAAGGGCATGTTTGGCTAATCCATCATTTTTCCAGTCATGACGCCATTGGAAGCTTGGAAGTCGCTATCACACAAGTTCCAGTAAGTAGAAAGGTTCCCGTATCGTATATCAGGCGTTTCTCAACAACTAATCCCCTTCCCTCTCGTTTGTCAGCGGTAAAACTTCGGGTCGAAAGAAGACCGAGTTGCGTCTCCGACGAGTTGAGGAGGAACGTAAGCGAGAAGCTATGGTCGCTGGCGATACGCCCTCGGGTATGTTGCAAGCGTTTGCACGAAGGCAGGAAGCTACAGGAGAAGCCTACATGACCTTGTCTGTCGGGAACCGAAAGTCAGTTTCTGCATTTCCCCTTCGATACCTGGATGTCTAAGCTGATATCTCTCACCGTGTGGATGTTTTTTTCATAGCTACGTGCCGACTGGGGACGTCAAGACGAAACACGGAATCGTCACTCCGGGAGGCAAGAGCAATGCCAGTGGATCGAACAAGGCGGCAGGGAAGAAGGGTGGGCAATCTGGACCCAAGGTCCTCGGTTAGATGGAGATCAACTCGAATCACTTGCCTGTGACCGCCCGTCCATGTTGACAATTACAATGCAATATAACCAATCATGTGATTTATACTCTGACGCCGCCCGAGTGTTTCCACGAGTTGCCTTTGGTAATCGATCATCAGCCGTGACTTTCAATGAAAGCGACTTTGAATAGAGAGCGACTTTGATGATTCTTGTGCAATCGCGTGTACACCTTATGCAATCGCGGGCAAATGACCGATAGATACATTACGAAAGACATTCGCGACATAGACATGCATACATTCTCACATGGTTTCCGAATCCTGATATAAATTGAGGTCTAGCTATATGTATCGTGCTTCAGGCCCTAGAGTTCCCCAGCTTCGCCCGCCATCTGGCCATCTTCATCCTCGTTGTGAGTCTGGGTGCCCTCTCAAGCGCTTTACCTTGCCTCCCAGCCGGCATGATCGTATTCGGCCATCTGACGAGTCGGCAAACACAAAATCGATGAAATGATGCCCCAGAGTGAACGCGAAATATATACAACTTGTGTCTCCCAAAACCCCCGACAACCGCCCCATTTGAGACCCAGTCCACGATGCGTCGCCTCGGACTCTGCGGTCTCCCACGGACGACCCAACCTCAACCCTCTCGAATATCGTCTTCCTTCCGATTAAAGAAGACCCCTAGATCCCGTGGCCTACTTGCCGAAATCGGGGAAACATTCGGCAAACGGCTTGTTGTGCGTGTCAGAGTGTTCGGTCAATCTACACCGAGGCGAAAATTACGCGTGTCATTCAGCGATCACATAGGAGAGCGAGCGAGTCGAAAAGAAGCGTAAAGACGGGAAGACTTACTTCGCCTGTCCGGCCGTGGATTGAAAGGTCCGGAAACACTTTTTACAGATGGTTGTTTGCGCAGCCTATAGTGAGCCGGGAAGAGGGATCTTACAAGAGCGTCAGGTCGAGGTGCTTCCCGCAAACGTCCGAAGCGTAGAAACTCACGGCGTTGGCCTTCAATTGCGAAGAAGCTCCCTTGGCAGGTGCGTTCTTGGCGTTACGTTCTCGCTTCTGTTCAGCTTTGGCTCCCTGTTCGATCGAAGAACAATCATGGTTGCAACAAGATCCACAAGAACGAGGTTGTCAACGTCCGAGCTCGAGAGCGGATGAGCGAAAAGTTGCAAGCCAGATTCACGTTACCCATGTTGAGAGGTTGCTAGTCGAAAGTTATGTATGATCTTAAGATTATGAGGGCGTAGGTGGAGATTGTGAATCTGTAACGGTGCGTTGTTGATCAAGACTTTTTATTGACTTTGTGCGTTGTATTTGTGAACCGGAATTTTCGATCAACAAGGTGAGGAGGATTCGCGCACGCCTTCCCCTCGCTCGGAGCCGGATCACGTAAGATTAGGTAAGCCATCCCTCGCGATACCTGATCGTCAGAACCGTTGACGTAGAACACTGTACACTAAGTTAGTCTGATAGTCTGGGACGCTGGAGAGCCCGGTCCCATCCGACGATCCTCATGTTACCCTACGCTGGTGAGTGTATCGAACCCGACCTTGCTTTCGTAGACACTCGCAGCTGGCAAATCCATCTTCGAGAGACGACAATCCTAAAGCCGCCGCTATACGAAGAAAAGGACAGACTGTGTATCACCTACACGCCCCTCGAGATGACCATGGCCTGGATGCCCTTGTCAAGTACCGAATACGCTCTGTTGATAGCCGCGAACTACCTCCTATACCCGCAGAGATTCTCGAACTTCCCCTTTCTTCCATCTGGCAGGATGCAGATAAGTCGGCAATCAGGATGCCTCACATGCTCTACCCACGTCGTGAACATGTTCTTCCCAGTCTAGAGATCGTCCGAGACGACGTCGTCCGTCGCCCCTTTTCGGATCTCACGGCCGATCCCCTTGGTCACACACGGTACACACAGGTTCATGTTACGAGTTGTCGATAGGTTTCCATTACTTTTTCGTCATTACATTTCTCTAAAACTTGCCCCTCTCGTTGCCAAAAGCGCTTGATTGGCGCGGAGGGTGTTTTCGTCTCGTTTTTCACCAACCATCTTGCGGTCCTTTTCTTGTCGTCATTCTCGATGCAGTTATACACGCGCACAGTGCAGATGGGTAAGAGGAAGAGAAAGTGAGGGGGATCACTGGGGGTCCGAGTATCCCGGTTGGGCGGGCTTGGCTTGAGCTTTGGTATCGCCACCCTGATAGTGAGGAAACAGAGAGAGAGAGAGAGAGCAAGGGTGTCAGCCGGATCGACACGTACAGACTGATGGCCAGAAGGAAAGGCCAGATTTCGAGTCCCATGCCCCGGATCTCTTCCACTCACCTGAGGACTAGGCAACCCTTGTCCGGCCATCTTCCTCTCCCTCATCTCCTTGACGCCCATCCCACCTCCCTGAGTCCCGTCCTGCTGCTTGGCGTCGCTCTTCGACCTCATCGGGGCCTCGTGGTCGACCGAACCGCTTCGCCTAGACTCGGCAGACGCTCCGGCGATGGTAGGTGCGCTGGCCGAAGAAGCTGTAGATCCACCGGTGTGGAGAGGCGGGACGGGGGAGGCTCCGCCCTTGGCAGCTCCCGGTTGAGGCTGGTTGTCGCTCGAACGACGGACCGAGTCGTGAGTCTTTTGGTCCTCCGTGTATTGTTTCAGGGGTTGGTTGAAAGCGTAGAGACCTCCGGCGACACCTGCGTGTAGGTGGCATAACAGGGTAAAGCAAGAGGGACAGATCGAGTCGACGGTAAGCGACCGATAGAGCGGTCCTGAATCGCATCACGTCAGCTGACACGTACCGACGGTAGCGGCCAAGAGGAGAGGAGCGTTTCGTTTGAGAGCCATGGTGATGTGTGGAGTGTGTGTTGCAAGTCAAAGTCTGGTTTGTTAATGGGTGGATTTGGAGGAAAAGTCGGTGAGTAAACGAATGTCGTGTCGAATCAGAAGACCAGAAGATCAAGTACGCAAGTACAGGAGGCAGGGGGGGGGAAGGGGGACGATCGGGATCGGGCTCGCTGGTTAGCTCGAGAAAGGGAATGACGTCAGATCGAGGGGATTTGTTTGATAACCAAACGTCATTCGGTATGACGTGTCATGTGTACAACCCAACTCGGCACGGGGGACCCCGGCTATTCAAAGGTGGGGTCTCGGACGCAAAAAGATAGCCTCGGGGTTCACTTCATCCACGAGGAAGGGGAAGGGAGGGGTGGAGACGGAAGTATAATCGTGGCACACAAGGCGACCAAAGGAGAGGGAAAAGGAATCATCAGATCTGATCAGATTCTTCTCAATCATCAGATCACCTATCAGCTATCAGGCCTATCACCGCCATCAAGTCGCCAACTTTCACTCCCTGCCCTGCTCTTCAAGGGTCCGTATATACCGACGTCCGACATCAACCGGGTCGTCGCTCGCCCCACGATAAATCTTATCTCGATCTCACTCGCGTGGTGGGGCTTCCGGAATCTAAAAGGTCGACCTCGGTCAACAGCTGATCAAGGGGACGAGCCCATCGACAAGGTAGGTGATAGGTGTGTTGTGTGTTTACCTCTCGTGGCTTCTCCATGCCTCCACGATGTATTTCGCCCTCCATACTGACTACGATCCTGGACGACGATCTAGCCGCGAAATCGAAAGCCAGCTGGAGTCATCAGGACGAAGTTGCAACCCTCACCAAGGATGCGATCCCACTCGACGAACCACGTCCTTCACCTCTACGCCCTCCTTTCCCTTGCCATCTCGCCGCTCCTGGTCGTCTCCCAAAAGACATGCTCAAACTACGGGACCCCTTCCTCGACCTCCCCGGATACATGCATCTGCCCGCCAGGGTTCTTGAACTCGACCGATTGCCTGCAACCGCAGTGTGGGGGGAACTTGTTGGATGGGGGCACGGGCACGGCGCCAATCAGCCAGGCGGGAGGCGGGTTGGGCAACCTGACTGCAGGAGCGTGTGGATGCGATCAGGGTTGGGACGGACCGGTCTGTAGCGGTCAGTCCTGATTTTTCTCCTCTGGTTATGTCTGGCATCGATGGCTGATCGTCTGACTCGCTTCATCCGTCACAGTCTGTACCTCGACCCAGGCGTGCACCTCCCTCTTTCCGTCCTCGGACGATTCTGCGACCTCGCCCTCGGCCCTCATCTCCATCCCCCAAAATTCCAACCTATCCTGTTCGTCGGCAGCGTACACATATGCTTCGTCCCAATTGCTTTGCAACGTCTTGAATCCGACCCTGCAGGCGGTCTTTAGCGGGAAGAGCGAGTTGGGGATCACTAGGACCGTGGATCCGGCGGATGGACCGGTGGGCAGAGGAAATCGGACGAGCGGCGCCGGCTTGGGGACCGGAGTCGCGTATGCGCAGTTGTGGTATGATGGGATCGAGCAGGTGAGAGCCGTCATGCTTGGCAGTGCGCGTCCGCCGACTGAAACGACCGGTGTATTTACGACGTGCGCAACAGTTCAACTGCCGGGCCACGAGCTGTTCGCAGTCAGACTATTCTAGCACGTCCAACTCTTCCACCTGGACGTGCGAAAACTTGTCATGTACCTGTCTCCCGGGAACGACGTTCTGCAGCCAACTAGGTAACGTCATCGACGGGCTCTCCGGTCCGCTCGATATCACCTGCAGCTCTCCTGCCTCGACATCGACAGCGACCGAGTCGTCTTCAGACGCAGACGCGCTCGGAAGCTGTTCGTTCTCACAAGCGTTGTTGAAGCAGCTCTTCCCTCCCGACGGCCTCAGCCTGGTAGATTGTCTGTTTGGGGAATGCATCTCCCAGACCGTCGTGGATCAAGTTCAAGGCAACGTCGTGCCTACCACCGGGTCGAGCGGAGAAGACGGCGGGGACGGCCTGTCGGGCGGGGTCATTGCCGGGCTGGCCGTCGTAGGCGCGATCGTCCTGGCGATCCTCGCGCTCTTGATCTGGGGGATCACGAAACGGAACAAGGCCAGAAAGGTTTCACCGGCCGGGATGGGGCTGGACGAGTCGGGTCTCGGGAGGAAAAAGGGGATGGGGGCGGGGGTCGAGTGGACAGGCGTTGGGTACCAGTTGAAAAGGAAGTCGGGGTCGAGGGCATGGCCTCGTACCCTCAATTCCAACATCGGTCCCGCTGGCTCGAAACACGATGGAGGCAAGGGCAAGGTCATCCTCGAAGGGGTCAGCGGTAAGATGAGGCCCGGTGGGCTCTGTTGTGTTCTCGGACCGAGCGGGGCGGGCAAGTCGACTTTCGTGGACATCCTGGCAGGCAGAAGGAAGACGGGTGGCAAGGTCGTGGGCAAGGTGGATTTCTTCGGCCAAGAGACAAACGAGACGGGCGGGAAGGGAACCACACATCGGGTCGGGTTCGTCGATCAGGTAGGTCGTTTCCCTCATCATTGCTCAGCTCTATGCAGGCGCGCTGACAAGGTATATTCCTCTGCGAGCGCAGGAAGACGTTCTGAATCCGACCTCTACCGTCCGTGAGACCTTGCTCTTTGCGGCCCGTCTCCGACTTCCCGAATCCGTCTCAGACAGCGCCAAACATGAACGCGTCTTCAAGGTCATCAACGACCTCGGTCTGGTCGACGTCGCCGATGTCAGGATCGGTGATGGACTCAAACGTGGCGTGAGCGGTGGAGAGAGGAGGAGGGTCAGTATCGGGGTCGAACTAGTAGCTGCGCCCGACGTCTTGATATTGGACGAGCCTACGAGTGTGAGTCTGAACAAAGAATTTGGCGACGAATCGCGCCAAAGTCTGATGGCTTCCTCTCTTTAGGGCCTGGACTCGGTATCTGCTGCCAAGGTTGTCGCTATCTTGCGGAACCTCGCCCACGACGTCGATTATCCGACCACCATCGTCGCCTCCATTCATCAACCGTCTTCTCGGCTCTATCAATCCTTTGATACCGTCTTGGTCTTGGCTCAGGGAAAGCAGGTATACTTTGGACCGGGAGGTCATGCCCCGGCGGAATACTTTGATCAGAGGGGATTGGCGTGTCCGCCTGATTACAACGTGGCGGATCATCTGCTCGAGATCGCTAGTAGCCCTCCTGGAATTATACAACGCTTGGTAGATGGTGTATCAACGCGAGGCCAGGAGGATTCGCCAATCAAGGGCACGGCGATTCGATCCCACGAAACGCCCGGAATCCTTGAGAAGGGAGGCATGGCATTTGACGGAACCGTGCCCACCTTGAACGGGACTCCGACGTCGGTCTCAAATGGCAGCGGGTCCGACTCCAGTGCTTATGAGGATCGGGAAGGCAACGTAATAGTGCCGATAGCCTCGAAGATCAGTCATCGTTGTGCGGCGACATTCTTTACTCAGGTAGAAGTCCTTGCCGGCAGGGAGCTCAAAAATTTGAAACGGCAAGTCGACTGTGCCCATCTAGTAACATCACGGCCGATGCCCCAGCCGCTAAAGTATGGATGTGGTTGCGCAGGGACTGGTCGTTATTGATCACTCACGTCATCACTGCCGGCATCTTGGGCGTCTTTGCTGGAGGTCTCTACTTCAAGGTCGACCTCTCCATCGCTGGGTTCCAAAATCGAGTGGGGAGTCTATTCTTCTTGGGCAGCTTGATTGCCTTTTCGACCCTCAGGTGAGTCGATCCCTTCATCACTGCAATCGGTGAACGTCGAGAAAGCTAACCTGTAATGAATGACTGTATAAGCGCGCTGTACAATCTGATGAACGTTAGAGCCCTATTCTTGCGAGAACGGGCTGGTTCCTACTATTCGTAAGTGCGGCCGAGCGAGGATTACGCGCAAACTCGTTATGGCCAATGCTCTAACGCCCCAATCTAGACCCTTGGCTTGGTTGCTTTCGCGCATCTTATTCGACTTGATCCCCTTACGTCTGATCCCCACTATCATCGTCACTACCATTGTCTACTTTATGGTCGGCCTGAACTCGGATGCGGCGAGGTTCTTCAAGTGCCTGTCGATCTTTGTGGAATTTTCTCTGAGCCTTACGCTTTTCGTAAGTTCAGTCCTGCACGAACGAGTCCGAACACGTTGACGAACAGCATACTGTTCCTTTCAGAACATGCTGCTTGCAGCGGTCTTGCCGAATGGAGGCATCACCATCCTCCTGTCATCGCTTCACAATCTCTACCTGATGACCTATGCTGGATTCTTCGTCAATCTGAGCAAGATCCCCCCCGTTCTCAGGTGGCTCAGATGGTTCAACTGCCTCGGTTATGCCCTCGAGGTGAGTCGAGCTGCAGCGCAGGAACAGAACCATTTTAAAGGCGCCTCTTTGCCTCACCTTCTTGCTCTGCTGACTTTGGAATCGGTGTTGACTGCGACTGCCATCGTGACTGTGTCTGTCAACTTCTAGGCAAGCGTGGTGAACGAAGTTGGCGCAGAACTGGAGATTGTGGACACGCTCGCTGCCGGTCAGTATCGTGGAGTCGATCACAGGTTCAACTCTACGAGGTATGTTGAAATCTGACACGTTTTCTCACTCGCTCGCGCAGTCCCAGTCAGGATCTCGGCGACCTTGATCATGGACACCTTGTTCGGGTTCGGACTCGGTCATTACTACCGAAACGTCTTGGTTCTTTTCGCATTCATAGCCGGGTACGGGACGCTTCTCGTCTTGGCTGTATGGTTCTTGATGAGGGAGACTCGGTAGTGGACTTGAGGATCCAAGGATGTTTGTTCTGTTTCGCCTGCCGTTGTATGTTGCGAGGGTATAGTATAGTCCCTGTATTACAGCTCGTATCTCTACTCGCTACTCGGATAGCCACATGACGCCCCGCTACACCACGCGCAAATTACGCGTCGCCCTTTCGCATCCAGCCAGTATCCCAGACCAGATGGCTAATCGCCTAACATCTTGCAACAGGCCACAGGCCAAATGCCAATTTAGCAACTAATCAACCTCTGTGTTCGCCCTCCCTTCAAACCATTCGTCACTTATTGCCCCGGATTGTTTGACGCTCTTTACCGCGACCTCGTACGTGATCGCCTGCACTGCTTTTCTAGGGCGCTGAGCCTAGATCGCGACTGGACCTTTCGGCATTCAGGCTGCAGTATCCTTTGATAGCGAGTATCCCTCGGGTCCAAAGACCCCATCGCACAGATTGTTCAGCTGGGAGCCTATACGTCTGCTTGCAGCTACTGGCCTGATGACGGAAGAAGGTGGGTCATCGGGGCTTTAACATGTTCTTACCGGCTCTACACGCTCAATCAAGGAGACATTCGGTCTCCCTGTTTACAAGGCAATAGCTCAACTACGCAGCAGGTTCTGGTTGGTGATACGGAGAAGGCGGCCGAAACGCAGCCAAAAAGCAGAGTATCCCTTCAGACATGGCTCAAACAACAGAAAGAGGACACAAGGGATGACGTCGCATTATCCACTATCAAAGACACTAAGAAGCGATTCAAGATGGTACGACAACGCCTATCTGATTGTCAACGCTACGGGAAAGAGTTATACGTCGCAGAAGTTCAACAATTGCTTCGAGAGTTGGAAACCTTGTGCACCCTGATGCAAACGGCCCCACCGTATCCATGGTCCAAGGCGATCAAGGCGGGGAATGCAGCAGGAAGCAAGGTAAAGTACGAGGTCGACGTAGCATTATCCCAAGAGGTATGGCACCTGGCATTTTCGGACGATAATCGCCAAGCCAAGGAGATTGAGGCTATCATCGAGCTTGCAACGGAACTGGCTGTGCAATCTGCAAGGCCATCTCTTCGATACAATCGCGCTCAGGGAGCTGTATACCAAGACTTCGCTCGGGAATTCGAAGACCTTGGCGCGATCGATGATCTGCAAAGGATGCTCCATGATTACAACATAGAGATGAATGGAGAGGAACTGTACGCACCCGTGCTGGTTGTACTTCAGTCTTCCGGCACGGGCAAAACCCGCACGGTGCTGCAGCTGTGTACACAAGAGCTAGGATTATACACTTGTCTTCGCCCATCCGACGATCCAAGAGTTGTGTCAGCCCCACCTGCCGATAGAGCGGTAACGACTTTTCTGAGTCACAAAGGATCAAGCATTTTGGGACCCGATGAGTCGATTGAGGCGGCTACGAGGACTATGGCCGCTTGGCTGAGCGCTTTCTTCGAAATATTTGCCGATTACTGCGAGGGAGTGGTGAAGAAATCCAAACTCAATATCAGTTGCCAGGCGGATTGGTCGCGGTTCCCAGCTATCATCGCGGAAGAACTGTACGACGGGATCACGCCCGGTTTCCATGCAATTCGAACTCCGACTCCTTCGCGGAGTTCACACGCTTCGAACAGCTCCGATAAAAGCGTAGTCATAGATGATTCACGACGGCCCGGACCTTCTACTGTACGTGAACGCCTATTGAGCCAGATTCTGGCGCGAGCAACCGGATTGAAGGCATCCAGGGCCTTTCCGACAAGGAATACCGACAGCGCTGGTCATTTTGACCCTTCCGCAGAGACGTATGCCTTCCATATGGCTGGCGCACTCAAGCGTCTGAAGGAAATACGCAAGGGGATGCGAGGTTTGACGTTTGTCGCATTCGACGAGGCGTTATCGCTTGGCCGGCTCAGGCTGGAGGCCCTGCGGCGTCTGGCGAGCCACCTTCGCAAGCTGGACTTTTGGGTCTTGCTGCTGGACACCAATAACAAGGTGTCGGAGTTGACTGGCGAATCAGCACGGCTAGCGTCTACAAGACTTGACACAAGCAGCAATCGTTATCGACGCCTTGTACCTCCTTTTCATATCCTGCGCACAGACATTTTTTTACAAAGCGAACCGATTCGATCCAAGTATCTTCAAGTGGTGGGAGGTAACCGTCAAGTCTCTCATATGGAGTGTCTGCGTTTCATTCCCAAGATGGGCAGGCCTCTATGGAACGACTCGTCTTGGGAAGGCTTTCAGGACGAAAAAGGGTCCAGACTGTTCCGTATTCCCTTGCAAGCGATCTTGGAAAAACTCCTTTCAGAACACAGTATAGCGTCTCTCACAAGAAGGACTCCGGACAGTCCTGCGGCCCAATTGATCGCTTTGACAAACCAACGTCTTCCCTTGAATATCGTCGGAATTCAAGGTCAGGACGCTAAATCAAGCACAACGACCTCAGGCTGTTGACAATGATTTCTTCCTCGATAGGTCTACATAGCGCGCCGAGCTTCGTCGAGACACAAATAGCGCATCATCTGCGGGTCGTTGTTGCAGTAGAGGTAGATGGCACTGGCATACGCTCCTGGATTCCGTCCGAGCCTCTGTTGAGGTGAAATCGAAGGGCGACAGAAAGCTGTCGAACCGGATGCTGATCCGATCTTTTTAATCTAGCATGGCGGCGGCCGATTTGTTCAGACGAGATCCGCAGAGGATGTGGGGAGCGGCTGTCGATACGATCGCCCGACTCGCCAAGTCTCATGACCTCAATCTGGGAGAATCTGGAGAAGAATATGTCAGGACCGCTATATCTGCTGCTGTCGACTTCGCCTTTCACAAGTGTTACAGGTCCGACATCCCCGGAATTGAGGATTTGGACCCTCGCCAAGAAGATAGTATCGACTTGCCGGACCACCTCTTTGTCGTCAGCGTACGGGACTGGCTGATCCAGTTGCTGGGACCGGAGCCCTTCGCTGACAACCCAGAATTAGATGCATGGAGCAGTCGGCGATGGATCAACTTTACCCATTTCGGAGTTCTTGGTCAAGCTTTCAAGGAAGGAACGCCTTTGCCACGAACTCATCTAGCTGAGGCATGGGTAAGACAGATAGCATTCACGGGCAGCATCACGCAACCGAAGTGGGATCTTCTTGTCGTCTGCTTAGAATCTGATGACCGCCCGAAGCTAGAAGATCTTCTCGATACACGCAAACTCTGTCCCATCCTTATACAGGTCAAAAATCGCGACGAACATCGTCCATCTCCACTTGCGAGACTTGAGGATCTTCGCGCGTCTGCCTACAACTCTGAGGAATGCCCTACCGGGGTCTTGAGTATCTACATCAGCCTCGCCGCCGCGTCACCCAAGATCGAATACGCAACCAGAACTTTAGAAGGGAATGTCAAGAGTCTGTCGATATATGTTGGCTGCAACGAGCATCACCCGCTCGGAATCTTCAGACAGCCTAGCGAAGCTCAATCTGGCGGCTTTTCCTCACACAAGGCTGCTCAGTCATTGCTCGGCCGTTGGACCGGTCTTTTTAAGATAGACATCGACGACCACGTCGGTCATTTTTTGCGAAACCGGTTCTACTTTTACGCGAACAACCCGGAACATACTGCGCAAGGTTGGCCTGATCTCATCATTGTGTGCGGTGTTCTTAGCTCGTTGCTCATTCCATCGTGTTTGCAGTCGTCAACGACGCTGTCAGTTCGGCAAATGATGCTACCCAGGCCGTTTCGAAGCATAGTACGCAAGGTTCGTTCGGGCCCATTAGTTTGATATGCTGCATTTGGAGTTCTTGCTCATTTCGCTACGAATTGATCGCCCTACACGCTACCGGTTCGAAAGAAAACCTCACACAGGCCGAAAGAAACGCGGGCAATGTGGCGGAGAAGTCGTTGAAACGAAAGATACTGGAACCTGAAAATGCCGGTTCCAAAAAGCCAAAGAAACGGAAGACAGGTGAAACAATCTCTCTAGCTGTTCGAGCTAGATCCACTCTGAATTCTGACGAGATGCATAGTCGGGAGAGCAGGACAAGCTGAACCCGACAAAAAAGCCAAGAAGAAAGCCAAGGCGAACGCAGGGGTCACAGGCAAGTGAACGCGTTCTCGCTCCTGCGGCTCTATCCGAGACTGAGACTCGATCGCGACAGTGAAACAAAACGGATCAGACAAGAAAGCGAAGCCGAAGGAACCCAACCAGCAGACAAGGAAGCCGGCGAGTGAGCTTATCTTTCACGTTTCGCCGACCGATGGAATTCGCACTCAATCTAGTTATGAGACTTAGGACGCAAGAGAAGTAAAACGACGGCTCACAAAGACAAGGCAGAGGGACTAGACACCTCGGAATGAAAGTGCGTCACCTCGTACGACCATGTCAGGTATGCGCGAGGATCTATGCCAAACATGGAATGATTTATTCTCTTATTGCACCACAGGCCAAAAAGATACGCAAGTTCAGCCGTGTGCAGGCTTACGCGTACATTTGTCCTTTCGACGGGATTATGACGACATCTACAACGGATTCATGTAATCTGTTATTATCATCCTTATTATACCACCTTTGTACATGATTATCGTTGCTGCTGCTGTCGACCCCCGCGACCAATCAGATTCGAGTATCCGCGTGCGCGCGTTTTGCGTGTTTTCGTGGCCTCGGCAGCTTGGATGGATGGATGATTCGTCAGGTTAATTCGTCATCCCCCTCTCCCCCATGACCCCCGTCCTCTCTCTTCTCCCATCCCTTCTCTCTTTTCGACTGCTACTGTCAGAAACAGAGGACAGCGGCATCAAGTGCTGTCTGGGTAGTAGACAGCACCATCTCACTCGAAGCTACACCTCTGTGCTGCCTACCTCGTAGATAATATACTCGTCGATCGATGGAAACGCGGTGAATCAGCCCAAAACACGTCACCTCTCAGGTCGCCCTGCCAACCCGCCTCGAACCGGACTCGATAAAGACCGGACTCTCAAATCTCAGAGTTGGGGACTCTCTATGAGCACGGGTCACCCTTTCCTGCAACGTATATCGCTCGAAACCGAGCTCTCGCCGCTCGGACGCTCTGAAAGCTCTGAAATCGCGCGTCTAGACCGCTTTCGTCTTGGACAACTTCCTCACTACCAGGAAATCGAGCCACCTGTCCGGGACATTTCTAGTGAATCACTCTGGCCGCTGTCATAAGCTCTTCGTAAGATGCCCAGCAACAATCACCACCATCACAATTCCTCCAACGTCGGGTCCGCCGGAACGGGTTCCACCCCAGCCCATCGATCTGCCGGATCGGGCGAAGGCTCCGGTGGTCCAGGTAGCGGGGGCGGAGGTGGAGGAGGAGGTGGTGGCTCTACCGCCGCTTCCAAACGTAGGGAAGCGAACAGGCTCGCCGCAGCTCGGTTCAGGACGAGGAAGAAGGACCAGGTGGTCGATCTCGAAGGACGGGTGGCGGGGCTCGAACAGGAAAACTCGGTCTTGAAGGGAGAAGTGAGGAGTCTCCGGACCAAGTTGGGTATCGAGACCGAGGCGCCTGTTGTTGGTCCGATCGGGGGACAAGGCAGTGGTGGGACGGTGATCAGCGTGAGCATGCAAGAGAGGGTAGGCACGCCGTTGTTGGGCGGAGGACACGCGGATAGTCCGGGGATGGGCAGTCATCGGAGCCTAAACTCGATGGGTCCAGGGGACGACGATGAGGACGACGATATGGATACGGGAAGTTCAAAGAAGAGACGAAAGGTCGGAGGTCGTGGTGCGGGCGGGGGTGGGGATGGTGCCAGTGAGGAAGAGATGTCGCAGTTGAAGGAGCAGCTGCGAGGTTATCAGGCCACGATGAGGGTCATGCAAGAAGAGATCGCCATGCTCAAGGGTAAAAAGACGTCGGTGAGTTGACGATGACGCTGAAGAATCGCGAGGAGATGGTGGACAGCTGACGACATGTACACTGCGCAGTCTGTCGGAAGGACGCCTTCGTTTACGCTCGACCCATCGCTGGCAGACGTCAAGCCGGGATCTTATACCCAAAATCATCGATCATCCGGCCGATCTGGTAGCGGCGGGTCTTCCCGATATTATCACAACCACTCGGATTCGGCCACCTCGAACGATCTCGCCGATGATGCTATGGCCGCTCAGGGCCTCGCTTCGCTCCACTTGCCTCTCCCCCGTCCCGGGTATGAGAGAGGTGAGACTGGCACCTCGTCACATCTGAGCTTGCCACCTCTTTCGCCCGTACTGCGGATCGACTCGGCTTCTCCCGGTCGAGAGTACGAAGGCGAAAGCGCTCGAGGTGGAGGATATACCACGGGGTCTCACGGCGGTGGGACGTCAGTCATGATGGGTCGATCGATTCACGGACTACCATCCTCGCGGCCTCACTCTCCATTGAGCTTGTCGCCAGGTCTCCCTCAACCTGGTCGACCCACGAGTCCGATGTCTATCGAGAGGCTGTCATCACCCTCGCCCCTCGGAGCCGGGTACAAGGATTCTTCGTCTGCTGCGAGGACGCTGAATGCGCTTCAGAACGCCGCCTTTGCCGTAGGGATGCAGTTGAGCGGATCGGGACCGTCATCCCCGCTCGGGGCTGCTTCTGGACGGGAATCGCCTCTGGCCAGGAATCGATCTTGGGGCCTGGGCGGAGCCACGCCTAGCGGACTCGGCCTGGCTTCCCTACCTCATTCGAGAGCCGGAAGTCGGGGACTCGATTCGCCCATCAGCGCCGAACGGAGCGGGGCCAACGACGATGACGATTCACCCGATAGCGGTGGGTACGCGCAGGATTACTTTGGAAGGTACGCTGGTGGAGCCAATGCCGGGACGGGTCAAGGCGGCAGTCGGTTGAGGGAAGAGCGGGATTTCGAAAAGAACGAAGATGGGGACGGGGATGGAGAGGATGACGTGACCCCTCCGGCCAAGGGGTCGGCCGGATCGAAAAAGGTCGTCGAGGTCGATCCCAGTCTTCTCGATCCTGATATCGTCGATGATGACCGCGAAGAGGGCGACACAATGGTCAAGGACGAAGTAGGGATGCAGGTGGACAATCGATAATCAGAGGCCTAATCCTCTCTTTCGGCGATGCCGCCCTTGGCGGCGCACCTATCTCTTCGATCTCGTTGATCGCTTTTTCGCTTTCCCTCTCCTGCTACTCCTCCTATCCGTGCTTTGCGCATCGTCCTTGTGTCTGCTCGATTTTGTCTCTGATTGTATGGTTAAACACGCTAGGTCGTTGTCCATGTCTGCTCCTTTTGCCGTCATTTATTATCGATTGTCACATGTACGGACATCTGATCTGATGAAACGCCGACCCGATCCGATGCCCGAATACGGATCCGGATTCGCCGGCTCTCGGCATCCATCGTCTGCTGCGAGGGCTATCACATATCGTTGTTATTAGCAGATCAGTCAACCACATCGACATGGTTATCGATTCTGACTCGACATACAACGTACATACCATCAATCATGCTCAGACGCTTGGCCTCGACCTTTTCGACTCCCGCGGCTACACCAGAACGATCGACCTCGCCCGAGACACCTGCAGTCGATCCCAACACCCATGCCGGGCGAACTGCAGTCGAACATGACCTAGCCCACGCACTTCGGGCACACGGTGTCCCGACGACGGACGAGGACTGTTTCGCATGTGATGCTGCCTGCCAGGACGATGGACCCCAATACGATGGCTACCCGCGGGGTTTCGACGTTGACTGGAGCAGTGATCTCCTTGGCAGTGCCAACCCGGCTCCCCGTAATGCAAGCCTGACTCGCACGAGCATTGCATGATGGTACTCGACTGACCCACGCACTCGACTCCCTACAGCTTGTCGTCTCGACCGCCCGGTCTGACTGGGCGCACGACCACACAACCGATACCTCGACCCTATCATATCACCTCCAGACCATCCTGAACGCCGAGCGCGGATTTCCACCACCTGGCACTCCCATCGATCCTCCACCAGCCAAGGACAAGTCGGCCAAAGAGGCTCCCAAGCCAGCACCTGAACCCGTCAAAGACAACAAACCGCCTGGTCAGATCGATCTCGTCATCGGAAAGAACGGTCTTCCTCAAGGTCTCTCGGAAACACCTCGGGCCGAGCTCGAACCCTCGTCCATCGACGCTAAGCAACCACCCACGAGCTTGTTCTCATCCTCGCTCATCTCCCAATCGTCAGACGAACACAAGGAGAGCATTTTGATCTTTCCGGAGTGGAAAGTCATCTGCGAGGTCCCTAATTCGAGCTCCGGCGCCAAGGATGTGTTGGCAGGATTGAACGGCCAGGCGAACGAGCTGAAGAGCTGGACGTTGCCGTACAGGGCAGTGGTCTTGCTCTGCAGTCACAAGAAACGAGACAAGCGGTGTCATATCGCCGCACCACTTTTGGAAAAGGTCAGTCATCGCGAACCGTCGTGGCGACGAAGGTGATCTGCATGCTGCCTTTCGATGTATTCATATGATTTATTTATCGACCAGGCCCTTGTACACGAACTCGAATCGCATCACGTCTCGATCGACACACGTGGAGACTCGTTGAACCCTCATCATCTCTTGGACATGCACGCTGCGCTTCCGCGGGAAGGAGAAGCCGGCGAGAGGGAAGCCAGGTTGAGAGCGATCGAGGGGCTGGACGATGAGACGGGGAGCGGTGAAGTTGGGATTTTCAAGATCAGTCATCTGGGTTAGTAGTGGTCGGATGGCCTTGGGATTTCGTGGACATTATAACTAATCGTTCCGGTCTCCCGTTCGTCGTCTCCAGGCGGGCATCGGTACTCTGGGGTCATGATCGTGAGTCAGCTCATATATGACAGACGCTCAGATCCGTTTCTCATATAGCTACACCTGCGATGGCTCTGTAGATCCTCTTCCCGTCCGGCGCGACCCTCTACTACGGCCGAGTGAGCCCGAAAGATATCCCGCAGGTTGTCAAGCACACCATCCTTAAAGGCCAGGTCATCGCGGGACTCTTGCGTGGAGGTAACAATGTCGTCAGAGACGAGCTGAAGGGAGATTCGGCAGGAGCTTGTAACAAGAAGGGCAAGTCGTTGATAACTTGGTAGACCTGTACGAAGATGGGTAAGGAACGGCAAGAGAGGTCGATATCATAGCATTCTCGCCTATGTAGCTATATTTACAATTCTTCTTCTTGAGCCTTCGAGCGGCTGTCTAATATATGATGAGGGGTATTATTATACAGATGCCCCGGATCGCGGCGAACCCGGTCGTAATGCTGGTCATGCTGATGTCACAGTCGTGCCGACACGATCACAATCAATGCTTCGTGCGAACGGGTTCACCGTTTTCGAGGGGCAAATGCTCTTGCAACCTCTTGAGGAGGGGTTCGTTGGCAAACACCTCGTGCAAAACCTGTCTAGCATCATCCACAAAGACGAATTCGATACCCTCCTTGACGCTTGGTGGGACGTTTTCGTCGATATCCGACTTGCATGCTGCCGGGACAATGAGCTCTGTCGAAACAGGGTGCGGAATGGTCAGCAGGCAGACTGGTGATCGGTCCTGTTTCTCGTTTAGCTTACTCTTCATTCCTGCTCGGTGAGCGGCAAGACTACGAGAGACAAGTGGGAGTGTCAGTGGTTGTTCTCTAAGGTTGATTCTCTGCAAGCGGCTCACATCTTCTCCTTGAGGCCACCGACCGGCAAGACTTGTCCAAGAAGCGTAATTTCTCCTGTCAAAGCTATAGTATTGTCTCAAAACGGTGATTAGCGGAAGCGACAGTGTCTTTCGAAAAAGAAAGAACTCACCAAAATTTGGGTCGACCTTGGTCTTGGTGAATAGTGACACGAAAGCGGACAATAACGCGGTACCCGCGCTAGGTCCCTCTTTGCCAATACCGCCTTCTGGCATCTGTACTCGAGACGATCATCAGCACCGAGCAGCTACCTGCAGACGCTTCCAGCTCGATCTGACTCACATGCAGATGAATATCACGATCCTGCAAGAAGAGGTCGGACTCGCTCGAGGTTATGCCCAACGCAAAGGCATTCGATTTGACCCAGCTCAAAGCGAGCTGAGCAGACTCTCGAATGACCTCGCCGAGCTTTCCGGTGAGCTGCAGATTGCCCTTACCGGGCATTGACTGTATTTGCGGCAGACTGGGTGAGCAATAATCAACCTTGAAAACTGGTTTTTCGACTTACAGTAGCTTCGATGGGCATGACCGACCCTGAGCCGTTACCCAAGTAACCCAAACCGGTACTGACTCCTGCAGGGGGAGCCTTGACATACAGCCTGTCCTTGTGATAGACGGCCGGACCGACATAGTCTTTCAGGTTGTCGGTCGTAATATGCACCGAGACGTCGCTGGGTACCTGCATGGACTGCCTCGGGGCGGTAGTGACCTTCTTCTCGGTCCCGGGGGCGCCTGGAGCAGGCGAATCATCACCCGGCAAGTGTTCCGAAGCCGGCTTCACGTCGGGTTGTTGCGCCACAACGGTACCGGCGTCTTCAGTGGCGGTTGCCTTGGGTGGTTCAGGCAAACCCTTCTCGCCGAGGTCAGTGACAATTTTGAAAGCTGCCTTTCGATAAATCTACAACACAGGTGGAGCGCAAAGTCGATCAGCCACGATCGAGACGTCAGGTCCAGCTTGTCGAGACGCACCTTGTCAATGTGCTTCTTGAGATTTCGCACACCGCTCTCACGGCAGTAGTTTCGGATCAAGGCCTGGATAGCAGCAGGGTCAAGCTTGATGTCGGTATCACCCAAACCGTTGGCTTCCTTGGCCTGCGGAGCGAGGTATCGATCGGCAATGGCGAGCTTTTCGTCGGAGACATATCCGCTGACTTCAAGGACTTCCATTCGGTCGAGCAGGGGTGCCGGAATCGTCTCGAGAGTGTTGGCTGCAAGGCGAACAATTCAAAGGGTTAGATTCAGCCGTAACGCATTCCGGAAACGCAATCCTTACCGGTGCACACGAACAAGACTCGGGAAAGGTCGACAGGAACGTCCATGCTGTGAGCCCAAAAGGCGAGGTCAGCGATATTTCGATTGGCACGCCGTCCCGCTAGGCACGCACTAGTGATCCAAGAATGACCCGTTCTGTTCCGGGTCCAGCATCTCCAGTAGGGCGCTCGAAGGGTCACCGTTGTGACCTCGACCGACCTTGTCAATCTCATCAATCAAAATGAGCGGGTTCTCGGTGCCGACCTTCTTGAGAGCCTGGATGGGTTTGCCCGGCATGGCTCTTTTTCGAGACGCATCGGGTCAGCGACCCGCCATATTGACGCAGATTGCACCGACTCGACTCACCCGATATAAGTCCTTCGATGACCCTTGATCTCGGCGACGTCGGTCAGACCACCGACAGAGAATCGGTAAAACTGCCTGTCCAGGGCCCTCGCGATCGATTTCCCAATACTCGTCTTTCCCACACCGGGAGGTCCGACCATACAGATGATCTTTCCCTCGACGGTACCCCGGAGTTTACCGACGGCGAGGAATTCGAGGATCCTGTCCTTGACGTCCTTTAGACCGTAGTGATCTTCGTCAAGCACCTTGACGGCATGGGTGATGTTGAAGTTTTCTGGCGAGTGGACTCCCCAAGGGATCTGAGTCAGCCAGTCGAGGTAATTTCGCGTGACGCTAACGAGATGAAAAGAGGTATATTCAGCTTGAAGGCACAAAAGGATACGTATTGCATTGGACCTACTTGAACTCGCTCGCAGCCGGTTCGAGGTGCATGAGTTTGTTGATCTCTTCGTCAAACACCGTCTTGACACCTTCGGGCATGGCGAGTTTCCCTGCCTTTTCCTTGAACCCCTCGACCAACTTGTCCTTGCCATCGCTGTCCATACCCAATTCCTTCTTGATCCCCTTGAGCTGTTCCATCAGGTAGACCTCGCGTTGGCGCTTGTGGAGCTTGTTCTCGACGTCCCTGGCAATCTTGCTCTGCAGCTGAGCGTTGATGAGTTCCTTTTTCAGGATCGTCAGCGCCTTTTGCAATCGGTCTTGAACCGAGAGCGACTCCAAGACTCCCTGAAGTTCTTGGACGTCGCCGGAAGACACGGCCGCTGCGAAATCGGCCAACTTGTCCGGGTCGTCAAACACGTTCGAGCTGCTCTGGTTGATGGTGAACGAGGTGATCTGTTCCCGGAAGATGGGCGCCAACTGAGCGATATCCTTGAACACGCTGAGCAGCTCGTTCATGACGGCCTTGATCATCTGGTCGTCCTTGTTGAACGGCTCGAGGTCGAGATTGGACACGTTGGTCAGCGAGATCTCGGGGACCATCGAGTGAAGGAACGAGATGTGCGATTGGGGCGCGGGCGCTGACGACGAGTTGGGCTCGGTGGACTTGGCATCGGACCTGGGGTGCATGTCCTGCTGAATCTCCTCGACGGTAGGCACGTCGGCAAGCTCGAAACTCGCCACCTCGGCCTCTGGTTTGCCGCCCTCGACGGGCTCCACGACCTCGCTCGGCTTCTCTACCTTTCCGCTCGTCTCCTCCTGTTCCGATGCGCTCTGACCCTGAGCCGGGCGTTCCGTCAAGAGCTCGTCAATCCTGATCCTCCTATGCGGGTACAAGACCGCCGTCAACGATTCCTTCTTTTCGCCGTCAGACCCGGTGGCACCCTCGATGGTCTTTCCATCTTGCCCCACTCCATCGCCAGCTCCAAAGACACTGGTGATCTGCGCAAAAACTCCGACAGGGTAGACCTGGTCGGGCGAGGTGATGACGTCGGAATCGGCGTTGCTGTCCTTGAGCAGAAATGCACCGATGTACGGCTGGCCACGTTGTAGGAGAGTACGGATGGCCTTGATGACCGGGGGCGAGGTGATGGTCACGGCCTTGTAGAAGCCTATTAGACAGGCAAGCGAACAACATGACACGACCAGGAATTCATCTCGTCAGCTCCGGCATCTAGACAACCAACACTCGGCACGCAGTCACGGAAGTCAATGCAACTCACCAGGGAACAAAGGTCTCCTGGTGATAGGCAAAGCCAAGACCTGAGGGTACTCGTCCGGAATAGAAACCTTGGCGACCTCTTTACCCGTCTTCGACGGAGGTGGAGGTGAATCCCCACCATCGTTGTTGTTGCCGGAGTTGTTATTGTTGTTATTGTTACCGCCACTACTGCTGCTACCATTGTTAGAGCTCGAGCTGTAATTGTTAGACGAGCTGGAGCTAGGGGTGGAGTTGTCCTGGTTGCTAGATAACGAAGCTGAGGACGAAGGCGAGGTAGAGGAAGCCTTTGTGGACGAGGACGAAGGCGACGACGTAGCAGCCGAAGTTGTCGAAGTTCGCGGGGCACTCGTCGGCCCCGTCACGATGTCCTCCAATACGGTATCCACCTCTTCGTGCTCCAACGGGCTCTTCGGCTCATCATCCACCTTGCTCCCCACCTTGCTCGCGCCGACACCTTCGCTTCGCCGCGGATGACCTCCCATGAGAGCGTCTCCCTCGGCGTCAAACTTGTCGTCCAACTCCCATGGCCGGGCACCCTGACCGACGAGTTCGTCTTCGGGAAAGACCAGTTCGGAGGCGTCCACGGGAAGCTCCTTGTCGTTTCCAAATATCGCCGTCGCCCCCGTGTTGCTCGTCACGAACTGTTCAGGCGGTTCATCCTCCTCTAGGGTCATACCGAGGTTGGCCCTGAGACCGGGAGCGTTCTCCTTGGTAGTGCCATCGGAAGTGATGACCTCCCCACCGGGGCCCTTGACGGGTTTGTCACCTTCTTTCGCCTCTTTCGCCGGTCGTTGGTTTACCCATTTCTTCTCCGGCTGTCCTACCACCCCGGAAGTACGGAGCGTACGGCGTGAGCTGAGGCTGAGAGCGAGGCCTGTTGAGAGGAGAGGCGAGGTTGCGGCCGAGGTGGAGTTTCGCAGAAGGAGAGGAGTGCGAGTTCGGAGGACCGAGCGGAGGGGGAGCATGGTCGTGAGTTATCGGTGTGCAAAGTATCGGGTCTGAGAAGCTAGGTTCAGGCAGTCGTCGACCCGGTGGATTGACACAGGTATACTACTGCTGGTCGCGGTTCGAGGTCGATTCTATCGGATGTGAGTCGCAGTCGCCTCTTGTCGTTGGAGAAGAGATCAAGAGAGAGGGTGGGGGATAGATAACGACGATACGACGCGAAAGACGATGTGATGTCGTCACGCTTCGATCCGACTCGATGATCCGATTTCGATGCGGGTTTTCGATCGACGACGACGATCCTGAGGGTCGGGATCTGATTTCTTTTCTTATGTTGTCGAGACGGGTTTGGGCAGTGAGGGGGAAAGTGTTTCGTATTCGACCCGTGCCTCTCTCTCTATTGTCCCCTCGTCCTGCCCCTCTGGCTGCTTATTGTTCATCGAGAACGATCGACATGACCCCCCCCGGATGGCTGCTGAGGGCGAACAGAGCCGAGACTCGTCGCACTCTCTTCCCCCCCTTGATGGTTTCATTCGCTTCGTAATCACCCGAGGCGAGATGAAGATCACGTGATAAGTCTTCGTCACCTTATGACGTAAGATGCCGGCATGGGCTCGCGGGCCGTTCGAAATATGGGGTGCAGCGGGATCGCTCCATTCGCCATTCGTCATTCTCGACCTCTACTTGAACTCTGCTCCTACGACACTGACCGTTGAAGGCCTGTGGTCTGGCGACCTACAGCACCTAGAATACAAGAATAGAGCTTTGATCATTTTTATCATGTCCTGGATCGACGTACCCTTCGAGAGGGCGTCTCCGCTCATCGGCGCCCCCCCGGACCATCTCAAGGTGAGGGTTCATCCTTGTTCACGCTCCTGCTCCTGACAGGCGATGCTGACCTCGAGTATCTCTTCTTGATCCATCCATTACCACGACGAACGGTCATACCTCGCGCTTGATCTCTTGCTCGACCGTTCCCGGGGACGCAGCTCATCTTCATCCTCGTCTCCTCCTACCCCCTCGCCCACATCTTCACCCGTCTGCCCCCGACCGCACCTCACTTGAAACACCTGTTCAGCATCGTCCTCACCTCGTTCTACCTCGTAGGTATGTTCAGAATGAAGTGGGGGTACATCCAACTGGTTGCCGATGCGGTCGCCGTGTGGGGGATCGTCGTGGGCAAGGTCGGGGTCAGGCGGGACGGAAGGGGGGAAGGATGGATGCCTTGGTTGGTCTTTGTGTGAGTTGCGGTATGGAGCGGGTGATCTCTAGGGAGGGTGCGAAGAGGCTGATCGTTTTCAATCTGAATGCTTGCTGTGATCGGATGTGTGTTTCGTTCACAGTCTGATTATGGGCCACCTGACTGTCAAGTACGTCGGACTTCTCCTCCTTCCTCTTTGCTATCGAAGGTTGGTCTCACGAGATGCTCATCATCAAAACGTCACGACAGCCACGCCTATCGAGCGTTCACCAACATCCCAGACTCGGTGATGGAGATCACTGCGATGCAAATGGTGACCACCATGAAACTCATCACTTTCGCGTGGAACGTCGAGGACGGCCGCAACTACGTCGAGCCCGGCAGCAATGAAGACAAATCCGGATCGGCCCCTGCTACCATGTCTCAGGTCGACCCCGCTCTCGCTGCTACGCGTCTCCCGCCCTCGAGGATCCCCACCCTGCTCCCCTTCTTGGGGTACGTTCTTTTCTTCCCCTCCCTCATCGGACCGGCCAGCGATTACGCCAGTTATGAAGCCTTGATCGATGGGTCCATCTTTACCTCTCCCCCGGGGACGAACGAGGCCAGTCGGAAAGCCTCGAGCGTGAACGCTCAGAGGGAAAAGGTCGGAAAGGTGGATATCCCCCAGCCGAAGGGTCGAGGGTCAGACGGCCAAGACCAAGACCCCGAGATCGAGACCCTCGTCCAAACGCTCCAGCCCCGTTCCGCCCGTCCTCTCATCCCCAAGGGAAGGAAATCTAGCGCCTACCGCAAGCTCGTCACCGGATTGATCATGCTCGGCATCTACGCCGTATTCGGGGGACAATGGAGTTACGGCCGGATCATCGACCCGGAACTGGCTAAAGTCGGATGGTGGGCCTCGAAAGGGATCCTGAGAAAGTGGATGTATGTGATGATTGCTGGATTCATCGCGAGGACCAAGTATTATGCTCTGTGGAGCATTAGCGAGGTGGGTCCTGGACATCAAGTTTGCTCTCGACGTATACGAAGAGGCATAGGAACTGAAAACAGGTTCTAACATCACCCCTCCTCACTTTCATCTTGCTGTCGGACAGGGCGCATGTATTCTGACCGGCATCGGTTTCAATGGGTACTCGACCGGTTCTCCCGTCTCGGATGCGCCCAAGGCTCTGTGGGACAGGGTGGAGAACATCGACATCTGGAAGATCGAGACGGCTCAGAGCTTCAAGGTCTTGTTTGACAGCTGGAATTGTCGGGCCAACGTGAGTGGGAATTGGGTCGATCCAGAGGCGAGCTTCTGGTCCCGGAAATGATAGCTGATTACGTTGCTTCCGCTCGTCACCACCTTGCAGGTCTGGTTGAGAGATACGATGTACAAGCGACTGGTCAAGCCGGGTCAGAAGCCGGGATTCGCGCCTACCGTCATGACATTCGTGACAAGCGCCTTTTGGCACGGGATCGGAACGGGGTACTATCGTGAGTTCCTCATAGTATATGTGTCAGCCAGCTCGGTGGGGGTCCATGCTTACGACCGCCACCGTACTTCGTAGTGGCGTTCATTACTGCCGGCATATGCACCTCGCTCGGTCGTCAGATGCGTCACCTCGTCCGTCCCTTCTTCCTCCCCGAGAACATCGCCTCGCACTCGACCGTCCCGAAACAAATCTACGACGTCCTGTCCTGGCTGACCGTGATGAGCCTGATCAATTACGTGGTGGCGGCCTTCCTGCTGCTGTCGTGGCACGACTGTCTACTCGCCTGGACTCGCATGGGATGGGCTGGACATGCGGTCATCGGGATTGCCTGGATCGGCTTGAAGTATGGAGGGGCGAGATGGTTGAAGCGGGCCAATGCGCAGGCCGGGCGGGCGGGTGCGAAAAAGACCAAGTAGAGCCACAGAGCAAGCGAATGGGGATTTAATGGGAAACAAAAAGAGAGCCTTGTGAAGGTGACAGTCAGGAAACAAGCCGAAATTTATGCCATCTACGGATGAGTCAGAGGCATGAATCACATGCGAGCGAGCCTTTACCGATCGCAACAACAGATTAACAATAGATGGCCACCGTTACACCTGTTTGTTTACTTTGTGTTTCGAATTGAATCAGCATCCGTGTTTGCATAATTCGGACGAGCACCGGCGATCGAGTCGATGTTTGCATGTTTCCGATGGTGATCAGCTCGCCCTTGCACCTTTGGCGCCGAGATGAATGGTGAAACCCCCTAGTAGTATACCGCTTTCTTACATTGGACTCCTGCAGAATATAGCTCGTGTTGCATCATTTGACCCTCAATAATCCCACCGGCAGGTCATCAATCATGGGACGTCACGGCCTCAATCTTTCGTATAGGACGGTACCCCTCTCCGAGATCACTGCCGATGATCTCGCCATGGACGTCCGGGGGCACGGTCTGTGTAGCTTTCTACCCATAACTGATGACCTCGAGCTTTTGCGGCTCAGGCATCCGGACAAGCTGGGCAGGGATGGGCCGCTGCAGAAAACTTTCGATCAAGCCTCAACGGAGGACACGAATAAAGTTCAGGAGGCCGGCTCGACTTCTAGACGCCAGCTCAGGCTTACCGATATGAGAGGGAGTGCATTCTGGCCTCAGGGAGAGTGGGATTCAGTCGATCATATCACTAGCTTGGACAAGGATCGGTTTGATCCACGATACATCCAAATCGAAGCTGGAGAACATCTAGGCTATTTCGAGGGGATTGTTGAAGAGATGAAAAGGGAGGGAAGCGGGCTCTACTCCGCAGTTCGACCGTTCCTTGACCCGCTTGGATCTGGAGTGAAGTCTCCTCTTGTTCCGGAAACCGTGTCACCGCTTCAACCTAAACCACAGCTACCGTTCCGACGTGACGCGGAGTCAACGTTCGCAGCCAAAGCGGACCTCCAATCCAAGGCGAAAATACTGTTCGACGCCGTACACGAGAAGTTATGGTCCGACCACCCCTCAAAAGGAGAGGCTGATGACGAGACTTTCCGGCCCGTGTTTCTTTCGCTTAACAACAAATATATCAAGTACGACTCGGAGGACCAAGAGGAAGAGCCATATGAGAGCCCCCACGTCGATCCTTCCGGAAGGATGATCCTTACGGGTGAAATTGCGATGGCAGAAAGCAGACCAGATTGGCTCCTCGACTCGCTCGACCCCGTCCCACTTGACACGACCGATATTCTGTGGAAGCAGTCAGCTGGACACGGGACCACTAAGCTTCAGCCGACCGTGGATTGTACGACCGGACTCATCCGGCAGGTCCGGCAATACCAGGCGAGTCCCGCAAGCTCGGTCAAAACTCGTTACTGTTACCAATCTTTCCATCTGAACTACTACCTGCTCCAAAACAATCTTTGACAGATCTGCGAGATCGGAAATCATGCAATGATGGGTGAGCTTCTGAGCTTTACGTTATGCGGGACTATCCTTCGGATTGTCTTCATCAACACTGAACGTTTCGGTACGTCGAGAGGGTACGACCTTTCAGACCCAGAAGACTGGATCGATGTGGTGAAGATTATCGCCCTGTTCTGCGGCCCCATCTCGAACTACTTCCCTTTCTGGACTCCGCATGAGCTAGAGCAGATCACAATGGAGACTCTCGAAGGCGACACGTTATTAGTCAAACTCGAAGACATCGAGATTCTGGACAGACGGTTCGATCCATACGGGAGACGGACCACAGTCTGGTCTGGAAAAGTTAAGAATATCAAGCAGCTAGACAGAAATGGGAAAGAAAAAGAGGTCGATCCCCGCTACGTGCCCACCGAAGACGAGGTATTCGTCATCAAAGCGTCTTGGCTTCTCAGCTACCTAGCTGAGCACGAGAAAAACGTCTATAGACACATCGAAGAGCAGGACAAGAAGGAGGGACGCGACCGAGATCCTGAGGTGTCGATTCCAGTGTATATCGGCACTGTCACAACTTCGGAGAAGGCGGCCGAGACGCTAGGCAATCCCGACCTGGCGAACTGGAAGACGAGGGATTTCCCGGTCAACCCTACTCAACCTGAGAGCTCTAAAGAGCACGCCTGCCTTAGCATCTTCGCAACGAAGTGTTTCAAAGCCATGACGATTCTCGGCGCGACCATCTCCATGGTCAAGCTCATCACCGTCTACCGCAAACTCTTCAAAACCTTGAAGTATCTGGCCCAGAGAGGCGTACATTACCGCGATTTGAACCTTGGAAATATCTTGCGAGATATCCTTACACAAGAGAGGTGTTTGTTGACGGACTTTGATTTCGCCCGCATTGGGATGCAGCGGCGGGGAGGTCCTCAAAAGGGGGATCTTCAGCCTTGGGAGACGAGCAAGGACGACTGCATCTCTGGCAATCCGATCTTTATGTCAAGCTTCGTTCAAGAAGGTGTAAAAAACAAAGACACCCTTGAAAGGCATGAAAAGTTCTTGTTGCAAGCTAAGCAAGGCTTGGACCAGGCGAAGCGGCAGGAGGAAGAAAAGTTGCTGGATGCCACGTCAAGTCTTCTCGACCGCGATGCTGCTGCCCTAAGACGCCGCAAGGCCGAGAAGTCGGTCTCAAAATGGGAATCGAACGTCGAGCAAGCGAAGGCCAGGTTGACGCCGAACGCTCATAGATACATTGACGATTGCGAAACGGCGGTGTATACACTCTTGTGGCTAGTTAGTACCCCCTTTTTTTTCGATATTATCCGCTACTGACTTGGTCTCGTTGCGATTGAAGGTCGCCGATCACCAACGCAAGAATGCCGGAATACCTGTGCCTAGTTCACTTGAAAGGCTTGATGATCTGGACATCAAAAAGGAGGTATGGCAGGAGTCTCTAGAGGCAGTGAGTTCCGGCAGCTACTGCGTCGTTCCAGTGAGAACCTTAACTGACTGACCGCAAATAGATCACCAAATCTATCGCTTACAGTGTCGAGTGGAGCGATCTGATGGAGAACCTGAACCGGACAATCCGCGAAGCTCAAGGCAATGTGAAAAGAGAGGGTTCTTCTGCGGTCGTGCAACCTGTCGAAGAAGCCTGCTTCGACGAGTGCGACCGGATCATGAGAGACGCTGTCGCCAGTATGGAGCGCAACAACGCCTTACCAGACGTCGAACTCCCTGTGACCCAGCCCAAAGCGACTCATGAACACCAGCGCAACTTGGGTCTCCAAGAGACTGATTCCGAACGCCTGGATCTCACGCAAATGGATCCCCAAGAGTCTGATCGCGAAGGGTCGGATTCTGGACAGTTGGGTCTCCAGAACTTGGATCTTCAAGAGCCGGGTAACGAAGAATCGGAGCCTTTGAATCCGCCTCATCCAGAGATCAAACTCAGGCGCGGCAGCAGGGAACGAAACCCCCCAGATTGGTTTCATCATCGTTCGTAGCTCTGCTATCTGGTAGCTTCCAGTCTGTACTCGCTACGCAGTCCGTGTCCGCCCGTAGATGTCAGAACAAGCATATCGAAATGATTATACCCCACGAGAGTCGCTTACCATCCAATCGCACAACACGAATCCGTTCCGCGTAGAAACACCAATCAATTGACCTGTCGATTTCGCTGCGGATTTCGGACCTGGCCGCCAACGCAGAACAGTCCGTTTCTGCATATCGGTTCGCATCGCATCACATCTAATCGAGCGTATTCCTATACCCTGTCATTCCTCACGACCTCGAGAACTGAATATGACCTCAGATTACGACGCTTGGAGGGCCGCACACTCTGAGGGCAAACATGCGTTCGCACAAGGGGACTTGCACGGTGCGATTCGACTCTTCTCAGAGGTGAGTTTCCAGATCGCGGGTTGAGTCCTTCACTACTCTGACATGGTTACATTTGACAGGCTCTAGTCCCGGCTAAGAGACTTGGAGCAGATAAGGCGGTACGAGTACTCACCACCAGAGCATCTATCTATGTCGAACTGTTTGATTTCAAGTCGGCAAGGGTAGATGCAAAGGAGTGCATCAAGCTAGAGCCGAACAACTACGAGGCAAGTTGACGAGCTTTTGCCTATCGTATGCGATGGTGTTTTAACTTGAGTATACTTGCATAGAGCTATACGCTAGGCGCAAACGTCTTTGCTGCAGAAGCAAGGTACCCTGAAGCGCTCAAGATTTTGGAAAGGGGAAAGGCATTCTGTCCGAAAAAATCGCATTCGTTACTCGATGCCCGGCATTCGCAAATATACGAACGACAGCAAGAAGCAGGTTTCCCTCCTGAAGGCTCCCGCTGTATAGATCCCCTCGCGGTCCTGCCGTTGGAAGTGTTTGGGAGGATCATCGAGATCGGAGTAGACACTTACCATCCTGACTTCGCCCTCAGACCTAGCTGGGTATCGAGGCGGTGGAGATCGGCGGCCCTTGGAACTCCATCTGCTTGGAAATCTTTTCTATGCCATCATTATGCCATGCGACGGGGCCTACACATGGACAGGCACATGGAGCGGAAGATCGAAGCCTGGGACGAACGTTCCAAGGGTCGAATCACTGCGATCAAGGTCTCTCTTGATTACGCGTCCTTGACAAGACCGTGGTTCCAGGAGGCGACGCGAAGAAGACTTTTCATCTGCCTGGAGAAATGGCTCGTCCATTGCCGGAGCTTCGAGTTGCATGCACACGTCAGTTTTGCAAGCGAGGCCAGAGTCTGCATGCGCGGCCAAGCTGTCGAACTGAAAGAATTATATGCCGACGACTTCGCTTTCAAAGCGCTCGTTCCGCGGGAAAACACTTCACTGCGAGTTTTGGACCTCACGAAGACTTTTACCAAGGACACCAGCTATAGCGGAGCATCTGCCATATCGGGCTGTCTGCCTGCAATTGACCAGGTACAACAAATCCGAAAGCTGGTTCTGAATCGCGATCATCTCTTAGGATACCTCCAAAGCGGCGTCTTGGGCGCCATGAATCGAGTGGAAACATTCCATGTGCCAGAATACGTATACCGTGTTTGTCCTGTCGGTGGTTACCCACAATATCCTGGCCCTGGGGGACTGCCTAATCTCCCGTCGCTCGCTTGGCTGCGAGGATCGCCAGCGTGTTTGCTTGGAGCGCTGGCGTGCCCGAACCTCACCAGTCTTGAAATAGGTCCAGGTTGCAATTGCAAGGCTGCGGTTATCACGCAGATCTTCAACGATGACCGGGAGTATCCTGGCTTTTCGCCAGACAAAATCGCTATCCTTCGAATCACACAGGGTGTCCACAACACGTCGTTGTCCGCCATTTTGCCACGCATGACAAAACTGCACTGGCTTTATACGGAACAATGCGTTTCGAACGAGACCATTGAAGCGCTCACCGATGCTGCGGTCAATCCTTGCCTCCATACGATCCACATCCGGGATGCGAGATCGCTCACCGGGACCCCCCTCATGCGCATGGTGAGCAACCGTCTCCCCAGATCCAAGACATCAACGTCTGGCAACGCAAACGTGCTCGCAATGGATACTCAAGAGGTATCACAGATATACGAGTTGCACTTATCGATGTGCGACCTGTTGGAAAAAGAAGCGGAAGATTGGCTGAAGCGGAACGTTCCCAGATGTCGGATTGAGCGTATCAAACCTCAAGCACCGGCTTCGTACAGAGACCGAATGGCTTATTGAGGGACCCAGATTAGACTGGATGATCCGATGGCAGTGCCCGTCCCGTGGCTGGCGATCCGTCTGGCCATTCGCACGCAATACAAACCATGATTATACGACTTTACGAAGGAGAGAACTTGATCGAACACCGTCTAGCTAGCGAATACATGTCAACCCTTTTGTGAACCCACATCTGATAACAATGATCCACCTCGTCTATTGCATTTTCTTTCTCTGACCCTTGGCTTGCTGTGGCCTCCAGAATGCGCATACCGACTCGGCCTCAGAGACCCAATCTCCGCGACCGGTCAGCGAGACCAGACGGACAATCGCGGTCAACAAGTACAAGATCAGCCAATTAAGAGTCATTGCTAGCGGGGTGGAAGCCATCAAGACTCGAGCGTGTTCGATCCCAGCGACGATCGCTCGCGCGACGAGTTCCTTCTTGATCGCCCGATCGGCCGGCCTGATGGGGAACGGAATCTCGGCCCCAAATTGGTCGACGGCGAGCTTCAATCCAGAGGTGAATCCGTCCTCGTGGAATCCGTAGTTTGTCCACGCACCCGCAAACGTGACTCGACGGGCGTTTTGTATCTCTGGCAGTCGCGACTGTGCTCGAACGCTCTGGAGGTCGAACGTCAAACTCGATATCAGTTGTGCATGAAAGGCACGCAGGAATGGGAATCTTCGACGCACCGCTGCGCTGTACATGGGATGCTCGTACTGATATCTCCCAACCGTCTTGGCAGCATCCACCTCGAACGGAGGATTCAGGGTGACCAAGACGGGTCCGTGCCTTTCCACGGGCAACTTTTGCAGGTCATTCATGTTATAGGTCCTGTTCGCGTAATGTCGCCGTTCCATCAGTTTCTACTTGGTCGACCATGGGTTCAAGATGCAATCTCCTCACAAGGCTACAGTGTTGACATCCGAAGCCGCAGCCTTGGGAGATTTGCTCGGCTTGTTAGAAGACGTCAGATAGTTCCAAGCTGAAAAGTCCGAGGACGTCTTGTCAGTCTCGGTGATCGTCGTTGCGACACTCAGCAACGGGAATATTACGCACCCGACCACGCTCTTCGCCTGATGGGCATAAACTGTGAGATTCTCAATAGCATCAGATCAAAGAGAATGTCAAACCAGCTGATCCCGCCCGATTAACGCACCCGCTCGTCCCAATGCAAAACGGCTTCATTCTTGCTCCACTCGAACGAGCTCAAGATGTCCTCTTCCTCCCGGGTCGCACCTCCACCCGCCTTGAGTAACCTCAAGCTGGTATCCGAATGCGTGCTGCAGCGTTCATTGCAGGCGGAGGAACGAATGAATCAGTACGGCCGCTCAGGTCAATCGAATGTATCTCAAAGACCCGCAACTCGCTAACTCACGCCATGATCACGTAATCGTACTGATGCTCCTTCCCGCTCTCCTCGACCAAGGTGACGAGATCCGGGTGGGGGGTGACACTCTTGATCGGAGTGTTGGTGTGCAAGTTCTCCTTAGGCAGGGATGCGAGCACGGCCTCGACGTACTTTTTCCTGAGAGTGTCGGATCATATTCACGAATCAGTGCCAGCCGATCTGATAGGCATCGTAACAAGCAATGCGCTCACGATCCTCCAGAGACGGTCAGCCAGTTGGGCCTCCCATCGACCTGCATGAGATGATGGTTGTGGAAAAATCTGACCAACGTCTTGGCCGGGAAGTCCAGGGCAGCCTTGTCGGCGGGTGTCGACCAGCTAGCCGATGGGACGGCAAGAGACGGGGATCAGTGGCGGGTCGGAACTGTCGGTGAATGAGCGACTCACATGGCCGCTGTCATCGGCTGGTATCATAATCAGATAGATACACATCAGTCGTCTTCTCACGAAGAACCACGGGTACGCAATAACGCGCGACGAACTGACCAACAAGTAATCCTCTTTGAACCCATCCCCATACCCTCCCCTTTCCAGATACTCTCCGATGCTCATATCCTTCTCCACCTCTTCCCTATCCTCCTTCTTGCTCTGGGCCGTGCCTCTTGACCCGTCTGTCTGGTCACCATCTACCAAATCCAGCCCAAAGAGGTTGAACCTGAGGACGTCCAACAACATCCTCCACAACCGAGGATTCAACAGGTTCTTCCTCTGGATGAAGACGGTCGAGAGGTTGTCGCCGGCCCATTCGAACAGGCCGAGGTCGCGGGAGACGCTAAACGTCATCGAGGTGGGGATGGTGCGGACTTTTTTGTGAGCGAGGAAGGAGAGGAAGTTGGGGTACGTTGGCGGGTTGCAAACGATCTGAGAGCCAAAAGAGAGGGAGAGAGGCGGGGCAGTCAGTCCGTGTGTGCGCGTGTGATGAGGCTGCCTTTGCAAGGGGTGGAGCAAAGTAGGCAGAGGACTTACGAATCCGCTAAGATGACAGTAGGTAGGTGGTTGAGAAGGAATACCTTAGATCAGCTTTTGTACCTGACGAGCCCCGTAGCTGAAGACTGTCCGTCGACTCACGTATCCACATCGACGCTCTCCTTGCCCTCACCTGCGATGCATCATCGACCGGCGCCCGTCGTTCATCGTGTCAGCATCCTGTAACTGCCTCGTAGTAACCATGGAGAGGAAGGACGACCCCAGACGACGCACGTTCAAACGTCACGGTATGCGTGTGACCCCCTACATAATCTCCAGCTTCGTAGATGTTGACCTCGTGCTCCGAGTGTTCGTTCAAGGCCTGTCACAAGTCCAAGCGCAATTCCAACCACGATCAGGTATGATAAAGAAGAGCGGAGGAGAGATATGAAGACGTAGATGGATTAGCACGACGATTTGGGTCAATAGACAAAGGGAAGGACGAGCGAGGCTTTACCCAGAGGGCGGCGATGCCGGACACGCCCGAGCCAACGATGGCGATACGCTTGCGTTCTTTGATAGGTGGCATGTCGTTCTATATGGATGTCTAGTCGGCGGAGGCGGAGTCGAGAAGAGTTGAGGGATCGCAAGAAGGAGGAGGAGGAGGAGGAGGTCGTCGTATAAGTAGGTCGTGCAAGGGTCAAGAGAGATTGATCGACCGACATCACTAGAGCGAGCGAGGGAAGCCGCGCGTCGGTGGCTTTTCCGCCCTCGCCCGTCCAGGATGACGATCGATGATGTCAGGCTCAGCAGCTCGTATCCCTGTAGAGTACAGGAAAGAGAGTAGCACACTTGTATACTTTTGAGCAAGGGAGAGACGCCATCACCACTATAATCCAGTCAATTCAAACCACCTGTATGCATGCACAATCTCTCTCTTCAAGTCGCCGAGTCTTGTGGGATCCAAGACCTGGGCAGGTTCCCCATCAAGGCTCCCGTTTGCTCCCTCTCCTGCCTCGGCGATCGCCGCGACAAAGATAAATGTCAGCAAGGAGGGAGCGGGTCTTGGGGGGCAGGGAGGGGGTCCATCAGGATATCAGATAGCAGTCGATCATTCCGTCAAGTTTTATTTATCATTCATTACAGTTTGTCGATTTGCCGACAGACCGTCACCTCTCTACCTCTCAAGATGAGGCCGTTCTACCCTATCCTGCTCGTCGGCGTCCTCGGTCCCGTCTCCGCGAAACACCGCTCACGTATCCGCCCGGTAGACGAATCCAAGCTCCCCTTTCCCAAGGGACCTTTGGTATGGGGCGATGTCAACTTCGTACACACGACGGATATTCACGGCGAGTCCCGTAGTCCCGGTCGATACAAACCGGCAGGGATCGTACTGATCGTTTCTGCGTCTCGATGCTTTCTGCGGTACAGGTTGGGTGTTAGGCCACCATCATGTAAGCCTGAACCGAAACCCTCGAACGTGCTCTGCCTTGCGGTCAGGGCTGATCGACATGCCTTTGAATTTTGCCTAGTCCACCTGGCCAGAACCTGTGAGCTTTCCTCCATCCCTCGAGGAATATCTGTCTTGAGTCCAAAATCTACTCGCTGACCTTCAATCATCTCGTCTCGCCCTGCAGAATTACTCGGCCAACACTGGCGACCTCTACTCCTTCCTCACTCACCTCCGCTCTCAAGCGGATAAAGCCGGTGTGGACCTCTTGCTTGTGGATTCGGGAGATCATCATGATGGAGCGGGGATCGTCTCTGTCTATCCCAACACACAGGAGCACAGCCAACACTATCGATCAGGCGGATCCGTCGTCGACTACCACTTATCCAAGCTCGGGTATGACGTCCTCGCGATAGGCAATCACGAGTTATACAAGTACCCGGACGCGCTGCAGGTCGCTGACGATGTAAGGGATGGGATCTGGGACAAGGTGGACCGGAAGAACGGAGGGGAGACGAGCACGAGGTTCTTGACGAGCAACGTCGAGATCACGCTGGACGGACGGAACAGGTCGGAGTCGATCGGAGCGAGATATAGCAAGTTCAAGACGAGGATGTGAGTCTGCGTTGGCCCGTCTCTGTGGGATTTATATCGACCCCTTTACGAGCTCAAGTTGGACGATTCTTTCGAGTCTGTAGGGGAAAAGATGTCACGGCTTTCGGGGTGCTTTACAACTGTGAGTTACATCTTCGCGCCCACAAGATGGATAGAAGATCGCTCAGGCCTGCACGTCGTTCGTCTTCGGTATCTGGACGACATTAGTTTCCTTCAATGCCAAGTCAGTCTCATACTTCAACGTGACCCCAACCGGAGCACCGCGCCACATCGTATTGATGACCATCACTGGTAATATAGGAATACTGCGATTCAGCCACTCAGGGAGATGGTCCGCGAATCCTGGTTCTTGGAAGCGATCCAAGATCGACCCGATTTCTTGTGAGTCGATCCTCACAACTCTCTTCCCACAAGCTTCGGCAGACTGACGTCCCCCCCCCCCCCTTTTTTCTCTTTTTGAACTCTGTTTTCCTGCGCCTGGCAGTATCGTCGCAGGTCACATGTCGATCAACAGGGCCGATAGCGAATGGCAACTCCTCCTAGATGCGATCAGGGAGGTTCACGAAGACGTCCCGGTGTTCATCTTCGGGGGACACAATCATGTCAGAAACTGCGAACGGTTGGATGGAAACTCGATCTCGTGAGCAGCAGGACCGACCTTTGTGACATAGATCTAGATGTTGAAGCTGTCTACCCTTCGGTTGGCAGGTTCGCTGGAGGAAGGTATATGGAGACGGTCGGATGGGTCTCGTAAGCACGCTTCTCATCCGGTCATATGAATAACCGCCATTTGCTTATATCGAACGGATCGGGTTCGACAGAGCGAACCTGACGAAGAACGAATCGAACGAGATGGACGTCTCTAGGCGGTACCTCGACAGCAACCGGAGATCGTGAGTGGATCGGAGTGGGCGAGGTATGGCTTTGCTAAGCTGCTTTCAATTCTGGATGATAGCTTCAAATATCACGCTCGAGTGCCAGATCACAAGTTTGACACGGTGCGTCATGAGGTGTTTGTCTCCTTGGAGTGTCGTGCTGAAGACCTCGACTCTTATGAAATAGCACGAGGGCAAAGCCATCTCCGAATCGCTCTTCAAGACGTTTGATCGATGGAACCTGTCCAGCGTACTCGGACATGCGCCGCAGAGCTACTTTCTCTCCCGATATCCCGTCACGGACGACAGATCGCTCTTGAAAAAGTTGATGGACGATGTCTTGCCCGCGACAGTATACGACGACAAGGTGCTTCAGCACGGGCGGAAGAGGATTTATCTGGCCAATTCGGGTTGTCAGCGATTCGATATAGCAAGTCCCGAAGCTGAGCTCAGGGCTGTAGTGCCTGTGAGATCGAGGTGCACGTGCTGACGGTTTTTTATTACACTCGACTGACAGTTCAAGGGAGAGTTCACGATCGACGACCAATACTCTATTTCCCCTTTTTCGAGCCCGTTCGTCCAGATCACTTTGCCCGCGCGCATCGTGCGCGTCTTGAGACAAAAGATGAACGACGAAGGGGCTAGCCAGTTCGCTCCCAGTCCTGCTCTTGAACAGGGCATGAGCGAAGAGGTCGTCCGCAAGGCTTTCGATGCGAGCATGGTCAAGCAGCGACAGGACTATGAAGATCGAAGACAGAGGGAGCTCGAGTTCCTCAGGTTAGCCTATGGACAGACGGTGTTTGATGCGGAGGTCGAACGGGAGAGCGATCTCGTACATAGGTATGGTTACGTGACGGAGGATAATTGTGGTCCAGTGTCAGTCCTTAGTCTGTATGGGTGCAGTTTGTGAGAGCTTGCTAAGCCTGCGTTATGCAACAGTGGAAGCGGAGATGACGTCGAGCATGTGCCAGGTAAAGGGCTCTCATATATCGCATCAACGTCTCACAAGCTAATGTTTAACACTACCTTTTGCACAGTACCTTATGCTCCAGTCCCGTGAGTACAGTGTTTTCGGGGATCTTGTTCTGGCGTTGTTCACTCATATGAAGCTATCTCTCTGGTGCGATAGGGACTACGTCAGTACAACTTTCCCTGAGGGAGTCGATGACGAGGAGCCCGTCTTTGTGATCGCTATGACGTTCTTCTTGAACGATGTCGGTAGGTCGCGATACTGCTCAGTCAGCGATCATACCCTCGCGGCCCACTCATTTCTGCCCGAAACACCTTACAGTCAAGGCCGTCAGCAAGATCGATCCGGCATACCCTCCCATCACCTATTCCGACTTTGAACCGTGTGGAGACTCGAGCATGACCTCGAATCAGGTCTGGGGACATTACGCTCGAAAGCATTGGAACTGAGAGAAGCCTAGTATCATGGATTTCGTATTATAGATTGTGCTTGTATTGTGCGCATGCAGTATGCATTGTACATCGTTGTTGACCTTCATCGTTCCTGGTTCAGTTGTCACCGACCGTTCAGCGTTGTTGTGAAAGGCGCATCATCATCGCTGGGTCCATCCCGGCATTTGCGTTCTGCCCCTGCTGATTTCCCATACCGTACATATTCATCTGGGCGTTCATGAGCTGCTGCAACTGAGCAGGCTGCATGCCTGGAGGGAACTGCATCCCCGGCGGAAACCCGTTGCGCAAGCCCGCGATGGTCTGCGGATTCATCATCCCCGGATTGTTGGTGAACTGGCCGAGCTGCTGCATCTGAGCGAGCTTTTGTTGTTGTTGCTGTTGTTGGATCCGTTGCTGCATAAACATCTGGACCTGAGCGCTCGACATGTTGGTCATGTCGAATGGCAGCCCATTCGTGTTAAGCTGACCGAGCCCGGGCGGTTGTTGTTGCTGTTGACCCGGATGAGGTGACCCTTGTTGTTGTTGTTGTTGCTGCTGCTGCTGCTGTTGCTGCTGTAGCTGCGATATCGGCAACCTTCCGAACTGTTCCAACTCTCTCGATCGTGCCAGTTGTGCCTGCTGGACTAAACTCGATGGGGTCATCTGCCCTGCTGCCGCCAAGTGTGGGGCCATATTCATCGGATTCATGCCGCCCTGGGGCCCGAGATGCTGGGCCGGTATCGAAGGCTGTTGTTGTTGCATCTGCTGCTGGTGCTGCCGGGCTTGTGCGAGCTGTTGCATCGTCACCCCCGGCGGCAGGTAATTCGGATGAGGCGGTCTCTGCATCTGTTCTGGAACACCCATATGGGACTGCGCTGGTGATGGTCGAACCTGCTGAGCGGATGCGGGAGACATGGACACGTTGCCCGCCGGTGAGGGCTGATGGGACATGACTGGGGTCGCCGAAGCTCGAGGACCCACGCTCTGACGCATATGTCCGTCCGAGACCTGACGATGCCCAACGTTGTTATGCGCCATACCGGGTGGTGGTGGTGGTGGAGGTCCCATATTACCGGACGAAGAGACCGGACGACCGCCTTCATGCCCTGATTGCGCGAGGGGCATGTTCCCATACGGATGAGCTGGAGAGGGCATGGGGATCGACGGCGTGGTCGCGCCGGGCGTTGCCATTGCCATCCCCGTCCGTGGATCCAGCATAGGACTCTGTCCTGGCAGCATCATACCCGATTGAAGAGGAATACCTTGATCAACCACCCCAGGCATCGGGACTTCTTCTGAAGCGAGCGGAGGTGGCAGCTCAATCGGGGTTTTAGGAGGAGATTTCGTCGACTGGTAGTACAGCGCGGACCCCTTGTCGACTTGCCACCTGGAGATAGCGATGTGTTGTCAGCTAAACATCATCTCGGCGGCGCAGTAGGTCATGGTAAGACCTACGACTGCGTGTTCACGTCCCATTGCGGACCCCTCTCTCTTCGAGCTTCGATCAGGAGATGATTCCTGTCACGGCCCGCAGATCGAATCGAACGCTTATCAGAAAAACCTTGATATCATACACGAAAGCCGACCGAAGAATCGAAACTGGGACTGACCACCAACTGCTACTCCCGATTCCCATACCAAACTCCCGTCTCCGCTTTTCGAACACCTCTTCCTCCCAAATCGCCCTCGCCGCGTCATCCATCATGTCCACCTCGCCCGCTCCTGCTCCAGAGTGACTCGTACCCGCAACAACCGGTCCGGGGGTAGAAGTCCCAGCGGGAAAGGGCGAAGACCCAGCCACTGTCAGGGGTGCGACGTGCTTGAGCGGGGTATCGGCCCGAGAATGAGCTTTAATGTGCCCCGCCCAGCGTCCTTTGCCCTTTTTCTTGTTGTTCCTCGGTAATGGGGTGGAAGGCTGGGCCTGGATGGGTTCGACCATAGGGCTATGATTTGGAGCAGGGCTAGGCGGTGAGATGGTAGGATCTTGTGATACAGGCTTGGGTTGTATCTGTAAGGGTGGTACGGTCGCCAGTACAAAGGCAGAAGAAGGACCAGGGGTAGTGTTCGTGTCCCGTAAGCCCAGTGTACTGCTAGTCGTGGCGTTGGTGGTCGCGGCCGTGCGTTCCTTTTCGTCCGTATACCTGACCAACATGCTCCTCCTCGTCCCATCTACCAACAACTTCATCCCCTTCTTTTCAGCCAATTTCTTGGCGAGGGCGATGACTTTTGGATGGTAGTGCGCTTTTGTAAGCTGGGTCGAGGATGAAGCTGGTGCTGATGTTGAGGTCGCGTTCGGTTTGAACATACGTGCCGGCTCGAGCTTGGAGCTGAATGTAATCGTAGGGACTTGCTCTGAGACTCCACTATTCTCCGATATGGTCGCAGGTGCGGCCTCTTGTTTGACCATTGTGGCTGCCTCTCCGACCTCAGAGACCTCAGCATCCGGGTTCGAACCCGTTTGACCATCCTTTCCCAGCTCGGCTTCCCTTGTTGCTCCATCTGGCCGTACCTCTCCATCCTCAGCTCCAGTCTTTTCTGTACTGTCCTCGCCTGACTGTCTGGAATCGATCCCGGTGACCTCTTTGACAACCTCTTCGTCAAAGGGGAAAGCATCGACCGGCAGCTCTCGAGGCGAGGGGAAATCCTCGGGATTCCATTGCGATGCGGCGACGTCAAGATGGCTAGGGGGAGGTAGCAGGAGCGTGACGGTGGAGCCTGAAGCTGGAGGTGCTGGGTAGAGCAGAACCATGATCTCGAGGGCAGGGCTGAAGATGAATGAGGTATAGCGACCGATCGCCGTTCGATGGGTAGATGTTCTGTTCGAGCCTGGGTCACGAGGGTCAATCCCGCATCGAAAGAGTCGGATGTCGCCCGCGATTCGATCTACTAGTAAGAGACTTGCCAGATGATCGAGATCTGTGTGACTCTGACCGAGGGGCGTAGTATGGTGGTATAGACGAGACAAGATGAGTAGCTGAGTAGGTAGGTAGGTAGGTAAACCTCCTCCTTCGAGCGCGTCGAGGTCCGGGCGATCTCCATCTCGCAACTTGCCTGACTATATACACATCTATCTACGCACACATCTATCCCCTTTCCAACCTCATCCCAACTGCAGACTACCGCCAATATGCTCGACTAAGGACGTGGTCGAATATCCATAAAATCTTAACCGGTCGAGAAGTAACGGTCGTACGACGCAGGACGTGAGAGGTAGCGCTGCCCACCGACTGCCTAGCGAAACGACGCCTCGAGGTGAGCCGTATGTGCGACATGATATGGTCGTTATATTCCAGCTTATCATAGTCTTGTAGCCTCTTTTCCCGATTCGTCTGCAGATATGGCCGTTTCGAACCGGAATCCAATCGAGCCAGAGTCTCGGGGCTCGATATCCGACCTCTCGAAACTCGTGACCTCGCTCGACGCATCCACGTCCATCTCGGAATTCATCAATACCGCCCTGTCCTCCTCTTTACCATCTCCCAACCTCAACCTCAATCTCTCTACCGTGGACCGTTCCGTCTCGGACCTCTTGGCACGACTGAGCATCCTCACGCATGACACGTCTTCCCAGCTCGAGAGGTCTATCCATGACATCTCCCGGACGGTACCTCGGCTCACGTATGACCTGCAATACATGCGGGAAAGCGCCGAGGGAGTCCGCCGGTCCCTCGAAGGCGTGGAGAGTCGACTCAAGAAACCTGGTCCGGCCGCAACGTCGTTCGGGGGACCGTCGGACGATCGTCGAGAAGAAACGACCCGGATCTTGGACCGGCTCACCAGGCTCGATACGCTCAAACATAATCTGACCGATGCCCGATCCGTTCTGAGAGAGGCGGAATCTTGGTCGACACTAGAGACCGAGACATCCAACTACCTGTCTTCAGGAAAATACCGCCAGGCGGCTAACAGGCTGGCAGAAGCCAGCGAGAGCATTCACATGTTCCAGCGGAGTCCGAAAGAGTACGATCTCAGGAAGGGGCTCTTGGTCAGCTTGCAGAATCAGTTGGAGGCCGAGCTGGATGGCACATTGGCAGATATGGCTTCGGTCGGCAAGGATATCGGTAGCGCCAGCATCAAGGAGACCAAACGGGAACGAGACGCGGCCGATGGCGAGGGCTCGGACGAAAAGGAAAAGATGGACTTGCCCGAGCTGTTGAAGATATTCAGCCTCATCGAGCGGGAAGGGGAATACAGGTCCATCTATTTTAATGCCAGGAGGAAGACGGTCGTCGATGCATGGAACCAAGCCAAGCTGGTCGAGGTCGAAGCGGAATCGAGATCGGCATCAGATTCTACCACCGCAGCTCAGCATTTCCTCGACTTTCTACCCGGTTTCTTTTCAACCTTTCTCTCCACCCTGCGAACAGAGTCTAACTCGATGCAGGCCATCTTTTCTGACCCCGTCGTCTCCCTCTCAACGTTCTTCCAGACGACGCTCGAAGCGCTCGAACCGTCGCTCAGCCTTCGCTTGGCTCTGGTGGCCGAGTATCACGCAAAGGGAGAAAATCCGGATTCAAAGGGCGAGCTTGGCGTGCTGCTCGAAGCGTGGCAACGAACGATCAGATTTGGCAAAGACGTACAAGACATCTTGGACGCCTTGTTCTACGAGACCTACCCGCAACAAGCACACCAAAGTTCGACGGTGCTGACTACCTCACCGGGACATATGGTGACTTCCCCTTCCAGCAACCTGGCAACTTCGCTCTCGACAGGCCGCCGATCTCGATCGGGTTCATTAGCCCAGAACCAGAATCAGCCGGAAAAAAAGGCTTCGAGGCGGTTGTCCAGGACGTTTGGAGCGGCCGCCTTGTCCGGTGGTAACATGATCCCCGAGATCGACCCTCAGCCTGCGTCGTCGGTAGCGCCCGCCTTCCTCAGTGTCGAGTCAGTCACCGGTCAATGGGACACCGTACTGTATGAACCATTCTTGCAGTACCAAACCGATTACCTGGCTCTGGAGAAACGGGCCATGACGGCCCTCATCAGGTCGGAAACCATCTTTACGGAACCCGCTTCGATGGCAGGGAGAGCACCTGGTGAAAGACTCTTGACCAAGGGATCCAGGGTGATCGAAATCGCCGAAGAAGCGTTGGAACGCTGTACCGCCTTTACGCTCGGATTCGGTCTCGCCGACCTCTTGGAGGCCGTCGCTTTCCTCATGGAGACCTTTTTACACGATTCCAAGGGGCTCTTGGAGCTCAAGGGAGGCGTTGGAGGTGTGAAAAGCGAAGGTGGAACTCGGTCCCGCGGGACAGTAGGGATGGACAGCTTGGATGATCTGGACGATCTCGCCGATATCGATCTCGACCTGGAAGATGCCGGTAGCGACGAGTTGACCACGTTTAAGCTCGGACTTGGGGTACTCCGGAGTTGCTCCAAGCTCAAAAGTCGGGTGGAAGCGTACAGTCAGAAGGTGGACTTGGCGCTGGGACAGACATCTCGGTCGTTGAACGCCCTAGCGCAGGGCACGCCGATACCTACTGAAGGTCACATCGCCGGGGTGACGAAGGGCGCTCCGACCTTGCTGAAGCAGTCGAGTTTGCATCAACTCGCCTTGTTGCGACTTATGGACGGACAGCCATCGATCGAAGGGTTGCTTCCCGCGGTCACTTCCATCATCGAATTCACCAAGGATGCCCAGGCTGCCACTCAGAAGGCCATTGTTGCGCCTATTCAAGCCATGCTGGCCGGGTATCCGTCGTTGCCATCGTGGTCGCAACCGGACAAGGTCGCACGTCGTGGGGAACTACACGTACCGACGTTCTCGTTGTCACCGACGGATACAATCTCGACCGTCACTGAGGGACTTCTTGACCTTTTGCGCCTGTTCGAGGGGTTCGCGCACGACGAAGGTCTTGGCTTCTCTTTGGGCACTTTACCGCACGTCAATTCCGAATTACTCCAGACCATGACCCAAGCCGTACAGGAGGACGTATCGGCACGGCCTCAGCACCATCGTACCATCTCAACCGTCGGCTCGTTTGCCGCTATGAACGAAAAGCTGGGTCTGTCCAAATCACCAGGCCCGAGTACACCGCTCGAGACGACCTTGCCCCAAGAAGTGATCCTCTCTACTTGGGTATCCTCGACGACGTCTGGCCTGCTTGATCAGTTCACCAGCAAGATCCTTCCCGAGATCAAACGCCCCTTGACCAATCATGGAGCTACGCAACTCGCCACCGACCTGTCTTATCTTGGGAACGCCACCCGCGCAATGGATGTGGAGTCTCAGCACCTCGAATGCTGGCGAGAGAGCTGCGAGACCAAGTCGTCTGCCGAGTTGAAAGAGTTGATGGCACAAGAAACGTTTGTCGCCAGGAGTCCCGAGGCCGTGGACATCGCCCGGTACATTGGTTGGTTACGGAATTGGACAATGGAATAGCGTATGAAGGGGTCTTTTACGCTTGCTTGTTGTATCGAGAATGTCGTGTTATTCAGGTCATATCAACAGCATACCCGGACGAGTTGGCTCTCGGTTCCAGATAGTATTCTAACATCGATGTTGCATGCCCGGTCGAACACGTCTCTAAGGGGTGTACATTGGAAATCCTGACGAGGTTCTTGTTTGCTTCGTCGGTTGGTATAAGGGTATATAGTCCTAGTCTAGATGAACATGGTAGAACCCTGGGTGCGACGTTTGACTCCGAGCGGCCGTAGTGGAACGATCAGGATTCGTATACATCGGGGTAGACGGTACACGACCATGTCCATCTCCGTTGATCCGGCAATGTTCTCGAGGTGGTACGGAGAAGATGGATCGCTGGCTACTAAGCGGCTCGGTAGTCTTCCACTCCCCGCGAGGTCGAAGAGGAGATACGACGGTATTCAGATGCCCTGGACTGAGGGCTCAACAGGACCCGTCCTGCGCATTCGAGCCTGGGCAGAGAAGGATATCGAGATGAAGAAGAGGTGCGAGGTACACCGAAGCTTCATCCTAGTACGAACAGGGGGATCCAGGGAAAGTTGAGGTTGGTGGCCAGGATGGCGGCGATCTTCCGACCAAGTCGAGGCTCGGCTTGGCAAATTTGTGTATACGTTGAGGCGGGAAGATGGCCGGTCGGGATAGCGATGTGGCATTGTACTTGTATGGGGAGGACGAGGGACCGACGGGCTGATCGGTTGATGACGGGTGTCATCGAACGACCCTAACCGTAGCAGGTCCGAACCTCACGCCCCGCTTCTTCCCCCTTCCCCTGCCCGCTCGGCCACTCATGTTGATAGGAGGGGCCTGCCGTTGTCCTTGCACCTGACCTTGTCCTTGGTCCCACCCGTAAATCCCGTACCCATACCCTGGCTGATTCTGTCCGTACGCATCGTAACCCCCGAAACCGGGTGGGGGGTAGGTATAGTAGTACCCCGTCTGAACCCCCCTGGCTAAGTGGGGAGCCCGAGCTTGAGCCTGGGTTTGGGCTTGAGATCGAGAGTTGGATTGACGGTGGGAGAACCAGCGGGATCGGTTGGGCTGAACGTAGGCTGGGAGGAAAGGTTCGGGCTCTCGGGGTCGCCAGAATGCCCAGTGCATTGTGGTAGAGTCGCTGCGGGTGTGTCGAGATCGAAGGAAATCGAGGAGGTACGGATCAGTATGGTGTCGAGCAGGCGATCCTGGTAAGTAATCGAGATGCTAACGTGATGTGGTGGTGATAAAGCTGTTCGATCTACGTCGATGTCTCGAGCTTGTGTTGGGGTCTGTTTCTGGTGGCGATACGGGAAGATTTACCGATCCGGTAGCAGCGTGATCAGCTGGACTCTTCCTACTACGCACACGATAACGACTCACAAATCGGTTGATTTTCAATTCTACTGGATAGTGTTAGAAGCAGTTTGTGTGTATGTCTGGATGTGTAGCTTGTCGGTGGCGACGATGAGGGAGAGGGAACGTTGGATCGAGCATAGTCTGACCTTATATACACTCGAAATGGGTCGCCCGGCGAACATGAGTCATCCCCTCGTTGCCGATAAACACGGGGCAAGGGCATGGCAGCCAAGCGAGTCGAGTGCCGCACAAATGATGACAAGAGGCACAACAGGCAGGGGAGAGAGAGAGACTCGAAACATGACGACGGCAGAGGGGCGACAGGGAGCAGCAGCAGGAGGGAGGACAAAGATATCGAAACGGTGTATCGATCTCAGCTATCAGCTTCGGGCCCGTCGATCACGGCTGTGCATGGTGGGCAGCAGGTCAACACGCACCAACAGCGTCGTTGAGTTGCATTTGTTGGTCAGCCGGGCATGATCCTGCGCGAATCCCGCAGATCCAAGATCCACCAGGAAAAGCGGTGCAAAGTGTGCCAACCCCGTCGTGCTTGCGTGTGTTCGACACGTTGACTGCATAGCTGCGTAGATGTCGGAGGTCATCATATTGCATATTGCCAATGCCGATGATCATCGCCCGTGGGCCGGCCACAGCGGTGTGGACGACGATCGTCTCACTTTGTCGTCGCCATCGGTTGTCGAATCGTAAAGGTGGGCTAAATGCAAAGGGCTGAAGGACACGTTTCATTGCCAAAGGGACGAGGTTTTTCCACCTCGTCGGATCCGATGAATGCGGCTCCGAGATACCGAGGAGATAGGCGATGATATATCGTGAAAGCGACCTGATCAAAGGAAGTCAGGTGAAACATTGCAGACCATCCACAGTGATACCATGGTTGTGCCGCTCTTGTCGTCTCCATCGTTTAGTAGGATCGCCTTGATCTCCTCCCTGTTCAGCGTTCAGAGCCAGAGACCCAGAGAGAGGCAAGTACGTTCGTTGATTTGAAAATCAACAGATTGACTACGATCTTCATCACGGCCACAGCTTGCACCTCGTACAAGCCCGAGAAGCGAAAAGAAAAAGACCTTGCACATGCGCGTGGATGGGGTGCGCAAGGCACGTGTCGCTCTTCCAGCGCCCTTCTTTCTCGGTTTTGTTTTCCTTCTTTTCCTTTTCTGTCGCCAAACTTCTTTTCAGAGTCAAACGAAGATCATGTCCGACCCGAAGGGAAGAAAAGAAAACAGGGCACCTTACCCTGTTTCACCTTCCTCTCCCCCCTTCCCTGTATTCTCTCGCCCTCTCGTATCACCCAGTCCTCCCGCGTTCGATCCAAGCGCGTCAAAGGCGTTTTGGATCGCCCTCCCGCTTGGCGCTTCTTGATGGCGCGACGTTCTTCTTGTGCGGTTCCTTATAGTAGTGAACATCTGCAATGAAATGATATGACATCAGGACACGGTTGAGAGTTCTATACTTTTGAGCGCGCAAGAAGAAAGGCTGGTAGATTCCTTTGCCATTAGGTAACTCGAGGGACCAGAATACTGAAGGTTGGCTGTCGATCAGTCTAGTTCTTTTTTTCTGCAACCCTGCTTCGCCTTGCATGATGTGCTAATTCGAGGACAAAGCACTGGGGAACATAATGAAATCGGGTCGTTGTGATCCAAATTCATCATCACCCATCCGTCAAGCAGCTTCATCTCCGCCTTTCCCTTCAGCTCGGCCATTTCCCTCTCCAGTTCCTTTGCTTCCCTTTCCAGGTCCTTCGCCTGCCTTTAATTCCCTCCGCCTTGTCCAGCTTCTTTGCGCTTGCGTCTTGCATCCCAGCCGCCTTGTCCAGCTTCTTAACGCTTTTGTCTAGCATCTCGGCTACGCGCATCAAGGTTTTGGGTCATAAGGACGTATGTTGACTATGTCAATAAATTTCCGCAAATGAGGCGATTGTTGTCGACCTTGGTTATGGACTGTAAACGCTCAAAAAGCTTGCTCAAGGCCGGGTTTGCAAATTGTCTGCGCTCTGACCGAGACCCCCTAGTATAAAAGCAAAGAACAAGGAATTCGAAACTTGGAGGACATGCTTGAACAGATAATGCAAATGCATACAACCGTGACGTGAATTGTGAATTGCAAGAGAAGACTGTCCCTCTCTTACGATGCGTGATTATAGATGTTATGTGGATGACTTTTTCGCTCGTCCGTCCCCGATCTTCCCCACCTCCCGCTTGACTCCTTCCCGCTTGTCCCGTTCGGCGCTCCGTCCCACCCGGCCGGCCTCTCTAGTTGAGGAACCCTCGACACCTAGGCGATCCGCACAAGCAGATGACCTTGTTCTCAGGTGACTCGATGGGGAAATGATAGTCGTAGGTGATCTCGTCGCCTGGTAAAATGCTCGTCTTTGCGTAGATGACAATCTTTTGCGCGCGAAACGGGGACAAGGTCAACCGGAGGAAACCGCTCGACGCCGAGAACCCGATACTTACCTTTTTCTCCCCATTGATGGTGATGATTTTGGCCGTGCAGTTTGGTGTGCAACAGTGATTGATCAAGCGAGCCATGCTTCCCTTCTTGGTAGCATCCACCACGGCATCGTCGTCCACTCGGAACAAGTAACTGCTCCCGATTCCAATCTTTTCGTACCACTTTTCCCGGATATCTGCAACCTGAGCCCTGATGACCTCACCCACGTATTCGATGACCATTTCACCGGCAGTGATTGACTCGACTGCATAAAGACCCCAGTCGTGGATAGGAGAACGCTGAAATTTCAGCTGCTTCTTCCGAGTACGCAACTGATTGAAGGCGAATACGTCCGAATCGGCGTCGGCGGCCTTTTTGGACTGTTCCATTCCTTGTACGAAACGACGGGTCGCTACACGTGCCGACCGAGAAGACGCTACGGCGTTGTTGTTATTATTGGCGTTATTCCCGTTGCCGCCCGAGTTGCCTGCTGGTTGATCGACTTCGACAATGGCTCGATTCCTCTGGGGTAGATAGGCGGACTTGGCGACTTCCGAAACCTTGTAATACCCATGAGCTCTTGCGCACCCTGCGGGGTGGACATATCCCTCTTCATCTTCTTCCTCGTCCACAGGCTCCCCTGCCACTGCGGCCTCTTCCCGTAAGCGAGCTGCTTCCTCGGGTAGCATCGGGAGTTCTCCTTTAGCTTTTGCCTCAATCGCAAGCCGAAGCAGATACAGGTCTTCATCGTCCTTTGCGAGTCCGCTTGCTATGGGATCAATGCTGGCAGGTCGCTCGGCAACAACGGGCTTGACGTCGATATCCATCGGCTGAGCCACAGCATGAACGATGTCAACCTCAATGTCAATCGGCTCTTGTACCACGATTGGCTGATTCTTTTTGGCCCGCTTCTTAGGTGGCTGCCGTTTATCTTCCTTAGCCGCAGCTTTACGTTTCCCCTTCTTGACTGAAGCTGTCTCGAGGGAGATATCGACGGCAGGCAGAATCGCTTCCAAGTCGTTCAATAGAGGCTTTTCCTTGATAGGTTCCAGGACAAGCGGTTCATCGCCTTTGGCCGCTGCCTTTACAGAGACGGGATCAGACTCTGCGTGCGGGTCGACATGTCCATTCACAGACTGAATAGGTCCTTCGTCGACGATAGTATGCGCCTCCTCGAGCTTGGTGGCCGGGCTGTCGATCGCTTCAACGTGGCCGTTCGATGCTACGGATACGACGTTGTGATAACCCGCATCCGCCTTCGTCGCATCTTCCATTTCGATGTCGGACAAGGGGGACTCGGACTGAACGCGTCGACTGACTCCCTTTCGTTGTTTGGGATTCGGTCGTTTTGCCACAGCTTCAGAAGGAGGAAGAGGAGGGCTTTTCGCTCGGGCAGGAGGCGGAGAAGCCCTTGCTCTCACGATCTCTTCCAAGGATTCTGTGACATCTTCGGTATCCTTGTTCGGAGTCGAGGGCCGCACAGAGGCGCTCCTGACTTCGGGATGGATCTTGCCAAGAGGGAACGATCGCACTTTGGCAAGCTTCAAACAAGCGCTCGCATCATGTTCCTTTTTGAACAACATGTACCATCCGAACTGGTCGGACAAGACCTGTAGAGGACCACCAAATCTATCAGTCCGAGCACATATGCTGCATCACAGAAGGAGATTCGACTCACATCGTGACAGCCTTTGAAGTACTGCTGCAGCCTCTTCGCCGGCTCTTTGCCTTCGATGGCTGCCAGCTTCGGAACAAAGATGTAGGGGCAGCCATTTTTGCGCAGTTCCTTTGTGACCGCGTCCAGACCAGGAGCTAGTGGGCTGGTTGCGGGAGCCGTTGCGGACGCCGATTTGACGGGTGTAGTCGTAGACTTTACACGGCCTTTATGCCGTGCAGAGCGGGTCTTAGGGTCAATCACTAGATCATGATCATTCTCGCTTTCGACCTCGGAGTCGCTGGAGGTTTCTGAAGAAGTATCTGCTTGATGCGTCTCAGCTGCGCGTATCTGGGACGTTCGACTTGACCCCCCCGCAGACGGTCTCCTGTCCCTGTTGCGCGCAGGCTTGAATGGGGCATCGATGAAATCGTCTCCAGCAGTGGCTCTGGTAGCGCTCTTTCGAGCCTGTCGCTGCATCTCCTCTTGATACGCTTGGAGTTCCGCTTGATACTTCTTTTGCAAAAGAAGGTTGACGTGATAATGAGGATTCTTGGGCCAGAACGGTTGGTGTTGAGATCCCAGGTAGACGGGCGGTTTCGGGGGTATGAGCCGTGGGTCATGTTGCGTCTGTGTGGTGGTAGTGTTATAGGCTGGACGTGCGGGGAACCGCTGCTGTTGGCGATCGAAGGGATATTGCATCTGAGCCGGTTGGTTCTGCTGCACAAGATGCGGACCAGGGAGATAGCTTGTCTGTCCAGCCGCTGGAGAAGGCCTGACAGTCTCAGCGTTTCTGTACAGAGACGCCTGAAAGCCTGTCCCAGTGGCAAGGCCAGCCTGTCCAGGACGATGCATTTGATACCCATTCGTGACGTTGGGTGCTGGGACATAGGCAACATTAGGCGGGGGGACCTGAGCAACGCTGGGCGGAGGTGGCAAAGGTTTAGGAACCAGACTCGGCGGGGGCATAGGCGCCGCTTGTTTCACAACTGGTGTCGCAGGCTTGACGAGCACATTGGGCACTTTACCACTCTTCTTGTCCGCGATCTCTTGCTCGAGCCTTTTCAGCTTGGCACCGGTCCCGTCAAGAACGACCCGAGCTCGCTCATTTTGAACCTTGTAAGCAGGTCCGATCCGAGTATTGTTGAGAACTCGAGCGACGTGTTGGGCAAATTGGTTGGCTGCAATGACCTCGCCAGCTTTGATATCGGCTTCCCGCTGTTTTTGCCTAGCGCTGCCACCACGTTCACCACTTGACGACTGTAGCGGGTATTTGCCCCGGAACACCACCCGGCACAGACCCATGTACGCTCCCTTCTTGTCGAGTTTGATATCCACTGAGTCGATATCGACCGTAGCGGTCACCCTGCCATCTGAGTAACTGAATTTGGACCGAAGCTCTCGGATCTTTTGCGTCACATCCGATGGTGTGGTCAGATGGCTCAACTCCGAGATACATATCGCATTGGCGGGCGGAGGTCCTGTCGAATAGATGGCCCAAGGCTGAATCACGCAAACCAGATCGTAATGAGCGTTTTCGGCGAGCTAGTCAAGATAATTCAGAGCAGCTTACCCATTTAGGCATCTCGACCAGTCCGTCGTGCCGATTCTTTCTAGGCCCATTGCCGATGACCCTCTTCTCCTCTGGGATCCTCAGCCTCGCATCGGAAATCTCGATCTCTTCCTTACCCTTGTCCACCAGCCCGTCGTACCGTAGCACGCGTTCTTTGCCTTTTCGATGTTTCGCAGTCTGGGGGTCATACAGGACAAGATAGTTGCCTCGACCGAGCGTTTGCTCGACTATGTGTTGCGGAGGAGGACATGGCTCGTAAGGTTCGTCGGGTGGCGGAGGCAACAGATCACTTGAGGGCGAAGGCGGCTTGTCCTCAGAAGGTGAAGAAGGTGGCGAGGGAGAGGAATCTCGTCTATCCAACAAAGACCGACGCGGCTCCAATGTTCTGCGAAAGTGAATCTCTGGCGGTTTTTCTTCACGATCACTGAGTGTCGGCTCCTTTGATCGAAAAGGGATCATGACAGGTTCCCGTCCCGTGTCCGATCTTAACAAAGCCGGATCTTCCTTGGGCGATGTCGACATCCTGTCCTCCCTTTGCAAGCCAAGGTATCCGCCATCGCGCTCCCTCGACCAACTAGTTTGTCTCTTCGTCGACCGATCCCGATCCCGTATCCGTCCCCTCTCACGACCGTCGACATCAGACCATCCCTCTGATCCGGTACTATAGCGCCGACCAGCGCCGTTCCGGTTCACCCACGAGTCTCCCCTCCCTCGACTGGGATGGCTATCCCGATCCACCCATGAGTCTCCATTCTCTCGAATAGCATCGACGTTCCGGTCATCGTTCCGGTCAACCCACGAATCACCCCTCCCACGGCCATCATCGACATTCCGTCTGTCCCAGTCGCGGTCGTGGTCATATTCCCTCTCGTCTCGTGCTAAAACATCCCGAGATCGACTCCGAGAGATGCTCCTCGATCGATAAGGGTACCCTCTCGAATCGATCGACTCGTCCCGATACTCTCTACCTCCGCGATACGAGACGCTGGAACCGTCTCTGCGCCGATCATCATAGCCACGTCCCCGGGACGGACTTCTCCCGTACCTCGATGGAGGACTAGGTTGCCTGGCATGAAAATCCCGTTCGCGCTCCCGCTCGCTGGACCGATCCATCGAGTATTTTTCCCTGCGTCTAGGTGATTGTGGTGACCAGTGATCGCGATTCCTCTCTCTCATTGCTCGAGAATCCGTAGAAGGCGATCGAGGACGGCTCGGCCCCACATCAGGTTTTTTTGGCAATCCAACCGCTCCGTACAAAGGAGAATGTCGGTTGATCTGTGCTTGAGGCCAAGGTGTAGATACGTTGAGGCTGTTATCGTCATACCGGCCGGTGGAAGAGGAAGACCCGTTCAATGGTCCTGGTTGGTGATACCGATCGTAGGAAGATGAAGGTGGATGTACAGGAACGGGATAACGGTCGTATGCAAGAGCATTGGTTCTGGCAAGATCGATCTCGGCCAGCTCTGTTATGAGCGCTCCTGGTGCGGGATGAGCAGACGCCGAGGTGGAAGCTACAGGCGAAGGTGGAAGCTGTCCTGGTTCAACCTCGTCCAGCGATGGGATGAAAGAAGGGACATATTGAGACTGTTTCCTGCTACGCTTTGCCCCCAGTGTCGAGGTAGGCTCTGTCTTGGGTGGTGAGCGAGCCCGAAGAGGTAGAGGAGGAGGTTGTGATGCTGGAGGTGGTGGTAATACTCGTCGATCGTGATCATCTCTATCGTCTACCAAGCTCTTTCGATTGTCTTGTCGATGCTGCGTCGTAGACCCGTTCGTCCTAGACCGATCTCCCGCTTGACTTGAAAGCCGGTTGATAGACACAGACACCGGTGTCGAATTGCGAGGGTCGAGCGATCCGGCCGGTAGGTAACGCGGGGGAGGTGGTGGTGGACTTGCAGGAGGGCGAGGTAGAAGTTGATTTCGCGAAGCTTGCGTCGGACGGCTCGGCAGACTGTACATCGGTGCAGGCAGTTGAGATCCTTGCCCGTTTGTCGACGGTCTCGAGCCCGAGGTAGAAGCAGCGTTACTTGATGCCCATCGATCGGTCGCCCTTTCATGCGGCCTGCTGCTGCTGGGCCGAACCGATTTGTTTACTTCATGGTTTCTGCTCGGGTCCAGGTGAGGTGGGACAGGACGAGACCAGGACGACATGACTTTGATATCCGTGGAGGGCCGAACCTCTACTTTTCTGTTTGTAGAGCTGTAGGATGTGCAGAAAGAGATTGCAAACGATATCGGATCAGTATCGAGGTTCTTGAGAAGTTGTCGTAAAACAGACCGTCTGACATGCGTCTTGCATTCGCTCACCTCCTTCTTGCGGCTTGCTCTGCCCGGCAAAATTTCCTCGCAAGAGAGATCTATTCCTGTCTTTCGTTGAAGTCTGGCCGCAGTTATTCTCAAAGTTGTTATAGCAGTGATTGCAAAAGTGATGTTGTGGTCGTTTAGGTAGGTCGAGTTTGAATCTCCCCCTCCTTCCCTTCCCACCCATCCTACCGCGCGTACAACCCTAACTTATCGACCTACATTGCGATACACTCTGCACAATAATGTCTCCGTATCGATCTCACATGGTACACAATCCACTAGCTACTAGACTGCTGCAACCTGCGAGGAGGCTTGGACCTGCCCCGTATAGCCTGCTGTAAGCTCCTAGACGCCAGGCCCTACCATCGTCCGCAGCCATCGAGGTAGTTGTCATATCGGCGAACACCGCTACAAGAAGAAATCGCTTCCAGACCGGCGGTCATGTATTCAGGCAAACCATGTCGCTCATCACGGACAAAGCGTATGCCGCCACTCGGGAATCTTTAGAGTGCACAATGATAGCTTGCTTATCTCCTCTGATCCACTGCCATTTCCCCAGATATCTGCTACATGCCCTGCGACTTTCACATCTTCGGATAGCTACGGACCCGCATTCATCCCGTATCATCTCGCTATCACCTACAGCTTTATCGGACAACCCCTATGTACGGGGCAGCGGGCTGGCGGATGTAGACGTATGGCCAGAGATCGTAGCTGTTCTCGACTCACCGCCTTTGGAAATAGACAAGGAGTTGGAACGTGAAGAGGGGAAGTCAGAAGACGAGGATGACGAGCTCGAGCGTGCTCGTCGAAGACGATGGAAGGGGAAAGAAGCTGAGAGATTCCAGACGGCCGACATCGGATCGACACCAGGGCCTGCCGGAGACGGAGCACTCGATCCAAATGTTAGCCTGAAATATAGTCAGACGATCGGGCGTGTTTCACGGTTTCAACCGGGAATGCAGGTGCATCGTCGATCGGACCGTCCAACACCGGCGCGAGGCGATTCGTCGGTCGCTACCTCTGCGACGGTCACACCGACCGCACGTAACGAACCGGGAATCAACAATTTCCCTTCGTTTGATGCACTGGTCACGCCCGGGCAGACGAGACCACTCGGTATGGACCTTCGACGGGATCGAATGCGAGCCTCGACCATCGACGAAACTCGTTCGGCCGATCCTGCGGCTTATTCGCCACAGACACCCATGGCGAGCAGCAGTACGACGAGGACACCGGTTGCTAGAGCGCTTACGAGCGTCTCTTCCCGCACCACCCCGACAAGACAGACTTTGACTCGGATGACTCGACCTCGTGCGGATTCTGCGCCAATGTTGGTCGTCTCGTCGCCTTCAGGTCGGGACGAGAGGTTTCCACGAGGTCCGACCAGTCCTCGAGATGCTCCTGAAGATAACTCTCAGACGCCTACAGCGAGACCTCGTCCGCCTCCGGCTCGCGTGAGGTCTCGCAGGATTACGAGCATGTTGATGCAACCGTCTTCCAACATACCGGATGTGGCCTTCTCCCCTGCAGCCATCTCTTCCGTGCTAGGACAGCCTTATCAGGAAGGAACAGGGTATAACGCCAACCTCCGGTCGAATGGGCAAACGACCGACGTGCCTCCGGCAGGTGCAGATCCGCATACCTTCATCATGCAGTCACAATACGGGAGCATCCTCGAGCAAGCGATGATGAGCCAGAGCGTCGTGACAGGTATCACCGAGAACTCGGGCATGATCTCGAGCTCGGGGATGGGGACAAGTTATGGAAACGGGTTCGATCAGATCTACGAAGAAGACGAAGAAGAGGATCGCGAGGAGATCGAGACTGTCGCTGATGACCTGGACATGTCCGGTCAGGACAGGCGGGATGGACTTGGGCGACCTCATCATATGGGTGCCAAATCGATTCTCACGGGGATGGACCTCGCCCCTGAATTGTCTCTTGCGAGCATGGGAGGATTATCTGGCGTTCAGACCCGTGCCAACTCGGAAGCGAGTTCGGTCGAAGGGGATGGTCCCATAAGGTTCAGCGGAGAGAGCGCTAGAACGCAGATCTGGGCTGGTCCACCGACCAAGGCACAATTCGAAAAACGACAAATCCCCACCTCGAGTTCTCAGATGACCTCGAGCTCGCCGATGGCTTCTGGTCTCAGCATGCTTCTCAAGCCGACACAGGAGCAAGACGGCCAGATGGGGAACCCATTTGCTCGATACGCTTCCGCGCCGCCACCCCAAGGCAGCTCGGTATCTACACTGACTCTGGACATCTATTTCCCCTTTTCCAAAGACTCCACCAAGCCACTTTCTGTCACCGTACGGAAAGATGTTTCGGTTGACGAGCTGATTGGATGGGCTCTGCACCAATATCTGGAAGAAGATCGGAGTCCTGGATTGGAGGAAGGCCACGAGAGGGGACCGAATCGCGGCTTCGATCCCGAGGTGTGGTACAGCACAATAGGGTGGGCTCTGAGGATGGTAGAGGATGATGGAGAAGTCGATGAAGACTTTCCGGGTGAGCGACCTCGTTGTGCTTGTCACACCTGTGCAACCGCTGATTTGTGACCACATATTCATCAGCACTCGACCGGGAGAGCCAAGTCAGCAAATTCTCCTTTGGAAGTTTCGCTGTGGTCGAAGCGACCCCTACGCAAAGTCAGTGCATGACAGCCGTATGTATCACAACAATACTGATTGGACGTTCATATTTTTCCTGGGGGACCAATCCATAGTCGAGCAAAGTCTGGCGAAACAGCCTCTTCAAAGATCAGGGAGGGCTACGCCTCAGATCCAACAACATTCTCAGCTTGGCGGATCGATGATATCTCCAACAGCGACTCCGGTCAACAACGCTCCGGCTGCGGCTGGGCCATCGTTTTCTGCATCTACGCTCGGCGCTCCTTCACGCAACGCTTTGCTGAACACGCCTGCAGCCAACGCATATGGGGGACTCAACGCATCTGTGGGCACTGCAGCAGTAGGCGGCGTTATAGTATCCCTCAAGGTCCGAGTGATACTCGCCTCGGACCTTCAATTCAGTACTACGATCAGCGTGTAGGTAGAGTCCTTGCTATCTCCTCTCGACTGCTCAATTTATTGGGAGGAGTCTAGCTGAAGTGCGTCTTTTACAGGCCGTCCGAGATGTACTTTGCAGACATCACCGAAGCACTCATCCGCAAGAAGAATCTTACCCCACCTCTTCCGGAGGAATGGGTCCTTGTTTTGGGTGATCTATCTATGGTCCTCCCTCTGGATCGGACGGTGGAGAGCCTGATGGGCAACGTTCAACTCGCTTTAGTGAGGAAGGAATGGGCACAGACCCACGGCCTGGCAGTAGCCAAAGCCAACGAGCGTCTCGGGGGTGATCCGAGCAGTAAGTCGATTCAACAGTACGCTATGAACTTGTGCTGATACTGCCTAGCGTTATCGCAGCCTCTATATTCAAGCGTCGATCGGAAGCACCTCGACAATCTTCGCCTAGAGCGGACATCACCTCAACGTACAAAAAGTTCATTGTACAGCGCAAGATGCCTATCGGCCGCCACGAGCGGATCTTGGCAATCGACGGCGACTATATACACGTGAGCCATCTGGCTGACGCGCGATGCCGCTTACCACCTACTCATACGCTGTTACGAGATACCAGATAATGCCCACAGACAATAAGGCTTTCTTTGATAGCATGAAAACCTCATCCTTCCACGTGACGTCCATCGTCACCTGCAAGCAAAGCAGTAAATCACCAACAAACTTCAAGATCGTGGTCTGGAGAGACGACGCCGAGAAACGATATGATTTTGAGGCCGACAACGCTCGTCAGGCTGGTACGTCGTATTATTACGACGCCACAAGCCGTTACATCTCTAACGCTTCTTGTTTCCACTCAGCTGAGATCATTTCAGCTCTGCGAGCCTTGTGAGTGTTTCTATTTCAACGTCATACCTCTTGAAGCTGACCTTCAATGAACCTGTTGCAGAATGAAACTGTACCAATCCGAGCGAGCGAATCTCATACCATCACCAGCATCGCGTCCGACTAGGCACAGGCTTCGACGACACTAACGAAACCCCCACGAAAATCGACAATGCACGTCAAGGAAATAGATTATATGGCGATTGTTGTTGCCTATGTTGTATGCAGGTATGGTCCTCGTTATTGCAAGATCTGAATTATTCGTTGTTTGCGCCTACTTTTCGCTTGTTTCTCCTCAAAAGTCGGAGAGAAGAGTCATAGTAGAAACTAGGCGTGGAGCGGGATTTGGAAATTCCGGCTGATAGTCAGGGTCCGCCTTTTGGACATCCAAGTGTTCGAGCAGGTTGACCACAAGCGAAGTCTCGAATGCAGTGTTGGCGAAAACCACATCGGATGACATGGAAATCGGCCGCAGGATGTTTGGCGCCATTACCAGTGCTGTACACGAAGGCAATCTCGAGCTTGTCAGAAAGAGCAGTAAGCTGTCTTGTCGTATCCGGTCTCGCACCTAAAGCTCCTGCGGTCATCTTGGTAAAAGCAATCCATCTTGGTTGGATGAAGAGTCTGATTGCCGAAAGAGGTCAGCCCATCGCTCCAGCGGTCGAAAATAGAGCAACATACTGAAGGAATCCAATGATATAGATCAACACGTATCTCTCCGTAGGCGGGAGTCGCTGAACGAGGGCACAGCTGGCCTCTGGAGCCCGGGAGGCTTGTAGTGCTTCGTTATAAAGGTCTTCCGGTATGACAGGTTCTTCAAGCTCTCGCAGCCATAGTTTGAGTAAGGCCGTGATTATGTGAGGGTCCTCCACGCCGGTCTGGAAGACGTGGGTCAGTTAAGGGAATCTGATAGTCCAGGAGATACGACGCTTACCAGGTGGTATTCTCCCCTATCCAATCTGGACCTGATCTCTCCGATGGAATCCAAGTCACCCGTTGTCCGGAATATACCCTCTGAGCGCGTACCGCCTAGAGCTATGATCGACTCCGCAAGGAAAGATAGGATCCGCGGGATCGGTAACGAGGAGCCTGTTTCACGTTGTTGCGTCATGATATGACCCAGGCGTTCACCAAAGATGGAAGGATGAAACGCGGCACTCTAGACCTAGGATCAACTCCAGATGCCAATCGGCTAAGAAACACGGAGGCAATACTCACAAATGCTTGTTCGATCTCGCCTGCACCGTGAATCGATGAGCGCTTGAAAATCCCTGAGAAACGCGGGAGGGCTCACTATACATCGGTGCACGAGAACGAGGTCCCCTTCGGACGATATTATCCAGCTTGCGCTTGCAATCTGACAGCCCGGTATTAGTGGAGGGATATATCTTGGCAACTACTTGGCTGAAATCTCACGCAGCGCAATAGTCCGCAAGGCAGGGTCGCCCTCGATTTGGCTTGTCTGTAAGAAGGAACGGACATATGGCTCGAACTCGTTCGAAGGTCCAAAGGTGACCACTAGCACGCAGATGAGTTGGAACCCGCGTAAGGTCGAGGAACTGAGATTGGCCAAGCGGCAGTTATCAGCTCGTTGCAGGCTTGCGTAACTGGTGATTGACCGACTCACAAGACTGGGTTCTTGGTGACCTGCTTCATACACCTAGAAGCAACAGGTTCAGTCTTTTTGCTGACTGGTCGCAAAAGTGGGAGATCACGGAACATCTTACATGGCGTACAACTCGTCTCGCAGGTCCAACGAACCGAGCCCCAGTTGAAGCAGCCAACGCTCTTCCTCCAGCATCAAACGTTTCTCGGCCTTGTTCCATATCCGATCTTTTTGCGAAGGAGACGATTGCGCCATGTCTGCCAGGCTAAAGGCCGAAGTCGAGCTGGAAACAGTGATAATGCCTTCGACCGGTCGATCGCGGTCGCCCATAATGTGTTGAATCACCTTGAAAGCCCTGATGATCTCGGTTGGAGGGGTTTTTGTCTTGGAGAGCAGGGCGCCGGTTACGACACTCTCCTGCCATTCCATGATCTGAGCGTCGGGTACCTTTCTGCGCAAGACTCCCTTTCGCTGCGTCGCGAAATAGTCTCGTGTATAGGATTCTATGCCGAACGTCTGATGTTGGTTGACAGTATCTGGTGAGAGTTGTGGGTAAGACCTGTGATTTTTGAGCATTCACGTCAGATTCAAGCCACAATCTGCTATCCGGTCCGTAATTCCTCACCCCGAACCAGATCCGTCACCTGGGCTCCTCTGATCGACCAATATCGGTCCATCACGCAACCCCGCTGAACCCGTGATAGCCGGCATCGCAGGCCGAATCCGGGTAGGTGGGCTCAACAAGATGGAACTCTGCCTGATGTCCCGATCGCTAGCGGTCTTTCTCAATCCCAGCCTGACCGGCGGGTCTAGCCGCTCATCTACGTTTACACATACACTCGAGTCAGTTTCTAGCATGGAGAGGCCTTTACGTCTAGTAAATCAGACTCACCCATATCGTCCCCGCCTTGCTGCCGGACCACGTCCGACAGCGTCATCACCGGTGCCGTCGACTGTCGCTCTCTTGCCATCCAGAGCGTCTTGACCGAGCTTTCTCTTCTCCTCCTCCCTTTTCCCGGTCTACCTCTCGACCCTTTTTCATTCTCCTTTTCCGTCTCGCTTCCGTCCGTCTGGGAGGTAGGGGAAATCTTGCTCTTCCCAGTTGCGGTAAACATGAACGAGGTATCGGAGCGCATGTCGGTCACAGCGGTGGCGGACTTGGAGCTGCTGCCCCAAGAAGAAAGAGCGATGTTGTTGAACCGTGATGTCGTACGAATCCTCGGGGAAGAAGACGCCGTTGGCGATGCCCCCAAGTTTGGGGTGGAAGAGTTGTTCGTATGGTTATAAAACTTGACCCTCAAGGGCGACGATGGTGACTCTGCTCCTCGGTCTTGGCGAATGTCGACGGTTTCAGAAACGTTGTGTGAACCTGAAGGAGGTGTTTGACGTAACGGTATGTGTTCCCCGCCAAAGGGAGTCACAAGCGAAGGATCTGTACCCGTCCTCCTTTCATACGACATAAAGGGATCCTTTAAGCTCAAAGGAGTTGGAGGTACCGGGCGATTGTGTTTCTTCCTCCCTGGCGTGGCGGTACCGGTGGTAGTGACTTTGAGGATAGGTTTCGACGGGGTGAGCTGCGTCCGATGTTTCGGACCCGGAGAAGGTCTGTCGACGGTACGTTCAGACGCCGAGTCCTTTATCACTACCGTCGATCCGGACCTCATCGAACCTTCTCTTCTCTCAGTTTCGCCGGCGAGTGCTTTACTGCTACCCCGCAAGGCGTTCATCTGTATCATTCCGAGGGGGATGACCAGTTCGTCCTTTGGTCTCGTCCATTGCGTCTTGCCTGTTCCTGTATGGTAATAGTAACTCCTCCCTCCCCGCCTCTCGTCGTTCAGTTCCCAATACTCCCCTCCCAGACGTCGAGGAAGAACCATCGCCCCGACGGGTGGGTCCCAAGAACAATCGCCCGTCGCTGGGCAAGCGTAAAACGTGCAAGCTGTCACTGGATCGGAGAGGACAACCCAAAAGTTGGCTCCCCATGCCGTCGGCGTATGTTCGATAGCGGCGATCAACGAGCTGACGTCGAGTTCCTTGGGTGCTGTTGTGGCAGTCGAGGACACATCGTGAGGGCTATCGTCGAATCGACCTTGGGGAATGGGAATATCATGTCGACCTTGTCCGAAAGTTAATTCCGAGTTCCTGATCTGCCCAGTCTCGTCTTCCGTCTCATCTCCCGGAGTGCTCTCCTCAGATAGAGGGTACAACGAGCTCTCATCCGTCTGATCCACGCTGGACCACCTTTCCAGCGAGTAAGGAGAGTCCGGTTTGCTCGATTTGGTTGAATGGGGGGTAGCAGTAGTGAAGCTCATCGTGTTTGATATTAACAGTAAGTTTGATCGATATTGCCCTGCGTTTGTAGAACCTCGATTATGGTGCGGACGTATTCAGGCAGGTGTCACCACCATCCGGCGAGTCCGAGATGGAAATTGATCAGGGTGTCTCGTAGTTCCTTTAGTTCATTTACTATCGGTTGTGATATGCTAGCTCTCATTGTCGATTGACTGAGCTGGAGAATACTCGTTTGATCGGGTGGGAAGAGAGACGTGAGCTAGGACATACCTGCTACTTGGGGGGGACAATACGTGGGATCGTCGTCCGATACCTGTATCCCGATCCGTGGGTGGTCGGATCCAAATCGGCGACAAACAACAACAAGAACGACTCGAAGTGAAAAACTTTTCTGATTATGATCGAATTGATGAGGGCGATCAGGATGTTCTAGATTGTTCTGGTGTCGCAATCAATCCCTTTGGTCAATCATCGTTCGCCGCGAAACGCTTCCCCACGCGAGCGGGGCCTTTTGTGGTCATCCTCGAACTGAAACGCGGCATCGAAGGGGGGATGTCTGATTCAGATTCTATCATCGATCATCGATTGGTCCCGCAAGAAACCCTGGTTTAAAGGTGAGTGTGTGTGTGAGAGAGAGAGCTCTTCAGAACTGCAGATCACATCCAGACAACCCTCATAATTCCAACAGAGCTCGACTATGCTTTGTGTCGCTTTAAATAATACAATGTCTAGCTTCTAGATGATATACAGCCTCCAGGACAAGAGATTCTCTTCAAGATCGATACAAGACGCCGATAGACACGAACAATCCCGCTTCTTCACCATCGGACAACAGGTTTGACATCCTCCTCGTCCTCATCCTCCTCGACGATTCGACGAGGCGCGATCGGCGTTCGCAAATCATCCTCCGACTCGTATCCGTAATCGTACTCCTCGTCCCGGAAACCGAGTTCGTGCCGCCGCTTCCAAGCGTTATTCACCCTGACCAACAAATCCCTCACAATCTGCGCATGTCGGTATCGTTCGTCCCAGGACGCTGCCCTTGATCTCGATGTGGACGTGGAAGGTCGGCTATTTAGACCCATCCTCCCAACGTGCAAGACCAGCGCTTCGTCGTAAGACCGCTTCCGCTCCGGTCCGAGCAGCGCGGTGATGCTAGGCAACCTAGCCGAGAACCGTTTGTGTCTAGTCTCGCCACTGCCGTACTCTGATTCAAGGTCAGGCGAGGGCGATCGAGTTCGGATCCCAGCTGAATGCGCCGGACTGGCCGTCCAACACTCTTCCCCGAACCCGAGATTTCTCAAACCCGTCAGATGGACGTCCGAGGGCTTTTCCGAGGAATGCCTTAGTGCGGGCAAGACATATTTCGGATTCATCTCCGCCTGAGGGAAAGCTCCCTTGGGTAGAGGCGGCGAGTAGGCCTCACCATCGCGTCCGCCTTCCCGCTTGACATCGAGGCTGTTGACATCGACGAGCATCGGACTGCCTCCTCGACTGATAGGCTCACGCTTGACGTAATCCAGACTGTTCGTCCGGCTCGACTGTGATTGCGACGCGCCGAGCAGGTTGACGTTCCGGTACGTGTTCTTGCCGAAGTCACCGAGATCGAGCTTGGCCGGGGGAGCGGTGCTGTGCGGTTTCGCTAGCTGATCAAAGTTCGCAAAGTTGCTATTGTTATTGCTATGGCTGTGGCTGTGGCTATGGTTGTGACTGCTCTTCTGCATGGCGTTCAAGGCGTGGGTGAAATCAAAGGTGTTGTTGCCGCCGAGACCGTTGTGATCGTGGCCCATTCCGAATGGCTTGCCTCCCATGGCGCCCGTCGGCATAGATCCTCCCGACAGCGAAGAGGCCAGCTTGCGTAACGACTCGTCGTCGGCATTACCCAGATCACTTCCATCAGGTTGTCGATCCCGACCCGACCTCGCTCCAGGCAGAGCCGCGATCGGTCGCGATCCCGACCCTCCCAGATCACTCGCCGTGCGGATCTTGTTATCATTTGGATAGATCGAACCAAAGTCGACGTGCCCGCTATTAGGTATACCTGGCATCCCTGCCAGACCGAGTGACGCCAGCGTGGCCGGGTCGAACATGTCATGGCCGCCTTGAGACTCGGACATGGAGGATCCGGACGAGTATGGTGATGGCATGTCGCCCGAGTTTTGCCGATGTGGTTGTCGAGGGGGGCCGGGCAGACCCAGGCTGGACGCTGCATCCTTACCTAGCGACAGCATGAAGGCATTGAAATCGGCCAGGTCTTGCGCAGACCGGATGTTGTTCAGGATGCTAACGTCATGCGGACTAAAGTGGCTCGCGTCGTACGGCGACGAGTCCATTGCCACATCGGGGGAGTTGGCGAATATCCGATGGTTTTGCGTTCGAGGCGATGCCGAGTCTGGAGCGTGAGACGGCACAGGAACCTGTTGGAACGTCGCGGCAAGCTCTTCCAAACGGTGTGCCATGTCTACGAATGATAATGGTCAGCTGACCCGTATCGGTTTCGCAGCAATCTCGCAAAGCCCACTCACTGGCATCATACACCGGTTCAACCCGTCTCTTCTTGACGTCCTGGTACAACCCGTCGATGGCTCCAAATCCACCATCTTGCGCGTTCATACCATGCTGGAACCGTGTCTGCCCCTGACTACCGGGTGAACCGGGCGACGGACGATCTTGCTCGCCCACGCCTAGATACATCCCATTGTTCTCATGCCCGGAAAAGCTTCGACCGAACCCGCCCTGCTGAGAGCTGCCGTAGCGATTACTGCTCGATCCCTGATTGTTGCTGCCGTATGAAGGCTGATGCGCCAGTTGCAACAGCTCTTGCCTCTGCAACCGTGCGAGCTCTTCGTATTGTGCTCGATGTCGCTCGGCCATGTGCGCCGGCACGCTAACGCTCACAGGGATATCGACGAAAGGAGCTTCCCCTCCCGTTCGTTGCGGCTGGAAGGGTGCGGGATTCGGGTTCATTGGCATCGAAGGTCCAGCCGCAGCCCCACTGTCAAATCCTGGAAGTTGAGGATAGAGACTGCCGCCTGGCTGAAACGGCGCGCCGTGCGGGTTGAAATTGCCGAAGCCGGGCACTGGTGGGAAGTGAGCATGTTGAGCCATAGGCGATATCGAGCTCGAGACTGAAGCATAATACAGGGGTCGATGTTGAGCACCATGGAAAGATGTCCCTCATCACCATCACACTTACTGCTGCCATGGCGGCTGCCGGCACTTTCTTCACTCTGTCTCGAGCTGAAGCTCGCTGATCTCGACTCCCGAGCCCCTCCCATCATAGGGACGAGCTCTCCCGAACTGTCTCGTTTCCTGCTCAGTCCGATGGTGGAGCCGCCAAAAATGGGTCCAGACGAATCTCCCATTCCGGGCGATGTCCCCGTCGAACCACCCATACCGTTCCCATGGCCATTATGTCCGTAATGATGCAAAGGGATCTGTCCGGGGTACGCTCCCAAACGCGTCGAGATGGACGAGTCGCTCTGTTCGTCCTCGCTCGTCATCCCGCCTTGTCGGCCCGACGTCCCGCTTCCGACAGAGTCGCTCCTGGCCTTCCCAGCCTTGCTCCCTGTGCTGCTACCGGCCTTGGAAGACTGGCTGTCGGACCGCTTGGCGCTCTTTCGTTTGACGGTCTTTGTGGGAATGACCACACGACCGTCTCCAAGAGCCATGGGTGCCTTGGAGTGTTTATGCAGGGCGTGATGTTCCTCGGTATGAATCTTTTCGTGCTTTTTCAGATCCTGAGGTCGTTTGAAGGATTTCTTGCAGATGACACATCGATGAGGTTTCAACGGCGTGTGAACTGGATCGAGACGAACAGAACGACCAGATACGTCAGTTCAAGTGCCTGTCACTACGGGTTATAGGGCCGTTGGCTGACCTCGCAAGTGACTTGTGATGTGATCTCGTTTCGCACAGACCACGCCGCATCCTTCCCAATGACACGTCAAGCACAAGTTGTTGGTCGACTTCCTGCCGATATGATCTTGACATAGGTGTTCATAAAGCTCTTCCGGGGAATTCGCAGCCCTGCACGTAGAGCCAGACCGGATCAGACTGCTGCCCTTCTCTGCGCCCGACGATAACGATGGCAATCGGGACACTCACTGTTGACAACCTTTCCATTGACAGTAATTCCTCTGATTATCGGCATCTCCATCATCGCTCCCTCTCCGTCCATGCAACTGCGCATAGGTCAAGCCCCCTTCTCCGAGCTCTGGGTTGTCCAACATGTTCCGCGGTACATCAGGGGCATAAGACCCTGTCGGTCGGGGTACTGGCATGGGAATCATCTCGTTCTTTCCCGGTATCGATATCGGTTTCAGTCCAGGTCTGGCTGTCGAGGTGGTAGTAGGGGCTCCCGTCGAACCGATTGATGAGCCGGTAGAAGGGGTCCGAACGTGATTACGTTCTGGCTGGCGGGAGTACCCGGCGGCTAGGTCGGTGTTGATATTGAGATTGGGGTTGAGATTGATAGGCCTTCCCACAGGATCCGTCCTGGATAAGCGTGGTGACGAGGTCGACGACGAATCGGAAGCCGTCAACAAGGAGGTATCGAAACCAGGGAACCCGCCGTGATTATTCCGTTCGTTGCTCAGGTGCAGTGGGGATAACAAGCTCGAATACGGGTTCGTAGGATCGAGAGCGTAGGGATTATGATTTTGATGGAGGTGTTGACGGTGTGAGCGAGAAGAGTCGGTCGTATCGCCGTTGGTGTCGTCCCGACGACGTTCGACCTCGTTGTTGTCCGCGTCCATCCTTGATGTCGACTCCCCTCAGATGTTATCGCTCAGCAAGGACCCTCCTTCTGTGTGGCTAACGACAGGCGGACAAGGGGGGAAGGAAGGAGCAGCGCTGCGGATGATGTCGTCGTGTGCTGGTAGGCGATCTGCCAAGGCCTCGTGTTCGAGCGTTTGGAGCACGAGCGGGGTGATCGCTAGCAAACAGGAAGCAGTTCGGGGACGAAGGCTAGAGATCTATTGGCCGAGGTGGGACGGTGCCGACGTGCCGGTGTACCAGTGTGGTGTCTTTGGCGAGCAGATGCAGGGGGAGATGACGAACGACCCTCGAACCTAGCTAGCTGTACCAGATACTGGTCTTGGCAGAGAAGCTTGGCCCCTGACGGAACTAGCGGGCGACGCGGTGACAAATACAGGCAGACAGGGAGAGAGCAAGGCGACGTCGCCGTAATGGGGCTAGGGGAGATACTGGAGAGTACAGGAAGACGTTGTCGAAGCGCACAGCCCATTTCAACAGACACATGTAGATGGCCTTTGACTGCGACATCGTTGCCCGCCGGTTCCGAACGGTCTCTATCCAGCTATCTCTAGGTTCGAGGTCGCAACACGATCTCTTTCGACCGTTTTTTGAACCGATCGCCCCCTTCGTCCCCTTCTGCGGCTGCCGCTGCCGGGAATGATGACAATTGCTCCCGTTAGACGTCGGCAAGCACGACACTGGCTTCGGCAGGCTGCGGAATGGAGGTGAGACTTTGCGGGGACCGGAATAAGGAAAGTACCCGTTCTATCGCGTTTCACGTCCTTTGACCTGCTGAGCTTTGAGCACCAGTGTACTGTGAACGAATACAAATCAAATCGCCAGGACCTACTAGCTACTAGCTTACTAGCTTTTAGACGAATGATCGAGTGAGAATGTCAATCACTTCCTCGGGACGATGCACAGCGCGCACGGCGCCGCGGAGATCACCGTTTCCCTCAACCTCGGTCATTCTGCGTCCACGACCTCCACCCTCCGGCGATCAGCGATGATCATCACGTTTTGCTTCTTTCCCTTATCTGAAACGCATTTCGATGTCGGCCCGGTCCGGGTTCACCAACGACAGGATCTTCGGAGGATCAAACACGATCAATTCTGCCTCTTCCTGCGCGCTCGCGCAGATGAAAGAGGATCAACGCATGCCATCCTCCCTTTCTAAAGGACGATCGAAGGAAGATCCTACGATGATCGATGTCTCATCTTTGCTTCCCGTTCCTTTGCAAGGAAGGCCAGGACTGTGGAAAGGAAGTTCCCTCGCTTGGAGCCCGAGCCCCGATCGGGTCATGATCACGACGCGATGTTACTGGACGTGATGGTGTCATTTATATAGGACTGACGGGGTGAGCGCTGGATTGTCGAAGTGAATGTCGCTTGTAGTCGTTCTCCGTGTACCATCTTGGGATTCGGATCGTTGTAGCATAACACGATCTTTAGCTTCAAGACTTTCTTGCATTCCGGCAGAAATGTGTCATCAATCGTGAGCTAAAACCAGCCTTTCCACCCCGCATCCGTCTCGCCTCCGCAGCGACTGATCTTATACACTCCCCCTCTTGACCTACAGTCCCACCGCACAACTCTTCGCCGCCGTCATCTCCCTCCTTGGAACATGTCTGGTCCTCTGGCACCTCTACAAATACGACGGGTTCCGTTGTTTACTTCCGACGAGGAAAGACGCGTTTCGGTGTGTTATCGTTTGGTTGTTGGTGTCTAGTTGGTGAGTCGTCAAGGCCGTTCGATAGGGGTGCCTTTGGTGGCAGTAATAGGAGGAGGTGTTGATACGACGATATCGTTCTTACTGTTCTGTGATTCGCGACGATAGTATACTTGTGAGTCCTTGCCCTCAACCGTTTTCGGCTTAGATTACGGCAAACACAGGCTGATCCCGTTCGCCTGACGCGTTTCGTACCACGCAGTTCAACGTTGGAGATTGGGTGAGCGCTTATGTCAAATATGAAGAATATTACATCTACCTGCCCAAGACCGGGGTCGTGAGTGCCCACAAATCCGTCACCCCCATCGAGAGAATACAGGCTTACATTCGCGTACCTTGCTCTAAACATAGATTGTAAAGCCCTACCAGCTTTGGGAGAAGGCCCACATCACCCTGTTTCATATTTCGTACTACTGCTTGACCGCCGCTTGGTGTTTCCTGCTCGGAGTTCATCTGGAAGAATTCCTCTTCTGGACCTGGCTCCTTCAGGTGATCCGATCTAAACAAAGCAAGAGTTGGTTCAAGAGCGTGGTGAGTCCTGAACGCGCCGTGTTGGGTTGTACGGCCGCCATCGATTTGACAGGTGCTGATGTAGTGTGTAATCTGGAATGGTCTAGTATTTCAAGCTTTGGTGCTGTGGAGTCATAGGCGGAGTAGGGTTGCTGTTTGGGGCAGCAACGATGGAGTTGGATAGCTTGACGACAGTGAGTCTGAGCAGGTACTTGGTCGGTGGAAAAGGCGATATTGACATACGGGAGGCGGCTCGGCAGATCGAGACCAACATCTTCTTTGCTGGAAGTATTGCGTCCTTGCTGTGAGTTGCTAGTATGATTCTCGAGCGGCTCGACGCTTTGAGCTGACGGTCTGTGGCGATCCTAGCCTCACATTCGGGAGCGCCTGGGTCTGGTGAGACAATGCAGAAGATGCTATACATTTGAGTCACTTCTGATCGATTGTCCGACTCTTTCAGCTTCAAGTTCCCGGCGTTCATCCGCGAATCGGTGAGTGCAGTGAGCGTGCCACCTTATCACCTCCCGCGCTGATATATGAAACGTCCATGGTGTGTTTCAGCGCCGGCAAGGAGCCAACGGGGAGGTCATCGGCAAACTCAACTACTTTCGTCAAATGAACAACGCCAGGTACATCGGGATCTCGTTCCGTGAATCAACGAGCCGGACTGACGCTAGTTCCCTACAGGACGGCGTTTCGTCTGATTTACACCATAGTCCTCTTGATCTTATCTGCTGATGGGCTGACTGAACACAAGACGATCAACCACCATGATTTCTGGTATGATCCGAGAGCCTTTCTCTCGTCGTAAAGCATATGGACTGACCGACCGAACATTGATATCAGGGTCGATGCCTTCTACTCGGTCGCCATCTTCTGCATTTTCACGTCGACTTTGCTCTCCCTGTTCGTCCTTCTCCCTCGTGGAGGCGGAAACCACGAAGCCCTCGGAGTGGCCAAGAACAACGTCTACGTCCGAGCACCCAACCCTGAGAGTTATCACGGGATCTCGGCGAGCCGCGGGAGTCCCAGTGATGCCGAGAGCTTGCCTAGTTACCGCGCTCCCAACAACGATCACGACCCTTGGGGAGTGCTGGGAGATCGTCTACACCTCGAGAAGGAGGATGTACAAGAGCTCGCTGCGCAGCACAACCAGAGTGATATTGAGCTGCCCTTTGCCCGTCGAAACCACTTCAACGGCGGCACACCCAGTATCAGAGGAGACTTCGAGGCTGTTGACCGGCCCGACTTCGATACGCCGCGGCACCAACGAGTCGTAAGTCTTGCCGAAAGTTCTGCTTTTTGAATGTTGGCGGAACTGACCCGCAAATCACAGGTTCGAAACTTCCGAAGCCCACTAGACTTCCAGAACATGGACTTGCCGCCCGATCTTCGAGTGGTGATGAACACCGTTACCGTCGAGAAGCAGGATTGAAGTTGGCGCCGATATGTATCAACACGTCGTAACACTAGTCGATACCTTACCCGAGTAGAAGAGGTGGTGAATCTGCCGTCCTCGAAGCATTGGCAGATTTTATTGTAGATGTGAATGCAGGATTGGATCGGATTTGATAGACGTTTGCTTGCATAGATTCCCGCGAACTATGCCGCTATCCGAGAATGCTGGTGATATCAGGGCTGTCTTTGAAGCCAGCCTTGTCTATGTATTCCTTTGACCAAAACTAAAGTTGGATGAAGCTTGAGAGTGATGAGTACAAGGTCATCAATCCAATGCCCAGAAGAAACTTGCCTTGCTCTGATGGCGAGAGCCAGAATCACATCTAGATTTGCACAGTGTAAGAATACCATACAAGGAACAACCAGCGGATAATTCCGTATCCCGGCTCGACTCACAATATCGTAACGATAGTGCTTCCTTTCGGCAACGTCTTGGCCAGCTTGACGCTAGCTACCAGGTTACAGGCGCTGGACGAGCCCAAGAAGAGACCGTCGTGCATAACGAGATGGCGAGACATGGAAATGGCCTCCTGGTCCGTGACTCGGTAAGCATCATCGATCAGTTTGCGGCCGATGTCGAAGTTCCGCGTGAGCTGTAGTCGTGAAAGCAGCAGATATAATCAGCAAGGAGCGAAAGAATGTACATTAGACATGAACGCACTCTGTTGATACCTGTCGACAGTGGAACAACTGTCTTCAGTCAAATAATATCAACATCATGCAAATTTAGGAGCGGCTCACCTATACCCTCAACCTGCAAGTGTGCTGTGTAAGCCGAAGGAAGGGATTACAACTTGCAGACGAAAGATGCTTACAATAGTATCCACTTGATGCCTCCGTTTCCTTCCTTCCCGTTCTTTGACATCGTACATGACTCCATACTTGATCTTGTTGAATAATCCACTGCCTTCCGGGTCTGAGAGGATGACCTTGAGTTGAGGATTTCTCCTTCGAAGGTAAGTCGATGTTCCTGAGAGTGTACCGCCGGTGCCTTTTCGTTGTCAGGTAAGGCCAGCGCATCAGCCCGCGGTATATGTGAGTCAGAGAATGAACGTAGAGGCGCACCTGCACCCGAGACGAATGCATCGATCTTCCCGCCCGTCTGTTCCCATATCTCTGGTCCTGTGCCCTCGAAATGGGCTCTGAAATTGCTCTCATTCTATAAAAGTGGAGGCGTCATCAGCTCGAGCCTGATGAGAAATGATGGTGAAGACCACGTACTTCAAACTGATCTGCGAAGCTGACGATGCACCTAGATGATTAGCGGCCCATGTATCGTCGTGCCGATCCAGAAATTTGACTTACAATCCTCTGGCCGAACTTTGTTTCACAGCCGTGGACGATTCCCGCTTCTCGCTGACCAACACGTCAGTCTGTCCATCATTCCGGGCATGACTATGTACCACACTGTCGTCTCCCGTGAAAGCTGCTGCGCGAGCTCGAGCGAGGTTCTGTGAAGGGAAAAGCGAATGGCCTGTCAGTTGGAACATTCCGGACCGCAGAATGAATATGCGGTACTGAGACTCACCACAAACTGCTTCTCGTCCACAATGCTTGCTATATATCGACCACAGATAGATCAGACATCATTGTATTCACCAAGCATGAACCCGCTCAAATAGACAGGACTGACCTGGCCGGACCCTTTCCACGGTCGCGCCCAGCATTTCTGCTAGTTGAACTTTTTCCAGGGCAACGTCGTCTGGCATGATGATCGTTGTTTCGTAGCCCCTGATTCGATTAGGTAAAGCAGACCATCAAGGTCAGATGCCCGCGCTATGTCACACTCAGCAGAAGATAAGACAGTCGCTTACTTTGCTCTAGCTACCGTCGCTATCGAGATACCTATACATAGTCACGTTGTCTTGGTCTCAGCACGACATCGAGCGGACGGGACGATAGCAGATGCACCTGTGCTGCCGACGGTGCCTTCGAAGATCCTCGAACCGGTGTTTGGGACTAATAACCCCGCTCGTTCTGCGTCTTCTATAACTATGGAATACGGCAATTGCAATCAGGTTCAGCTCCCAGCGTCTAGCTTGTACTTTGAGCGAGTATGACGAGAGCTTGTAACGAGAGCCGACTCGAGATTCAAGGTACATACTTTGAAGCGCCACTCGATCTTTGACGGATCCGCCTGGGTTTAAAAACTGATATCCCAGGCTCAGCGAGACTGGACGTGATTGAGAAGCGTGTCTTGCTCACCTCCGCTTTGCCCTGGAAGCGTGTAAGATAACATATAAACGGGAAGAAGATGAGGTCGATTAGTCTCTAAGTGTTAAATGTCTGATCCAAGGCCAACAGGCATCGTAGGCGTACGAGGATCTCCACGCCGAGGGCATCACTGAGACTGTCTATTCTCACTAACGGCGTATTACCTGCGATAGACCACCCACATGGGTCAGTCACTGCGTACTATGTCAATCTGGAGTGAAGTTGAAACACTTACCGATGAGCCCTATGACACCGTGAACGACCTTGCCAGACCCGGTTTCCTGTTTGTCGACCTGTTCAGGACGGAATGTCTGTGCTCGGAGCTTCCGTTCGGCCCATGCCGACAAGCCAACGACGACGGTGGCCGCCGTGATCCAAAGGAGTGTCTTCTCCACTTGTATGCCGGACATAACTTGGGTTGCCCGAAGTGACCTGAGGCTGACGAGATCGAGATTCACAACGTCAACAGGATGGTACGCTCTACAAGAAGCAAGAAGACGTCTTGAGAATAGTCCGTCCGGCTTGAACCGATTGCTTCCGAAAGTCCAGCTGATCGTTTCGGAAGCAAATAGTCGCCGATTCGAGAGATGAGCTCTCGCAGTCGAGAAGGGGGGGGACACACTTTCTCAGAAAATAGATAGAGCAGCTACGACAACCTCGCCCTCTCTTCACTTCATTCTCGTTTCAAAGTGAAGATAGATATAAAGATATGCCATCTTGATAGAACCCTCTCTGATCTTGTGCGGATGCCTCGAGCCTCCTCGCCCAGCTATCGCGCACCGACATGTCGTCCACGAGCAGCGCCGGCTCGGACAGACCGGACCATCCCGTTTTCGCAGCATGTTCAACTTTGGACGGTCGTGTGCCCAAAAAGATACCTTTCAGGTCGGCAAAGACCATCACTGTCAGCGCATTGAAAGAGAGGGTGAGTCCGTCGTCGAAATGCGTTCCGTTGAAGCTGGGCACGGAGCTGATTCACGGTAATATCGTTATTTTCTGGGCGATCATGCGAGCAGATCAGTCAGACGTTCTCGTTAGCGACCACCTCGGCATTTCATATCGCCTATCACGATGACGAGGAAGGAGATGACTGTCTCGTTCAGACCGAAGACGAGTTGACCGATGCCATCTGGTATTTCATGTCTGGCAGCGACGAGGACGACATCACTAATGGAAACGGCCACCGCTCAAATTCGAATAGTACCAACGTCGCGGTACCAAAGAGATGCATCACACTCCAATTCCAGGTCGTCTTCGAGTACAATGGTCCCAGCTTGTCGGACACTTCTTCCTTGGCCGGAAGCTTGCCTGACCTGGACGATCTCGACGTGGAAGACGAGTACGCCAGTTCGGCTTATACTTCTTCCAGCTCGGCCATCTCGGGTGCGACCAGCGGACGGGGCGGATCAGGGTGGAATGGATACAGGACAAGGAGGGTCAGAGATGAGATCATCGCCGAGGAGAGCGAGTCTAGTTTGAGCCATAGCCAAGGGTCTATCAGGGGGACGAGTTCGATAGATCTGGAACGCCCGGATGAGGAGACTAGGTCGAATGGGACGGTTTCCTTTCGGGAGACGAACAGTTCCCTGGATTTGAGCTTGAACCCGGAGTCGAACTTGTCACCAGCGACAAGCGGACGGCCTCGAGACCTAACCATACAGACCCGCTCCGCCAGTCCATACGATCACTCCCACCAACACAACCCATTCGACCCGCTTTCGAACCAGTCCTTGTATCGACCAGGCAGACCGGCCTCCATCTCTAGCTCGTCCATCACCTCGTCTGAACTGGGGGCGAGGTGGATAGAAGAACAGAAAGCTAGAGTGGCTAGGAAGATCGCGTCGAGGTCGACGAGCTCGAGCTCCAGATCAGGGTCTGGATCAGGGTCAGAGAGGCGGACGAGTCGGAGGAGTGAAAGCGAAGATGAGCAGGGGCAGGTGGGAACGGAATATGAAGAGGGAAAAGGTAATTTGGCTTTGAAAGTGGATGGCCGAGGTAGTGAGTCTTGACAGCTAGCTTTCAAGTCGTACGACTAATGCGGTATCATGCTGATCATGCCCGACAAGCAGAATGGTACTATGCGTACACATCGTCTGACATGACCACGGCCTTCCCGGCGTCACACAACCGAGCCTCAACCTCTTCCCAACCCCGCTTGACCGTCCACCTAAACGGATCCACCTCAACATTCACCACAAGCCATACGTCCCGTTCTGGAATGACTGAAGAGCCGTTCGAAGAACCGACTTATCCGCCTTCAACGGCTCCTGATTGTTCCGCGTGCGAGATGAGGCTCGAGTACATGCGGTATGTGTGTACGATCTGTGGACCGGGAAAGCTGTATAGCGCGGCAGAGAGAGCGTACTTGCGTGGAAACGACCACGATCACGATCACGAGGTGGGGACCGTGCTTGGGTACCCGAACGGTCGGGCGCGAAGGCCGAGTTCGGCCGGGCAGGATGAAAGTGATGGCGAGTCGACCACCTCGACCAGGAGAGCATCGAGTGTACTTCGACATCCGCTTGACAATGGTTCGGATGAGAGTCTCCGCTCGGGAGACCGGGATGGGGACCGGGGGAGGTCCTTGGAGGAGGTCGTCTCTCCGCTTGCCCCATCCCGTCCGTTATCAAACCCGTTCGCGTCGAGCGATGCTGAACCAGGAGAGGGAATGCACACGCACGAGGTCTTGTCCGCCAACGGAACGAGGAACAGGGCCTTTAATGGGTTTGAGCTCTGTCCGGGATGTATCGAGGTGCATGGAATCGACCATACGCGGATGATGGGGTTGAAGGCGATCAGGCATAATGGAATGAACGGGATGGCAGGCAAGTTGAGACGGTTTGGTGTGATGGATCATACCTATAGGGAGATGATCTGGAGCGCTACGGGGTGGCGGGATATCAGTGAGTTGGCTCAAAATGTGTTTAATAACGGGAAGCTGATATCGATGATGAGCAGAGTACATGGACGATGCGAATTGCTCCATCTGCAATGCCAATACTGAGCAGAATCGCTTCAAATGTGAGTTCATATGTTCGCTTCGGTGCAGCCGACATGCTGACAATTGGTTGTCACAGGCGCGACATGTCCCGACTTCAACCTGTGTCGATCTTGCGAGTCCCCGAACGACCTAAAGACCATGGTCAAGCTGCTGCTGATCACCAAAATGCCTTTCAGGTCATCAAAATGTGCAAGAAATCCACCCTATCCATGCCTTCCTAGCGGTTCCGGACCGGGTTCCAAAGTTAAAACCTCCTGCGTCCGTCTTTTCGGTCGAAACGAGTGGTCCTGAAATATCCTGTAGGGCACCGCTCGTCCACCTACACCAATATATGAAGCTGACCTAGCAAGAACCCTTTCTTTTAGCGGTCATACATCCTGGCGCATTCTGTCACAAGTCAGCCGGTTCGACATTTGTCCTGCTTCAACCCATAGCTGAATCGTCATTCTTCTGCGTAGCTGTCTTCGCGATATAAGGGGATCGCGGTTCCACTGTACGACATGTCCAGCTTGGTAAGTCTTTTAACAAGATACCCTTCGCCCGTGATGAGTTTGCTAACAGGTCGTTTTTTTCATAGGGATCTTTGTCGTGAATGTCAGACATCCGGAACCGAGTCGTCCGGCGCTGGACCGCATCTACCAGACCATTTGATGTTGGAGGTGAGTCTAGCGCGGAGATCTAGACGGGGATCCAGTCTAATAGGTCGGTTACCTCAGATTCCGCTGCCCCTGCTATCTCACAGCTTGCACCAGCTTGCCGACCGAGCACGACATATGTGGCTTCACCAGGACTCGGTATTGCTCGCCAACGGGGGGTTTCCAGGCCAACAGGATCGTAGGCGGGCAGCCTCCCCCGACAACGACAATGAGACGATCTATGGAGGCGCTATTCCACCGCCTCGAGCTTCAGAAGTAGCGCGAACGCCCCGGCGGAGAAAGGAGACCCTCGAGCACGATCTCGTATGCCAAGGCTGTAGCAACCGGATTCGGGGCCGGCGATTTCAGTGTGTCAATTGCCCCTCGGATCCCGTGGGCTATAACCTTGTGAGCAAAGCGAAAGCACTATTAAAGTACCAGCTCACCCAATTTCCTTGCCGTATATAGTGCGCCTCTTGTGAAACGCGTTCACATTTGCTACACGACCCCATGCACGTATTTGCGCAATTTACCCGCCGCGCGCATTTTCCGCTGCGAAGTGGGATTCCTCTCCTACCCATTCTCGTGAGAGTCCATCCCTTATCTGTCGGAGGCACCTGCTCATCCAGTCAACCGATCGCAGTACCGCAAGCCTGTGGGCGAAGTTCGCAGTGTTGTCGACTCTTCCAACCCTAACGCGTACCTTGAGCACGTTGTGCATCACTCAGTAGGTGCCTTATATGCCAAACGATGAAGAAATCGCGACCACTGACATGTCCGATGTTCACAGACCTTATGTGACATCCACGTCGGGCCGATACAAGGACCTTGGTTGAGATGCGCTCACTGCGCGAGCAGCTTTGATATCTGCCGCGCATGCGAAACCGTCGTCGAACATGATCCAACACATAGTAGGTCCGGCGCATACGAAATCGGCGAACGTGTTGGTGGCTGACTGTGATTTCACCTTTAGTTTTCCTCGTTCTCAAAGCCGAAGTGAACATGCCTCTGTTCCGCGGCCTGGCATCACTTTCAGAACCTCATAATCGACCGCTGATAAGTCAAAGGGTCTATGCATAGATTTGTTTCATACAACGTTGTAATCTCATATAGTTGTAAGTCATGCCCGCCACAGGTGCAACAGGTGGTCATAAAAGGAACAGCTTGCAATAAGCGAATCATTTGTTGCAGTGGCCGTGGCCTTCCTCTGCCAATCCACTCCATAAGCGATCGATTCGTGTTTGTCGAAAAGTGCTGTTTGTTTCCACTCGCGGACGGGTGTCTCCCCCTCCAAGGACAGCCAGCTTTCGGGCTGATCCAGATTGATCACCCTGAAACCCCCATGCATGCATGCTAGCAAGACATCCCCTTTTCGTTCGACGGATGGATGCCACTTTGTACGCCAGATTCCTCCTCCAACAGGGATCGTTTGCAACGGGATGCGAGCGTTTCTCGCATCGAAGATGCGCAAGTTGGAATCGTAACTGTCAAGAGAGTCGGGCGTCAACAATTGCGCAGACTCTGTCCATTCGAAGGGTACTCACCTTCCGACTGCGAGCAGATTCTCGAGGTGAGGATTAGAAGCAATAGTCGTGACGCCGCCTTCGAATCTTCGAGCCGCAAACATGACTATGAGACAACAAGCGACAGCTATGAATACCGCTTTGACTGACTGTTTGTTCACGAGCGCGGGCATCATGGGCGCTCGTATATCCCAGCGTTTCAGCTTGAGGTCATCTCCCCCTATTTCCGAAGCGCTCCGGTCAGGAATCGTATTGATGTAACTCCCGTTCAGGGACCTACCTGACCATACCGTGTCCGGTTGCCACAAGTCCCAAGCAGTGATCCAGGGCTCGTAGTCGTGAGCGTGCCACGTATGATCTACCGTCATCGACCCATCGGTATCGGTCACAACGTGCGCCAGATTTCCGTTCGACAGGGAGCTGATAATCGAGGTAGAATTGCTCCTGTAAGAAGGTTCCGTCAATTCCTGCGACATGATTGCCCTGTGATATCCTAAACTGACGGATCAAGTTGATTGGACCAATCTAAAGACAAGCAAAGAACACTAGAGTCGTCAACCTGGATAACTTCCTTTGGTTCCAGTGTGAGCTGAATTGGGGATGAGGTTGAGGTTAGCAGAATGAAGGCTACATATAGTCTTTGATCTTCTTGCCTGTTCCTCATTCCATCGATGAACGGTAATCTGTCCTTCCGCATTGGATATCGCTAGTCGATTTCCGCCTGGAGCACCGGGATGCGACCATTTCATGTCAAGAATTGCCGGGCCTTCGAAACGCTGCATCTCCTCACTAATTAAAGATACATTCAGTCTTCGAGTCCGTACCATCCGGTGATGCAACACGATACTCACAAGCTTCTACCTTCTTCCGCAACCTGATACACTAGAGCTCTGCCCAACCGCTTGATGGCGGGAGAGTCAGACTCCTCCTCAGACTGATCCTCCTTGATGCTAGCCTTTTCCCCTTCCAGTTTTTGTATCTGGTAAGTTCCGCAAACAAATATGTCGTCACGGAAAGGAGACCATTCGATCGAATCTGCCGAGTATACCGTATCAACAGATCCCAAGGAACTGGCTATTAAGAGGCCAACAAGATTCAGCCTGACGGTCCCTTCGTCGTGCGCGTGACTATACTCACGTCCTAATGCTTCGTTACTGCCGTTCGTTTCGGGCTCTTTCCCATCGTCCTCGGTATCGCTCTCGAGTTCAGCAACTGCCAAACCAATCAACGCTGCCGCAAGCGTTGCATCATGGCTTTCACTGCTTGTGTTTTCGCTGCTTGGCTCATCGGCATTGCCATCGGATTTTTTTATGTTTCGGCCAGTCGTATCGCTATGCTTCGCTTCCGCTCCCAAATCCTCCTCGTGTCCAACATGTGGGACCTCGCCTGTCTCCTTCTCGGTTCTTGCCGAATGCTCACCAGCGCGCCGCTGGAGAGCGTTGGAGGGCTCAGCGGTTAAGTTCTGCGGCTCTGAACTTTTCTCCTTTCGAGCAGCACGTTCCTCTGCACGTCGCTCTGCTTTCGTCTTGTGTTGAACGGGATCGCAGATTTCCAATAATGTTTCCAAAATCGCACCGCTGGCAGTCAGACTTGCACCTCGAGCGAATTCCTGTAGGTAGCGTTTCGGGTTAAGCCGTTATCGCTTTGCGAATCATCAACCTGGACTCACAGTTTGCAGCCTCTGAAAGGTCTGGTGGTTCATCGCGCTTGCACAGTTCTATCATTCGGCGACTTGTGTCAGCGAACATGTACAGTATACAGGAAATTTGCAGCCAACCTTGTCGTGCAGGAACGGGTCCTGAACCACCAAGTCGGCGCCTGACCATTCTTGCGGTTGCGAGAACCCCGAGATCCGTCTACTTCGTTGACTCGGTGGTGGAGGTGGTTGAATTCCTTCTGCTTGTTGAGCTGCAGCTGGTAACTGCCTTTGGCGCTTGTACTCCTGCTGCTTTGAATCATATCGCAGATCTAATGGGAAGCCGCGCTCGACAAAGCCGCCTTTCCATACCGAAAGACAGTGCGTCTCGAAGTTCTCGCTGCTGAAGCCTTTCCCGGTCTCACTCGTCAGCTTTGCGTAAAACTCGAAAAAGCCTTTGACCAGCTCTCCGACCGATGTGTCATTATGGAGGAACTTTTGTCCTTTCCACTCGACCACCGACACCTTCGAGCCACTGTATCCCTTCAGTCCAAGATCATCGGCAAAGGACACGTGAGCCGGGATGCCCTTCGGCCGTCCCCAGCCGACCCAGACGTCGATGTTCTGCCTGCCCACGCTCCCGACGACATCGTCATCTTGCAGATTAGGCAGCCCGTGCTTGATCTGCATATAAACAATGGCCATGAGAGCCCAACAATACGAGCTGAGAGATCGTTCGCCTGTTTTCCCGGATGGATTATTGAGGTCTCTTGCTTTTGACCAAGATTTGACAATGTGGATCAGGGGACGCAGCTGATATGGCGATAGGCGGCAATAAGCGTTGATCATAGCGCTGTTGTAGAGACCACCTAGATCGTTGACGTTCAGATCGACCTCGAACCCCGAAAAGGGATCTTTGAATTTGGCTGAGAATACGAGAAGGCATCAAGCGAGCTTAGCAGAGCCGAGATGCGCGTAAAAGGGGTTTTGCTCACTAATCGGTGTGGTAGCCCATTTAATCGGCTCAACCTCGACGAACCCACTCTCGCGAAGTGCTCTCGCGACCACGTTCATGTTATATACCGAGGGCAATTTCATGTTAGAAGCGCCTCCCGAGCCCCAGTAATCTTCCGTGTACCCGAACGGCCGAGAATAATCCCTAAGCACGAGATCAAGATCTCCCTGACTCCCCGTCTGTCCTCGCCAGCTGACGCTTCCAAACGGTTCTACCACGAAACGTAACCTCGGCCATCGATCCGCAATGACTTCGTTGACGTTCCAAATGATCCTCGAGATGGTCTCTTGCACGTCCGCAGGGGGAAGGGATCCTCGCCAAGAATCCACGCATTCTTTCGTGAATCGAGAAGGACCGTTGAGAAGAGGAGGGTAGATGTCTTCCCGGGGGTCTCGGTTCATGAGGGTCTGGGAATATGCTGTGAGGAATGGACTTTCCTGGTCAGGAAACGCCGAAGGTGCCGCTTGAAGAAGCTGAAGTAGCTGTCCATTGGCATCTTTCGAATCGAAATCCCGAGGAAGGGTGAACCTTGGATTGAAATACGTAGCCGGCTGTTGAGATTGTGGCTGTCGTTTCTGCTGTTGCTGATAAAGCTGCGGGGGTGGTCGCCATTGCTGATATTGTTGCTGTTGCGGGCCCTGCTGCTGAACAGGCCCCTGGGCAGGCGTTTGCGTTTGTCGAGGTGCTCCAGCAGGTAGATTCGATATGTGGGTTCTGACAATCTCCTTAGCATTCAACTTTGCTTGAGGTATCTTCTGTCTTGCCTGAGCTAGGCTTCTGCCGATATCTTCAGGTTTGACAGCTGTAGGAACGGCCGCTTCCTGTACCTTCTTGACCGGTCGCTTGCGTCGATGTGCCTTGACAGCTGGAGCAGATGACGCTGCGTCTCCTTGCGGTCCCATTACTTCAGGAGCTCCCGCAAACCGGGAAGAATGGAACAGTTTGTCTCGATTAGGTTGAGACATACTGCTCTGCATGAAAGGGTAGTTTCGAGAGTAGAGACGTGGTTCGGATGTGCCAGGCGGGAGCCTGGCCAGCAATGACCGTGAAAAGAGGAGAATAATGTCGCCTGAAGCCGTTGGGACGATATATGGGCGAGCTTGGCCCGTTTGATTACTACTATCGGCTTTCCGATTCAAAGGGACAGTCTTGACTGATGACGACTTCGAGAACTTGAATAGTTGTTCAGCTCGACCTCCACTTTCATCCCCTTGGAAATCGATCGATCGCGCGGCATATTCGACCTGTCGCCAATTGTATTTGAGACGCATGGATCTGACGCCTGGAGTTTAAACACTGCTCCTTGCTGCTTTGCTTGCGATAAGTGCGTCGAAAATGTTCACGGAATTGCAAGTCCGTAATATGAGTTCAGAAACGCCTCACAAACAGGCGGCATTATACAACCCTCTACAACTATATACCTTCCGTAATCTATCATTCCCGCTGCTACCAGCCCACAGCCTTCTTCGCAGACTTGATGCCATTCGCCATCCTCCCTGCTAAGCTAGACGGCAGGGCAGGACCCTTGCTACCATCATCTGAATCGGTATCCGATCCGCTAGAGCTCTCTTCGTCGTCGCTATCGGCGCCTCGCTTCCCAAAAATATTCGGCTTTTCTACCGTAGGCGTCACCGCTTCTTTACTCAGCGTAGCGGACAAGCGGGGTTTTCGTAAAGCGTCCGCTCGTAGGCTCGAGAGAGTGGGAATGTTGTTTCGGGTGGCCACCGTAGGACGCTTCCTCGCCGACAACCCGCTTAGACCGGGCGAAGAGTTGCCATTGACTCCAGCTGAGCGGGCGGACAGAGGAGCAGGAGAAGCCAACGATGCCACTCCGAGATTAGGCCCCGAGGCCTTGACCAGAGTGTTGTTAATCGCAGCTGGCGACTTGCTTCGGTTCTGCGAGGCTGAATCCGTTGGGCCTGGTCGGGTGCTACCATTGACTCCAGGAGGACGTTCAGAGACAACGGCAGAAGACGCCGCAATACCGGGTGCAGGGTTGGCTTTGCCCTTTTGCAAACGATTCTGCCATCCCTTCAAGGCCTCGATTGCCATCACGTGTCCACCAGCATCCTGTAATTCCTTCATCCGGCTCTCGATTGACGCAAGTCCTTTGATCACGACCGGACAGTCCTTCTGCAGGTGAGCTGGAACAGCCTCACATATCAGACAAGGTTTCGAGCCTACGCGTCGTCGTATCCTGGCTTCTTCCCGTGGATCACGAGTCATCACACCGGCAGGTCGAGAAGCGGCGAGCAAGTTTTTCATGAAAGGCGATTGAGGTGTCGTGGAGGGCGGGCTAGCAGGTGTTTCCTCTTCTAGCTCACGCCTCATCAAGGCTTGAGGTGAGACGGAACTGCCGATGACATCTTGACTGGGAGCCGCCTCGGCAGGTGGACTGTCCTGGTTCGTAACAGTTAATGATTGCTCCGGCAGATCGGCTCCGATTTCGGCTTGTAGAGTAGAGGTCTTGGTAGAGGGTTCGGAAGCAGTATCTATCGAGGCTGTCTCTGACGGTTCGACAACTTGAGCTGGGGATGGTTTCGCCTTAGGAGGCCGCCCCCTCCTCTTGGGCAATGGCGCTATGGCTTTGGGTTTCGAAGCGCTCGATTGGCTGTCAGTTGCAGTCTCCTGCGTTTCGTCACTGCGAGTTTCGGTGGTAACCGACTTCATCGTCGCAGACTTGTCATTTGCTGACGGGCTCGGCGCAGTGATGACGGTGGAAGGGGATCCCGAACTCGGCGAGCTAGCCGACTTGGAACTTCGTGATGGCATTATCCTGCGTTTCAGCGGAGCTGGTGTCGGCGTACTATCAGGGACCGAGGAGGACTGGCTCTCCGCAACGTCTGCAGCCTCATCGGGCACAAGCTGATCAACATCGCTTCCTACATCTGTCTGCTTGCCCGCCTTCTCTTGCTCCGAGACGACGGACTCGAGTGCAGCTCGATCCCCATCCGCTTCCGTCTGTAGGGCTTGGAAGAACACTTGATTCCCGGTGCTCGGAGCAGCGGACGCTGATGCTTCGACCTCGTCAGCCAACTCTGCGAAACTTCGTCGAGCTGGTCGTATCAGCGAGGTTTGCGTCTCTATAGGAATTTCCACTTCCATCGATGGTGACTCGGCGGCTTCAACGTCCATGGCTTCCGCATCTCCAGACGCCGCGCGCACGGTAGGCGCAAGAGAAGTAGTCGAGTGATTCTCATCCTCGTCCTCAGTCGCGTCAGGATCGCTCAACTCCGCCCTGCGAACGGACGGAATGCTACCCGCAAGCTCGTCAACCTCAGGTGTGACCCGAGCTGGGAACTCCTCTACGACGTCCACGTCCATGACTGTGTCTAGTTCGCCAGCGCTTTCAATCTCGTCCATCGAGCTTTGCATCTGGCTGAGCTGAACAAGAGGCTGAGTCGCGTCAATGGATGATGCATCATCATCGTCGTCGTCACCCTCCGGGATCAGAACGTCCGTGCTCGGAGACCGCTGCGTCCGTCTCCGTTGACTCTGCTTGCGAGGGGCTTCATCTTCATCTTCGTCGTCATCCGAATACGGTTCCGGCGAGGACGATGGCAGATGCGCAAGACGCGTTGCAGGGGCTATGTTCGCCTGACCAAGTTGAGCAGAGGTTGCTTCGTCCTCCAGTTCGTCTTCCTCTGAATCCTCTTCACCCGAAGTACCAGTGGAGGATTCGTTGTCAGAGTCGGACCCGGAAGATGAATCTTCATCCTGGGTAGCGGGAGCAACGACGATTGACCTTGTCTCTGCCGTGACAGCAGGCGTCACGGCTTCGCCCGGATCTGACCGCTGCAACTGTGCGACGTCTTGTGAATTTGCTTGCTTCTCTGTGATGACCTCGCTCTCGCTCTCAGTGTCAGATTCCGACTCGGTCTCGCTTTCGATCGCAGCTTCAGCGACGGAAGCGTTTCGCTTGACCTGCTCGACTTCTTGCGAGCGCTGCGTTTCCAAGTGCGCTATCTGTTCTCGTTTTCTCAGATCTTCCGCCTCGAGCCTTTTCTTCTCCGCTTCCTTCTCTTGTCGCTCTTTTGATTCTCGCTCCTGCTTCTGTTGCGCCGCTTCCGCCTCCCGCTCACGACGGCGATGAACATCCGCCTCAGCTAGCCGCTTTACGACTTCCTCGACCGCTTTTCGAGCCTTCTCCTCGTCCATCGCTTTTCGAGCTTCCTGCTCTGCGGCAGCATTCTTCTGCGCTTCCAATGTCGCAGCAGCTGATACCTTCCTGATCCGCTTGTCCTCTTCGGCCTGTCTCCGACTTCTTTCCTTCGCGAGCCTTTTCTGTTCTTCCTTCTCCAGCCTCTTCTGCTCTTTTGCCCGCTTCTTTTGCTGTTCTCGCTCCTGTTCCTCTTGTTTTCGAGCAGCTTCGGCAGCTTCAGCCGCTTTTTTAGCCTTGTATTCCTCATAAGCTCGAGCAGCTTCCGCGTGAGTGATACCGCTCTCGTCAACGATTGAGTCATCACCAATGTCCTCGTCTGACGATCCAGATTCGGTTTCCGATTCCGATTCCGATTCCGATTCCGATTCCGACTCAGACTCAGATCCAGACTCGATAGATTGAGAAATGGTGGTCGTTATCCTAGGCAGTAATGCAGATAGCCCAGCGACAACGCTTATGATATCCTGAAGACCCGGCGAGCCCGAAGCCGCTGTCTCGCCTGCCTGCTTTTTCTTTCTAGCAGGCGAGTTTAGATTGGCGGTATTCTGCGGTGTGCTCCGTTTCGGGGCCAACTGCGCTTTCGAAGAGGGACCCGCAACTGAGCTCACGTCCTCCATGATGACATCGCCAGCGTGAAGTAGTCTTGGCGAGCTTTCCCTGGAGGACGAAGCCGCTGACGAAACGCTTGGGGGCGGTAGGACAGCCGGTCCGCTTAGCGGCGATGGACGATTGGGCTTGAATTGATGCCCGATATTAGCGAGGTGCCGCGGTGCAGGAGAAGGAGAATCTGGCGCTTGCTTTGAAGGTCCCGAATGGGTAGATGAAGAAGGTTCCGACGAAGGGGTCACGGTAACCTGGACTTGCATCGGATTTGTTTCGGAGGTCAAGCTCGAAGAAACCGTCGGTTCATCCGCGGGGCTAGCAGAGGAGCCGCGGTCATCTTTGCGTTTAAGTTTATGTCGCCGCCTCGGTTTCTTGCTAAGCTTTTGCGCCAAGGTCGTTGCCGTTGATGCGTCGCTTGCTACCTGAACAGCAGTAGCCGTGAGCGCTGAAAATCCCTCTTCACCATCAACGCTCTCTTCCCGCTTGCGCTTCTTCTCGACCACAGTCTCAGAAAGCGGAGTACTGTATACTTGGGCTTGCAGGATCTGTTTCGCAGGGGGGTCGATCGAAAGCCGTTCCAAGAAGGAAGAATAGTCAAGAGCTGCGAACCAGGAACAATTAGCGCGCATTATCAGGTTGCTGTAGAATACCGGGTTGATGAAACCGACGCACCATCGAATATAGGTACTAGCCTGTTTCCAGGTCGGACATGCACCACCCTGAACTTGCGATTCATTTCCCATGTATTTGACGTTCTAATCTCATTTTGCAAATCGAAAAGCCTCCCAGGAACTCCTCCTTTTGATCGAAAAGCACATAAGGCTTGAACAGGCTCATCACGCAATGAGAAGCACGACATACTTACCCTGCCTGCCGATATCGATGATATTCCCCGCTTCGTCCTGAATCTCGACATTCGCTTCCACATTACGGGTCTTCGCAGGTGACGTGGTGCCACTTACTGTCGTGTGGATTTTTGAGGGGTTGACTCTCAGAGGGGAAGGGATAGATTTGGAAGGAACAGCTGAAAATGCAGGCGAAGGAGAAGGCGAGGAAGACGGGCGCTGAACGCCTTGAGGTTTGGGTGTACCGGATCCTTGAGTTTCTGACTTCGCCTTCAGCGCGTTCTTTCCGTCTTGCTTTGGCTTCGGTGTGTTATCCTGTTGCTGTTTGTGATTGAGCTTTTGTTTCTTCTTTCCGCCATTCCCGGTAGGCCGAGGTGAGCTGTTGCCGGGCTGGTTATTCGGCCTGGGTGACTGATGATGTTTGCGTGCTTGAAAATTGCTCTTCTGGCCGTCACGCTGTTGTTTGTTCTGTTTCCGGAAGGTCGATGCAACCTTGGGACTGAAATTCGTGGCAGGATGCTGCCGTGAAGACGATGAGGCGACAGAGGGAGATCCAACCTGGGACGGTCCGGACGGGAAAGGCAAGCTTGCCGGAGGCTGGATGCGAACGGGTGGAGGCAACGACATGCTGTGTTTCGGTCGAGTGTGTCGCCTTGTAGTATTCTGTAGCTCCGATTAACAAGACTGGCGATTCGAGCGAGTGTTGAGAGCATGCCATTTGAGTCAGATTGGGACGACCTCGTGTGAAGAGGCAGAGCAACGAAGGCTCACCTTCCGAGAAGGCTATCCAGAACTCTGCCGCTTTCTATACCGTCGTCATCTCCAATATCGGGTCAGAGACAAGACTCCAATTCCAACTATATAGTGTAGGTGTGACGATCCGACGTTACCGTTGGGTCTGACGTTGAGCGTATTCAACTCTCGACAGCTTCATACAACTTCAAATGTTCGACTTTCTTCCCCGAACTCGATGGTCCAGGTCGTCCGGAAGCAAAAACCTCGACCAAGCTTCAGTCTCTGAGCTGCTTACCTAATCAACGTGTCCGGAACTGGGAGTCTCGGAAGCTTTTATCCTGAAATTAAGGTTCAGTTAGGTCGAGGGCCCATCGACCCTGAAGGTTGCTGGAGAAAAAGCACAACACAAAGAAGAGATAACTGATAACCCTCTACGTCCTCAACCTAGCCTGATCGAGCTTTGTACAAAATCGTCCAACCTCCCACCATGGCGGCAAGACAACTCACCGGTGCCAGGCAAAAGTCTTTTTCCGGCAACCCTCACTCGACAGCCGGTCTTCACGTGCCCGCTCAGATCCGTCGTCCACGCAAAGTCCTCTACCTGATCGCCTTTTTCGGAGCCCTCTATTGGTTCTCGATCCGACACGGACTAGGTCAAGAACGATCGGACTCGTTCGAAAAGGATCATGCGTCTCATCTGAAAGAGCCGGCACCGATCCCGGGGAACGCGAATAGGAAACCGATCAGGATCGCTGGTGGGCTGAAGCAGGTCGGCAAGGGCAGCGGGGCGGGAGGGATCTGGGAAGGAGCCTTGGGGAACCTGGGATTGCCTAGGGTGGGCAAGAAGAAGACTCCGGATCACCATCTCAGAGACGATGGGTATGTCGAAGTCCAGGCAACTCCTTCAGCGGAGCATCCTATCTGTGAGCATCCAACTTTTCTAGCCTCTCCAACCCGTTGCGGCGTACACGCTGACGATTCCGATATCGACAGACGACTTGATGGAACAGGCTCGACAAAAGTTTGACAACATGTTGTCCAATCAGTCGAGAACGTTGAAAGAGGCCGTAGCAGAATACAAGCGGAGGTATGGGATCCCGCCTCCCAAGGGGTTCGAGGCTTGGTGGAAATTCTGCGTGGACAAGGACATCAAGATTGTTGACGACGTATGTTCAAGCTAGTAGGGGTTGCTGTTCACAAGTATGCTTATTCTATTCTGGTATCTTGATGATCTAGTACGACCGGACAGTCACCGACATCCTCCCCTTCCACGCCCTCGACCCAGCGACCTTCCGCAAACGTCACGACGCGCTCAAGACCGCCGATTACGTTTACACCCTAAACGTCTCCCCCGGTAACATCACCATCAGTGGTGCCAAAGGCCAGTCTTCTCGACCGACTTCCATGAAGAACTTGATCCAGGGGTTCTTGGGATACTTGCCCGAGGGCTTCGAGGTCGAGTTTACGGGGAGTGACCATGATCTAGGCAGTCAGGTCTTGGGGCAGGATCAGCGAGAGAGAGCTTTGGAGCTGGCTGTCAAGGGTGAACGTGAGTGACGCCCGTTCTCTCAGATGCTCAATTGCTGTCGAGGCTGAATTATGTGGACCAAGACAGACTTTAGCGAAGACGAACTGAAACGCCTGCAAGACCTAAAAAGAACCCCGATCAAGGGTTGGTTCAGCGCCTGCAACCTGGATTCTCCCGCCAATATCGTCCCGGGAGCCGAGAACGCTTCGGAGTTGGCATTGGGACAAAAGTTCATTCACGACCATCAAAAGACGTTCGGGTTTTGTGAGAACCCTTGGCTGAAGAGGATTCATGGAGCTATGCAGTGAGTCCTGCAGCTCGATAGCTGGCTATCTACACGATTTGTGTTCAAAATTCTGGTTTCAATAGTCTCGACTACTTCGGCCGATCGCCATCGGAGCTACGGCCCTTGGTCGTTCTCTCCAAGTACTCTAACAATGCCGAGATCCTAGCGGTCCCTCTTCAAGCGTTCCAGAACCTATCAACTATCGAATCCGAGTTCTACCCTTGGGAAGAGAAAGACATCGACAAGGTCTTCTGGCGAGGATCTTCCACAGGCGGATTCAACCATCAACGACCCTGGCAGGACAGTCATAGGATGAGGTTGCACCTGATGATCAACGGGCCCAAGGGGAAGGAACAGGTCTTGAAGGATAGTACGAGGGATGTGATGATGCCCGATGGCAAGGGAGGTTTCAACCTGGAGACTTTGGACGAGGCGACGTTGACAAAGGCGTACATGGATGTCGGTCTGTCCGGCAAGCCAATCCAAGTGAGTAGCTTGTCTCTTGCTAACGAGTCGAATGGCATCAAGCTAACAGTTTCTCTGTCACGACCTTCAGTGCGAGAACACCAAGCTCTGTGATGAGATCGCCGAACAGATCGAGTTCTTGCCTCGAGTCAACCCCGAGAAGGGGTCGAGATATAAATGTGAGTCGACTATCCTCCACTCAATATGCTTGCTGCTGTGAGGCTTGGCTGACTCTTTTATGACGATCCGCTAGACGCTCTTGATGTCGATGGTGAGTTTGCTTGATGCATATTCCGTCTTGGACGACAGCTGACGATCCGACCTCGCTGCGCTGTTATGCAACCGCTCAGGAAACGGATGGTAAGCCTACACCCACCTCCAGTAACCCTGGCACCTCTGATCGTATGCTGAACAATCTCTCTTCCACCCGCGTTCAGGTCTTCCCGTTTCTACCGATTGTTGACTTCTGGAAGCGCTGTGTTCAAGATGACCATCTTCCCTGATTGGAACCAGGTGCGTCACTGGTCACGTTCCGTTTACTACTATCTTGTCCGTCAGCTCATGCAGCGACTTTTAATGTACGTTTCGATCAGGACTGGCTGGGTGAGTCTGAGACACACACCTCATGCCGCCGAATAAGATCACTTATACAGTACCTCGTGCGCGTACAGTCCCTTGGTTACACTACGTCCCGATCAAACCTTCTTATGACGACCTATATGACACCGCGGCGTTCTTTCTGGGTCCCATCGGGCCTGATGGCGAGGTGGATACTTCTCTCGGACACCCGGTGAGTCTAGTTCCTCTTCTCGGCGAAAGATGGTAGACTGACGGGTACAAACAAACGTTACAGGCTCTGGGCAAACAGATCGGCGAGGCTGGCAGGGATTTCGCTAGGGAGCATTGGAGGTGGGAGGTCATGCAGAGTTACATGTTCAGGGTCATTCTAGAGTGAGTCTTGGACTTCTGGTTCTTCAGAATGGGTTATGTGTCGTTATGCTATAGAAGGGGAAGCTTATCGAGTTGCTGGTTGTTTATAGGTACCGAAGGGCATTGAGCGAGGATCGCGAGGCTATGAGCTATAAAGGGTAGGCTGACGGCAACGTACTAGAACCAATGCGGGCCCGGGTCCTGCTTCGATACGGAGGACGTTTTAGATTTTGTAATACTGGTAATAGAGGGCATATATGACCATGATGTACAGAGGTATAGCGGTGCAAAAGGTCACATGATACTCGAAGCAAATGACGAGGATGACGTTTCGAGGATGGTGATACGTCATCATCTTCAAGCTACGGGACGGCGGAACCTATTTTTCGGACGCAAAAGTCGAGGGTGACTGAGGGAATGTACTCGTAGGGGTGATCGTCGTCGCTGCTGCTGCTGCTTACGGGCAATCGAAGAGGATCGTCGTTTCACACAAGCAGAACATCGGCTAGCCTCCCAATCCTCCCGAGCTTCTTCAGGTCGGAGGCGATAGGATTCTTCGTCGCATCCAGCCGACACTGCGATGTGACTATCAAACCCTGGTTCGATCCGACCACCCAACATGGACTTGATCGACTCTACCACCATCACCTACGGGACACTCTTCTTGACGAGCACGGTGGCGTTCGGGCCTTCCCCTTCCGTCCTCGTCAACAGCTTGATCACCATCCCCATCTTGCTCTACCTCACACGTCTGGGACAAGAGAAGAGTGACTTTCTCATCGCCTATGCTATCGTCACGGTGGCCTCGTTCATCGCTTACTTGCCTACAACGCTACATATGCTACCTGCCGTCCAGTCGATCTTGCTACAACTCGTCTTTTCGCTCGTCTCGGCAGGATTCGTATGTCTACCACTTCTAGCGTACAGGTCGCTGCAGAATACACTCGTCATCAAGGAGTCGGAAGACGAAGAAACGAGAGAGGCGTCCATGCGGAATCGAAGCCGGTGGCTGGGAATCGCTGGTTTTCCGTTCTTGTGGATGACAGGGTGGCTCGTCTTTGAGCAGATCAACCCGTTCGGGAGACAGGTTAGTACTGTTGTTTTGCCTCAAGCTTGTTTGATATGCGATCACCGGGGTTCTGATACTAAGAAGCGATGATCGACAGGGCTCGCCTACCGGTTCGGCCTCGACCCTGCCTACCTTTCTCCATCCGATCCTACGCCACCTCGGTCAGCCAGGCCTGGATTTCCTCGCAGCCTCTTGGTCGGTCGCTATAGCTCGGATCTTTACCGTCATCTCCGACAACCCGAGCGTGGCTTCGCAGATGTACAATCAACAGAGACAGAGGACGGACGAACGAAGGCGGATCTCCCTCGGCAGAGGGATCCCTGGCCACAAGTCCGTCGACTTGATTGGATTTGAGGATGAAAGCAGAGCCGAGGGGAGCTTGGCTCCATCTCCGTTGGAAGGTTCGAGGGTAGATCAGCTAGCCGATCCGCAACCTAGATCCAGGAGTAGCTCGCACGGGTACGGAACCCTGACTGCCATGCTAGGCAGGAGGCTGTCACGAGCTGCCCAGCCTGCGTTTTTGGACCTTTTCGACAATGCCTACAGGGTATTTGTGGGGTTCACTCTGATTCTGACGGTCGTCCCGGGTTTATTCTTCCCTATGATGGCTCCCTTGTCGATGTCAGCACCAGTCTCGAAGATGACGCCCATCTCGGTCGGATGCGTCTTGCCCCAAGCGAAGACTCGGCACTTGGCCGATTTTATCAAGGAGACGGACCAATTGGCGCCGTCTGCCAAGGTCTTGCTTTGGCCTGAACAGGCCCTCCATCTCAGGACAGAGGAGGAACGTGTCCAGGTTTTGATTCAGGTACACGAGGTCGCGGCGAGACACGGCGTCTGGGTCGGGGTTGGGTTGGGAAGTCCGCCCAGATCGAACCCTGTCGCGGAGGACGACCTGGAACACCCAAAAAGGCGGAATGAGATCGTCCTCGTTGGTCCTCAAGGGGTCGTTGGGGAGTATGAGAAGAGGAGACTTGTGCCGATCGTCGAGTCTTATGGGTATATGCCAGGATCGGAAACGCCGCCTTCGTGGGAGATCGGACTGCCTCCCCCGAGAGGTATAGCGAAACCGGACTGGGCGGAGAAGGCGCCATATGTCAGGGATATACCTGTCATGCCCTTGATCTGCTTGGACTCGTTGCATCCATCAATTGCGAGTTCGCCAGTCAGGGCGTCCGGTGGCAAGGCAGACCACTCCACGGCAGAAAGCCCATCTTTGATCCTGTTGTCCACATCGCCGCCTGCCGCACAGAGCGGATCGGTCGCCTCTATCATCCTCGATCATGCCAAAGATCTCGCTATACAACACGGAGCGCAGGTCTTGGTCTGCGATGGATCTGGGTCGGAAGCCGTCTCCGGGCTGGTCGAGGTGGATGGGACGGTGAGGTATCGGCAGCGAGGGGAAGGGGGTTTCGTCGTCAAGAGCGGCGTACGATACAAGCAGGGGAGGAGGAACGGGTGGGAAGTGCTTGGGGGTCCTGGGGTTTGGGGTATCTTCACGATGGTGATAGTTCTGGGCGCCGGCATTGAGTTGGGCTCGCATAAGTTACGGAAAGCGGGGGCAACGGTGGGTTGGCCAAGCATCAAGGAAAGGTTGAAGAAGTTGTGGCGGAAGCAGCGCGACCGAGAAGAGACTGCCAGGCTCATTGATACAGAATAGGGTATACGGGGCATATTGCAGATGAGGCAACTTGTGCTAATTCATGATCGAGATGCGACTGATGTACGATATACCCGATGCTACTACGGCTTGATTGACAACCAGTTGCAATCAGGAAGAATCATATCAAGTAGACTTGCGTCTTCATGCCCAAGTGCAGCTGCTCAAGAAAGGTAGAACCGCGAGAAGCTAGAAGACTATCAACCTCTCGTGCCACCGTTAAACTCCAGGCTCTCGCTGCACCCCCCTTGGCACAGCTTCCTTTGTCCCGGTTGACCGGGAAGGTTGCCGCTGACGCTTCTCCGAGTCTGCGCTCTCTCCATATATAGGTCGCTCAACATTCGGCCATGGCTGACATTCGCAGTAGATCGCCTGACTATCTTCAGAGACCTGTCGGTTCCTGCCCTGAACTATGCGCGAACGCTCACAGGACGAAGATCGGATTTTTACAGGCGTTGAGGCAAATCTCGAAGCGAGTGTGTCGCAGTCCCTCTTGATCTTTTCCATACCCAGAGAAGGCGTTCCGTATTCGGGAGACGTTTTCCCTTTTGCGTTTTCCACGGCGATTCCCGCAACCTCGAGCGGGGGTATCTGCCACTGGGTGAATTTTCGATGAGGAATACTGCGTTGTCGCTGTCGCAAGTCCAAGAAACAAGACAGCTCCCTGAAGAGGCACTTATAAAAGTCAGATTACTAGGATGCCGGGCAACTTCCGACTTCCTTTTGAGCCAGATGCAAATATGATCGAGCAGGTGGACCTCAAACTCGTTCATCGTGAGACGCTTCCTGCCGATTGTATGGAATTGTTGCGGTTCTGGATCGCGTCAAATTCCCAACCCCTCTGTCAAGCTTGGGTGAGTAGTGACCATGTATCATTATTGCAGGAACAGCTCTGATCAGATATCCACTTGCCGTACGTTTCAGCTTTTCGCATATCTACGAACCCTGCGTGAGGTAAGCGCATGTAGCTGCGCGTGTCGTGCGCCAATCTTCATGTCAGCGACGTCAGGCACGTACTAACCTTTCGCCATCTTGGCAGGAAAGACAACTCCGCATCTCGATTGCCTACGGTTGTGACTATTGCAAATTACTGTCACGCAATGGAAACAGGAAGTCGGGCGCAATGACGCCGTCTCCATACGCGAGGCTTGTGAAACCTTGGTTTGATGAATCCACGAAGCCGACCGTCAACAGATGGGTTCACGAGACTGTCCAACTTGTGGTAGGCGACGTCAACATCACCGTAGCCAACCCCTTGTTGCAACGAAAGGTCAATCCCAAGAGTGGTGTTTGCACCATCTGGTTCATGATGGAGGTGATACAAGTCGCAAGAGTAGATCCAGTATAGAGAAATCTTGCGCATTTGTCTAATCAGAAGTTTGTAATCAGCGGTAAAAAGATTTTTTAAATCTCCAGGTCGTGCGCTCTATCTAGAATTGGATGCCTTTTCGCGCCGCAACTGGAGATGGATAAAGTGTCCCGCTGTCTACGTATGCGTGTTCTGTAGCGGATAGAACTGTGTAAAGAACTCTTTGGGGATGGAAACCGGTACACTGGTCTCTGTCCCAAAGAGGGATATTGTAACACAAGTATCTTGCGAGTGAATGGCTGTTTGTCAGCTGATACCTGATGCACCACATGACCCAAACCAGACTTTGGCTGGAATTAAGACTCTGTGTACGTCTAAGACATGCTGTGAGTAGACCATCGTTCGGCCGTTCCCGCAACTGTGGGGCCCTAGTTCATCGCCAAGCACTTCGCTCTGCTTTGACTATACAAGTTGTGTCATCATCGCACGCGATTGTACAGCCTCGAGGCAAGATGAATCTCATTTCCTTTCACATCGCGGAGATTATCTGACGTGCTTTCAGGCGGCCTCACCATCGTGAACACTCGTGGCGCAAGTCGCCTCATAATGAAAGGAATCATCGCGCATGCTTGAGATACAGCTGGTTCCCCGTGAGTATATATAGCGAACAAGGACGAAGAGCAGTCGTCATGTCAGATTACAGCTGCTGCGTGTCCCAATGAATGTGTGACAAGAAGTCACAATACGTTTTGCTCAATCATGTTGAAAAGCTGTGGAAAAAGCGGCTTCAGCCAGCAAAGCGATTTTGGTGCCCACGGATCGTCGGGTCAACTTCATTCGCCATCAGATTCCCTTTATATCTGGCCATCCGATCATGGTGATTCCCAGTTTTATCCCATGCAACCTGTTTTTCAGGGTTATCCGCCTTACGGATCGCCACAATAGATTTATCCAGAAGACGTCCAGAGCAGATACACAGACACTCCCGGATTTTGCCACTCAAGCTACCCAGACAGCTATGACCCGAACGTCAATCAACCACTGGCCATATCATATACTAGTGGTATCAGTCGTAATAGCGCCGGTAGCGCACCCGGATGGGAGTCAAGCGGATATTCTGGCAGCTTTTATCGAAGGGATGCACAGTCAAACCCCATCAGTGCTATCAACAGGCATCAGACTCGATCTGGAGCAGAAATCGACCGAATCGAATCGTTTGGTGACGAAAAGCAGCAGTTCGAGGGTCTGGTCGAGTTGGCCTTGCGCGAGTGGTGCGAACGCATCCTCGAGAGGTTTCGCATGGTAGATTTGTTCGTGGTGAGTGAACAGAGTCGAACGTGGAGTTCCTGCGCCAAAGACCCTGAGTTCTGACGAAGCCAAAGTATAGTTCTTTGACAAGCTGATCGCAGAGGTAACTCGAACTCTCAGGCTTCTGTCTACCGAGTTAAAGTGTCTACGCGCTGACCATCTATGCTTTGCCCCATCTAGGAGGAAGGATACTGGAGAATCAAGAACGACTCAAATCAAGACACCTTGACGTGTCGAGTCAATAAATATGACTACTCCGTGAAGATGAGCAAAGAGTGCTCGGATGGTATCCAGAAGATACATCAAAATGATGGCCCGCAATCGAAGTATACGTCGCGCGCATTTCGCGTGGAAATCGAGGGCGGATGGGTTGAAATCGCAAATCCCTACAAGAGGAAGACGAGAGAACCCAGGTATCAATCCAGAACTCGAGCTGCCATTGCGGTCCAAATCAAGGACCATTCCGGACGACACTCCCCGTGCCAGGTCTATCCTGTACCTGACGTTGACGCCCAAGAACCTTCAAAAGCGGACTCCGCATATGCCGGTCCCCTTATTGTTGACGGTTCCGGTGGAGCGCAATGCAATAGAATTGAGAGATGATACTGCCACCGTGCTGTTCCTCTGTTCGCCGATTCCTTGCTACTCGCTCGAAATCCGATCCGGTTATAAGGAACGGAACGAGTCCAGTATAGAACGCATGGATACTAGAGCACCCCAGCCTATTGTTCTCTCCAAATCGTCTGTATGTTGTTGTAATATATCCTCCGCGTCAGATCATGCTTGTAAGATACAATAGAGTGGTGGTAAACAGTGTCTAATCCGAGATCGCTTCAAGGATCGATTCATGCGATGAAGAGATTGTTCAGAGTGGTATATAATGCGAAGAAATGTTGGAGGGTTGGCGGGGAAAGAGAAAGCACACAAAGAGGCACAGGGTTCCAAATCTAGACACGAGTCGCTAGATCTTGAATCCGTACCCCTTCATGCACTCTCGATGCCGTTCGATAAACTCCCTACAGTCCACCTGAGCCGTCGTCGGGTCTGAACGGAGGAAACAGTCATCTCGGACCGATTTTGTCTCGGGGCATGCGCAGCATCTATGGTGCGATGGAGAGATAGAGTTCAGGAGCGAAAATCGATTCGTAAGCGATCGGCTTGTAATGAGGATCGTAGTTGGAAAGGTTGAAGGGTATATCCAGGTGGGACGGAATGAGATACGGTGCTTACGGCTTGATACCCTTCGGGTTCAGCGGGTTGACCAGCGGATTTGAAGCCTGAGATGCAGTCAGCTCCTTGTTGGCCTCGGTCGGTGGGGTGACGATGGTAGTCATTGTCTGGTTTGAGGATATACATGATAATGTACCGGCGGTTGATTAGTAATGGTCGATCGATGTCAGGTGGATGCTCGATCGCTCGACTCACGGATGCGTTCGGGGTCCTGTCAATTGAGCGATATTAGGGTCTCGATTCAGCGTGTGTTATGGAAGGCCTATTGTCGAGTTGCAGCGATGTGGCGGGTTCGAGGTCGTTTTACATCGTAACCTTTTGTAACGATGGCGACATCTTTCGACATTTCACGACTTTCGGATCAACCCGAAAGCACCCGAAGATGAAGACGAGGTAGAAGCGCAGATGGGTCGATCTCGGCTGCGCTACGGCTCCGAGAGGGAGGAGGGGGATGTAGATGACGTAAGAGACGTTTCCCGAGCTTGGCGTTCGTCAGGACCAGACCTCGACTTCTCAATCTACTGTTTCGACTCGTCAATTGCACCGTGTCAAAGCTTTACAGGAATTGATAGTTTAGTGATAGAAGATTTTGAACTGATAGAAGTCTAGTAATGGCTCCTTTCAAGGTCAATCTGGCGAGCGGTCTCGCCGTGGCTAGCTACATGATCTATCGATACCCCAAAACCACCTTACCGGTACTCAAGGTGAGTCGCGTCGTCCCCGAACAATGTAGCTAAGCATAGGCCCGTCGTCTGAATTTCTACCTTGTCGTAGTACCTGGCTTACATCGGATCCACCGTCGTCGGTCTGACCGCGGCCGGGCTATGGTATTATCAACAAAGCATGCTCTACCCCGCTTCCTTCCCCGAAGGCTCGAGACGAGGTGAGCCTCCTTCACCTGTTTCTTTGACATCACATCATCTAACCTACAAGACTCTTCAATTTTGAGATGTTCCAAACCCTTACGAGGTCTTTGGGATGCCGTACACCGAAGTAACCCTCACGACCCCAGACAAGGTCTCTCTAGCTGCCTACCTCATCCCTGCTCGTCCGCCATTCGAAGCCAAGAGCCTGCTTGCTCTTCGCAGCGCTGCAAAGGCGAAGCTCGGCGTCAGAGGAAACAACGAGAAGGAGGTCATCGATCCGGCTGTTGCGGAGGGCAAGCTGGGTAAGGATGGGGAGGACTATGCGAAGAGTCGACCGACGGTTATCATGTACCACGCGAATGCAGGTGAGTCGGTCAAGCTGGGCCTGTCATCTGACGGAAGGTCTTATGCTGAACGTATTTCGGTATGATGTAGGTAACATGGGACACAGGTTACCGCTAGCACGAGTCTTTTGGGAATCGATCGGGTGCAACGTCTTTATGCTGTCCTATCGAGGGCAAGTGGAATTTCTCCTCTTCACCTTTCACAGCCGTATCCTACCAGGCTGATATCAGTGTCATGAAATCGTAGATACGGCAAGTCGGAAGGAACACCATCGGAAAAGGGCCTCCGCATCGATGCTCAGACGGCTCTGGATTATGTTCGACAACATCCCTTGTTGAGCAAGACCAAGGTCATCGTCTACGGGCAGAGTATCGGAGGTTGTGTTTCTGTCGACGTGGCCAGTCGGAACGGCGACAAGGTGAGCCTCATAGCCCTGCTCTCTTGCTTCTGTTCAGTGACATTGGGTTGATGGAACTGACCTGCTATTTACTTGGCAGGTCGATGCGGTCATCATAGAAAACGCACCCTTCTCCCTGAAATCCCTGATCCCCTTCGTGATGCCCCTCGCCGGCCCGTTCCTCCACATCCCCTTCCTTTTATCCGAGAAGTGGGACGCTCAACTTTCCGTCCCTTCGATCCCGCCGCAAACGCCGTTCTTGGCCCTTGTAGGAGGGAAAGACGAGATCGTGCATTCGACGCAGATGCCGATGTACAAGAAGTTGAGGGAGAAAGCCGGGGGAAAGATCACTTGGAAGCTGTTTCCCAACGGACAACATAGTGAGTCGGAGTCTCTCGCGCTTTTCTAATTCGCGAAGCACCATTGATCCGTCTTTGCAAACCCTGATATCGTCTGGTAGACGATACGTATGCCCAACCCGGATACTGGCAAGCCGTCAAAGACTTCATCGAGGAGGAAGTAACTAAGGGCGAGAAGAAATAACGATACATCTTAAAGACATACATGCCCTTGTATCGATCGCGTTTAGGTGGATAAGTTATAATAAGAATAATTTACCTGACGGTGGAGTCAGGCCTCAGCTGTCTTTACAGCTCCAACTTGTCTAAGGCTTTGCACTTCAACGCTTGAAAGGCTCGACCATTGCAAGCCGCATATCAGTTGCGGGTGGAGATTTGAAACGTCCGGGAATTCATCTTTGACTGTAATTTGACACGGTCCGATCCGAGTGGAAGCGCTGGGGCTGCCATCCGCACGGAGAAGAAAGACTGACAGAGATACAGGGACAGAGAACGCGCAGTGCAGCCAAGTGTCTCCTCCAGGCCATTGTAATCGCTCGCATGTTCCGACTGGGAGGAAGGGGATGACCAGAATGTTACGCTGTGACGGCATTGTACGGGCTCGTGTCTACGCTTGAACCTCTCAAGTGGCAAATGCCAATGACGAGGGCGGGGAACACCTTCGGCGGCTGAAACGTAACGCAAGAGCATGATCGACCCTCATCATCTAACAATCACACTCTCATCTCACTCTTGAGTGATCGAGAATTTTGTATCGCTCGCGCGTATTCCATCATCAGATCGCATGTCTCCGTCTACATGTCTTTCATAAACGTATACACTCGATCCAACGCCCAAAACCACCTCCCAACGACCATCAGCACGTCCCATCCAGCCATCGTATGCATGGACGACCCGCACCGACTCGACTCGAATTCCTTTATCGAATGAGTTTGATCGCTTAGTTGGCGGCACCGGGAACGTATCGCTTCCCTCGGGTGGGCTCGGGGCCGGTGACGGCGACGACGTTGGTGTTGATGGCACCGTCGAATCCGAGAGATCGGAGGAGGTCCTGCATGGATGAACAAGTTATACATCAGCTAACCGCGTTCCTAGCCGAGATGACGATAACCCCATCAAGCCGGCAACTCACCTTGGTGTCGGCGTCGATGTCCAAACCAGTCTCTCCAACCTCCAAAGCCGAGACGTCGGGAACGTACTGGTCCTTCCTCTCTCGCTCCTCCTCTTGCAATCGGAAAGAGATACCTCGGACGGGTCCCTTCTGGATTCGCTTCATCAAGTGGGTGGTGACTGTAGTATTCAAGCAAAAACGTTTGGAGTGAGCGGTCGAGTGCGTGTAACAGGGAGGTTTGCGAGGGTGAACGTACAACCGGAGATCTTGTTCCTCAGCCTCTTGGAGGGGACCATGGCGACCTCATCGAGGATTCGCTTGTTAGTGCTATATGCGCGGTGAAACTGTCAATCTACTACTGACTCCGCTGACGAGTCGAGTTGCATCGGACTCACTGGAAGTCCAAAGTCAACCTGGGGTAGTACTTCTCAATCAAAGCCCTGGAAGCCTTCTTGACGGTCTTAGTCCTGACACGACCCTGATTGAGACGAGCGGAGAGGCGAGATGATCAGTTGCAATTCAGCGGAACAAGGCCGAGGAGGAAGGGCGAAGCGATGAGAAGGGGGAGATTCGTCGACGAAGGACAGGACCAAGGGAGTCGAGAGAGGAGATGTGTGCGTGCATGCGCAAAGATGGGTGTCGGGCGTTTCGAGATCGGATGGTCCAGGTTCAGAGGTTCGTAGGTACGTGATTCGAAGAGGTTCGTGCAGTTGATGGATGAACGAGTTGACCGGGGGTCAGCCAGCTACCAAGCTGGTCAGGAATATGAGACCTATTGAGCTTCGTGCCGAGTGCGTAGGTTATGGCCAAGGCGTGCCATGTGTCGGTGTTCCAAGTTTGAGATCCCGCAAACCTTGCCGTTTGCCTATCGAAATGTATTGGCGCCGGAAACGAGACCAACGGTTCGCTTGTAGAATCGGTCTGGTCTATGGCCATCAAACGTTGTTGAAATGTCGAAATGTTGAACAGCTATCATAGTTCTGCTGAGCTGCCTGGCTGAATTGTATGCTTGATCATGTCGACTACGGCTTGCAACTTGATCGGCAGTTGCTTTCAAGCTATGTTGAATGTCGTGTGATTTCCGGCAGAATTAATCTCTGATATGTTTGTGCTGATAGTCCTTGCTTTCAGATGCTATCTCTGTCGTCCAAGTTGATCCTCTCCGAACCTCTTGCTGAACCATGCCGAACTGAACCATCTCGACCGACCGAATCCCCCGTCCCGCAACCCAATTCGCACACATCCCACTGCAACCTCGACTCCTCTCGTCATCTCCCATCCGACCGATCTCCATCTCCCCCCTCTTCTGCTATCCGGCCCTCCAGTCCTTCCTCCCGCGATCCTGCCGTCCGGATCGGCTCACCATTTTGCAAAGATGTCTATCTCTTTCTTTTTCTTGAGGGTTGGGTTGGGGGGTGGGTGACGAGTGAACAACAACAACGGGGAGGTCGAGATGTCTGGGCGAAGCGATGCAAATTCGAGTCGAGCAGGTGCTGTTCAGGTCACTCCTGGCTGTGAGGCTCGGACTGAACCCTGGCTGGCGGCTACCTGCTGCTGCTGCTGGCTGGGCTGGGCTGAGAGGGCGTGAGACGAGCGGAGACCGAGGGCTGTGGGCGAGGCTGCAGGCAAGGGGCTCTTGCGCGCCGATGGAAGGTTCAAAACCGGTCTGGCCCCCAAGTAGAAGCGCAACAGATAACCCCTCAAGCGCGTCACTTTCTTCCGCGAGGGGAGGAGAGAGGGTGGAGGTGGGGCGCGTCGGCGGTATCCCCGACGATGGCACGGGATTGCAGCACGCAAACGATGACAGGACGAGTCCTCTCGAACCTGCCTTGGAGCAAGATAGAAGATCTAGGGACGACTGTCAAGTTTCACCTTGCAATTGCAAATTCGTGCAATCTCGCCATCGCTTCCGGCTTCGAGATTCTCCTACATGAGACAAACTTGGACATGAGATGCATCGATACATCATGCGAACGAAACGCCGGCCCAACCTATGATTACAGAATGGCCCAGATGTATGAGTACCGTGATATTGGTAGCGTCGACGTCCCAGCATTCCAATCCAATCTGCATGTCGACATCCTGGCACACCAAACCCAACCTGACGACTTTGCTTCCGTGATCCCGGGGGCTTTGTTTACTTTGTGGCATTTTCAGCAATCAATCGTATCGTTATTCCACGTCACAGCTGTAACAGACTATGACTGGCGTCAAGCGTTATCAGCCATCGAGTAACTTGTCACTTTCTGAAACTTGTGGATCTGAACCGAAATACTGCCTTTTGGCGTCTTCACTTGATCTACCGACATGACTAGCTAGTTCCATTCTAGTGTAACACAAACCTAGACGTCAGCTGAAACATAATGCAATCCACCACCTCGCTTTTCCGGACGTCACTCCGACGGACAGCTCTCCCGCTCGTCCGAGCTCGACCTTATTCGGTCGGGACCGGATCGACCGACGCTCAAGCTCAAGCTTCTTCTTCGGGTTCGCCTTCCCCTGAAGCCTCATCTTCGGCTCAGCAAGCTACCGGCGACGCTTCTGCCTCGTCTTCCTCCACCTCTTCTTCCGGTCCCAAATCCGAGCCTTCTACCAGCTCAACAACTTCAACCTCAACCTCAACCCAAACCCGAACCAGATCTCAGAACCGCACGCCAAAGATCCCCTCGACCTCGTCTACCGCAGAATACGTCAGGGAGAACGGGATCCCAGGATTCTTGCCCCGTGAGAGTTTCGAAAATGTAGAGAAGTGGGTGGGGGGACATTGGGAGAGGTTGGAGGCGGAGATGCAATGTGAGTCTTCAAGGTGGTAGCCAATGGCGAGGGATCGGACTGACGGGCCTGATCGCACTTTCCGCTGTGGTTGCTGTTGCCCTTATCAACAACCCCATGACAACCACGACAACGATATCGTGAAATCAACTCGACAGCCAACGAGACCTTGCGTAATCTCCTGGCCAGTAAATCGAGTCGAGGATCCCGGTCGTCCACGGTGGACATTGTCACCCTGTTGAGCGAGACGGCAAGGGATCCGTCGTGTTCGGTCGCGTTCAACAGCGCGAGCTTGATTCTGAACACTAGTTTCTTCTTGGAAAAGCTGGTAGGTACCCGTTACATGCGATTTGGAATTGGGTCGCATCGAGACTGATCTGACTTGAATCGACACGATCAGACGAGGACTGGGGATGTTCAGAGGGTTGCGCAGGGGAGTAACATTCCGGCTCAGATGGAGCATTTGGAGGACCAGCTCGTCGGTCGAGCAAGAGGTATGGTCGGGGGTGGTTTCCTCTGGGTGAGTCTCACTGCGAGGCGTTACTTCGCCAGAACCATCTTCGTCAAAATCGATGGACGGCTCGTTGACCTTGGAACGATGCGCTACAGCTTGTGAAGATGAAGTCCGCATCAGGCAGCAAGAGCTTCCGATACCAGATCATGCCCACTCACGCTGCGGGAACCTTGCTGGTCCGAAATCGAATGATGCTCGGTCGAAACGCCCAGACCGATCTCTTCCGCTCGGCCGGTGCTTCGGATGAGTCACCTGACAACCACATCTCTGGGTATTCGGAACCCGCCTCGTCGGGTGTCACCAGCAACATCGACCTGGCCCACCTCACCGTCACGCCGTTGGCCTGTGTCAGCTTGTTCGAGCACGTCTACCTGCCCAAGTATGGTGTCAACGGAAAGGAGGATTACGTGAGGGATTGGATCAGGCATTTGGACTGGAGGTCAATCGAGAAGAACTCGAACTAGACTGCCACATAGTCTAAGGACAAGGAGATGATGGTTTTCGTGCATATATCCCAATTCATACCGACAAGTATCTTATCATAGCTACTTCGGAGGGCTGTCGAGCGTTGGCGCTGAAATGAATAGAGCAAACGTCCAGCGTAAACAGCCGCAATGAGTATGCCACTCGAGGTTTTTGTCCTGTGACTTGCGCCTCACTTCGTATTTGAAGTATCACGGGTGCCGAATCTCGGGACGAGTATTGGCCCGTACCATATACACAATTGGTTAACCTGCCAGCGAGCTCAGGTCCGGATTGCGCCTCCTGACAAGCGCGGGATCGTCAATCGTGCGCTACCTTGATCCGATCTCAATAACCTCCTCGCCCAGTATACTGTATGACCCTGATGCATGGCCAGAGTACTGTCTGCTACACCTTCGTCTTCGGACTGTGACGTTCATGACATTCCAAGCTGTACCACAAGGCAAATGACTAGTCTTATGTCGGTGACTAGCATAAAAGATACGACCCCGCTCGAATCCAATCTGCAAGATTTCGAACCCTAGCGTCGCCCAGGCGCAGGGGATCTGGACCAATGACAGGCTCAGACATTCATCTTGGTTGTATGTTGCGGTAGTACCGTACAGACGGACCGACGGAGGGAATACCGTGAAGAACCCGTCAGAGCATGCTACGAAACTCTTTCAGTACGATCTTGTTATTCGGTCTCTTCACACAAATCGTAGACATCATGGAGATCGAGGTTTAGGTACCACAGAAATCAGTGATTCCTGATGCAAGGTCCAGGTCGAGTGAGACTGGCGCGGATGAGTGACTTCACAGAATGTCACGACGGACCTGATCTGCGTGGATATGTCGAGTAAATGTTCCGGCCAGGTGTAGGACACACGTTTCCGCGATACCTCCAGTCAAGCCGCAAACTGAACAGCTCGTCGGCGGTGTATCGCAGGAGACAATTAGCGGATTTCTTCCCGTCATTTCCAGCCGGGGCGGTAACACATCAATCCCGCTGTGATTTTATTCTGACAATAGAAACACTCATATGAGTCGGGCAGCATCTGAATGGGTTGTGACTATTTCTCCCACTACAAAGATATCGCTACAAAACGGCAATTACCTCAAGGTGAAACAGGATAAAACGCGGACATCGTGACGAATGAATGCTTTGAAAAATGTGTTCATGTCCGTCGCGAGATTCGAATGTACCAGCGATCAACCTCGACGTCAAGATGTTGTCAATCAGACTGCAGCTCACCTATGTACTATGTTCAACAATTTAACGTCGAGTCATATCGAATCCACCCAAAAGGAAAGCATAGCTCATCGTCAAGATGAACGGTATGCCTTCGATGGTGCGTAATGCGCAACAGTTGACAATTCTGGATCTGCCGAATGGACTGGACTGATCATTCTCGTTCGCAACCTCTTAGCAACCCACGGTTGTCCTCTTGCGAGGTTGGTTCTGAGATGACTCGATCATGGAGATGCCGGAGCTGATAAGCCCCACTTCTCTCTTACCGTTTCTTTCGCGCAGAGGGCACCGACACTTCTCAGGGAACTGCCCAGTTGCTCAGCAACATCTCGGCATGTCTCGCTGTGGCTCAGACGATCGCTACCACTCTCGGACCCAGGGGAATGGACAAGTTGATTGTGAACGATAGGGGAGAGGCTACTATCTCTAGTCAGTCCGAACGGCAGTGGGATGTCCGCTCCTGATAACCAACCGCTAATCTCGCAATTGATTACCGCATACTTCGCCCCGTAGACGACGGTGCTACTCTGCTTCGATTGCTCGACATCGTTCACCCTGCCGCTAGGACCTTGGTCGATATCGCTCGTGCTCAGGATGCTGAGGTGGGAGACGGTACCACGTCGGTTACTCTCCTGGCTGCGGAGATCCTGAAGGAGATCAGGCCTTACGTGGAGGAGGGTGTCGGTGTTCACACTATCATCCAGGGATTGACCGAGGGACGGGCATTAGCCATCAAAAAGTTGGGGGAGATTGCTGTCACTATCGACAAGAGTGACCCTGCGTAAGTCAATCAGCTTGTACCCAGTGTCTATCGCTGATAGCTTATCGACCTTGACTCTGCGCAATGTCACAGCAAATTCCGAGATCTTCTTATGCAGTGTGCTGGTACTTCGATGTCGTCCAAACTCATCCACTCGCAGAAGCCCTTCTTCTCGAACATGGTTGTCGATGCCGTTATGTGTCTCGACCAGGAGGATTTGAACGAGGGATTGATCGGTGTCAAGAAGGTACCTGGAGGAGGAATGCAGGTGAGTGCAGGCGGCAGCAATGGCACTTTTAGTTTGGCTTTCTAACCCCGCGTCGACTGTATACCTACAGGATTCTCTCTTGATCCGAGGTGTCGCTTTCAAAAAGACGTTCTCCTACGCCGGGTTCGAGCAACAGCCCAAGAGCTTTGTCAACCCCAAGGTCTTGTGTCTGAACGTCGAGTTGGAGTTGAAGGCCGAGAAGGACAATGCCGAGGTCAGGGTGAATGAGGTTTCGGTGAGTCGCTCTAGCTAAAAACATCGCGTGATCGATAAGCCTAACTGTGAGGATCACCCCTCGGAATGCAGGAGTACCAAGCGATCGTCGACGCCGAGTGGCAGATCATCTACCGAAAACTCGATGCCATCGTCAAGACCGGTGCAAAAGTCGTGCTCTCGCGTCTCCCCATCGGCGACTTGGCTACTCAATACTTTGCCGACCGGGACATCTTCTGTGCTGGACGAGTAGCAAACGATGATTTGAAGCGAGTGGTCCAGGCTGTCGGAGGAGCCGTTCAATCGACGTGCTCGGACATCGAGGAGAAGCACTTGGGACGTTGTGGCAAGTTCGAGGAGAAGCAGGTCGGATCCGAGAGGTTCAATGTGTTCGAGGACTGCACCGCCGCCAAGACGTGTACGCTCTTGCTGCGCGGAGGAGCCGAGCAATTCATTGCCGAGGTCGAGCGATCGTTGCACGATTCGATCATGATCGTCAAGCGGGCGATCAAGAACAGCGAGATCGTCGCTGGAGGTGGAGCTGCCGAGATGGAGATCTCGCGATACCTTCGAGATCACTCGAGGACGATCATGGGCAAGCAACAGCTCATCATTGGCGCCATGGCCAAAGCGCTCGAGATTATCCCTCGACAGATCTGCGACAATGCCGGTTTCGACGCTACCGATTGCTTGAACAAGCTGAGGATGAGGCATGCTCAGGGAGACCTTTGGGCCGGTGTCGACGTAGAGAGCGAAAATGTCGCCGACAACATGGCAAAGTTCGTATGGGAACCCGCTCTCGTCAAGGTTAACGCGATCAGTAGTGCTGTCGAGGCTGCTTGTCTCATCTTGAGCGTGGACGAGACGGTTAGGAACCCGCAGAGCGAGCAGGTGAGTTACGGAACTGTCAAGGATTTTGTCCTAGACTATGAAGCTAACATGTACCGCTTGACCTTTCGACAGACCGACTTGGGCCCCCAGATGCCGCGAGGAGGAGCCGGACGAGCGATGAGGGGTCGCGGCCGAGGCAGGGGCCGATAGAGGCGTAGCTTGTAAATGAAGGCTTTCTCACCTGTGTTTTCCACATTTTAACGATCCATCATGCAACGAACAATTGCTCTCATCATGCCGATGGCAGACTAGCGAAAAACCAGCTGCGACGTACCTCAGGCCAACCGCAGCAGCCAAGGTTTCATGTCATCCACCCCGCGTATGCTGAACAAAGAGCATTGCCTAGGTGGCGCTTACTCTCAACAAATAGGTACTGCCCTTCAATTCGCATGCGCATGTGAAACACCAAGATAACCCACGTGAATTTACCATGACACATCGACCGGACCGCGATTGGCCAAATCATAATCGTGCAGTAAAAGACCCAATGATTCATTTCATACGAGTCGATCATCCCCGAAGAGGCAGGGACCAAGAGACGAGCCCTTGCCTCCTCGTTTGCGCCGCGAATACAACAACGACCTCTTCACAAAGAGACCGCCATCATCCTCCACAAACGCGCATCGTATCGTCCCCTCCATCCTCTCTTTCCCAAGACCCAATCCGATAAAAAACCCAACCAACAGAGATGTGTATGGTGAAATGTTGGTAAATGAGGCGTTTATCGGTTGCTCTTGGCTACACGCTCGAGCTCGTCCTTCTTCTTGATGGCGTACGAGTTGGAAGAACCCTTGGCGGCGTTGGCGAGCTCGTCGGCGAGACATTCCGAGATGGACTTGACGTTGTGGAAAGCGGATTCTCGGGTCTACGTGAGGGGCAAAGGTCGGATCCATGAGCTTGAGCGTCTTCCAGATTGCTCGGATAGCGGAATTCAGACTTACACCGATGGTCAAGAGGGCGATGGCCTGGTTGACCCTCCTGAGGGGAGAGACATCGACGGCCTGTCGCCTGACGGTTCCCTGGGAACCGATTCGGGTAGAGTCCTCTCGGGGACCGGTGTTGACGATGGCGTCAACCAAGACCTGCACGTATCACCCAAGTCAGCCAACTATGTTCCCGATCTCGTATCGTATGCCTTGACCCGAGGTCGCGCACCTGGATGGGGTTCTGGTCGGTCAACAAGTGGATGATCTCGAAAGCGTGGGCGACGATCCTGACGGCCAAGAGCTTCTTTCCGTTGTTCCTTCCGTTCATCATCAACGAGTTGACGAGACGCTCGACGATAGGCATACGGCCCTTGGCGAACTGCTTCTTGGCGTATCGGCCGGCGGTGTGGGCTAGAGGTCGGGGCGGTGATCAAACCGATCGATTGGGGGATCAGCCTCTCATCTACAGCAAGACGTATTTTCGATGGGATCCCGCCGAGTTGGGCAATGTATGACTTACGAACGTAGACGGCATGTTGAACGTTGATGTAGTCGACGAGGGAGATGTCCTTGACCTCGATACTATTGGGGGTCAAACGAGTAGGGGCAAGGGTTAGTTGACCGTTCCGGGCATATGGTGCGTTTCTGGTTGGAATGGCAAGGTTGGGCAAAGAGGGAGGGCAGACTTCAAGAGAGTTTGGGCGAGAGGCATGGGCAGAGAGCATGTCGGTGAGGCGGTGATCGAGCTGTCGAATATCGGAAGATTCGATCTTGCGGGGCCAGCGACGTTGAGATCCAACTTGATCGACCGCATCGGACGTGATGTTTCTGAGTTGTTGATCTGTTCCATCTCTCGTCCAGAATCCCCTCTTCTAGTTGTTAATCCGACAACCATCTTTCTTGCTTCACCGTGTCGTGTTCCTTCAAGGATATTAATCCGTCTCGTGTTCCTGTCCTCTCTCTTGCCCAAACCCTCGACTCCCGCCCAGAGCCATCCTGAATCCTCCTCTCCATGCCCCGACCTCTGTCCCTCCCACGATCTCGCCCCCGACACTCACTCGTTGGTGTTCCAACGTCCAAAGAGCTTGACGGTACCCTCCTGGGCGACCTTGTTAACATCCGAAGGCAGAGTAGCGGTAGCCATTTTTGTTGTTCCTTTTCCTGTTTGATGGATTAACGAGGGAGAAGGAGCCGAAGTACGGGAACGATCTAGGTCGAGAGAAGAAGTGGTTTGTCGAACGGAGAGCGAGGTCCGGGGCCAAGGGTGAGGGGGTTGCGGGTGAGGTTGGATTGACCGGGAGATCGATATCGTCGCTGTCGTCGTCGCCGGCACACGCTCACAGCACTGAGCCTGAGCGCCCCCGCCCGCAGAGAGCGAGAGCTCACACTGAACCGAGAGAGCAGGGAGATCGAGCGAGAGAGAGTCCCCTGGATACACGTCGCCCCATCTCTCCGCCTACACCCGCCCTCGCTCGATACTGTCAGCGCGCGCGAGAGCCAGATTGAATCGCTCGACCCGTCTAGAAGCGCAACTGCGCTTAGCACACATCTTCCTATCCTCCCCGCCTTTTCCCGCGCGACCCTCGTCGGCCAAAGTCCGAAAGACGCAAAGGACGAGTGAGCTAGTGATGACGCGTACAAACAACCAGAAGGACACCTCGGGCAATGAACCCGATCCCCGAGGTCGCACTTCGCCGCCTGCAGGTTGTGACCGTCTCGCATCTCGCCAATCGCAAATCGTTCGTCAGTCTATACAGCGGTCCTGCTCATCATCATGCCAGATCTCTGATCATTTCCATCACAGAGTCACTATCTACTCGATTCTCCACTGAAAGCGATGACCACTTCCTGTCTCTCACCCTCTTGCTCTCCCTGTTATCCGACGTCCAGCGATCGTACGTCGTTGTTGTCGAAATTGAATATGCTTCCGATCAGAAAGGTCAGCGTGGGTCTTGCTTCCGATCACAAAATAAACAAAGGGGGTGAGGATGGCCATCATCATGGACATCAGCTTATCAGCAATTCATGCTCGACATGCGACCGGGTTTGATGTCTCGGTACACGACAGCTAGGTTGGCAGCCTGTTCTGATGGCCATGACGACTTGATGACAATGAATCTTGTTTGTGTATCAAAGTGGCTACAAAGTTTGGGGGGCGTCTAGATGCGTGAAGGTGGTCGTGAATGGTCGTTGCGCGCCTGGGTCTGCTACAGTACTACAGTGCTTGTGCATGGTCCTCGTCGAGGTTCTGATTGGCACCGTTGTCGTTTGAGATTCGCGTCCAGCGATCGGGCACGGCTGGGAAATACTTTTCCATCGCGGTCCTGTATCGGACCTTGTCTGTGAGTCGTGATATTGAATTAGCTCCGGTCGTCTCTCGAGATAGATTCCGTACGTACATTGTTTAGGGGTCACGATCGTAGGCTCGCCTCGTCCGCCGCCACCGAGATCTTTTACCCATGATTCAAGCTTCTTGTCCCTGCCGGTCAGTCAAAGTCAGCACAATCGTATTGCCCATCGATGAGAGCCGGTATGAACCAACCATGTGAACGTCCTGATGTAGTCGACCACTCCCACTACGAGCTCCTTTCTTTCTATATCGACTCCCACGACCAACGAGTAATCCATGACGTTCAGCCCGGACAAGAATAGGGCTTGTAACGTGACCGAGTTTAGCCTAGGTCGACGCGATCGAGGATGTTGCATCTGCGCTTACTATCGTTCCACAGCGCGGTGCGCAAGATCTGTTTGCAATGATCTCGCATGTACAATGGTTGGCGATTGATCACTGGAGGCAGAGGGTAAGTGAGAATTGCTAGGGGGACTGTCCTAAACTGCCAACTCACCCTCCATAAGGTTTTCGTCCAAGCTGCAGGTTCGATATCTCAGCTCTCAAGTCCCTCATTGGTATGATGCGCTGTCTGCTTACAGTACTTGATTTTCCTTGCCAGTGGCTTGTACCAGCCGGTTTCGCACGCTACCCTTCAGGTCGTAAATCTTTGATACGTGCATCGATCACAGGTTGGTCAGCTTTAACATGCGCACGTCCGCAAGACTATGCGGGACCTACTCGATCGAAACGGCGCTCATAGAAGAGGTTCTCCATGATGACCACGTTCATGCGCATAGCTTTTCCCGTGGTGGTATTGTTGTATCCGATCTTGAAACAGCCATAGATCTTAGCCAGCGCCGTTGGCCGCTAGAGGAAGACAATAATGATCAAGTCTGTACGATTACCGCTCCCTTTCCGCCTGACGACCTACTTTGTGCTGGATGCTCTGCTTCATGTATTCGAAGTACGAAGGTGCGAACTTGGTCAATGCGTCCAACTCTAGTCTCGACACTTCCTTGGCGATGAAGCGGTCGTCTGATCGATAACCGAACTATCAGCCTTGACAGTGTTTGGTACCGTTCCTGCATTCGTTACGCACCTCTGGTTTTCAAGAATGCCGACCCAGACTTCCCTCCCGAGCTGTCAAACTTGATGCACCGGGCCAAAGAATCGATAAAGCGATCTTCGCAGCCACAACTTGATCGCAGCGCTGCGAAACGCTCAGCATAGAAGATACGGCATGAGATGGTAGAGCTACCGCTTTCAATGTCTGATAATGCGAATCCAAGATGAATGTGAGAACAGGTCTCTGCTCAATGCTCAATCAATACGACTACTGACCGTAGTTTATGTGGGTCCCGCCCTCTCTCTTGGAAGCGTCATCTGGATCCTGCACATCTTCGGGTGCAGCGCCAGATGAATACACAGAAGCAGCGTCATCGACCGAGCCGCCGGTAGTCGATGTTTCGGTTGTCCCGTCAGTCCGCCTAGTATCCCTTCTGTGATGTCCTACGCTGCGCAACCTGTCTCGATATGTCTTGGAAGCCAGAGTAAACGCGATGATCGACGTGGGCTCGTCTTCGCGAACAATAATTGTAGAGTCGGTAAAGACGTGTTCCGACGCGGACCTGACGAATATTGCAAAGCGTCAGTTTCTCAAGGCGCCTTCGGAGTGGTACAAAACCCATCAATACTAACAGAGGGTACTCTAATAGGGTCACATCGCCAGATCGATAAGCCCACAGATTAGAGAGCGTTTTGAGGATGGAATGCCTTTCCTGTCCAACTGAAACCTGTGCTTCGCTCTCAGATGCGTGCGATGCTGCATGGTGGGTATCAATTTGACCTGTGAGTAGCGGTGTCGGTGGGACACTGAGGAGTGGAGTAGAGGTATCGAAGGGAGGAAGGGTAATTTGTAGACGATCTTTGAACGAGACGTCGGTAGGAGCCTCTGAAGGGGTCACAGAAGAAGGTTCGAACAAGGGAGTAGAGGCTCCCGGTACCAAGCGGTCTGCATTCGGTGTGGCGATGGGCGGATGCGCTTCAGTCTTGTCTAGCGGACTGGTCTCAGTCTCCAGCGCAGGTAGAGATCCAGCAACTGCCGGTTTCAGCGCCAGCTTAGTCGGCTTGTTGATCTCCTTGTCGGAAAAGTCGTTCTCGGCTTCGTTATCTTCTTCGTCATCAGCTTCACTTGACGCCGAGTCGGTTTCGTCGTCTCGGAATGCGTCGCGAGCATTACTGAAGACGTGAATCTTAGCTCGGGTGACGCCGACAGGCCGAGCTCGTCTACCTCGAGCTTGATTCATCCTTCGAACGTGGTCACGCTCTGCCTCTTTCGAAAGGCGGTCGAAGTGACGAGCGATCGTGCTGACCCGATTACCACCATGACCGCCCCCACGCCGAGATGGAGCTCTGAGGCCGGGCGTACCTGGCCTCGGAATATCGCCTAAGGTATCCTGTTTGACGGCATGACGAACCGGGGCTTTGCCTTTCCCAACTTTACCGATCTCCGCCCTCTGCCGTTTGGTACGGTCTCTCTCGAGCGAGAGCTCAGTATTATTGCGACGAAGACGAGGTGAATGACTCCGTCGAAGAGGCACAGCTAGACTTGAATCAGGCCCTTCCTCGACGATCCCAGGCTCCTCCTCTTTTATTTCATGTCCAACCGAAAGATATCGATTCAAGGTGGGACGCCGCGTCGCAGACAGTGTGGGTATCCTCGAAGCGTTCAGAGCATAGCTTCCACCTCCATCGGACATCCCACTTGATTTAGTTACTCGGTTTCTTGAATGGTATCCTTCCGTTTTGCCTCTTTTCAGCCGAGGCCGTGTCTGCCGGTCCTGATCGCTATCGGATTCGCGTGCATCCTTGTCCAGCATGCTGACTGAAGGGGGAAGGCGGTATCCGAGCGATTCAATTGTTCTTTCCAGTTGCGTTGAATCCTGAAAACGCCGCACCAAGTCTGCCACCGTCGGAGCGGGGCGAGTGCGTCGGGGCAGCCTGGAGGCAAACACGACGGCGTCAGACTCCAAACCACTAGTGCTCGAGTCTGCTTGGCGAAATGCAGTCAAGGGACGGGTTTCAAGTATACCACGAGGCAGCGCCGAGATGGTCGATTCGCTATCATAGTCCCTTTCAGTAGGCGCATCTGCATCGACCGGGATCAAGTCATGGCAAGACGGCCGTTCGGCAAGAGGAGTCGCCAACGGGTCGTCGAAACTGTCCAGTACTAATGCGGGAACTTCGGCATCCGGACTCGAGCCACCTTTTTCTGCAGTGCTCGAGTCGATAGGCTCTTGTTTGTCACTAGCTTTGATTTCTTCTTCTTTGTTGGAAGGGTCCTCGGCCAGGTCCGTAACAGTTTGCCCACTGACCGTTCTGTCAGCACTGGGAAAGAAGTCTTGACCCGCAAACAGCCTTTTCAGATGTGCGGCTGTCATATGCCGAATGTCTTTTTCCGAAGGCAGGTACTTTTTGTCTAGATCCTGGAAATCCGTGTCCCATTGTACAACCCTCTCCTGCAGAGCCAAGTAGACGGAATTTAAGGCCAAAACGTCTGTCGCAGATGACAACTTGTAGGTCCGGTCGAGGCTGTCCTGCATGGAGTGGCGATCGGACATAGCGCGCTCCGACATTTTGGCGAGATCCTGCCTCAGATCCTCAACCTTCTCCGGTTTGACAAGCTGACAATCAAATGTTCTCAAGCGGAGCGAGACCGAGTCGAAGAAGCTCGCCGACTTCGTGCTGATCGTGGTGTACTCTTGGTTTTTGATTAGCACGCGACTCTCTTGGCGGACTTGCAAAGTCAAAGATGGTCTTTGTACTTCATAGATATCGATTTCTTCGTTATGAATCCGAATGGCCAGGTTTCGTAACGCAAAGTATCGAATTTGATCGCGGTATGCGTCATGTGGACAAGCGAACCCACCGCGCGTGGTTGGAGGGTAGAACGCGTGCTCAAGGTATTTTGACCAAGACATGTTCCATGTTTCCTCCTTGATCAAGGCCGTCGGAGAGGCTTCTTTGCATAGCTTGCAGTAGCTCCATGTGATAATCTTGTTCTCGTTTCCAGAAGATGGGCATGGGAACTGATCGATCGCGATTTGTAAACGCGTCGAGCCGTGTACGAGGACTTGAAAATGATGGAGCTGCAAACGAGAGCATTGTTTGTTGGGACAGGCTTGTGTCGCTTCTGTGCAGAGAGTCTCGAGGTATTGCCCGATTGTACGATCGTCTTGCATGTAAAAGTTCCGAGTGAGCATTTGCGGACCTACGCATGGCTTGTCGGAGCCTTCGCAGACCAAAGACGAGAGATAATTGATCCCCTGGTAAAGCTCCGGTCGAAGATCTGGAGGATGCCGACTGACATACCAGCTCCATAGCTTTAACTGTTCGCTGTGTTCGAATTCTGTCTGGGCGATATCGCTCTCGAGCCTAATCTCCTCGATTGCCAACATCACCGTGGCCTTGTGGCTCAGGGCAGTCTCGTCCGTCAGATTGGAAGCTTTGACTGTATCATTGCTATGGAAGGACTCTTGCGACTCGAGCGAAAGCTCTTGACCGTGTTTCCCATCATTCCCACGAGGGGTAGTGGCGCCGAGCCCTTCCTCGAGCAGTATTTGTTCAGCCTCGGCTTCATCTCGGGCCAGCCTGAGTTGTCTTAGTCGGAGATCAAGCTGGCTCATTCTCGCGATGGGAGCTGGAGGTGGATAAGCGATCGCGGCAGAGCTAGATAAGGCAGTATCCAAATACGGTCTCAGACTCTTCTCAATCTCGTCGCTTTGACGATCGGCTTGCTCTTGCTCTTCAGCTCGATCTTTCCGTGTCGAGGTTGTGCTGGCACGGCCCAAAGAGCCGAACGCAGAAGTTCCAGCAAGCGAAGGATGCCGGATGAATTTGGAAGCCTGGTTTCGTCGCTCCATCATGCTAGCTGGAGGCATGATGTTGAAGTCGTCGTAAAACAAGCAGACCTCCATACTCAGGTTGTTCATGACCAGGACCATAAAGTCGGTGATCCGTTTGATGACCTGTAATTGGTACACATCGCCACCCCGTAAGATGAGAGTGCAACCGAAGGCTGCGTGACATCCTTCGAAACGCATGAACGTTTTCCTAAAGCCCGGTATTAGTCGGTGTTCAAAAGTTTGAACTTTGAACTCCACGCAGCGGCCTAATCGCGGCTCCATAGCCAGACGGTCCATCGATCCGATGATATCCGCTTGAGTACACCGGGCGACCTGCTGAAGTGCAGAGGGTTTGACACCGCGTGCAACCGAGACTTTTGCGTTCATCAGGAAATCTAGCGCCAAACGCGAAACGTTTCGCTCAACCAGAACGATGTGAGGCCTTAAATCAGTGATCCGCCGAGTGAGGTGCTGGAGGTAGTTCCGTTCCTGCGCGAGCAGAGGCTCTAGCGAGACCAGCTGACTTTCGACCCGGTGGTAATCGATTGGAAAGGTCAGAAGCATGATTCGTGGGTTGAGCATGTGACGTGGCATCTGCTTGTGCTCCAAATTCTTGGTAATGACGGTACCATCCACATATTCGGACTGAGTGATCTTGCCGCCGGGGATTTTCTTGATCTTGACATACGTCCTCACGTCCATGGAATCCCCTGCATTGACCGACGACTTGATAGTCGAGGCGGTCTGCAACAGCAAACGAGTTAGGACGTTCTCCCAGTCGTCTATTTTTGTGATATTTTCCCGTTTCAAGGTCTGTCTGAGCATCAGGCGGAAGTAGGCAAGGGAGGCTGGAGGCAGAACGTCGTTATCTCCCCCCGCAGTTTCATTGTTACTGTTCCACATGTCGTTCGAGCCCAAATTATCGGAGAGTAACACGCCAGATAGACCCGAGGTCGAGACGCGACTAGAAAGTCTAGACCGCAGAGCACCCGGAGGTTTTGCGAGAGGAAATTCTGTCCTTGTGGTTTGCGGGGACAGAAGATGCGCAGGAAGGTCCAGACTCTTCTCGTCCGTAGGCGAATTCGATAGATTACTGGTAGGAAAGGCTATCAAAGGCTGCATCGTCCTTTCTGCTTCCGTGTGTGACGGGTCCATGCGCGGTGACCTTACTGCACTGCGGGTCACAGCTTCGTCAGGTGCCAACAGAGGGTCCGCGCCATTTGCCTTGGTTACGGAAGATCCGCTTCGATGCTCTTCAGTATGATCAATCTCAAGTTCGTGAGACTTGGGTGTCCCGTGATCGTCCGTTCCGGTGTCCTCTTCATTGATAGTGCGCCGGAATGGCGCGGACTCACCAGGAGCACGACTGGTATTTCTGGGTCTCACATGCAACAAAGGATGCTTCGTTCGGGCTTGAAGTAGAGAGTCTGATCGTCCACGCTCGTATAATGGTGTGCCTGGAGGTGATACCTCACCATCCGAGCGATCGTCAAGCGCGGAATTCCCACTCGTTCGCCTATAGCCATTTTCGCGAATAGCTCCTAGAGTATCCCCATGACTGACATGCCTGAAGAGTTGTGACGCGGCAAATGGTGATTGACTGTACCCAAAGGGCTGGTTGCTGTTCGGGGGTCTACCGTCTTCCCCTATATGGAACACCGGTCCAGCCGACAGGGGCATATGCGAAGTTCCGTTGGAAGTCACCGATCGGCGATCCTCTTCGTCGTCACATTCGTTCATCAACTCCAGGCACAGATTGCACACTCGAACAGTGCCCTCGACACCAAATCGATACCCTGTCAGAGGTAATGAAGGACCTCAGTATGGCAGATCGAGCATCCCGAAATCGCGTAGTGAAATACCTTTGATGATATTCGGAGCGCAGCGCGAACAGAAAATCTGACCGCATATCCGACAATGATGTTTCCTTCTCCAAGCCGAGAATACCTTCCGATGGCAGCTGCTGTCAGCTCAAGAAGCCATGTTCCAGAAACTATTGACACCCACTGATTTGCAATCGTAACACTCCTTGCACGTCTCGTCCGCCATCCAGTATGTTTTGCTGCATGCAAGCAGATATAAGCTTGACGGCAACGAGTTTTATTCTGTGAGGAAACCTACCTGAGCCCCTCCCCCCTGAGCCGCCTGATAATCTTGGCAACGCTCACTTGACCTTCTTTATTCTCTCTATTACGTCTCCCTTTCCCGTTCGCGCCCAACGACGAATTCATAGTATAGCCAACAGCAGTATCGATTGTATGGATACTCCGGGAATCATCCGCGATGGCGAAACCCGGTACTTGTGTATAGTCGAAGGGGATACCATCGCTCTGATACGACGACGCGAGGTTGGCAGAGCTAGGCGAGAATTGGAGTAGCGAGCCCGATATGGAAGGCTTGCGGAAACGGGTGAAAGACGAGGCTGAACCTGTATGCCGATGCCTAGGGACGAATGATCGGGAGTCTGACCTATCCCTAGTGCGTGTAGGCGTCGATGCACCATTTGCGGTCGTTGACAGATTATCGCTTGATCCAGTAGCATTCTGATGCAGATAGTGTGCGAAATCCTGCGTACGGATAACCGGAGTAGTAGATATGAGGGGAGGTGCAGGCCCGGGTGCAGGACGACTAGATAGGGACCGAGGCAAGGCAGGTGGTCGGACTATAGACTTGATCGAGGTTGGCTTGCTAGACTCTCCAGAAGGCAGGCGTAATGATGGCGGTCTATGTAACGAGTCACCCGCCTCCGAGATTGATTCTGGACGGCCGAAGGAGAACGATTGGAGATCTTGGTTAGAAGGCCTCGAGCCTCGAGCTTTCTGACTCCCTAACAGCGAAGCTGGACGTCGATCGAACCCATCCCTTTCTTCCGAGATCACAGCCTGTTCATGTCCATGCGATTGAGCGCTCGTTGAACCTGAGCTGCCCCCTGGAGTCGGAGGAGCAAACCGCGATCGAACTTTGCTGAACAAAGAAGATATAACCTGATTGACCTGGTTCTTCTCCTCCTCTTCGGGAAACGCAACAGGAAAGGTGGTCAACCGGTGTGGCGAAGCGTCGACGCCTTGCATGGCGGTCCGGTCAAACGACTATGTCATCAAGGATAGCTGGTTCCACCGCGAGAGTTGCGCATCAGCGACAAAAGAGGGACAGCTATGGCCTGCAGTCTGTACTATGTCTCCAGCTGGTATATATTCGTGCAGATAGTGTAGATGCTAGAGGTATGCCTGTTGCCTGTTGACAACGAGACGTCACTGAAAGCTGAGTGATCTGCTCATCTGCTGCTGCTGCTGCTGCTGCTACTAGCGGTTCGGTCACCGAACGGAACCGGATTGCTTCCGGATGACGAAACCTTCCGGCCTGTGATTCTCCAATGGGCCGTTCATATGGGCTTGAATACTTATTACCTGACATTACAGCATGAATAGCAGGTGTTGCCCTCGTATATACAACCAAGAATGTCTGTCGTACATCGGAGTTGCCGAGATTGAGCGAATATGCGAAGCCGAAAGGATACAAGTAATGGGTATAGGGGTATATGTCGTGGGTTGTTGCAGACGCAATTCGTCAGTGTTCGAAATTCGGGGGCCCTGTCCGTTCAGCTTGCTTGGCCACGACCCGAATCCTCTCCATAATTCGGAAGAGGCTCAAGACCATGTTGGCAACGTAGCTGACCGTAGTGAGGAGGACGAAAGCGACCAGCACAGCTTGACGCTTGCAGACGTCGTCCGTGTCTCGCGAAGTCGTCACGCTGGTAGGGAGTTCGAATTGAGGTATACTTGACCACCAAGGTGAAGATGAAGTGCACAGGAGGGGTGTGGACATGTAGTCTGAGATGGTGAGAGACAAATCAGATGACCTGAGTTGAAGGAGATGGTCGAGTTAGCGTGGCCCCCGAGGTTTTGTATTCTCGTAGCTCAGCTCACCAGAGGGCAATGAAGAACAGATCACCGCAGACCCAGACGATTTTGCTTCTCAGTCCCCACAGTCCGATAGGACGACCAAAAGACTCGCGCCACAACGCTACGATCTGGTGCACGATTGTGATCGAAGCATAACCGATAGTCAAAAGAGGAGACGAGCCGACGATGCCCGCGGTACCGATCCTCTGTTCGAAGCGATAGTTGAGGATGGAGAGGACTGCGAATAGCTCAATACTTGTCAGGAATAGAGCGAAAGTATGCGTAAGCCAAGACGGCAACCCTCGTCTCACCCAAAGCGATGATGACGCATGCACTGCCGAACAGACGCATATAGAGTGCACTCCTCGCGTCGAAGATCAAGAACTTTCTCGCTCTCTGCCTCAACGTGCCTCCGGAACCTTCTTCGATCAACTTTCGTCTCAAAGCGCTCCATCCGGTAGCCTGCGCCGCCTTGCCCTTCATCTTCTTCCGGCGGTTGTGCCACTTGCCATCTTTTTCCCGGTAACGATAATCGTCTCGCTCTCGGCTATTGACGAGCGTATCCCCAGAAAAGGTAGGTTCGTTATCGTCAGGTCCATGTCCTCGGAAGCCATAATCGGCGGACTGGTAGGGCTGGCTCCAGGGACTAGGAGGTGGGTGAGCAGCACCCGCGGTACTGCCTTTCTGAGCGGTGCGGGATGCTTGAGCAGGGCTACCGTGATAATCGCTGTACGGCCTATCCCAAGCGTCCGGGGTTGGGGGAGAAAGAGCTTGGAAAGGCGGTCGGTAACCGAATCCAGGAGGTCCCGCGGCAAATATCGGCGGAGGAATGGCTATGTTTAATGTCGGCCTTTCTGGTGTCCTGGGGACTGGCATCTCGGTATCGACAGGGGAAGCAGACGCGGCGACACCTTCGATGATCGGACCGTTCAGTGGGTTGGGCATGTCGTCGTGCAGTGATGTCGGGGTCGACTTGGACCTGTTCGGGGCTCTACTTGGGAGGAAAGAGTACTTTTTCCCGCTCGATAGGAGAGATCCCTTGATAGGGGGTCCTAGCGTGAACGCCCGATCATGTGTCTGCGTGCCGGGTCGCCCTATGTTGTCGGTCGAAGCTCTCCGGGAGCCAGGCAGAGAGAGCGTATTGAACCTCATCCGTTTCTCCTTGTTATTGACCCCCATCTCTAGCCTGCCAGGCGTCATCGTGCCGTCCATCTCGTAGGCATCCCCATCCTCTCCTGCGATCGTGCTCAACCTTCGCCTTGCTCGAACAGACTGCGCCTCTGTGTCCGCACTCGACCTCCTCCGTTTATTGGCAAAATAATCCTTGCCCAGATGCTCCGATTCGGCCCTCAACCGGTCGTTGGCCTGTACGGTCTCATGCCAAGCCGCTTGCAACCCGTGGAAAGCCTTGTACCGGCCAGGGATAGCAAACGTCCACCATGACGCTGGGACGTTGGGGTCGTCCGCCTCGAAAGATCCACCATATGGGCTCTGGGAACGTGATGGATCAAAGGAAGAGTTGCTTATTGTGGGTTCGAGGGATGTTATCGATAATCCTGGGTTGTGGCTAGGGCCCGTCGGCGATGTTGGTTGTAGCCGGGGAGAGGTTGGGGGTGAAGGAGGATCATGGCGTGCAAAGGCTAGCGATGATGGGCAGCCGTCATTAGCTTCGACATTATATAGACGACACTTTGGCAGCTGCCATCCAGTAAAGAAAACTCACGAGGTACCGTCGTCACTTTCTTCCGGCTGACCACCGTGGAACCCGATATCACCGACTCTGTCTGCCTATGACCGGAAGGGTTGGAGCCATGTGCGGACGAGACCGACTTCTTGCCTCGCTGATGCTGGCCGACCGAGCTTCCAGAGGAGAGTGAGAGCTTGTGTTTCGATTGATTAGACCCCGAACGATCTCTGGACATTGCTGACCCAACGACGAATGGCCGTCGGGGTGACAGGAGAGGAGTATCGCCTGTTCAATAGAGGTCGAGCGAAGGCTGTATGGTGACGGGCCTGACGTATCGACTCGGGCAACGCCTACCAGCTAGTAGTACCTGGTATAGCTGGACGACTAGATGGTTCGGTGAGGTGAGGTGAGCAAGTACCTGGGTGCAACTTTTCAGCACCTTGGAGGTAGAGCAAAGGTCGATTGCTTCCTTTGTCACACGGCGTTTGTCGTCAACAGACATCATCGATCTATCGCTCGCTAGGGTGCCGTCGGTCGCAATCCTCGGCTCCCGACGACCCCCACCTGTATCGCCGCACATCCCGTCGGGTTACCAATCTACGTGCTACCTTACAAACATCAACAGCCCTCGAGCTCTAATGACCCTGCCCCTCCTTGCCCAACGTATCAACCCGGTAACCCCTAGCGACCCCGACCCGACCATCAACCAGTTCGCTAGGCGCCAACGTCCCATTCGCATCGTATCCCTCGTACGCGTCCAGTCCCTTGAACGCTCGACCGGCCAGATGGACCGCTAAGAAGCATCGCAGGCAAGTCAGTGGATGTTCATCATGCCAATCAGGCCAATTCAATGTCGAGACTCACCTGCGACTCGTCCCGCCTCGCTCCGCTTGATCAACGCCCCTCCCTCTGGCCGTTTGATCAACGCGCCCTCGCCCGCAGGTGTTTCCTCGTCCGCCTTTTCCTCATCGTTCTTGCCACCGTATCTTCTGGTCATATGATAAGACCCATCGGCCAATGAAAAGATCGGTCGGTCGTCATCGACGTCTCCGCCCGAACCTTCTTCGGCGTTTTCTGCGAGGGCGCGATCACGTTTGATATCTATATCACAGAATGTGATGTTATATGAGCCAAGGTTCCAGACGTTCCGACCGAGCGGAGCTAGACTCGACTCACCTCGCAAGACGGACTCCAAATCCAACGTCCAATCCTCCGGTTTCCAACTCTCCATCTCCCCCTGAAGCGCCAACCTCAACTCGTGTGGCGTGACGATCGGCCTCCAATACTCTTTCCCATCGATCAACCCCCCTTCCTTGCACCCTACCAAGACCCATCCTCCGATAGCTTCAAAGTTGGCCAGCTTTTCAGGTCGAACACGTCCGACGCTAATGGTATAGCTCTTTCTGCCCTTTTCTCTGATGAGCTTGCGGAGATCTTTGACGAGCGAGTGGGACGAGCGGAGTCCGACGTTGTGGACGAGGATCCCGATTGTCGTCGTCTGGTACATCCGGTGTAGCGCGAGCAGACGTTTTTGCAAGAGTCGAGGCGTTCGAGTGTGCAGCGGGATGGCCGAACCAGAAGAAGGGTCGTATTGGTAGACCTGCACAATACGTGTCGGAGATTCTGTTAGCGAACTCTGTTCCGTGCATGCGCTATGATTCGGAGCTCTCACCTTGTTCCCGCTATTCTCCATCATCAGGTTGATGACTCCCCTAGACTCTTCCCCGATATAGAATATCGTACAATCCTTCATCCCCACCCCGTCTGGGAAATCAAACGATCTCAGGCTGGAGAACGATCCTTGTTCGTGCTCTTCGGGCTCCTCGGGATTGTCCGCTGTTCTCGCTTGAGCATCCAATTCCGGTTTCGAATGCGCCGTCACGTCAACCTGGATCCCACCCTGGTTGACAAGTCCCGGTTGCTGCACTTCTCCGTCCACCCCTGCCGTTGTCCCGGTACAATCGCAAGCCTTCTGCTTGCCCTTTCCATTGTCGTTATCCCTAGACTGTTTGTCCTGGCAACACGACCCCGACCTCGATCCGGCAGCCGATTCAGAACAACAGCCCGATTGAGCCTGAGTTGGGCGACGCGAAGATGACGATGAAGCGGTGGACGAGGGGTCAGAGTTGATGCGTGAGAAGATCACATTTTTTATCCCTTCTGGTCGGACGGGGCAGTTTGTCAGGGCTTCAACAATCTGGTCTATTGAACAAGAAGATGACGTTAACACTTTACAGACGAGAGAGGACAGCCACTTAACAGATAAGCAGGGCAGAAGTGTGGCTTACCTCGTAACCAGTCATAAGCGACGTCCCATAGTACAATGACATTCTCCCCGATCGCCTCTCCGTCTGCATCAGCTGTTATTGCGCTAAAAAGCTCTTGCGCGGCGGATTTTGCGTCTAGTTCGCGTTTGGGAAAGACGTAGAGGACTGGTAGTGCTTCGGTCCTGCATTGCATATAGCAGACAACGGTGAGTTTGTAAATCTCAAAGCGAGGGGAAAAGCGGGATTCACCTAGTCAAGCATGCATGTCCGTAATGAATCAATATATCCGCCGGTAGATGCAAGGAGGACAAGACGTCCGGACAGCAACTTCCATATGTGCTGTCCCCCAAGACGTAACATTGCCTCTCTACCACCTCGACTCCATCTGCCCGTCTCCGCCGCTCATCCTCCTTGAACCCCTTCATCAGCATCCGATAAACGAGCACGCTCTCATGCAACAGCTCATCGGGGAACTGCAGAGCTATGACCCGGTAGGCATCGTTGGCGAGGATATGGGAGAGGGTGGATTCGATCGAGTAGCGGGAAGAGAGGGAGAGTGCCGTGGTGGAGGTCGAGAGGGTTTGAGAAGGGTCGGTGTCCAGATCTTGGGCCTCAAAGGCGTGCTCGGCCGGGGTCGAAAAGTCGGGCATGTCGATATTACCGACTATGATGTCTAAGGCGACGTAGAAAGGAGATACGTCGAGGTTGATACAACGAAAGTTGCAAGATGCAAGAATTTCTAAGAGGTCGGCCCAACATTTCTCGAGGTCATGGCTGCTACTTGCGCGGAAGCAAATTATTTCAGAAATCCTTGAATCCCGAGCCTCTGAGCAAAGGTCATCTTGCACCTTTGAACATCTAGCTTCCAATCACCCGCAACTGCCCATCACTAACGCTACCCATATACAACAGCCAACTACTATGTCCACTCTGATCTCATCGGTAATCTGGGTACCACGAGGTCGGGCTTCGGCTCGACCCACCAACTACACCCTGGACGAAAACGAACTCGAACGGGTCGGCAAGATGGGTGGGGAAGGAGCTCTCGAAAAGCTCAAGGCTGAGATGGAGAGGATGGAACTCGGTGGTGGAGAGCACCAAGCGGCAGGGAGCGATGATGATGAGTGGGCCGAGTAAGTTTGTGATGTGATCTTTATGAAGACCGGGCCGGTCTGCTGGCGACGTGAGACGATGTAAAGTGTACTCATCTGACATGCATGTTTTCGCACATGTCTATTTGATGTCTGCAGTGAATCTGACTCGGGCGAATCCTCAACCTCATCAAAAGAAGGCAAAGAAGGTGCTGACGCTGATGCCGACATGGACGTCGAGGACGACGAGGACAAGCCTACGGGACCTTCTGACCCCAACGACCTGTCCGCTTACAACTTGGACAACTACGACGAGGAAGTCAGTCGAGGGACAGGTGAGCTAGGCGATACATGGGAACGAGGATGGTCAGTCATAGAAGATTGACCTGGACTGTTCTGGGGTTGTGATCAGCGATGGGAGCTTTCTCGAATCTCGGAGGATTGAAGGTGCATCAGGATATCAATGACGACCCTTATATCACGCTCAAGGAAGATGTGAGTGCCCGAAGCTTTCTCCTACCTCTATTGATTTACTCGTTGCTGATCACAATCCTTCATTCAACCTCGGCAGCCTGAAGAGCAAAACGTCGACCGCGAAGCCCTCGAAATCCTCCCTTCCGACTCTATCCTCATCACTGCCCGAACCTCTTCCGACCTCTCTTCCCTGGACTACCACGTCTACGACGAACCTAACGACAACCTCTACGTACACCATGATCTCATGCTCGGTGGCTGGCCTCTCTGCGTCGAATGGCTCGATTTTCCCGCACACGGCTCGACAGGAAAGGGAGCGTCCGAGGGTGAACCTTCCGGGTTCGGAAACTATATCGCTGTGGGTACGATGGACCCGACAATCGAAATCTGGGACATGGACATGTTGGACCCGATCTACCCTACTGCGATGCTCGGTCCCGCTCCTGGGTCCTTGACGGATCCGATCCCGAAAGCCAAGGGGACAGGCAAGAAGAAGAAGAAGCTTCTCCAGACCAACTCTGAGCACCACGTGTCTAGCGTGACCTCGCTCTCTTGGTCCGGGTTCCACCGAAATTTGTTGTTGTCCTCTTCGGCGGACGCGACGGTGAAACTTTGGGACCTCTCCCGTCCGACCCCTCAGGCTGCGATCAGGTCGTGGGACAACATTCACCCCAACGAAAAGGTTCTCGCCGTCGAGTGGAACAAGCACAAGAGTGGGGAGAACAAGACGGTCGTCTTGAGTGCTGGGGAGAGATCGGTCAAGGTCTGGGATACGAGAGCGAGCGAAGAGGCTTTGGGTACGGGCAAGTTGGGAAGCGATGTTGAGGCCATCAAGTGGGATCCTTGGACCGGGATGGATTTCTTTGTGAGTTCCGCCAGGCGATGAAATCCTTGTGGAAGGCTAATGGATCTCTCTTCTTCTCTTCTTTCAGGTCTCGCTGGAGAACGGTCTCATCCTCGCTTACGACGCGCGAACGCTCTCCTCGCAAGCTCAGCAAGGATCCGGACCCGTGCCTCAGCCCAAGTATACCATCTCTGCACACGACGGTCCGGCTTCCGCATTGGATATCAACCCGCATATTAGAGGATGTATCGCTACGGGAGGGATGGATGGAAAGGTCAAGATCTGGAACGTCAACGAGGAGGACGGCGGCAAGAGGGATGTCTCGTTGGCTGTCAGCCGAGATTTGGGTGTAGTAAGCATGAGCGGGTTGCAAGGCACAAGCGAACTTTGAAACTGATAGGCTCTTCTATTGTTCTCCTTCTTTACAGGGCAAGGTCTTCACCGTCGGCTTCTCGCCAGACTCGCCGCTCACGCTCGCGGCCGCCGGATCTGCTGCCAAGGTCAACATCTGGGAGATCGGTGGGAACAACTCGGCGAGGTCCGTCTTTGGGCCTAAGCTTCGGGCTGCGGGGCGAGAGTTGAGGGACAAGCCGGTTGCGAATGGGGGTATCATCGGCGTGGAGGATGACGATGAGGACAGTGACGAAGAGTAGATCAGAAGATGAAAGGGGAAGGGAGGGAAGGAGTGAGGGGGTTTGAGCGTCGATAGAGTTTGGATTTGGATTGTAAAACATGTGGAGGCATACCCGTCAAACGCCCTTCATTCAGTGAGAGAGCGCCGAGACGAACAGAGCCATGCTGTCTGTACCGAAGGACGTAGAGCTACAGGTCGGGGCGTTTCGAGGGTTCTGCTCTTCTGCTCACAGGATCACACGGCCATGAGACGAACAAAAGAAACTTTCCAGTCTTTCGAGGACGAAACGTCTCGCGTACGCGCGTCGACAAAACAAAAGGATCCGCGTCGAGTTTCGTTTTCTCTTTTGTGCGACCTGAAACGACGTGCCTGCAGCCATTCAGACCTCGGCACGGCTCCACAGCTCCATGACAAGACTGTCAGTGTGAAACAGCCAGGATACTGCGGCAAACACGCAAGACGCCATCCCGGAGCTCGGTTGGCCGCCGGACCTGATTTACGGTGTGGCGCTTTCCTGCGGAGCGAACAATAAAATCCCGGTCCGAAGCGTTTCAAGTCGAGACGCTGTGTTACAACGGGCATGCTTGTTTTTCGTAGGTTGCTCTCTTGTTCTCAACATCCTATGTCTATATAGAAAGAGGTGTTGCGTTTACGGATCGAGGGAATCGACCTCAAAATATCCTGCTGCATCATTCACCTCGACTCAACCATAACCCTCGCCTGGATCGTCTTATACACCTACACTCTTTCACCACCCACACTCTTTTACCCATAGAACGGTTCTATACCCTTATACCCATACCTCCACGCTCCATATCCAAACAACAAGAAAGACTTCGAAACCACAACAACAAACATGCGTTTCTCTACTATCTTCGTCGCCGCCCTTTCTTCCGCTGGATTCGCTATGGCGACCACCTCCAAGAACGGAATCGTACAGAACGGAGCTTTCAACTGTGGGTTCCGGGATCGCTTCGTCTTTCTCGTCTGACAATCTACTTTCGTCCACTTACGCCTACAATCGTTCCATGGGCAGCCGATGCATACGGCTGGGACGTGAACACCTATAGGGAAGGTGTCGTCGGTTGGGGTCCCGACATCTCGCAGCCTCACGGTTCTCCTCCCTTGGTCTTGGGGTAAGTCGAGAAGTGATTTTGAAGTCGAATTACTTCACTAAAATTGGCGGACATTACGGTGACATGCAGATGGCACTGGGACTACAAACACGTCAAAGACGGAACTATCGCCCCTCACTTCGGTATCCTCTCTCAGCAGATCAACAACTTGATTCCCAATGGCTACTATACCCTAAGCTTCGCCGCTTACAACGACAACACCAACACCGACTCCGACTACTTCCTTCGAGTCAAGATTGATGATAACCAGATAAGCGAGGGTAGTTCGCTGGGCTTGACAAACCTGGTGACTACGTTCGAGATCACCTTCCAAGCGCCCGCTTCGGCCGCCCAGGGAGTCAAACTCTCTTTCGAGAGCCAGAACAATGCCGGAAGCGTATTCGTAAGCCTCCCACTTCCTGGATTTCCGCTTCGACTCTTGCTGACCTCTAAACAACCCCTTGACGCCCTGGCGATCACAGCTCGACGAGATCGGCATCACCGCCAAACTTACCGCCTCCCAATCCGTTGTCCAAGCTCGTCGTCGTCGATTGGCCGAAAAGAGGGATACGCTCTGTTCCCGTCCGAGCGAGAAGGCTTGTCCGATTGGGGGGTGGCCTTATAGGGTCGATCTGGCGGAGAACGCTGGTGAGTGTAGATAGCGAGGATGGGTTTGGCTTACAACAGTGGAGACTGATGGTATGAGTTACCGTTCGTAGCTGTTTTGAAGAAGGTCGGCTGGGAATGTATCGACACCGCACAAGAGCTTGTGAGTTACAGACCTCTTCCCGAAGCAATTCAGCATACACAAAGGGTAGTCGGACTGACCCGTTCTGTCTTACGGTCTTGCTAGGAATCGTGTGGTGGATGCGCTTCCGTACCTGGCGATGGGGTCAACTGTCTCGCGATCCCTGGAGTTGACGCTTATGGAGTGTCGTGCACGACGGGTCAATGTGTGATCGGTCAGTAGCAGATCGATATTCATATGCTGCGCCGCATCTCGGAAACTGACGGTTTCACTCTATTGACTGATATCTAGATGCTTGTGAGGAAGGATACACGGTCTCGGCAGATCAGTCCACCTGTGTCCCCAACTGAGGCAGCTTGAGTTACTTCGGCCGAGCGAACCTCCCGGATACGATATCCATGGACAATTTCCTATATCCTAGTGACTGCGGATCAGCAGCTGTACGACCTATGTAATCCCTTGACTACCCCCAAACAACCCTATAGACTTTGTGTGGTGTGTGTGTGGTTGTGTGTGTTGTGTGTGTGACGTGACGGCTGCCGTGGTTCACGTCGAGTCTGAGCTTCGGCGATCATCATCCCTCCCCTTCCCTCCCGCGTCGTCATGACACTCGTTGAGGGTGCGAGGTTGCGATGGATGGTGGACGATGTATGGGCCTTGAGCGATCAGGCGACGATGAAGCATAGGCATCTGGTGGGAACTAGAAGCGATCAGGTGTGCTTCGGGATATGATTAGGTATGATCGATGATTTGAGACGGAGCTGGGGTAAATGTCACGACGGATCGGTCGTGCCGGACGTGCCGGGGAGATTTGATGACCCCGATCTCTTCCTCTCCTTCCCCATCAGTTGCGTTAAGTTACCTCCTCGTTCATCAAATTCCATCGCACTATCACATCCGTCACCATCACATGTCAATCATCATATCTTCCCATCCACATACAAACAGATAGCACACATATACTTACGGATTCACTACAGACTAGAGCTACGACCACCAACTTGCTACTTGATTTGTCGCTGAGAGGGACATTTTACGACCGCCTCGAATCCTGAATCTCATCACGCCCTTTGACGACCTTGCCCCCCGACTCTCGCCTTTTCCGATCCTCAATCGACCTTATCAACCTCCTACCGTTCTTAGCACGATACCTACGACCACAAGAGTCTCCTTTATAAGCGTTCAGTTACCTCGTATTTACGGACATTCCGACAATCAACGCTTGACACCCGTGTTGAACGAACAAAGCTAGAAGAGACACACACAAGTTCCTGCGATTTGACGAAAGATGGCTCAACCTCCTCGAAGCATCAAGTGTAAGTACGGCTGTCTAGTAGTACAACCCATACGCCGTCTGATCAATAGGATCGTACATCTATCTTGTGAGAATCCAGGTGTGGTCGTAGGAGATGGAGCTGTTGGCAAGGTGAGCCAATCTCTGCAGCAATACGCTGCACTCAGGCAATCACGAACTTACTCATTCCGTATCTCTCTTCTTCGCTCTTCCTCTCGATCCACAACTCGGTGGCGCTGGCTGCGACCTTACGATCGATACCGTAGACCTGTCTCTTGATATCATATACCACCAACGCTTTCCCCGGAGAATACGTTCCTACCGTCTTCGACAACTACTCTGCCCAGGTCGGTGCCCGGTGTCAGCAACGCTCGGGTAGTCGGATCTTGAGGCTGATTGCGGTGTGTGCTCGCTGGCTCGCTTTTGTACGAGGATAGGTCATGGTCGACGGGACCACCGTCAACCTCGGACTCTGGGATACCGCCGGTCAAGAAGATTACGAGTCAGTACTTCGTACCTTTTCAGAAACGCCTCCGATGTTCCTCGACACCTGCACCTGTACTGATGTCGTTCATGTCCGCTGGTGTAGCCGACTGCGTCCCCTTTCTTACCCCCAGACCGACATCTTCCTGGTCTGCTTCTCGGTCGTCAGTCCAGCGAGCTTTGAAAACATCAAGACCAAGTGGTTGCCCGAGTGAGTCCGAATCCGTCTTGCAGCAACGCACCTCGACATGCAGAGGGTTTCGTCAAGCTGATACGACGATCCGCTTTTTTTGCAGGATCGCGCACCATTGTCCTCAGACGCCCAAGATCCTCGTCGGCACCAAGCTGGATATGAGGAAAGATCCGCAGACTTTGGACAAGATGAGGGAGAGGAAGCAACAGCCGATTGAGTACAGTCAAGTGAGGCCAGCGTTTGAAGTCCGCTAGCGTGACGGAAGCCGCAGGATCGCTAATGCTTTCGAGGTTCGATGGGCTCATCCAGGGTGTCAGCATGGCCAACCAGATCCAAGCGGCCAAGGTAGGTTGTCATAACGTATTCGGGAATGGATAGAAAAGCATCTGACCTAGTATTGTTGCTGTCCTTGTGAATAGTACCTCGAATGCTCTGCCTTGACGCAACTCGGACTGAAGACGGTCTTTGATGAGGCCATCCGGGTCGTCCGTGAGTATCCTCGATTCCGGAACAGCTATGAATAATGTTTGGGGTACTGACCAGGTAGTCGACTGCGATACCCAGTCACGCCCAACCGACGAACGACAAAGGCAAAGAAGTCGGGATGCGTCACCATGTGATCACTGCATCCTTGAACGAACTCAGCCTCATACACGATGCTATCTCTGTCTGTTCGACGAACAACTTCCCCTCTTCCTCAATCGCTGCGCCCGGTCAACTATGTGCGCCAATGCTTCCCCCTCCTCGCTCTGCCTACTGTGGTCCCGTTTCATCTTGACGATCCTCCGCCCGCGCTTTTGTAATGACGTCCTATGACTCGCTTAGAGTGGTCTGTCGACCCGCTTATATTTGATGCAGATGGTTTGATTCCCTTTTATGATATCCTACGGGTCTGACGGCAACGAGGCGACATTACAGTCCTGTCGCGGTGGTCTCACTTGACGTCTTGGTTCTGCGCCCCTCACTATCACGGAAGCAGATGTGAAACCATGCGGGTACGTCATCTGATATGCAAGTGATAGAGACTGTAGCTGCACCTCGACAAGCTTCCCCAGCTACGCTCATACGTAGGGTCAGTGTGATCGGGACGGCTCTTATTGGTCCGACACCGCACTTCAGAGAAGAATTCGGGTGCCAACGAAAAGGTTAGTGACTTTCACGTCATGTAGCAGCAAAGCACATCCTACCCAACCATTCAGGGGATTATAAGCATGCTTGGTGAACGATGTCGGGGTGTCCAGTGTAAGTGATGATGAGGCCATCGAGTCAAAGCTCTCTACCATGCCCTCCAGCGATGAAGCGGACTGCTATGCTGCTTGCGTTTCAGGACTCGTCTACAAAGTATTGTTTTGGCAATTATGGGCGGGCTCGGCTGCTGAATGCTAGCGATGTCAGAGTAGGATTCCTTGATCTCCCCTCGTGCTTGTCCAGGATCCGATCCATTCAACCGCTTGACCCTCAACGCACAATGCCCTTTCTACACTGACAAGAAGACTCGCTTGATCCTTGACATCGTTGATGGTACGATCCTCAGTCCTTCTTACCAGGACTGCTTCATAACAAGGACATAGTAAACCCATCGAAAGTCTTGTTAAACGAATCGATAATCCCAGCCAGATGAGGGGACCGGTAGTGATTAGTGTTTCGCCCCGACATACCATCCGGGATGCAAACCTTCCGTGGTTTTGTGTTGCCTCTCATGCTCGACGTACGATCTCGCCGCCGCAGGGTTGAGCATCATTCTATCACCGTAATACAGCGTCTCGAATTCTGCTTGGTATGTTCTGGTACATTTCTGACCGGAACACGCCGGGCCATGCAAAGCCGTCGTTTCAGCGCATTGTTTTGGCGCCAGGTCGCGCGCCACCAAAGCTTTCGTAGACTTACTTACATATCGACGAAAGGCTTGATTTTCCCCAGTCATCCCGCAACTCAAGTGATTCTTTACCCGCAGTGTGTAAATGCCGAGGTAACATTTCAAGGCGACATCTCTCTCTGATAGGACTGGCGTCTACCAGGAGTGATAGACCCCGGGCCTTTACATGAAATTACCCGCATTCGCGAGACAACAAGCCATTCAGTGGTTTCTGCCAGGATCTGCTTTGACATCCTTGTCTCATCTTGTGCGGAGGGAGACCCTTATATTGCTATGCTGAAGTCATAGACCTTAGCAGACGTCTCTGCATTGACGCAATCAGGCGATGTTCGGTGGCACAAGTCGATCGTCTCTTCGCACTCTTATGCCTTGCAAAATGGTCACATCCACTCATATAGCCCTCCGGATTGTGGCAACGCCGCTTTCAAGAAGCCTAATAGATCGCTCATCGCTGAAATTCCGGCGTAAACGAAAGACGGTGCGAAGTCTGGCTTTCAGAACATGATCAATCGATAATCGAGGATATGCGCGCAAAACCCGGAAATCGAAAGTGGGGTCTTTTTCGTAACCCATTTCCCATGCACACGGGTCATCATAGCCGGAGGGCTTGCAACATGCCGTATCCGACGAACTCAGAACGGTTCGCAAAGATCCCATTCATCATGAGTGGAAAGCAAGCGACATGTATGGAGGAAGGGATTACTAACTGGATGTATAGTATGATATTGTGTCAATTGAATTCTTACATTGAAGTGGCACTAGTATAGTGGTTAGTACTTCTCGTTGTGGCGTTCCGGCGTTCCGAGAGGACCCAGATTCGATTTCTGGGTGCCACATTCTTTTTTCCCTTTTTACGCAATTGATTTCGGCCCACTCCGTTACCGAGGCTTTCCCCAAACACTTTCCCCACAACCTCATCAACTCGGATAAGCACAGCTCGCTTCGACAACATGTTCAACTCGTTTATTGGCAGCACGGATCATCGACCATGGACTGCTCCTTCTAGCTTCTAGAGACCCCTTCCTCGCTCTCGCTGCTTTCACGCATACGTGTCCATCCTCCGACTGCTAGGTGCCCTTCTCTCATGCAACACATCGACATCGCTACTCTTTGTGATCACGGATCACCATGAACGCCCTTAAATCCCTCGACGCCTATCTCTCTCGGACATCAAACTCTCGACCACCATCGAATGTCAACACTCCGACCAGGACGAGCATCCGGCTCCGGGAACCTGTCGATATTCCGGAGAGCATCCTCAATGTCACCGAGCCGGTACCCGTTGCGCCGACAGGCGATTCCGATTCGTCACTGGCGAACCAGGCTAGGGGCCGTATGAGGCGGAGGGTTACACCATCACCTCCAAGCTCTTCCAACGGATCCCAGAAACGCAAGAGACGTCGGAAGACGGGTGCGACCTCTACGGACGGAGAGAAACGGAGAAAGAAGCGAAGAAGAGTGCCCAGCTCGGAGGGCTGGTTAGGGGGTGCCTATGTAGCTGTCCTTGCGCTCTGGGTGTCTCTCTGGAGCACCGTCTTTGGCGACACGGAAAGATTCCTCAAGGATGTGAGGAACATGCAACCAGACTCTGCGCTGGCTCTCAAGCCAGAAGGTGAAGGCGAGAAGGCAGCAGCATCCGAGAAGGAGGTCAGGGAAGGCTCGGGATCGGAAAGTGAGATGAGCGACAAGAACGCGGACGAAGGCCCGGACCCCTCGTCTGGATGGGTGGACCCAGTGACCAGAGCGCCGGCAAACGAGGAAGAGCTGTTGGAACAAGCTGAATCTGCCGACGTACCGCCGCCTGTACAGGCCAAAGAAAGAGCTGCCAGCGTCTCGAGGGAGAGAACACTACCCGACGCAGTATCGTTCCAGCTGCGGTCTTCATCTCGAGGAGATGCGCTTGCCTTGCAAAAGTATGAAGGCGTCACGAAAGGGGCCACCATCAGTATCTTGACGAATCCGACGCCTGCCGACGACGGGCCCATTGATGCATCTACGTCCTCATCACGTCGGACCAAGCTTTTGCCGAATCCTCTCGCTCCGACGCTCCTTACCACTCGACGAAAGGGCGAGGTGGACACCTCTCAGACGAAAGTCATCGCGGCACCCCCGTTCGCCAACCGGCCCGTCTCAATCCCGAGAGTTCCCCTGATGACGCCTTTCCACCTCCAAAAGACGCTCATCTTGGATCTGGACGAAACTCTGATCCACTCGACGTCCAGAGCCATGACCATACAGTCGAGCGGCGTGGGAGGAGGAAGTGGTCTGGTCGGGATCAACCTTTCCGGGTTATTTGGTAGTCAGCGAAGAGGTGGCGGCGGAGCACGAGGCGAAGGTCATACCGTTGAAGTGGTCCTGGGCGGGAGGAGCACGCTGTATCACGTATACAAGAGGCCGTTTGTTGATCATTTCTTGAAAAAGGTTAGTCCATCTCTAATCAGAATGGCCGGTACCTCGAGCTGACCGTTGCGTGTTTGACAGGTCTCCTCTTGGTACACCCTAGTCATCTTCACTGCATCGATGCAGGAGTATGCGGACCCTGTCATAGACTGGCTCGATGGTGGTAGGGGATTGTTTGGCAAGAAGCTTTATCGCGATGTAAGGCCTGACTTCGAAGTTTTCGCGTCCCACGGGTGCTGACGGGTAGCTGGCTGCTTCAGTCTTGCTCTCTCCAGCCGAACGGGTCTTATATCAAGGATCTTACCCTCGTCGAACCGGATCTGAGTCGAGTATGCTTCATGGACAACTCGCCCGTCAGCTATAATTGGAACAAAGGTACGTCCCCGCTTACCTTGCTGACCGAGTCGAACGCTAATACCGAATATGCCTATAGCAAACGCCCTTCCGATCGAAGGCTGGACATCCGATCCGAACGACAAGGCGCTTTTAGATGCGCTGCCTGTCCTGGACAGCCTACGCTTCACGAGCGATGTCCGTAAAGTCCTTGGTATACGAGGATTCTGAGCGAAATCCCTGGAGGATGAAACGAGGACGCAAGAGGACCCTGCATAGTTCAACCAAAGTTGTAATAGGTCCAGCTAGGACATACGAATTTCAAAGCATGGCGATGGATATCTCATTGTGCATCGAGGACATCCACGTCACCAACTTTCTTCCCCGCCTCGCTTGCCGCTTTCGAACATATCCTCGACGTAGCGCTGTGCGTCTTCCAAGCAAGTGATGCCCAGTTCTTGCATATCTTGTATCGTTTCGGCGATCGCTTTCCTAACCGCCTTGGGCATGGCATTTGACGACCTGATCAAAATGCCATCAGCCATTGCGAGTGATAATATCGATGAGACTGGTCGAGGCTCACCCTGAAATATACACGTTGCCCTTACGTCTGACGATCCAATCCTTGATCAGGGCCGCATCCTCTTTGATCAAAGTTTGAACGTAGATCTTCTCCTCCTGGAGAAGCAAGTGACGTTTTGTTCATTTCAAAGCGCGATTGAAATCGCCGTTTGAAACAATTTTTGCACTGACCTGATCTCGAGAGCAGGCAACCCGCACGTGTACGCCATGCTTTCTCCACGTCTCCATCTCCTGAGCAAAATACATGTCCTGGTCCTTACTTCGGCATCCGAAATACAGAGCGGTCTCTGAAGAAGGAGGAGCGATGAACTTGAGTGTCGACAGACTTGACTCGTGCTTACTCCTTCTTAATCTCCACTCACCTTTTGCCTCGCCATTTGCGATGCGCTCCTCTACAAAAGCTCGCATCGGTGCGACACCGGTACCAGGGCCGACCAGGATTGCCGGCGTATTTCGTGCTTCTGGCAAGAAAAGAGTCGGCGGTTCTATCCGTAGGGGCACCCGTGAGTCCAGCTTCAGGTCTCGCAACCAAGAAGACAGCAGTCCTCGTCTTCTGACTTTCAGATTCGTTTTGTAATCCACTAATGCTACGAGCAGCTGGATTTCTCCAGGATGTGCCTGTTGACGCAAGCGAGTCAGCAGGGGGTTTAACCTCATTACCAGGAGAATTCGGACCTTTGAGCTAGAAGCTATCGAAAACTGCCTACGCCGCAGAGGTGCTAGGACTTCCAATACATGACTAAGAGGTATTTTGGTGTTTCGAAACTCTGCCATTGTTTCTAGGACGCTTCTCCTTGATCGAGTCGCATACTCATGGATTTCATCCTGTAACGAGGGCTTCAGATAGTGCATCTGGATTCCTATACTGATGGCACTTACTGGATCAGCAATGAATTCGTCTAAGCGATCTACCTCCAGTTCTTCTGTGCTGAATCTTCGAAGCCATTCAAAGAAGGATTTTCTGGGAGGGGCTCGCAGATCTAGGTGACGCTGCAATACCCTTCTGAGAGTTGTGACTGTCTGTCGGGGGAGATGGCGTGGCAGCGGTTGGTCTGCGATATTTGCGACACGATGTGAGAACGGCAAGCAGTCGATACGAGAAGACAAGCGGAACGTACCGTGATTCAGGTTATCGATGATCATGGGCCGATCTGCTTCACCCTCGAGCTTGTTTAATTTGAGAAAAGTGTCCACCTCTTCTGCTGATGTTTTCGGCCTCAGTGAGCAAATCGACCCGGGTGCATAACTGACCAGCGCAGGTGAGCATAGAACACACCAGTCCTCTTGTCATTACAGAACTGACTCTGTTTTCGATTCCAATGTCAAGTCTATCTCCCTCACATCTTGCCACCAATTTCCCCCTGTTGCCCTGAAGTTCCGCTTCAGAGTGGCCCATTCCCAACCGGGTTCCAAAGCATCCACTTCGCCTTCTAGCTGCGCTGTCGCAGTTGAGCTTTCAGCTTCCTGGTCGATGAACCGGATAGCATATAATGGTGGCGGAAGGTCTGTTCTTGAGTATTCAACGAAAGCCGGGGATGGAGGTGGTAAGAAGGGCAAGATGATGTCCATTGTCCGAGCCAACCAGGGTAGGAAGGTCTCTTCGAGACTAAGAAGCACATGGGTTAGCGATCATACTCCACAACTGCGCGTTTTCAAGCCGCTCACCCATCCGGCGCTCTCTCGTCTCCCCATGCCAGGCAGTCATGTTGCTTCTCCTCGTCTTCTGCAGTACCGTTGACATCCATTTGACGCATCTCTTCGACAATGGCGTCAGATGACGGTTTATCCTCCTCATCTTCGTCATCACTGCCTAGCAATCGTGCTCCGAGGCTCAGCATCCGTCTAGCAAGGATCTTGCCGGCGTAGCAGAATTTCTCATATGAAGAGTCTCCCAGGCCATAGAGAGCAAAATTGACATCTGTTAGAGATGACAGACAACGGGTTAGCCGGGGTAAAACGGGAATTTCGAAGATCCGTGTTGCACCAACCTTCCAGGATATGATCGGGAAGGCCGCTTCGAAGCAGTGCAGTCCATAACGGAATCATAGCCGGAGGTGGATGACCTCGTCCATGCGTCGAAGTGATAAGGATCAATAGAGGGACATGAGGAAGTTCGGACTATAGCAACACCGATCGTCAGCTCCTATCGATTCCAACGGACGCTCAACCGGGTTTACATACGATGTCAAAGTCCTCCATGCTTTGTACCGTACACCGACCTCTTCGCCTTCTGATCTCCCTGCCGACCCGTTCTGCGGTGTCCTGAGCATTTCCGGTCTCTGAGGCGAAGAGGACGAGCACTTTCTCTGGGTTCAGTCCGTCCTCATCGCTATGTTCGGCAAGGTCTGTGTGCATCTTCGGTGGTGTCTCGTCGCCCGTGGACCTGACCTGTTTCCCGACGAGTAACGAGCAGGCCAGCGTTCGTATATATCCAGTTCCGATTGTCACCAAGTTATCGATGTTCGATAATGGTAAGGCCTCTTGTGAGAAGGGTGATGAAGGGAACCCTGTGACATTTTGGCCAACTCAGGTGAGAGACGCCTCGGGCGATCTGACGATCGACCTCCACTTTTTCGGATCAGCAAGCTGCAAGCTGTATCTGATAAAGCGAGTCTGCTCAACCTCGCAACATCTCTTCCTGTTACCACACATCCATCCACTTTGTCCCTCGCTTGATACTGCTCAGAGATTGATACAGGCCGTCTGAGGTAGAAGGGAATCTTCGACAATGGCAGATCTCTTGGCCGAGGCTACACAGGAACCTACCGCGCAAGATGGCCGCAGACGGAATCGGGTCGTAGAATCCTCTGATGAGGATGATGATCAACCTCAGTCTAAGCGGAGTAAAAGACGAAGAGCAGCTAGGGACGCCGAGAACGAGGAAGAACATGAAGAACAGGAAGAAGGGGAACATGAGGACGGCGGACAAGAAGCGTTGGACGATCTGAATGGTTGGACCATAGCCACCTTCGCTGACAAGCCGGTCGGCAATTCCTCGTATACACACAAAGCTGTAAGCTACAATATTCCGAGGCTTTTCAAGGCAATACCAAAGACAATTCTGAGCACGATCTGGATAGCTCGATGCCCAGAGGAGCCAGATCAAGATGACTATAGACACCTTGGAATTACACGTCAAGACCCTCATCGAAGTTGGGATCGCTATCGAGGACGCACGGGTCACAAAGAAGGGCGGATCGAACGGAGCAGAAGAGCAGCAAAGTCAGATGGTCAGTCTCGAATACGCGACAACAACAGATATAGCATCTTAAATGGTACTGCTACCCTGATATCAGATGTTTGAGGGAATCGACGACCAGGTCAAGAAAAGCCTAGATCATATCAACCTTCTTAAGATCGAAGACGTTGTGTTGAAAGCGATCACAGAGAAGGTGAAAGATGATGGGCAGATCGTGAGTTAGTCTCGCGACTGTATTATTGTGCTCGTGTAGCGGTAGGCTGATGCCAAGCGGATCCTCCAGGACGATATCAAGGAATACTATAAACAGCAATGCGAGCAACGCCGGGAGAAGTATATGGCTCAGTCTGAATGGAGCAAGTGTGAGTCATAAACTTATCGAACCGCGATTTATGCAGAGCACATACCGATCCCATCGTTGTGTATATTCCGCTGCTTCGATAGTCAAGAGCGATGAGCTGTATTGCGAGTTCCGCAGCTCGACGTGGGACGTCAACAACCACGATCGACCTCAGCCGTTGATGTCAGACATCCTCGATAAGGGTAAGCATCTGGTTTATCATATCCCCGTGGATCCTTGAGGTTGATGTTCGCTCTCTGGTCTGCAGGAGACGACGAAGACGACTCGGACATCGAGACGGGACAGGCGACCCAGAGTTACAAATGTCCTCTCACGATGGTCGATTTCAAAGACGCTCATACCAGGTCAGCTTGCTTTGGGTCGAATCAGCCAACTTCCGTCGCTGACACATCTTCTCCTTGGTTCTACCTCAACAGTCGATCATGCAAACATACCTATGAAGGTTACGCGATCAAGGAGCACATCTTGTCAGCCCCTGGAAACGCTAGGGATGTCGACAAGGCTACCGTATGCCCAATCTCGGGTTGCAACCAGATGCTCAAGCTGGCAGATATCTTCGTAAGCTCCGCTTCGAAAGCGTCAGAGCAGCTCGACGACTACTGATATCGCTCGCGTTTCGTACTGGAAATCCCGTTTCGCGCATGCAGCCCAACCATGCATTCCAAAAGAAGGTCGACAGACACCTTGCGCGACAGGAGGAGAGAGGCCAGGAGATAGCTGGGGATCGGACGGTCCACGAGATCATCTAGACCTCAAGGTCTGCTGACACTTACTTCAAACACTTACTTCAATTTGACGACCCTTTTGACGACTCTTTTCTGAGATTGCAAGTTTATCTCCACATCATGATGACCCATCACCAGTCGATGTATACCAAATAACGAAATTCTATCTATACCGACTCTGCGAGCACTAGAGTGTTGGACCACATGTACTTGGAAGCTCCGACGTACAACCACCTGAACCAGACCAACTGGCTCTTATGCCTCATCATCGCTTCTAGCGCCAGCTTGTAGCCTTCGACGGTGGAAGTGATCGTCAAAGTCGAGCCCTTCCCCATACCGACATTCCAGTTACCAGCCAAGAATGGGACTTGTGACAAAAGATGTATTGTCTTTAACCCTAGAGGATAGAGTGGGCCGGTGAACTTGATGTGCTTGGGGACGGTCTCCAGGAGAACAAGTCGGATCGGGTGGGACGATTGCGATAGGGCTCGGACGCCAGCGGCGAGGGGGATATGGTTCGGGTGTTGCGTGATCCCATTGGCATCAAAGGTTATGATCTGCAAAAGTATCAGCGTAGACGGTTCAGATGTCGGGAGCTTGTTGTTTGCGGTAATTATGTGGACTTGCGGTGTTAATATTAGAGATGTTGAGGTATTGACGTAGAGCTTCTGCGATATGTACTGGCTCCCAATATCGGTCCATGCCGTCTTGCAGCTGCCTACTCGTCACACAAATGACTGTCAGCACCAACGTATCGACTTCTTTGAGAAGAATCAGAACGGCATATATCCCGCTTACTCGGTCTCGAGAGACTGCACGAGTTGGGGTTCTACCCCTAGCACCGAATAGCTTTCGAATAGCTCTGTTCGACGTATATCGCCTAGTCCGCTGGAGTTCCCTAAAGGGCAAGTGAGGGTTCGAATCAGGGAGAGATGAAGAGATGATGGGCAAGAGTCACTCACCTGTAGACAAACTCAACGCTCTGACCGGGATACCTTGTGCGGCCAGCGCGAGGATGACAGGAGCGAAGAACATGCACTCGTCGTCCGGATGAGCCGTCAGGATCAAGACATTGGGCGAGCTGACTCCTAGCCATTGTGTGAGATCAGATGGCGGCAGTGAGACTTTTGAAATGACCGAGACGATGCACAGCAGTAGTGCGAGTCGGATCAAAATCTGCCATGGTGAAGATCGTGTGGGCGAGGCTTTTTGTTGTGAGAGGCGATGTTGTTGGCTCGGGACCTGTGATACCTTTGAGGCAGGCATGTTGACGAGCCGTACAGACAAAGCCTTTACCGTGAGTAACGCATCTATTCAGTCTGAAATATCCAGTCCTAGCCGCGAAGGGTACTGACGTCTTTCTCGATTTTGAGGTGCAGAAGAAACGGTATGCATGTATGAAAGTTAGACGTTCAGCAGGATTTAGGAGATCAGGAGCAAGTTGCTTCTTCGGAGAGAGCCGAACCCGGTGCGGAAGCTAATATGATCATACCGTTACGACATCACTTCTGGTTCTCTCAGAGTCTCAGCCCTGCTAGAAGCTAGATGACGCGACTGAACGCGCTCTGCATCTTCTGCATCTCCCTCACGAGCACGACGCGCAGCGAGTTGGACCTTGGACATTCTCTCTCTGATCTCTGATCTTTGCAAAGTTGCCATCCTCTCGATCGCTGATGAAACCATCTCAACGTCCACACATCTGACCATACACTTCAAATCAAATCTACACGACGCAATCATGGCAGAAGAAATCTCTCAGGGCGCCGTTCACAACCTCTACTACAGCGACCCCGCTCCGGAGAGCGGCGTGTTCCAGCCGACCTTGCAGGCGTTGAGCGTCAAGAGGATCCAGACACCCGCTGGTAACACGACCGAGCGATACAGGTGCGTTCGAACTCTTTATGGATGCTGTTTTGGAAACGGAGTCGATGAAGGAGCTCTACTCAAAGCTAACGCCCGGGCTTCCGAACAATCAGGGTCATCTTGTCGGACGGGCAACATTACCTACAATCGATGCTCGCCACCCAGCTCAACCCCCTGATCGAGTCGAAACAGATCGACAAGAACAGTCTTCTCAAACTGACTGGGTACTCGATGAACTATGTGCAAGGTCGAAGGTGAGCCTAGAAACTCGCTGCTTTGTCCATAAGCATTGCTCTGGGGCTGACTGACGAGGATCTTCTTGCTACACACCAGACTGTTGATCCTCCTCGCGGCTGATATCGTTCAAGCTCAGGTAGATCAAAAGTTCGGTAACCCTTCCGCTATCGACAATCTTGGTGCACCGGGCGCCAACAACAACTCGCCGGCTGGAGGGTCCGCCCCGAAAGCGGAGAACAGCAACAATACGAAACCTGCTGTACAGGAGACCAAGCCTGCACAGACGGGTCCTGCTCGAGGTGGAGCGGCGGGTGCGAGGGGAGGTCGAGGAGGAGCTGCCGGACGAGGTGGAGCAGGTGGAGCGGGTGCGTCGAGAGGTGGTGGGGGTGGAGCGCCGATGGGGCCGTTGTACCCTATCGAAGGGTTGAGTCCTTACCAGAACAAGTGAGTTGCAGAGACGGGACAGAGACGGGAAATGAAAGTGTACGATTCGGGACGGAGACCAAGGTGTTGATAGTGCGCTTCTGGCGTCATAACTTAGGTGGACGATCAAGGCTCGGGTGACTCAGAAGTCGGATATCAAGCATTGGTCGAATCAACGTGGAGAGGGTAAACTGTTCAGCGTTACCTTGATGGACGAGACGGTGCGTCTATTTCCCCATACATACTACTGTATCCCACAAAGCATGGGCTGATTTGATCTCGATCCTGTTGTCTGTCTAGGCCGAGATCAAAGCTACCGGGTTCAACGAGGCCGTCGACAACTTCTACGAAAAGCTGCAAGAAGGAAAAGTCTACTATGTCTCGAGGGCCAGGGTGAATATCGCCAAGAAGCAGTTTAGCAACATCAACAACGAGTACGAGATCATGTTTGAGAACAACACCGAGATCGAGCCGGTAAGTCCGGGCTGGGCGGGATGGCATGTGGACGACATGCTGATTTCGATGTGGCTGGGTGTAGTGTGATGATGACAACGTGCCGCAAGTACAATACAAGTTTGTGCCCATCTCGGAGATTGCCAATGTCGAGAAAGACCAGACCGTCGGTGAGAAATAACAGCGAATATACTGATATCGAAAGAATGCAGGCTGATCAACGGGCTTGTGAAGATATCCTCGCCGTGGTCAAAGAGGTCGGGGAACTCGGTTCAATCACCTCGAAAGCGACTCAGAAGCCGGTCAGTCAGGCCCGCCGTAGTTGAATCAAGCTATTAGTCATTCTGAAATTGGACTGTTTGGATTCCGGGAAATAGTTTGCGAAGCGAGATTTGACGCTGGTTGACCAGTCGCAACATAGCATCCGACTGACTCTGTGGGGAAAACAAGCCGAGAACTTCAAGGGGGATGAGCAACCGGTCATCGCTGCCAAGGGGGTCAAGGTTGGCGATTTCGGAGGTTAGCCAGTCAAGGGTTAGGGCCGGCATCGTGTCCTTTCGGCAGCTGATAAAGGCTATTGTGGAATGTAGGTCGATCCTTGTCCATGTTCAGTTCGAGCACCATGTCTTTGCACCCTGACATTGACCAGGCTCACGCATTGAAGGGATGGTAAGCTACTTCACCTTCCGTATAAGCTAGTTGTGCTGTGTGTTGATGCGCAGTTTTGTTCCAGGTTCGACGCCGAAGGCATGAGTGTGCAGTACCAGACTTACTCAAACTCTGGCATGGGAGGTGGAGCTGGAGGGGCTCAAGCGATCCGACCGGACGAGATCAAGACGATCGGGCAGGTCAAGGACGACAACATCGGCACATCGGACAAGACCGAGTACTTTTCGACGAGGGCCACCATCAACTTTGTCAAGCACGAGACGTTTAGTTACCCGGCTTGTCCGACTGAAGGGTGCAACAAGAAGGTCGTGGAAGAGGGCGATGGGTGGAGGTGCGAGAAGTGTGATCGAACTTACCCGGCGCCTCTGCATCGGTGAGTGACGGTTCTGGGGAACGAAGGAGATGCAATGTGCTCAACAACGGGGAAACACTTGGTGAAATAGTTACATCCTGAGCTTGAGTATCATGGACCACTCGGGACATATCTGGGTCACGGCTTTCAACGACGTTGGCGAGCAGCTACTGGGGAAGACCGCCAACGAGCTAATCGAGCTGAAGGTGAGTTGTGTTCGGGATAGGTTCGAGGAGATCGTTCGAGTCTAAATGACCTTTTTCGCTGTTCACGACAGGACATGGACGAAGCTGCCTTCTCTGCTGCGTTCACCAAGGCTCAAGCGAGGTCGCTTACCTTCAGCTGTTCAGCTCGACAAGATACCTTCAACGTGAGCGTTCAGGTGCAAAGCATCTTCATCGTCGAAGAGGGATACTGACAAGCGACTTGTAATTATCGCAGGACCAAACCCGTGTTCGATATAGCATCCGACGAGCCATCCCGATCGATTACAAGACGGAGGCGATGAATCTCGCCAAGTTGATCGAGGCCATGTGAGCGGGCCATCCGAGACAGGGGATTGGGATGTTTTGCGGATCTGCAAGAGATAACACTATAGTCGGTTCTCCATCTTGTATACATGTAGGTAAATATGTATTGGCTATGTCTTTGACTTCAAGGCGTCGCAGGGCTGGGAATGGTCTTGCGACTGTTCTCGAAGGTATGAATCAGATGTGCAGGGACGAGGCTGAAATCTAGTTGAGAAGGCTCTTGCTAATGCAAGCGGATCCTTCCTTGGCCGGTGATTCCCCATCTGGCACAGCCAACCTACCTTCTACGCATGCTACGCACCGAGTGCGAGTACGGAGAAGCTGGACCAAGGGAAGCGACAATTTTCGGGTATCACTCGTGATTAAGATTTCCGCGTGCGCGCGCCAAGCGGGGGCAACCAAAGATCAGATCAGGTGGGACGAGATCTCGGGGATCGAATTTGCCACTACTTGACAGCTGGGACAGCTGGTCAAGACTTTGCAAGTCTGTTCGAGTATATCAGTAAGATGTGTACATCTCGACGGAGTCAAGGGTGAGGTGAATCGCGAATGTTCGTGCGATCCGGGTCTCATCCGGAGTTTTCGGACAAGAGGAAATACCAAATCTCCCCGGCTCTCTCCCTTTTGCTTATCAGATTGCGAGCCCACTTCCCACCTCTAGGTCGATCAGTCTCACCTCTGTACACTGACGGTGACCTTGCCTATCCCTGACCCTGAATACACATATACACACGCTCATCATCATCGTCTCCCATTCTCGAATCGCACCGACCAGTCCTTTCGCCTCATTCGATAGACCTACCGACTCGTAATCTCAGTACCCTGCACCCTGATCATGGCTGCCAACCGCGAGACTTCCTCGTCAACGGGGATCGTATTCGCAAAGGCCAAATCGGAATGGGTCATCCCGCAACGGGCGAAACCGGGTAGGAAATCCAGCAAGGTGGCCGTCGAGCCTCAAGCCGTAAGCGTCACCGTTCTCTATAGATCGTGAACATGAATAGAACTGAGATGACCCGACACACTGAATCGTTCCTGCCTGATGCTCGTCGCAGAAGCAACCCACCCCATCCGCAACGGCGTCTGGCAGTCGAGATGCTCAACGAGCCTTTCGAGAACGCAAGACCGAATACGTCGCCTCCCTTGAAGCCCGTATCGAATCCTTCGAGAAGGGAGAGATTCAACGAAATGTCGCCCTTCAATCGACGGCCCGGGCGATGAAGGATGAGAATACCAAGATCAAGGTCGAGCTCTCTCTGGTCAGAAGGGAGTTGACCGCAAAGGAGAAAGAGGTTGGGCTCAAGGACCTGGAGGTGAAGAGGTTGGAAGGGGCTCTCGTGGAGATGAGGAATAAGTTGGGAAGGATGGAGAGGTTGGTTGGACAGGCGGAGACGAAAGGGTATGAGAGGGGGAGGAAGGATGGGATGGTAATAGCTTCGGGTCAGGCTTCAGGCACTTCGACTGTGACACAGGGATCTATGCGAGGGAGCGGATCTCCCGTTTCTGTCGCGGCAGGACAAGACAATGAAGACGAAGAGCTCGGACGGGAAGGCCAACAGGCCCATCGCACTAGTATGATGAATGTGGATTCGATGCCCCCGGTCGGCGTCCACGCGGATCTCCCCTCCCCTCCAGCTCTCAACCGATCTCGATCTTCTCAACAACGCATGACCTCTCTCCCCAGTGACGATGACGAGAACTCTATCTCTCGCCAAGTCGCCATGGACATGGCTTGCGGCTTTTGCGAAGGTATCGAATCCGTCTGCGTCTGCAGGATCGTCAGGGAGACCGAACGCAACAGCAGGAACAATAGCAATAATCACAGCGACAACGACCATATGGATGACATGTCGGCACAATTCGCCCCTGGACAGGTCATGGGGATTGTCAACCCCGTGACCAAACAGTTGAGCCCGACTTATCACGCCGAGATCGCCGCCGCCGTCAAGTCCACTTCGATCCTGGACAACCTTCCTCCGGTCGAGGCTGCTGTGCCACTTAGGCGGCGACAACGCCAGAACAACGGCACTGGCAACGGACAAGGCAATACGGTATTCGGAGTGAAGAAAGCTCCGATCTTCGCCGTCTCTCCTGCAGTGCTGCAAGATGGTCAAGGTTCACCGTTGTACATTCCTCCGGCAGAGTGCAGTGGAGATCCTCGAAACTGTCCGGCTTGCAAGGACGACGACTTTGGTGAGCTCCCTTTGTTCTCGGCCCTGCTCTTCGTGTTGGACCGCCGCTGACCTGTTGCGGTATTTTCTAGGTCGGGAATTCTGTGAAAGTCTTTCGAAATCGATGTGTAACAATGAACCGGGACATCGGTGTGAAAACTGCCCAAGCGAACAAGCCGCCAAGGCGGAGGCCTTGGCTCAGACTTCGGTCCCGCTGGCGATCAACCGCACTCGATCTTCCGTTACTTCAGCCTCTTCGGCTGCCGGACCCGCTCGCTCTCAATCTCAATCGGGCTCGGATAAGATCTCTAGCAGCCCGACGGATATAGAGGCCGAATATCTGGATATCAAGTGTTGTGGGAATTCCAAATTGTGCGGGACGCTCGACAAGAACTGTGGGGACGATGAGGCTCAGCCGGGGCACGCTCATACACATGCGTATGATGGGGTGCAGGGTGAGGGCGTTGCTGGGTCTGCAATGCCTACGGGGACGTGGGAAGAAAAGATATCACAGCTGGCTCCGCACGGGCACGAGGTGGATGTGACACTCAGTGCAGACGAAGCTTGGAGGACTCTGAAGGTGAGTTGTTATCTAGGACAGGCTCGAGCCTGGACCTTGTGCTAACTTGCGCTCCATATATGCGCTCAGGCCCATCCGAATGCAAAGTTCGCTTCTTTAGCGATGCTGGCGGATGTCGTAGCTAGGGGAACCAAGTGTCTTGGACAACCCGCCCCTCCAACCCCTTCGCCCCGTACCGAGAAACCCGATCCATTCGCAACCGCATCGATACCGAAACCCCGGCCGATCGAGGTGAGTTGAGCCAGTCGTCCTGAGTCTATGTACTTTCAGCTTAGACGCATCTTTGCATCACTTTACAGCAAACCGTCTCCGCGGGGAGCAAGCGCAGGCGATTCGAGGTGCACGAGTATGCGGTCAAACAGGCTCTTGCAGTGCTCGACGCTCATCCGAATCACCCTCTGAAGAAGCGAAGGCTATCGGACCTTCGAGGCACCTAGTGCTTCGGGACTCGACGGTCATGGTGAATGATGGACTTCCCCCTTTTTGTACTACTGCCAGTATTTTGGGCAATATAGTCGTTGAATACCGCTAGAAAAAATCAGTTTTGGGTATATGATCTTATGCTACATATCGGATCGTTTCTACAGATCGAGCATCTCCAATGTGCCCCTCATACTATTCACAATCGTGGCCCTCCATCGAAAGTCTGCGTTGCCTCCATCATCCTGTTCGGAGCCGCTCTTCTGATCGACTTCATCCTCGAGCGCTGACAAGTCCGTCTCACTTTCCTCGACCGGCGGATCAAACGTCTCGGAGAGCAATCCGGACTGCTTTTCCGCCCACGATAGAATTCGCTCGCGAAGCGATAGGATAGAGGAACGTAGACGAATCCTGGAGGGTCGAGAATCCGTACAAGTAGGTCATCGTTCAGGCTTGCCCGTCGCCAACAGCAACCTGGACTTACTTGTCTGTGACCGACACTAATTTCTTGGACGAGCCACTTGCACTAGCCTCTTGAACAGCGACATCCTCTTCCTTCACCTCCGGCTTTTCATCCAGGGTCGTTGTGTTTCCGTTCAAGCTTTGTCCGCTCAATACCGCCTGCCAGGCAAGGTCCAGCCGTTCGATAAAGCCCAACAGCTTCGTCAAGCTATTCCGAGAAGCCGCCACCGTCGCTTTAGAGCTGCCCCTCACGACCTTCTTTTGAGCTCCCGACTTGCTCTCCAGTACGCCTTGTCCCGTCACGCTATACCCCGATAGCCATTCTCGTAAACCCGAAGTGAACCTGAGCAGGTATTGGATCCGGATATACCCCGTCGGTTCGTAAGGCGGGATGGACATGATCAGATTCATGATTGGTGTCAAGCGATCGATCAGGATGACCAGAGATGGAATCGGAGAGTCCGGATCTGTTCTATACGCAAACGAAGCTTGTCTTCAGCGAGAGAGATAGTATGTACATTCGGTGACGTTATGGCTGACCGTTTGTTGACGTCCCTCTCGACGGTCAATAGCTCGTCATCCAGGTATTGCGTCAGCCTGACCTGTTGGGAGGTCGTCAATTTCCGTATCGCCATGGCGACGAGTGCTGACTGATGGGATCAGCGGGTTCTGAGTGTCCTCAGTTCGGCTAGAGAAGTCTTTTGAACGATCACCTCAAGAGCTCAAGAGTTGCTGCTTAAGCTGCTTACTTACAAATGTCCGTCGTGCCGGTCAGCCTAGCTACCTCGGCCATGTTCGGAAGCATATGACGGAATCTATTTTAACGAAGCCCCTTCAGCTATGTCATCGATTGAAGACGGATCATGGCTCTAAGATCTAAGATCTAATATCTAATACAGCATCGTTGCAGGGCTTGTGATTTTCTCAGTATCGTGTATATCATGAGATTCTGATGGGCCATTTCCGCAGTACTAGGATCTGAGGCGTATCGAGGACACCGTAGTGAAAGGGAGAGCGTACAGCAATTCACCTCAACTTCACAGGTCCTACACCCTAGATGCACTCGATGCCCTGACGTTCTAGTTCACAAAATCACCAAGTTTCAGTCTATCAACTTCTGGGTTCTTCGTGTGCATCGTATCATGTATCATGCGCCCTGCGTCATCGATCGCCATGTAACCATAGCTACGGATGGCGCGTATTCATTCGGTTTGAGCTCTGAGAGATTCTCAAATTCCAGACCTGATCACCAATTACGCCAATCATCCTTGCGTCCTTGTTGCTAGCGTTTCATCGAGACCTCCGCTCCGTCCGCGTTTTTCCGGACATGTGCCCATGTCCGGTCGTCAAAGGAACTTCCTTTGCACGTTGTCACGGGATGACCCGGTCGCGCTTCGGGAGGTTTTATGTTACAACGAGGACCGTGCGCTCGAAAGGACCCCAAGCCACCAGAAACGAGGTGGATCGAGGTTGTCCGAGGGCGACAATGGCGAGAACCCGCTATCCGGTCGCTTAGCCAGCCGGAACACAAAAGGAAACCAGAAAGAAGGCCGTGAGGGATACCTGTGATCCTGCGACGATCATCGTTGGTGGCGTAGAGGGGCGTTTCTCGATGCGACACGGATCAGGAACCACGCCATCCAAAGGAAGATCAAACGGTGAAATTCTGGGGTTGTCGACAACAGTACGCGATAGGTGGATCGTTGTCGTCGTTGTGATGCGCCAAGCTCGATCAGCATCGTCTTTCATTACCTAGCCACCTTGTTGTGCTCGCTCATGGCGGCCGGATGCCGAGATTCCACTTTTGATCATGAATTCGGCGTTGGAGCAATGACATGACCGAATGTTTCCCCCAAACCATCGACAACAGATATAAGAAGCAACTCGACGCTCGTCTCTCAACTCCCCTCATCCCTTCCCCACTCTTTGCTCTTTCTCAAATCCGAAGAACCCTACGTAGAAAGGTAGGTTGAGGAAAACAGGACAATCACAACTCATAATAGTCGGAAACAATTCTAGTTTGATCAGCTCAACGTGGCCGACTGCGCCAAAAGAGGAGCCCCACCCCGCTACTCCAAAGATGTCAATCCAACTGCCTACTTCCCCGCTCTACAACAATACGAACCCTACGGACAATCTTCTCTTCATCTTCCTCAAAACATCTCCTCGAACACTTGTCACTGCCAGCTTGATCGGATCGGTGCTTCAAGCATTCATCTGCGGCGTCTTGACGGTCCAGGTTAGCGACACCTTGCTTGCTGATGCAACGGCAACGAGGACTCGCTGATAGCCGTGAGACCTATGTACATCTAGTTCATCAAGTACCTCCGCAAGTTCTGGAAAGAAGATAGCCTGACCGGGAAGATCCAGATCATAATCCTCTACCTGCTCGCTCTGCAAGTCGGCCTTCTTTTAGCCCTCCTACTGTATCCTGTCTTACCTCTGCCATCTTTCCGCCAATAGCGCCTCCTTCGTCGTCCTCCAGACCCAGACTTACAAGGTCGTCCTTTACATCAACCCTTCCACCGGAGTCGGCATCCAGAAGCTCTTCGAACTCGATTGGAAGTTGGTTTACACGGACGCTTTCCTGCTAGCTTTCGCTCAGGCGGCCAGTTTCTGGTACTTTTGTTCGAGATCATGGAATGTAAGAAGAGTCTTATATACAATTGAGGGAACCTTCTGTTGATAAGGTTACGCCCTACGCAGTTGTGGGATAGGAACAGGTATTTGGGGATCGCTATGATCATCGCCAACTGCCTCGTTCTCGGCGTCGGACTCGCGTGAGTCGATCCCGTCTGTGCCTCTGTGTCTGTGTCGCTCAACGTTTTCACCGCTTACCTTTATGGATTGTTTCTCAGGGCAATATCAGTTAGTATAGATTGACCTCCCTCACATGAATATCGCTAACCGCAAAGAAACGCCTATCGCCAGTATTCTTACGCGGCACCTCCAGATTTCCGCCATGGCAGAGAACTAGTAACTCATCGCGCCCATATTCCTGCTCACGACATGCGATATACTGACCTTGTGGTCCAGACGATGACAGAGCTCCTCAAACTCGTACCGGTGCTGCAAGAATATGGGGATACGACATTCTCCATCGTTATTGCCTGGGCTGTCACTACTCTCGGTAAGAAAGCCCACACTTTAGACCCTTTATGAACACATTCTTGTGCTAAGATCACCCCATCCCATGATTGCCGGATTCGCTCAGTCGTCGAGAGCTTCACCACTCTCTCACTCCTGTTGGGCATCTACCGACATCGTCGCGCTGCGCAAAGCTTCAAGAACTTGCACGACGCGCTTGGGAGAGGGATGGTCTACTTGGTTGAAGCCATGTAAGCTCGAGCTCGGCATGGACTTGCATGGTGGCTGTAGTGTCGCGCTTACCCGTACGTTTGACCTATTCGGCAGGGTACTGCCCCTCGCCCTTCAGGTCATGTTCACAGTCTTTTTCCTGCAGCATCTCGGCATGGGATCTTGGCAAGTCGTTTCAAATCATTGTGTGCCCGACCAGTGTATTGACTGATTCATCGAGTACATCAGGCTTCGTGCTTTCGTCCCTCTGCAATGTCCTCTTTACGCTTTCGCCGTTGTTCACTCGATGCTGTCGTAAGTCCGTTCGTATCCGATGCGACATCAAGTCCTGAAGCAGACTTTCTGCTTCCAGTCGCACTAAGCTCCGGGAGATGCTCGGCAACGAAAACGTCCACCTGTACAACAGCGGCGATTCTGATGGTGGTCAAATCGTCCGACGCCGTTCGACAACGCGCGACTCGCTTCCTGCGGTCTACCTTCGAAATCGCAATGAGATTTGCGAAAGCATGGGGCCATACGCATCTTCTCGGAGCCTTGTCAATGGTCGCAAAGCTTTCGGGTCGGCGCATGTGGATCACCAGGGATTCTACCTAGACGAAAGCAAGGATATGCGCGATTGCGAGGATCCCAGTCTCGGACGTTTCAGGCGGGTTAGGGATGCCAGTCATCCAGAGTCGATCATCGTGCTCATGGACGAGCTTCCAACCGTCTCGCACCGAGAAGTCTGGAGTCCTGCATCGCCTTACTGTCTTGCGAGTCCGGTCGGTTCACCCGACGCCAATCAAACCAAGGACTTCGACACTGAACAAAAACTCTCGCACAAAAGTTCCTTCGTAAGTACGCACTTTGCTTACTCGCTTGTCGAGATCCCGCTCACCTCGCCTGGTTGATTTATTAGCGTTCCGGAAATAGCTCGAACCCCAACAGGACTGTACTCGAGCGAGTCGACGAACAAGCATTGTCGTGCTCTGCTATCGACGTGTATCAACCCACCTTACCGGAACTGAAATAGAAGCGATCGCGAACAAGGTCCAGATCCCTGGCCGGATAACCGAATATAGCCTGATCAGAACACGTATCGTATAGCTACCACGGGTGGTGATAACGGGGATTTATTGAGCGTAGGAAATATATATTGCTTGAATACTTGTATACCATAGAGATCTTCGTCATCGTTTGATGTATATATGACAAGTTCTCATACCTCCTCTAGAATCTTCCGCGACCGCCGAAACCATGTGGTCCGAGACCGAGTCCGGGACCCATCGGCATGTTGTTACCAAGTCCAGCATGCGGGATATTTGCTCGCCCTAGAACATCCATAAGGTCTTCCGGTTTGAAAATCGGTCCTACAAAATGCCGTAACAGAATTAGCTGAAACTCTTTTCGCGCGGATCTCAGGGAAGAGCCCTTACCATCAAACAGCCTAGCCCGAGGGAGGTTGCCCATGAACCAAACGACAGCCCTCGGAAGACCTGAAGGATCCCGTTCCAGGCCTGGTGGTACAACTGGCAATTGTTGAACAGGTGGCATATCGCGACGAGGTCCCGGTGGCGGCGAGAAATCTCGTCGTCTACGATCATCCTCTTGCGGTCCTGCACGCCCGTTCCGTCGGGGTGGTGAAAAGCCTCTCTGGCGCTTGGGTGGTGGCTCCCGAACAGGCGGAAGAGGCTGACGATCATCGCGATCCCTGAATCGGGGCTCGGGTATTCTTGGTGATCGCATCGGTGAATCCTCCGGTCGTGTCCGCTTGGGCAAGGGTGCTGCTTCTCGCTTGACGCCGAAGCCGAGGTCACGACTAGCAATTTCGTCAATCCCGTTGTAAACGAACCGCGAAGCGAAACGTCTTAAGGGTGCGTCTGTCAATCGATTCAATTCATATAAGAAAAGATGCGAAAAGACTTTGAGCAGGACGACTGACCGTTCGGGTAAGTCTCCTTCAGACGCGCTTCCAGTTTCCGAGATGCGGCCAAATCTCCGTAGAGATATTCGTGCTTGGCCCACGCATCCCAGATCGGTCGTGCCCTGTCGGCCGGGAACTTGAGGACTAGTCGCTCAAACAGAGCACGGGCATCTGTATGATGATATCGCTCTGATCAATACACCAAAGCACGGAAGAGGGAGTGGTATGTTACTCACTGCTGTCATCGTTAATCTGGATAAGGAATTCCAAAAATTTGACGGCAAAAGCTACATCCTCCGGGAAGGCTTTCAATCCGAGTTCGAAGATTTTGGTAGCAATGTTGGCATCCGTGTTACAGTGATACTCCATTTGCGCTGCGATCGGTTCTTGTAAGTATCCTAAACATACGTGTTATGGTCGCCTATAACGTACCTGCTGATTCAAAGACGTGCCATGACACGTATGGTGACTTGCGCGCAGCAGAGAATATGCCCCTGGCAGACCTCAAACCCTGCACAACAGAGTCTGAGCAATTAATCGAACAGATTGACAAGACTCGACTGACCTCTGTACGTCTTGCAAACCTCATGTACATGACCCAGATGACACCAGCAGCTGTGACAAGATCATCCAGCTCCTTCTGGCGCCGATCGATCACCGCCTTTCCTCTGGCTTCCCGCTCCGCCTTGCGTTTCTGAGTCTCGGACAGCTCTGCCCCATCCATATCCTCGTCGTCTGCACGCAGGAACTCAACCTCGTCATCTTCAATCTCGGGGCCCTTTGCCTCGTCGACCTCTTCGCTGATCGACCTTTTCAGCTTGTCAATTTCGGCTCCGTGGTTCTTGATCAAGTTGTCGTATACTTCCCGAGCAGCCGCCTTGTTTTGTCGAATCTCCTCTTGCTCGGCCAGCGCAAAAGTCAACAAGAAGCTGCGAACCAACCGTGAATCAGCTGGAATCACACGCCTGCCAGTCGAAACACGCAGCGAACCTGGACTGGTTGGCCTCGAGACCCGTTTTGAGGTAGGATAAGACCTCTTCTGGTTTCTCTTGACCTTCATAGAAGACTGCTGCCTGATGCCTGTACCAGTGTCCCGATTCGATGAACGACCGGAAGGGAATCAGGAAGGGCATCGATGGACGTGTTTGTACTGGCGCGGACGACCTACCACAACTCGGGGAAGAACCTCATCTGGGTCAAGCACTTGCGCAGCGCATACCCAACTCGAGCCTGCAGCGCCGCGGGCTCTTCGATATCGAGAGGATTGCTTTCCTCCCACTTGAGGTACTTTTTCCAATTGATTACCAAAGCTCGATCGGCTTCTGACCGTGTCGGCCGGGGTGGAATCGGCATGGCAACCAGGGGTTCTGTCTGGAGTTTCAGATCCCGCAGAACGGTTCGAGCGGTCATGTAGAGCGGAGAACGCTCGGCAAGGAATTTCTTGGCCTGCACGATCGTGATGGGCAAGTTGAGACCAAAAAGATGGGCAAGAAGGTTTTTGTGCGATGTTGGTTGGCAAGAGCGATCGATCGGTTCGTTTTTTTTGGTCGTACGCGTGTGACGCAAGTTTTATGCCCATCGCAATTCATCAGGCAGATTACACAGACCAGTATAGTTCCGATCGCACGCAAAGGTTGTGCAGGCAGCAAGACCGAGCGTCGAGAGGAATTGAGGTCGAATGGAGTTGTCGTGATACTTGAGTCTCGTCTCATCATCGGCAACACTACCTTCACCGTGCTTACCGTCATCTTGTTCAACTTGTTCTCGAACCCGTCGTACTCCCTCCAGATCTGTTCCACATCCATCAAGGGGATCGCTACGGCCCGGTGGTAGACCTTTCGGATCGCATCCGTTTGAGTCTGGGCTTCCCACGTGTTTGTGCACTAACATCGAGCCCACCCATTTCAGCCCGTGAATCACCTTCTCTGTCCGATGAGGGCCGATATGCTCACCTCCTTTTCGCCCAAAAAGGCGATATACTCCCTCCAGACGTGCCCCGCGGCGATATCCATCCCAGCTTCTTTGAGCGCGAGTTCGTAGGCCCTAACAACCGTCTCCCTAACCGCATCCGCAGAACTAGCATTTGCAGATCCGGGAGCAGGGATCGGGTTCTGCCTCCGGATGTAATGCAGATATGAACCTGTAACGTCGATGATTGCTTGACTTTAGTATGAGCAGAATGCAGTCGCAAGTCCTGGTTTGGGCCTACGCCAGATGTCAACGCCGGGAACGGCACCGACGCTTCCTCCCAAACCCCGAAGAGCCTTTTCGTAAAGCGCAACGACTTGGGGGAAATTCCCATGTGCGAGTTCAAAGTTGATCATGTCCAACATTGGTCCGACCTGTCCTCAACTCCAGTTTTATCAGTCTCTCTTTTGCTGTTGATTATGTTGGCATGCAAGTCGAGGCTCACCGCTGTCGGATTGTCTTTAGAGAAGGCCTGATACCATGACCTGGCACCTTCGACGTCTCCGTCCGACCGCGCCGCCTCAAACATGGCTAAAGAAGCCTGAGCGTTGGCCGCCTTGTTCTCTTTGCCTGGATGGTCGCGACCACAGATCGTCAGCCTTTCAAGCTTTCCAAACAACACATCTACAATTGTTAAGATGTACTCACTCTCGACCCAGCTGGAAGCCAGCGCCTGATGCGCCATCACGCTCGGACTCGATACCTGAATCCCTTCCGGAAACTCGACCCCCTCGAAACTGAATCTTGGTGCGTAATGCCTCGGCTCAGTCCTCCTCCCTGACGATGGGGGTGTTGGCCCCGTTACGGGTTTCACTGGCAATCCCGCCCTCGAACCGGGGGCTACGATCGGGTTGTGCGAAGTGGAAGCAGGTGTAGGAATGGGGTTGGGAGCAGCAGGAGCGGCGTCGAGGGAGTATGAGGGGGATCGGCGTTGTTGGCCTGGCCGACGACGAGTAGGAGCGGGACGAGCGGGGGATGCAGATCGGTTGTCACGTTGACGCTGTTCAGGCTGAGTAGGGGTGTTGCTCGTCGATGTCGATTCGGGTGCAACGGGGATAGGTGTCGAAGTGTTTGACGCCGAAGCCGCCGTAGCGGTAGCCTGCGGGATTGGGAACGAAGGCGGAGCCGCTGGTACTTCTGCATCCATTCCCAGTAGAGCAGGATCGATGTTGGGGTCGTCGTAGTTGCTGGGGTACGTGTTCGAAGCGACCGGTAGAGGCTGCTCGCTCTCGTCATCGTCCCCCAAATCCATGTCGATCTCGCCCTCGGCATCTGCATCCTCACTCGATCCTCCCGTCTGCGTGTACTGGCCGGCAGCCTCTCCCATCAAGCTCGTCGCAGCCGCATCAGGCAACTGGGCGATCTCTTGCTCCAACTCGGCCTCTTGAGCGGTAGCATCGTGGAAAACCTCTTGTTCCGAAGAAGATTGTCCCCCCGTCTGATGGTCCGCATGCACTCCCTCTAAGCCTAAAACGGCCGACGCAGCTTCGTCCAACCCGGATTCGATTTGATCGATGTGCTCCAGATTGTCAATGGCATCCTGCACGTCTGCCTGAAGGTCGGTCGGCTCCTCCTCCTCGTCCGGCAGTTCCGGCATCGCAGGACTTGATGGTGAGTATCGTCCGCTGTCCATGTCGAGGATATTTCTGGAGCAAGCAAGATGACTAGTCTAGAGCTTGCTAATCTTGACTTGATGATCGAGAGGAATGACCAGGATGCATCCAGACTTCAGGGAGATAAAGGGCAGACAGACCGGTCGAGGTCGATAAATCGGGGAAATACAGACAGACTAGTGAAACTATTCCACGTCATAAGAACCTGAACGATCAGGATATAAATTGATAACACCTAGCCCGCTCAACCCCCTTACGTTATCCTCGACCGGAAGCAAACTCCCATCTCCTGTGTGAGGTCACCGACCTTTGGAACACAAACATGCGGATATCTCGGAAACCGCAAGGCCACATGCCATCGACACTTCTCCTGTTCCACAACCCTTGCAAAGCGACATTGCAACCGAATTCTACCAACATGCTCCGTCGACGTCTCTCTTCGGGTCTCCTCCGAGCTCAGCTCACTCCCATCACCAACCACACCGCCATCCCCGCCGTCCCCGCGCTCCCAGCTCGATATGCTACCTCGAACCGTGGTCTGGCTTCCGCCGTTCTGCTCAGCAGTAGAGAGAACTGGGCCAGCAAGACGGTCAAGAACTTGAAGGAAGCTCTTGCACAGCGGGGTTTGAGCCAGTGAGTGTGCCCCTGTCTAGCTTGGAGGTTTCGTTGGTTCTTGTCGCGTTTAATCGGGCGAAAGTGGGATTACGATTCTGGAAACGATTAATGCTGATCTACGACAATTCTTTTCCCTACAAACCTTCGCAAGGTCCGGCAAGAAGACGACCCTCGTCGAACGTCTGAAGGAGTACGAGACCGCTCAATCCTCCAGCTCGGGGTCTCGGGGAATCTCCTCTTCCGCGATCGCCTTCAACTCGTCTTCATCCTCGTCGACCAAGACCGAGGACCAGACCCCGGTCCCCGAAGCTCCCAAGATCGAGATCGCCAGCGGTGTCAAGGCCAACGTCAACACGTTGTCCGAGATCGAGATTCCCGATGTTGAACCCGCTCTCGCGCCTGGTCTGCCAGAGGCCAAGACCGACTTGCAAGAGGCGCCGCCTACGCTCGATATCAAGATGCCCGACTTTGATGATCATGTGGTAGAGAACGTCATTCCCGTAGGTCCTACCCATATCTGCTATGAATCTTACGTCACGTACGAGCAACCGTACTCACCAAGTCCCACCGTCCTCTGCAGCCCTTTGAGCCGGACAACTTTGAGAGCAAGGCCGAAGACTCGCTCTCTCCCCCCGCCGAGGTAGAATCCACCACACCCAAGGTCATGACCGTCGATCCTTCCCAAGACACCACTCGTCATTCCTTGCACGAGACCGTGGCTTCCGACAGCATCGAGACCCCCTCTGCCGACACCGTCGTTGAATCCTCCAAAGATGGCGTGGACTCCCTTCCTCCCCTTACCGACTTGTTCAGCTCGATCTCGCTGCCTTCCCTCGGTGGGCTGGGTGACCGACTGAACGAACTCGTCAAGCTCCCTGAGGGCAAGAACTCGCAGGCGGAGTTCAAGCCGATCGACCGTGGGTTGAACTCGGAGGAGAAGACAGGAGCTTACATCTTGGCTGCTACCATCGCTTTGGGGTTGTTCTTTGGAGGTGGAAAGAAGGCCGAGGAGGATGACAAGGACGTCAAGGAGCACGTCAACGAGGCCGCTCAGGCTGCCGCTCATTAGGGCCGAGAAGAAAATGGAGAAAAGAGGGAGAGCAGTTTTGTAGACGCGAGATACCCCCCACAGATGAAACAAGTGATCTAGTTGATGCGTCGACCTTGTAGTGCGACATGCGATGAGCTGAGGGATCGCTGTCTCGTCGGTTCCGGAAGGCTTCCGCTTGGTGGCTACCCGCTCTCGAACTTCCTCTAAAGTCTCCAACCCGAAACGCTTCAGGCACTTGCTTTAAGAGGTAGCTCTTCAGGTTCGCACACCAAACGCTTGCCTGCGCTTCACCCGGGGAGTCTTCCAGGAATGTTGCGAGGCCCTCGAATGCCGTTTCATGGGTTCAGAGGTCTTTCGGACCAAAGACACTGAATTGCTTGTCGACGTCATTATTATTATTGAAGTCACCCTTGAGGAAGTCGACGTCATCCCCCTGGGATTTGCTGAACCCCTCGAATGACTGTTTCAGCGATCAACTTGCTGGTAGTCTTTACACAGGTCGAGATTGTTCCCCTCTACCTAGGCATTTTCTGAGCGCGAATCACCATACTATCGCAACCAAACAACATAGAGACAAGCTTTGCACATCAAAAGGTTGATCACGATTAGAGGTAACCAATAACATGGCTTGCAGAGCAGGAATCACCAAGCTGTTCGGCAACGTACCTCGACACTTACTCGTCTACAGCGCAGGGTTTCGCACAGCGAGAGCGACGCGAACCGGTAGTTACGCTGAGCGGTGTGCGAACCCTCCCCGAGCACAAACTCGTTTCGCCTGCTCACAGTAGTGTGACCGCCAGGATCCCGCTCGGAGGTATGTGAAACCTAGTGCGTTGACGCCTGATCGCGAAGCGAGGAAGAATTTGGAAAAGGCGAAGGCGGCGGTCCAAGAAAGGAAGAAGGATTTGGAGGAGGCGAAGGCAGAGAAAGCGGTCTTCCACAGTGCCATCTTTGATGTTATCTAGTTACGGACAAGTCTCTGTTGTCCTGTTTGATGGCGAACTTGTATATCACTCCATATCAAAACACGTTCTTTCGCCTTGGATGCGCTTGTCGTCGTGGAGTACTGCTGGAACCTCCACCTCGGCCATCACCTCTCGATCTCTCGATCAAAAGACCATTACACCGTGTTGTCGCGACCAGTCATCGTCCTTCCCAAGGAAATTTCCCGCGATGCATGGCCACAGGAATTCTGACAATTGGACAACAAGGGATCACTAGCCGGGTTGAACGCTTTGTGAGGTCTGTGATGTTTTGTCGAGTGTCCATAGGGAGCCCAGATCGTCAGCGACGGTTCACGTACGCCGAGGTCGTCGTCGGGGGGGAAAGCGCGATCCGCGATGACGTTTTTGTGTGTTTCGACCTTCATTCCGTCAGCAAGCAGCGTTCCTCCACATTCTCCCTGGCGAGGACCCCCTTAGCTACAAGTACGTCACAGCCGTTCTGCGACCTGTGACCTGCCACGGACGGTGACATGTCAGCCTCACTCCTCCACGTCAGGCTACCTATAAGCTATATATATTCTAGCACTCGACATGTCACTCCGGATCGCTCGACCTACCCTTGCCAGACAAACACTTCTCAACCTCACATCTCGCACACCCAGATCTTCTCTCCCTTGCATCACCTCATCTGCTCTTCGTACGCAGAAGTATCAAGCACAAGCAAGACCTTTGCATCAACAGCAACAACGAACGTTTATAACGACCTCGATTAGGGCCCACGAAATGTCTCAAGGATCTCACCCTCACCTCAAGATTGCCGAGTTGTTCGACGTCAGCGGACTCACCGTCGCCGTCACCGTGAGTTCGACGACTTCCTGGTCTGATCTCCGACCTAGTCCTGTTTGCGTGTGAGCTAACCCCTATCCAAATTCTCATGTTGTGATGATGAATATCGCAGGGCGCCGGGACCGGGATCGGCCTGATGATCACCCTCGCCATGATCGAAAACGGCGCCAAGGTCTTTGCGATCGGTCGACACCGTGAAAACTTGGACGAGATCGTCAAGCGTTACGGAGGCGATGGAAAGGAGCGTGGGCTGATCGTACCCGTCGTCGGAGATGTTACGGACAAGGAGTCTTTGGGCAAGGTTGTCAAGGAGATCGAAGGGCAGGCCGAGGGTGGGATTCAGATTTTGTGAGTCTCGTAATGCCTGCCGCATAGCTTGACATGTGAGCTGATGCGTTTATGCCATGGGTGAAAGGTTCAATAACGCCGGCGTTGCTGGAGAAGGATCGAGGGAAGGTTGGGAGGACGTCGATTCCAAGGACCCGAATGCCATCTCGAAGAAGATGCTTGAGAGCTCTTACCAAGAGTGAGTTGTTGAACGATATCGAGACCTCGGGAAATGCTCTGAGCAATAATCGTCTTTCGTTATAGGTGGGAGGATATCCTCAGGACCAACACTACGGCCGCTTACGTATGCCACAACATACTCACAGGCAGTTTAGCGTGCGCAATGCTGATTCTCCACAATGGGACCTTTCTTATCTCAGTTCACCGCAGCCGCCTTCTTGCCCCTCTTGTCCAAGGGCAAGAACAGCGTTAAGGGTTATGCCAGCCAGGTGAGACTTCTACCGCGAACTATTCATGTCTGCAGACACTCTGCTCATCTGCATCGTTTTCCTTCTCGTGCTCGTACGACAGATCGTCAACACCACCTCGATCTCGGGTGTCATGAAGCGAGCTTCCGGCGGACAGTTTGCCTATGCCGCGAGCAAGGCTGCCACTTTCCAGATGACCAAGGTGCTCGCTACCGAGCTCATGGAGACTGGGATCAGGTGCAACCAAATCGCCCCCGGTAAGCCTTCTCCTTGTCAAAGCTTCGAGAGGTGACGCATCGACGCGGCAAAATCACGGTGGACTAACAATGTAACATGTCTCCCGACGCACATACAGGTGTCTTCCCTTCGGGCATGACCGCTGGATCGGTCGAGAAGGACCAAAAGTCCGACTTGTCGGGTACCGGCAAGGGGGAGAGCAACCCCGCCGGAAGGCCTGGAAGCGAGAAGGATATGGCTGGTTGCGCCTTGTTCTTGGCTAGCAGGGCGGCGATTTACATGAACGGGCAGGTGCGCGCGATCTGAGGTTGCAGCGTGTTTAGAGGCGTCGATCACTGATATGGTTCCGATCCTTTGTAGGCGATCATCCCTGATGGAGGAGCGACATTGTCCGGAAACTCTAGCTTGTGAGCGGGTGAGGTTGAACGGGATGTTGTGCGGCAAAGCAAATGTATCTAAGAAACCGAAAGTCAAAGTCGATGTATCAAACATGAAACGATATGAAACGACATTGAAGGAGCGCGCTGAGGTAATTTTGTATGCTATCCTCTCGGTTCTCGCTCTGGTCTGCGTCATATTGGGCGCAGTCTTCGGGATACTTAATTTCCAGCAACTGCCGCTTGACTGAAAATATGCTGCATCAAGTGGGCTTGACCTGACGTGCTATATTGCACGTCATTCAAATTCTGATGGTTTTGTGTTGCATGACTCTAGCAAGCTGACAAGTTCCCCGGAGAACATGTGATTGGAGTGATTGGGCTGTCTAAATCCCAGACCGAAGGTCAGCCTCGAGGGAAAAACACTAGACCTTCTCTCAATCCGGACGTCTAGGATTATCGATTATATGTCCTGGCGGAAGTCGATTACTCCATGTATATTTCTGAGATCTTCGCACTTGAGAATCAACATGTGCGATCAAGTAATAGCGTCAAAGCGTCCTGCCATCAAGGTCAAGCGGCACAGTCATGGTATTCTTGTGTTGTCATATTCTCGAGTGGTACAAATACGGCTGATGGAAAGCCCATCCCGTAACGACGTGTCCCACTTGTCCGAACTCGCCACCTATATATACCGAATCAGGCGCAGAGTGAGGCGTTTTGAAGGCTGTCATCGGTACAGCGCCGATGTTGTCGCCGCAAGGTGCTAGACTCGTCGAAAAGGTCAATATCAGTATAATCAACGACTCGCAGTCGTTCGTGCTGTCAGCGTTTAATGCCTCTCCATATGCAGCCTACGTAAACATAAGCCGATCCCCAGGATATGGCGCTATCCTCTTTCGCATTTACCTGGTCGTTGTTGGTGTTCCGAGCCGATCGTAATAGAGCTGGAACACTCCAAGCTGAAGTTATCGCCAGGCTTGATCATTCGACTTGAACTTGAAGAGCTTCATTTCTCTCTTGATACAGCGTAGGGTTCATGAAATAGAAAATCTTGCATATGTTCACGTAGGATGGATATTCTTCCCGCTCAGATCGCTTGTTCTCGAAATATCACCGCCGTTCTTTTCTGTCTCTGATCTTCTTTTTCCGTATCGTATTCAAGCTTGACAAGAGGGGAGGCGAGGTGATTTTTGGGCTTGTCCAGTAGCAAGAGAAAGCGAGTACTCTTCTAGTACCTGGCATCGGCAGGAGGGGGGACGTCGTCGTAAGCGGCCCTGCTTCCGGCACGAGGGTCCCTGTCACGGTCCTTGCGGTCGTCACGGGGTTCGGGCGAGCCCGAGTATCGCCTAGGAGCACGCTGGGCGTCGCTGCTGCAGGGTGGCCGGTTACGAAGTGAGCACAGCAAGATCTGGGCATCTTAACAGGATATATCCCACTCACTCGTAGTACTCTCTCCTCCTAGGGGGGCTCCTGTCACGACGGTCGTACCTGTCCCTGTGAGAAGAGACATCAACAGCGAGTCCACATCGATCAGCAAGGTCCGCCCAATCATTTCCTAAACGCATGATTAGTTTGGATCCCCCACCTATCCCTTCTGTCATAGTAGCTCGAGTAGTAACGGTCATCGTAGCCGTACCTGTCATCACGACCTCCTCGCCTATCATAGTCGTCTCCGCCTCGACGGTCGTATCGGTCGTAGTCGTCGTATCGGCGTCGATCATCGTATCCGCCGCCACCTCGAGAATATCCGCCGCCGCCTCGAGAGTAGCCGCCACCGTATCCATCACCTCGGTCTGGCGGGAAAACATCAGCGGAAACAGCAATTAGCGCACCAGCCTGTGAATAACTCTACCGAGGTACAACATACCAGGCCTCTTGTAACCCATGTAAGCACCAGGAGTGGGATCATGGGGCCTCTGAGTGGTAGAGTAGTCGACTCGCATGTTTCGTTCGTGGAGGTTGACACCGTTCAGCTTTTCGATGCACAAGGTGGCCTCTTCGGTAGTGGCCATCTGGATGAATCCGAAACAACGCGATCGGCCGGTCTGTCGTGTACGAGAGAAAGGGAGTATTGAGTCGGGCATCAGCTAGCCGTTTGAGCGGGGTTGTCGTAGGGTGTCGAGCGGGACTGACCTTTTGGTCGTAAACGATGGTAACGCTCTCGACAGTCCCGTACTGCTTGAACTCGTGGTCGAGATCGGCCTCCCTAGTCCTCAAAGACAAGCCGAAGACTCCCAAGCAGTTCGAAGGTTCAGGCCTAGCAACGGGTCCACGGGGTCCACCGCTGATGCAAGCGTTGAAGATGAAGGGTCAGCGACCTCGACCAGGAATGCCGAACGCAGAATTTCAGTCTTGGACTTACTGAGATCGACCGCCACCTTCGTATCCCCCCCTGGGGGCGGAGCTGTAACCGCGTCCACCATCTCGATCTCCCCTGGGAGGGTAGTCCCTAGGCTCTTCCTTGGGACCGTCGTATTGACCTCGGCTGGGCTCACGGACGTCACGGTCTCGACCAGAGTCGCTGTAGTTGCCATGAGGAGCAGCGTCTTCGGCGTACCTGGCGGCTGTGTGAGGAAACAGAGTGAACGAGTCAGTTGTGGAAAGAGGTACCGTATAATCCTGGTCCAGACTCACGCTCGATAGATCCAGCTGCGGCGGGAGGAGCGTCGTAAGAAGATTCGTAAGACTACAATTCGACGAAGAAGGCCGGAAAATGAGCGATTGAAGCTGGACCTGCGCAGATCGAGTGAACAATGTCGCTTACCATGATTGCTAGAAGTAGATCGTGGGCCTTTTGATGTCAATGTAGCGAATGACAGACTTGGTTGTTAGAAATGGTCGAAGGTTCAAGGAAGGTTGTCAAGAAGCTCTAGGTCGCACAAAGGGTGGACCCATCCTCGGTCTCGATCGCTTTCTCACGCGTCATGCACCGATTTAAGGAGGGGAAGTGACCTTCCTCTCTCGCCCGGGCCAATCCTCGAACCCATAATCAGTCGACGACAACGACATCTCGACTTGAAATGACGCATCGGTCGGCCTTGAAAGAACCATAATCAACCTGGACATAGCCTCTGTCAGTGTACTTTCCCGTCAAAATGGCTCCCCACCCGCTCCTCCCTCCTCTGCCGACCCCTCAGGCCTCGTCGTCGGGATCGACAACCACCGCCTACAAGCCCTCAGCATTCTTCATCCACGCTCCCAATGAGCCCGTCTTCCAGTCACACCCTGCCCTCTCCACTGCCGCCAAGGTGACCGTGATCAGCGCAGGAGTCGGTTTGCTTGTCAGTTCCGTGCAGAACGCGTTGGACAAGCACGATAGGGGAGCGATGGGTATCTTTACCAGGACAGGAGGGACTATCAGCTTTTTCGGTCAGTCTCGCTCGTTGTCATGGAGGAATGGGTCATTTTGAAGGGATAGGCTGATGACGGATGTGATATACTAGCTGGGATGGGATTCACCTACGCTTTTAGTCAAGCCGTGGCTGCCAACGTGCGAGAGGTGTGTCAATGCAGCTTAATTAAAGCGCTGCTGTATCTTCAGCTGACGTACCGCAATCACCTTAACTTTGCAGACTGATGATGCCCTGAACTCTGCTGCGGGAGGATGTGCCGCTGGTTTCTTTGCCGGAGCTCGAGGTACGTTTGAGTCACAGGCTGAGATGGGAAATGCCAATCGTCTCTGGCTGACATCGACTATTTCTACTTTACTTGTGGTTGGACTTCGATATATCAGCGGGATCCTTCCCCATCGGTGTCGCTTCATGTGTCGCCATCGGTACCCTTCTGGGAACATTCGACGCCGCCGGAAAGGTTCGTCAGAGACCCCTGGAGCTCCCCTTGCTACCATAGCAATCTGACTAACCTCCAAATCACCCCGCCTTTGAAACAACTATACTATCTATTCCTCTTGGGAATACCAGTCCTTGACCGGTACGGACCGTCTTTCTATTCCCCGACCTGAGCGGGAACAACGTCGGTTGGAGTTCTTCAAGAAGCCCAAGAAGATCATGGGAGAGGGGGATGCCGAGGTCGTCATCTAAGCTCTGTTCCACTCTGGGCTCGACGCTAGGATGGATCAAATTGGGATGATATGATCCAGAGAGGAGGAAGAGTCAAGAAGATGACTTGCCCGAACCGGTACCGACTTAGATCCGGTGCGCGGCCTGAATATACGGGACGATGGGACGGGAAGGAGGGACGGGCGATGGCGAAACGATCGACAGCGACTGGACGATTGTTGTAACGACTAGAAAAAGAACGATGGTGCTGGCTACATGACGAAACAACTATGCCACATCCTATTACGGGAACGAAGGCTGTCTCCCAAAGCAGGATGAGTCTTTGGGCGAGCGGATGAGCTGTGACGGGTTGGGCAGAAGGCGGTACGAAGAAGCGATGCAAGGTAGCCTTGAAAACCTGGTCCTGGCGGATACTCAGTATGCTCGTGCTGTGATCTAGTCATCATAGCTGTCAGGCTTGCGCTTACAACATCAGGATCAATAACATGCCGGTCAGTATCAACCGATATTCGAAAGTCAAGCTTCTCCCTTCCGCAGGCGAGACAGTAATTTGGCCGTTGTGGGGATGCGAAAAAGCAGGATTTGAATGCAAGAAAGTTGGGATTCTTGGTTCAACTGATTTTTGGCGATATGAGAAGCTGCGGTGCAGCCTTGTACTCGGTCAGTTATCCGATTTGCGTTCATTTGGCTACACGTTTGCTCAGATATAGCAATGTGACATTTTCCGGTTCATCATACAATATTCACGGTCGTGGTAACGGTCACGCATCTATTTGAAGCTGAAGAAGAGTGTGCTTGAGAAGATAAAAGAGTCCATTGGGGTACTGGCGAGGATGTCAACATTAGTCGACTGTTCAGTTGTCGTGGTCGACCACTCCCTCGGCCGCGACTTCAGCGTAAGAGGCATGCTCTCCATGATCTTGAGCGCTCTCTTGGGATGGCGGCGCATGGTGATGTTCGGCCCGAGTTGAAGCAGGGTGATCGTGATGATGCTCCTCGTCTCCTTCAACGACCACTTGAGCGTAAGAAGGGTGCCCTTCCCCGTCGTTCGCCCCCTCGGCCATACCCGCGGTTGCAGACGCCATCGATCTGTGAGGCTCGTCCCCCATCTTCTTGTCATTCAACCTTTTGTCTGCGTGTCCGTCCTGCTTGCCTGCGTCGCCCTCCTTGACGACCTCTGCGAAAGACGCATGATCCTGAACGGCCAGATTGTGCGGTTTCTGTACGGCCGCTCCGGTAGCGTGGACGGTCGACGCCGAGGTCGTGGCTGGGGTAGACGAAGAGGGTTGGAAAGGAGCTCGACCCGCGGTCCTGTTCTTGATGGACGAGGCTGGGCTTTGAGGTAAGGCGGTGGTCAGGTTGTTGTAGGCACTCGAGACGGAAGATTGAGCCGAGTGCGCAGATCTCTTGACGCTCTTGGAGTAGGTGCTGGGTTGAGCGAGGCTCTGTCAGCTCGGCTTTTATGTATACCCGCATACTGACCAGGCTCACTCGGTATGGTAGACCATCTGAGGATGTTTCGAACTGAGCTCGGCCAAGATGATATCCCTCGCCTCGATCACAAACGTAACGATGGCGGCGATGATAAATTTGAAGATTCCGTCCGACAAAGGGTGAGTGTGAACAAAGTGTCGAGTGCCAGCCAGGAGAAGGATGATCAGGGTGGTCATAGGTCGCAAGAACGAGCGGTGTCTAGTGCACTCAGACGGAAAAAGGGGTTAGCGGTTTTGAAAAGATGACGACACTCTTCTCCTGCCGTTGACCCAAAGACCCACAGCTTGTTGACGGTCTTGCCTCCAAATCCGATGACCGCATCTAGCGGCCCCTTTTCTTCCCACTTGGTGATAACGAACGTCTTCTGATTTTCCTCGCCTCCTGACGACGCAATCTCCGACCTGGTCCTCGCCTCATCTTGACCGACACTCTCGAAATCGTCATCTTCATTCATGTTCAAGTGTAGAGTGAGCGAAGTAGGGAAAGTGAAGGAGACGTCGACGAGAGGCAAGGCGAAAGGGGGTCCGTACGTCGTCAACGTCGGGACGAAATAGACTTGCGAGCTAGAGACATACGACAGGCACAGATTTGATCAGGTTTACAGTTCATCGTAGTGATTCTTCAGACCTACTTGTCATCCCATTTGGAACCTCCTCCAGGAGATCTCGATGTGGGCCTCTTGTCCACCTTGATAGACCTAACGAACAGTTTCTCGAGGGCGACAATATTCTTGATCCTCGAAGCTCCGTGTGTCGAGATCAAGCTCGAGCAATAGCTCGCTTGAGGCTGCAGTTCGAGGTTCAGAAGGGATTGTGATTCGGATTCAGCATGCGGCGCGTGCGAGAGGCAAGGTTGAAGGCAAGGCATGGCTCGGCGGACTGACCTCGACGTAAAGGTTGATAGCAGCATTGTATTCAACACTATGATAGAGCATGTACGTCCAGTTGAGAGTCGCTAATATCACTGTAAGATTAAAGTTGCTCACGGATCCTTGGAGAAGATACCCGCCTGGAAATCTAGCGAATCGACGACATTCAGGTCAGGCTCAATCCTGGAGATGTAACATTCCGGACAAAAGCGCCGGCTTAGAGACTCACCTTCGAGGGCGGCTTGCGGATGATCAGCTTGCATTTCGAAGGCCTTTTACAGAGTTGTTCGTTTGTATGTAATGTTTGCGAAAGGTGATAGCGCTGAAAAATCGAAGCGTTGGGATGTAGGTTGTATAGGTATAGATATAGGTGTAGTTAGCTAGATGGACAACTCCATCTGGGAACCTCCCCGTGCCTGGTTGACCTCGAGGCTGATGTCATCATCAAAGGAGACGGATTCGCGAATCACGTGACGATAGGAACTGAAACACGACAGAGTCATGATGGTGGTGTATTTGGTGCATGGGGTATTATAACACAAACCTGACAACCTCTAATCGTATATATCTACACCTCCCCTTCATCTTCACTCGACCTTCTTTTCGCTCTCGATCGTCCGCTCGGCCTTGTCCTTGATCTGCATGACCGCCCTGGTCAGGTCGACCACCTCGGCAGCGCTCAACCCGAACGTCTCTCTCAGCCTAGGCAGGTTCTCCATCGTCAACAAGGCCTCGTCCGAAGTACTCGCGTCAATTTGATTGCCGGATGACCGGTCAGAGTCGAAGCTAGGGCTGTAGATCTGGCTGGAGGGTGTACCGGTAGCGTCAGGAGCGACGTCTTGGTTCTCGGGATCCGGCACGCTGCTCGACCCGGCGGCACTTGCTGAATTTCCTCCCGTCTGTTGGCGATCCTCCATAGTCGATGACCCGGTCGAAGAGGCGCCATCCTTCAAGAGGTTGGTCGTCTGCTGAATCGCGTTCTCGCCCTTGACCTCCTTCGAACCTTCTTTTCCTGCGATCATTCCTTCTGGCGTACTCGTCTCATCCGGCGCGTGATCCTCCTTCTCCGCCGCACTAGATTTTCTCGGTTCACTTCCTTCGATAGCTTTCTGTACCGGTGCAAGGACCTCCTGCAACGTTTCATCCACCTTCACCTCGATCCTACCCTCCTTGACGAGCCTCTGCAACCATTCCGCTCCCTTCCAGGCCCGATAATGAGAGAAACACCTCCATGCCGCGATCAAAAAGGGAAAGTTGGGGATGACCGGTAAGAGTCCAAAGGGAAGCATGACGGGCGTAAGGGCGGCGGCTTGCTTCATGTACTTTTTGTGGTAGGGAATTCGGGAGGCCAAGTAGGCCTCTAGTTGAGGGAGAACGGTCGAAGGGTCTATGGATGGATGAGAGGGGATCAAGAGCGGTATCTGCGAGTAAGAGGGATTCGGTCGAGGTTGAATTAGATTGATAGCTGTCTTCTGACGGGAACAAGAAGATAATGGGACTTACTCTTGGAGTGTGGTCCTTGGCAGGATGAACGGATTTCACGCCGACATCATCCGTGGTTACGACCTCTTCTCCGACCTTGACGCTTGGGTTGATGCTTTTCAGTGCCCATCTGCGGTTTGGTACCGAAACCATGTGATGAACATCCCCTCTTGCTCATCCATGAACCCCTGCCGCGACTCACTCTTCCCACTCGACCCGATCCATCAAGCCCTCCCCCTTCGTCCACGTCCAGTACTTCCACTCGGTCGCCCGTTCCTTCAATGACTTTTTCCCTTCTACCTCGTAAGTCGGTTTAGTACCCCACGACAACCACAGATCTGAAGCCTTGGCCACAGACTCGGACGGCCATGTCGAAGGTGGAGGCCATGTCGAAGGTTTCTTCCAGTCGACCGCTTTGCTGACCGTCTTGGGACCGTCCGAACGGTCGGTCGAGGTGGATATGGAGGACTGGACGTTTTGAGAGACGTGCCAGTAGAGGATAGGCGGGAGGGATTTTGATTTCGAAGATCGAGTGAGGGGAAGAGCGAATATCCGGATGGGAGAGGGGGCCATGATGAGGGGGAGAGAGAGGCGTAGGGGTTGGCGAAGCGAAGATCTAGTACCGGAATGAACACGAATTTAATCCCAGAGACCCAGAGAGATGACTATTTCTTATATCTGAAGCTATCGAGCTAGAAGCTAGTTGCTAGAAGCTAGAAGTGCGATGCGAATCGATCCTTTCAAGCTTTGCAAGCTTGCAAGTGGGTGCGTCATATTTCGGCATCGCAACGCCTCGGAGGCAAATACACAACTGGCGCTGGCTAGCTATGAAAGAAGTCGATGATCGATTTGGGGACCGTCATTTCAAGTTACGAAGTCATCCAGAGCAGATTCAGGTGCGAGCCGACCGTCGTATTGGTAGCCGGTAGTCTGGTTTGAAAGTTGAAAAGCCGAGAAGGCACGGCCTGGTCAAAGTCTTGAAGCTCGTCTCGATTCGTCGCGGCCGCGACTGACAGGCTTAGAATCATCGATCAAGTCCTTTTTCTGCTTCTGGACAAGAATGATCATTCATGTGGATGAACGAGATTCTACCTTCTTCTGATCAGATCAGCAGCATGTGTTGTACCGTAGGATGTGGCAGTATCACGTCTCCTTGTCCCCTCGAGTATGGCTGGCGAGGGTCCTGGTCCCTTGCTTTGGTCGCTCTCGCGCGTTCCGTTTTGGCTCAAAAGCGCAAAAGCTGGTTGGACGGGCATCAGGGGACAAGGTCATCATCCCAAGCATATGCTCGACATCGTTTGTCATATCCGGTCATTCAGCTTCAATAGCCATACCCAGACATTCGCCCTACCACGGAGCAAAGCTTACGGATATTACCTTGAAGAGAAGCAAGGATGGCTACGTTCAGGAGCGGTAAGTCCGGCCAACGAGCTTTCGGTGACAGGCAGGCAAGCTCATTTCCTTGTAATCGACTACCCATGCAGCTTCTTCAATCCGTGCTGGGTTGACCACACCAGCGGCTACTCCCAGCCGGGTGTCCAAGAGGGTAAGCTCCTTCTCGTCCCAGCGTCATCGGATCAATCAGCTGATCCCACTCCTATACACCTCCTCTGACTTCATCCAACCCAAACTCAATTTCAACAACCCAATTCATCTTCGACATCGACATCAACCCCGACCTGCCGAGCAGTTCGCCCACGACCTCCTCATTACCGGCAATAAAGCCTCCAACAACATCAAGCCTATCATCAAGCACGGTCCTCCTACCGGAGGTCGATCGGCCGCTTCGGGGCATACCGTGACCGTCTTTGGATGTACCGGGTTCTTGGGTCGTTATCTCGTACACAAGCTCGGTAAGCCCGGCAGCCCTATCCGTACCTGCTACGATGGCTCGGCGAAAGTCGAGCAGATCTCAATAAGACAAGGATAAGAGGGGCTGAAGAGTATACATGACACGATCATGTTTCGTGTGAACAGGTAAATCGGGATCGAGGGTCATCGTACCTTACCGGGACGAGGATGACAAGCGACACTTGAAGATCATGGGCGATCTCGGTCAGATCATTCCTCTTGTATGTATTCTCGGCGCTCCTGCTCCTCTTTTACGAGATACAATACGCAAAGCAAGTTTGGAGCTGAGCTAACGGCATCTGTGAATCTATCTTACAAACAACGTCGTAGGAATGGGACTTGAGGAAACCTGAACAGATCGAAGAGTGTTTGCGGCATTCGGATGTTGTTTACAACTTGACCGGTCGGGATTACGAGACCAGGTGGGAACGCTTTCAATGTGATTTGGGGTTGCTCTGGGTCGGTAGCTGATGAAGGGAGGTTTTCTGATCGAACAGAAACTACAAGTACGAGGATGTCAACGTTACGTGAGTCGTACTGCTCCTGTCTGGTATGGGTCAAACTTTCGAGGGGAAACCTGTGCTGAATCATTTCTTCATCCTTGCTGCCCCTCTATAGTGGAGCTTCTCAGATCGCCAAGATCGCTCACGAGAATGGCGTCTCGCGGTTGATCCACGTCTCTCACCTCAATGCCAAGGCGGATTCCGAATCGGCCTTTTACAGGACCAAGTACGAAGGAGAGGTCGCTGTCAGGGAGGCTTTCGCCGGAGCCACCATCGCTAGGCCCGGTCCGCTGTTTGGAGGAGAGGATTGGTTGTTGAATGCCGTGGCATGTGAGTCGGGTTGTGCATGAGCGGATTAAGAGGACTTCCCTGTTGACGATTCGTGATGCTCTCGCTCTGTAGCATACCCCACGTTGTTCCACTTGAACAACGGTCAAACTCGAACTCGTCCCGCCCATGTGCTGGACGTCGCTGAGTCTCTGGCTGTGATGCTCGGTGCGCCCAAGACATCGGTTGGAGCCACGTTTGCCCTTCCCGGACCCCGAACCTACACCTACTCGAACCTCATCAAGCTCGTCGAGGCCTTTACCCTGAAATCTCACGCCGCTCCCGTCCTCCCTAAACCCATCGCCATGCTCATCTCCAACATTATCAACCGGGCACTCTGGTGGCCTACCGTCAGCCCCGACGAGGTCGTCCGAAAGTTCATTGACGACGCCTCGGCCTCGCCCAAGTCGGCCGCTCAGGACGTTCCTGCCGGCTGGGAGCAGCCCGAGGCTACCGGTCTCGAGGCTATGGTCGGTGTCAACGGCGAGCGTGTCAAGACGTGGGCAGACCTGAACATGGAGCCCGAGACGATCGAGGAGCACGCCATCAAGTACTTGCGAAGGTACCGAAGCGCGTAAGTAGCAAGCGAGATCGAAACACTTCCTTTAACAAGATTCACCGGGTACTGACGTCAGACCCATCTGCGTCCCCCTTTCTTTTGCCTCGTAGTTCTACCTTCGACGCTCCCGTTGAGATGGGAAGCTTCAAGGCGCCTCGAACTTATCACGTTGTAGAGTAAAAATAGACGTGGTGTAGAGTTCTCCATCTCTACCTCGTTCAATTGAGGTTCAAGAGGTTCTTGTCGTTGTTTATCCTATCGATCGAAAGCTATCTATCACAAACCGGACTGAGCAAAGAAGCTGCCAAGAAATCACCTGGCTGTTCCATGAGGATGGTGCGATTTCGAGGTATGCATGGTCAGCGCAACTGTCTCTACCTCAAAAGGTGTGACTATGACCACATCCACATTCTCAAAATCGTCGTTCTGATGTGGCAGAGCGATCTGGCGCGACCAGTGGTTCGGCCAGGAAATGAGACCACAGGCCACAGGCCACAGATCCAGAGAGTAGATGTTTGGATCGACTAGCGCTCGGTTTGTTTGCTTACCTAAGCCAAATTTGGTCCGCGCAGCGAGAGTGTTGACGGTTCGAGGCTTCTACTTTCTACATCCTACAAAGTCTAAAGAGCTTCATCCTTGTAAGCCTTATAGATCCTAGCTATCACTTCTACACCTGACTGCTCAGACCTGAAACATAGCTCTCTTTCTCTGATCGGACGGTCTCCGAAGCAGCGCGGCAGACGAAGGGCAATCTACAGAGCAGGCGCATCGTTGCGAAGATGGTCGCTGTAAGCACTTCTGTCTCGCTTGTTCAGGAATACTATATCAATACCGATGTTTTGATGGCTGCAGGTTCAAGAGATCGACCAGCACTACAAGGTCAGCGCATAATGGACAGGCTCGCTTTTCGAGCCTTGACTGAAATGTCGGTTGTTCTCGATTCAGAGCTATCTCGAGGGGAGATATAAGAACGTAGGGACGAGTCGCTTTGCGGTGCTAGTACGCTACGTCTTCCTCTGGGCTGGAGTCGTGCTCGGCTCCTGGACTTGGATCGACTGGTGTGCGTATCTCGTCGGGACATAAAAAACGATTCGTGGTATCTCGATACTGATCGATGCTGCTTGGATGCTGTTTTAGGTTATCCGGATGCTCGGACGCTATGGACGGTAGTTGGGGCTCTCGTCATAGCCTTGACATGTATCTGGCCCATTCTACAGTTGAGGGAAAGGTCGTTGAGAAGTGAGTCGTCTCAACCGGTAGACATCGGATCAGCTCGAGTTGAGCTCATCGAACCCCCTGCGTGTGCAGCTGTCGCTCAAACACCACCTTCCGCTGCGTCGAGCTCATTGATGAGCTTGATCTTGAGGCCGTTTGCTGGACCGCCCACCAGGAGGATCTTGGCTTGGTACGCTATGGTCTCGGTCATCTCTACGATCATGTTCTCTCTTTTGTGGGAGGCTAGGCACACGGAAGTCGAGTTGGGCCTTTTCAAGAGTACTGTGTAAGCCCCGCCGGTTTGGTTTCTTTCTCACGTGGGATAGACTGCTCAAGGCGATTCGCAAAATCGTCGATAGCAAGCTTCCTCACCACCTCAATGAACGCTTGGTCTTTCTGGTCATCGGCAACATCTGGTTCTCCTTGCTACTTGGAGTGTGGGACATCTACACCGGCCGATGGAATCGACCCAAATGGGCCAGAGACGGAGTGAGTAGAAATCGGTTTTGAGCCCCAATCGCCATTCTCCTAAGACCAGTATGACTTGCAGGAAACACGCGGCATGCGTTTTGAACGTGAAGCCAAGAGGATTGTCAAGACTGTCCCGTTGCTCGCCGCGGCCTTTTCTGTGGTCTTCACCCTCGGTTGGGTGGGAACTCGTGTGCAATTCTCCAGGTGGATCATTCAACTCTCAGCCGGTCTCTTGAGGTAAGCGCAGCAATCCGTGTGCTTGGGGAACTTTTTGTTGATGCTGGATTTTCTGGACAGGCCCTTCCTCATTCGATTCGCTCAATGGCGTTTCGACCTCGACTTGATGCTCTTCATCCGCCTACTGACACTCTTCATCAATACTGCTGTCATTTTGCGACTACCGAAAGTGTTCTTCGAGATCAATGCTACCCAGGTATGTCTCGGTGTGGTCACTCGCCATCAACCAGGAGGATTGATTCCGGTCGTTAGCCCTTGGACTTTTCGCCAGTCACTAGCGGGATGAAAGGCATCGACGGCGAGAGATATCTCACCACTGCGTTGAGCTCGAATGACGATTATCTCCTTGTGAGTACTGCCTCAATCTCCATCGTTTCATGTATCTAATCAAGCCGTCCGCTGTTCCTTTCAAGAATTTCACTGCCTTCGAATGGGCCGACCGCGGATTGCAGTCTTCCCGACGAAAGGCTGTCCTAGAGGACCTGAGCGACAAGCCGACCGCATGGAACAGCCTGTGGAATGGTTTGATTTCGCAGATAGGCAAGAGCCTCCAAATCCTGCAAACCAGGAACGGGAAGCTCAGCTCGACTGCTCCCGCTGCCCCTGTCAGCGTTCCTGCCTCGATTCCGACGTTGACCACAAACAGGGAACGCGCCCCGGCTGTGCGCTCTTTGGCTGGTCCGGGAATTGTCAAACAAGTGAGCGGCACGACAGAAAAGGCTGAACAGGCCGCCATCACCGTCTCCAACGCTGTGGCATCCTCATGGACCGCCGCTCAACCCAGCATCGATTCACTAGTCAAACGTACCACTTCCGTCATCTCGCCCTATACTGAAAACCTGATCGAGAACAACCCGACCGCTCAGGCCATCGTCAAGCGCGCGGAAGATGTCAAGGCCGGTGTCGAGGGTGTCAAGCAGCAGATCCAAACGCTTCAAGGGAAAGCGTCCGAGGCGAACGAAAAGGCCAAGACGATGATGGAGGGCAAGACATGGTGGAGACGACAGTGGAACGAGAACAAGTCGGCCTGGAGGGCGAAGAACTTGATGGGCAAGGTCGCTGTTGATACGGGTGATTGGGTCGAGAGGGTGTTTGCGAGGCGATGGGCGGAAGAGGAGATCGAGAGCGTCTTGCCGAGGCGCAAGATAGATGAATGCCTAATCCGAAGTGAGTCGTGGATTTTCCCTGTCGAATCGTGCTGTTGCTGGCCGGGACGCTAACGCCAACTCGTTTGATGAATAGCACTATCGGCCTTCATCGTAGGGTCCTATACCGAGGATCCGTACGGTCAAGTGCAACACAATGTACCTGCTGCCCTGTCCTATTTTGCACAGTATCACTCGGCTCTGATCGGGTTCAAGAATGAGCTCAAGAACGAGGCAGCCCAGACCGAGAGTGAGATCTGGCAACAAGCGGTCGAGCTCGTCATCAACGAGACGGTCGATCCCGTAAGATCAAGTGAGTCCTGGTTGACGAGTCGATCGATTCTGGTTATTATGCGATAGTTTCCCCTGTCATCACGTCTGACGGGAGGCTGACCGAGTCCTGGGAATCGTTGTCTTTTTCAGCAATCGAAAATGCCGTGCGGGCGATCCAGGCTACCTTTGGCAAGAGTATGAAGGCGTTTGAACTGTCACCCGGTCTGACAAGTTGGATCGAGGCTATCAAACAGGAATGAACGGAAATAATGAACGATACACCGGGAAAAGGCTGTGCTGAAGCAGACGGCACAAGTACCAGTGGTGGATGTTGTTCTGTTTGCATCGGTGTCTGTTTCCTAAGCATATTATTGAATAACAAGGACCGGTTGGAAAGGCTTCCGGACGATTTTGATCATATCTGTCACGATTCGTTACGTTCGCATGACTGATCGGACACATGACCCCGGAAGCTTTTGGAACCAGGCAGAAGAAGGAGAGGGGAGGGATGACCGGGGTCTCGGTTATTTGCATCCGGTCAACGTGATTGTCAAGCGATGCCCGATCAATCCTGGATGATCAAAATATATAAAACACGCAAAGAGACAGGATCGAGAAGGGACATCATCTCTTTCGACCTCGACTCGCAACTCATCACCACAGCAATAAGCACCACAATACCTCATATATCTCTTCCTCCAGAGCCTTCTTATCCTCACCCGATCGCCTTCTCAAACATGCTCAACGTCGTTATCATCGGAGCCTCGACCGCCGGTCACATCATCGCCTCCCAACTCGCACCCAAGCTTCCTGCCAGCCACCGTATCGTGATCATCGACCCGGCCCCAACCTCTTACTGGCCCATCGCCAGTCTTCGAGCCGCCGTTGTTCCCGGCTTCGAATCCAAGGTCTACCATAAGCTCGAGCAGAAGAACTTTTTCCCGGCCAACAGCAAGAACGTCTTGGTGCGACAAAGGGTGGTCAGCGTCGAGCCCGCTTCGATCGTCCTCGATGGCGAGTTTGAGGGTTCCAGCCAGGTTCCTTTCGATGTGAGTCGATCGAGGCGCTTTTCAAAGTCAAAGTCTATCTTCCTGACGGAATAATATCTTGTTACTAGGCCCTTGTGTTCGCGACTGGTGCCTCCCAGCCTTTCCCTATGCGACCCAAGCAGGAGTGGTCTGCCGAGGAGATCGAGCGACACTTCAAGGTCATGCAGCAAGAGATCGCCGCGTCCAAGAACATCATCGTCATGGGTGGCGGTCCTACCGGTATCGAGTTTGTTGGAGTGAGTGCCCGAAAAAATCGATGGACCCACCTCATCTGCTAAATTCACTCCTCACCTCGTATCTAGGAAATCCTGGGCAAATTCACCGGCGCTGAAGCCAAGAATATCACCCTCATCCACCGACCTCAACAACTGATCGATGCTCGTGCTTACAAGAAACTCGCTACGACGCTCGAACAGAAACTCCGAAAGGCCGGGGTCAACCTCGTTCTCGGTGACGAGCACGTTGCCGGACCCGAGTTCAAGGTCGGCAAGCAGGATGCCGGGGCAGTCGTCAGGACCAAGCAGGGCAAAGAAATCCCGGCCGATTATGTCTTTGTCGCTGTGGGGAACTCGCCGAACACTCAGCTGCTGGAGCAGGTCGACCCCTCGGCCGTGTCCGCCAACAAGTTGATCAAGGTCAACGATCATTTGCAGGTTAGTGAGGGGCTTTGGTTCGTTGAGCAATCAAAAGGCCAAGCAAGTCTGACGTCATTGCTATCCCCTATGCAACAGGTCAAATCCACCTTTTTCACCAACCCTAACGTTTTCGCCGCCGGAGACTGTGCCGACGCACCCGGTTGGAGGTCATTCGTCTCGAGCGAGACCGAGGCCGGAACGGTCACTACCAATCTGTTGGCCGCGATCAAGAAGAGCTCGTTGAAGGTTCACAAGGCGGGGCCGCGGGCGATGGTCGTTCCTCTCGGCACGACTGACGGGGTGAGTCTCTCTTAACGTTGTGTATGTAAATATGCGAACGCTAACGATCAATTGCGGGCTTCCCAGGCCGGGTTCGCCCAACTTCCTCTTTTGGGGGACTCGATGCTCCCAGAATTCCTTATCCCCACGGTCAAGGGAAAAGACCTCTTCACGGCCAAGTTCCACGGCCGGTTCTTGGCCTAGAGCGATTCGATCAGTACGGGCCTTTCTCTGCGTTGTATATTTATCCTTTAGATTTCGTTCTTTGCATGTCTAGTTTCTAGACTTCTTGAATATAATAATATCATTCACACGATGGGTAGCAGGATTCGGCATGGATCATCCTGATCCGTCGCAACAACCTTGCAGAACGTGCAGTCCGAGGGGCCTCTCGGCAAACCCCGACCGTTGCCAAGCAGTGGAAAGCCGATTGGAGTCTCATACAATAATGCCAGGCGGCGCTCAAGCGACGGCGAGGAAACACCACAGCTGTAACCTGTCTTGACCTGAAAGCTGTCTATACTACATCACCGAATAGGACAAAAGAGCGGCTGCGATGCAACAAACCCCATCCCACGATTGACGAGGTACTCACCGTATTGGTCTGTTCTGATTTCTGCTTCTTGCCTCCATGTTTGTGCGAGCGTCGTCGGAATCGAGCTGTCTCATCAACACACCTTCCTGCTTAAAGAATCGAAACAGAGATGCTGCATTCAAATTCTCACAGGGGACAAATCATCAACGTTTGCAGCTGTGGACTAAGCCCTGTTACCTGACCGGATGAATTGGCTACTTGTTCCATCCGTACTATTGGTGTCAGGAGCATCCTGATACAGTACCAACCAGTGGGTCGCGTGTTGTTGTCTTATTGTGTCCCACCTGGATTAACCAAATCTAATTCTGCAGGTTGAAACAGACATCAATCCTCCACGTCGTCCCGGCTCAAACCAAGTCTCGTTGTAGGATAGACCCTCAACAACCGGAATTATGCTGCGCAGGCTCTGAATGAACCGTAGTCCGACGATTCGGTCGTCAAATGCTGAGGTGTATCATGATATGCACGGTACACGCGTGACGTTCGATCGTGAAGAAAGCCGGATTTAGTACTCTTTGAGCTCGATACTCGGGCCTTGTGTCGACCCTAGAGAGACACGGGTGATCGAAGGGCCTGTGAGATGAGTATCGACAAATATAAGAAGATATGGTTGATCAGCACGAGGTATGACATCACAATAAGCCCCAAGGGCGAAAAGTGTCATCAAGAAGGTAGAAAGATAAGACTGCCAGACCGACCTTTTTGGGGTTTAGAAGTTTCTGAAGCGTTCCGCGATTGCGTCTGTCGGACTTCTTTGATGAAATGCTTGATGTTGGCTTCTACGTCTTGGGTGGGGAAATGTATCTGCGAAAGAAGAGAGCGGGATAACTTTCTTTAGCGAGGAACGATCGATAGAGGTGGAGAGTGAGGTTCACTTACTCGGCCGATGGCTAAGAACAAGGAGATGAAAATCGACGTAAGAAGGTGATTATAAGCCTCCTGTCATCTCGATGATCTGCGAGAGGACGCAAGAATTCACCCGCCCGAACGTGTCCCTGTCGATCCTCTCTCCAGTCCATCAACCCTTTCGCCTCCTGAACCGCCACATCCATATCCTCCCTGACCGTCCCCCTCTTCGGGTTAGGCATCAACCCTTTCGGTCCCAAAAACCTCCCCACCTTTGGCGTGATCGTGGACAACAACGATGGCGTACAGATCACCTTCGTAGGCTGGATCTCCCCGGAGAGGACTTGTGCGCAGAGTTCTTCCCCGCCTACGTGGGTCGCACCGGCGGAGAGGGCGAGGGTAGCAAGGTCGCCTTCGGCAAATACGAGGACGACTTCTTCTTTACGCCGTACGTCCCTGGGTAGAGAGACTCGGCCTCGAAGGGGAGGGGCGGATTTGTCGACCCGGGTGATGATCTCGATCTCGAATGCGTTGTCTGGGCGGTCGGATTCTAGTGCCTGCGTCGGTTTTGAGAGAGGATCGGTTAGTCGTCCTGCTGCACGGTGAGAGTTCGCGTCTATGAAAGACGACTTGCTTTCAGTACGGAGGCTGCATCGCGGATCGGCATGGCATCCGGGTTGATGATGGGGCCTTTCACACGTTTAGCCAGTGTCACTGAAGAGCTGGTGAATGTCCGTCGAACGGTTTGCTGTTGGTACGCAGAGAGTTGAGGTAATCAGTCTCCGAAATTGAATAAGAACTTCGAGATGTGCAACTCACGATGCGAGCCGAGCTGGTGCTCGAGATGGCTGTGCGACATGATCCGACGAGGAATGTGGGCAGTGACATGGCGAGTCGGGGTCCTATGGGATGTTTTGAGCAGCTAAGATGATATGTACGCCGATGATATACTCATCCTCATGAAAGAGTTGAACTTGGTCGAACTCTTGGAACTTGTGATCCTCTGAGAGATGAATGGACCGAGGGACGCGCTTGCACCGCGGATGATGAAATAAGCCCGGCATCACCTATAACTAGCCTGGATCAAGAGGGTGATCACTAGATCACTCAACGTTCATCCATCCATCCATCCATCTACATTAAACACCTCAAACTCGCACTCGAATGTACAAACGACACCCTCAATACTATCGTACATGAACAACTAGCCAGAACTATCTTGAAATCACACTCGACGGCGACCTCGGTCGCGTCCACCACACCGCGCAGTCGAACCAGCCCGGATCAGATCACCAAACACCTCCAAGATTCGTCATTCGCCCTCTTTCTTGTGATCGACCACCTCGACCATGCCCGGGACAGCAGGACCTTTGTCACCGGGAGCGGCTCCCGCAGCTCCCCCAACAAGAGGCGAGATTGAGAGGAAGTTGTCGATGAGATCGGCTGAACCTCCCCGACCGAGAAGGGTAAGTCGAGGCTGAGGTGCGCGTAAGAGATTCGGGCTGAGCTGATCTTTGTCTTTGATTATCTGCTTTCACTTCTACCGTCTCCTACTTGTCACTCAAACTACGATATACTCTGTAACTATCTTCTCTACCCACTGTCCCCTTCGTAGCGCTCCTCCGGTCCGGTCCCACCACCACCCATAGGCCAATCAGGCAACGAATCCGACTCTTCCTTTCAATCTTCACTCGCCGGACCACCTTTGATGAACACCGCCGGTTCTCCTATCGCAAGTGGGAACGTCTCCAACTTGTCAGCTGGGTTGCATGGAAACGGCGTGGGAGCGTCGGGGGGTTTGAACATGGGTAACAGCAACCAGAACGGTACCGCCAGCGGTAACAACACCATCAACAACGGTACCAGTAACAACAATTCCATCATCGGTACCGCTGGAGGTAGCAACCTCTCCGTTCCCCCTAAAGGAGCTTCCAGTGTCCTCTCGTCCATCCAAGAACGTGGAGAGCGATCTACGGTCTTTCCCGGCGAACTTGAAGAAGACGACGAGGATGTCGAGAACGAGTTTGAAGGCGAGCTCGAGGGAGAGGGGACCGAGTTGGAAGAAGAAGAGATTACAGGGCAGAGAAAGGTGGATGGGGAAGAGTTGAAGAGGGGGATGGACGAGGAGAGGGTGATCAAGAGTGGTTATCTGTTGAAGAAGGGCGAGAAGCGCAAGGTGAGTTCAGAGGGTTAGGCTATGCGATATGGTCAATTCGCTAGGATGCTGATGAGATTGGCTTTGGTGTCTGTGACGGTTGTGGTAGAATTGGAAGAAGAGGTGGTTCGTGCTCCGAACGGAGAAGTTGGCTTATTATCGTGATGAAAAGGTAAGCCGTATCTCTATCCGTCACTGTATCAATAACGTCGCTGACCTCTGCAATTTAAACCTAAACACTAGGAATACATGCTCTGCCAGATCCTCTCCCTTCGAGATATCCACAGCGTCGTCTCTGTTCAGCTCAAGAAGCACAATTTTGCCTTCGGGATCATCACGGCCAAGAGGACCTTTTACGTCAGGGCGACGTCGCAAGGGGAAATGGAGAGTTGGGTTCACGCAGTGAATGACGCAAGGAGGAATTTGGCGGAGGGAGATGAGAAGGCTAGAAGCCCGTTGCAGATTACAGGAGGAGCTGGACCTGGGGGTTCGGGCGGTGTGAGCATTCCGGTCCCCGCGGCTTCTACGTCGATGGGGAACCCGAATCGAGGGATGAGCTCGTCCGAAGGGTTTGGGCAATACGGCGTCTCGCCAGGATATACGGAAATGTCGCTGGGATCGTACACCCCACAGCGAGGTGGATCGGTCTCGCATTCTCACTCGCACTCGCAATCGCTCGGTGGCGCCATGTATGGATCGCAGCCGCAGACACCTATAGCCCTTCATCCTGGATACTCGATGCAGGTCGGGGGTCAGCAGCAACAGCAACAGGGGATGATCCCAGGGATCGAATCGCAATTGGACAGGCTAGCAGTCGGCGATCAGAGCATGAGTCCGTCGGGTGGAGGATACGGTGGGAGTACGAGCGGAATGAATACGCCGACGGTCTCTGATCGCGCTCGAGGGATGCCGATCAGGACGACCTCGGCACAAAGGGAACCTTCGACTTCGTCCGTGTCCTCCATCCCTGTCGACAACGGCGCGGTGTCCCAGAGCAACACCAACACAATGACGACAGGGAGCCTGTTGCCGCAAGCCTTCATCCCTACCTCGTCGGATGAAGAGGACGATGCGTTTGCGCCTCGGTCTTTCGGGCAGGGCAATGGGAACAATGCCAACATCGCCGGGATGATGGGGATGAGCCCGACCACGAGATTTTCGCCCATGGGTCATCCGCCTACTCCCGGAGGTGGGATGGTCTCCCCGAGACCCGTCCAGACGGACCCGAAGAAGGTGATCCTGAACGGGTATTTGATGAAACTCGGAACGAGGGGAAAGAAGACGTGGAGAAAGAGGTGGTTCGTCTTGACCAGCGGCGAGTTGGTCTACACCAAGAGTCACATGGTGAGTGCAGGATCCGGTGCGCGTGATGGAATGAGGATATAGTGTGTTGACCATCGACGTTGCCTGCTTTCAGGACACCAAGGTGCACCGACAGATCCCCCTCAGCAACATCCTCGATGCAATCGAGTTTGAACCCGTCGAGCCTATGGGTACAGATGATTCCGATTCAGACGAAGCGAGGGAGATAGCAAGAAGTCCGACGAGTCCGAGAAAACCTCGTCATCTACACCTGGACCGAGATCGAGAACGAACCCGAACCCGAACATCAGGCAAGGGGGAAAAGGGTACGGTCGTTCAGCACGCTTTCCAGGTGATTACACCGCAGAGGACTTTCAAGCTCTGTGCCCCGAGCGAGGAGGAGGAAATCAAATGGGTGGCGGCGTTGAGGGCGTTGATCAACCGGGAGAGAGGGTTGATGTCACCGACGATGATGACGGGTACCATGGCGCCGGGTTTGCCTGCGATGCCGGCATCAGCGTCGGCGTTGCCGGGAGGGGGTCAAGGTCAAGGTCATGCGTACGTGCAAGGGGTGCAGGCTTATGCACACACCGGGCAGGCGTCGAGAACGCATTCGCAAGCGCCGACGCCTTCGGTCCAGCCTGGGTCCGAGGAAAACTCGTACTTCACCCTGGGTAACCCTGTCGCGGTCAACCCCAACAATGGCAGTAACAACATGACGAGCGTCCCTGGGACACCCGCTGGAGGGTCGGCTGGAGGATTTACATATCCGATCCCGCAACAACAACCGCAACTGCCGCAGTCAAGTCGGACGACGAGAGCGTCTTTGCCGCCCTTGGTGACTACGCCGTCACATACGAGGACGCGATCAGCGACGCAGAGCGCGAAGGCGGCCGTCGCCGAGGTGGTTAGGCGCTTCAATCCCGAGTCGTGAACGGGATGAGCGACGCGATGAGGAAGAGGGAGGGGTGAGGTGTGATTAGGATGCGGTCTATCGCGCAATCGCGATATATATCTTCTCTCTCTTGTATCGAAGCAATAGGTTGTCAGATTGAGGCTGTCTGTCAGTGGAGAACATTATAATATGTACTAGAGACTCTTTAAGCATTTAGCGCCACGAGTGGGGATTTGATTGACCACTATAAGGACTGCGCCTCAGCCTGGTTAGCCTGCTGCTGTATTCTCTCTGGTGTGAGGCCCTACCAAGCTGCGCCCAATCCTGAACTTGAAGCAATCACTCTGGCTTCTTCTATCCAGAGTTAGACTTGATTTCATGGAACTAAATCTTTCGTAATACTGTACGACAATGACAATCTTTGTATATATTCTCGATTTGATGTCCATTACAAAGGGCTACACCAGTCCCACGATCGCATCACTGTTGTCTTGTTCAGGCGTTAAAGCTCGAACTGCCATCCGGAATCGTTTCGCCAGTGCATTCCGAAGCCACTAGCGAGTGATCGTTTCGAGCGAGCCTATCACGCTTGGAACAGCCGAGATGGATCTCTGTGGTGTTTTCTGGTCAGGAAGGCGAGATTCGAGAGTGATATCGTGATTGTCTTTCCCCTCAAGTTGAAACACAGAGAAATCTGGAAGTCCCTCAGTACGCGGAAGCGTCCAGTTCAGCGATCCGGTTGCACTGTCTAAAGCGATGCTGCCCGGATCTGCGGGAGGTCGCAACGAGCTGTTGATTGATCCAGTAAGGACACCGCTTCCACATGGGTCAGGATCTTCATCAGATGCGTCGACAGCCTTGACCTTGATCATGAGCATGGGCTTGCCTGATTTGTTGGATGTACCCTTCATTCGACCAAAGTTGAAACTATATGACTTGTGACGTTTGTACACGCAAGTGACTCGCACCGTCCCCATTTTGGTACTCCGGCTGCTGGTACCGTCGTTCTCGGCTCCAACTTTGTACTCCGTGATCTTGAGCATATGCGACCACGCAGCCTCGAAGGTCGGACTTTTGAAGCAATCGTCGAGTCTGACCGCCATCAGCTTTTCCTCACGGACGATAGCGCGCTTTTTCTCGCCCTTGATCTCCACACTGTCGACACCTTGATCTTCGGCCCAAGGATCCCTCAATTCATCCTTGAAGTAGATCCGCCATTCTCCCTCAGCCTGTGTATGGACCTTGTAACATCAGCGAAGGGCCACCATGCACGAAAACGCGGATCGAATGTGATACAAACAATACGGCCCTTTCCTTTAGAAGCGTTCTGAAGGGCAGCTGACCAGATATAGATGGGCGAATTTGGCTCCGGACTGGACTGATTGTTGCTGAGGCTCTTGATCACACGGTCATACATGGTGGAGAAGAGCTGGATAAGTCTGTTCTTGCGCTGTGATAGGGTTCGAGGTGTTACCAACACACGAGGTGAGAGGGGAAGCCAACCGGAAAGACGGGAACTGGGAGCACGTATATATGCATATATGTATTCTATGCAGCATGACCGGCCGCGCCTGTAGGTATACCGCTTGCGTGGTCTCACACAACTTTGCCATCTGAAAGGAAACCCATCTGTTCATCACGCGACTTTGAGGAATGGCGACGAGAGGCGACAAAGTGACAAAGTTAATCACGCGCGCGCTATCCGATCAAGCGCAATAAGGGGCGTTGAGGTTTTGGGTTCTCAGTCAAATACTTTGGGTGTCGGTATTTATGTCAAGGATGAGAACCAGGGTTCCATTTTTGCTTCCCTTTGTCGAGGCACTTCAAACAACTCTTGTGTGACCGTCCTGGAGATTGCCCGACGAAAGCGACCTCACCGCATTGTTGATTGTCCCTTGACGGTGGACCCCCGTATGGAACAGTCCGCACGCATACTTATACTGTTCCAAACAGCAGTACCGGAAATCGATTAACCTCAACGTCCGAAGATCATGCAAATCGTATCTCTTCTAACTAATGGTACATGAGATAACTTGCTGTAATGGTTTGTTTTTCCTTCTGTGCCTCCCCTTCTTTCCCTATCTATCGTTCTCCATGACTGAAGGTTTAAAGTTTGAATTTACGCGATGCTGTCCTCTTGTTACCTCTGATGTGTTCACCTCCCGAAGCCCATCCTAAACTGGGAAGGCGGGGGTTCTGCTCAATGTCTGCCGTTTGAGCTCGTCTCGCTGTTCGTGTCCCCTGTGTGTCGCTCGATCTCCTTTGAGTACATCGACAATCTGCGCTGATAGTCACTTTCTTGTAGGACTGAGCGTCCAGCCACCTCACCCAGGCGGCCCTCTCCCTCTTCACCAGCCGTTCCTGAGTCGGCGAACGAGTCTGAGGTCCCGGAAGGGCCACTGCTTCCCTCGCTAGGGCGCGGCGAACTCAGCGATATGATCTTGGAGAGCCTCGACATGAACGACTCCCTTCGCCTAGCGGAAGCCTTGGTGTTTCGCTCTGGCTCTTCTACATGTACCACCAGCTCATGTGTAGCACCAGAGGGCTGCCCCCATGAGAAGCTAGAAGTAATGTTTTTCTTTGAAAGCAGAATTCATCGGATTTGTCTCCATTTTCTCATCACTGCTCTAACCTAGCATTTGACTCCAAGGCTTCTCGAATCCAGGGTTGCCCAGAGAATATCCGAGTGCTCCCAGCCTTTTGATTACCTCGTCTTTTTTCGGCTCATTCTCTGGCGAGACAGACACTCGCATGAGATTGCACCGGTCCGAAGAATCGTTATCGTCCGGGCGTGGACCAAATTGCAACTATCAGACACCCTTTTTCTACGAACAGACCAAGCCGATTAACAGATGAAGCTGATTGGAGGGTATTGGCAGGACAAGCTCACGATGCGATTCGAGACAATAATACATTCACTCTGGAGGGCTTCTGCTCAGGTGTCTATAGCCGACTGTTGTTGACTGTTTGTTGGCTCATCGTGTATGGCAGGATAGCTCGAAGTCAGGAGAGGGTGTCGCTTGGTATTGGGATGAGATGAAAGTTTCGCTTCACTGTGGCATGAAATCGTGGTCGGGGCCTTAGACGGACTGCAGAGAGTGGGGGGATCGAGCAGCGTATATATAGCTGTTTCTGTGCAAGAATGCTGTATAGGAGGAGAAGCAGCTTCTTAGCGTGTGTTGGGGTTGACTCCGTCAAATGAATGGAGGTTGGGCGGATGGCGCGAGATGGGGTCACTGTGAAACAAGCTCTCTTCGGCTGACTGTCACCAGCATGATCGACGTTCTCGGTTCTCCCATAACAATATATGTCGAAATTGCCGACATTCGTATGGCCTGTACTTGACGGGTCCGCCCATACGCCAGGATAATCAGTCACGGATGACCCTAGGTCAGGTGCAATAGGCGTGAAGACGAAAGAATTGCGACATCTGTTGTAGTGATTGGGAACTGGCGATAGTATTGCTCCCCTAGCGATCGGTATGACTGCAGTGGTGTTGGAACGAAAGCATGAGTGACGACAGGGGTGAGTCGTCCTCGAGATGGCGTCCGCCATCACGAATGATGACATCGACATCTCGCGATTGTAGTCTGGGTAACTTTCTACGTTGTCTTTGGAGTGGTGGCGAATACAGTCAAGCGATCAAGGGGTAGTCCGCTGATCAATTCCATCACGATGTGTACCGAGTTGCTTTGCATATGAGATTCGGGATATGACCATATATTCACGCAACGCCGCACAAGAATGATATCTCTCTCTCTCTCTCTCTCTGAGCAATAACATGATCATTTTTCTGGAGTAAGTATTTTCTGAAGGGGAACAGGAGGAGATAATGTACACTCTATGGTCCCTATTCGCAGTCACTAATTGAATTATCCTTGTCCTTGCCTTTGAGAATTTCTTCCTATCGCTGGTGTCTCTCCGCTTGTTGTCCGAGTCCAAACTTTTACCTCGGTGCGCGGTTGTTGGAGTTTCCTGAGGATGGGTTCGAGGTAGCATACACATTGGACGTCCCTGTTCCGGGTCCGGAGCGACTTGAGGCGGGGTATTGACCAGAAGTTGCAGTTGCAGCTCCTGAACCCATCGAACTGTAGTGGGATGCGGTGTCTGCTCCTGTAGATGCACGAGAGAGTGGCCAGGCCCCGAGTGTTAGTCGAAAGGGCGAGAATGAAAGTTTTGGAAAAGAAGCAAGAGACTTACTCTGTGAGCCGGACACATCTCTGCATAGTGGTGCGATATCAGTGTTTCACCATTGTAATTTAATGAGCTGCGTTTTTTTGACTCACGGTGCTCTGTGAACCTGGATGATGAGTTCCTGTAGATCTGGAACGGACGTTTGCCTCTCCGAAAGCATCCTATAGTATGTCCTTCGACTGTTGTCTTGGAATTGCTTCGCTGCACCGAGCTCTTCGTAGCGTTTGATGACAGTCGATTCAATCACCGATTCAATCAGAAGTTTGCAATTCGCATAGTATGGACCGTAGTTCTCCAGACTCCACGAGTTGTTGATTGGACCTGGATTGTTGGGCAGAGTCGAGTAGCCCACAGCCGTTACTTGCAACGCATCCTGATCCGTCACTTTAAACAACAGATGGTAATTGCCTTCTGCCTATAAGGAGGTCAAAGATCTGTCAGTACTTGGGCGCATATTGCAATATGCCTCGACTAACGATGTCGTCCGGCAGGAACGAATGCTGTTGTGGGGTCGCGGTAATTGCTCCTGTTATCCTATCGTAGGATATGACTGGAGTAGGCCTGAGGGTAGACCGTATGCATGTGGTGAGACACTCTAGTAGAGCTGGAATGTCTTGGTCAGGGTCTTCAGTAGGATCGGGAAACGTCGCAGTCATCATGAGGGTGGACATCTTGAAGGATTTGCTGACAGCGTGTGGCGAAATCGAGGACAGTATTGGATTGATCAAGGCCGTCAAAAATTGCAGTAGGACACCATAGTTGGCTGTACTGCGTATTTATAGATAGCCGTGGTACACCACAGCTTCGACTGGACTAAATTTGCTACTCAATGCCTCCTCACGGACTGAAAGGAGAACAGAGAGGGTCAGGGGGTCCTTTCCCCAAACTTGCTCGATTAATGAGGCCTTTCCCCAATCTCTTTCGATCACACGATACGACGCCATACACACCTCGAGCCGGATCGTATATTCCCTTGTCCAGATCCGGCAGCCGCCACCGGCATTGCATCAGCGTCACACCACTTGCCGTCGGATTATACCGTCACACTAAGCGGGTGTGATCGATATGACGCTTTTTCATCAAGATATGGGGCTGAACAAGGGAATCGTGATCGTCTCATGAATTATCCGATGCCGAAATGTACATTAACAATATCGACTCTGCTGCGGTACAAACCTGACAGACAAGATACGATGGACTCGGATGGCGTGTTTTCCGCGGCATGTGGAGAATGTGAACGAAACCCGCTGTTATCGGGCGAAGGTGTGGGTGCAGGGGGGTCTTACGGCGGCTCGCTGGGATTAATAGATCTGATGTTATCGTTGTGACAGACTGGGAGAAGCGCTGAGAGTGGAGTGGAGCACGTAATATGGTGACATTTCGAGGAAATGCGACGACAGGGTTAATCGATCTGGGTTGGTTGAAGAGGCTGAAACGAGGAGGCGGAGCGCGCAAGATCACGTGATACTGCCGAGGGAACAACGGAACGCCACCCTGAACTTGCCGTAAGGCCCGGGCCGAGGCCGATTCCCAAGAGTCGAACGATGAATTCAACAATTGTTGCCAAGATCGCAAGATCTCGATGCAGAATCGTCTTGACATCGACGAGATCTCAAACAACACCAGATCTCCCTCATAATCGTACAGGCAGCATCGGCTTGCGTCTGCCTATCTGCCTATACCTTCATAACTCCACACACCGCATACCCCAGCCTCGCGTGGCCTATTCAAACTCGGCCACCATCTCTGGCCGCCGAAAGATCATCGCCCCCGTAAACCCTAGCTTCTAATCAATCATCGATCACCACCATGCCCCGGTCTTCGTTCGTGAACCTCTCGATAGGACTGCTACTGCTCCTAGGGGCAAATGCTGTAAATGCTCAGAGGTCGTATTGTGCGGAAGACCCGTTCGTGAGTCCGGGTCGTCAGCAACAGGCAATACCGGGATCGTGCTTGTTTACCTTTTGCCTATTGTTTCGTATCTCATTATAGGCGAACCCAAGCGAAGATCGGTGAGCTCTCCCATATAGCATACAAGTTTGTTACTGTCATACTGATTCATGACTCTGTGATTTCGATCTCGATCCTGTTCACTCGACACAGATGTAACCCGCTCCGATACATCCCCGTCATCTGGGGTGCTATCACCGCGCTCGTCCTCTACTTTATAGTCGCCATCCTCTTGACCGTCCGTAAGTTCGGATCGTTCAGTCAATGGTATGTCATCCCGCAAGAGATAAGGAGCTGATGGATAGGCAATCTTGTCCAGAATTTTTCCGGTATGGAGGGAAATACTTCTTGTGCCTCGTCATCGGGTGCTACTGTGAGTCTTCCTACTTCCTATCACAGACTATTTGTCTTGCTACTGTCCCTCAAGGCAATGAGCTAATGTTAATCTTATTTCTTCACATCGTAGGCTATGGTATTGGGCTGTGTATGAGGATTCCGTTCAGGTCCGACCCGCATAACACGACCATTTACATCGTACAGTACTTGTTCATTGTGCTCTCGGTGAGTTGTCTGGGCACAGGGCGGTGTGTAATAGCGCTTACAGAGGTTGACAATATACTGCGTCAATGTCCATTCGGTAGCCATGTGCTTTCTTGGCAGGTAAGCAAAATCCCGGTCCGCTCTTGCTTGACACGATCTACGACTGACCAAAACCACCCCCATCCCGAAACTCAGGCGACTACATCCTCCTCGGCCGGATCGTCTCCCACCTTTCCGGCGACCGACACCTCCGACCCGTCCGCCCTAACAAGGTCACCCTCTTCTTCGTCCTCTCCGACGTGGCGACCTTCCTGATCCAAGCTGCTGGAGGCGGACTATCCATCTCCCAGAAACCCGCGATGAGGGATGCGGGGCAAAAGATCTTCTTGGCCGGGATTTGTCTCCAGTTGGCGAGTTTCGCGTTCTTTACTTGTCTCTGGGCTTTGTTCGGGATCCGAGCGTGAGTCTCTGTGGTTGCGCGGCTGCGTATGATCCAAGGCAAATGGGGCTGATCATGGATGCGATGGCCGGTCGCAGGTATAAACGGGACCCGGAGCTTTGGGGGATGGCTTGGTGGAAACCCCTGTACTGGGCTCTCGGGTTCACTTGTGCCATGTTTTTGGTAAGTCTAGCAGAGATTATTCTTTTCTTACGTGATATCGACGATCAGGAACACAGCGGCTGATCATTAGCGAAACGTCCTTTGCATCGGTTGTGGTAGATCCGAAGCGTCTTCCGCGCGGTCGAGCTTAGTGAAGGCTATACGGGGTATCTCGCTACGCACGAGATTTACATTTACTTGTTGGATACCGTGAGTCACTTGTCTACTTCGAAAACTGACCGCTTTCCGACCGCGTAGGGGCTAATATATCGCCCCAATCCCGCTAGCTGCCTCTCTTCTTGGGAGTGACGACCTACATCTACTTCTGGCCGGCCAGGTACCTCCGGGCCGACACCAAAGTCATCAAGGACGAACAGGACATGTCGTCTGTGGATCACGCTGCTACACCAATCCCTGATCTTACACAAACCGGTGAACGACCGGTCGAGGCCGTACAGGAGGTCAAAAAGTAAAAGCCTTCCTCCAAGGTAGAGTGGAGGATAAGGTCTCTGCGTGCATAAAGGTTTCACCCTCCTCGCTTCGACGGCAGGATCTAGTAGGCAGGAAAAGTGTATGATATATAGGTTGTGGTGCGTCTTGAGGTTGTTCGTATATACCCTTTGGTGCGATTCGATAATCAACACATATCAAGGCACTACGATGGTCGCATTCAAGCTCATGCATCAGGTACTCATAGGGCTCTATCTGCTATTTATGTCGTGCATATTAGGTTCGAGTGCGTTCATTTGCTGATGACAAACTACTTGTGATATGGCCTAGCCAAGAACCTCACTTTGACAATATGTTGTGTTACGTTTCGCTGCCATGTTCATCCGGCCAGTTCAACCTTTCCCAAGATTGAGTTCCTCTCTGTCTGACAGTACATTTTGCGCTCGTCTATCCTACTCGGTCGTGGTCATAACAGGCTCGTCCCTCATTCTTAAAACAACCTTGGTACCAGCAAATTCTTCGTGTATGTGTGTGTCGTTATTGGACCGGGCTAGGTCGGGTATTCGATATTCGCTTCGTGTTCGTCTGTATTTCTTCGCCGACTTATTGTCCGGACGTAATAGTGGGCGTGGGAGGGACGACCTCGATCTCGACGTCGTCCGCTCGAGGGATCTGTATGTGTAAGGGCGCCGGCACTGTCCCCGACGAAGAGGCTGCCGCTTGCTCTTCCCTTGCCAAAGCTCTCCATCCGGTACCAACACCCGCACCCTCATCAACGCTAGGTCTTGCCGTCGAGCCTACGCTAGAGCCTCTCGCTCTACCCATCCCAATCCCAGAGTCGATCGGGTTGCCATCCACATCCACCCTGACGCCATATTTGCCCAGACTATCCGTGCTGCTGAGGAACTCCACCTGCTTAGCTGAAAAGCCCGCTCGTGGTGCGTCGAATGAAGATCGGATGAGGCTTCCCGGTAACGGCCCGGAGATGGGTCCGTTGAGGTTGATCACCGAGGACGAGGCCGAGATAGGTGTAACTGCTCCAAAGGAAGACAAACGGCTCGAGAACCGGGTCATCGGCTGAGAGTTGTTGATGTTGTTGTTATTGACGGAGAGGAGGGAGACCTGGCTCATCATCCCCGGCGTAGAAGCACCAGAGACGTTTCGCATGGACGAAGCGTTCGACCAACCTCGGTTCCGACCCGTGCTCGTACCCGAGGTCGACATCCTCATCAGCCCCGCTCGATCATCGTCCGTCGCCGTAGAACCGGTGCTGAATCCACGACGATGTTGTTCCGCCCTCCCACCCGTCAGACGGCCGACAAACGCCCTGAAACCGCCTCCGCCGGTGGCATTGGCATTGCTGCTGCCAGTGCGACCACCAGCTGGACGTGATTCGGGATCGATATCGAAATCAAACCTCGGTGGGGGCACGGCGGTATCGTAACTGGGCGCCTCTCCCCATCCTCGATCGGGAATATCAGACGTCGACACGCTAGACGCTCGGGTCCGACCTCGGTCAGGCGAATCGGCTGCGGGCGAGGTGGTCGTGCCCGTATGAGTCTCGTCTGAGCGGACGTCATTGTCGTTGTTATCATGGTCGACATCCGTCGAGCTTTGACCGGGTTCATCCTCCTCACGGAGCAGCTGAGAGCTAGGTCCAGCGTTATCTTGATCGTCCTCGTCCTCGTTCTGACCTTCGACAATGTCCGTCTCCTCGCCTCGTCCCATCTGTCTCAAAGACTCTCGTTTCCTATCGAATCAGAACGAGTTCGTCCGCAAAAACACAACCCGGTACCATCAGCCACTATCCGCTCAATGCCCGCGTACTAGTTGAGGGGGAAAAAGCGACGAGGGACCGCGGAACTCACCGAATCAAGACGACATCCTCCGCCCCGACATCTTCCTCGTACAGCGGTAACGTCTGGGTCGACCGTTGAGACCCGGTCCGGCCCCACCTCCTACCTCCACGTGTGATCACTCGGCCGCTCACAGCTGGAGTCGTCGTCGTTGTAATTGATGTTGTTGTAGTATTTGTCGTGGGTACTGCCGGGGTGGTATTGGATGTCGGCGTCCCACTTGAAGCTGCGGCGCCCCGACCCGAACCCAAGCCCAACCCTCTTGCGATCCTCCCACCTCTTCCACCTCCGTTCGCATGGTTGTTCCCGAGGTGTAAATGCCTAGCCAAGATATCCGTCAACGGGTCCCCCTGCCCCGGTACCCCGTTGATCGTACTACCGTTATTGTTCGTCGCATTCGAATTCGAGGTAGAGGTCGTCCGTGTCCGGCCTCCTAGTCCGTGTCCTTGTTGTCGGGGTTGTGAGGAGGATGCACCTGGGCGTAGGGAAGAGAAGAAGAAGGAGACCGGATTACTACTCCGTTGGGCCGTCTCTGGTCCTGACGTAGTGGTCGAGACAGGTGACGGTGGTAAGCCGATAAGGATAAGAGGGTATGGGATACAGTACCGGATCTTGTGCGAGGTTGCTAGCCGGCTGCGGAGGGTTGGGGATGTCCGGATCTGTGTGTGCGCAACAAACGAGTTCGATTGATCGATTGAGTGGTGGGAGATCAGCTTCAAGTCGCGTTACGCAGATATCGACGTATCGTAAGACGAGGTTCAAAGAGCCGTAGAAGCAAGGGGGTCAAGACCGGTGTAGCCATAGTCGATGCACTTACGACAATGTAGTTGACAAGCACGCACAGGACGATGAAGTACACGGGTACCAGGTAGATGGCGATGGACGTCATTTTCGCTGCGAGCTGTTCAAGGTAGTATACTTTTCTATCTCGACAGATCGAAGTGGTAGAGGATGGGGACAAGAGACAAGAGACCTCGACGAGAGCCTCTTTTTATGGTGGAGGGGATTGAAAACGATAGGATGGGGTGATGTTACAGAGATCAGAACAGCTATAGATATCAAGAAGCTGGGAGCATACGAACAACAAAATACGACGATAGCGGTGCATGCGAGTACTCTGGTCATGCATGGGCGGCCGGGCAAGTGCTTCCTTTGCGCTGATTGTTCCATTCTCTTCACTCCCACGTTCCATCTACCATCCCGGCATCCTCCGTATGTACCCGACTAGCCCGAGAACAATCGACATGCGACATTCTTACTTGCAACTTTACCTTGTATATCTGCACTTCCCCCTTCGAGTTGAAGCCCCATCCAGGTCGTTCATCGTTCAAACTCGACTTCGAGGTTGCATGAATTGCCAAAACCCCCCCCCCCCCCGGGCCGAGCTCGGGGGCTGTGCTGCTGCTATCGCATGACGTAAGACGTAACGCTAGCAGTTTACTTCCGAGATTTACTCCCGATCAGCCAAGGCGACGTTCAGATAAGGGAAAGTGACGATACTGTACGCGACAATGATGATGTCCCTTTGCCTTTTTAGCGTTTTTGAGTTTGGTCTGGGAAATGTCCCTTTTCGCTATCTTCGGTCAAAGTTTAGCTTTTTACGTGATATTACGTAATTTTGTGACGTAAAAACGCTAAAATTCGAGATTTTTTGCCTGGGACAGCGGGACATTTGTCCCTTTTTAGCTGGGACATGGGACAAAAAAGGGACATCATCAATGTCGCGTACAGTAGATCATGTCGATGTTCGATGTTCGAGGTTGCAAGTCATGTCGACCTGGACGTTATTGCAGAGCTCACTGAGAGTATGGTCAAGCCAGACGTAAGAGCCCGTCAATCATGCTGATACGAAATAGAATTCTGCATCCCAGGGCTATATGGGCTTCCACAACGACCCATCCCGCTCGATGCCGGTACAACTCTTCTCAATCCAAACCTCCGACTATCGAACCGAAATCGACCTCAACATCACCTGACTCCCCGCCTGATGGTATCCCAACGTTCCAGGATCTCGGTCTTCCGACGCCTCCTCCTTCCGCTCCGTTATTTAGTAGAGAGAAATTGTCGGATGAGGAGATCAGGCGGACGGGAGGGAATCTGGCCAAGCTCATAAGGGATTCTATACGGGTGGGTCTTGATACGAGATAGGAGACTACCGGAGTCATATTCTCCGTTGTAACAGTTGTGTAGCTACTGGACCCTTACAACCCATTATCGTATTACGACTCTCTGACTATCACAAATTGATCTTTGTCTCCGTTTTATGTTGCAGGCGACGGGTCCGATTCCTTTAGCATACTACATGCGACTATGCCTAGGACATCCAACAGAAGGATATTACACCAGAGACTACACGCAAGGTTCGGTTTCGGCGGGAAGTGCGGCGGCTGCAGGTGAATTGAATGATTTCGTTACGTGCGAGTGGAGGAAGCGGGCTTGGGGCTGAGTTTGTTGGTCCAGCTTCAGGTTCACCTGTATCAACATCGTCACCACCGACAGCCCCAACTTCAACATCATCGACATCAACATCATCAACATCGATAACAGATCAAGCACAATCGAAAATCCTAGCCGAGATCAAACAAGACGTCTTTGGCCGCAAGGGGGATTTCATCACTTCCCCCGAGATCAGCCAGGTTTTTGGAGAGGTCAGTCCCAGCCCTAAGCTCCGAGCAGTGAATGAGGAGATCAGAGCAGGCTTGCTAAAATCTTCCCTCCTGATCTTCCTCCTTCCGAACCCCCTATCTCTTTTTCGTCATCGATGTCCACGGCACGCAGCTGTTAGCACTCTTCTTGACGACCGAATGGATCGCGCAAGGTCGACCGGGACGGATCAGGCTGGTCGAGCTCGGTCCGGGGAGGGGGACTCTGATGGACGATGTCTTGAGGGTGAGTTTTCACTTGTTTCTACTGGTACACTTTCCACAATCTCAGGTGAAGCACAATCGACTGAACTAAGCGATCTATCTCTGGCACGTTATGATATACCCGCGGACAGACATTCGCGGCCATTCCAGCGCATTCATCGCCGCTGTCCAAGCTGGAACAGATCTGCCTGATAGAGACTTCGTTACCGTTGAGGGAACAACAAGAACGGAGGATCCGGGATCGCTTACGAAAGAGCGGGAGGGACGTCAGGGTCGGCGATGTTGAAGCAGAGGAAGCCGGTGGCAAGAGGAAAGAGGGAGAGGTCGATCTGAGGTTTGAGGAATGGATTGGGAAGGTCCCGGTCGGTAAGTGCTGATAGGGACGGCTTATCTTGTTGATCTAATCATCTCATCGCTGACGATTTGGACGAATAGACAAGGACGTCTTTACCATGGTCATCGCCCACGAGTTCTTTGATGCCCTGCCTATCAACGTCTTCCAGGTGAGTCTTGTCGCAGAGTAGACGCCGCTCGAAGCTGTAAATGATGGACTTTAGGCTGATATGCTGTGATGTCATCAGAAAACGGAAGAAGGTTGGAGAGAGGTCTATGTAAATGTGGATCCTGGTTGGACGGCCAGTTCTAGGTGAGACGATTGGGTTAATGGTATTTGCTGCTACATCTTTTCTGACCGCCGAATCGCATCGAGAAATAGCGCCGAACCGTCAACCGCTGAAACGGACCCCTCGTTCCGCAAACCAAACTCCGGTCTCACCCTTGCACTTTCGCGAACGAGCTCGACGCTCTCCCAGATCCTCCCAGCCACATCGCCCCGATTCGCCGATCTGGCTGTGGGCGACCGGGTCGAGATCAACAAGGAAGGTTGGGAGATTATGAGGATGATTGGCGAGCTGGTCGAGGGCAAGGTGGTCGACCAGGAGCGGGGCTGGAGGGAAACGTCAAGTGCGAGCGATTCGGAGGGAGTAGGTGGGGTCGGGTTGGTCGTGGACTATGGCGACGAAAAGGCGTTTGACAATTCATTCAGAGTCAGTACTGGGTTCCGCCTCTTTGGTTTCAATCAACTCACAGCTGACATGGTCTGAATGTAGGCCTTCCGAAGACACGAGATCGTACACGTCTTTGATGATCCGGGTAGCGCCGATCTGACCGCAAACGTCGACTTTGCCTATCTCAAAGAGTCGCTCGAGGGTGTCGGTAAGCAAATCCAGAGCAGCTCAAGTTGTCCAAGCGACCCAAATGCTGACTCATCATTGTGCTCGCCCAGCCCACCCGCATGGACCCATGACGCAACGAGAATTTTTGATCTCACTCGGTCTCGCACCTCGACTAGACAAACTGCTCAAGAACGCTCCTGATAGGGAACGCAAGTTGGAGATCGCGAATGCCGCCAAGAGGTTGATCATGGAGGACGGGATGGGCGGGCAGTACAAGGTCATGGGCGTGACGCCTGGATGGAGGAAGGGCAAGGGGGTCTATCCGTTCGAGGTGGTCGACCAGGCGCAGTAGAGGAGGGACAGAGGCGGCGCAGAGATAGATGCGGATTCTAACGTTTCGATGTCTGCATGCGAACCGTGTGGCGAAAGTTCTTAATAGCCCATCCTGACCATGATCGCGGTGCCGACTAGAACCCCAGATGATATAATAAATATAACACAACAACAGTGAAAAGATGAGCCAACAGGAAAGTCCAAGGGGGTGCCTGAGGGTAGAGGCTGGGGTATACAACAACTAGGACTAGGAGACCGGGCGTCTAAATGAGATAGGTCGGTACAGGTGTGAGGAAGACGAAGATAATGCTGGTGTTGATCTTGAGCGGATAATGCTCGTGTAAGAGGTCGTATCGAGTGGAAGGTTTGGTTCCGAGGCGAACAGGGAGTCGAAGTTCCGGCTGCAATGACGGGGTGATGAGATGTGCAGGTGCTCCTAGCGGAGGTCCAGATCCTAATGTGATCTCCCCATTTCCCCTTTGCGTCCTCCCACATGACCGAGGCCCCCCTTCTCAAACGAAGAATCTCTATCTCATGACCCTATCCCGCCCTTCTATCTTCTCCTAGCCGGCCTTCCACTCCTCCTCCTGGCCTTCTCGCCTCCCTGCCTGTTCTTTCCCTTGCGTTCTCCCCTGATCGGCATGCCCTTGGAGACTCGCCATTCTTCTCGACGGGACATTCGATCGCCCGAGGTGGAGATCTTCTTAGGGGTGGTCGTAGCGTCCATGTCTGATTGTTGAAGAGAGAGAAGGAGGAAGAGCACGTAAAAAGGTTAGAGGAGGAGTGCCGCGAGGTAAGAGAAGTGCGAGGCGGTGGTGGTCTTGCTCACCTTCATCTTCCACCTTGATCGCCTCGTCCTCGATCACGATCTCGTCCCCATCCTCGTTCTTCTTCACCTCCTCGGGCTTGACGCCCTCGGGTCCGTCCTGCTCGACCTTGCGCTTCAATAGCCTATCGCTCAGACGCTGGATCCTGTCCGTGTCGTGTTGACCGTACCACGATTCGGATCGTTTGAGACGACGAGATTTGGTCTGAGCTTTGTTTCGGAGTGATTTACCCATGGTTGCAGAGTTCTAAGGGTTTGGTTGAATGGCTAGATTCGGGGTGATGTTTAGCACTCGGAGTTGTACAGGTTATCGATCTCGACCTTGACCGAGGTTGCCTGTCGTGACCGAAATAATTTGTGAGAGGGGCAAGGGTTGGAGTTACCTCGAGATAGATGTGCACCGCGGATAGAGTAGCTAGCAGTCATCGCTAGTCGCGCGTCTGAGCCCGAGAAAATCGGAAACACTCGGAGCGAGCGAATGACATGTCAGTCGATTCGACTATAACGTTGGTACGTTGGTCACATCCATCCTGGCCATTCTTGTCTCCCCCAAACACTACTCATACCATCTCTCTAGTCTCCATCTAATCTTCCGTCAGGTCAGTCAATCCACCAATTCGACCGGGAGGGGGAACCGCCGGAACACGCCGTACTGACAAGCCACGACCCTCGTCATAAAACAGCTCTCATCATGTTCGGAATTCAACGTGCCATCGCTCGATCATCTCGACCGGCCTTCAGGGCTGCTGCCGTCGTCAGGGCTCCTACCGTATCGGGTGAGTCGGAACGTACCAGGCGGAGATTCCGGTGGGAGGCGGTTGGAAGATGGGACCGGAGCTGGGGAATCGAGATAGCTTATTCGGTGCGAGGAGGCTGATCTTTGGCTTGTTTGATCTCGATGCGCTCTATGGCTCCTCGGAATGGCGTCTGGATCGTCCGCACACCTTTCACCAACCGTCTTCATTCTCTTTGATCAAACTGCGTCGCATCTTCTCATCATCGATTCCGATTCCCGACGACGCCCGCAGCCATCCGATTCAACTCTGGCGGCGCTCACGCCCACGAGACCGAATCCTACGAATCCTTCAACCAACGTTACCAGACCTTCTTTAGCAACGTCGAGGACGTCTTTGAGCTCCAACGAGGCTTGAACAACTGTTTCGCTTACGATCTCGTCCCCTCCACCTCGGTCATCGAGGCTGCCCTGAGGGCGGCCAGAAAGGTCGACGATTACGCGACCGCTGTCAGGATCTTGGAGGGTGTCAAGGAGAAGGTCGAGAACAAGGGACAGTATCAGGCTTATTTGGACGAGTTGAAGCCTATTATTACCGAGTTGGGTGAGTTTCGGCGGTATTGCAGATTGCGGTTCGAGGCAGGTAGTTTTGCGTGCGCGGAGGATTGGCGCTGATCCTTTGCACTTCTCTTATCCTCATCCTTCCTACTCGCCTTCTTCCACCTCTGACTCACGCCAATCGGACTCTCAAATTCTGCCCTTTTTGGCCCTATTCGATCCCGAAACCTATCCACGTCCCCTATCCCGTCACTCTCCACCCCACATCAGGCGTGACCACCAAGGAACAACTCTACAACCTATAAACCCCAGGATACTGAAAATGCGGGTATAGATGGGAAATAGAGGAAAAAGAAAAAGGGGACGGGCCGGCTGGGGCGCGGCGAGCCACGAGGATCGAGAGGGGGATGTAATTGTTTGACTTTTCGGTGGGGAAGATACGATGAGATGAGATGGAACGCGATGGGATGAGATCGGAGTCGGATGGGGTTGGGAAGTTGGCCCTTGAGACGCTCGGGATGGCCGACGTGAAGTCTGCTGGATTGAGATGTGAACAGGCGGCGCAGCTGGAGGAACGTCCTGCCAGGGCAGCTGCTCTCGGCCGCGGCGCTTTGCCTGTCACATGACAAATGGAAAGGTCTCAAAAGAGCTGGCCTATACCTTCGCTGAGCCCTGAAGTGGGTCTGACGGGAGTGATGTCTTTATCATAATCGAGGTCACGATCAAGCAGATTGCAAATCACGAGGGCATCTTTGAAACAAATCCGAACGTTTGCGTGAAAGCCCTTCACCACTTACTGCGGGAAATTGTTGCGTTTCATATGACCGAGTCCTGGTTAATCTCAGGTCAACGTATTCTGATCAGATTGCAATCTTGAATGATCTCTCATTGTGGTGAGCTCATAGGCATTGAGCTTGGGTTTGCTGCTCCTACCAGCGAAGCTGTCGTCAAAGAAATCGTAGAAGCCCTGGCGGATGGCAGCTTCCTTGCTATCTGCTTCATCGACTTGAGACTGTCCACCGTGGCGTCGCCCACCTTTGCCGTCGTCATCGTTGAAGAGAGTCCCGAGTGTCGCCCCGCCATTATCGTCGTTGAAGAGGGTCAGAACTGGTGTGAATCGCAAACATGATGCCTATTATGTTTATCATCTTATGCATGGAAAGGACGAGATCAACGTCGAGACCATATCGGACTTCGAGCACTGTGTCGTGAGTCACGAGTAGCAACAAAGGGTACAGCAGGGCTTACCCTTAATAACGATCGAAAGGAACTCGCCATGCCGGGAGAGAAAATTGAGCTGGTCAGGAATGGGAAGAAGATTCTGTACGCCATTGGTGATCTCGGTTAAGTCCAAGAACAAACCTAGCCCGATCAGCCGTCCTTGAAGAGATATTTGAAGAGTACAAGGGGGGACCAATTTGTCTTTGGCGCTCTTGAAAGATATGGCAAGACAAGCCTTCCTTTCATGAATTCACACCCCCTCGCCTTCCTCACAGGTATGTACTCGGCTTGCATCAAAGGCCCCTATCTGTCCAAACAGGGGTTGTTATGCTGTCTTGGCTTTCATTGCATGGAAGCGAAAAACACCAGCAATTCGCCAGGTTGCAAAGTGGTGAATGGACGCTCGGATATACAAGTGATGGCATGGAACGTGGTCAATGGCGAAGCTTTAGATTATATACATCGCAGAATGCTGAAAGTGCAAGGATTGCTACAATGTTCAACCGGACTCGGGTTTGAGCTCTTTAGATTTCGGTTCCTCGCTCCATCACGAACATGCTGGGGGGGGGGGTTCGCCATCATCATAATGGATGTTGAGACTAAGCCGATCCGGCCTTCTCCCTATCCATTGTAGCTCGTTTGCACATCCACCCGACCCAATCTTTGATGACGGCTTGGCGTTTCGCATCGTCCGCCTCGTCGATCCCGACCTATTCACATTCGACACGCAGTCATCAGCTTCTCTGATCCGCCCCTGATACCCCAAACTTTGCCCAGCTGACCTTGGTCATAACATGCTCGTACCCCTCGTAGATCTTGATCTCTTTCTCCGGACTGCTGATGCGCTCGTAAAAGGCCTTGGTGGCGAGATGCGATGTCGCTCGATCCTTGTCTCCGTGGATCATTCGAATGGCTGTGTGTATGAATCGTATCAATATTGAGCGCGATTTATTGTTACGAAAATCTAACTTACGCAGCTTGATCATTTCGGCCTTCTTCTGTAATTCGGTGAATCCGTGCAAGAGAGACAACCCGGTCGACGCTCGAAGCTTTCCGTGGTAGGTAAGGGCTATAATCACGCGATCATGTCAGCTTGCCGGTACTAGTCGAACTATAATCGATCACCCGTACGATCTTCGCCGAACTCTCGTTCGACCCTAGGATCGTCGCTGACTTTGCCTGTGACGGGGAATCTCGGAGTGAGATCGGGTACGCCTGTGGGAAGTCAAGCCATCTTGACTCACCTCTCACAGCTTCCGCCATGGGCAAGCTGGCAGCAACCTTAACGAGAGCTTTGGCAGCGAGTTCGACCAAAGCGTTCGGTCGAGAATCGGCAGCGACTGTATGAAACGGAGGGCGGGAACGACAGATTAGCAGCACGTCCTCCAGATAGCAAGATCTATGGGTTTACTGACCTTCAACGAGAGGACACAGCACCATAGCTCCGGCGATCTTGGGCCGATACTCCTTCTTAGGCTCGGCCGGCTGATCCCCCACGCCGCTACCCGAGCCGGACGAGATGATCTTCTCTACGTCTGAAGTAGGAGGATAGGTGATGATATAATAGAGAACGGTCCAACCTCCCATCGACGCGCTGTTCGATTACAAGTTAGAGATCAACAGGGGGTATCAGAGATGCAAGAAAGATTGAGACTCACCCAGTGAGGAAGACTTCCCGTTGTTTCCTGCCATCAGCGATGTCCACTTCAATCAGATCTTTGGCCACGACGTAAACGGCAGCCGTCAACAGATGAACGTCGGTCAAGTTCGAGTGGATTCCGGTAGAACGGCCGTACTGCAGGACAGCACGTTCAGATGAAAAGCTGTGCCAACTAGCATTAAGCATGTACTCACGCTGGGAAGATCCGGGACGATGACCCTGAAGCCCTTCTCGAGGAAATAACGGCAGTGAGGAGCGTATCGAGCACTGTTTATTCTTTGACGGCGTCAGCCTAAGCTCCTTCCGTCACTTCACTCCGCAACTCGCCCATATTCATTCAGACCTAATACGTATAATGAATTCAGTATATTCTGCAGTCGAAAACATAGGAGAGGCAAGGCGAGCACTCACCGTGAACGAGTAGAATATCCACCCCAAGCCCTTCCTTGCTGGTCAAACTCTCTTCTTGCATCTCCCACGACTTGTAATACACCCATCTTCCTCCTCTGATACGCTCCTTGCTCAACTCTTCAGGCACCAAGGTGATATCTTCAGCAAATTCGATATCCACACTATCCGGGGCTGCCCGTCCGTGCAAAAAGACTCGTCGTCGTCTAGTCCTGATGGTAGGATTATTGTCCAGAGCCTGTTCGGGCGCCCATGGCTTCGTGAGATACCTCCCGTAGGTAGGATCGGGTGGGGTGTAGAGCTTGAACTTTTGCAAGCCCGGCTCGATGAGATCCCAGACGACGCTCGGCATGTCGTGTTGATCGCGTGCAGTTGATGTTGTTGTTGAAAACGAGCTGCTGAATCTACTCGATCTTGGTTGCCTTGTGTCTCTGTGAGCAGTGGTGCTTGCGTGGAAACTTGTCACGAGTGTCCGAGTAGTTGTGATCTTTCTGATAAGTCTGACTTTGACGAGTCCAGACATGCAAAAAGAAAGGGAAATCTCGAATATCGATCGCCGTAATATAATGAAGATGAACATCTGACTGATCATAGCCGGTTTTAGAAAGTCTGGGCTGGTACGCGTAATCATCGCGCCGGGGGCCGGAATGACCGCAGGTGGTTCAGCGGGTTTGCCAATCTCATCTAGGACAGCTGCATATACTACAACACCATCCCTGCGGTATAATGCTCTAGGTGTGCGTGGAAAAGATTCGGCTGAACGTACTACTGTTACAAGGCTCGGTCAAGGCGTTGAGCTATCGTACCGTAAAAGGGGGTATATGCTTCCATGTCGAGCAATTCGTTGAGTTTCGGGGATGGTAGCTGCTGCATGGCGTTCAAGTGGTTCTCAGTAAAAGCAGGCTGGCGGAACTCAGTGGAGAGCAAGTGATGCACTTACCATATCTGCTCGTTCGTTTAGTGCAATACCTTGATGTGGACGTGCAGTCTCGATGGTAGGCTCTGACGAACACGGTCGACCCGCACGTTAGACCAGCTTGAGGCCTCCATCTGTGAACACCTGTGTGACCGCGGAGGAGACGGCCCGTCTCGTATCCCGAGCGCTGCTATTGCTCTTTGACGCCAACAAGCTGATGAAGACGCATGATCCGACAAAGACGGCGCTGAAAACGGTGTAAAACAGCATCAGGATCCTTCAGGGGCGTAGATGTCGGTCGCAGTTTGATCTGACGTATGGACTCACAATCTGTAGAACGTCGCCCGAGACAATTGCTTCTCCTCGTCCGATGTTCTGGCACTTGCGAAGATGGCTAAGAGCCGGCAGCTACCGGTCAGGACTGCCACATATAATATGAGCTCAGGGTAGGCTTACATCGAAGGTTCGGAAGCTTGCCCATGGTTCAGCTTATTGAACCCTCTCAAGGTGATGGATTGATAGATGGCAAGATCTGCGGGCGGCGAGCACGGCGTCTTGGCTCGTACGTGTTTGACGCTTGAAGTTCCTTGATCCGTCTCCGAGAGGGCTACAGTACGGTATTTGCCTGGATGAGCCTCAAAGTCAGCCGCCCTGGTTTCTCGGGTCATGATTCCTTACTTTTCTCACCTCTTGGATTTGCTCCCTATATTTCGAGTACCCCCTCCGGTCGCGACCTTGATGCTTGATCGAGAAGACTGATTGGCACAGGGAAGGATTCAGCTAGATACTAACGGAAGATCGGCTGGCTGTCCAGGATGTCCTATAACTTCGGAATACTGTGATACTCACAGTCAATAGCCTTCACACCTGCTGCAGCTTTGATATCAGAAGCAGAGAGGTAAGCCAGAGGCCCGGGACAGAGGTCGAGTTGGAAGAGGTTCTGCGGATATGGTTCGTGAGGCATGAGAGGGATCTCGGAAGCAATTGATCCCGCTGTTGACCTTGGACTGTTCGCTTGCCCACTGATCGAGAATGATGAATCACCCTTTGCCGGAGATTAGATTGTGAGCGGGGAAGAGCGAGCTGATTCAACCTCGCAAGAGTATATAACAACAACAACGACACCTTTACCTTTTCATTCCTGTTCATTCCGCACCTCCCTCTTCCTTCTCCTGACTCTAACGACAACAGTTACGACAAGAGGCTTCGACAAGAAGAACAATCAAGATCTATCATCGGCATTCACGAGGCCACCAGCCACTTCCTCTCAACAAAATAAACAATCACAAGATCAACAAGAACGACCGGTAATGACATCGACCTCCTCCAAATCGACCCTTCCTTTGAAGGGTATTAGCATCTCCACCTCGGGCCGTTTTTCAGGTACGACTCAAGGCGCCATCCAAGCTCGTATCACTTCGCTCGGCGGAACGTTCTCTACCAAGATCACGCCCGAGACGAGCATCCTCATCACCACGGAAAAAGACTACCAAAGCGAAGGAGGGAGTACGAAGGTGAACGCTGCGAGGGAAAAGGGAGATGTCTCGATAGTTGGACTGGCTTGGTTGGAAGAGACGGAGAAGACGGGGATCAAGGCGGACGAGAAGGATCATTCGTTCGATGGAGCGATTGGGAAGGCGGTCACCTCTACTTCCGCTGCAGGAGCCGCTATTACGGACACCGCTACAACCGCTACGACCACCTCAAAGACCCGTCAACCTCTCTCGTCAAAAGCGACCAAGGACAAAGGCAAGCGCAAGGAGAACCAAGCCGAAGCTTCTTCCGATGAAGGGGAAAAGGACGGGCCGTCTGAATCCCCTACGAAGAAGCTCAAGGGGGTCGATGGAATCGCCTTGCCCGGACCCGGAGATGCCACTGCGTTGAATGTGAAAGGCAAACCAAAATCCAAGACTACCGCCGCTGCCATCGATACCACGGACATTAGCGATGGCAAGGCTGGTCCATCTACCTCGAAATCCGTAAGCCTTTCTCGATTTCCAGCTTGCTGGAGACGTCCCGGTCGACCCAGCCTTTACGATTCTGCAGGACGCTTCTAAACCCGCCGCCAAACCCATTCGATCTGAAGCGAAAGTCAACGTCCCCGTCGGTCGGGCTCAAATTGCCAACGCCCAAAAGAAGATCCACGTTCCTTTGGACGAACACTGCCCGGAGACGGACTATCACGTCTATATCGACCCTGCTGGATTGATTTGGGACGCTTCGTTGAATCAGACGAACGCTAGTGCGAACAACAACAAGTTTTACAAGATTCAAGTGAGTCGGTCCTCCGCTTCTTACTATCGGGTTTGCGGGCTTTTGCGATCGTTTCAGCTGACGCTCGCTCCGTATAGCTCGTCCAAAGCCCAACCGGCTCGCGTTACCTCACCTGGACGCGCTGGGGTCGAGTAGGCGAACGAGGACAAAATGCGATGTTGGGCGGAGGGAGTCTGATGGACGCGATGAGTTGTTTCGAGAAGAAGTTCAAGGATAAGAGCGGGTTGAAGTGGGCTGATCGGGCTGGGGAACCGAAGGCGAACAAGTGTAAGTGGTAACACGTTCGGCGGAAGACTTCGGAAAAGTCGGGAAGCTGAAGTAGTGTTTTATCTTTGGTTAGACGCATACGTTGAGAAGAGCTATCAGCCGGATAGCGATGACGAAGACGACGAGATGGAAGAATCGGGATCGAAACAGAGCAGCAAGGGCAAAGAGAGAGCCGACGACATCCCCGATTCTTCGCTCGCCAAACCCGTCCAAAACCTCATGGAACTCATTTTCAACCAGAAATACCAACAAGACGCTCTGCTCTCGATGAATTACGATACCGAAAAGATGCCTCTCGGCAAACTCAGCAAGGGGACGATCAGTCGAGGGTTCCAAGCTCTGAAGGATCTCGCGGCTGTCATCAACACTCCCGGTCAGGCCCAAGTCGAACCCATCTCGAATCGATACTACTCGCTCATCCCGCACGCGTTCGGGCGCAACCGTCCCCCCATCATCAACTCGCACGAGCGTCTCAAAAAGGAGATCGAGCTGCTCGAAAGCTTGTCTGACATGAAGGAAGCTAGCGACATGCTCAAGGAAGCCAACCGCGAAAGTCACAGCGCGCATCTCAACCAGCTCGATCGCCAGTACGAGACTCTCGGCATGGACGAGATGGAGCCTCTCGACGGCAAAAGCGCGGAGTTCACCGAGTTGGCCGAGTACCTTACCAAGACTAAAGGCGCGACGCACAATCTCAAATACGCCGTACAAGACATCTTCCGTATCCAGCGAAAGGGCGAGTTCGAGCGATTCGACTCGAGCCCGTTCGTCAAGGACGCTTCTTCTAGCAACCGTCGACTGCTCTGGCACGGATCCAGGGTCACCAACTTTGCCGGAATTCTGGGTCAAGGTCTTCGAATTGCCCCACCTGAAGCACCCGTCAGCGGGTACATGTTCGGCAAGGGTATCTACCTCGCAGACATGTCCAGCAAGTCGGCCAACTACTGCGCCCATCATCAGTCTGGCGGGACAGCGCTGCTCTTGCTGTGCGAAGCCGAGCTGGGTGATCCGATGCTCGAGTTGACGAACGCCTCTTACACGGCTGGGGAGGACGCTTTGGCCAAGGGTATGAGTTCGACTTGGGGGAAAGGAAGGGTGGGACCGTCGAAATGGAAGGACGCCGCTTGCGTTCACCCCTCGCTCGCTGGGACTCTGATGGTACGGCTTCATTCGAGTTTTTGGGAGATTTGATGCTGATATGCTGACTTTGATGGTCCGCTTATAGCCTGATGTCAGTGTGGTTCCCGGCGATACCAAGGTCGACGGCGCTTACCTCCAGTACAACGAGTACATCGCGTACGACATCGCCCAAGTCCGACTCCGTTACCTCCTGCGCGTTCGCATGCAAGAGACCTACCAGTACTAGCGGGAACGCACCGGGAACACGATCTTTTGCGGATCCGACCCTCAAGAAACCTTCGCTACTTTCAATCGATTTTACCAATCACTCAATAAGACCCAGGTGCCAACTCGACATAATCACGGTTGCCCATGTGTCTCTCCCTTTGACGCGCCTCTTCGCCACTTCTCGTGTTACGACAATTACGCACTTTTTACGATGTTTCGTCTGTCTCTGTCTTTCTGTTATACCGGCAATGAAAGCCGATTGTGAGGGTGACATCAGGATGCCCTTTCTCTTACGTATTAATCCATCCCCAGCGGTATGCAGCGTGGCCTTCGGTTTCGTCTTCCTTTCAAAGAGCTCTAGGACCGTTGCGCCCTTGTCGACGATATTCGTCAGGTCGGCCATGGCGCGGAAGCTGATTTTTCCCCGTAATAAGAAGACCGAACCCCTCGACAACAAGAGATCCTAGCCTTGCCCTTGACCTCTTTTCAGACACCCGAAGCGTTGGTTTACCACTTGGTCATTGGCTGGCAGGAGCCATGTATAGCCAAGTCTCGACATAGATATCTGTAAAAGTCGCCGTCGGACCAAGATGGACGCTACGCCCAACGCCGGCAACCCTATCGTGGCATTGGCTGCTGCCATCATCCATGCGTTCCTCTACATTCTCAGAGCTATACGAGTGATCGTCGCATTCGTTACTATAACGATACCCACGTGAGAAGAATCTCTCGTGCGTATCAGACGTTACGGTGGGTACTGATGTTGCCTTCTTTGTTTGTCCTCAGCTACGTGGTTCGGATCCTCGGCTATAGCTTGACCTTGCAGCTGGACTTTACCAAGCTCGTCGCCTTGACATTCCTGCTTGGTGCTGGAGTAGCTTTATGGATACGATACCGAGTCCTAAACAAGTATAGTGAGCTCAAGGAGCCTCCGTAAGCCTCAAGCCTCCATGTTGTCGAAAAGTGCGCTAGCTGATCCTCAAGCCTGTTTGGAAAAGGCTCGCTCCTCCCGATTCCCACTTGCTCAACCCGGACCTCACTATCCCATCGGATTTCGGTCGCTCGACCGCCTTTCACAACTACCTGGACGAGTTCCTAGCTGCAATTCGGATCTTTGGATTTCTGGAAAAGCCCGTTTTCCACGAGCTGTCTCGACACCTGCAGACTAAGCGTTTGATAGCAGGGGAGACCATCTCGCTCGACGCAGATGACAAAGAAGGTTTCGTCTGCGTGGTAGATGGAAACGTCCAAGTGTTTGCGCATTCGGCGGGGAGCGGGAGCCCTAGTCCAGAGAGCCCTTACAATGGGTATCAGCTACTGAATGAGGTAGCTACTGGAGGAACCGTCTCGTCACTCTTTACTATCCTCCGACTATTCACAGAAGACGTGAAGCTCAGCTGGGAAGGAGAAGGATTACAAGAATCAGAACATCCACATCGATCCGTTCCCACAAGCGCAGGCGCTCGGTCCGATGACGGTCTCGGAGGGATCTCCGCACCAGAGTCTTACGAAGATGTCAAGCGGACAGAGTATAGCCAAAGTCCTTATGTCCGGCCAGAAGGCAGTATTAGCCAATTGGACCTCTCTTCAAGCCGGTCAGAATCGGATCATACCGAAGGTCCTGCCCAGCGATATGGTAATGTGGCGGAATCTCCCGTTCAAGATCCTATCGACCGAATCGCGAGCGGCGGGCAGCCTTTCCGAAATCCGATGTCGGCTGTGACTTCGACTCATTCCGAGGCCAACTCGCGTTTCAACGGAACTGCAAAGTCGAATCAGGGTCGTCAGAGGCACACCACCGCTGCTGGAGATCGACCTGCTGTGATTGCGCGAGCTACGGTGGATACGACTTTGGCGGTGATTCCTTTCGAGGCTTTCACCAGGCTGCGTCACAAGTTCCCCAAAGCGACCGGGCAAATCGTTTCGGTCATCTTGACTCGGTTCGCCAGGGTAACATTCATGACAGGTCAGTTTTGTCCCAAGGATGCTGTTCCCAGGGTTAACGTATGGTTGACCTTTCGTGCCATTTTCAGCTCATCGCTACCTTGGTTTAACCAGAGAGATTTTACAGGCTGAGGATCGATTGAATACGCTGGTGTCATATCCGTTACCTCCCGCGTTCTATGAGCAAGGAGGGATGCGTAATCTTAGAGAACGGTTCCAACCGGAACTACGAACCTCGCCCAAGCCTGCTCGTAAGCAATCGACCGATGGATCAAGCAACCCTGCGGTGACCCCAGCCAGTCGAGCCCAGACCGTTCTTGGCAAAGACTATTTCAACTTTAACCCGGAGGCATTGAGCAACAACAAAGCGCCATATATGGCAGCCGGGACTGCGAGAACAAGCACGAACAGCAAACTTTCCATGAGTCCAGTTCAGCAACCTAGACCTGTCACCAACAGGCAAGAAACATATCAGAAGCGCGATAATGTGCGCAAACAGGTCGGCGCTGGGGATCTATTCAGCATGACCTCAGCCATGGGCGATGATGACGAGGCCTATTACCGGCCGCAGTCTCGCACGCCCGGTTTCAGCCGTAATGATACGTGGCAAGCTAAGACTCCTGGAGTATTGCGCGGCACCTCTTCCAATACCATGGCCCGTCGCAAGAGGAGCAAGCACGGATCGACCACTGAGAGCCTGAACGAAGAGTTCGACCTGAAGGAAGCCGTGATGACGTCGATCGCCGAGTCGATCGGGTTAATTCAGGCTCCAAATACCGAGTCGGCACTTCCTTCAGGCGCAGACTCGATAGCGATGTCGACCCCGACGTCGCCCCTGACGTTTGGCCAGAAGGGTCGTCGTGGACCGGGGTCGGCTTCGATTCGTTCCCCATTTGGCGGATTGTCTATGCTCGACATCACTCGAAGCCAGGCGTCTACCTTGGGAGGACTGCAGGGGGAAGAGAATGCGAGTCATACCGGGACTGCTGCGGAGAGTACAACGGGCGGCGTGGAAGACCTCGAAAACGATGTGCAGATCCTATACTTCAAAGCGGGTAGTGTATTGGTGAAAGAAGGTGAAGCGAATGCCGGCCTGTGAGTTCCGCCTTGAGCTACCCATCTGAGGTCAGCCACACTGAAGATATGGCATGCAACAGATTCTTCGTAATCGATGGCTTCCTTGACGTCACAATAACCTCGACTGCTCAAGCCGATGTCGACTTCCGCATGGAATCAGCCCCCAAAGGCGACCAGGAACTATTGTTCGAGATCAAGGTAAGTCAGATCACCGATCCGTAAGGTCGTAATGCTGAAATCGATCATTCGCAGCCTGGTGGAATCGCTGGCTATCTCGCTGCGTTGAGCAGTTCCGAATCTTATACCACTATCCGGGCCAAGACGGACTGCTATGTCGGCTTGCTGCCGCATCAAAGCTTTGAAAGGCTCCTTGAACGCCGGCCAATCGTATTGTTGACGCTCGCCAAACGATTGACGTCGGTGCTTTCACCTTTAGGTAAATATTTGCCGTTATATCTCGACAGCAGCGTAACTGTCTCTGAATCCCATGTCTGCCAACAGTACATCATTTGGACTTAGCGCTTGATTGGACTCAGGCTGCCGCAGGACAGGTAAGACATTAGGTGGAGACCAGGAGGAGCATTGGCGCTCAACCAAAAATGAAATTGCTAGGTTCTGTACCGTGAGGGTGATAAAAGCGATTCGTTCTACTTCGTGATTAGTAAGTGCGCTGCAATTACCCAATGATCTCACCGAGCTGACCCGTCACTGCAGGTGGGCGTCTCCGTACTCTGACCGAGTCGTCAAGCGGAGAAGTCAAGATCATGGGAGAGCACGGTCAGAACTCGATCATTGGCGAACTCGAAGCCATTACGGGAAGCAAAAGGTCTCATACGGTGCACGCCATCAGAGAGTCTGAATTGGTACGTATGCCAATGGCCTTGTTCAACGCCATCTCTACGCAACACCCCGCAACCACAATCCGCTTTTTGCGGTTGATCGCTTCACGGGTACGAAAAGCTGCCGAACCCATTCAGAACCGTACGGCCCAATCAAAAGCAAACGCTACGTCAACCAACCTCAACCTCAAAACCATCTGCGTCATGCCGACAACGCGCAATGTCCCGGTCGCCGCATTTGCTGAGCGACTGAGAGTGGCTTTAGAGGACATTGGTGCTCCAACGGCATATCTTGATCAAGCTACTGTCATCCGCCAATTGGGCAAGCATGCTTTCACCAAAATGGGGAAACTCAAAGTGAGCGGCTGGCTCGGAGAGAAGGAGAGAAAGTACAAGATGGTCCTCTACGTAGTAGACACCCCCGTAACGAGTTCTTGGACAATGACGTCGATCAAGCAGGTGAGTCGTATCGGTATCTGGGGTTGTATCGATATATATGTTGAAAGGAAGCCACATTTCAGGCGGATTTTGTCTTGCTTGTCGGCATGGGCGATGAGCCTAGTTTGGGGGAATACGAGAAGTTCCTCCTAGCTTCGGGTACTACCGCTCGTAAGGAGATGGTGCTGCTCCATCCCGAACGATATGTTGCACCAGGATCGACACGACGTTGGCTGAAAGTGAGGCAAGCAGTTCATGCTTATGATCAGGTCTCGGCTGACCATATTGCTCGTCAGGAACGGCCGTTTATTACTGGTCATCATCATATCGAACTTCCAGGAGTCGTTGTGCCGAACAAGGGCGTGCCCTTCGTGCACGACCCAGCTGCAGTCGTGGCTTTCAAGCATCTGCGAGAAAAGGTCGAAACCAGGATCAAGAAATATCGGTTCCGACCATCTGAGAGACCCCGTCGACCGCCGCATCTCAACGATTTCGCCCGGCTGGCTAGGAGGCTCTGCGGCAAGAGTATCGGATTGGTACTAGGGGGAGGCGGAGGCAGAGGCATATCGCACCTCGGCATGCTAGAAGCCCTGGAGGAGATGCAGATTCCCGTCGACGCTATCGGCGGCTGCTCGATTGGTAGCTTCATCGGTGGGTTGTACGCTCGGGAGGGGGATCTGCTATCCACTACCGGGCGGACAAAGCAGGTCAGTATGGATGGAACAACGCCCGGAAGGACCCGTGCTGATTTGCAGAGCATCTTTACGTAGTTTGCGGGACGCATGTCGTCTCTCTGGCGAATTCTTAGCGATCTGACATATCCATTCGCTTCGTATACAACGGGGCACGAGTTCAGTGAGTTTACATATTCGAGCTGGCGGTGTACCTCAAGCGGAGCGGCTGACCAAATCTCACGCTCTTCACAAGATCGGGGTATCTGTAAGGATTCATGCCTCCCGTTCCGTCGATAACGAAAAACTGAATGCGACTTCGTTGCCTTCAAACAGATAAGGCGTTCTATGATCTTCATATCGAAGGTAAGCCCATCAGACATGCGGCCCAGTCGAGACTCGCGCTCATCCGTACTGCCTTCACCTAGATATGTGGATCCCTTACTTTTGCAATTCGACCAACATCACGCATTCTCGACTGGAGATCCACCGCACCGGCTATGCCTGGCGATACGTTCGAGCCAGCATGACATTGGCGGGTCTCTTGCCACCGCTGTCCGATCGAGGCAGCCTGCTCGTCGATGGTGGCTACTTTTCCAACCTACCGGTGGCCGAGATGATCTCTGAGCTGGGCGCCGTAGATATCATCGCCGTTGACGTGGGTTCGATCGACGATACTTCTCCGCGACATTATGGAGATTCCGTCTCTGGTTGGGCTGTGCTGTTCAGCCGGTACGCAGTTTCATTTCGGAGCCTCTCTATTCCTGGGACGCGATAAAAAAAGCAAAACGCGGGAGCTGATCCCGTCGATCGTTTTTCGTTTCGCAGTCTCAACCCGTTTTCGAAACGTTCCGTCTTGAGCATGACCGAAGTCAACGGCCGTCTTGCCTAGTGAGTCATGGAATCTTTGACACACTCGGCTGCCCACGAATATTGATCTGTTTCATCATGTGCAGTGTGGCGTCCGCCACGACATTAAACGAAGCGAAAAAGACCCCTGGATGCCTTTACTACGCCATGCCGGTGCAACAGTTTGAAACGCTCGGCGGGTTCAGCAAATTCAATGAGGTTTATGCCGTCGGACTCGAAGCGGCGCGAGAAGTCTTGAAACAGTGGAAGGCTGAAGGGAAATTGCCTACGGGGTTGGTGGACGACGTCCAGGCCAAGAGTCAGGCGGTCAAGCGCGGGACGAGGTTGAGGTTAGTCATGTTAGGCTTCGAACGCTTTGACAGTTGTGGTCAAGGAGCTATCCTTGCTGATTCACGAGATTTTCTCAATGTCTTGACAGGAGGATGTCTATCTGAGCTGTCTTTGAAGTACACTGACCTGTCCATTAATAGGGAAGAATGCACGTGGCTCTTTAACATCTCGCCTACATCAATAGCCTGTAGATCATAGACCATGGAGAGAGCAGTCCTTTCGGGCCTTTCAATACTATACCAACTTTGCTCGCTATCAGTTCTTTATGGATCATTACAGCTTAGCGGAGAGCTAAAATGAAAAGTCGCTCCAGCTGATGTCCCTACCGCCATGTTCACTATGCTCTTGCGCTCTTGGGTTTCCCGAGATTTTCTTGGCTTCCCTTGGGTTTGGGTTGGGGTATGACACCGCATGGGTCCTCTGATCCAATGTCGCGCCCTAAACCCTCGCTCCAGGGCCGGACACGCCTTCGGTTGGGCTTTTCGCTTCGCAGCTCAAACGCGTCACAGATCACGCTTTCGGCTGCTCGGTGGTGTGGATGATGTCAAACGGTTCGCGGTTCAACGGACCGGTGTACGAACCAAGAAGGGGACTGCTACAAGAAGTATCCAGCACGCAATCCCCTGTGCTTGCGTATGCATGATGAGGTTGTCGCTCTCAACACCGGAGGCCTGAGAGGATCAGAGGTGTCGCTGGGATCTCTCGATCTGATGATCTGTATGGAACGTTCGCTCGAAGCACAACAGCGTTCCTGTTTTGTTGTTCTCCTTCCGCCACCCGCGTGGGACAGATCCATCTACGCCACGTTTTCATCTCGGGGGAAACGACCGAAGATTTCGAACGATCGGATACAAAACACGCCCAGAAGGGAAAAAAAAAGGTTCGATAGGCGGGCGGGAGAAGAGGACGGGACCGTTCTTCCGTAACTTGCGCGAACGTGGGAGGGGGGAGATCGATTTCCCCCACACCTTGTTTTTAGGACAAGGGTACAGCCCCTGCTCTGCCAGCTGCCGGCGTTGTGGTGTTTTTAGCGAATCAGAATCCCGTACGGGATTGGCTCGGTGCTGTGGGTCTGGGGTCTGAACGACCACAAGCACCGACGGAGAGCAAAATCCATCGGCAGGGCCGGAGAGAGGGAGAGATTTCAGATTGCATGACGCTTGGGCGAGATTCCGCACGAGAGAGAGCGAGGGGGAAGGGAGGGCGAGCGCGCGGGTGACAGAAACCCAGCAATAGAAAGGAGAGTCCAAGAGTGGGTTGTGGATTTCGATGATATAGCAACGAGCGGACCTGCGATCTCTCGTTGAAGCAGAAAGGAACCTGCCACACTGAAACAGCTCGTCAAACGTTTCGAACATGAACCGACGGTGAAACCCTTTCTCATTGGACCTACGTATCCCCCTAGCCTTCCTCACAGCCAATCACTCACCGTGTCGACGAACGCGGATCCAAATTGGCGGCAACAGCAGGAGCAGCAGCAGCGCGTTTGTTAGAATAATGTCCATCAAAAGAGAAGTTGAAGATGGAAATGGTGGTGATGATGGAGTCGTAGGAGGTCGTGGTGACTGCGGATCACCAACGACATCGCATCGACAGAATCCAAAGGAACATCGCAATCATCAAAGGTACACGGAAGTCTTTCTATCCAGTCGCGGAGACGAGTCTTGCAGCGAATCCGACAGCGACCGCGAGGATCTCCAGAGCGAAGGCTCCACTTCCTCTCATACCGTCGACGAGACCAACATTCACTTGATTAGCGGCCAACTCGGAAAGTTCGTCAACGACATGTCACCTCATGGTACCCCTACCGAGCCCATCATCTCGCAGCTCCGTAATCGAAGGTCGTCCTCCATCTCGACTCGACCCTCAGCCTGGGAAAACATCAACGACGCGACGGGCAGCATCAGTCGAGGCGTCGGTACGGGTCATCAGCGTAACGGATCCCATTCGTCGGCCGTCATCCATTTCGCACCAGAAATCGAATCTACTAGACCTAGCCTTTCGATCGATGTCAATCCTCCATCACGAGGTTCCCTGCGAAACAACTCTGGACGAAGACCACCTAGACGAGGCTCTTCCTTGAACTCGACGACGACACCCAACGGCCAAACTGTACCAGGGTCGTCGAACCAACAGGCCCATCATCATTCCTTGCATCATCATCAGCAACATCAGCACCACGACAATCCATCTTCCTTTGGACCGACACTCACTTTTACCGACGAACCCGAGTCTCTGGGATCCCCTTTCTCTCCCACCAACACCATGTTCCCTCCATCATCCTCGTCTCAATACCCTCATCGCAAACAACACCACAAACGCCCGACCACGCCTGATTACGACAGCGATGGCGAGTACAGCGAAAACGTTTCGTACGCCGGAACGCGACCTTCGTCAAGGAGGACGAGCATCCAGTTGCATTTCCAAGAACCTAGGTCCAGGCGGTCTAGCGTGACGCAGAAGAGCCACACTCATGCTCACGCTCCGTCCCCAATTCTGGGGGGTCCGGGGGCGTCCCGCTGGAACGGGTCGCAAGCTGGTACGCCATTGACTAGGCAGTACAGCCGGAACTCGAACGGGTTGAGCAGGAAGGGGAGTATCAACTTTGTCACTCCGTCCTTACCCTCGCCTGGTGGGTTCAGGAATGCTAGTGGTGCAGGCGCAGTTGCTGGTAGCAGCACCGGAGGTGGTACGGGCTCGGCCAGGAGGACTGGATCTCGGTCTAGACGTTCGTCCTTGTTTGAAGACGACAGGGACGATTCGCGGCTCACTTGGCAGTGGGACCAACACGCTCGACGGGCAACAGGAGAGTCGGCCAAGAGCAGGAGGTATACCATTTCGGATCGGTATCCCGACGATTGGCGAGGTCGCGTGCGACGAGAAGACGAGGACGACGACGAGGATGACGAGGAGAGCAGGTCGACCAGCCGAACGGACGGGGAGGACGTCGGTTACCCTCCAAGCGGGAGGAGCGCCGGCAAGATCTATTCGACGCCCGTCCCCGGTTCGTCGACCTTTACCGTCTCTCGCGGCGGACGGGGTCGATCGAAATCCACCTCGTTCTCCATCTCCACCTCGGTGAAAAAGGGCCCATCCAACGTCCGAAGGAACATCTTGATCTCGTTCTTGGTCATTCTCGGACTCTTCCTGCTCGGGACTGTACTCGTCCTATCCTCGATCCAGAGGTACCTTTACATTCAAGACTGGGCTTACTTGACCGAGCTCGAGCTGGGAGGTTACAACGAAAAGACGGCTGGAAGGATCGAAGAGTTTCAGCAGGAAGGTCCGGCGCCCAGTGATGAAGACGGTGCGGACATTAGTGCGGACTGGAAGGTGGAAGCGAGTGGAGCTATTTGGGGTGCGCAGGGTAAGGGGACGGGGAGTTATTGGATGCGGAACGATTGGGATGGACGGGTACGGGAGACGGATTGGGATCGATTGGGCAATGTCACCAACCTGTGAGACGAGCTCAGGAGAACTCGAAGAAATCAGAATCTGACGCTCTATTTCTTCTCGCAGTCCCGGAGAATCTGTCCCTCGTCTCATTCATCAGACTTGGAAATCAGACGTCTTGCCCGAAAAGTGGAGGAAAGTCTGGAAAGCTTGTCGGGAAGGCATGCCAGACTAGTGAGTTGAGGGCTCGTGTTCACCTAGTTAGGCATCTTACTGACTTTTCTGCGACTGGGTTTTCCTTCAGCGAGTACATGCTCTGGACAGACGACACGTCCCGCAAGTTCATCGCCGAAAAGTACCCGTCATTTTTGGCGACTTTTGATGGCTACGAGTATCCCATCCAGAGGGCGGATGCCATTCGTTACTTGTGAGTGTCGTCAGATCAATTCGTCACTCCGGTTCGGCTCAGGGAGGCTCACTGCGGGACATATTGTCCTGTCGTGCAGCGTTCTTCATTACTACGGTGGTGTCTACATGGACCTGGATATCGGCTGCAAGCGCCGTTTGGACCCTCTCCTCCAGGGCGACTGGGATGTCATCCTGCCCAGGACCAAGCCCGTAAGTAGCGGGCGTGCGGAACGCCCCTCTATAGTGACAGGGCATCGTGGCTTATCGCAACTAATGCATTCTATAGGTCGGAGTCTCGAACGATTTGATGTTCTCGTCGAAACGCAGCTCATTCATGGAGGCCACCATCCACGGTCTGATCGCATTCAACCATAAATACGTGACCAACTACCCGACGGTCATGTTTTCAACAGGGTAAGTGCAGTCACCATGTGGAAAAGCGACACGAACAGGATGGCTGATCTATTGTTCGCCGTCCTCTGCAGACCCATGTTCTTGTCTGTACAGTATGGCTTGTACACATCCGCCCACCCCTTGACACCGGGTCATCCTCGAGCCGACGTACGGATCCTCCCAAAATCCTTGTACGGCAAGAATGCCAAGGCAGGCGAAGCGCCTCATTCTTTCTTCTCGCACTTTTACGGATCCTCCTGGCACGCCGACGACGCCGGATTCATCGTGTTCCTCGGTACAAGCGGGAAGATCGTCTTTTGGATCGGACTGGTCGTCTTCATTGCTGGTGGACTTAGGTTCCTCTGCAGCAACAACCGGACCGCTCGATCGGGACGACGAAGCCTGAGGAAGTTCGTCATGGCGAGCACTGGGTACAGGTCATACCACATGGTATCGATCTTGCCCACGAGCGAGTCTCACGACGGTTCTCGAACGGCTTCGCCCTCGGTCTCGAGCGTGGATACGGACGAGAGCGATGGGGATGATACTTCGAGGATCATCGAAATGGTCAAGGCCATCCCTGCGATGCTGTTACCCCAGCGTCAATCGAAACGGGGTCGTGCCCACAATGACCGCTCGAACGGCATGTTCTTTTACGTCCCCAACATCGCTGGAGAATCGAGCAGCCGTCATGCTCGATCTGCATCTACTGGCTCGGTCCCAGCCACGACTGGCGGACCTCGACGATTTTCATCGTCTGGACGAACCAACACCGTCAATGGCGTACCCTACACCACCACCTCTACCAGTCTGCAAGACAGCGTCGTCCCCGAACAAACTGAGGACGAATCCGATCGATCGCCCTCTCCTCGGCTTTCGGTCTTGAAATCCCTCGACTGGATGAGCTCGCCCGGAGGTAGTCCCGCCCCGCCACCATACAATACCCTAGACAGCAAACAATCGGACGTGGAATAGAGCCAAACATACCCAAATCGATACCCACGCATAACGTCGAACATAGAACGAGTTTACTCACCCGGCCTTGATGCCACATAGTCTCTGCGCGGCGTGGTTCTGATCGTCGACGATACCTGTATTTTGTATGACTTTTAACGACTTTATTTTACGATGCTATGGATATTGGCTTCGACGTTGGTCAATCAGAGAGGGTTTGGAGATCGTCTTGCGTCACGTGATGCGGTCGGTGGCCATGAGTAATACCAGTCCCGAGCATCGTCTAATCAGCCCCCACATCGTACACAACAACATCATCCTCATCAACTTTGATCTTTCCAAAGCTTTCCTGGGTAACTGTTGCACGAACCAACGCACCACGACCGATATAGCTAAGCGGTACTCATATTGCCTTGCGGCAAGACTCGCGGCGATCGGTCCTGATACTGCCTAATACAGATCAGAGATCGAGCATCCCGTAAGAGCTGTTGTGATCGATAGCTCTGCAACAGCCCGGTAGCTGATTGCCTTGTTCCAGTATAGGTATACAGTCCTGTTACATCCATTTCAAGGAACACGCATCGTTCATTTGGTCAGTGTCTTTTGAAGAGATCCTCGTGATCTCACGAAGACGGATAGCTGACCATTACATCTTGGGCTCAGCCACAAGCGGTTATCCGTCACGACTCCTTACGATTCAAGCACGTTTTGGTCCTAGCTTGGGCACTACGAAATAGTACAAGATTTGCGCAACGACCTGCTGCGATTTACGAGTAAGTATGTAAGTGATAGATTTCGGTCGATATGTCTGTTGACAAACATTTACCGTTTATTCCACCTGCACGCATTCTTCTCTCAGAACATACTACGCAAGTTTTATCTGGGTCTCATTCAACTACAAAACGACTGGTCATAGACGACCTGAAGGTAAGCGTTGAAGCGTAGATGTGTATACGTAATGTTATAAAAATGTTTCTAATTTGTTTTTCCGGTCTCTCCACCTCCAGACGATCCCACACGATGACCTCCCTCTTGGATATGCCACTGGAGCTGCTGGTCCAGATATCTACCTATGTCACTACTCCTGATCTCAGCGCCCTACGACTCACCTGCAAACAACTGGAAAGGTCGTTGTGGGAATGGTTCGCCGACGAGTTCTTCGTCAAGAAGCAATTCATGATCACGCATCCGTCTCTACAAGCTCTCGTCGACATATCTCGTCACCCGAGCCTTTCAAAGAAGCTCAGATATGTCATCATCAGTACCCATGTCTACGACATCAATGCTGTGAGAGGGTCGTTTAGGAATCAAAAGGCACGCGACATGTGGGTAATCGATCCGGCCGCAACCCCGTCTAGCCTTTTCCGTCTCAAACATCGTGTTCGCTGTTCTGTGTTGACGTTTCTTTCCTTCCAGCTACATGCGAGCTTCTGCAGACCAGGAATACTTGATGAAGAACGGCATACACCGTGAGATGTTGACCGAAGCGTTCACGAGTCTCGAGAACTTGGAGACGGTTGACGTCCGCGATTTCAACGCTTCACGCCAACGTGATGGGACCGACTGGAAATCGTGGGGTGTGACGACACTTTATGATCTTACTGGTCACCTTCCTGGCCTCTATGAGATCCACGGCATGAACGAGGCGTTTCTGGCGAACCTCTTCTCGGCACTTTTTTGCTCTCTAGGCCTTGCTGGACGGATCTTGCCGCGATTTCAAGTGTTGTTCCGCAAAGGCATTGCACTTCCGGATGCTGCATTCTTTCTGCCCGGATTTGTCTATCCGGCCATCCAGCCGGTCCTTCGAGAGCTCAAGGTCCTCCATTTGACAGTCAATCTTTCCGCCAACCAAACGGCACCGGAATGTTCTCGTCATCTTCGTCAATTCCTCATTTGTACCCAAGGCCTGACGGAACTGCGTCTCAATTTCCATAGGTCGGTCACCGGGGCCAACGAAGACTTTCTCTTTTGGATCGGCAAATCGCCAACCTCTCCCATGCAGCTTCCACAATCGACACAAACCGTTCACGATATTGTGCCCCCTGCCTCACTCTCCCACCTGAAGACGTTGGAACTAGGGTTCGCCCGAACAAGCCCTGAGCCACTGCTCAGCGCGATCAAAAAGTTCGCTCCCACACTTGAGAAACTCAGTCTGTGGCGAATCTCTTTCCCCACTCAGGATCGCCCAGGAGATTATGCTCAATGGACTCAGTTTTTCAGGGATATCTCCCTGATTCCTCTCCCCGCGTTGAGCCACTTGAAGCTTGGAGGTCTCTCCCACTATAGCCCAAATGGCATGATATACCATGATGTCATCGGCAGAGACAAGACTAGAATCGACAGGGAGTATTCAGGCGACGACATGTCGGGCTTCCTACAAGCTCTGGCTGATGAGATCATCGTCACGCCGCCGGTCGTTCGAAATTACTCTGCAGCGGATCTGGGAACGGACAGCGATGAGGAGCACGATGACGAACAGGATGACGAGGATGAAGACGATGAAGACGGGTCGTACAGCGACTAGAAAGTTGCCCTTCAGCGAACCAGATCGCGGCACGAACGGAACTTAGAGGGATAAAGAGCAAGGGTGATGGGTCAAAGCCAGAAGACCACGATCTGGCTCTTTGCCGGACACCGGGATATATGCGAGCCTTTTCGAAGCAAAAGATCGTCCGATGTAAACTGCAGTAGCTATTGATATACCCATTTACGCGAAAAGCCACTGGCGGCAAAGGGAGACCGTTCGACCACCATCTATTCACTTGCTGCAGGTCTAGAGTTCGTTCGACTCCTGTATCAACACGGCGGCGGGTTCCCAAGTCACAATGGCTGAGGCGCACATGGAGCAGCGTTTGAGAGAGTCTTCGTCGTGTCCAGGGAGAAAGCGCAAATTCTTGTCCTGTTAGGACGAACCATTTGATTCGGTTGCCACCCACCAGTGGATCGCTCGGCGATCGACTCTTTTTCAAGACCCATCCATCGTTGTCGCTTGACTGGTTACCGCTGGAATCAACGTGATCCTGAGCCTGGGATATATGGTCTTCATAAATTGAACTGTAGAGGTTGGGTGTATTTGAGTCAATCCCCTTCTGTTGGCGGCGGCTGAAAGCTGGTGCCAAATAATATCACCTAGCCCCGAAACAACGCAGTAGATTGACTGATTTTTATTTGACGAGATGCCGAATCACCGGAAGGCCTCAAATTAATTACGCTCGCCTGCAGCCCCGCGTCGAATTTGGCTATACTCAATCCATCGGTAGCCTAGTCGCTCCAAAGTCGCCGCACACGGCCAAACAAATCTCCCAACAAATGCGATTATCTGATTTCGTCCATGCAATGTAGCATACAGCGCTAGCCGTATCCATGTGTTATCAAGCCGCCTCCCAACCCGTCTACTACCCGCTTATCTCCTCCATAATCAAACAGACGCAGTCCGGCTAGAGTAAAGTCTCCCCCAGTGCCGCTCGTGCCAAAGAGCAACCTACCGCGACCGTCTCATTGACCGACTTGTCGTCACCCAGAGCCGGGTTGACCTCCTGTACGTCATGAAAGAAACGTTAGTTTGGGGTTTTCACGGCCGCGAGCGGAAAGCGAGACTAACCATAATATCCAGTCCGACGAGACAACCGGTCTCGGCGATCGCTTCGCAGATGTAGTGAGCTTCCCTGAATGTCAGACCGCCTCGTACAGGTGTTCCGGTACCTGCCCAACTGAAGTCAGTCTCGTGCCTTTGTGAACCGACAACCCTCCGGTCACACTCACTTCCGGCAACACTAGGATCACAAGCATCCACATCGAAACTCAAGTGAACCGGTCGTTCTCCCTTCGGGTTCACGTGCTTCAGAGCCTTTTTCACAACCTCGCCGACTCCCAATCGATCCACCTCGTGCATGGTGAAACACTTGATACCCAAGTCCCGCAAGATCTTCTTCTCCTCGGCGTCCAGGTCCCGAAGCCCGATATAAACGATATCAGAGGGTTTCAAGCAAGGTTTGATCCAGTCCGAGAAGGGGGCTACGTCGGTTCCGGGGAGGCCGAGGAGGAAGGAGATGGGCATGCCGTGGATGTTGCCGCTGTCGGATGTGGCGGGGGTGTTGATATCGGCGTGAGCGTCGACCTGGCAGGGATTAGCGTCATACGACTATGAGTATTTAACTCCACGTTGTGACCGAGAATCAAGGGAAACGACATACCCAAACGACACATGCATCGGGGTATTTGGCCTTGATACCCGAGACGGTCGCCATGGCCTGTCGGATCGAGCTTGTTCATAAGCACTCTTGACGGTTCCGGCTCTAACCCACTCCACACTGACCAGACTGTGATCTCCTCCCAAAGTCAGGGGCAATCTCCCCTCCATCGCATGATCCCTGATAATCTCCATTGCTCTCTGATTTACAGCGCTGACCAACCGAGGTTTCTTCATCTTCCCGATATCCGGATCGGGCAAGACCTCCCGTCCATTCGAAGCTCCGGGCTGGTTCGGGTTGATATAAGGGATATCGTCAAACTCGGCAGGGCCTTCGTAGTGCACGTTCCAGCCGAGTTCGGATAGTTGGGAGAGGAGGCCTCGTTCGACGAGAGCGTTGGGACCGAGGTCGACACCGGATTTACCCTGTCCGCCGCTGATGAAATTCAGTAAGCCTCAGTATTGAGATAGGCTTGATGTTTCGCAGATATGCCTTACCTAAAAGGACAGCCAACCACCTAGGAATAGCGAATATACCGATTAGCTCTCGCCTTTGTACTTTTTAAGCAAAGGAACATGACTCACAGCAACGGTCCCCGGACCCTTCAAGAACCTATGCTCGTAGGTAGGTCCCTTCTCATCCCTAAAGATTCTGCTCCTCCCGAATCCCTTGATAGTCTTTTGCAGACCTTCCTTGTTCCCATCCGTCTCGACCTTTTGCAAGTCGGCAGGGCTGAGTTGGGAATGCAAAGAGTTGCTGGAAGCGGTCGCCAGGATCCGCGAGGTGTGGAGGGAACGGTTGGTGACCGCCCGGCGCAGCGAGGTGGTTAGGATGTGAGGCATGGCGGTAGGCAAGAGGTGGTATACGTAGATGTATTATACTTGGGGGTATCGCTTATTGCCCTCCTACGACATCGATCATCAACGATCAACGATCAATGAATTGGATGAATTGACACGACCATCTGTATGATGTATGAACATCGCCAAATCCGATCGGATGGGCAGATCACGTGCAGATCTTGGTGTACAGTATGTTATACAATCGCCTTTGATATCCTTGTACATAGAGGTGTCGAATACAACCAGTAAAGCCCCTCTCATCTTCCCCCTCAGCTGGGCAAGGCGATCGTCTTTAGATCCTCCTCCCGCTGTCTGTTCTGCCTGACCCGATCCACCTCGTACGCCTCGTCCGTATCCACCTGGGGGACCGTCGATGGTACAGCGGGCAGACGATCCTCGATCTTTTGCCTCTTTTCGACGTCCTCGACTGTCTGTTGATTAGAATCAAGGATTTTTGGGAGTTTAGTACAGGACGAGATCGTGTTGGGCAATGAGTGTGGGGGCTCACCTCCCCACGAGCTTCTCGTTCGAGCTGAGCGAATTCTGCTTGAACCGCTTCCTCTTCTTCGGGTGACATCTTGCTCATCAACGCCTCGTCGATTTCCTATCAGCAAGCAAAACAAATCCGTCAATACCGGTTCATCCACTCTACACAGAAGGGCAACAATCGCGGGACTTACCCGCTGAGCGGCGACACCTTCCCCAACCCGATCCACAATAGATTCCGCTCGTTCGAGGCTCATCTCCTTCTGCAGCTCGCCTAGCACTTGTGATCCGTTCTGGAGGGATAGGAGTACCTGATTCTGTAGTTGCGAGAACTCGATCGTCGAGAGCTGTCGTGGTGCAAGTTCAAGTTCAAGTCCAGGTTCAAGTGCAGGAAAGGCCGTGTAGTATAGCAGAGGCTTTCAGCACTCCTCCGATATCACAGAGGTATTGCAAGAAGAGATGAGTGGGACGGACCAACTCGGTTATCGTCTGTAATTGCCCATCTGTCTTTATAAGCAAGCTCTCCTGGAACTTCCTTTGTCTCAACGCCGTCAGAGCTCGTGACTGCCAGTTGCCGTCATCGCCATAGAACAGCAAAGGATGTCAGCACTCAGACATAGCGTGTCAAGGTTGGAGATTTTCAAGTACTCACCTTGTTCCCCGAGGTGAGGGCTTGTTTGGCCGCATTCTGTTCCGTCTCCAGGTTCACAGTCAACTATAAATTACCCGTACGATTCAGCACAACCTGCACGCAGGTAGTCCAAGCTTTGCAGGACGACGGGTACTGACCCGCTTCTGATACTGTTTCAGTTTATCTCTCTGTACTTTCAAGCTGTAATCCACAACGGTGGTCGATCAGCCTAAGGGGGCTGCCGGACGGGCGGCATTGTCGAGCTGGACGTGTGGGCTCACTCGAGGATCGCCTTGTCGTTCTTGGTAACCTTCCCGCTGGACTGTGAAGCTCCCATCCTGAATTATATGAGGACTATATCTGTGTGACCAGAAAGAACCTCTGAGAGTGCCACCTTGCGGTCTGATCAATGCAGTCCTTGTACGGGTACACATGCATGCTAGGTCGTTGATCGCCGTTCGGTCGATCAGCCTCATTCGTCACCCAGACTGACTTAGAAACGCATAAATCGAGTAACCGTGTTCGAACGCATCATAACAGACGAGCTGTCCATCAGCTCGATCAATCGGTCGATAGGCTGGGTTGTGGTCATTCAAGTCGTTGCGAACCACAAAGAGATTGCTCATTGTGACCTCAAACCCATGCTGAGTGATTGAGTGTATCCACAACAATCTGTCGATGAAACGCAGAGGTATATTTACAGCATCGAAGGTCTTTCAGTAATCTCTCCAGTACACGTCGTCCAGCTTCGTGAAGTGTAAATCTCGTTATATGTCGTCAATTCAGTCCTGAGAGGCTTGTACGTTCAACCCCATGCAGGCGTCGTGCTATGTTTGCCGAAATCTAGTCAGTTCGGGTTGTACATGCGCAAAAGAGAGGGAGGGGACTGACCTATAGTTGACTATCAGCTGACCGTCCGTCTGAAAGCTCTGCGATGGCGAGACTTCCGACGATGAGCTAAAGCTATCGAGACGTACCCCAGGCCAGCCACTTTTCGCTCACCTTGTACAGGTTCGAAACCGTATCATCCGGCGCTGGAGCGAACGCCGAGTTGATATACAGAAACTGACCATGAGAGTACCAAGACCGATGTTCAGCTCCCAGCAAGACGACGAATCTACTACAACCGTAGCGACTTACGAGCTCTCCTCCAGTTGCTGACGTTCCACCCGGTTTGCCCCAACCTAGCTCTTTCCGTAGAAACGTATGCACCGCCGAGAAAGGATGAGATCCCGTGATCTTGTAATAATTCTGCTTCATGATCGGTGCCGATCCGACAGACTTGAACCTGACGATAACTGTATCGAGTCACCGAAGATTGATTAGCTTTGAATGGACGTATGGGCTAACTGGAGAGGTCTGGTGGCTGACCTTTCGTGGTATCTGGCTTGAGATAGGGTTGCAAGGCTTCCCGGGGCGAGATAGGTTCCATCGCTTCTCTCCTTTGCCTACGGTGTAGCGGCGGTGACGTCGTATCGTACGATTTCCAATTTGCTGATTCCAGATAATAGAATGGGAAGATAGGGCTCAAGCGATTGGCTAGCAGCTAGTATAGACGTTATCGGTACTGCTGAAGTTGTTCACAAGCTAGAAGGTAGGGTGGATGTCGAGAAAGCGTTGCAGGCGGACGAGCCCGTCCCCCGATAAATCCGCTTACGTAAACCCGAAAGGATGACGACTTGACCTCTCCTCAAGCGCAATGAGCGCAATGATCTTGTCAGCTATCACCTTGCGACGGTCTACGTATTCTCAATTTATCAGTCAGGTGGCGTTCATCGCATCATCGTCACTGCATGAAACCACAGTGACTCAGAAAACAAGCTAACTTCGAACGTCGTAGACCTTCGCAGCGGGAGCGGATGGACGAATGAGACGAGTGCCGCCTAACCCCCCCAGCGCGTCTCGTTGCTAGTTTCAGGATAGCGATCTGGACTGGGTCGCGAGTCGCGGGTCGCGCTCAGGAGATCTCTTCCTCTGAGGAGCTGAGGTCACCTGATGCAAGGACGCGCTTTCCCCCCTTGCCTTCACTGGCCAGGATCGTATATATTGCTGACCGGTCCAGAAAAAAGTCGGTCAGAAAAAGTCTCGAACAACCCTCTTCAACTCACTTCCATCGCCACTTCGATTTCGCTCCTTCAACTCCAACCCAAGCTCAACGCCATCTCGATCATCCATGATGACCCACCTCAACGTATCCTCCCCTATCCCCGTCCCCAAGAAGAGACCCGTCGCCGTCGCCTGCCTCTCGATCGGGGCCGGCTCGAACCCTTACGACCGAAGCGTCTTTGCTAAACCTCACGGCCAGTTGTTCAAGGTCACCGCGAACAGGTGGCTCAGGAAATCCAACGTTGAAGGTCTCACCATCACCGTCAAACCGAAGGACGACAAGAAGGAGGACAAGGTGGAGGGCTATGACTGGATTCATAAGCCTTCTCACCCTGGATCACCCCTAACGCCCGATGACAAGGATTATGGCATACAGTGAGCCTGACACCTGTTCAGTCCAGATCGTGGTGACTCCTTATCTGACCCTCCTTGCAATCGTTCTCGACCAGTCCGTTGCACTACTTTTTGAGAAGGATCCCCCTCTCGTCCGCTTACGATGTCCTCGAACAAGAGCAACAGCCACCGCAGGATGAGCACAAGACCGAAAAAGATCGCATCCGCCGTCACGCCTTAAGGTCGCTCCTCACTCATAGCTTGCGTCGTCAAAGATCCGCGGAAGAACAACAAGAGCAAGACCGACCTCAAGACCATAAAGCCAAGCAACCTGAGATCAAAGTCGAGGTGCCGGACACCGAAGCTCCTCAGGTTCAACAACCGCCCCGACGACCTCCCCTCATCCGCGAATACCGCGCGCCTGAGCAGATCGAGGAAACCGAGGAGGACAGTTGCTGTGCGCTCGATCACGGCGTTGAGGGATTCTGCTGCTGTGACAAGTGCTGTGAGCGCAGAGACAGCGTGGAGATTCCGGCTACTCCCCGGCCAAACCAGGTCTACTTGCCTCGGTTCAAAGGCCCCAGCATGTGGCAGGACGAGCTACTCCTCCCTCCACTGTCGATTAACAAGGCTCTCATCGAGCGTTCCATGACCGTCACTCCGACCGTACAACCCCCCGCGGATGCGTGTTTGAGACGAAAAGTTACCCTCCGAGGCTCTCCCTTGCGTCAAGCTACCGGAGTGTTCGATCTTCAAGACCTCGAGTACATCAGTACCAACGACAATGAGGAGGAGGCCGACTATGCAAGCGACTCTGATGTGGACACTGCCAGTATCACCGCTGTGAACGGGATCGACCCTATCGAAATGCCCATCCAGCAACGCCGACGTTCCAGCCCGCTCATGACTCGGGTCCTCAAGCGAGAGTTCCGTAAAGAAGTCAAGGAACTCTTGAGCAAGAAATCTGCTGCGCAGAAAGAAAAGGAGGAGGCCGAACGGCCTGTGATGATGGTACCCAGGAGGAGCAGGGCGGCCATGGCGCTCAGGCAGCTTGCGAATAGGGGTTGAGCTGCGACATGCGTTGACCGTCGCGTTTGGCATAATAGAGGTTTCGACTGTGATATGCTACTGCACTGATGTATCATACTGTATGTTTCATGTTGTATCATACGATATTATAATGCGTTATTTAAGAATCCTCGAACCCTTTGAGCATATGCGTCCTAGCCCGCTAGCCCAGAACGCCACCAGCCATGTCGTCAGGGCGACGCGCATCTCAAAGGGTCGAGTGCGATCGGCGAGATGCGAAATATTGCGACCTCGAGGCTTCGAAGTGATCTCTGAATTCGTCGTTTGCCGGGCTACTATCACCTGGCATTCAATCGAGACATAACCAAGACTTTTAATCCTCGAGGGTATGCTACCATGTCAATCAAGACTGTCAACCCTTTGAAACGATCGCGAAACGAGGACGTCGAGCGGTAAGTCCCCGCATGAAAGCGTCTTCACGATCTTCCCCGCTGACCCTTTTCGACCAACCAGTACCTCCAAACGCTCCAAACCAGCTCAAACCGTGTCGAAAGCTTTACCGCTATCGACTTCAGAATCCGATGTCAGTTCGAATGGACAGAGCGAAGATGAGAACGAATCAGCCAGCGACGATGACGACGAGGAAAATGACGAGGAGGACCCCGAAGCCGAAAGACAAGCCATGCTCGCCGCACTAGAAGCTCATGGACGAGCCATGTTCACAAGTCTGGACACCCCTACGGCGGGTCCCAGCACGATCAAATCCAGCGAGCAGTCTCAACGGAACAAAACCAAGAACGGGGTAAAGGAGGACCCCAAAGCCGGGAATAGAAAGCGTTCGAGCAAGGTTCCCGACCTTGATGGGCTTGATGGGATCTTCAGCGAGGACTCGGAGGAGGATTCGGAACTGGAGGAAGGAGAGGGGTTCGACGAGGATGATGGTGATGATGGAATCTCCGACCAGGACGGAGACGACTACGATGATGATGAGGAGAGCGAAGAAGAGGGACTAGAGGATGAAGAGGAAGAAGTGGAACCAGTAGAAACGGTCGTTTTCGGCGGGAATACCGGACGAAGCACTTTGGGTACAACATCCAAAGCAGACTTCAAGCGCTTTATGGTGAGTTTTTCATGAGTCTCGAAGAACTATGAAAGCATGTACTGATGATCTAAATGATTGGGCATGGATCCTGTAGTCGTCAAAGTCTTCCAAGATGATGGATGTGAAAAAGCCCGACGAGGACGTTCCGGGCAGACGGAAGAAGGGATCTGCTGAGGATCAAGCCGAGGACGATGAGGATCGGTGAGTCCTAATGGCCACCTACTGGACGGGACTTAGACTCACAGCGAAGGATGCTGTGCTTCTCGTCAGATCGAATGCCGCATTGGACAAGGAGCTACATGGGCTTTTGATGACGAGCTTGTTACCGAATGCTACGACAGCTTCCAAGCCATCCGAGAAGCGAAATCAGATGAGCAGTCGGTTGCTAGAGGTATGCCGACACCGAACCTCACCACCTTGAAATGACTGGAAGCCCGCTGATTCCCGACCTGATGACTATATTCTACAGTTGGCTTCAATCGCCGGACTAGGCGAAGGGACGTCGACGCTCAAGTCCACGGCGTACAAGACCCAGCCTACCAAGATCCGGAGCAACATCCTCAAAGCGCAAGAACGCCGTACCGAGAAGACCCGTGCCGAGGCCCAAGCGTCCGGTTCTTGGGTCAAGGGTTCGGGTGGGCTGGGCGATATCGGCAAGGACAAGGGTCTGACGCTGGCAGCGAAGAAGAGGCAGGAGAAGGAGCGGGAGAGGAGGTCCAAGTCGGACGACCGAGGTTTGAGCATGGGAGTAGGGAGGTTCAAGGGAGGGGTGTTGACGCTGAGCAAGAGCGAGATTGCGAAAGGTTCGGCTGTGCCGGAAAAGTTCAGCATTGGCAAGAAGAAGGGCAAGGGAGGGAAGAAGGGCGGGAAGAAGTGATCCTGACTATAAGGAGTTGCGTGCTAACTGCCGGTGGCGATGTAGATGGTCGGCCGTTATTCAGTCGATGGCAGCGTCGGTGTTCACGGAATGGCTTCAGGCCGGAACATGGTCTTATACGGGATCTTGGAGGGGTACTCGCGCGCACTGCTATCGATTTGAAGGAATCAGAGGGATTAGCAGAGAGTATTGACCCACCTATGAGGAATGGGGGGAGAAGTACATGCGACACATTAAGCAGAGGAGGACTAAGGCGAAGCTTGAGGATCCTATCGGATATCCTGAGAGCAGGCGATCTCACTCACGAGGTAGTCCAGAAACAGCCTCCTTGTTTTCTCTCTCTTTTGGCCATCGTCTTGACTTGAACTTTCGATAGTTGGGCATACAAGATGTTTGAGATGCCCAGCCTGATCCTTGCCCTCAACTCCATTCTGCCGCGCTGATCGAGTTATCAGCATCTCATCGTTACCACGAGTGGTATTGGTAACATTAAAAATGTCCGGCTACGGCCCAATTCAGGCTTCACCCTTCGAAGCCCAATCGTCCAAGTTTGTCATCAATCGAAAGGTCATGGATCATGGATCATGGATCATGAATCATGATGGATCGATCACCTTCCCGATCATCATCTCCATTCCTTGACCATCGGAATCGGAACCCGGACATACGACTTCACCTACCAAGTCCGAGAAACCCACGCCCACTGTGTGCATACCCGTACCCACGCGCAAGGAAAGAAGGCGTTTGCAGTTCCATAGAGGGTGCTTCTCGGTGGCGTGTGCCCGCGGGATCGTGCGAAAGGATGTTGATGGGTATCGGCCGGTCGCGTCGATCATGAACTCATGAAACCATGATGGGTGGTAGTGATGCGAAGTAATCTTGCACGAGCCGGGCGAGGTTCCGGGTCGCCCTCGCTCGAAACTAGTACATGTGGTTGCGCTGCCGTACCTAGACTTCGTTTCTATCGAGGGACGTTATCCACTCCTACACTGGTACACTGGTCAACATCGGAGTCATCAGAAAAGATCGCACAACAGGCTCAAGAAATCAGATTAGATGGCCTCACGGACGGATCACTTCGCCCACCCGAACCCGAAGCCAGACGCGCGCGGGAAGACACGACGCGTTCCGTTTCATCCGCTCTACCCCTTGATCGTTTCATCGTCAGTCTCCCCGCCATCACCCGATAACTCCTCCCCCTCGTGCATTTCCTGCAGGAGTGTCGTTGATCGGAGAAGAGCATCCTTTGGGATCCTCGAGGTGTTTCAATCTGAGACGGAACAGAATCAAGGGGCGGCTGTGCTCATTCTCCCTTGCTACCCTTCTTTCGCTCCGTCTGGTGACGTCTCGAGCAGGTGGAGTTCGAGGTTGAGTGACTTTCCACCCTGCTGATCTCTGATCTATGCGCTTTTTCGCCTGATGGCTGATGGTACGTTCGTGATCAAATGCGATTTGTTGTGATGATCATCTTCGCATCGTGCTCGTCATAGATTCTAAAGGATGTAAACAAACCCGATTGCTCAAATCGCTCGGTTGCGTTGCGATTGACCGAGTCTTCTTGATGAGACTCGGACCACAACAAACGACGCGTCCCGCCCATCCACCTGCTCTAGCTACTCTCGATATCCCTTCTCAATCGTCAATCGACATCATCCACATCGTTCGTCGACGTTGAATTCACTTCTCGTCGACTCTAGCCACCTGGATTTGAAGCAGCCTGTTCAGAGCCGACGGGAACGACGAATCTGCGGACAATCTTTTAGACCTAGCTGCCGGATTTCACGACCTTTTACGAATCTCAAAACGAGCATCTTCACGTTCTCTTTAGCTCTTTATCAACGATACACGATCCTTCACAACGTATCTTCGCCATTCTCTTGATCAACCCTCATTCACCCCAACAGTTACAAACACCTTCTTTCAACTCATTCTTGTCGGCCTTCACAATTCCCGGACCGTTCGCAATACCTTATCCTTGATCACGTTAAATTGGTCTTGATCACGGTAAGCTGCATTTTGAATCTTACATACCAAGATGAATTGCTCAAATGTTACTCTGTATAGCTTGATCCCCTTCACGATGCTCGGACACGGCCGTCAAGAATCGCGATTCAATGACGCACCCTCCTTGAGCTCGTTGCGTGGTCACGCACGACGACCTTCCCAAGCCCCTGTCCCACCACTTCCTTCTTTCACGTCCACTCAGGTACCCCATTCTCGGTTCGAATCCAACCTCCCTCGACCGACCTTTCAGGCATCCACCCTGGGCAATCACAACAACAGCAAGACCAGCACTTCGAGCAAGACCTCTTCCCGCTCGCAACAAGTCAAATCAAGCCGTCGAGGAAGTTTGCAGAACAAGCCTGGTATCTCGCTCGAGGCGTGGCAACAGTACGCGACTAAAGGTCCGGTTCCTCTGCCTTCCCGGAAGGATAACCCTTATGGCGTGTACATGGCCACCGGTAACGCTGAAGGCCAGGCCACGACGACGAAAGGTTTCCGAGCGGCAGGGTATGGAACGGGAATTCCTGTCTCTGTTCAGAACTCGAAGTCGATCTCTACCGACCGTCGTACGAGCACGATCAGCACCGGTTCGTCCGCTCGTCCTACGTCCCAGCTTCAAGCGCAGAACTCGGATAGCAGGATCTCCCGGTTCGAAGACGCGCTTGACCTCGACCGACCTGAATCTCGCGCCCAGAATCTGAATCAGACAGTGATGCAACGCCCTGGGTCGAGCTTCCGGTCGTCCAGGTTCGAGGATGCTTATGATACCTTTGAGACTCAAAACCAGAGTTCCGGAGGAGCGGGAAACGTCAGTAGGATACCCAGGTTGTCGGCGGAAGGAGATCGCAATCGGGAGAAAGGGATTCTCTCCGAAGTCCTCTTCGATCATAATGGCATGTCGGACATCAAAGAGGAGATCCCGCGTACTTCTAGATCGGCGGGGTTCTCGAAGAACGTCTTTCAGACGCAGAAGACGATCCCTTTTGGTTCAGAGCCGCTCAAGAGCGAGTTCGATCATACCATCAGAAGCGCCTCGGCAGCGGGTATGTACAGAACCAGCGCGAGTAGCGGTGGGAACTCGGATAGACGCGGGTCAGTCAGCAGCGAGTCCAAGTTGGCCCTCTACGGAGCTCAGGATCGTGAGACGTTCAGCGACAAGGCTAGTATTCGTACAACTAATACCTTCGGGGTAAAAGGACGGACTGGAGAGGTCGATGTGACTAGCGTCAAGACCGCTCGGACGGTCGGCGGTAGCGCCGGTACGTACGAACGGCAGGTAAATCTCCCTGTTCAGACGGAGAAGAAGAACGAGCGAGAGGCGTACTACCAATACGGTACTGAGAAAGATTCCAAGGCGAGGAAAAGCCTGGCGGGAGTCTTCGGCGGTAAAGGACCTGGGAGCGTCAAATCGTTCGGGACGACCAAGACCTCGATGACCGCTGCCGATCTCAGTATGGACAAGGAGAACTACACGGTCCGACGTGCCAAGGGGAGCTGGTCCAGCAGTCAGACTTTTGGGGACAAGTGGCAATCTTCTCCTCGGGAGAGGAAGTTGACCAAGACACCCGAACCTCTGCCTCCCAAGGTCGAGATTGTGGGGACTATCCGCGACGCGTTCCCCGTCGTTCGTGAATCGATCGAACTCGATGCGCAGCGGGGGTTGATGCCGGCGTTCCATTTCGATCCGAAACCGATCCAAGACAGAAAGCAGGAAAGTACTCATCGAGACTTGACAGCGGCCGTAAAGGGCCATGGTCTGCCTCCTTCAGCTTATAACCGGGGGATGACACCGGAGCCGTTTTTGGAGCATCGCGCCAGGAAGAAATCGTCCGCCTCACCACTTCTCACGAAGATGAAGTCCGCTTGGCATCTCAACGGACATCAAACCAGTCAATCGGCCGACTTGGAAAAGATTGAAGAGATGTTGACCGCCGATGAAAAGTCACAACCGCCAATGTCGGGCCTCGCCAAGATGAAATCCAACTTGAACCTCTCGCGTTTCAGGTCGCACAAGGCTAGTCTCGCGGACATCCAAGCCAACGCGCGACAACAGGCAGGACACACGACGAACGACAGTTTCACTTACGTTGAGCCTAGTGTTGGGGACAGGAGTACCATCTCGGAGTGGACCTTGGCTTCGGTCTCATCTGTTTCGGATGGTTTACCGGCTCCTTGGGAAGAGAATGGCTTGCAAGGTGGCGGTAAGCGGGTGATCAAGAAGAAGAAGAGCATGGCGCCGGGCGCCCTGCTAGAAAAGATGTTCGGGGGCAAACCGGGCAGAGACAAGAAGGAGAAACGAGACAGTAGAGGTAAGTTCATCCGCTTAAAAGTTACTCTCGTCCAGTTAATTGAGAGATTATGATTCTACAGATCGTTTCAGCCTGAAGAACGCTGCTTCTCAGTTGACGCTTCGACCCAAAGCGAACCGCCCGGGCTCGGACAGCGCCTCGATCAACTCGGCGGCGAGTATCCGTTCACAAGACCGAAAGTCCAGTTTCGCAAACACACGTAGGATGACCATGGGTCTATCGACCGATCCTGCCTTCGTGACGGACGAGATCGAACCTCCTTCTCTGCCCAAGAAACGGTCCACCTCGCCCATCGATGCGATATCACCTCAACTGCCAGAATTCTCCTTTTCTCAACCCCTTACGTCAGGTTCAGAACTACGAGCCGACGTTCTAGGTAACGAGAGCTACGTATCCCGGTTCGGGTATGGTATCGATCCCGAGCTTACGTCTGAGCGTTCGCCAGCCGAATCTGTGGAAGACAACCCGCCGACAAGCGCGACTTTCGCTTACTCGCTTCACAGCGAGTACTCGAGGGAGAGCCAAGAGGATGTGGAAGCCGGAAACCGCCGCACTTCGAGGGAAGACAGTTCCCTGGACGTCGTCGAGAACGATCTCGACTATCTTCGCTCGCGGATGTCTTACTTTCAAGGAGGGAACGGCGAAAAGCGAAAGTCGACTGGACCGCTCCCCAAAAGGTCCAGCGTCCAGGGCGTGTTCGACGTTCTAGACCAGCTTCCGAACGCTGACAACCAGGTCAAAGAAGTTCCCCAGTTTACGCAACGTAACCTTGTCGTCCCTGAGCGATTCCCGGATTCCTCTCTCGGGACTGCGCTTCCTCAACCTGTGCGCGCGGCATCAGGTCAGTGCGGCTTTTCTGAGCGTCGAAGGGTGGAAATTCTCTGCTAACGATATTAAGATGAACAGCGACGGATCTCGCGAAAATGTCTACAGTGACGGACGATCTCCATTACCTCGTGGCCAACTTCGCATGTTACACTCCCAACAGTATGCTGTCGGCTACTCCTACGAGGGGAGCCGGCATGATTTCGCCCTCCGAATCGCAATATCTAGAGTCGGAAAGTCCTACACCCATCAGCCGCGGTTCTACTCAGATGTTGGGCGCCAAAAAATCCAATGCCACGATCCGAGCCAAAGCAAGTCCCATCAAGATCAGCCCGCTGCGTCTCGCGCTTCACAACAACTTGAGCAAGCGCTACACACCCGATGGGAAAGGGTCGTCTAGCGGATTCAATGTCCGGGGCGATGAAGAGACCGTGGGAATGCCTTCGAGAGCCGAGCTCAATGACGAAGAATTGGTTGACGACGAGGACTCTGACGGTGAAGCTGTAGGCAACCACTTGCCGCAGACGTTCGTGACCGAACCTACGCCTAGGGGAGCCTCTACCGCTACCTTCACCAGCATGGCACGCTCCGATTTGCCTCAACTGCAGACCAACCTGGACAGAGTGATCGAAAAGGGCTCGCTGGCCTCGTCTTTCGCTACCCTTACCCCGGTCGATGACGATGCGCCTAGAGAATCTTTCGATTTCACTGGCGAATACGCACAGCTGAACGAAAACGGATGCCGACAGAGTTTCTTGGCGGAACTCGATCGACTGGGTCTCGTAATTGATGAGACCGATAATATTCCCGAAGCGAAAGGGGCCAAAGAGATCCAGCCTACGATAACCAAGAGGAGTTCACTCAACAGAGATTTCAAATTTGGAAGGCCCGCTCCAGCTCCCCTCGAACGAGCGCAATCAGCAATCCCTAGCGGAGGGATCCCGTTCGTTCCAAGGCATTCTCAGCATCTCCCGGACGATTCGCTATTTTCTTTCGCGAGTATGAGCAGCGTAGGAAGGGTCGTGGACACGGGGATATCGGGGAATTTCGTTAATCTCTTTGAGCGCGAATTTGCGGCCGCTCAGAACTCTCGACCGACGCAGTTGCACTCTGCGCACAAGAGCTGGACAGACAGTCTCAGATCGTCCGTTGGCCGAAGCAGAGGATCGATTGATTCAATAGATTCAGCTTTGGAGAACACTAGGGGATCTCGTCACAGGCGCAAGAACAGCTCTGTCGATAGCGCTCATTCTGCCATGCGACGCATAGGTCGGCCGGGGGTGGACTCGGATAGGATGTTCAAGACGAACTGTCTATATTCTATTGCTGGTTCCCCATCAAACAGCCAAGCATCTCCCTCCGAGACAAAAACTCTCGGTAAAGGATCAGTTAGAGGTCCAGGAAACGCCAAGCCGTCGTACGATACCCTGCTAGATTACAAGCCGTCCGGGAGCAAGCTAGACTCGCTCTACGATCAGACAAGGCAGAGCACAATTTCACAAGGTGACGACTCGCTGTTTTCCACTTCCAGTAGGAATCAGTCGTTCTCGCTCTTCCGCCCTCGCCCCATATCTTGCATCAGCGATCGAAGCGAGGTCGACTCATCCTCACAAGACGCTTCGCCTCTAGCTCGCAAGAGCGGTGAAATGCTTCGCCGCTCCCAGGACGTGGAGCGCCGAGGAGGACATGACCGACAACAGTCGACGGTTGATCAGTCCCGCAGTTCTCGCACGTTGGAAGCCATAGGAGACGACTGTATGTGCAGTCAAGACATTCTAAGTTCTGATGAGGCCGTATTGACTCGCACTTTCTTGCAGCTTTCACGTCGATCGAGAGCACGAATAAGCCTCTTCCCCCGAGAAACTCCTTCTCCAGGAGCATTCAAGCGCGCTTGTCGTCGACGCCTCGTCTGATTTCACCTTCCGGCAGCGAGCCTTCGAGCAAACCATCCACGGATGTGCAATCGATCATCAGTGCGATGTTGGATCCTCCTGTTACCAAGCCAATGCGCGAACCGAAAGTGCGAACGGCCTCCCAGGTCGAATCGGGAATCCAAGCACAAGATGACCGTCGAAATGGCTGGGAGAAGAGAGAGACAATGGATTCTCTTGTCTCGAAATATACCTCAGGATCATCTCGCGACAGCATGAAACGATGGGTGGACTGGCAGCGCGAGGCCGAGCTCGAGATCGAAAAATCCAAGATGGCTTGGGCGGACACGGATGCTAGTCGAGCGGTCGTGGACAGTGGGTATCCGAGAGAGCCCTGACTCTAGGAACACGGTTGACTGATGTTTGACCGCGTTCTTTGACAGAAGAATTCAAACCGCCTAGCAATCTTGAAGATGTAGCTCGGCTCATCCAGATTTCCCGATACGTCAATACGTCATTGGCAGAAGCTTCGCCAGGCAAGCAAATCGCTCGCCGAGCGCAGGTACCTATGGATGCTTTCGATAAGGCTATCGCAGAGAGCGCCGTTCAACCTCCCCAACATAGGCCTGCAGCCTTACCTACCAAGTTTCAGCGGACTGACACTGCGGGCACCATCGCCTCGATAACCGGTTCAATAACCCCTAGCACCCCGTCCGGTTTGTTCTCATTCGCTATGACCCAGCCGGTCCGAGAGTCGCCGGTCCGGCTACCATTGGTGGATACTAGTAACGTGCACGGAACGTCGCCCTCTCGACGATCTCCTAGAAAATCTTTGACGAAAAAGAACACGAAAACCATTGGCCCAGTTCGCAGTCGTGTGACATCTACAGCAAGTGCCCGCAGAGTGAGTAGATTTTGAAGCTCCTCTCGAGAAGCGATTCTAATTTCTATTTCATTTTCAGGCAAAGCTGGGATGGGGGCGACGACGAGACTCGGCGACAGCACCGGTGCCCAAAGTATCGGGCCCACGTACGCCATCGAAGCGAAGTTCAGGAGAAGACGATGAAAGGCGGCAAGACAACGGGTAAGTCACTTCGCGTACGCTTATTGACATACCGATACTGAAATGCCGTTGGTGAACACAGTCCCTTGCTTGATGACCGAAGGCGTAGTGGCTACAAGGCTAGGAATTCTCAAAACAGGCGAAGTATTCGCGCTTAGTAATCATAATGTCTCTTTCCCTCTTGGTCCCTCCCGTATCTGTAAGGTCTGTATTCCGGTCATAGGATCGTCTTATGCTTTTTGCGCGTTTTGTCTAAGTCGTGTCATATCTAGGATGTATACACACATCGCATGCTTGCCCAAACCACTCAACTCCATTGTATGGCGGCCTTCCCGTCGATCGATTCTCCGCCTATCCAGAATCGCTCGAGGACCACAGGAAGGCGGAGACCGGTGACTTCCCCATCTTCACCGATCACGGCTCCAGTCTCCAACAAAGCTACGAGTAACCGCGGAATGGCCGCGCATGTGCCGTTTAAGGTATGAGCGAACGGGATAGTGGAGTCTGTATTATCCGGACGCGGTCGGTGTCGAATATGCAGCCTTCGAGCTTGGAAGTCGGTACAGTTCGAGGTCGATGAGATCTGAAAGGATGGAAGGCTTTCAGCAGAGGTTAACACACCCCGAAAGTCTTTATTACTTGTTACTGACCTCGCCCCATCCGTCTCGTCCCGGCATCCAAGCTTCCATGTCATATTTACGATAGGCAGGGGCGCCCAATTCCTCCGTAGGCATATCCAGCACGCTGTGATAGGACCAAAGTCAGTGTGAACGGTACTGGATTCGCTCGACTCGCAAACTTACCGGACGCTCAACCCCAAACTGGTATACAGCTCTTTCTGGATCTCCCTCATCTCCTCCATCATCCCCTCGCTAACCTGCTTCTCGCCCTCGGTCACTGCAAAAAGCTCGATCTTCTGAAACTGATGTAACCGATAAAGACCTCTCGTGTCCGCGCCCCTTGCTCCCGCTTCGGCTCGGAACGCCTTGCCTACACCGACGTATTTCAAGGGCAAGGATTGGTATGGGATGATCTTGTTCGCCGATAGAGCTGCGAGTGGGATCTCAGCGGTGGCGGCCAAGACCAAGTTGGCTTGAGACTGGGTGACGGGTTGTGCATCAGGGTCCGAATTGGGTGGGGTTGTGGAGAGGTAATACGTCTGGCCGGCCCCGTCTCTGGGTTGGAAACCGCATCGCGCCATGACGTCCTCCTTGACCACGTCCGGCGTGGCAATTGGTGTCCAGCCTTTCTTCACGGCGATGCTCAGGGCGTATTGAATGACAGCCTGCTCCAGAAGCGCGAGATGACCTTTCAGGTAAGGCCATGACGTGCCTGAAGCCGTCGCTGATGCCGCCGTGTCAACCCAACCCCAGCGGGTAGCGATATCGAGATGATCTCTCCGCTTGTCTGCAGCGACCGGCTCCGGGCCGAACCTTTCCAGTTCGATAGCCTCCTTCTCCTTTCCGACCGGTGTTGCAGGGTGGGTCTCGTTAGGCAACATCAAGCCCAGCTCCAATAGCTCCTTATCCGTCTCTTCCCAGATCTTTTCATACTCGACAATCTTGAGCTTGAGTTTCTTGGCCTGACGGACCGCCTCGTCGCCGCCTCCAGCTTTGATCAAGTTCCCCACGTCCCGCTGCTTTGCCCGGACGGAATCGAGCTTGCGATGTAGCGATATCGAGGTCTCGTACAACCGCGTGATGTGAAAGACCGTGTCCGGAGTGCATGGTGCGTTCCGGAGGATGTGATTGAGTGTAACCGCTTTCTGCTCTTCGGCTATCCTGCGATAGTCTAACCTGGGTTTAGGCAACGTCGAGACGATCTCGTTGTTCACCACCGGCTTGGTATCCGCTTGTTTAGGCTGTTTAGCTGAACTTGAGGGTACTGAAGGTGGAGAGGGCCGAGCTGGAGGAGGCAGTGGGTATATCGCATTGGGATTCGAGGCATAGGATGCGGTCCTAACTTGACCGATCTCGTTCCACCGGATAGCTTGTCGTAAACCTATGCGCGCAGGCGAAGTGTCAGCGTTCGACGGCAGGCGGGATAGACAGGGGGCTGCAGGTGATCACATTTATGGCATCCTGAGTTAGGAAATTTCATCTCGATGGTTGCACTGCCAGTATGGGCTGAGCGAAGCAAGAGAAAGATCAGCTTACAGTCAGTAAGAAGAAGATGTCAACCGATATCTTGGACTCCGATCGTCGATCTAGCGACGGTTGACCTGAAAAGCGAATATTCGTTCTGAAATCTCTTCCCTGCACAAATACATATCGTTGATGTTGATCGATGATCTAGATTCCGTCATGATAATGTCGTTGTCCTCGGCCAACGCCCACCCTTTCTACCTGGCCGTCAGCCTTCTCAACTCAGCCTCTCTGTTCTTCCTCACCATGGCTGAATCTTCAGGCGAGACTCTCAATTCCATCAATCCGCTCAAACGGAGTCACGACGAGCTCGAGCTCCACCAAAGACAAACGTGGGCATGGATCAACGATTCCACACATACCAGCTCGCACGAGGAATTGCGAGAATGTATTGCAATCATCCTCAAGTCACACCCCGAAGCCATACCAACTTTTGCGGAAGTTCAGAGAAAACAGTTCCAGGATCGGCAGAACGCCGTCACTCGCTCTGAGCTGTACGGCAAGGTGATCGACTTCGACCACTTTTCGAAATCCTGCTGGAAAGCTCTGAACGTCACTTACAGCCGTATGGCACCATCTAAGCAATACATGCACACGCAGGATGTCGTCGATACGATCGACGAGGCGATCACCGCTATCGTCGAGAGATCCGGGGAGGCTCAGCGATTGGAGACTTACAAGTCCGCGTTGGAGACGTGCAGGAAGATCGGGAAGTCGATCATTCTCAGCGACCCCGGCGAGATCAGGAAGGCCGTGATAAACAGTCCGGTACTCGAGTCTCTCGCCGAGGCTATCCTGGACATCTTGAATACTGTCGTCATGACGGACGAGGACGCATTGGAGGAAGGACTCATGTGGGTTGCGGACAACATCAAGGGATACGGATCAGATGAACCTTGGGACGAGGTGATCGAGAAATTGGAGGAGATGAAACAGGTCAGACCCAAGAGAAGGGCTACGTAGCTCCTGTAGCTGCAGACGGGTACGTTCCTGAGAAGAGCCTGCAGACGCGCCAAGTTCTTCGGACCAATCTGATCGTTCCCGGGATAATACCTTTCAGCAGCACATCACACCCAGGACTTCAGGAAGCCTACTTACTGTCTTTCAGCCAAAACCCCTTGTCGTGGAGCTGTTCGTAACGCATGTACACTCCATCGTCAGCATACCTATTGTGCTACTGGTAACTCAGGGCTCCGAGTCACTGCCCTTCTCACCGATGAGGCCTATAGAGTTGAAGGTGAAACTTGGAACAAAGACCTGATCGACGATGCTCGTTCCAAGCAAAACCAAAGGAAAAACCCTCAGAGTGACAGTCGAGCATGCCATTCGTCGCGCTGAGACGTGATTATGCATATACGACCCCCTCTCTAGTATAGGAACAGCTACATCAGCACTACTGTAGATCTGGGTTCTCGCTCGGATCACCTAATCTAATGGCTCGTGCATTGGGTCAACGTTCCCTGGTACCTGATATCTCCGTCCGCTACCTGAAGGATCGACGTGGCTGTACGCATGCGAGTCTACCGCGATAAAGTCGGACATCTTCAGTGGTCGAAGTTGGAAGCCCTGCAATCAATAGAGAGTGATCATACTCATCAGCTGACGTGCCGGTGGGGAAAAGGGTCACAAGAACAGATATGAAACCTACCTCCCGCTTGGCCTCCTCCATACCCTTGATCCCCTTCCCACCCTTTTCTCTCATCAACTCTCTTACGGGGATCATTGCAGCGTTCCTGCAAGTCTCCTTCAAGTCCGACCCTGACAGGCCGTCCGTCCGACGTGCGAGCTCTTCAAAGTCGAACCCTGGTGAGAGGGTCGCATGTGCGAGCATGAGGCGGAGGATTTTCAGTCGTTGGGCGTGGTTAGGGAGTCGGATGGCGAAACGTTTAGGCATCCTTCGGAGGATTGCCGGGTCGATACTGTACGGAGCTTGGCATTAGCTTTGGACAATTATATCAGCACTGCTCAGCATGAGTTAATGCTTACTCGTTCGGTCGATTTGTAGCCCCAAGAACCAGAACCCTCGCATCATCCCCCGACATCAGCCCATCCCACATGCTATAGTATGGCAATTCTTTCTCAGCCAATGCCATGCAGAAGGAGCAATTCCATGTACCCACGTCATGAACTCGGCCTTGATCATCCCCGTCACCTCGTGATCCCCCGTGGCCCTCGAACGGAACAACGAGTCGATCTCGTCGATGAAGATCTACAAGACAAACCATCGAAAACGAGAGTCATCCAGTCAGCATCGGGTTATTGCAGCGGTATGGGACCCTACCATCGTGGGTGACGTACGATGCTGGGTTGTAACTTTGTTGCTAGGGAAAAGAGACCGGCGACCAGTTTATTCGATTCTCCTAGCCATTTGTTCATGCTGTGATAGGTATCTCAACCGAGGGATGATATAAGCAAGGTTGTGAGAGAACGGAACGGATTTTGGAAGGGATGCCTACTCACAGGCTTGAAAGAGGCAGGTTGATGAACGTTGCGCCGCTTTCTTTTGCTAATGCTTTAGCGATCCTAGGAACGATATTGTGGTTTCAGTGCCGCATAACAGGTGATGACACATGTCAGGAGGAGACAGCTCACATCGTCTTCCCGCATCCAGGATGTCCATACAAGAGCACTCCCTTCGGTGCGGCCAACAATCCTCCTTGACTCTTGAACAGTTCCGGGTAATTGAGTGGGTAGATGACCGTCTCTCTCAACTGATTGATCACATCGTCCAACCCTCCTATACTCTCAAACGTCGTACTGATGCTCGAAGGAGGTACGATCTCCCCGGCGATCGCCTGCTCGTACTCGTCCAGCTCCAGCTCTGACAGGTCGATGTCCCCGATCTTCAAGGTGTTCAAGAGCTCTTGACTCTTCTTGGCTTGCTTCTTGCGGTCGGTCTTTTGCGGGTCGAGATTGGAGAGCACGTAACGGACCGCATAGAATAGAGCGATCTGTGAGGCTGCGAAGACGGTCACGTCGACGATGACCTTGTTGAGATCCCTTCCCATTGCGTTTGTCTTGGTCCTGACGCCTTTCTACCGAATTGACTTGTCCAGTTTGTCCGTTGTGCTGGGTTGTATGGATTATCAAACCGCCCCGATGCCAGCTATTGATCAGTGTCTGTGTGAGTGAGATGAGAAGTTCGAAGATGTACAAGTTTGCAAGTTTGTACGATCGAAAGCACTTTCAACGGCTAACTTCGAGGGGGTTACAAGCCGAGGGCCGGATCACGATGAGAGGTCACGTGACCCAGAGGAGGCTTTCGCCCCTTGACCCCATGTATGGTACATTCCTTGATCTCCCTTGTAATCACTCTGATGTACCAGTCACAGTTCTCGCAACATCCATACACGTAAATCAAAAGGGTTTTTTATTTTTTGAAGGATAGACCAGTCAGTCTAAGCGGTCGAATAACCCTGAGGAAGCGGAGCGAAACGGGTCATGTCGCACATCGACCCATTCCATATCGAAGGTCCGTAATAACCACGCATTTCCTGATTGGAGATGTAGATTAGCTGATTTACAATATCACAATAATGCTACAGTCTGGTTGAAGGAAGCGGAAAAGTCATTCAAGCACGATTTGGCGGCTTCCTGCAACACGCTCAGCCTAGCTCAGCTGGTAGAGCATTCCACAGATAAAGGGCTCGCAAAGCCGTGGGAGGATATCAATGTCGGCCTCGATTACGGCTATATGGATGGAAGTCCCGATCTGAAAAGAACTATTGCGGGTATCTATGAGAAGGAACTCAAGCGGAAGTTCTCGCCAGATGGTATCATCCCATCTATCGGAGCGATAGGTGCCAACTATGCTTTCCTTTACGCTCACGTAAAGCCGGGTGATCACGTCATCTGCCAGTACCCTACATGGCAACAACTATACTCGGTTCCGAAATCTCTGGGGGCCGAGGTCGCTTTGTGGAAGACTAGTATGGAGAATGGATGGCAGCTCAATCCGGAATCTCTGGAGAGCATGATCAAGCCGAACACGAGGATGATCATCCTGAACAACCCACAGAATCCCACCGGGGCGGTCTTGGCACAAAAGTCGCTTCAGGTCGTGGTAGATATCGCCAAGAAACATGATCTCTACATCTTATGCGACGAAGTGTTTCGTTCTCTGGTCCACGGACTGGGACCGTCAGAGCTACCGCCCTCTATTCTCTCCTTCGATTACCCCAAGTCCGCAGCGATCAGCTCCATGTCAAAAGCTTATTCTCTCGCCGGAGTCAGGGTTGGGTGGATCGCGACGGAGAACCCAGAGATCATCAAGGCGTGTTACTCTGCTAGAGACTATACCACCGTCTGCGTCTCCAAAATATGCGAGGGTATCACGGAGTATGCGTTGAACCCTTCGGTCGGGCCGAACGTCGTCCAGTCGAACATCGACACCGCTAGGATCAACCTGGGTCATCTCCGAGCTTTCGTCGACAAGCACAAGGATATCTGTTCTTGGGTCGAGCCGAAAGCCAGCAGTACGGCGTTCGTCCTCTTCAAGACCAAAGCTGGCGAACCGGTCGACGATGCGGCGTTTTGCAAGCGGTTGCAGGATGAGACCGGGGTGATGCTCGTCCCCGGAGGATATGCCTTTGGGGAAGACTACAAGGGCTTCGTCAGGATCGGATATATCGGGGAGACCGAGGCGTTCTTGAGAGGTCTCAAGGCGTGGGACGAATGGTTGGATGTATGGAAGGCCGAACAGTAAAGCGGAACGGAGCGAGACGAAGCGCTCTTCCACGGAAGCTTGACGATGCCGAGCAGGCTCACGACCAGGAGGTGGATACGACAAAATATATACGACGTTTTACGACAAGACCGGCTACGGCGGACCGTTTGTATTCTACAGAAACAGAAGGGGCAAGGGATATAGGACGATATTATGAAGTGCGCACATGCTCAGCACCCGATGGTGAAAGAGAGAGAGAGAGAGAGAGTCATGTGTCCAGGGCAGCCTAAGGTCCGCCTAGTCATCAGAGGACATAGACATGAGGCCCTACAAGCAGGTGATAAACGTGCTCAGACCGGCGAGATCTTCTCGTCGAGAGAGTCCTTCTCGGAAGGGAAGTCGTCCGCAGAATTGTCGGAGCTGCAAGAGTTGCCGGCAATGGCATCAGCTTTCGTCCGAGCCGGTATCGCGGATGACAACAAAAGCACAATCGAAACCTGACTTACGGATCCACGAACTTCCAGATCGCCTCATTCATGAAGATTGCGAAAGCGACTTGCAAGAGCTGCGAACAACCCCCGAAGACGATCATGGGCAAGACGTCCCAAGGTTCAGAGGAATTGCCAATGCTTCCAACGGCAGTAATCGCGAAGAGACCTTGGAACAACATCAACAGGTCCAGGCGCTCCCGAGCGAGCTCAGGGCGTTCGGCGCCGGGGGACAAGGTGGGTAAAGCGTTGGTCGAGGTGTCTCGGATCCTGGGAGTTTGGGACTTCCAAAACAGCCTGATCTACAACGAAGAATGTTGGCGGGATTAGCGCTGGAGAGGTGTACCGATTATCATCTCGAGCGATTTTGTCTTACCAGGACCGACCAGTCGGCGATAACAATCCAGGCGTAAAAGGCCCAGACTAGAATCGTCCAGGTCTGGCTTCCGAAGAGTGTGATCTCGTACAAGTCCAGAATTTCGGAGACCTCTCGGATGACGGGCATCTGGAAGAAGAGCTCGACGATTTCTCCACCGGCGCGGGCGCGGGCGATCCATACGGGCAAGGCGATTACCTGTCATACGGACAACCTCAAAAGCCTTAGTCGGAGATCGACAGGGAAGGGGCCGGAAGGGAGACATGTGTAACTCACTACAGTCGATAAGGTCCGGTTGAAGGCCGACTGGAACGATCTGGTCCGGGGGAAGATGATCGAGTTCGGGAGCGTGAAGACGAGCAGGAGACCCATAATAGCGTCCCCCAGGGGCATCGCGCTGGTAGGCCACTCCTCGGGCTTGGTCTTGTGCAGCAGGTGGTCAGAATACCAAGACCTCATCACTAGTAAGGAGTAAAAGGCAATGAAAAGCCAGAGGGGCCGGTGGATGAGTCCGCCGTACGGATTCGTTTTGATACGGAGATGGAGATGAAAGACAGGCTCCATGATCTGTCAGGCCATCCACGAGCAGGATCAACATGGGAAAAGCAAGACCCAGGCCAAATATTGATGCTTACTTTATAACAAAGCAAAAGTCCGCCTGCCCAAGCGCCGTGAATTAACAGTATGTCGAATATCCCTACAGTCCCGTCGTGTCCCGTATCGGAAGATTGAAACAAGAGGAACCATCTCCCAACCAAGCCGCATAAGATCATGCCGATGAGAAGGAGGAGAAAGAGCTCGCTTGTCTTGAAAAGTAACCTATGCCAGAAAGCCGGCTGGCCGACGGAGCTGACGGGGTTCGCCTTGTCAGCGTGGTCATCGCTCGACTATGATGGAAGGGGGTGAGTTTCGTGCCGATGGCCTATGGGATGAATCGAACTGACCTGGACTTTTGCCTTTCTTTTGGCAAATTGGTAGGCCGAGAAGAAAATTACGGCGTTGCCGAGGATAGCAAACAGACGCTCTGCGCAGGTGGAAGTCATCGTGGCGAAAGTCGTGCTGGATTTGTCCAGGTTTCGAAGTGAAAAACAGATCGAGCACGATGATCAAACAGAAGTCAGGTAGATACTCGAGAAGAATATATGTACTTCCCTTGATATCGACTTTGGGTGGGGATTTGTGGGCCTCGTACCCAATCCAGACTGGTTTGTTTGGGCCAAAAGCTGATTGTTTCCCGGATTCACCAAAAAGCCTCCTTCGTTTGTTAGCGCAACAAAGGTCTCGGAAGTATAATATGCTTCCGTCAAATCGATGACTAATCATTTAGCTTGCGCGTCCATCAGCGAACTCGTTGATAAATCCTCGATGAAAGACACACAACTAGTATTGGGACATGAGACACCGTTCTACCTTCACACACTCTGCCTCGCATTCAGCACCGATTCTAGGGAGGTCCATCTGACAGGAACCCAGATCAAGGCTATTCACAAGATGTCTTCAGGTGTCAACACGCTCATCGGCAGGTACGAGCACCTGGTAAAACGTCCACATCACGAGAAGGCAAAGCAAGTCCGAGTCGAGCCGATCGCTGTTGCACCGAGAAGCGAAGTGCTCATATCATGCTCACAATTCTTGTAGGGAATTACTTATGAGAACAGGGTCGTTGGTCAAGCCAATCATGAAAAAGCATGACTGGAAAGTTGGGACGCTCGCCGAGGTAGGTAGCCTGCTCTCGCTTGCTCATTATCGCAATTCCTCTCGTAATCATCTCATTCGACCATAGTTTGTGCCGAATGATCCAAGCCTGTTAGGTAAGATCTTTCGATCGCATACAAGTGGACCTCCCTCGCTGATCTTTAACCGTGATCATTCTCTTGTAGGGATGAACCAGAACAGAGGATTCAAGATCCTCCTCCGACTTCGACCACATCAAGCTCAAGACACGTTTTATGACCAAGACCAATTGGTCCTCGTCATGCTACACGAGGTAAGCAGAGCTTCGCATCAGAATCAGTGTGTACTGCAGTGGGAAAACGAGCTAATGCGAAATTAATGCGATTGTCTTTTGGGTATCAGCTCACGCATAACGTGTATGGACCGCACGACGCCAAGTTTTACAAGCTATTAGCCGAGCTGGAGGAAGAGTATTACGAGCTCAAGCGAAAGGGTTACTCTGGTAAGTATTTCTCCATCATTTAGACCTGTGTCTCCCTTGTGTAGCTCACATCTCATTATGGTGATGACAGGCGAAGGCTTCTTCTCCGAAGGTGCAAGACTAGGAGGTTCGCACGGAGTTCCACAACATATCGGACGTATCAAGGCACTCGAAGCGGCCGAGAAGCGAGTGGCGAAACAGCAGTTGATCGGGAAGGGCGGGAAACTTGGATCGGGGTCTGGATTGGGATCTAGAGCGGGGAAGTCGATGCGGGAGGTCTTACTCGAGGTGAGCCAAGGTCGAGGTGTCTGAGGATGTTTAATCGTTGGCTGATATTCGGTCGATGTGGGAGCCGCAGGCGACGGAGAGGCGGCTGAAGGACGACAAAGCCTGTGCACATGAATCGGCCGATGTGGACGATGAGGCGAGGAAAGCAGCGGCGGAGAGTGAAGGTCAGGATGCAGCCGAGGCCGAGAAAGGATGGGCAGGGGCGATCGATGTGGATGCGCTCGATGACGATGAAATTCAGGTCGTCAAAGAACCGCCGGCTCTCCTGGACACGATCGGGAAAGACGTAGATGTCAAACCGATAGCGAAGGTCAAAACCGAAACACATACCCCTGCCCCCAAGCCGAAACCTACGGTATCGTCGACGGCTTTGCCTGCTACAAAGCCGCTCGCTAAGAAACCGCGTAGTATACCTCCTGCAGCACCAAGCGCACCGGCAAGCGATCCATACGTTCGATCAGACGGATGGACGTGTGCCACATGCACTTTGGACAATACGAACAACGACCAGTCTTGTCAAGCTTGCGGACAGAGAAAGCCCGCTCCTCCCGGTTTCTGGACGTGCGACTTTTGTGCTACCTTGATGGAGGGCGACTTTCGATGTTGTCGCGGTTGCGGCTTCGTCAGGCGTATCTAGATTCTCCCTGCTCTTCACACATACTGTATCCCAGATTCTGCAGACTGACAACTATACCCATAATTTGCGATGCGGGAGATTCGAAAGTCTCTTCAACTCAGTTGCATTCGATAATATTTATTGAGATACAGAATGATGGTCGACCGGATCCCGCAGTGGCTTAATGACCGCCAGTCCTTCCAATCGCCTTGATAGCACCTCCACTAAGCTCGGGCAATGGCTTGGCACCCTTGTTAGGAGGTGCATCCAAAAATCCTGCCCGGATCAACCAGGCAATATATCGTCCCATTTCCTCGTCGCCTACGCTTGCCCCGGACTTCTCCCCAGCACCGGTTGCAAGAGCCTGCGCGTTGGTGTCATCCAGCTCCGCCGCCTTGGTACTCGTTGGCAGGTCGTCCAGCACAAAGTGCAACAAGGGGAACAAGGCGTTGTCCTGAACTTCGAGGACGTGCTGTTCGAGCTTTCTTCGCCACAACAGATATTCACATCGATCCACGGGGTATCCGTAAAGAGGTAGGGCCGACAAAAAGTCGTTGAACCTGATCTTGGGGTGGGCGGACACTTGGGCGACGGCAAAAGACGTCTCCTGGGGGGGATAAATTGCTGAAAGCGAGGCCAACAGCGCGACGTGGTCGACCGGGACCATGTTGATGGTGTTGTTGATGTCTGGCATCAATCCGAGCTGAATACAGCCTTTAACGAGACGCCAAATGAAGTCGTCGGTGTTTGTGACTGAAAGATCGAAAACGGCTGATAAGTTGCGGCACACATATACGAGTCAGATTCGGAAGAACTCACCTGCTGTCTTGGAGTCTCCAACGATATATGACGGTCGAACAGTCCATCCAGACAGGCCCCGCTTACCAGCCTCCATGATGAGCTTTTCGGCCACCCACTTGGATTGACCGTATCCAGTGGTCAAAGTCGTTCGGCTTCCCTCTAGGTCGTCCGATTCCGGCAGGCCTCGGCCTCCCGCCTCGACAATAGCATCGGCCATGGTAACGTAATGCTCAGCCTCGACAGTAGCGGTTGTTGACACAAAGGAGAAGGATTTAGAGTGGTGTTCCGTGCACAAGCGGAGGGCAGTGATAGTAGACAGAACGTTGGCGGATCTCATCTTGGAGTAGGGATATACCCAGTGTACCTGTGGTCGTTTGTTTCGTCAGGTGTATCGTTCTGAAAATGGAGCAAATGTTGCGTATACTCACAACGGCGCCATTATGCAGAACGACGTCTGCCTGTTCTGCGCAACGCGTCCATTCGGAGTCTGAAAGGCCAAAGTTGTCTTCGGAAAGGTCTCCGACGACAGCCTCTACCTTGCCTTCGGACTGCCATTTGCTGTCCCAGACCCCTCGGCCCTGACCGCTCTCCTCCAGACGCTTCATAGCCTCGTCGCTAGACTTGGCTCGGACAAGACAGATCACTTTAGCGACTCGATCGCTTCGCTTCGCAAGCAAGTCATTCAAGATGAAGGCTCCCAGGAAACCGGTAGCGCCAGTCAAGAAGACGGTAACCTTCTTGGTGGCATAATCGGCGGGAAGCTCCGCGAACTTTTCCGGTAAGCTGGGCAACAGAACATCCACATCCTTGGCATAGTCGGTGTCGACAGCAGGGCCTTGATGTCCCTTGGGCTGGTTGGAGGCATCGCCTGCGAAACCGAGATCGTCGTTTCGAAGAGCTTCGATACTGCTAGCCAACCCGCCGATAGTCGGCTGATCAAAGACTAAACCGAGTGGCACATCGACGACAAACGCCTTTCTCAGCTCGAAAGTGGCTCTCGTGGCCAAGATCGAGTGGCCACCGAGATCAAAGAAGTTTTCGTCGAGCTCGATAGCGCCTGGCGGCGCAGGCAAGAGCGACATCCAGACGTCGTGAATGGTCTTTTGGGTGGGAGTCAGCTTTTGCGACTTGGCAGAAGCTGATACGGGTGCCTGAAGAGCGGTATCGGGGAAAGGCAGAGCGGGCTTGTCGATCTTTCCGTTGGGGTTCAGCGGCATCCTGGATAGGGGAATAAAGACTGTACATGACCAATTCGCTCAGTCTTGTGATCCGGCGTTAATTGTGGGGTCAGGGCTTACCGGTAGGCACACTGTATGAAGGCAACTTCTTCTTCAAGTGCTCCTTCATATCCTTGATCAACTTTCGGTATCTGCGCAAACCCTTAGCAATCTCGGCCTTGACGTCTCGTCGGCTTTCACCTTCCTCATCATCGTTCGGCTCCTCAACGTCCTCCTGCTCGACCTCGCTAGCGCTAATCATCGAGTCGAGATCCTTGCCGCCCATAGGCACAAAGTAGCTGACCAAGATCTTCTCCTCGTTCTTGTCACGCCTGACGAGGGTGACGTTTTCCCGAACAAGGGGATGCCTACTCAAATGAGTATCGATCTCTCCCAGCTCGATCCTGAATCCACGGATCTTGATCTGGTCGTCGGCTCGTCCGGTACACTCGACGGTCCCGTCAGGCAAGTAACGACCGAGATCACCCGTCCTGTACATCCTGTCTCGGATGCCCTTCCAGTATTTACCCTCGGGCTTGTCGGCGATGGTGTCTTGACGCTCCACGCCTTCGCCGAACCAGTTCATTACGAATTTTTCCTTGGTAGCGTCGACATCCAAGTACCCCTCGGCCAGACCTCCCGATCGGACATAGATCTCTCCGATCTCTCCTACGGCGCAGGGAATGTTCCTGTCGGCCCTGTTGACGACCAGAAGCTGGACGTCGATCATACCCTGTCCGGCGGGCATGATATCCTTTTGGTTGGTCATGAAGGTGCTATCCTGGCTGACGGGGGGGATAGCAAAGTACGAGACGGCACGCTGGGTCTCGGTGGTACCGTACATGTTGATGATCCGAACATTGGATGCCAAAGATTGCAAACGGTGACAGTCTCGCTTGGTAAGAACGTCTCCGACGAAGAATGCGTTCTTCAAGGTAGGAATCTGGCGGGTGGCTTGGGCAGACAGAAGCTGACCCATGGCTGGAGTCAAGTGGGTAACCGTGACCTCGCTATCAGCCATCCACTCGGCGAGTCTACCGGGAGTACCGATATCATCGGCGGTAGGCACATGAAGCTCAGCTCCCAGGAACAAGGGCGTGAAGACTAGTCAAGCAAGACAAAATCGGGTGTCAACTGTGCTGCAACGCGACAAATCGTCCGGCACTTACTGTCTCGCTGAATGGGATCATGAGCGATTCCGCTCAACATCGTAAACTTGGCGTCCGACCCCAACTGGAACCTCTCGCTCATCCAAGGGAAGAAATGCGTCAAAGAATAGTGCCGTCCCTTGACACCTTTAGGAATCCCGGTGGACCCAGAGGTGAACGACAAGGTGGCATGCGAATCAGGTCCGAGCACAATATCAGGCTTGGAAGAGGCTTGAGATCGGTAGGCGTCGAGGACGTCCTCGCCCGAGTCGGAGTTGGCGGGCGATCCGGTCAGTTGACCGGAGGATGAGAGGGAGATGGCGGGGATCATGGTTCGGAGGGAGAGGTTCTCCTTGATGTAATTGGATACGGTCGGATGGAGGGTTCCGGCGGAAGAGATGATCAACAATGCTCTAGGGGAAGAGACCTGTAGGTATACCGTCTGTCGGGAAGGAGGGTAGGCGGGGTCTGTCGATACAATTCACCCACGAATCAGCCACGTTGCTGCGTGATGTCGCTCAGACGATTCGAAGACATACCGATAACGCTAAACACCCCACCAGCCTTCAGAACTCCCATAACACAGACGACCAGCTCGACGCTCCTCGCCGCGTAGACCATGACGACCTCTCCCCTCTCCACTCCGCTCTGTACCAAAGAGTGTGCGAGGATATTACTAGCCTCGTCGATCTGTTTATAGGTAAACGTCGTCCTTTCCGTGGAAGCCCCCGAGGGCGTGATCGTAGCCACAGACCCCTCCATCGACGAGCCAGACTGGATGACACAGGGCTTTTCCGGGTGAGCTTTGGCGTTCTTGTGGAAGATATCGGTGATGGCACCTTTGAAGCCGCACCAGTCGAGGTCCTTCTTGGGGTCGGGGAGGACGGAGCCTTGTTCAGGCGTTCGGAGGGGGATGGTAGCGATAGCCACCCCAGTTGATGAAGCCTGAGCGACCTGCTGCAGCAGGAGGGAGAGGGAGGAGAGAAGGTGTTCCGACCTCGAGGGGGTGAAGAGGAGCGAGTTGTATGACAGCGAGACGGTCGATGTCGAGGGTGAGTAAAAGAGGGTGATATCGGTCGTCAAGGAGGTAGCGGCAGCCAGACCATGTCTCCGATCAGACTCGACGGCACCGTGGATGGAGTCCCGACCTTGCTGAGCGTCTCCGCCGAGCTGGACGTATCGTACCCTAAAGAGCGGGCCGGAGAGCTCTCCGCCTTCTTTTTCCGAGTTGAGCTGCATGAGCCTTTCGATAGGTACAGCATCCTCTTGCGCCTCTTTGGTCTTGCCCTCGACCTCTCTGAGCACATCGTCGAACGTGGCCTTGTCGTTAGAAAAGTCCAAAAGCAACAAGAGCGATGCGGGGTCCGAGTCGGAATGCGTGGACTGGATGGTCAAGGATGGATCCGGGGTGTATCGGTGCAAGAGGATGGAAAATGCCGTCAAGACGATCTGAGACTCGGAGCTCCCCGTCGACGATGCGATCCTGGAGACGGATTCGCTAGTCTCCCTGTCTAGAGAGACAGTCTTGATGGCCTCGACGAGCTTGTTGGGAGCTATCAGGCGGGAAATAACGTCAACATATCAGCAAGACGATGACAATGCAAGTAAGGGTCCAACGAGGTAGCTCACTCGGTCGTGGGTAATCAGTGGGCAGTGCCAGACTCGACGAAGCTGCAAGCCTTTTCGACCATCTTTTCAAACGGTCCTTGTTCTCCGCGCCTTGAGGTTGCGACATGATGTTCCGTTCGAGGTCGATATCAAGATGGGTAGGTTAGCAAGTTGTCCTCCTGCTTTTTCGGGTTAAACACAACGATGGACCGGATTTCGGGCGTTGTTGTCTTGATCGTGAAAGAGCTTGATCCCTGCCTCTCGTAGATCTGAGAGAGAAAGCCAGCGGATATTTGTTATCGGTGGGGAGTTGAAGAGAAAAGCGTCAAACTACCCGACTACAGAGCTACAGATGAATCGAGGGTCCATATTGCAAAAGTCTGGGCAATTCGGGCAACAAGTTCACGACGGAGATCTGAGTCACAGGCAGGGGCAGCGTCAGGGCCATGCCGAGAGAAATTACGGCATCGACATCCGACGTTCAGTTCGAAAGACCTCCTTCCAAGGGTGCTGCGGCTGCTGGTCAATCGTATGTTCCCAGATTGGCAACCACAACTTTCATGCGATTCACAGAGGGAATCGATGATAGCCAGGGGAAACGCACGAGAGGAATGCTGTTTGGCTTACAATCGTATCGTGTTGGCATTCGGCTGGCTTCGTTCTTCTGTCAAGCAGTAACCTTCAGATGCAGAGGTCGCTCTAATCAAGGTAATGATCCTGTCTGGGGAAAACTGGCCGAGATCGGCTTAGGTCCGCCTTGCCAATGGTAAAACCAATTGTAATCAATTGAATGGGGCCAGGTTACGCTCAAGGAGATCGTCCAAGCATGGTCGAATCGAAGCGAGAGGCGCCTTAATCACTTGGAAAGAGCGGTCGCCATGAAAATCGGCCGGTACAAGCCGAGACCTGCGCTCTAGCGATGGCACATCGTATGGATATCTTAAGAGGTCGTGCCGCCATCGGCGATATGATGTGTACAGATGAAGCGTCTGCGAACTCGTCCGTCGTAAGGTTGTGGGCCAGTCCGTCTATTCGTCTTCCCAAATCCTCTCCATTCGACGACCCTCTTCTCTCTTGCCAGTTTCGCCTTTCCCACGCTTGAATCATCCGCCCCAGTGCGTCCCCTCCCGGCTCATCGCCTGGTGAACGGAATTCTCATCCCGCTCAACAACGCCCTCGCCTGATCCTGCGCTCCCTTTCCCTTGCAGTTCGTGAGGAACTGCATGTGAAACCCGTGCATCTTGGGGTAACTCTCCAGGTTGGTCTCTATCTGCGGAAACAAGCCCATCGCGGCCGGTTCCAACCCGAACGCTACCACACCGGACGTGGCTGACGGAGAGTTCTTGTTGGCGGAGAGCAAGGGGAGGGTCACTCCGGGGAACTCTCGCAAGCGAGGGAGGACGAAATCGACGAGGGACTGCACAAAGTCGTACATGGCCTCTCCCTTGATCTCGACCTTGACGGCGACGGGCATCCCCGCTCGGAGCTTGAACGCTGCGGCTCCGGACTTGGAGACGAGCACCTGGACCCCCGAGGCGGCCTTTCTCCCTCCTCCCTGGTAAGTCTCGCCCGAGATCGCTCGGAGCGCCATGATGGCGGAGAGCATGGCGGGTTTGTTCCCGATGGCCTCTTTGACCATGGTATGCAGGACGATGGATTCGAGCTTGGGTACGCTCGTAGCTGTCACGGGCCGGGTAGCGGGTTTGAGAGGTCGGTTTCCACGAGGAGGAGGTGCTGGTCGATTGAGCTGGTACGGGTTCAAGCTGGAAGGATCGACGATGGGTGGGGTGGAGGAAGAGGAGAGCGTCGACGTGGATGCGGATGGAGAGGGAGAGGCCATGTTGTGGTCGTAAGTCATGTAGAGGAGATCCTCAGCGAGGGTATTGTGGTAGTGATCCTGATATCGGGAGGGATGGGTAGGTCCGAGCTGGATGTCGGGGAGGACCAAGGTTTGGGCAGGTACTGCTGTCGCTGCTGTCGATTTCGAGCGGATCGAGCTGGCCACGAGCCGGGAAGGCTGGGCTTGTCGAAGCGATTGCCTCAGGGATTGGGTTATGGGGTTCATAGCTAGGTCGAGACGTGAGAGGTGGAGACCAACAGGTTGAGTCTCGTCGAGATGATGTCCGAGTCGTGATAGCCGTTTGACATCTCTCACTTGAACCTTGACATCTCCCAACTTTCCGAGGCCAGGGGGGGATGGCATAGACACGCGCGGACATAAGTTATTATGTTCCAATGTCCGTCCGTTCGGGACGTACAACAACCTACAGCCAGCCTGATGTCGTCTTGCACCTCACATGCAAGAACTGGGTGAATCTGTCGTGAACGAAAGGGTTATACAGACCCAATTCCTCTAGTCGACTCGTCGGAGCCCCCTGCCAGATCTCGGTGCCCTCGAAAGGCGATGCAGCCTTGTCATTCTGTCCAAGTCGCGAAGGCAGAGCGGGGACAGCATCCTCCAGCACAGCCGACGTCTTCAGCTCCACCATCGTGGGGAAATCGTTTCGCCCATCGTGATACTCAACTGCATCGGAGATTGAACAACCCCGATCCACTTGGGTATCCACTCGATCTCTATGCCCGGATCGTCTCATCCCATCACAGAACGCGCAGGAGGAGCGGTAAAATAGAATCGCCGCGGCAACATCGGTATTCACCTTGAGACCTCGTCCCGCCACGAACGATCGTAAGCTTAAACCCCTATCTCCCTTGGAACCGTCGCATCAACCCTGATCTACTCCAACCCCTATCTATCGCGCTATCGCAATCTTGTCATAACGTTTGTCTGCGCAGCACCTTGTTCCCACTTTCTACTCTTTGTCCATCGTCGAGGCGGATCCGAAAGTTTGGGGAGCGCGTCGCGCGTGGCTTTTTGTTTTTGTTCCTGCTCTTCTTTCGAAACACACAAAGGACCCCGTCGAATCGTCGCAAGTCGTCCGTGCGACAAGTCAAGTGAAGATCGGTGCACAGTCTTGTCGCACATCCTTCAATCGTCAGGTGATCATCGAGACCACAGAGCTTCTTCGGCAACAAGCGGCAACGGCGCCCGTCCTGCCCCTGCCCAGGTCGCCTTGGACCCCTATCCTCCTTTGGGGCGCGTTTCGATCCACCGAAAAGCCACGGGGGATCGTCATATCGCTAGGTCGTTCGTCGGCCGTCGTCGTCGTCGTCTGGCCTTTTACCCCGTCAACCCTATCCACTTGCGACTTGTGATGCTGTCTCGCTTCGGGCCAAGGAACAGGGGGCGTCCGTGTTTTCGGGAGGGATGACACTGGCGTAACCCGTCCGGTCCGTGTTTCTCCTCTTTCGGGTGAGGGCAAGAGCTGATTCGACGATGATCGATGACGCTGAAATACGTTGTCGCCCCCTATCCCATCGTACGATTGTACGATTGGGAGTAGCACTTAAGCGAATGAAACAAACGTTCATCTCGATCCTCTCCTCTACTCGGCCCCTATCTTCGGTCTCGGACACGCAGTTGTGGTGCACGAAACACGGGGTCGAACAAAGACGACGAGGTCTAGACGTCGCGTTGTGTTGTCATCGTCGCATCGGTGGAGAGATAGGAAGAACGTGAGTAGCGGATCGAGTCTTATACTTCGCCTGTGAGTTTCGGTGGTTGACATCTCTGATGTAGATATCACCAGTGGGATTGGTCGCGAGGCTCTTGCACGCACGAATTGTATTGGATCCAACTACCGGCAACGAACTTCGTCTTCCTCCAGCTAGTCATTACACTATCCAGTTCATCACGTCGCTGTGGACTTAGAATCTTAAGATTGATCAAAAGACGTTCTCCTCACGAACGACCATTCGACTGCGCATCTGCGCGCCCGGATTGGACCTCAGCATAGTCATCTTTCTCCACCTTTACGGAAACATTCACGACCCGCGACGAGCATCACGACGCCTGCCTTCAACTACGCCACTACGATGGACATCAACAAGATCCAAAACCCTGTACGAGCCAAAACCGAGGACGATTGTTCCGAGGAAAATACAGGTGAGCACCATCAGGTCTGACATAACGGTACTCGCTAGGCTATCGTGCTGACACGACCTCGACGCGTCGTTTCGTTTTACCCTCGCCCATGGTTCTTCCTCAGTCACGACAACCATGACACGAGAACTCGACGAACAACCAGAGATGATCGCCATCATCTCCCCCACGACTCCTGCCCCTCCCGACCTTCCCACCTCCATCACCACTCCGGCTCTAGCTCCAGCCTTGCTGCCCCCAATAAACGTACCCTCTCATTCTCAATTCACGGGTTATGGGCAAGATTATCCCTCACGATTTCAACTTGGAATTCAGTCGGGCAGTGGGTTTGCCGCAGGGAGTTCAAGCCGGCCGAGGGGACATACGGTAGCTGATAGTCCGGGACATCCTCCTTATGATATCGGTGAGTTACGCGTCCGGCTTAGTGGCTCCAGAGGAAGACTTGGTCTCGGAATGAACGATTACTGAGACTGATATACCGTGGATCGCACTGTAGCCAACGTGTTTGAGAACATCCCTCGAGGCGTGTATAATCCCCCGGACGATTTCCTACGTAATCCTCGTCCTGTGCATAGCCATGTGAGGACTGGATCCTCTTCATCGCTTCCCGCGGGTGAGTCTTTCCGTGCCGTTTCATGCGCTCAACCATATCTTGCATGGGCACTGACTGACGTAATCCGTGTACCATAGAACACGGACGTTCCTTCGGTATCGAGTGGTTCTCGTCCTCTCGCCATGGCATCGAAACTCCTCCTCCTGGCAGAGGGTCGGAATCCCCAGCATACCGTTCGCATCCACAGTTTCCCTCGACCCCAGGGGCAAGCGGACCTCCCTCTCGCCGTTCGACCGATGAAAGCAACTATGCATCCCCACCTATCGCCACTAGCGACTACAGCGGGTCGTATTTCTCTCAGCACAGTATGCGGAATCCGACCAGCCCGACTTCAGGATTTACGGCCGCCATGACCATTACCGGCAGAGACTCGGGATCGGGAGGAAGGAGGGAGAGCGTGACAGCGACGCATCCGTATTTGATCACCTCGAGACGACCGAGTTTGGGTGAGGCGGTCGGAGTCGGATCGGGCTATGCTCGAGCGAGAAGTCCGCTCGGGAGTCTGGCGCAGAGGGTCCCGGATACGATGCAGATCGATCCCGCGGGTGGCGGCAGTGAGACGCGAAAACAAGAAGGTTTGGAAGGCTTACCCAAGCGGGACGTAGCGTGAGTTTCGAACGACCTAATATCTTTACTCTTGTTCGATCGGGTTGGACTACGACGACTCAACCTTGCTCGCCTTCAGTAACGATCAGGCGATACGCGCTATGGTCAAGCAGCAACGAATCGAGTCGGAACAAAGGAGAAGAGACGATATGCGCGAAGGCTTCCGCAGGTTGTACGAGATCTTGCCCCCAAACTCCCAGAAGACCAAGACGGTGACACTCGATCGAGGTGAGCGAGTCATTTACCAGCTAAAGCTTTTGCTCGCTTCATCAGATGCTGATCATGTACCTTGATCTCTTAGCTATCAATCATATTGCGGCGATGGAAGGTGAATATGAAACCAACTCTCGTTTCAATCCGATCGATCGCTAACGAGCTTCCCCGACGATCAGCGGCAAATCGGGAGCTTCACGACACGGTCGCAAGGCTGAGGGCTGAAAATCAGCAACTGCGCGAGTGAGTGAAATACGACTACAAAGGTCTGAGAAACCTTACACTGACATTGTTCCCCCCTCTCAATATCGACACAGCACAAACTACACGCTCGTCCGAACTCAAGCGAAGAGGCTAGGGGTCGATGAGCTGGAGGACAACATAGGATTCCAGTTTGAGCAAGATTACGGTCATCGAGGATAGACAGTGAGGATAATGCGAAGGTAGATGTTCGCCTGCGGGACCGGCATTTGAAGGAATTCTTGCAGTAAATATTTCCATACCTATAGTTGACGATCTCAACCACGACCTTCACGACAATGAGCTTTCTTGATACTGTAAAATACTTACGAGACCTGCACAGCCTATGACAAGCCAATATGCTATTCGATCGATACACGAGATCTTTCGCAATCTTCACTGCTACCACTACTCGACGACCTTACTCGCAAGAGGTTTGGAATGGAAGCCGGGCCAGACAGCAGACAAAATTCTCAAAGGAATGACGATTGCATCAAATGCTCTAAGGGAAAATGCATGTATATGAATACGGGTGTAGTAGAGAAACGATCAACGTCCACGTGAGGGAGAAGCAAGCAGTAGGAGAACGGAAAAGGCCGCTTAAGCAAGAGCCAAAAGAGCCAAGACGGAAGCCGCCAGAACACCGGCAGCGGAGACTCGAATGGATGAAGCGCTGTTCTGGTTGTTGCTGCTACCGCTGCCGGTACCGGTCGTCGTACCAGGAGCACCGGTCGAGGTGGCGATCGGCTGGTCAGTGCCGGTAGCTCCGGCAGTGGTCGAAGTGTTGGCAGAAATCTCTTGTCGAACAGCCATGTGTTCCTGAAACGCGGCGGAAGATGACAAAAAATGTTTATCAGTTACATCGTACAAGCCAGCGACCGAAATCTACTCGATTAGGTCTACTCACGTTCTTGATCATCTCCGAGGCAATCTCTCCGACTCCATAAGTCAACGACTGCAAGTGCGCGGCAAACTGGACAGGGAAGACGGAAGAATCGGCGACTCGCAAGTTGGTCGTCCCGTGAACCTTCAAGTCGGCACCGACGACACCACCGTGGTCGAGGGGCATCATCGAACACGAAGACGAAGGGTGGTACTCGGTCTTGACCTGGGTGGCGAGCCAAGCGTCCCACTCGGCATCGGTCTGAACCTGGGTACCGGGGAAGACCTCGCTGGTCATAAAGTTGGAGAGCGGAGCAGTGTTTCCGATCTTTCGGGCGAGCTTAAGACCTTCACGGATCAACCAGGTGTCGGCAGGGTGGGCCAAGTAGTTGGGGTCGATGACGGGGTACTCCCAGGGGTTGGAAGAGTTCAAGTAGATCTGACCGGTCGAGAAGGGGTGCTGCAAGGCGGCCTGGATGGCGATCGAGTCGTCACCTCCTTGAGCGGTACCGGTCAGACCCAACAAAAGCTCGACGTGTCCGATTGGCGAGAGGATGAAGTTCTCGGTACCAGCCTCGTGAACGGCACGGTATCCAGCCTGAACGGTGGGATCGGTTGACGGGCAAACGTTCTCCACAGCCCAAGTCAAGTTACGGGCGATCGTGTCCCTGAACTCCGGAGCGTAATCTCCAAACAGGTCGGTAATGTTGGCGTAAGCGATGGCCGAGTTGACAAACGAGAAGAAGCTCTCGGTTCCGTTGGTCAAAGTCTGGTTGATACGGTCGGTAGCGGCGGTGTTAGCGGTGGTCTTGAAGATGACCTCGGAAGCGACGTGATCGGTAACGTGCTGGCCGACACCGGGAAGGTCGATGACGGACTGGACACCGACGCTCTCCAAGTTAGCCTTGGGTCCGATACCGCTCATCATCAACATGTGAGGGGAACCAATGGCACCTCCGGTCAGGATGACTTCCTTGTTGGCGGTGATGGTTCGTCCGGTAAGATCTCCACCGGTCATCGAGTACTGGATACCGGTAGCGGTGGCGACGCCACCGGTCGAGTTGGTGTTGACCTTGAGGACACGGGCGTTGGGCAAGATGTGCAAGTTGGCCCTAGGTGGGAGGGGGTCGATGTAGGCCGACTTGGAGTACGAACGGGTCCTGCAAAGGATGGAACAGAGGCGTCGTTCTCAGATTCGGTTCGAGCTGCTGACTAGCTCGACTGTCTTCGTGACTTACCAGTTGGAAGGGTTGATACTCGAAGTAGCGATAAAGGCACCCCAACCATTTCCACCGTTAGGATCGGGACTGACGTTGACCCCAATGTTCTCCAAGACGGTGGTCCACTCTCCGACGACGGGCAACAAGAACCCGGGGTAAGAATAGTGCAGAGGTCCATCGGTACCGTGGTTCTCGGTGTTGTAGGCGATGTTGAACTCCTGAGTGATCTCCTCGGTAGGAGGGGTGAACGTCTCGGACTTTTTCATGGCGGCGAACATCGAGTCCCAGTTCCAAGCGGATCCATTAGTACCGGCGAGTTGAGCCCAGGTGTTGACCTCGAGGGAAGAAGGTCGGACGCTGCAAGACGAGGGTGATCAGCATGGGCATTGGTGTGCCAAAAGATAAAGCAAGGAGAAGGCTCACAGGTAGAGACCGTTGACGGCGGAAGATCCACCGAGGACCCTACCTCGCGGCCAGTCGAGAACTCGGTTACCAAGGTTAGTTTGGGGCACGGTCTTGTCTGCAATGAAACGAATCGACGAGGTCAGTCACGAGTCACGACAAGCCATCCAGCAGCGTAAGATCGACTCACACTGCCAGTCGTAATCGGTGTTAAGAAGCTACATCGACAACAGGGCGGTAAGTCAGCTGCCCCAAACAAGAATTCGACTCGTGCACTACTCACAGAAGCTATTAACAAAAAACGCGTCAAACAAAGCCAAAAGCAAAACAGACAACAACTTCCGCATCAATAACGCGTCGCACCTCTCTAAAAACAGAAAAATTGACATACAGTAGCTACGAAGAAGACAACGGTATCAGGATTAGTTTACGATCTCATAATAACAGGTTCACGGCATGAAGGGCGTGACAGGGAACGTGCGACTCACTAAGCGTTCCCGGGAACGTCGATACTGCTCTTGACGGCATCACCGGTATCACCGGCCTCGATGACGAGGACGGTCTTGTTCTGGTCTTCACTCAGACGCGAGGCAATGACGAGACCAGCGACTCCTCCTCCGCAGATGATGAAGTCTGAGGCGGTCGTGCCCATTGTACATGAGAATAGTTGTTCGATTTGGTATAGATCGAGGTGGTGCGATAAGTTGATGCAATGTAGATCGAAAGCGTTTCAAAGTGGGGCGAATGATGAAAGGAGGGTAGTGGTTGATGGCGACATGTAGTTCAGGTCAGTAAAGTCCGATGCAAGAATATACCGCCTCAGAATGAGGTCAGGCGATGCTCACCGTACGAGCTCTCAAGCCCATCAGCTCCGATAATCTCCCTCCTCCTCATCTCGTTCTGGTAAGCGGCGACATGGCGTCCCTCCTGCAAGTCACTTCCCTGAGGGACGACGAAACCGGAGACCTGGTTGACCGCAGTGGTCGCCAAGACCGAGAGCGAAGTGAGCAATGTCGTTGATGATCGCATAGTGGCGGTGTTGTCGACGTTATTTATTCAGGTAGAGGTGGTAGTTGGTAGTCAAGGGGTAGGTTGGTTTCAAGGAATGTAAGGTTCTATAAGACGAAGACCTTTGTTGCGAGAAGTGGCGAACGAAGAAAGGGAATTGAGAAAAGTCGTTGCGCGTTTCCAGTCTGCTACTAGCTCAAGAACAGGGGTCGTTCGTCGGATCGATCGAGTGTCGAATGTATAGTCGTTAGTCGTAGAGATGTATGTGTGTTTGTAGGTTGCCAGTCGTATCGTCGAATCCAATTCGGCGTGATGCAGGGTAGAAAGTCGAGTTGATCGGTGGTGGTAAGGTCGTTGATCGAACTTCGAGGCGATATATGAGATGGGACGTGATCCCCTTCCTTTGCTCCGGGGTGGAGGGTGGATCCGCGTTTGGGCTTGGGCTGTGCTCTCCCTCCTCTCTCTTTCTCTCCTACTTGCGCCGTCGCTGTTTGTTTTCTTTTCGATGATGATCTCTTGGGGTGCGTTTACGACGTCTACGATCCGTAAAAAGCGTCAGATTTCGAGCCTAATATTTAAATTCGACGGGCCTACGTCGTCGTTTTTGCGGCCACAATTCTCGCTAGCGTTTTCTTAGTCGTTCCTGTGGCTTGAAAAACGTGTAAAATCTGTCGTCCGAAATCTGACCAAAAACGAGCGGATTTTGCATCAGATTTTGAATATTACGTTACGGCGGGTACAGAGGTTCGGTCTTCCTGGGTCGGCTAGTAAATTGGCTGGTGAAGTTGGAATGTTTGAACTATCTACCTGTCTCGCGAAGGTACAAGAACACGAACGATTTATTAGCAATATGTCGAATACACCCCACCAAAACACGCAGTCGACTTACCAAACGTACGCTGGCTACCCCTTCGTTACTGACGTTCCTAGAACGTACGATGTAGGCTATAGTAGATCGTCAGCGACGCCGACGTCGATGGCGGGAACGTACGGCACGCAAACTCACCTCTCGCCGTCGAACACGCAATCCTCCCGAACACCCTCGATAGCACCGTCTTCCCAGTTCGATGAGCGAGGATTCAGAGTACCTGAGGCCCCCCAGCCAATCAGGGAACAGTCGTGGTCGATGACGCCGTTTGCTGATCAGCAGCGTCGGTCGATGTCGACGATGTCCTCGATATCTTCAGTGTCGAACGCGTTCGCGCGAGGTGACGATCGAGCCGGTCGACCTTCCGAATCAAACTCGACAGTACCGAGGACTCGCTCCCGTAGTCCTACGTCAACGTCAGGTAGTCAGCCGAGCCAGGAAGGTGGTAAACGGAGGAAGGGGGGGAGTCGCTCTGCGAACTGCGTTTGGGACGAGGAAGACGACCGTATTATCGTAGACGTTCTGCTCGAAGCTAAACGGTTGGGGGAGGTGGCCGATAATTCGTTTAAGTCCGCCGTGTATCAGAGGGCGGCTGATCAGTGTAATAAGAGGCTGTCGAAGGGTTCCGAGAAGACTGCGTTGAAGATAGGCGAACACTATCGCTATGTAAGTATTTGATCAAATATAGAGGCTCGAAGACTTACGTTTGCCTCTCGCTAGCTCAAAAACCACTTCTACCAGCCGATGTCGGAGTTGGCAGAGATATCAGGCTTTGGCTGGGACCCTGAGGAGGAGTGTATAACAGCGCCAGACGATGCGTGGCGAAAACTAAAGGAGAAGGGAGTAAGTAGATGTATGTCGACGTCGATAAGTCGACCTTCGAATATGCCCCTCCTTGTGTGCTGAGACCTCTCGCGTACCGTTTTTGCTTCCGCACAACTTCGTCCCTCCGTGTCGATAATGCGATGTGGTTCTCGATCAATCTTCACCGTCGAATAGCTGACAAGTCCGAGGCACGCTAACCTATATAAACTAAGGGGCGTGAAGTGGGAGCTCTACCCTGACTTTCATGAGCTTTGCAACGGCCGTCTGGCCACTGGTCGGTCAGTAACACGCCCTCAAAGGAAGGACCGCAACCAACGATCAGAAAATGAAGAAGAGGAGGACGATTTCGACGATATCGACGTTCCCCGTGGTAGCGACAGCCAATCAACGATTGGGTAAGTCTAGCTTCGGGATATGATAGTGGGGTACTTATACTATGTCGTGTGAAGTGCTTCGCCGCTCCCGACAACGCCAACACCGACAAAATCGACATCAAATTCGACATCAACTCCGGCTCGACGGAGGCGACCTAAATCGAGTCGTTCAAGCGACGAGAGCTCGCTGAGCGCTATACATCAAGACCTAGGCAAGATTCTTAGGGGAAACCCTCAAGCGGCTGCCCAAGATGTGATGGAGAGGGCTCAAGCGGCTTGCAAACGCCTCTCGCTCGACGAAGACGACACGTTCCTATATTTGAACTGGCTGATCGAACATCGAGAGAAGGTCACGATGATTCAGGCCTTACCCGACAAATTCCTGGAACGCCATATAACTAGCACGCTAGCGAAGGAAGACGGAAGGGTTCAAACAAGCGGAACGGGCGAATAAATGACCTCATCGCGGTGGGTGAAGATTTGACGATTTTCACGAAATAAATCGATATACGTAAATCGAATACTGACATCACCTACGACGTCGTCGTCGACTCTCTCGTTCTAGTTCCTCGACATACCCCTCCCACATCGTATCCGCCATAGCTCTACGCCGTCGCTCCGCAGCAGCCGTCTCTTCCCTCGTCGTCATTCTCTCGCCGTCGCTATCGCTATCGCTATCGCTATCACCCTCGTTCCTCCGCCGTCGACGTCGACCTACTACAACGACCTCTCCGTTCTCGTCTAAGGCCTCGTCAATCAGGTCGTCGCCACCGTTTGACGCTACGTAATTGTGTAGTACGCAGCAGACGTAGATGATCTGGATCTGTGTTTCGAGGGGGTAGAACGTTCCGGTGACGAGGACCTAGTACGGCGACAGCACGAGGGGGATGTACGTCAGCGAGAACGTTCGTTGTAGTCTTATAAGGTCGGTTCTAGATGAATAGGTCGGAACATACGGGATACCGCTTCTTAACGACACCGAAGACCCTCTCGACGACGTTACGGAGGGACGAGTGACGTCGATTGTATAGCTCGAGCGGTGTTTGCGGCCTACGACGTGACGTGGATACTGGTTCGGCTGCTGGTCGGTAAGAACAAGGCCTGTACTCACCGTAAGTTCGAACGAGACCACTCTTGTAAGTGGTATCGCACCCCCCGAAACGGTATTACTAGGTTCGATCGAGAGGGGTATCCAGCGTCGCCGAGGTACCAATATCCATCCGGTATTACTAGATCCTCTTCGACGGCCCTGTTGTACACCTTAGCGTCGTGAGCAGATCCTTCCCAGCCAGCTAGAACGTAGGTGAAACGTCCAGCGAAGTCGACGCAGCCGAGAACGTTGGTCGTTATGTCCCCCTTACGATTTCGAAACGGAGGTTGATCGATCGTCGGAACGGTGACCTTGATGTGTGTACCGTCTATAGCACCGAGACAACGTTCCGTAAGAGGCAGATATCGCATGTCCTGGTACTGTTCGAGGTTCCGGTCGATAGTGGCGGGCGTCGGCTGCTGAACGTAGCGATAGTAGAACGTAGGGTCGAACATAGCGTCGAGGACTTCATGAATCGTGCTATCGTCTATATGTCGGCGGATTCTTGTCTCGTGGCCAAGTATTACGACCAGACTACTTACTAGCTGGCCGTACGCAAGCTCAGTTGAAAGATAGACCGTAGTTCTCGCATATGAGCACCATGTCGTAACATCCATAACGTTACCGCTATCTTTACTTTCGCCGGCAGGTGTCGAGTCGACGAGACGAGCTGTAGGTCCTCTAGTTCTCTCGATAGACGTCGGAACGTTTCGGGCGATAGACCTATAGCGTCCCAGCACCGTTCTGGGTGACCTCGTTCCCACGAATGAACCTTCTCGACGGCTGTAAGTCGATCTACAAGAATCGGCCGTTCGTAGAGTCGAGGTCGATAGATTTGTCGCCAGAGATCGAGATATCGGGCGAAAACGTTCGCTGCTTCTCTGACATCGTCTTCATAACGTTCTTGATCGTCCTGGCTATCGTCTGACATCTTATAGGGCGTATAGAATAGAAATTGACGAAGTTACGAGTCGTTGATGATGTCGTCGACACCTCGATCTAGAGGTCGACATGTACGCTCGAAGGTGATCGAGAAGTCTCAGCTCAAAATCGTACGAAAGTGAAATTGACGAGAGAAACGGCGTAAAATGTGCCAGATTTTGGTATTTTGCGCCATTCCACGCTTACAGCCACGCACGCTAACAAATCCGGAAAGACGCAAAATCGTACGAGGATTCGTAAACGCACCCTTGGGGTGGATCAATGCAGAAGGGGGGGAGCAGCAGAAGCAAGGAGAAAAACGGGCGCCCTCGGTTATCGGGCCAAGCCGCGGAATCACCTGCGCCCCTGTCGCTTCCCCTTGTTTGAGACGCGCGCTACCGGAGTTTCGCGAAACGATCAACAACAAAGAACCTGACGGGGGTTTCAGGACTCGAAGGGTGCGGAAGGAGTCGCAAACCGTCTCTTCAGAGGACGTTGATACCTTGAGACGCACCGGAAGGTATCGACTTGCGACTTGAAGTATATCCTGCATGCTGTGCAAAGCCAATGAACAATAATGTTGTTTGTATCTTCGGACTTTGTCGCACCGACGCGTGCCACAGACTGCAGCGAGAAAACTCTTGGCATTCCCGGTCGCTTACCGCAGAGCTCCGCGAGCGCACGCGATGTTGGTTCAGCTTTCAGGGTGTTTCATCGACCGGTGCTGTGCGAAACGGTCCAATGCAAGGAGGATATCCGAAAATTGAGCGCCATCGAGATCAACTTTTGTTGGGTTGGGACTGCGTGCATGTCCGTGTACCAAAGAGGAAAGTGGTACATGGCCCTCATGACAGTCCGTATGCGACGCTACAGTAGAACATGACAACCTGCGCGACTGCTTCGTCAACCCACAAAGTTGTATGTCGATATCTGTTGTGGCGACGTTCTCATCGTTTGACATTTGTCATATGCGGGTCAAGGCAACATCATTTTATTCAAAGTTGAGTGGTAAGATCCTTTTCAACCGGGCGACACTAATCTCGGGTTACAGCCGACCAAAAATATACAAAAATGGCTGACGGAGAAGCAAGGCGCTCGCGGTCGGAACCCTTTCCCATCTGGATCAACGAGTCTCTTTCTCCCCATCTTGTGCATCTCAATGGCCCATACGGTCAGAGAAGTTTCCTCGACGGATTGTCAAGGGGTTCTCCTGGCCTGGCTACCACCTTCAGTTCCCGCTTGACATTTGGCAGGGTCGCAGCAGAAACTCGAAGCCATAGAAGAGGTAATAGGGCCTACATCAAATGGACTCCGCCTCCTGATCAAGCTCCTTGATTGCTACGATCGGAGCAAACCAAGCGTCCCGCACTGGTACCTGCAGCTGCATGTCACTCGGCAAGGAGATAACAAAGCAAGATGCGCTTACAGGTAGGTATGTTAGAGCTCAGATGGTCGGCCAGCGTGGCAAGTAGCTGAACTCTCCTCCCCTCACTGCGTAGAGAGTACATTCTATTTGACAGATTCTGGGCCTGGGCCCAAATTGTTCGCAGCGGTGAAACGCGCCATCCACTTGGACAAGAACGAGCCCATCAATGAACACGCAAACGAAAACGAGCCCATCGATGGACACACAAACAAAAACGAACCCATCGATGAGCCGTTCGCCGATATTTGGTGTGTCACCACTTCAGGCATCTACAGGGTATTCCGCGGGAGATTGGAAGATAGATCCTTCGTAGGAAATATTATCATCAAGTTTACTGGTCAAAAGGAATTGGCTTTGAAATATCAACGATAAGAGCTCATGGCAGTACGTTCCGACGAGCAGGGTGCTCATTTGCGGAATAGCTCGTCAGAAATGACGACAACGAGTCGAGGCAGAGCTCCTAGTTCAATCCAGCGTCAGCCTCATGACTGGCATTTTCTGACTTCCGAGCGGCCTGCAGCCTACTACGTTGTAGTGAGATCGTTTTGAAGCAGCGCACCTCTGCCTCTTCGTTCGGCGCGACCCACATGAAGTACAGAAGTCAGCCGTGTAGCCTCCGCTGACGATCGGTTCCAGGTGAAGATATCTTCTCAGTCTGACGAATCGCCTTGAATACGGAGACCGAAAAACCTGAATGATCAGCGATGCCCCATCACAACCGCTTCGTATCGCGCCCGAATCCCTTCATGTCGCCCTACGAGAGTTGGACTCTCATTGTCCCTCGTTCCCATCATCAATCGTGGCAGAGACAAATAAGGGGAAAATTCGAGGGTTTCCACTAAAAGCGATTTTTCGGACGGCGAGTATATCCAGGTAAAGGCTGCACGGATCAGGCGTTTGGCCAGATCAACAGCGTACCATGTTTCCAACTAATCAAACAAACCAGAGCCTGTGAGGTCAGAATCTACCCTACCAACTTCGGCGATGAATACCTAGGTGGCGAGTTCTACATCGCTAGAATCACGTCGATTACGGTGCCCGAGTGTTGGCATAGGTATGCTCAGGCTTATGGGGAAATGCAAACCTAACAAAGCTTCTAAGAAAGCTTTCTGCCTCGATTCGAACCTCACCGCCTTGCCGATTTGAGGCCACGGCACGAACACCTTGGATGCCACTAAGATCTCTCCAGGCGCCATTTCCCCGCTGCCGAATGATGGCGGGGCGGTTCGAAAGCTTTACGTTACAATTTCGAACGGGCCATCTTAGCAGCTCAATAGCTCAGGAAGGCGAGGGACCTCCTGCCACTGGCTAGCTATTGCGTGACATGTCCAGTTTCAGCCACAAGCATCGACCTTTCACAGGGCGCCTCCGAGACTTACCTGGGCCTGACTATATCTCGACATCTCTCGGACTCTCCTGAATCTTCTCGTCCGGTAACAGAGGTATTTTTTCCTCATCCGAAGGCTTGACGGGTTCCTCTCGAGGTCGTCGAGATAGGTAGATAGAGTACGAGATCGAGAGGATCGCCAAGGCCCCAAGGATAGTTCCGGCTGTCCTTTTGTAGCCATATGCGCCCATGACTTTCGCATCGACGTAAGCTCCACTGAAGAACATCCAGATGATGATTGGTCGAATCTCAAGATCGACGGGGAAGAGGGCGGCGCAGATCCAGGCTGTATCGAGCCATTCGAACCAGTTCGGCAAAGGCGTCTTCTGAAAAGATGAGATGGCCTTTACCAGAAAGGACAGCGACCATCCCAAAGACATCGCGGTTGGGCTCAAGCTGAAGACGGATCGATAGGGCATTATGGAAGATGTGGACGATTGGGGATCCCGTACAGCTAAGATATGAGTGCTCGTAGTAGTCATACCGGTTAGACCAGAGACCTTGACAAGCAAAGCAAGTAATTCACGTTGCAAGTAGTTTAAGTAACGAGTAGTATCGTCGATCGCCAAGGATGGCCACGTCGAGATTCGAGATGGGCGCGCTTGGTCAGGCACAACGCCGATCGCCGAGGCCCCATGAGATCATCGCCAGATTGGACGCGCTCATCCGGTATCCTCGTAACCGCATGTATAAAATGTCTAATTCAAGTCCAATCGCTACCGCACCAAGGACAAGCAGTCGCAGCTCGTAGTACGGCCTGAGCCAGATCTTCTACTCCCTCCCTCTGATCAGCCGTTTCCGGCTTCAACACCTGTTTCCTGCAAGTGTAACATGTACGAACCGCTCCATCCTTGATTACTCGTCTCGTCAGATCACATCGCTCTACAGCATACATCAGACGTCAGCGTCGAGACGTTGCTGGTGTGGTGCAGGACAGACTCACTCCAGATATGCCACATGCTGCACCGGAACTCCCCCTCAGCATTGACCCTGTTATCACCGGAATGCGAGACGAGTAGCTCCTCGCAGATGGGACATGTCTCCACCTCCTCCACCTTGTCTTTCGAGCCCCCAGTTGTAGCGGCTAATCGCAGTATTGCTTCGTCCAGGCCTCGAGACGTTGGCACTGATATTGTCCAGCTTTCAATGAAGGGAGCATTGTCGGTCACAAGTTCTGGATGCCGGTGCAGAATTGTGATGAAGAAGTCGAGCACGGCTCGTTTGATACTGATTGTGCGCTGGGCAATGGCATTGATGGCTTGGACGACGTCGTTCTTGAACGTCTGCAATTGCGTTCAACAGGAGCGAACGGCAGGTGATCAGCCTCTTAGAATCGAAGATGGAACCCAAATATAATAGCACTTACGGATTGCCAGAGCTGCCTCACGGTTGCAAGCTGTTCCTTCCGAGCAGCAGCGGACGATAAGAGATCATATCGCAACGATCTGTGCAGATCTGTATGGTCCGCATCGTTCATATTTGCCTCAGACTCCTCCGGCAAAGTCATCTCTACGTCTTCAGTCGGTTCATCCGCCTCAAGGGCATCTGGACCGTTATACCAACGAGGAAGATATGGTAACAGTCGCGAAGCAGGTGACGCATCGCGAGGAATTCCTAAGAGCGCCAGCGAGTCAATCGCGAAGAACCAAGATCTCGATCAAGGCACCGGGCTAGTAAGACTCACCACCTGCATCATGGTCTACCGCAAGACCTTCACCCAGTGTTCTGACCAAGTCGATGACAGTCACCCAGTGCTGCTGAGATCCATCACGTATCATTCTCAGATCGTTCTGCGCCATAGGCCTTATGAAGTCGCGAAGATCAAATCAGTTAGGCGGTTTCCTTTTCAGTAAATATCAACGATCAGTCACTCGCACTCACTCGAACATGATGCCCAACAACGTCCCGTGCGTGTCGGCCCCTGTCATTCGGAGAGTCATGTCTTCCGTGAAATGCTCGGTGAATCGAAGTTCTCCGCCCTGCTTCTCTCGTTGGGTATCGACAATCTGCTGATCGAGCTCTTTGATGCTCTTGAATACCGCACGGGACGATGCGATTGAGGCCTCCAAGTCAATGACGGGGTCGGTGGTCAGGTTGCGGACGATGTGGACTTCTCCAGACCAAAGGCTGATGAGGGCGGCGTCATTGTAAAGCGCACCGATACCTGAGTTTGGTAACTAGAGCGTCAAAAATCTCGCTCGATCTTTTACAAGGTTATAAGGTTCCCGGAAAACGACGGGAAACGACTCACCCCCGCAAGGGCTCATACTCGTGCACCCTGTCCAAGTCCCAACCTTGCTCAAGACCAACGTCTTGACGGTGCCTGCTCCCGGTCCTGGTAGATGCACTTGAAGCATTCCCACTTTCGTCACCACCAACACTCCCTAGCGACGTAACGACCCTTTCTTAGCTGACTCCGTACGGCAAGAGTTCAATTCATGACTGACTCACGTGCACCCACTTCATCCCCTTGATGGCCCTTTTGTCGGCAGGGACCATCCGCTCTACCTCGCCTGTCTGCATGTCTAGATGCCCATCGTTCTGATAGCATCTTGTCACCCGAATCATCTGGACTCCCTTCCCAGGTGCTACGAATGCCAACTTGGCTTGACCTAGAAGGAGACCCAAGGAGGAAAATTCAGCAATGCGTCGAGTGCGCATCCGAGCGGTCTCATCTCACAAGTGGTAGTATCAATCGGCTCCCAGTCTGACCAGCACAGATCCGTGACCCATGCGTCGCCGCCAACATCACCTGTCCATATCCGTTCTACTCCTTCGTCGTTGTTCACACTGGCCAAGTCGATCGACGGAAACGAACTAAATCAACAGGCCGGTTGATAGAAAATATCTCGGACCCATGCACTCACCTCCATAATTGTATCTGCCCCTTTCGATTCCCGACAGCCAATAACGACCCGGATGGGACTAACCCGACCGGTCTGCCAAAACACGGCGCCGGCGACCAAGCGATACCTGAAGCCCCCCGAGACGAACTGATCAGCAGAACAAGGCCACAGCCTCCCGTACAACCATGCTACTAACAATTAGTCCTCAACTCTGCCGACCTCGCCCGGTAATTCGCCTTAAGCTCTTCGCTTGCCTCGTCGAAATTTCCCGGCTCAGGTATTGCGCCCTGTAAACGCAATTGCTCTGCAGTAACGTTCACCAGCTTCTTCTCTGCACCCGAGATGGAACCGGACGCTCCAAGAAAGGTATAGAGAGCCAGGTTTAAACTGGAGCTGAGGACGGCGATGATCGGGCTGTAAACGGGAAACGAGAAAAGGTTGATGATGGTCAGTACCAAACAACCGAACTGCGTGCGCCCAGTCAAGCTTACCTGCCCGACTTTGACAGATGCGCCGGCGAGGTACATATGCCCTTGATATGGTATGATCTTGGCCTATAAAAGGTTGCAGCATCGTCTGTCCACCGGAAAAGAAAAGACATGGCCGCACCTCCCGCTTGATCAGCCTAGGTCTCCTAGTTGTCTGGATCTCTTCAAGGAGCCGGACCAAGCTTACTATCGTATATGTCCACAACCTCCACATTGTTCTCAACCGCTGCATCTATCCGGTCAACATTGAACTTGTTGATATGCATCGGAAAAGCTTGGTCCGTCTCTGGGGGAACCGTTGCGGTAAAATCGGAGATCACGATCTGGCGGGGACGAGGGATGGGTTTCTGGCATAATAGAGAATGGGCTGGAACATAAGGAGGGGCGGGATGATATGGTGTCTGATCAAAAAGTCCAAAATATAACGAAATGAGCTTTCGCAAGACGAAATATAGTCAAAACCTTCAAGAACTGCTCACGGCGATGGTGACTTGTCCCGAGCTATGGCATACGAACTGTCCCTGGGGCGTCCAGGACAGCACGCCGGGTCGGGCCCACAAATCGATAGCTCCCGATTGAGGGTATGCCGAACACAAAGCCGACACTGTCCCACTTCCGCTGGAACTAGCCTGTAGAGGTTTGATATCCTCAAGGATAGGAGACGGTTCTATAACATGCGGTTGTTTACAATTTCGAGGTTGATGAGCTGGGTCGAGAATGTGTTTGAACTGTGCGAGCAAGAGGCTCACCATCCATCTTGGAAGCAGAATATGGGGCTATGACCAGAGGTTTATCATTTCAGGAAACGAGAATGAGGGGTCCAGGATGTCGTTCAACAGAGTACTATGCTGCATGAACACTCAATTAAATTACTCATGGATGAAGGCTGATCATCTTGCATCTTGCTTGTCGGTAAACGCCGAGCGGGACTGACTTGCCTTCCTGACCCCCTGAGAAAATAAAGATGTCAGGTGCTAACAAGCTGTTGGGACTTCGAGAACTTGAAACGAGAACTCCATCTATCATGATCTGACGTCTACGACATCGAGTGCTTTACAGTGTGTACATGACCAAAATCTTTCGTTAAGGAACTCCCCCGTGCCGTCTATCGCTCCCGCTTTGCCCGACAGGGGTCGAAGGAGCGAAGAGTATCGAGGGAAATCACCGAGCGTGAGAGCACCATCGGATGGTATGGTTTGTTGTAATCGTCCATAAGAGAATGCGACCGGAAACCCAGGAAGAGAGCAGAGACCCGGAAAGAGACGATCGGCCCAGGCGCATGCGGGACGCTAACCATGAGCAAGACCATATGCAGCTGCGTTTACTCGACGGTAACCGACTGTAATCAAGAAGGACATCAATATTTGTCAGCCGAGGTCCCGAAACATCCGATCACCGAACACTGACCTTCGCCAAGTTCCTGGGGAAGTCGACGTCGACGCCGTTCATGATGGCCAAGTGGTAAGACAACAATTGCAGAGGCAACACGTTGATCAAACCTTGCAAGCAGTCGACGGTGAGGGGAACTCGGATGGTTCGGTACTGTTCGCTGATGGTGGTGTCGTCATCGTTGCAAATGATGACTATGAAGGGATGAGAACGAGATGCAGAAATGATAAGCAAGGCGACTTTTCAGAGCGGCCCAAGGTGGTCAATACTCACTGGGCTGACCCTTTCGAGCGGTGACCTGAGCCAAAGCCGATTGCACCTTGGGATACAAAGAGTCTTGAGTCATGATGAAGATGACACTGGGATCATGAGTGGAGTTAGGCTTCAGCCTAGTTGGTCTCGCAGGCGAGCTTTAGGATGCACTTACGGCAGGTGCTCGTCGATCAAGGCAAGGGGTCCGTGCTTCAATTCTCCGGCAAGGATCTACGAAGTCAAACAGGACATACGGGTCAACTCGAGAAGGGCGGAACCGACCCAGACTTTGGTACTTACACCCTCAGAGTGCATGTACGAAACCTCCTTGATCTTCAGAGCTCCTTCCAAACAGGTGGCGACTGGTGAGAGACGGTCACCAGGTGTTAGCTTGATTTTCCAACGCAGACACCGGACCTGAAGACATACACTGGTAACCTCGACCCATGATCAACAGCGACTTCTCCTTGGCGAGCGTCTCCTTGGCCAACTGTTGCAAAGCCTTGTCCATCATCAAGACTCCCTTGATCTGAGCGGGGATTTCGTGCAGTCCATCGATGATTTGTTGACGACGCTCCTCTTTCGAGATCGAGTCGTCAGATAGCTGAAGAGCCATCATAACAAGGGCGACGTATTGCGAGGTGTAAGCCTTGGTTGAGGCGACACTGTACGAGCACACCCATTTGATGATCAGCTACGGCCAGGACTAGCTGAGAACACAATTTTGCACCTACCCGATCTCGGGTCCAGCGTTGATGTGAATACCAGCGTGACTCTCTCGAGACAAGGTGGACTGTTTGATTCGTATGAAGTCAGGGCCAATTCGCCTTTCCGGCAGGGGAAGCCCAATTTCTGACTCACTCCGACGGTGTTGACAACACCCAAGCACAAAGCTCCCCTCTCCAAACAGTACCTCATGGCCAAGATGGTATCGGCAGTCTCACCGGACTGGGACACAAAGATGGCGACATCATCTCTGAAGACAGGGGTTTTTCGGTCGAGGAAATCCGAGGCTGCGGGAGAGTGGCGGTATGAAATCAGCTAAGGCCATCCAGACGGGACCTTGACTCGACATCGTGCTTACCCAACTCGACGGCGACGGGGATCTCGGTCAACTCTTCGAAAACAGGTCGGACCTGTTCATCAAGTCGGATTTGGTAAAGTCAGTGGGACTCGGCGTTTTCAACGTTCCGGGGATCTTGGACTCACGGCAATACACGAGTGGTAACTAGTTCCACAAGCGACGAACAACAACCTCCTACACCTCCTGATGACCGGCAAATAAGCCTTCAAACCTCCGAGGGTGACGGTCCTGCTGTCAAAGTTGATTCGTCCTCGCATGGTGTTGACCACAGATTCCGGCTGCTCGTAGATCTCCTTCTGCATAAAGTGGTCGAATTGACCCTTCATGATCTCGGCCAACTCGATCTCTAGCGTCTCGATGGCTCGGACGGAGGAAAGTCCGTCGTCCTTTCGGAGTCGGTGGATGTGGAGCTCTACATGCCGCAAACGCGACATCAGTAATTTCGTTCTGTCATACCGTTTGGCTAGCCGCAGACTCACCACCCTCGCTGATGTGAGCGATATCGTCATCTTCCAAGTACAAGACCCTCTTGGTGTGCTCGATGACGGCGGAAGCGTCGGAGGCGACAAAGAACTCGATGGGCTGGGGAAGACCGTCCTCGCTCAAAAAGGCACGAGACTGCGAGCGACGGAGCTTGGGCTCGGCGTTTCCACCGGGTACAGTCAACAGACCTCCGTTCTCGGTGTCGTTCGAGACTGAACGGTAAGGGGTATTCGGCCCATCAGCTCTCGCCTACCGTTTCAATAACATGAGTAGTTGCTCATACTTACGTTTCTCGGTAGTATCAGCAGTGGGGAGCTCGACATCGACAAAGTCGACCTTGAGCTTCCTGTCGGTCTTGACACCAACGAGCAAGGGAGAACCTCGTCGAGCGGCAACGATCTCGTCGGGGAAGTGTTGCGACTTGAAGACGAACGCAAAGGAACCTTCCTGCGAGCCGTAGCAGAGGCACACAATGGGATCAGTTATCGAGCTTTTCCGAATGACCTTCTTCCGATGTAGGTATCACGCACCAACTCCTTAATGACGGCCTTGATGAGGTCGGTAAAATTCAACCTCTTGTTGGGCTGAGAGTCGTAGATGTACTTGCAGAGGACGGCGACAGCCTCGGTATCAGTGTCGGTGTGGAAGGTGTATCCACGCTTCTCGAGGACGAGCTTGATCTCCTTGTCTGCAGAGAGGGTGAATCGAGTCAGTGCGTTACTTAGGTCAGCGAAGGTGTGTCGATTTGTACTTACAGTTGGTGATGATACCGTCTGTCGGAACACAGCACGATTATGGTGGATCAGTCGTCTGCCGTGATTCACCTTCCACACTCGCCGTCAAACTCACTGTGAACCAAACTGAACTCGTTCGTCTTGTCGCTGGTATGAGGGTGACAGTTCAGAGGACTGGGTTGTCCGTGAGTAGCCCATCGGGTATGCGCCATCGAAGTCTGGGTGATGAACGTCTTGCCCATATCCACGATCCCGACGTTGGTTGCCTCCTTGGCGTCCGAAGCGGCGGCCTCATTGGAGGACTGGTCGGCATCCGAAGCGTGCTGAGAGATCAACTTGCGGAGACTGGCGACCTTGCCGACTTGCTTGAAAAGGATGGTAGGCGAGTCCGGGCTGTCACCGTCGATACCGATACCTGCAGTATAGTATAGCATGATACAGGATCGAGTATCAAGCGTGACGGAAGACGGGTCAATTAGGCTCTGTAGGGCGATATGAGTTGGACTGAGATGAAACACTCACCGGCAGAGTCATATCCTCGGTATTCGAGTCGAGCGAGACCATTGCACAGGACCTCACAGATGTGCCTTCGGTCCTTCTCACAAAGGTACGAGCAGTAAGCGAAGATTCCTACGTGATCGCCGTCGATATGTGGTGATCAGCTCGACTCTCCAATATATCAGAGATCAGAGAAAGTGACTTACCACACATATCGAAAGATTTGGATGTGCGCAGGTGATGAGAGGGGTGTAATAAAAGTGTTTGATCAAAGTCGCTATTATAAGGTGATCACGGATGTGAGGGTCGAGCAGGATGAGCGATACAATAATGGCGAACAAGAGGTTTTGATCAGCTTTCTAGTTCAGTTGATTGGGGCAGGACTTTGTGAATACATAGCATAGACGGTTCTAGTGCTGTGTGATTATCCGGCACAGACCGTCACGGACGGCCATGACTTGGCATGCGGCGCTCACCTTTGGGCTGTGCGTCAAAGCCACCTCGGAATGTTCACGGGGAGGTGGGGTGAGAGTGGTACGATGTGTAATAGGCAAAGAGCGTCTAGAGGGAAGGGAGAGTTGATTCGAGGATTGCTATGCAGTGGCGAGGGATTGTAAGTCAGAAGAGATTGTGATGTGATGCAAGGGGAGGAGTGATCACACCCCCCTGGAATGCAGCTGCAGGGTTGTTTTCATTCCGACAAAACACACACACAAACACGCTCGCTGCTCGCTGAGATTGACCCGAGACTCGTGGTCGACGGCGTACCTCGTGTCAATCCGGTTTGCTGCCGCCGCCTCACGCATCAGCCGCTTACGACATCACCGTCACAAGGGTCGTCATTCCTCTCAAACCCCCGCGTACACCTCGCGTTTCAGGTTTCCAAGAGCCCTTGCCACCTTCTTCGTAGCTCGTAGAGTCTGTGCTGCAGTTCACAATACACGCTCCTGATGGACCTGAAGATACGCTTCGAAAGGTAAGCGGAGAGAGACAGGGCCGGCGCACGAATCATCTTGGAACTCGAAGGGACGGGGGAGCCATAACGTTACACTCGCCGACGAAGTTCGACTGTAATCCCGGTTTATCCCAGTTATGATCTTGTAACTGATCATCAATGGACTGCTTTGACTTCGGAATTGATCAACCTCGCCCCTGAGGACGGCGTTCGCCATAGATTCGGGATTGCGCTCCATACGGGCCGATCCATATCAACAAGGAACTTCAAGGTCGAGGCTAAAGAGATTGGCAAGACTAAAAACTACCCGCGTATCGATCAAATCAACCAACCGAAGTATTCAGCAGCTCAAATATGTATAGATCCAGATACGCGAGTCTGCCCGAGGTTATGGAGACAAAGCCCGTCGACCACCTCGATGAGGGAGACAACTCGACAGGGCTGCGGAAATGTCTTGGCAGCTGGCTGAGCATCGAATCGGGATCGTGTCAGCGAACAGATACGATAACCGCTTCTTGAAAGACGACATATACATGAGGCATGTGGCAAGTCATAGTATCGTTACCGCCCACCAGGACCGTCGAGCAGCCGCACAATATATCACAGGTTGTCGAGACGGCGACGTTGTTGAAACCAGGTGTGATCGATAGAGTGGATATATCGCTGACTCCGACGTACTTGGCTTCGCACAGAGCGTATCCTCTGTTTGATCTTGGCGGTTTGTACATCTGTCTATACCAAGATCATGGTATGGGGACGAGAGCATCACGGTCATGTGCGTAATCTTTCGTCCATAAATCGTGGCCATTGGTCATTCCACTCGATGTGTCGCACGAACTCTCACGTACGCACCGCCTCCTTCCGAGATGACAAGTACCGCTGCGTTGAAGATGAGCTTAGCCGAATGGGAGCAACACTCTCAGTGGACGGTAAGTCGCAGCCCACAAATATGTATGGCGCTGCTCAGCCCGCTGCCTAATCTAAGAAGTTGGATGGACATCTAGAACATGCCGGTCGTATGGGATCAAAGCAGTATGGGATTCAACCCCATCTGAAGCTTTCGTACCAACTTTTGTCGCCCTACAATCCTCAGGTAACATCACAGGTTTGATAGAACGCGCGCTAGCAAATATAAATCGCTAACAAACCGTTCCATACAGATTTGCGCTGATGTCAACAGCAAACGACTTGAAAAGGCTGGGATTAGATGTTTTGAGATCAGCATGCGAGGGCCCATACGAAGGATACACGCTGAGATCATTGAGCCTTGGTTTTCCAGTGACCAGTCAATAAAAGGGGATGCAGTGTTTACCTAGCTGATCGATCGAAATTCTTTTCCGTCATTGATTCCGTTGTATGTGCGCAAGTATAAACTTACAGCCGATCGTGCTTTTCTTCATCCTCATTCCTGATCGCTGCTGCGCACCATTATCCTCCTCGCCACTGATCAACTGATAAGTGGTGGTGTGACCATACATTCGCTGCACCGCCTGCTTCAGAAAGGCACATCATGATTCCGGGACCATGCCCCTTGCTCTTCCAACCCGGTCCCCGACGTCTTGCAGACGCGAATCAGTACCCATCATACAGGCGATCGTGTTCAGATAATAGGATGTACCTGGACGTCTGGCTGCGGGATCGCATCGCCCCTCTCGCGTTCAAGCTCCTCGACTGTTGGGAAGACATACTAGCATGAGTTTAGCCCGCCGCACCCACAGCAACGTGTAAGGACGAAGCGCAGGCTCGCTCTGCTGTCCTCGGAACCGACCATCGACCTACAACAGTTGGAAAGCCTGGGCGCAGACAGCTTTCCCCTCGCAAGCTACTCGCCGATATATCTCATGGCTTGTGGCAGTGGCTTTATGGGTGTGGAATCTCCACGAACCGCAGCCTTGTCGCCGTCGACGATCCTCGTTGGTGGGGATTCGAGGTACCCGACCCGCATCGTCTGGTTCCGCGAGGACGGGGCCGCTGCTCGCTGCTCGTCGCTGCAGGGTCGTCGCGCGTGTTTCCCATGGTTCCCCCTTCCCCCTTCTGCCTTCCTCGCCCTCCGCGGGTTGGCTGCCCCAAACGACCAGGAATCCTCACATTTCACCCGAGGACCAGCAGCTTGCAGCTTGCAACACACTTCTGGGCGCTGAAGGGCAGTCTTCGTCAACAATCGTCAGCAATTCAGCAAACGATTTCACCATAGGATAGTCCTCTCCTCCAGGCGATACCTCTTTCACGCCCTCTACTGCTCTCTCGTACCCTCACTCTATCCTTTCTTGAGATCTCGGTGGAAAAAGGCACCAGCTCGTGGGACGGTCGAATTGGGAACTTTCCGGACCATCCTTTATCTCGCAATCTGGACTGACAGACCCCGCCAATAGTGATAGTTCAGTGGAACGAGGCCCTCGAACAAGACATCCTCAATCTTCTCTCAGATCAACGGTGCATTATTACCAAGAGATATAAAGGGATCAAAGGACAAGGCAAAATCCATAAAGCTTGACGACCAACCAGACGACCTCGACCATGTCGTTTCCCCAGCCGGAATTCGCATTCGTAACCCTCCTCAACTCTTCCTCCTACCTCCCCGGAGCCCTCGTCCTCGCCCACTCGCTGAGGGACCTGCATCCTCAACCTCGTACGGTAGACTTTCATACCGTATGCCTTGTCACCCCGGAGACTGTCGATGTTGAGAGTATCAAGCAGTTGCGATCGGCGTTTGACGTTGTCATCGGGGTAGAGGTCATTACTAGCGGGGCGGAGGGTCAAGCAGGCTTGCAACTGATGGGTGAGTTGTTTGTCCTCGGGGACGACGTCTAAAACTTTGTTAGACTGACCAGAATATTATTGTGGATCTTTCGCTGTCTTTGCCGTTCACTCCGATTCGTTGCCTCGTCATCTTCCACAGGCCGACCGGACCTACATTCCGCCCTCACAAAACTACACATCTTCCGATTAGAAGGCAAATACAGCAAGATCGTCTACCTCGATGCCGACGTCCTGCCCCTCCGCCCTCTCACCCAGCTCTTCTCCCTCCCGAATCGCTTCTCCGCCTGTCCGGATAGCGGCTGGCCAGACTGTTTCAACTCGGGTGTCATGGTCTTTGAACCCAAAGAGTCTGATTTCAGGGGAATGATCAAGTTGATGGAGGATGCTAGGAAGGGGGATGTAGAGTTGGAAGGAATGGGGATCGGGAGTGGGAATGGGAGTTTCGATGGGGCTGATCAGGGGTTGCTGAACGAGTGGTTTTCTGAGGAAGGACAGGGCGGAGATTGGAATAGGTTGTCGTTTACGTGAGTCGCTTCGTGGTCAGTGAGGAGATGCGAATTACAGGGCAAGAGTTGATTCGGGTCGAGTGAATATCTACAGGTACAACGTCACGCCGTCAGCAGCATACCAGTGAGTGTGATGGGCGCAGAGCCGGTACAACAGCTCGCATACTAAAACGGTATGTTTTCGCAGATACGCCCCAGCCTATCGACGGTATGGTAGCAAGATCCACTGTGTGCATTTTATTGGGAACAACAAGCCTTGGAGGAGCATCGTCACAAGACCTGCTCGAGCGCCTACACCTAACATCAGGGATATGCCATTTGACTGTGAGCGTCGCGAGAAGAAAAGCTCAAACACACGAGACAGTAATTCTCATATCGCTTGCTACTGTTGTTGCAGACCCATCTCTCGTCGACCGGTGGTTTGCCGTATACGACAGGTACATGCGACCTCTCGGTCAGCCCATCGCCAATCCTATTTTCAGCGTACCTCAGAACGTCGCCGTGTGGAACATGCCGGCCTTGTCCACGGAAGAGGGCCGAGAGCAGATTGACAAGATGCACGCTTCACCGCGAGTCGATTCTTCTGCGGTCAGTATGGCTCTTGGCGGAGCGAATGTACACGCTGCTGGTATCGAAGGGACATACTACAGCTTGCCTCTGGACGGGAGGGTGGATTTGATGCGACCTCTACCGGCGAAACCTTCCGTCCCAACCCCGGAGAGGAAGCCGAGTCTGGCAGGGTCGCCTCCGATCTATGCTCAGGCTTTGCCTCATACCGCACCCGTCCATCCTCCTGCTCGACAGGGATCGCCTCCCATCCCTGAGACCTGGAACGCTCAATTCGACTCGCCACCTCGTCGTTCAGGTCCGCAATACGGTGAGATGAGGCAGGGAATGCCGGAAAACTATGTCAACGTCTGGGACAAGCCGCTCGGACACCAAAAGCAGCGTACAGAGGATTGGAACGTCGCCGGTAGTTATCCTACCATTCCAGACGTCGTCAAGGAGGACAAGTGGTATGCGGGCGCTGCAGACGGGAAACCAGACTACTCCAAGGTCGAGACTGTCTTCCCTTGGGAAAAGGAGGAGAGACAACCTCCTTCTCGTCATTTCCCTGCTAGCGATCCTCCTCCCCCTCGTGCCAATCCACTCCCCGAGCTCCGATTGCATCTGCCGAGTCCTCCAGCTCCGCAGGATATCCGATTACCGCTGTCGACGGCTGCCAGCCCGACGGGTCCTCAACAGCACAGAAAACAGATGAGCTTCCACCAGGCCATGGCGCAGTATACAAACGCGTGGGACATCCCTTCGATACAAAACTATGCGTCCCGTTTGGGGGGACCGAAAGAGAGGAAGGCTCTGGCCAAGGGGATGCAGACTCCGGCCCTTGAACGAGAGAATATGCAAGGAATCCTGTTGGCTGAGCCCGAGTCCAAGCAGAGGAATAACAAGCACTTGGTACCCGCTCGACCGCATTCTCATGCGAAGCGAGGTAAAAGATCAGCAGATTCGACGCCGCCCGAGACCAGGAGCGAAGGGAGTCGGGATGGGGATGACGAGGAGACGACTTCGGGCAGCGACAAGGATGAAGAAGAACGATATCCGATTGTCCGTCGTGGTGCAGGTGGTTCCAGCACGAGGCCAGGCCATTCGAGAACGGCAAGCAAGATGTCTTCGACAGGGGGGTCACCTATCACTACGCCGGGTCAGGAAACGGGACCTCGTTCAGCAGGCAACGGAGGAGGAAAGCATTACACCGTGCGGAGCGTCCAGACGGATCCCGTTCCAATGCAGGACCGAGTAGTGCAGACTTCACCTGAACAGAGGATGGCGGATCTGGCAACCGCGAAGCGGACGGCGGGGCCTTCCAGCTACAAGTTTGGCGCGATCGGAGCCGATCACGTCAGCCAGGGAACTGCATCCCAGACGGACACCGGTGTAGGCGGTCTTCGACGAAAGCCTGTCCGACAATCTTCTGAAGAAACAATCACTTCGGCGACATACAACTCGCCGAAGAACAATGCCCAGACTCGTGTTCCTAACGGGTCCGCATCTTCGTCATCGAACGAGGCGAGACCCAAGCCTACCTCGAGGATCTTTGATCCATCGACATCCATAGATGTGAGTCACCTCGCGCCGAAATCATTTGCTTTACACATGTAACTGAAACGCTGTTGACTGCCGCTACCCAGGCGCGAAGGCGAGACACCGTCGAGGTCTTGTCCCGATTCATGAGACAGGCTGGGGGTCCCGCGAGCGGTGGACAGCCTTCTCGACCCGCTTGAAGATAGATGCTTATATTCACATATGATCAGTCCTGCCTAGAATAGACTAGACCCTTCCTTGGTCCTACTATATATACCACCTAATGACATTTCTATGAAAGCTGATCTTGTTCACAGCGCCATAGCGGTGATCGAGTACGTCCTCGTTACCATCCGAATTTGCTTCCGTACGTCAACCGGGCACGTTCCGACCGATCACTCAATCGTCATAGCGATAGATGTGAGCAAGTTGTAGGCATATCCACAATCAGCAATCATGCTTGGTATAGCTTCCCTTCTGGTAGCTGGTAGAAATATAGCACACAAGCCAGAGGAATCTTCTAAGAGACCGACTGCTTATCGGGAATTTACAGAAATCTAGAAAGATCTGCGCTGGCCGCCCGCTCATCGATACCGGCACGGTTCGTCCTTACCTGACCGCCGTCATTACCCTCGGACCTGGAAGCGGCAGTGGACGAGGTGCATTTCTCCCAGGATGTCTAGTGTCACGCAGATACCCGAACTGGCTCCCTTGTCAGATCCGCTATCACTAGCCAGGATCTCGGTCCTCCTTGTCCCCGTCGGAGACATTTCAAGGGCTACCTGGGACAAGTGGACTTTTCAGATTCGTCGCTTTACCGAGCTCAGGTTGAACGATGTACCAGGCACAAGCGGAGGTCCAGCATCGAAGGGAGACAAGGGTATGCAGTACGAATTCAGTTCGGCACCCGAACTGCACTGACAGCGGTGTCTGACCCTATTGTAGCTCGCTTTCTGCCACCCTCTTCCCCGCCGCCCAGCACTCATGTACACCTATCGTTCACAACGGTTCCCCCGACAAACGATCTATCGCCCTTATCACTGCTTCAGATATCAGCCTTCCCTCTAGCTGTAATTGGCGTGTCAGATCTGTCAGATACCAGGACGAATCACAATCAAAAGATCGGCCAGTTTCAGAGGGTCTTGAACGATTTGCACGTCAATCATGCCAATGGCATGATATATCCACTGGCCAGACGTTGCTTTGGAGTGGAAGAAGACGTTTCTGCCTTTCCTCTTGGATCGACACCTAAAGCTGGCAATTTTCCAAAGCAAAACAAGTCGACGCCGAACCTGCCTGATTCGTCTTCTAGCACACCCAGGCGGGTCGAACAGTCTGCTACTTTCGAGGGGATGGTCGAGATCGACGCATCAGACGGCTCGAACGTTCAACGCCCAAAGTCCCAGATGGCAGACCATGATGCCAAAATGTACGACAGGAAGGGCCACGAGGAGAAAATGGTGGTCATTCCAAAGGACGGCAATGTCGAGATCGTGTTGGGGATGTTGATGGCGGACTTGATCGCCAGCGTCTTGACAGAGTTTGGAGATATGGTGCGTGACGATGTGGCATGGCAGCCTTTCACCCTCCTGATATGGGCTGTACGAACCTAGATCTCGACACTAGAGAAGCCTACCGGAACTCAGACCCTGCAGGCTTCGATGCTGCCTATCTTGACCGTCAAAGGTATCTCACGGCCGACATTCACGACCCCCTCCAACGCCTCGGCGGGTGAATCGATACCTCGGCCAAGATCATCCAACTACTCCCTGATCTCGGTGTCCAACACTGCCAATCCAACGACCCCTACATCCTCCTTCCCTTCACGGCCTTCTTCAGCTACAGGATACACCATCCCAGGGATAAGTGGCTCGAACAGCATGCCCACCTTGCCAGAGCACTCGGACCGCTTGTCGGCGCGCCCGCAGTCTGTAATCGGGACAACAACTTTTGGAGGCGATGCTGCTCTGCGGGGGTTTGGTAACGTGCCTGGTCCAACTCCAGCTAGACCCGACTCCAAGAACAGCGGCAACGCTACCAAAAGAGCCAGTACAGGCTTTAGCTTAAGTACGAGTATGGGACGGGTCATGAGTGGATCTAAGCATAGCAGTAGCCCAACAGAAGTGAGCTCCAGCACAAGCCCTATTGCAGGTGCCAGCTCAAACACCTCTGCAAGCTCTGGTGTCGGCCGATTGAGAAAGGTTACTGCCGATTTATGGCTGCTGAGCGGAAGGCTGCAAGAGGCCATCACAAGCTATCACGAATGCATCTCCACCTTCAAAAGCCACAACGACAGCATCTGGCACGCATCCGCCTGTGAAGGATTAGCCACCGCAACCTTGTTAGAGGCCTGGGAAACACGCGACCCGGAGCACGGGAACGTACCGTTACTTACATCGCCAGTCTTGTCCGGGGCCCATGATTACATGACTCAGGCATTGGGTCTTTACGGTAGATCATCTTGCCCCCCCGAATCCTTGTTTCCCCACGGTGCGGAATCTGGTGAAGGCGTGATGGCCAGACTCTATACGCTTTGTGCACTGCGAACAGCGCGTTTGCTCCTTCACGCCTGGGCAGCTGGCGGATTTGGCGCGGCTTCACTCCAATCGCTCGTGTCGGGACGACTGCCAAGAAGCTATCCTCCGATGGATTACGCTCATCGCCGAAGGGTCTTCCTGAAGTTGACGACAATGTCCAAAATCAGTCGATCGCTTGTCACTCGGACGGCCATAGCGGCTCATGGGCCTTGGATCCGATGTTTACCAGAAGATGTCCAGTTGGACATACTTGTAGAGCTGGCGAATTTTCAGCGTATTCTGGGTCTGGATCGAAGAGAGATGATCTTCGACCGAGAGCTGTCGGGATCAGGCGTCACGGCCATCATGAAGGCTCGAACCGGTCAGGCTCAGACGGAGGCAGTAACCAAAAGGCGCAGGAACAGCGATGCCTCTATACTAAGCCAAGAATCAACAGCGTCTACTGAACTCGACGATCGAAGCATGCTTTCCGCCCGAAATACTGGCGTTCCACCTCATACCTCATCCAGTAGCGGCGGATTCATTGCGTCGAAGCGCCCAGATTCGGAGGAAGGCACCGATGCGATCATATATCTGCTTCATCGTACGCTTGACATTCTTGGTCTGGACCTAGACTTGCTCTATGACACTCCTGGAACTATTACTCCATCAAACTCGTCCTATGGCTGGCCAGAGCTTCAAGTCGAGGTCGTTCGTGATGCAGTGACTGCAGTCGAAGCGCTACCTGGTGAGCGTTGCGAGCTGCGGTTTATGACTTACCTCTGATATTGATAAACATCGACCTTTGACCTACAGATCACCTTAGCATCATGCGTTTTGCTGCCGTTGCTCTGAGAACAATGTCGATGCATCTGGCACCTCACTCTCAGCTATACTTGTATCAGGCTTATGCCAGGGCTTGGAGTACAGCACAGCGGCGGGCGATCACGCTTCCATCCAGGCAATGGTGGATTCCGGACGGTCTGGTTGTGAGCTTGGACATGACACCGTGCGTGTCTCGGTAACGTCTTAGTACTGTAGACTTGAGACGCTCACAAGTTCTTTCCGATCAGGATCCCCCTTAACAAGATCCCTTATGAACAAACTCTGGCTACCGCGACAGCCAAAGATCAACGTCTTGATCCGTTCTTGTACAACCCTCGGGCCAAGACATCTGCCGGCGGAAAAGTAAGCTTACATTGATCGTCTAAATGGCTATATTGTGTCCCGCCGATCTTACGTGCACTGCTAATGTGCTGCCTTATTTTTGGTCAGCTAATATTCGTTCAGAACGAGGCGATAGAGTGCATCGTTACCTTGGCGAATCCCTTCAGCTTTGACATCGAACTTCAGGACGTTGCGCTCGCGTGAGTTGGGACCTTGTTCTATCGATACAGGTTCAAGGGCTGAGAAAAATGATGTTGTTACAGAACTACGGGAGTCCCAACGAACTGTCCTGCTCTGCCATTGGTCTTGATGGCAGATAATGTTGTGCGCGTCCCATTGCTGGCGGTGGCCACCGAAGCAGGAGAACTCGCACTGCAGGGAATACGGATTAGACTACCCGACGGGCAAGAGGAAATCCTGACACTGCCCCATGCGTCAATACCGGGGCTCGCGCCGGCTCCGGCGAAACCGCGATTGGCGTACAAATCGATAGCGGCAGCGAATTTACGTCCTAGCTTGCAGCGCATGGATAATGCGGGACATTCGCAGGCTAATCGCACTAGCGGTCCTATCCTCTGCCAGATCATCCCTGCTCAGCCTCTCATGTGGATCCGAGGCACCAATCTGAATCATGGCTCACTGATTACATTAGATGGCGAAATGTGAGTGGAACCTGAAGCTCGGCTCTATGATAATACCCCTACTTGACTGACGAAGGTAAGCGATAATAGGTTCACAATACGTCTCGTCATTGAGAACGCCTCATCGCAAACGATCGATTTCCTCAAGCTCACATTTACTGATACGCTGGCGGAAGAAAGCGAACGTCTGCTCAACGAGGCTGGCCTTGACCTTGTTCAAACCCATGCGATCGAGACCGAGCTGCAGCAACGACCTGTCTTGCTCTGGGAACAAGCCGATCAGCCTGTTCATATCCCGCCAGGTGCGCAACAAACCGTCGCAATCCGGTACTTGGGCAAATTCGGATGGTAAGCCTTGCGGAACAGCCTATGTAGAGCTGTCCGAGTTTTGACTTGTGAACTACATCGCAGCGAACATGCCATTATCCGTATGGACTATGGTAATATCGCCATAGCACAAAGGAATGAGAATGCTAGTTTCTATTCGCGACGCATTACGTTACCGATCATCACTACTGTTCAGCAAACACTTCGCTGCCGTTCTCTGGATATTCAACACGTCGATCAATTCGACGTTTCCCTGTCGGCGACACCTTCACTCACTCCGGGGCAGTCACAACGCTCGCGGATCGCATCGGCCCGAATGACACCCAGGCATCAAAGCTCGTTCCGAAACGACCGGGCGTCCCAAGATCATTTGCAAAACGCCTTGTCAAGTGCCTGCAATCAACCGGATTTCTGCATTGCGTCCGCCTTGTTCACGAATCCTTCGGATCAAGCGCTCGAAGTCTGTCTGGAACGAAGACGAGAAGGAGACGGTGGGTCTTGCTTCGAGATCTTCGCAAACGCAAGGCCTAATCTCTCGGATGACATCTTGCAGAAACCTTGAATATCGAGCCTTTACTGGTAAGAAGGCTTCTTGCCGCTGGAGCGAGTGCAAGGTGGGCGACTTTTATGTTGAACATCAGTGCAGCGCTGACCAGGATACCGCTATATTGGTACAGAGTGTTCTTCCCTGTGCGACGCTGCGCGATGTCTCGAGAAGAGGCCAGTAGGCCAATCCCTCAATCCAACGCTAGGCAGTTCGTTGTCAACAAAAAGGTCGTCACGGAAACGGAGAACATGCGCTTCTGGCTGAAGGAAGATCTACTCAAATCATTCCGTGCATGGTGGACTCTTGTAGGTCACGTTTCGTCTCAAGTGCGGCATTCCACTGATCGAATAACGTCGTATGCCTCCTTATTCCGAATGATTCAGCCTGGGTCGAATCGATCAGGGGAACTTGGCTTCCGCCACCTTGAGATAGACTCAAGAGCTACCGAAGCATACAGGCAAGAGTCGCTGTCAATTGAGATCGACGTGGATAGCAATGATGATGTCCGGAAGGGCGTATCAGCTAATGAACCGACCAAGCTACGCTTGAGCGTCAAGATGCATTCACCAGAAGGTCAGTAGTATAGGTCATCTACCATTCGTTTCGCTAGCTTAACCGATACGTTGCACGAAGGCGTCGCAGACGAATACAAAGCAACGTACACTATCAGTGTACAGCCATACACGTTAGACAGGACCGCTAATCAGCAGTCAGCCTACATGGAGGTTGACGCCCTTTCACGAAACTTCATCCACGAAGGAAAATTGAGAGGGTTCCTTGCTTTGCACAAGGGCTTCGGCAGCGTCGATGTACGATCGACTTTCTTGTCTAGAGGCCTTTACGAGCTTGATGCAACAGTGGTCTTGGACGACGAGCACGACCTGGCTGGCACACCGGCCTTACGAAAACAGACCACACGAATCGTACGAATTATATAACGAATCATGTATCCATGTCCATAGCAGATCTGTTAGTCTAGTCTAATTCCATGAACGCTCTCAGGCCTGTCGGACTGTTTGGAGCGGTAGCCGCATGCCCCATGAAGGGCACCATGGGGGTCTGTATGGGAGTGTACTGTTGCGCGAAGCGAGGTGAGGCCGGACACGAGACGAGTCCCGCTTGTTCCAGGGACTGCCTGAGTTGATCCGCGTGAATAGCGAAATCGTTCGGTGATTGTGTCGTTGGACTGAAGTCGTACGATTGAAGCTCGTTCGAGGACGGCAGGTTTCCGAGGTCGAAGTGTTGAGGTACCGGAGTCGTAGCGCGGAGAGGGGTCAAGGCCGGCAGGGCATCCAGGGTCAAGTCGAAGGCTTGACTTCGATGACCCAGGGTCACCTGCTGAAGCAGGCGGGATTTGGGTTCGTTCGGGCGCACGGGAACAGGCGAGGGGATCACTGAAAGAAATGCATTAGGCCGACATGTCGAATTGGTTCGAATCGAACCGATCACTCACCCGGAACAGGAGGCGGTCGGGGGTCGAGGTATGAGGGATTTTGGGTTTGCACTAGCGGAGCCATTCGCCTTTTGTATGGTCCACGTTTGATACCACGAGCGCGCGGCTGAAAGAATCGAAGTGTCAGCTGATCGGTTCAGGGAATCAGCGAGGGACAGGGACAATCTCGCCTTTCTGGTGGAGTTGACGCAATCTGGAAGGCCATACTATCGTCGTCCAAGGCTTGGTCAGGCCTAGGAAGTGAGATTCCGCTTGCACACCAGCCACTCACCCTTCGACATCTTTCGCATGGCCTGACAACGTCAAAGCAATGAATTTAGTAAGATTCGAGGGACAAGTTATCTACAGCAACGAACCGAGCGTCGGAGCATTTTTTGCATGCTTTGTCAAGCAGAAAATAAAGAAGCGTCAGCGTCGTCAAAGCTGAGATAATTCCTGCCAAATGGCTGTCACATACCTTGTTGGCAGTTGGTACACGCGTTTTTCACTTGAGCCCGTTTGGTACGGGGAGGAGGAATGCCTCTTTGATGTTGTTCCGAACTCGGAGGACTGTTTGTTGAGACAGTGCGCGGCGAGACCGGATTTTGAGCCCACATTTCATTTCGTGTCGAAGGAGTGTCCCCTGTGAGCGGTTGCAAGTAGGGAACTGAGCGCCATGCCTCTGGGTTCTGCGATCGGACTGCAGTATACGCAAATGGAGGCTGAATTCTTGCGTTTTCTGGGTACGGATTCCAATTGCGATCGTAGTACTGAGGCGCTGCCTGTGCGTACACATTTTGAGTTTCCATCTGCTACGAGCCGTTTCGGTTGTTTCGGTACCGAAATTTGAGGGCCAGACAGGACGTCAGTTGTGTCGGCGATTGCGGATGGAAGCGAGTTCCTTATATGCTGCTACGGCCATATTAGTTCGAGCGGAAACATGAAGCTTCCTTGAGGTAGCCTCCTTTGTGATGCAAGGATAGCGCGATTTCTGTTTCACGGCGGTGAGCCCGCGGCGGATCGCGAAATTATCGCGGCAGTTTCCCCACAAGTCACGATCAAGCACATTTGAGGTATTGTGTGATGCTACTGATGTACACATGTACAGGTGATCAACGTTATGATCTTACAACTTCATGTCAGGCGCGATCTGAGGGGATTTGATCAGAAATTCCAGGCGACATGGCGTTCAGGTAGAAGTGGTGGTCAACCTGGTTTGGCCTCGCTCGGGATCCGGCATACGCAAAACTTTGACTGTAGGCGGCAGTTTAGCCCCAGACATTTCCTAGTGTCATCAATACGAATTAGTGTCTGGACATTTGAACAGCAGATCCGACGCATTTACCTGCGGGGAGATCAGGATGTATTGACGCTCATCACCATGCTTGCCTACTACGTCGCCGCCATTCGACAGCTGTTTTCCGGCAGAGACATCGACGCCCGTCGCGACTCGCACCTGTCCAACCAAAGAATCAGCAGTAGCTCGATCGTGGCTGAGAGAATTGGATACTGACCAACAGCGACATGGCCAATTTCCTATTCTCCGCATCCATGTAAACATCAAACTCGTCAAGGCATCGAAGCGGACTCTTGACGTTGTACCAGATAGCCAGGATCAGACATAGTGTGGTGAAAGATGTCTCGCCACCCGATAAAGAGCGAGTATCCTTCTCCTTGCTATGCTTCGATTGAGTAGAGAGATCCGTGTCGACCTAACGAATTTGAAAGCGGATCAGACGATTGTAAGAATGCTAAATTCAGCACCACTACTCACCTTCATGTCTAGAGTCGAATGGGTATGATCGATGATCAAGTTGCCAGAGAAGCCGCGGACTTGGAGGTAATCCGAAAAGCCATCTCTTGTCCGCATGGTGACGTCGGCTCGTAGGGCGGTCCAGTCTCTCTTACGGTCATTCACGGTCGAGTTCAGGCGCTGAAGCAAAAAGGGGACGATTCAGATCACGTCGCAGGCAGGAGCACAATTGACACCACCAACCTGTACTGCAGCTGTCGCTTCTCGGACAATACTCTTAGCTTGCGCGTATTTCCCAGCAGCTTCGTTGAAGTTTACGGTGACGACTTCCAAGGGATACTTGAAGCTGCGTAATCAAAGAGTATTAGTGATCGACACAGCCGAATACGCGCAAGGCTAAACCGACTTTGCATTCCCCTTGTCCCTAGTTTTCTCGGCAGCAGCTATCCTCATCTTGAGCCTCTCGATACTTTCGGTCGGGTTCCGTTCTTGTGGACAATATAGCCTGGCTTTCCTCGTCCATTCCTGTGCGGTTTCGAAATATCAGCGCAGTCCCAGGTCACGATTGTATAGTATCTGGGCGAACCTCCAGGGCAACCTCGACAGCTTGTAGCTCTTGTGCTTTAGCTGCTGCGACTTCAGCCTTCTTAGTGCGGACCGATGCAAGGTTCTTTTGCCCTTTGAGAAGATCGTCCTTCTGGGTTCTGGCCACACCGACCGCTTTCTGATCAAGCACAGCGTGAACAGGGGCGTTATACGTTTGCCGACTTGTTAAACTCACTGCAAGCTCGTTCAACTGCTGCGCGAAGTTGTCGCGTCGAGTCTTCAGTTGGTCTCTTTGAATCTTGAGTTCCTCGGCGTGTGCTAGGGTCAGCTGCAACTGCTCATTGAGTGAGAGGTACTGTTCGTCCTCCAGCGCTCGGGCTTGACGGATACGCTGAACAAGACAAGAGCGAGAAGTTCAGACAGACTCGCCGCAACGGCGCGCAAGCCCGAAACTTGCCTCGATCTCATCCGTAAACGTCGACACGCTCACGGGTTCTTCGGCTGAGAGCTGCTGGTCTATCTGCTGGATCTTGGCGCGGTATTCCCTCTGCCAATTTCTTAGTTGCTGCATCTCTCTCTGAAATGATGCACAGTGAGATGCGGTTCACGTGATAGCTTTGATTTTCCTCGTACCTCTACCTTGGCCACTGCCTCGGCCCTGCCATGACGATCCGCTTCCAATTTTTGAAGCTCTACGTTGACTTCCTGGACCTGGCTGAGTGCGTCTTGAACGGCAGCAGCCCGAGCTCTGATGAGAGCGGCAGATTAAAAATACGCAGCGATATCAGCCCTCTCCGAGACAGATTCTTGAAGAATGATAGTACTAACTCTATTTCAGCTTTAAGGTCGGTGGAAAGCATGGATGAACCTGCCCAATTGTTCAAGGGAGCGCTCGATTGCCCACCTCCCCTGTGATGCCGGACGACGATCCCAGCACGTTCCGATCGTGAGAACCTGCACTTCTACGATTTTCAAGCAGCTTACCCTGTGCTGTTCACCCTGAACATGTCTCCGGTCAGGAAGGTTGTCTGCATAGTACCCATTTGTCGAGCGGCTTCATCGGCCTGTTTTCGAGTTGGAGATACGAAAAGTTTCTCGATGGTAGCGGCGTTGACCAGTAATCGTACGACGTGCTCGTCCTCGATCTGCGACGTGTACAGTCAGAACATATCAAGCAAGACAAGAACCTGACAGAGCGTCCCGCCTGACATACCTCGAGCACAGACAAGAGCGTCTTGTGGAGGTGTCTCTGATCGCCATGAGAAAAGTCGAAAAGCTCACCGACATGTGTCAGGATCGGCGGAAACGCTCTGCGATCGTTCTTTCCTGTCTCGAACACACTGTTCGTGGTCAAGGACCTTATCAGTCCATACTGCTGTGCCCAATAGTTCCAGAACACTCACGTTTGCTGATGATCGATGCAGTTTTTGAAGATGTTCATAAGCTGGGTACGGTCGGATGCGGTCCGAACAGCCCACGCGACGAGATTGTTCCCCAGAGCAGACTCGATGACCTTGATGTACTGCTCTTCACCCGCCTTGACCTTGACGTACAACCCTAGGGGGCCGATCGGTTTCCCACCCTCCCATCTCGCCCTGTCGATCTCGGCGTAGACGGCCTGGAGTCTCTGGCCGTAACGATTGATTCGAGCCTGACCCGCCCCAGACTGCTCTCTTTGGGCCGCCGCGAGCTGAGCTTGAGCGCGGGAAGCGAATTCTTCCAGCTGTGACTTGTCTCCCTTACACTTTCTCAGGGCAGATTGAGCTGTATCGTAGGCAGCCTTGGCGTCCAGGATCTTTTGATCATGGGAGGGTAATTGCTTCTGTACCGTTGTCAACTTCGTTTCAAAATCCGTCTTGCTATTGCGTAGCTCCTGCTGCTTCTCCGCAAAGCCGGCGTGTCCAGTCCTCTGGATTTCCGCATCTCTCGATTGCTCGAGCTCGGTTATAGAGCGTTCCTTGGCCACCAGAGAAGTTGATAGGTCTGCGATGGCCCTCTGCGGATCACAACAGATCGATTAAGTCCTGTTTCGATTCCGATCTGCCTTGAACCGGACGCACCCTCTGTGTCCCTTCCGTCGTTTTGGCCTGCTTGTAATTCTCGATGACCTTGCGCAAGTCCTCCGCTACCGATCCGTTGGATTCCTGGAATTCCCTGTGCGCCTTGGTGGTCTCCTCAATCAGTGCATCCGCATCGGCAGTACTGCCCTGTGGTGCAGATAGACAAGTCAATGTGTTAACTGCTCATGCACGTCGGGCGCTTTCGCATCCTCGCTTACTGCAAAGTCATCGAAGCGCTTTTGAGCGAGTTCGAACTCGGCGCGAGCCTTTTCTGAAGCCTCGCTCTTCTCCGCATGTTCCTATTTGAACGCCTCGTCAACTCGATGTCCTCTAGCACGACCCCGCTGACATGATGCTCACCTTGGCCTTGTCCCTAACATGAGCCCACGCCCGATCTCTGTGCAACTCTTCGATCAACTCCTCTTGTGCTTGTACGCTCTGCATCTGCTCGAGCAGCTTCTTCCACTTTTCTGAAGCTTGAAGTAGATCCTTCAGCCCGTCTTTTTGCCGTCCGAGGTTGGCATCGATCTGACGGGTCTTCTGATCCAGCGCGTTGTAATCGTTTATCAACTTTTGTAAAGAGGTCCCCTTGAGGAATAGCTACAAGTAAGGCGAGATTCGAATCAGTTGGGGTGGGGATGTCCTCGCTTGGGATCGCGGTGAACAGATGTCGCTGACCTCGTATTTCTTGTGCGCATCACTGGAGCCCAAGAACGCCCTGCTCATATCTTGCGTGAGAATTGTCATGGGATTATCCACCTGAATATCGAAATGATCCGTCATGGCCGTCACCGTCTCCTTTTTGGTCGAGAGAGGTTTGCTCCTCTCGCCGCTCAAGGCTGAGCGGATTCGCCACGAACTCGCGCCTTCCCTGGCGAGAACACGTTCGATGGTGATCTCGTCCCCCCACACGTCAGCTCGATAAGGGTTCCGACCAGTGTTCTTGAGCACGATTCGTATTACCGCTTTGCTGCATGCCGGAGGCAATATGAAGCATAAGCAGAGTTCAGAGCGGCTCAGGGCGGAGTAACGATGCTTACTGAGCCCCACTTCGAATCAGATCGTTCATGCCAGAACCACGGCCTGTGCTGCTCGTCCTTCCTCCCAGGACTATCGTGACGGCTGTCAAAACCGCCGACTTGCCGCCTGGAGGACAGACCAACGTCAGAACATTGGTCCTGATTGAGCGAGTTACTCCACACATTGCTAGCCGGTCGCTCACTTCCGTTGTTTCCTATCACAAAGTTCATGTTCTCCCCAAAATCGAACGAAAGCCTCTCATGGCACATGAAGTTTTCCAGGTAAATCCGTCTATACACAGATCAGGATCTCCATGAGAACATGACGTATGATCGTCAATACTAAAGTTGATGCATACTTGATAATTCCGCTGGCTCCCTGCATCATTTGTGCGTCACCCGTCTTTAGCATGAACTCCGAACAATACAGAAGCGCGGGACATTCCACTACTCACCGATCCGACGTTTTGACCCGCACCCCGTCTGGTTCTATTCGTCTCTCTAACCTGTCTACGATCCTCCTCCACGGCTGCACTGATTTCGGACTGCAAAGCACTCAATTCCCTCGTTGGGGCGTGTACGTATTCGCCATCAGCATCTTCATCTTCGTCAGAACTGTCGTCGACCTGATCGAGATCTTGCTGCCGATGTCCGTTCAGAGGGCCGTCGATCCTAGCCTTTTTCTGCAACAGAGAACCTCGTACTGAGCTATGTTACGGAACCCAAGCCGTCAGATGGTGCGTCCAAGCTCACCAAAGGTCCAGGACCACTGGGGGTAGCCTCGAGATCGTCGTCGCTGCCCGAGTCGCTCGCTTCCGAATCGCTGGTTGGCGACTTTCGCTTGTCCACCATATTAGTACGGTCCGCCGTTCCGACGAAGCCGGTAGATCAAACTATCTCGATTGCCACTGTGTCTTGGCCCGTGCTTGTATATTGAGCTGTGTGATATGGGAGAGAGATCGAGAAGACGAAAAAAACGATCAAAGCTGATTCAAAGATCGTTCAAAGACGGTAGGGGGACCCTCTTGATCTTCGGGGTGGAGGCCGACGCGAAGGAATCGAGTGAACGCGTTCCAAATGATAGCAAGAAGGGGATCATCACGGCGGAGATCATAAATTGATACTGCATGTCCGTTCTTCCCCCTCATCCACCCCCACCGTGCTTGGACCCTGACTTCGAACATGTGTCGTTTCGAATGATATCGTAGCTACCTCGATGGAAAGGTGCATCCCGGATAACTCGCCGTAGTATCGTCAGAGATAGATAGGGAGATCAAACACTCGGCCTCGAAACTCGCTGACACGGACCTAACAGCTCGTTCAACGACGTCCCTGGACTATCGGACTCTCGCCTCGACATCTCGGTCGCCTCACCAACACCTCTCGCCCTGTCTTCGAATCGCTAAGCCGGACAACGACGAAGGTCAGGTCTGTTGAGTAGCCACATCTTTGAACAGGCTACTCTGGAGAGCAACAAGACCTAGTGAAACGTAGCGGGACGAAGCATAGTCATGTCCGGTACATATCCTCTCTTCTCGAGCTTTAACCCGCTCTTGAACGCAGGCTAGACTAAGGGTCTCGACCCTTTTTGCTTTCCCCCCAATCCGTTGCCTTTCTTCTCCCCTCGATATCATCCATGTCGTCAATCCGATGTGCGATGTCTTTACAGGTGATTACGGTTACGAATATGCTACGGCTCCTGGCAGCCAGATGGACGGCCCGGAAAGCTACCTTGATGTCGTGGCCAAGCAGGAAGAGTTCGACTATGACATGGACGACTCTTCGATCCCGCTCGCCGAGGACGATCTGTGGATTGTCATCAATAGCTTCTTCCACGAAAAGGGACTCGTCAACCAGCAGCTTTCCAGTTTCAACGAATTTATGGAGACGACCATCGTCGATGTCATGGAAGAGCACGGGACTTTCACCCTCGATCAGACATCTCAGGGTGGGACTCGAGCCATGGATGCGACGGTGAGCGACAAAATCTCCTTCTCAACCGTCAAATGAGCCATTGGAACTCAAGCTCGTCATCTTGCTCTCCTCAGAGACGGTTCAACATCAAATTCAGTCATGTCTTCCTCGGCCCTCCCAACATGAACGAAAACGATGGTCGAGCCGAAGAGGCGTACCCTCAACACGCCCGTCTGAGAAACGGAACGTTAGTACCGCACGACATTTCTCGAATGTCGACTCGTTGTGCATAGCTGACTGAAAAACGGCTTCATCACCTGCAGTTACGATTGTCCTCTGTACATGTCGGTCGCTCAACAGGTCGAAAAGTATATTCCAGCCAGTGACGACGATGAAGCGAGGTGGGAACCGGATGGCGATTACAATGACCTCGAATTTCGTCAAGCATACATCGGACGGGTCAGTTTGCAGTGGCGGAGCACACATCGTAGTCTAAACTCGCTGACATGCATCCTGTTGTTTCACTTTCGTAGATACCTATCATGGTCAGGAGTAACTTCTGTTTGACGACGAGAATGAGTCCTGAGCAGCAACAGAGGATCGGCGAATGTCCCATGGACATGGGCGGTTATTTCGTCATCAACGGATCCGAAAAGGTCTTGATCGCTCAGGAACGTATGGCCGGAAACTACGTCTACGTCTTCGAAAAGGCTCAACCAAGTAATGTCTCGCACGTCGCCGAACTGACGAGTGTGTTGAGCACATCGGGTATGAGCAAGATGAGCAAAATGGTCGTCAAGTTGTTCACGGCAAAGGGAGATAAGCAGGTGAGTCCTGAAAAGTTCGTCTGGGGTTACAAGCGAATATTGATACGATGCGGAAACCCAGACCGGAAACAATGCCATTCGAGCGACACTGCCCTACGTCAGGCAAGACATCCCCATCTTCATCATATTCCGAGCGATGGGTATCATTCCAGATGAAGACATCCTGGCGCTGGTCTGTTACGACCTGGACGATGATGCTTTCACAGACATGATGAAGCCCTCCGTAGAGGAAGGCCGCGATTACCAAAGTCAGGACGTGAGTCGACGTTCACTTATCAAGCGATATTGAAAGAAGCAGCGCTTAATTTGCGGATTGCGATATAGAAATCGCTCGATCACATTGGTCGTCGAGGAAACGTCGGTGGAAGTGTCAAGTCTGAGCGTATTAGCCACGCCATGGATATCCTCGCCAAGGAGACTCTTCCTCATATCTCGATCGAACGATCTGGCTTCAAACAGAAGGCATACTTTTTCGGTTACATGGTGCATCGATTGGTGTTGGCGAAGCTGAACAGGCGAGAGTTGGACGACCGTGATCATTTCGGAAAAAAGAGGCTGGATTTGGCGGGACCGTTGTTGGCCAATTTGTTCAGGCAGCTTTACAGAAAGTTTACCAAAGATATTTACCGAAACTTGCAAAAGGTGAGTCTGTTATCGCTGGAGAACAGCTTTGATGGGTTTTGCCTGACTTAGGTACCTCTACGCAACGCAGTGCTCCGATCAGGGCCGCATGTTCAACATCGTAGCTGCCATCAACAAGAGCATCATCACGCAGGGGCTCAAGTATTCCTTGGCGACCGGAAACTGGGGAGAGCAATCCAAGGCAATGGAGGGCAAGGTCGGTGTATCGCAGGTACTCAACAGGTATACATATGCGTCGACACTTTCGCATTTGCGAAGGACCAATACCCCAATCGGACGAGATGGAAAGATCGCGAAGCCCCGTCAGCTGCACAACACGCATTGGGGAATGGTCTGTCCCGCCGAAACGCCAGAAGGTCAGGCGTGTGGTCTGGTCAAGAACCTTTCCCTCATGTCGGTCATCTCGGTCGGTTCGCCGGACGGTCCTATCCTGGAATACATGAAGACGATGGGTCTCAGCGGACTGGACGGCTATGCAGGGGACCCAGAGGCGACGCGAGTGTTTGTCAACGGTGTCTGGGTCGGTATCAGTACCAACCCGGCGGCTTTATTGAACACCATGGTTCAGCAGCGACGAGAAGGTGCGCTCAAGGACGAAGTCAGTATCGTGCGAGAGATCAGGGAGAGGGAAATCCGCGTCTACACGGACGCCGGTCGAGTCATGCGACCGCTCTTTGTGGTGGACAAGGAGACACAAAAGGTCCAAATCGAACAGAACGACATTGCGAAGCTGTCCGAATGGGCAGACTACCGAGAAGCAGGGCTCGATGCCAATGTCGACGAGCCGCCAGAAGACTACACCTGGTCAGATTTGCTCAAAGAAGGCAAGGTAGAGTACCTTGATGCCGAAGAGGAAGAGTTCTCCATGATCGCCATGACGATCGATGACCTCTTGGATGCGCCTCGACGGGCTTATGCTGCAGAGAACCCCGGAGCAGCGAAAATTCCCACCGAGTTGACCGAGAGCTTTGACCCAACGAAACGAATCGAGAGTACGAGCTTCTCGCATACCTACACACATTGCGAGATTCATCCCAGTATGATCCTGGGAGTTTGTGCTACCATCGTCCCGTTCCCCGATCACAATCAGGTAGGTACCCATGCTTAGGTTTGAAACGAGGGGCCATCTCGTCTAATGAGTCTATTACCTTGTAGTCACCTCGAAACACCTACCAGTCCGCCATGGGTAAACAGGCCATGGGTATCTTTGCGACCAATTTCCAGATGCGAATGGACACGATGGCGAACATCTTGTTCTACCCTCAGAAACCGCTCGCAGGAAGTTTGGCGATGCAGTACCTCAAGTTCGATGATTTGCCGGCCGGACAGAACGCCATCGTCGCGATCATGACCTATTCCGGGTACAACCAGGAAGATTCCGTCATCATGAATCAGACCTCGATTGATCGAGGCTTGTTCCGATCGCTGTACTACCGTACATACATTGACAAGGAGAAGCGGATTGGAGGAAAAGTGCTCGAGTCGATCGAGCGACCGTCAGCAGACTCGACGCTGAGGCTGAAGAAGGGCCCAAGTGATCGGTATGCCAAGCTGGATGATGACGGTTTAATTACACCGGCGACCAACGTCAACGGAGATGACATTCTGATCGGGAAGACGGCTCCCATTGAAGAAGACAGCGCCGAGTTGGGTCAGCGAACAGAAACGCATACGAAGCGAGATATTTCGACGCCGCTGAAGAGCACCGAATCGGGTGTCGTCGACAAGGTCATCGTCACACAAGACGACGAGGGGCAAAAGTTCGTCAAGGTACGAACGAGGAAGACCCGTATTCCTCAGATCGGCGACAAGTTCGCCTCTCGGCACGGTCAGAAGGGGACGATTGGTATCACGTATCGTCAAGAAGATATGCCTTTTACGGCTGAGGGTATTGTGCCGGACATCATCATCAATCCTCACGCCATTCCGTCGCGAATGACGATCGGGCATCTGGTCGAGGCCCTGCTGTCAAAGGTTGGCGCCTTGATGGGAGTCTTTGGTGATGCGACTCCGTTTGGAGATTTGACGGTCGAAAAGGTATCGAAGCGACTCAAGCAGGCCGGTTATCACTCGCGTGGACTCGAGGTGCTGTATCACGGCCATACGGGCAGGAAGCTGCAGGCTCAGGTCTACTTTGCGCCTACCTACTACCAACGTCTGAAGCACATGGTCGACGACAAGATCCACTCGCGGGCCCGAGGACCTGTGCAAATCTTGACGAGGCAGCCTGTCGAGGGTCGAAGTCGAGACGGTGGTCTGCGTTTCGGAGAGATGGAGGTGAGTCCAGAAGTGGACATCTATTTGACTAGCGGCACGAGCTGACTTGATCATTGCTCTCAGCGTGATTGTATGATTTCGCACGGAATGGCTGGTTTCCTGAAGGAGCGAATGTTCGACGCCAGTGACGCTTACCGATTGCATGTCTGTGACATGTACGTACGCGTTGGACTATAGAGGACTGTGCTCAGATACTGATGAGCTTCGCTGTCCATTCCCATAGCTGCGGTATGACAGCAGGTGAGCCTAGCCAACTGGACAGACATTTCGCTATTGCGATTTGCATGTGACTAATCCGACGAAAACATCTTTCCTTTAGTCGCCAACTTGAAGAAGCAGTCATTCGAATGCCGTCTTTGCAACAACCGAACCAAGATCAGCGCCATCTACATCCGTAAGTCAATGCATCAAACCAGTTCTGACGTACTCCTGTCTGATTTGACTATTCCAACAACAGCCTATGCGGCCAAGCTGCTGTTCCAAGAGCTGGCATCGATGAACATTGCGTGAGTTCGACGTCGGAGTTGGACTCTCGCTTCGTGGCTATCATCTGACCATCTGCCTTTACATAGCGCTCGTCTGTATTCGAACCGAACGCCAGCGTGGCGGGCGAACAAGAACCGCAGTCTTGCGAACGGGATCACCGCCTAGACCCGCATGTCCAGCTCACTATCATATTACGACTGTGTTGTATCCAAAAGTCGCCTCGTCATTATGTCATCGCAGGGGGCATAGCTATAAAAACAAAACGGAATACAAAGAATCCCCGATTATCGATGATATACCATACAAAAGAGGCTGGATTGATGATTCCTCGTTCTTTTCGCGGGATGTTCTCAGTTTTTGCCCTTGCCGTACACCTGTACGCAACGCTTCTCGAACGCTTCGACCATCAGATCGGAAACTTTGGGCAGGAAAGCCTGCGAAGCGATCCTATGTAGCGGGTTGGCGAACGAGAACGACAGGTCGATGGTGAGCAAGGTCGGCGAGTTGTTGTGGTCTGCGGGCTTGGTCGGATGAGGTACAGAAGGGCTAGAGGTCGATGTTGACGGCGACATAGTCCCCTCAGGGGTGTTGGATGGCGAGGTCAAATCCGTTGTTGTTGGGTGAGGAGATGAAGGAGAAGCGGGCTGGAATGACCCTACAAAAAGCGTGCCATAGTCGACGCGGTGAACATCCGACCTCTACGAGCCGACAGGGACCACTTACATGTCGTCTGGAGATTGTGAAACAGAGGCGAATCATCGACCGTTGCCTGTCGATCTTGTCGATCTTAGCTCCAACGCAAACAGACAAGCAGACCTCCGGTCGCGGTATCAAACTCACCTTGACCATCTCGCCAGGTCGCCCTTCCACCCGACTGACAAACTTCTCCACGAACGCCCCGAACCCGACCTCCAACTCCGCCTTGACATCAAATTCCAAACCGGCCTGAACCATCGCCTTGAGATCTTGTTGCTGCGACTCTTCTGACGGCTGGAAGGACGCATTCGAGGATTGGTAAGAGGGATCCGAGGGGGACGAGTTGGAAGACAGGATCTGGGAGGTCGTACAGAAGGGAATAAAGGTCGAGTACGAGGGAATATCCGAGACCAGCGAGTACAGCTGGTTCTGCGTATATCTGTATCGTTTGGACGGGAGGGCAGAGTCATATCGGTTAGCCGAAAGAGCCAACCCAGGTAGACGCACTGACGACTGCTTACGGCAAGATCTTCCTCGCATGGAATACCTGCTTCTCCTCCTCCTGAGCCGGAGACGATCCAGGTATGAGCTTCGCCACGTCCGTCAACGAGAAGAAACTTCGTCTGCCGTATAGCGAAGATGAACGTGAAGATGGTGAAGCGATTCGCTCCGATCGGTTTGGGGTTTGTCGGGAAGATAGCAGGGTCGGTCGGACGAGCGCGATCGAAGGGATCGATCTAGTTGTCCGTCGAAGGACGGTCCGAGTAGTGTTCTGTAACGACATGGTTGGAACTAATCCTCGGTAGATGTGCTTTTATATCCCAGCTGCTTTGATGGGTCTGCGAGAGGAGAAGGAGATGCCTAGCTACTTGCTACTTGTACTTTGTTTCGTAACACTACTCTGGTCGCTCTCGGTCGTGCGATGGGATCTGATCTGACGACATCGCGCTAGACGCAAGCCAGAGGTCGCGCTTCTACCGCAAGACTGCTGCCTACTTCGAAACTTTCTCCCTTTTGTATACATTCATTGGTTCACTCTGCAATATCCTATCGTTTTACAGAGATGATAGTCTGACGAAGACTCGAGATCTAGCTCAGAGCCGATAAGGCAAGCTACGCTGAGGCGCGATATCTCTCACCTCTCGCCTCGACGAGTGGACCTGCGCTCGGTCGCATTTCGTACTCCTGTCGTCGCCTCGATAGGTAAGCTTGTTACCGTATGGGGCCAGTATGCGAAATACAGAGACAGCGTCCATTTGATAGGATTTTCCGCCAAGATTTCTGTAACTTGCCGCGATGTGATTGCTTGGTAACGGATACGAAAGGGCACCCGCCAGTGTATTCTGACGCTGTGAGACAATCCCCCTCGACAAGGAAAAGGTAATCCCTGCATACCTTTGGAATGTGTTCTATTGGTTTGAGGTTTCGTGGGTAACCTGATTCAGACTTCCTTTTGTTCGGAAATGGCCAGAGCTATAGATAGATAGAAGCGTAAGCAGATCTTCAAGCTGAAATCGTTGGTCGTATCATCAAACATTTACCGGAACGGTCCGATAGCAATTAGGCGCATCACTCAGACATACCAGAGTGACATGGTCTGTAACATCCTCTTAACAGCTCTTGTCATCAGTGTTTTGCCTCTGGCCATGGCCGTGGCAATGGATGGTACAGAATGGAGATTTTTGATGGAATTCTTGTTTTCCACCAAGAACTCTTCCGACCCAACAGCTCTCCGTAGCGCTGGCACCTTTTGAGATGCAGAGAAAGCAAGGTATTTCCCTACAACCCAGACATGTTGCCCGGCCCTTATGAGTGTGAGGTATGGCTGTACTATCCGTGGGTCTTCTCGAGACGTAAAAGCAGCTGTATCGATTAACACTAACACATGATCCATCAAATAGAACCATGAGTCAACGGGGCAAGGACAAAATGGCTGGTAGAGACATTGCAGACACATGGGGTGTGCCATTTGTCATGGCGCCTGTGTGTGGGACATATATGTCTGCTGTTGAGAGAAAGGATTACTCTGTCAACAACGCGGTTGTGTTTCATCAGTTGTTCCCTAACCCAGGGTATAGAGACGATTTCTATGTGCGACTAAAGTGAGCATGTCTTCCTGCTTCCTGGCTAGAATACCAGCTGAGGCTTCTATGCAGACCAGTATGGCCAGACCTACGCTTCTCGTTAACTGTAGGATATAAGGGAGAAATTACAGAACTTAAGAGAGATGAACAATTCTTTCCTGTCGATTACAATGGGATGGCGGCAATCAAGGAAGCTTTGTGAGTGCAAAGCTGGAATGCTGGCCTTAAAGTACCACCGATCCTGACAGTTTCTTTGCAGTAACAAAACTGAGCCTCCGATCTTTGACATGGTGAAATCATACTTTGATAAGCATCATAACAACTCCATACCAAATCCGTACAAGTATGGCAAAGGCAACAAGATCTGGTGGCAAGACATAGGACTCTACAGATTTTGGGGTTATCATGACAATGGCCCTGGATTACGGATCCTCCCCCACCTGTCCAGCAATAACGCGCATGAGCACCCAAGGCTATTGATACACAAGTGGGTCTCGCAGAGCTATGGGTCGGGCAAGACGAGCTACCCATATTGTACCATTATCGCGATTTCTGCTTCCCTATCCCCTATGAATAGTTATGTAGCTTCATCATGCCATCCAGCCACGACGTGGATTTAGCGAGAGCTTTTAGGAAGTCTGCAAAGAAGATCTCGTGCAGCGGATTTCGGAAGAATGGACCACCACGAGACAAAGACGTATTTCGTCTCTTTCGCCTGTAAAGTTTGATTGCATTCGGGTATTATGATACAGCTCCGGACCATCCCGCTGCGTTCACTCGCAAGCCAAGTGGTCCGTTTAAGCATGGGTTGGGAGGGGATGTCTTTCGTCCCTCTACATGTTGTGGCTAAACTCGCATGATACACCCGCATCACATCTAACCGTTGTGCTTGAAGAAACAAATGTCGGCATCCTGGACTTCGTCTACGAGAGGCGATCGGCAAGGCAAACATGTCAATGACCGGCAGGGCAACGAGGAGAAAGTTTATGGGCGGCGTGACTCACAAGTCCTTCCCTGTTGCCTGAGTTTACCGGCGGCCTTGACGGCGGCTTCGGTCCCGTACTCTTTCAGATCCTCGTAAGCCTGAACTTCTGCGCAGATAAAGTTCTTTTCGATGCTGCAAGACGGGTTAACGAACAGGATCAGTCAAAAAAGCTTGTCCCGATCGATCAAGACCGACTCGCGTGACTCACTCGGAATGGATGACTCCGGCAGCCTGAGGCGCCTTTGTCCCCTCCCGGATGGTCCATGCTCGAACCTCGTCGGGTCCACAGGTGAAGAACCTGATCAAGTTCAAACTAGCATACCCGGCCGTGGTGATCTTGCCCAACGCGCTGGTGGCTCCGACCTTCTTCTCCTCCTCCCTAGCTTCCTCCTCGCCCATGTCCTCGAGCCTCTGTTCGAAAGAGACCGAGAAGGGGATCAAGAGATCACCCGGGTTGTTCTCGTCGATCCAAGCCTTGATCTTGGGCAACCACTTGTTCTTCTTTCGGATGTAGTCTCGCTCGGACAAGTTGACGAGGTAGATGACGGGCTTGGCCGTGAGGAGCTGGAGACCGTTGATGACCTCGACCTGGCGTGCGATGAGCAGATTGAGCGAATCAGCACGTGTTCTTCCAAAGTGTTTCTCTTCACAGGAATAACCGAGTGGACGCGGTGGGGTGGGATTCGGTACTCGTGCGCGGCGACTCGACAGATCAGAGTGTGTACAGTTATCTCATTCTTATAATGCGGGGCGTTACTCCCAAGTCAACGAGCTGGGTTAAATCGGGCATTATGTTTGCGCCCTTTCTCATCAGGTAGCGGTCAAAGTCGGCGCGGCGAGTTGCGAGCGTGCGAGTGCAGGAAAAGGAGCGATAGACAAGAGAGGGGGCGAAAGCGGGACAAGCCCGAAAACGAAAGATGAAAGACCTGCTCACCTCCTTGCTGCTCCAGACACCCTTCCTGACGTCCTTGTTCTCGTCCTTCATCGTGGCGAGCACCTTTTCGACGGTCGCCAACTCTTCCTTCTTTGCCTTTTCCGCCAGACTGTTGGCCCCGCTGCCTCGCATCCCACGCTTCAACGCCTCGATCGTCTTTTCCGTCCACTCGATATCCTTCAACCTGAGCTCGGTCTGGATGATGGTCATGTCCCTCGTTGGGTCGACATCACCCTCGACGTGAATGACATCGGCGTCGTCGAACGCTCGGACCATTTGGAAGATACCATCGACGGCACGGACGTGGGACAAGAAGGCGTTACCCAACCCGGCTCCGGTCGAGGCTCCGGCGGTAAGACCAGCGATATCGATACAGGTGAGGTAAGCGGCGATACGCGAGGCCGGCTTGTAGGTCTCGCAGAGCCAGTCGTGTCGTGGGTCAGGGACGAGGATACGGGCTTCCTCGGGGTCGATGGTGGCATAAGGGAAGTTGGCAGCGTTCGAGAGCGAGGTCTGTGCGGCGAGGCAGGTAAGATCAGGATCCAGCGAGATCAAGGTGGACACGACGTGAACTCACCTTGGACAACAGGTTGAAGAAACTCGACTTTCCGACGTTGGGTACACCGACGATACCGGTCTGAAATGTCATTGTCAAAGGCAGACAGCGGAGGTCAAGTGAAAAGGCAAGTCGAAGATGGTGGGAAATAACGGATGGCAGCAGAGCGATATATGAGTATCGTAACGAGCATGATGGCAACAGGTACCAGTAGGATTCAGAGGACTGACCTTCAAGTTGTTACCCGGTCGTCCAAGGAGGACCTTCTTCTCGGGCTCGCCCTTCTTTGACTTGGGAGCTGCGATATGACGGAAAGGTAACGTATCGGTCAGACGTTCTCAACTTGAATTCATCCAGGGAGAAACCAGGCACGATGACGAGGGAGAAGGAGGATGGAAGACAGTGATACTCACGCATCTTCTTCTTTTTAGCAGCTAGTAATGAGACTGGACCGGTATGCAGACGAGAACACCTTTGAACGCAAGGTGACGATGATGCTTTTAATGATGATGCGCGGACGAGCGAGAGTGGTCGTGAAAGGGTCGTGAAGAGATGTCTCTGAGTGGTTCTGGTTGATGTGGTTGTAAAGAGGTTGCGTGTTAGGAAGGACATGCAAACCTTTGAGAGAAAGAGAGAGAGGAAAGAGGAGAGGGTCGTCGAGAGGCCCCTGCTAGCTGCTGTCGTGAATTGAATTTTGAATGGAAAAACCCGCGACGACGACCCAGCAGCCAGCAGCAGCTCTCTCTGAAGAAATGCGCGTCGCGTGAGAAAGCGAGAGAGAGAGCTCGAGGGTCACCGACCGAGAGAAACAGCAACGCCAGGGGGTTTTGGACGGGCCCGAGGGTGGAACGCTAGGGGAATGTCGTCGCGGTATGACTCGATGGATTCGCAGGGACAAAACCTTCGCGACTCATTTCTTCGCACTCCACAAGTCGTAGCTCGAGCGATACGATGGTACGATCGTTCTATTCGTGTGTGCGCATGTGTGCAGATGTGGCCAGTCGCCAGTCGATGAAACCCTGAACGAAAGAGCACGACGAGGGGGTGACGTCGCGCGCGGGCCAAGGAATGGAATGGAATGTGGCGGTGTCGTGGGTGATGGGGTTGTATTTGTTTTTGACCCGAGATTCCTCGCGAACCAATCATACGGCTGCTCGCTGGCTCTGTCAGCCCTTACTCCGCTCCCCCTTTGTCCCATCCCAATCATCCTCCACTCCATGCCATCATCATCACATTTCGACCTCGCATCAGATTCCAATCCAGAGATCTCGTATCGTCCCATAGCGTAACATCGTCTCTCGTCACACTCGTCTCTCCCTAGACGCAGATCTTCTGTCCCTTCTCTCTCTCTCTCTCCTCTCGACTCTTCTCGTCCTCGAATCTCTCTCTCGCCCGGCCCGGCCCCAGCTGCTGTTAACGACGCGCAATTCCTCTTCTCCCCGCGCCGAATACAATCAACCACCTCGACTCGAACAAACAAATCTCGACCTCGGATCAGAAGTCAGACTAGACAGACAGACGCAGGCGGGATTCAGATTATCCTCGGTTCTACATCGTAAGTACAAATCATTCCATCCTTCCTGGTTTGCGAGCATCACACGTCGAAAGGACGGGTTCGGTCCTCCTCGGTCCTGCCGCGTGGACAATCGAAAAAGAGCAGGAAGAGGAATCGTCAGCAATCTCGAAGGTCGTGATCGCGACCGAAGCCCGACTGCCATCATCTCGCACAACACGATGGGGGACCTCTCGAGACAGGTGTTACGGGAGGACCGTCTGGTCTGACGAACGGATTCCAGCGTGGGGATGGATGGACCTGGGTCAAAGGACGTCATGGGGGAATGCAAAAGATGGCTTGGTGCTGGAGTCGTGTTCGATATACGACGGTATCGACCTGTCACCCTACCGAAAGTCAGGAAACGGGGTACTAAAACGAGCTTCGGTGGCGGAATGATGTCTCAACCGAGTCGGGGCGATGATGCTCGCGATAAGGACCGATCCTTGCCATGACGTGACGTGGTGCTGGCTTATCGCTCGATACACGTTCGACCAAACCAGACACGCTGACCTTTTGAATTTATACCCTCTGCCTTCAGCTCAGCTCACCTCGAAACCTAATCCAACCCACCTACCGCAATCATGGCTATGGATCTCCGCGTAGGCACCAAATACCGTATCGGTAAAAAGATCGGATCCGGTTCTTTCGGTGACATCTACCTCGGTGTCAACATCGTCTCCGGTGAAGAGGTTGCCATCAAGTTGGAGTCCGTCAAGGCCAAGCACCCCCAGTTGGAGTACGAGAGCAAGGTGTACAAGTCGTTGGCCGGGGGTGTCGGAGTGCCTTTCGTCAGGTGGTACGGGACCGAGTGTGATTACAACGCCATGGTCTTGGATCTCTTGTGAGTCGCGAGGCTGCCTGAAGACGAGGAGTGGTAGGCGAAGAGCTGGGGCGCTGACTATACTTCACAACGCAGGGGCCCGTCCTTGGAAGACTTGTTCAACTTCTGTAACCGCAAGTTCAGCTTGAAGACGGTCCTCCTTCTCGCCGATCAGCTCGTAAGTGTCTGACCTCTTGCGCTCAACGTTTTTCAATCGAAACTTATCCTGCTTGTTCCCGCCCGGCTAGATCTCTCGAGTCGAGTACATTCACTCGCGCAACTTTATCCACCGAGACATCAAGCCCGACAACTTCCTCATGGGAATCGGCAAGCGAGGCAACCAGGTCAACGTGATTGATTTCGGGTTGGCAAAGAAATACAGGGACCCCAAGACCCACTTGCACATTCCCTACAGGGAGAACAAGAGTGAGTCTGCAACGTGCTTGGGTTTTGGTCGCGCATGAATTTGTGATGGCTGACAGCGTCTTCTCTCTCTCTCTTTGTACCAATAGACCTGACGGGTACCGCTCGATACACCTCGATCAACACCCATCTGGGTGTCGAGCAATCCAGGCGTGATGATCTCGAGTCGCTCGGATACGTGCTCATGGTGGGTCTAGCTCTCTACCAGGGTTGTTTCGGAGCCTGTACTGACGATATTGATGGCGTGGGTAGTACTTTTTGAGGGGAGCTCTGCCTTGGCAAGGATTGAAGGCTGCTACCAAGAAGCAGAAGTACGACCGAATCATGGAGAAGAGTGAGTCGCAGTCGTTTTGCATGCGATTATCGGCATGATGCTGATGAGACCTTTCACGACTCTCGTCTTGTAGAGATGACCACGGCGACCGAGATCCTCTGTCGAGGATTCCCCAACGAGTTCCCCATCTACCTCAACTACTGCCGATCCCTTCGATTTGACGACAAGCCCGACTACTCGTACCTCCGAAAACTCTTCAGGGACCTCTTCGTCCGAGAAGGGTTCCAGTATGACTACGTCTTTGACTGGTCCGTCCAGGGAAAGCCCAACTTGGCCATGGAGCAACAGAGGGCGCGTGAGGCCGGGCAGGACGCTTCGGGTGCGCAACAGCAGGCGACCGAGAACCAGAGGCAGTTGAGGTCGTCCACTAGGATGGCCGGTGCCGGAGCTGGAGCTGGGAGGGAGGCGCCCGCTGGGAACTGGTAGATAGCGGGCTCTTGGCACACATGTTCGCGAAAGGTGAGTTGGCGCATCGATTACATTTGAAAAGGCTGTGTGTGACGCGTGTGCTGATTGTTGAGTTGGTTCATCCAGCGATCACACATATCGACTGTCGCCTGGATTGAAGGATGAGATGGGACGGGCGCGAGCTTGAATCATGGAGACGTGAAAAGGGGATGGCACATACGGAAAGGGAAGGGATACCTGGACGGGACGAGCGGGACGGGGTGAGAACGAGGACAACGGGACGGCTACGCGGGTCAGGGTTCGTCCTATAATCAATCGATAACGATGATCGAGAAAATCACTCTCGATCGTCGAATCCACACGAACCTCGACTCGCACCCGTTTGGCTCTTTCTATCTCTTCTGGACTCTACACCTTTTCCTCTCTGGGCTCGACCTGACCGACATACATCGACTCGGCCTTTTCCTCATTATCGTCGACATACCGGCTCGAAATCGTCGCTCTTCTCCTCGACTCGGACGCCGGTCCTTCTTTCACCATCATCTTTTTATGCGACTGCCTTATTTTTCACTTTACGGATCGACTTGGATTTTTTCTTTCTCTTCTCTATCGGTTCTCGCGCCACATGCGACTCGGCGCAGGATTCAGGACTGGACTGCGAACTCGGACATCGTCATCTACGTCGATGTCTTGGTATGTTTGCGATCGCGGTCCCGGTCGTCGGAAATCGCTTTGGCTACCCGGGAACAAATATCGATTTTCACACACGTGTACCTTTCTTCCCTTTTATCTTTCAACACTTCTCTCTGTCGCCCTCGTCATCGGGATCTCGCCTAGTATCGCCAACAAGCCCTGCCACGACAAACCCGCGCAGCGCTGGCAGCGAAATCACTGGACTAGGCACGAGGGAAACACGCTCGGCTACCTGTCTATCACCTCGCCTTTATCCTTTCTCGAAATCGTCCACTCAATTTGATGATCGGCCGCCAAACCATATAACACTTTTCTTAACATTTCTCCAATATGGTGGCTGGATCATTACCCAGAAAATACACTGGGGTTGGCTGGATGTCGGGCTCGGAGCAAGGGCGAGAGGGCGCCGCGGAGAGTGAAAGAGGAGAAGGGAAAGGTGCATCAATGTGAGGGAGAGGGAGGATCGATCTGAAGGGGGAACAGCAAAACGTGGACCTAGTGATACGGTCAACTTGCTCGGGACGTGATCAAGCGCCAAACACGCTACGGCCCTTTGAACAAGCCATCGCGTCAGACAATAACCGTATCGCGATTCTCGATCCTCCGGTTGATCTTTCTGGTTTTTATCTCTTCTCGGCGGGTGCATCAGTCAGCTCCTTGTCCTCTATATACTGCTACGTGTGATTGTCTGGATCGTGTCGTGTCTGTATCATAGTCTCTCTCCACACTCATGTCTATGGGATATCTCGTTTCATCCCGACATCGGTCCTCTGTGAGATTTGTGCGGGCTGAGAACGGGATGAAGGAACTAGCCGCCGCAAGGAAATCTTGACAAAGAAGGATGTGAGATGCAAGTTGTAAGTCGCATTATGCAGGACCCCATGGCCAAGGACTCTACTTGCTACTTGAGACGCAAGAAGCTGGATACTACGTACTATAACCACTAGATAGTCATACAAAGAGCTTGAAGCAGTGTGCTACACAAAAGTATCGACAAATCCTTACAGTCGCGGGTTCACTTAGACCGAAAGAACTCATATCCGACATGACAGCTCTAGAGGGATACATCTACCAATTCCAAAAGACGCATCAAGGCATGACGGTACAGACCATCAACAAGTCCAAGGCGCCTATGACGCCTACATGGACAGGAAACACTCCAGCTTGGATGGGACAAGCGGTCTCGATGGTTATGATGGTGTTCGAAGCTTTGCAGCGGGTAAGAAATGACTAGTCAATGACCCTACCATCACCATTCTCCAAGTCTACCAAGTTGATTTCACCAGGAGCGTTATCAACTACCGACTTGAAGCGTGTGACCCTGAAACAGGTGAACCCTTCCAAGTTTGCCTCGGCGAAGAGGAGTTCAGGGGCAACTTTGAAAGCCAACTGGGCTCTCCTCACCTACTGGGACAAGCATGGGCCGTCCAAGATGAACCGAATCCGCAAGATCTTGCAGATGACAGGTCCTGCAGCCAACAGAGCTGCATGGTCTGCTCTGCCTAACAATGAAAGGGCCGAACGCGTCAAGTCTCCCAACATCGATGCCGTGCCGGTCAAGTCGTCTGAAATATCGCGTCCTCAGCAATGAACAATCATCGACTTTATCCACGCGTTTCACAATTCAGCTGGGCGGGCGCCACTGGCACATCCGAGGTGAACTAGGCTGCTCAGCTTAGCCAAATACTCCCGACTGATCAATTCAGCGGTAGCAGAATCCCTGGAGTCCTTCAGGATGCGATAATGGTTGAAACAGAGACCTTTGGGTCTTGGTCACAAGAAAACTGCCGTCGGTGTCTCTAGACCACGAATCGAGATCATAATCTCCGATGGTACCTGTCTAGACGCCAATCATGTCGACCATGCGACGAACGTTGCGAGCCCGAATTGTATGTATGCTGAGACCGAATGGCTGCAATGACAACCAGACCACATGTGTGTTCAAAACATCTAGAAAGAAAATGTCCCTGACGTGCGAATTATCACTAACAACTATATGCTTTGAGAGTCCGACCGATTATGACACTCAGTAAAGCAGGCCAAAGGCCAACGCAACGACCGAGATCAACCCGGTAGCCATCGTAGGCGAGACGGTGGATCCTCCGTTGGTAGCGTTGTTCTGGGTAGCAGTGCTGGTCGTCGGGCTTTGCGAGGCCGATCGGGTCGCGCTCGCCGCCGAGTTGGACGATCCCGAAGCGGCCATCGACGAGGCGGCAGAGCTGGACAAAGCGGCGGATGAGCTCATGGTGGTCGAGTTGGACGAGCCGGTCGAGCTGGCTCCGGTAGATTGCGAGGCGGTACCCGAGGCAGTACCAGACGCCATGGGCTCATAGGTGCTGAGGTTTCCTGGCGAGCCGCTCTGCACGATCCCGGTGGGTCCGGCGAGGGGCGACTCGTTGTCCTCGGCGTTGACATACTCCCACAAGTCTGTCAGATCGGTGTGCATAGTCATGTATTCATCAGCAGATGCAGGGCGACCTCATGCACATCACGTGGAGCCAAGAGCTTACCGTTAGCATCAGCGACGTTCTTGACGGTCCAGTTGTTTTGGATCATGACGGGGTAGACAGCGAAGAAGACGTCCAAATCGGCTTTACTGGCCTCGTCTGATGAAGGGGAATCCAGGTCAGCCTCATTCACCGACAACTAGGACAACGAATAATGCTCTGATACTCACGTCTAATCAAGCACGAGTGAAAGCGTTCGAGAACGAGCGAATAGTCAGTGATCCCTACTAGGAGTCTCGACAAAGCTCTCTCGACTCACTGCAAACCGATGTAACCCTTCTTGGCAGGGTCGGTCAACCACCCCGTCATGGTACTGATGACCGACTCCCTAGTGTTCTGCGAAGGGGCGGTATCCGAGATGGACCAATCCGCGCTGTCCCTCCCGATCTGCCAGGGGACCGTCTTGAGTCCGAATACCTGCTGAGCGATCATCCTGACTCGGTTGTCGGTGTCTCCGAAGGGAGGCCTCCAGTAGGCGGGGACTCGGCCGTCGTTGAGGTCGGCAATGATCTGGGAGGTCCATCCGAGCTCGGCGACGACTTGTTCGTTGGTGAGGGTGGTCATGTACTATCAGAGGTCGTAGTGGTTCAAGCAGAAGAGGTCAGCTGGACTGTCTGCAGATCGAGCTTGTTTGTAACATGATGAAGGTGGACTTACAGGGTGAGACCAGGTGTGGGAAGCGATATGACCACCATCGTTGACGGCCCTCTGGAAAGTCTGCCAGTTGTAGTAGATGTTTCCTCCGATCACTACGAGCGCAAGATTCCAAATCCCATCAGCCAAGTCGCCCTGAAAATTTGTTCAAATATCAGAGCCCTCAGACGTACTGAAGTGAGTGGCACTGATGTTGTTCTTCTCGATGTAATCGTAAAGATCGGGACTGAATGGCGTAGGGCCGTCATCAAAGTTGAGCTATGCATCAAGTCGTTCACATCAGCCTTCGTTCAACAGTCGAGATTATGAAACACAATCGAGACTCACCCCGACGACCCCCTGAGGCGCATCGGTCAGATCCTCCTCGCTGATACACTCGTAGGTGAACGAACACACTTCGGGATCGGTGCCCTTCAACCCGTTGGCATAAGTCGGGTACCCGTTGTTGGGCTGCGTGGGGCCAAACTTGGGGAAATCGGGAGAAGCGGTGACGGCGGCGAGACGGTCGAGCCATGCTTGAGGGAGGGAGGAAGTCGGAGGGGTCGTGCCGGGAGCCGGGTACTGGGCTTGCCATTCTACAAGAGTCGCGGGAAGATGGAGGTCAACAACTCGTGTCAAGGCAGCGATTGTCGAGAAGCACACCAGGTCGAAAGCCAGAAATCCCTCGACTCACCAGGCGTCCCGGCGTTCGCAGGTGCCCTCCTGAACAATTTGGCCGTCTCGCTGTCCGAATCCTGGTACCACCTCTTGCCCAACCCGCCTTGCGAGTAGGACACGTGATCGTGATCCGCGTGAGATTTGGGCGCTGCCCAGGTCGAGCCGAGGAGGGTGAGGGTGGAGATGAGCAAGGTCGGGGTGAACATGGCTGCTTATGATGCGAGTGATTGATGAGGGAGTATTATGTGGTCGATGAATATGGTGTCGCTGGACTGGCGGTAGATTGTGGCTATATGTGATGTAGCTTGTAGTGGTAGCAGTGGTAGTGGTGGATATGTCGCTGGTTGAAAAGTCTGCGTGGATTGATGGAACCGAGGAGTAGGGTATCACCAGCCGGACCGAATCAGAAGGGAAGAAAGTAAGACAGAGGCAGGTGGATCAGTCTCTTATCGAACCTCGCTTATCATCCGTGGGCTGAGAGATGAACGGGGTAGGTGGTATATATGCTCAGAGTCACGTCGGGGACATGTCTCTACCGACTCACGCTGTCTGTGTATCTATCGGACGGTGTCGAGTGCCGCCGAAGTAACAGGGAAAAGAGAGTAGAGGTGGGCTCGAATTGGGCTGTGTATCGCCTGGGTTTGTGTTTGTAGAGAGAGGAAGTGTGTATAGAGGCAGGGAAGTTGTTGGGCTGTGTGATTCGCCCTGGAGGAGATTACTACTACTATGCAAGAAGCTAGAACAAGAGGGAGGAGGCGAAAGAGGAATGGCTATGTAACAGAAGAGAGTGAGAGAGAGACGCTACCAAGGGTGGACATCGACCTGGTCGCTAGTCGCCCATGTGTGTTTCGAGAGTTGAATCAGCGTCGACACACTTGATCCCGGGACCGAATTTGTTGATCATCGCGGTTTTCCTTAGCTCGGGCTGTGCCGGAGAAGGGGCGCAGGCGGGAGAGGCGGTACCGAGGAGAGGTAGGGGAAAAGCCACCAACGACCCACCTTGGCGGCGAAGAGAGGAGGGGATCGGTCATCAGGAACCGACTTTCGGCGTCGTTTACGTCACAATCGCACAGCATGCGACCCTCGACCCTCGTCACTACCTCCGACCACAGCACGCGCGCAAAACAAAACACAAACAATCCCGACCGTCGACGTCCACCACTCACTTGGACCCTTTCCTCCGCAGCGTCGTGGCTGGGGAACGCTCTTGGCCTGTGCCAAAGCTGGTCGAGTGCCAAGAGCTTTGCAGACTCGCTAGCCTGTGACCGCGATCCTCGGAAGAATCGTCACGACAAGGAAACCGCGCTGTGTTCGGCGACTTTTCCGAACCTGAAACACGATCCGATCCCCTTTCCGGACCGTTTCACCATGCAAGGCCCCTTGCCATCGAATCGGAGCGCTCTGCTCGACTTTCGAATACCGAACTCCATGGTCTTTTCTCTCTCAGCCCTCTCTTGACTGGTCCCGAGACTCAAGCTCGACCCCACCATCGACATTCCGCATGTCGAGATCACACCCAACCACAACAACAACGAGCTTCGATCGGGGACCAACGTGATCACGACCACTACTGCCGCAGAAATCGAGACCAGACCTCCTGGAATCTACATCGTTCGCACATCGAGCTTGATCCATCTCATCCGTCCCCCAGGTAATGATCCTGGTCAAGACGAAGAGCCCACGGAAGACGCGGTGTTGACGGGGTTCGTGGCCGTACGTACCGAAAGACCATGCAGAGCGAGAGAGCTCCGAGTCGAGTTCATCGGCGAGGTCAGATTGGCGTTGCCTGGTGGGTCCCAGGGTATATCCGCGTTGAAATAATCGGTTCCAAGACTTGTATGGTGGGATCATTACAGGTCGGCCGGTCGCGGACGACATCGTCCATCACGCAGAACTAGCTATCGCGAACTCGAGCTCGAGCTGACTTGCACAAATCCGGTACGAGCCTTTCCGTAGCTTCGAGTTCGCCTTTGTGATCCCCTCGACGCTAGCTCCGTTCTTTCGGACCGACCAAGGAAGGGTGGCACATCGGATCGAGGCTACATCACGGCGTACCGAACCTGGGAAGGGGGTCGGAGGCCGTAGTGTCGAAACGGGCTGGGCCCCGTCCGGGTCGACTCGCTCAATCTCCCCATCGTCGGCGCAGGAGCCCGACTTGCCCGGGCTCCAAGAGGACCTCAAGGCCTCCAAGGAAGTCTGGATCTTCGCCGTCCCCACTGCCGACCTCCAGCCCCTCCCGTTGAACCACACCTCGTCTCACTTTATCCCCGGCCTAGGCATCTTGCGCTGGACGCTCCGTTCGAGTTCGTGTACCGTTGCCGGGCTCGTCTTGCTTTCCTTAGTATTGACGAGCCCGGACCCGTTATCGACGTTGTGAATGATCAAGATGCCCATCTCTCAGAGCGTCACGATGACCCCGCCGGCTAGCTCGTCCGGACCGTACGAATGGCCAACGACGAAAACCCTCGTCTGGACCCGGGGAAGTTGCCAGAGACTCAGAGAGAATACGTCTTTGGCGAATCTGAGCGGGACATACCGATCTGTCAGGGGGATGAGACGCCCGGGGGCGTCGAACAAGAAGGGTATCGGGTTGGTCGAGACGAGGCGAGCGGTGAGGTTGCCGAACAGTTCAAGGTTGAGGCCTACGACGCTGCAAGAGTGAGCATACGAATCTGGAGAAGAGGGAATCCACCGTTCGTCGGCGGGATGTCCATTAATCGCATCGATATTTCTCCACAACAGGACCATCACCCCAATCGTGGTTAAACATACGCTACGATTGACCGTTTATCATTCAGTATGGGGCCAGGACGCCAAAGGCCAGTCGCTCTCTACGGGTCGATGTGGGACCATGCGACAGGTACAAGTCTCGCATCCGGTCACCATCCTGCCTGTGCGTCGCAAAAGAACGCGTGCGCTCTCTCTCTCTCTTCTGCATCTTTATGGAGATGGGGCATCATCGGTAGGCAGGAATCAGAGCTGATGCGAGCTCTCGTCCCGGACAGTGATGTTGTACCCAAAAAGACCTGGTTTTGCCCGCCTGCGAACCCTCTCAGGCGGAACGCAAGGTACCGCTGGACGATCGGGATTGTTCTCATTGCGTGTGCGAAGAGAGTATGGAGGACCTCTTAAAGGCAGAAACGTTGGCTGGCAACTTACTGGACGAGCCGGATGTTGGAGCACCGGGTTGCGATAATGCTGCTAACAAGAATGAAACAGCAACCTAGTACCAAGATACCAAGAACCTACTGGATTGACGTTCTTCGTATCAGCACTAGCTCGTCAGAGTTTGAGTTGGCGGTCAGCCTTACAATGCTCATCATCTGACTGAAGGATTGGGTTATGGAGGATTCCTTTTACAATACAAACAACCATGTCAAAATGGGTCCGAATGATCACGATACAAGCGCTAGCCGCATGAATGAATGACGGCGCATACTTCTACGAGAACTCTACTTCTGACCACGCGTCACTGCTTGAGAGATTCAGCAGATGGGAATTCTGTGATCCACGTGCCGTCAGACTCGTATCCCCAGAACGAGTTGATTCCTATCAGGCACAAGAAGTAGGGTAAGTTCATGGCGATTCCAGAATGTAAAGTCCAACCCGTTACAGAACCAAATGCTTCACAAATCTGCGACATACCTGTGTACTCCGGCCATTTGGAGCTCCCTTTGCCAAATTTGTAAGGATTTGGAATAGTTCCATTATGGGCTGCATTAATCCATCCTGCTGCCATCTCATAAATCTTGGACTGCCTGTCCTCGATTTCTGCTTCCGTCCAGTCGCTGATAAGGGCTACGCTATCAGTCCCGCTCCTGCCTAACAGCTTCTGTTATAGACCCACAAGGCTGAGTAAATCTTGTTGTTGGCCCCGCCAGCTGTTCCAGGCCAGGAACTCCGGTATGTCTTGAAATCTGCAAGAGTCCAGTCGTCCTTTGACTGATCCGCCTGCAAGTTATCCCTGTGGCCGAATATTTAGCTTCGAGCGGTTTGTGAAACGTAAAACAAAAATCAGTGATACCTACGTCAATGTCAAATATACGTCTTCCATGTGTTTATCACCCCCGAAAAGCTGGTGAAAAACAACGGCTCGTTCTTGATCACCTTCAGCTTCTGTATCGTGATCGGGAAAGTCCGCGCTGTCGGAAGGAATAGCGTCTTTTCCACAGACAGGGTTCACAGCGAATGGCACGCCCCAAGTATGATCGCGGTCCTTCTTTGGGTCACGGCTATCTAATCCTCTTTGAGGCATCGTAGGGTAGTAAAATGTCACGATGCAGCTCGAATCCTTCTTGTCGGAAGGTGATACCTTATCCAAAGGTTTATACCCCTTCGCTCGTTCACTATTCCAGAAAGTGCCCTTAGCACGCAAGTTATTCGCCAAGGTGGTGTCGCTGGGGTGCTTTTGTTGCGTCCAGGTGATGAAATGATCGAGAAACCTCCACTCTGTACCTTCTTTGTAGTTCTTGCCCAAGTCAGCGCAGATTGCTACAGGCAACAGCGCAGCGGTGATAGTAGTCAGCAAGACGAAAGATACCATGGTGGATGTCTGTCACTGTCTTGAGGGTGTTTGTTATCATTTCCACATAAGATTTCAAGGCCAAAGTTTCTACCTTGTTTGTGCTTTAGTCTATTTATGGTGTCCAGTCGCTTGTTTATGTGAAACGGCCCTTCCACGTGTACTTATATTCCCTTTGTTGTTCGCAAAGGGGTCATCCCCCGCGATCAAGGATCCCGCCCCTCAGGAGAAACGGGGTCGACTCCGGGGTTGACGGGGCTGCCTCTTGCTCTTTCTGGTACGACTCGGATCGCCATGGAGCATCCCTCGTAAGCGTGACAGCGTATGTGAGAACTGTTTCACGTTCATTATTGTGAAAACATGCTGTTCGAACTGGATGACAGTGGACCGCAGGCAACGTACCTACACATGGAGGTGCGTACTCGCTACGTCACGAAGGTTCGAATGAAAGATCAAAATCTGGGGCGTGCAACTAGATAGTCTTGAGCGGTATAGCAGGTCGATGAGCAGAGGCTCGCGACGAGACGGGAGCAAATAGAGCCATCGGCATGACGGCAAAAGGATCGAGGGCGAGCATATTGAATATTATTGACGACATGTGGCTAGTCTATATTTCAGGATAATAGACAGCTACAGTGACTATCATGGTATTTTCGACGCGGTAGAGTGAAACAGGCTCAGTCGGAATCCTGATTCAGGATATCATCTTTTGCTTGTTTCTTCGTTCTGGGCTTGTCGATGATGATCCCGTCGGCATTATACCCCCAGAAATTGTTTAAGTCCGTCCAATCAGGCCAGACGTTGCTGCCTATGAGCAGGTAAGATAGATTGAGCTCGACTTCGTTTCGTCACCTTTGCTCTGGAAAACTCACTGATCCCGTGCTTGAATGGGTTGGGAATCATTCCGTCTGGCTTCGTTTCAGCATAGGATTTGACCCATTCTCGAACGTACTCTGCGTCGAGCGCGCGGTTCGAATCCTTGAGCGTCTCATTCCTGAAAAGCGAATGTGTTCTAAGTACCCAGCGGGGACAATTGTAGAATGGGAGCATACCATATTTTTCCAGCCTCTGTCTTCTGTGTGAATCTTTCATCTGGCCAGAGGATGGCTTGAGTCTTCCAGTTATCCATGGTGAAGCCGTCGACCTCGCGGTCATTGCTGATCGGTCCTCTGTGCAGCGGATCGGCGTCAATATCGATTTCACATTGCGTCAAGCCGCAGACGGTGCTAGACTTACTTGAGGATAAAGTAAAGCTCCTGGCTGATGTCTTTTCGCAAATTATGAAATACCAATGGTCGAATGCCGAAATCCTCATCCTGGGGAACTGCGTAATATTTAGAGAAGCCGTCCTTGGGTATGGCGTTATCCCCGCAGAATGGCGCGATAGCAAGTGGTTTCCCATATGTCTCAAATATCTTGTACTTCTCTTTGTCTTTGTCTTTGATTGTTCGGCTCGCTTGATCATGTTTGGAAACAGCATCACCACTCCGCATTGGTCCTTATTCTCATCTACCCTGCCCATCATGGTAGTTTCGATGGATTCGAACGAATAGTCTTCTCCTTCGGTCCAGTAGAAGTTGCCAGCCTGACCGGATAGGCGGATTCAAGGAGAGGTAAAACATTAGACACAGTCAGTAACGGTCAGATTTGCGCCCTCATCCGGACTTTGATTCACCTTCTTCACGTTCCAGAAAGTACTTTGTCGAGTATCCTTTACAGTTTGATCGTTGAAGTCCTGATGATCGTCGCTCACGAACTTCTCTTCCATATCTTCGAAGAAATCTTCAAAGTATCTCCAGTCGGCGCCTTCGCGAGCCCAGCCTTTGACGGCCAAGGGTAAAAGGCAAGTAGCGAGAGCGATTGTACAGGTAAAAGAGTACATGTAGCGAGGTGTTATTCAACGTATGACTGGTAAAACTGATCCTCCCTCGAGAGGTTTGCTATCAATTCGGATATGAAGTCCGTTGTGTCTGTTTCTATCGTTACTCAATCACTCTTCATTCATTCAATTGTCGACGTGTGCGCGCAAATGGATATCTTATATCGCTTCACGGGAATGAACTCGGGAACGAACTGAAACTCATTCGGCCTCGAAACCAACCACTCTTAAGAAAGGGGCTGGATCTGCCAAGACTAACGTCCTCCCTTTGTTCAAGCTCTGTCCTTACATGGGGAATAGGGTTTGCGTCTTCCACTGGAACCCCTCGAAATCCCTGGTTTGAGCTCCGACTGCCAAGAATTTGTCGTCGACACCTTGTGACATCCTCAACCGCCAGGTCACCATTTGCTGCTTGGATGCGTGTGTTGTTGCTGAGCGGGATGATCGGGGCGAGGATGTGTACAGTCCGTCGACGCATGAGTGTCTCTTCCCAGTGATCTTGATTATAAAGTATCTGACTAACAGGGTCCGATAGAGGGGCCTCGATGGTGACGAAGCTGCCTCAATGTACCTTACTTCGGCCCTCGAGACCACTCGTCGCTCCGCGCTTGTGCTGTGATTCTGCTTGCGGTAGAGTTCTTGTATTAGCTTCATCTTGGAGCGCTTTTTTGTCGATATGTCATTAAGCCAGCAGCCAGCAGAAGCACAGATTGTTCTTACGGTTGCACCTCGATATCCCAGGGAATTGGATATCCCTAGTTGAACTGGAGTTGTTTAGCATAGTAATCAGGGGGGCGACCGAAGCATATATGAATATAGGATGAGAGAGATGAGCGTGTACAAGTACTACTGTAAGTACACCGGCTTGAAGCTAAGTGCGCTTGTGAGATCCGCCTGACTGTTCAAATCGGAGGATCAGTGATGTATCTATCATCCTCGCCCCAACCCCAAAATTGATCGATTGTGGGATATCTTTTCCAAATTGCATGGCCTAGTAGATGCGGATCTCAGGTTCAGCTATCAGTTTCGTCTCAAACCTTGCCCTGCCAAAGACTCACCACGACGGTAACGGTACGGGTTCGGAACGTTGCCCGCCCAAACAGTGTCGGCGTAGTGTTGCACCCAGTCTCGAATGTACTTGGTTTTCGGAGGCATAGGGGGCATCATGAAGTTTGGGACATTGCCAGCTTCCTGTCTTTCCCAGCCGTCACTGCAATAGGCTGCTCAGCCATTTCGTCCGAAGACTTTCGACTTACTGCTCAACCACTCACAATTGATCCCAGATGGCATTCTGCTCTGTTGGCGTACCAGGAAATTGCTGTGTTTCGTTCTTGAAATTTGAAACTGGCCACCAATCCTGCTGGCGATCGCCCTGAGCATTGCTGTGGAGAAACAGGCAACTTTAGGATTCGACAATCGAGCGACGAACAATCACTCTATATCACTCACGTGAGCACAAAGTAGCTGTCTCCGGAGTAGTTGTGGATAGCGGCGTTGTGAAACACCACGGAACAGCGTCCGCCGTTGTCGTCCTTGTCCGCTTTACGGCCAGGATACTCGGCGAGATTGTCGTCGTCGTCCTTCCAATCGCGCGATACGAATGGTCTAGTAAGCGCTTGGTCGATGTTGCCCGTCTTGTTGAGCCTGGCTCTTGCAAACATGTTGTCGTAGTAGAACACCACACCGCATCGAGCTCCGGTTTCATTGGCAGGCCTTAGGTGATTCTCGACTTGACCAAAGTTCTTACTCTTCCCTACATCCCACCAGGTGCCCATTCCCCTAGCGGCATCGGCGTCTTGTCTCGGCTTACCCTCCAATTTATCGTGCGTCCACTGGAAAAATTGCTGGAGATAACGCCAATCTTCTCCATCTCGATCGAAAGCGCCCAAAGCAGTCGGCAAGGTTGCCAACAGTGAGGTGTAGAACAAAGATATCGATAACATACCGGTGGACTGTGGGTCTACGAAAAGCGTCGAACGGCCTGTAGGGTCTTTTGTGGAAGTCGCCGAACCTGCGATCGTTGCCTATCTGGCAGGAATGTGCATCCATTTCTTTTCGTGGATCTATGATCAGTCACTCTGGCGCACCTGAAACTGATTCCCTTTGAGTACCAGATGACACGCAGCTTTCAACGTGTTTTTGTCCCTTTCGGCCCCCTGATTTCCCTTGAAACCCTAGGGCACCCCCTGACGGGGCTGGCGTCAGTGCTGATAGTATACACTGGTGATATGACATGGGTTTCAGAGGCCGATTAGCTGTCTTTTCAGCACCCCTCTCGCAAGAAGAATTCATGCTATCTCAGGTCGTGAGGCACGGCAATGAGATTGTAGAGTATCTGGACGATTCGGTATGGTCATCATGCGTCCTGATAGCAGGAACTGGACAATCCGCTGTCAATTCGATTCTGACCGATGTTCTACATGAACATTGTCTATCGATGAGACTTATTATCGGAACAAGCTGCTAAGAACATGTGAATATGAAAAACTGAATCACATTCCAGCTGACAACAAATGACTACCGGCCGAGGAGACCATGCCGCTTGACATGGACGTCGATCCCAGACAGGCGGGATCGTCTTGCGTCTTCTCAGTTACCAACGGGATACTCAGTGATATATTTGCCCTGATTGTCATAACCCCAAAACGTGTTGATTCCCGTAAATTCAGGCCAGGCAGAGCTGCCTTCGTATCGCAAGAATATCTTTCGTCAGAGCTCAAGGATGGCGGCCATCACTTCGAGTCATCATCAGACCTCGAGCTCACCTATGCCCAAAGTCCATGGATTCGGTACCATGCCGCTGTGATGGTGATTCACATATGCCTCGACCATGTCGCGGAATTTCAGTGTCCATTCCCCGACGTTCATGTCGTTCCATTCCCTTTCGTTCAAAACATAATAATCATTAGCTATTCTGCGTAGTCTTGCGTCGGACCGATCGGGTCCTGGACACACATTGCAACAAGTATTTCGCCTCTGTTATAAAGAGTGCCGGCCACACCTACCAAGGCGACTTTGAAGTCCGCCAGACGCTGCCTGGGATTGACTCTGTCTTCGGTCGAATTCCTGTGAGAAGGCACCATGTGAGTATTCTGATACCATTGATGGTTTCATATCAACTCTTACGTGAAGAGGACATAAAGATCGTCCTTGAAGCCTTGATTGCCAGACATCTGATGGAAGACCACTGAACTATTGTTCGAGCCTTCAGGGACGTATGCCGGGAATTCCCGATTCAACGCAGGGACCACATTCTTTCCGTAAAAAGGGGCCACGGCGAATGGTACTCCCCAAGTCTGTTCCAGGGTAGAGTTAGCCTTCTTGGAAGCTGCTCTCTCTTTCATCGCTGGGAAGTAGAAGGCAACGCCTGCGGCAATGTAGACACTCCCGTCAGTCTGATAGGCGCTTGAACTGGCAGACAACATAGCTGAATGAAAATACCGCAGACGTTTTCATCCGATCCTGTTTCCCACTCTGTGGGAAAGTTTTTCGCAGCTCCTGGCACGACGTTCCAAAATGTTCCCTCCGCCCGAAGCCTTTTGGCCTCGGTTGCATTCTTCTGCTTCACGCTACTGTCGATGAAGTCGTCGAGGTAACGCCAGTCGCGTCCGGCGCGATCGTATGCTAGCGCTTTGGGCAGTGCAGCCGAAACGAACGCAAGTAGCAGCTTCTTGGATATCATGTCTTGTCGTGCTGATACCAGCGTATCGGACGGTATTGTTACTGATGTAGCGGAGAGATCTGAGTGGTGAGCCCGTACAGATCATCCGGCACAAGGCGAGTCTGCTGTGATAATTCCGATATTAGCGATCGGCAAGCATATATATTCATCTTCACCATCATCCACACTCGCAACATCTCCTGCGGTCCACCCCTTGAAAGCATCAAAGGACGGAATATCGCTCCGCATCGCCCCTTAAGCGTCGGTGAAGGGAATGAAACGTCCAATCTAGATCCAAATCGGGAGCGGCGACCCTGATTTTCGAAACGTAATGAGGCGAAACTCTGACGATCGCGAGGGAATTCTGACCCTCTTAAATTTTTCCCCATGGCGAAGATTGGACCCAGCCTGGAGGATCACAGAACCCCTTTGTGTTGTTTCGGATGGATACTGGCAATCGCTGGACAGTCCAGGACCATGGTATGCTGCGACGACTTGAAGGCTTCGGCAGTGGGTTTCTCAAATTTCGGATCACATTCCATCGCGTCTCGGAAGCGCCGTGTACTTCTTTTACAACACAGCTCACCTGCTCGCCCTCGACCCTTTACAATCGGCCGATACATCGTCCGACATCTCCCCTCAAAACGAACCAAAATCAGGCCTTGTTCTTCAGCTCACGCAGGGCACCCATGACCGAGACCGCATCAGTAGCGCCGGTAGCCTTCCTGATAGGGCGAACACCGTGGGAAAGTCAGCCCGGTGTATTCCTTTAGGAGACTGTACAGCTCACACCCACTGGACGGCCGGCTGATCCAGTCGCATGAAGACGTTCCACTTTTTCTCATCGGCGATTGTCGAGAGCCCTGCGGTACAGTCGTTGTCTTCTGCCAACTTGGCCAGTCTGAAAGTGCAATATAGTATTCAAAAGCGTCGGTTTGCGTGCTGCTCTGTTGGATATCTAATGACTTACCGCTTGACGTCAGCGTTGTCGGGTTCGATCTTGAGCGCAAACTTGGCATTCCCGGGGGTGTACTCATGACCGTTGTAAACGATCGTGTCCTCGGGCAGAGTCCCGAGATAAATCAAAGCCTTGTGCATCTCCTCAGGAGTACCCTCGAAGAACCTTCCGCATCCGCCTTGGAATAAGGTGTCTCTGCGATGTTCAATTTCTCAGTACCCCCGTCTCGATATGTGCTTGCTCCTCCTGCTGACTTACCCGGTGAAGACAGCCTTCTTCCCTTGCTCATCTTGCAAATAGAAACAGATGCTGTCCTGTGTATGACACGGCGTATGGAGCGCCTTGACCTTGATGTTCTTGCCGAAAGTGAATTCATCCTTGTCCTTGATGACCGTATTGGTCCCGGGAGATCGGGAGCCGGCATAGGCCTTGATGGAGGACCCTTGGGGGTGGTTCGACAGCTATAGATATGCACAGGGACCCGGTTAAAATCGAGGCAGAAAGGTACTAACTAAATATGTTGCGGACTCACGAACTGGATGTTGCCGCCCGAGTGGTCATCATGATGATGCGTCGTGATCAAGGTCGTGACCTACCAACCCGCCATTCCTCTTTCGCGATCAGCCCTCCTCCCGCTCCGTCATACCTTGTTTGACACTCACGTTCACTCCCTTCTCCTTGACCAACCCCAACATCTTCTTCCAATCATAAGGATCCACCACGGCGGCTTCGTTGGACACCTCGTCGACGACGAGGTACATCCAGTTGTCCGATCGAGCCAGGAGGGGGTGGATCTGCATCTTGTGGCTGCATTCAAGACGGCGGTGTCGGCGACAAGATGTTTGAGGTTGCACCAAGGTCACTCACGATATGGATGAAGAGAAAGATCTACCGAGAAGCCTTCGAATCGTGTCAGTGCCTGAACATTCGCAAGTCTCGGTCCGACCAACTATCCAGAGCTTGTTTGCTTACCGGTTGAGCGGAACAAGAGGTGTCTTTTTGACGAATAATCTGGCGAGTAGCATATAGGCTACGGCTGAGGCGAGAGGTATAAGATAGTACTTGATACGGTGCAGAAAGCATGCAGGAACAGGGTTTGGGGAAGAGTTGGAGAGCTATTGATTCGAACATCGAGCATCGACCTCCGTCCGTGAGCTATTACCGGCGACACGGGCATTCGATTACGTCATCAGTAGGACGGCTGACGACGATCATGTTCCCCTCACCTCGTATGCGATGGTCAGCGTACTCTGCGACGCATCCAGATACACCACACATGCCCTCGAAGAAGAGTACGGTCCGGCAGTCTGCCTGAGACTCATTCCGGAGGCCTTTCCCGTATACACGAAGACGGACAAGGATTTCTTAGGATCACAAAATCGTGAGGTCGTGAATGATATCGTAATAAACTGTCATATATTTCCGACGCCACAGGCATCGCTTCTTCTCGACACTCCTTCGTGCGTATGTGTGTGCTCGTAACAAAAGCCGGTCTTCCCAGATGAAAAAGATTTGGCCCCAGAGTGATGGACCTTCGCCCTCGAATGCCGATTTCTAATCGCTTGAGCGTTCCCCAACTCAAGCGGTCCTCAAGATTAAATGCACGCCGCTATCGGTATCCACAATCGAGCTCATCTGACCGGGTTCGAGAGCGAAGGTGGCGTCCTGCGAGGTAGAGCGGGCGATTCGAGTCGGATGGAGGGAGATTGGCAACGAAAACGGGTACAAAGACGATAGCAGGAAGCAAGGAATAAAACCGATCCGTCAGTTCACCTCACCCGCACTCGTACCGCATTCCAACCTCTCGCGCTGTGTATGCAGCTCGACCACTCACCTCGAAGGGCTTCTGCATGTTCCCCCTCGCAAACCACCCCAGATCCCCTCCCTTGGCATGACTGGCACAATCGCTCTCCCTCGCGGCGAGCTTGGCAAACTCCTCGCCCAGCTTCTCCGGGTTCTGCTGAGCCGTCTGGACGAGTTGAGCCTCGTAGGACTGGAGGAGGGAGATGGCCGAGGACTTGGGGGTGGTGATGTTCGGCTACGGTATGAGGAGGAAGACGAAACGGCGGACAGAGCGTATCCTGGGTCAACAAGCGGATCGCAAATTCAAGAGAGCCAGAAGAAAAGACCACATACGTTCTTCCAACTGGCCGGCCTTCGACTGCCACTATGTTTGATCAACAAGTGACTCGCTCTGACCTTGCCATCGTTGACCTTTTGGCCTAGGTACTCCTTTGCTCCAGGCCAGGTGTCGATCTCGGCCTGGGAGTATCCTAGAGGAGCCGACCAGTCGGATTGGTTGGTCTGGGTGTTGAAGTAGTAAGGCAGATTTTTGGATTGGGACCAGCGGACTTCGTAGATGATCTCGGGCTGCGGTCACGAGGCGGATGTTTAGCCCAAGCAGGTGGTACTCGGTAGTGGGTCAAGGGTGCAGCTTACGGCCTTTGCAGACATGATGATGGCGTGTTTGCTTGCTGTGATACGGTGCGCTGATGTGGTTTGTGATTTATAACGATGGCGAATGTAGCTATGGATGGTGGCCTGGGGGTAAAAGCGAGGTTTCGCGATAATAATGGCTGTGCACATCATCGCTGTTCGTCATTCATTCCACCCCATGCCACTCGAAGGCTCAAAGGCTCCGTTGATGATGGTTGATTACATAAGCACACGATGATGCCGAACCGATGGGTCCCCTACGAGTCTCTGCTCTCCCCCCCCGGCCGGCCCGAGTGGAGGGAGGGGACGAGGCGATCAGACCAGACCAGATTAGTACACACACAAGCTAGCATCATCGACGTCGTCCACCCATCCTAGTCCTCAATTCGACATCCATCGACCACACAACCACCTCATTATCACAGTCATATCGTCGTAACACCTGCTGTATTCCTTGTAGCAAGGAACGACATCGACCCATCCTCCTGCGTAATCTCGCGTCTCGGTGACAAATTTCGGTATCGCCAGACCGAACCCTCGCGATTCGATCGTCGCCTCGTCCTCATCGGACTCGCACCTATACCTATCCATAAACACCTATATCTCCTCACCTGAATCTCACTCACCACACCACACGCCACATCTTGCACAATGGCCCTCACCTTTCCCTCGTCCGCCACAGGCGCGACCGCCGTCCCTACCTCGACATCCAGTGGGCTGTTTTCCGGACCCACGACCACCTCGAACAATAACAACAACGGTTCAGGCTGGTTCGGATCGGGAGGTGGTGGAGGGTCTACATCGGCCTATTTCCAGACGGTCATCATCAGTCTGGTAGCGTTGGCCGTCTTGTTGATCATCTCCGTGGTATGTACCCGATTCATCGTGTCTTTTCGATCCGAACGAATGCACTACTGACTGCCAGGCCTTGTTCCTCTTGTCTATGCTCCCACAGGCCTTTCTCTATTACCGTCGCCGTCGTATGCGTCTCTATTCGGCAGCAGACTGGCCGTTCCACGACCGTTCGTTAGGGGGCAACATCTTCTTTCCAGGTGGTGGTGCTGCGGGAGGGAGGAACAAGGCAGACAAGGACATTGGCGAGAAACCCGAAATGTGGGAGGTCATGTTGGACGACGAAAAGATCGGCGCCGGCTCGACTTTGGGGAACGGGGCAGGCTATGGAACGACGATGACGAGCGAAGAGAGGGAGATGGAGCAAGAGGCCGACGAGAAGAACGGGTCGTTGTTGAGGTGGCAACCTCTGAGCATCGTCTCGCTCACCACGCAGCAGGCTAGCGTTCCCGCCTCGTCCGCCGAGCAGGATGCTGGGGCTACCGGAACGGGAGCAGGGATCGGCGGCAGGCCGACGAGCATGTTTACTCGAGGGTTCTCATCGTCCGGACTGGGGCATGCAGCGGGGATGAACAATAATACCTCGGGGACGGAGCCCGATCAGACGCAACCAAGCTCGACCACGGGAAGCATACCCAGTTCATTACCCATCCACCTGACGTTCATCATCGCCATGCCTCAACCGCCCACCACCGAACCTACGCAACCCCGCCCGGCGCCGACTTATGGGTATGAAGATGAAGAGGGGGAAGATATCCCGGATGTCGAACTCGGGACGACTGTCATCAACCTCGACCTCCCTGCGGACATTACCTCTCCTTCCTCATCAACAGCACCTCCTTCCTACCCACCTCCGATTTCGACGGGTAACGCCCCGATCACCCCAAACCGACATACATCGCTCGGACAAGTCCTCGGACTTACGCCTCCTCACGCTCAGAACCAGACTGACGGCTCCGGTCTCACGAACATTGGCGGGACGACGACGGGTGTGTTGAGCCTCAGAGACGTCCTCGGTCTGCCCGCACCGGTGCAGAGGAGTCGGCGGGAACGGAGGCGGGAGCGGGAACGGGAGACGATCGGGGTCAGATGATGGACCCGGTCATACCATGCCACGTCACGGCGTGTTAACAGTAGTAGCAGTAATATCAACATGTTTTCCGTTTTATCTTGTAGGCCGTCTATTTTTGCCTTGCTATCCCTTGTCTGTTTCTCTCCTTGTAGACCAGCCCGTCAAAGCGAAACGGGTCATCCGATAGAATGTATCGTTCACATAATGATCTCGGTCCTCATATATGGCTAGCTCGTATGCGAGCGATTTGTACAAAGCGTGAATAAGTGCAAGATGCCACGTACAAGGTACATCTTCCGCGCAGATAAAGTCGTCGTTTCGGTCGTATATCGGTTGCGAGTACCGGATCGTAATATCGTAAGGGTGAGGAAAGGCAAAAGTCAAAAAAGTTACGCTAGAGGCACATCGTAAAGGGACTCGGGCTCATTCGTAGGTTCTCGCAAGGACGGTTCCGGGTGGAGGATACCCTCAGTCCCCACTCGATACCTTTCTTCCTCCCAAGATGATCTTGACCTTGCTCCAATCCTGATCTCTTCTCAAGCTCGCGGCCGCGGACGAGTAGGCGCCAAAGCTAAACATCAAGGCGTCGCGTGTCATGAGCTTTATCGATTCGCTGTAAGATCCGGGCATTTTCGAAGAGACTCACGAACCGTCCATGCTCCCGCCGGCATACTCGCTCTCGATGTTCTGCCCAAACGCGTCCGAGTTGTTGCGGACAACCAGGACCGCCTGAGCAGCATCAGGGTGGATGGAGCTGTCGTATGTCAACCCAGGCGGAGGAAAGAGCTTGGATTTGGGTACGACCAGGACGTGTCGGGTGTACGGAGTTTGCTTGAACATCTCGCTCAACAACTGGGTCGCTTTCGGGTCGGCATAGTCATTGAACGCGAATGCTTTGAGTGTCCTCGGCGGGCATTCAGGGACGGCCTTTCGGACACCGAGGATGGTCAATCGGTTCAGTAACGTCGGATGGAGGTTGGCGGCGAAGATGGAAGCTGGATCCCAGGTGTAGACGTACCCCTGTTCGGGGCCGACCATGTGTTCGAGGACTCGGAACTCGTTGAGCATTTGATGCTCTGCGATGCCGGCGAGGAGTTCGAGCGAGAGGTACGTCTTGGTAGGGCCGCTTCCGAGCACAAGGAAAACGTCGGTTAAAGCTAGCTTCTCCTTGGTAGCGGTGGCGTCCAAGATCAACTTCTCGATGTGCCTGATCGCTTGGTCGATGGTCAAGCAGAGGTAGGAGGCGACCTCGCTCATGCCAGGCAGAACCCGCTTCGCAGCCAGATGGTAGATTGCATGCCTCTTGAGCATCATGTCGTATCCTCCTCTGTATTCCGGATTCGCTTTAGAGTGTGCGTTGGGAACGATCATATCGTCCACCAGTGGGACGCCTTGAATCGGGCCATGTGTGGGTTTAGCAAACTCGTAGACGACCTCTTTGTTTTCAAAGTCCTGCTGCACAAGGCCGGACATGATGACCACCCTGGCCTTCTGCTTCCCCGCCTTGTTCGTTCCGAAACCGGCGATCGAATGTCCTCCCTTGAACGCATAGTCACCGTGCATCAGGATGGGAACAAAGGGGGTCACGAAATGATGCAAGACCCCCTCCATGTTAGTAATTGCGTCCCCCGTCCTGTACTTGACGCCGATCGCCGCGTCCTTCTTGTTGGTCATTAGATGATTGACGAGGTTCTTTGGAACGAAAGAAGTCACACCGAGTACCGGCTTGGCGGCGAGATGAGATCGTTCAAGGTAATACGACCTGGGATCGGCATACTTCTGAACATGTGTCGACCAGATCTGGGACGCAGGGTCAGTCCAAGTAGCCGTCTCCTTGAGATTCGATTGAGTATCACCTGGGAATGAATTCGGAACAAGATGTTGTAGAATCAGCAACAGGTCCAGAAACCTGATCGATGATGGCGGGAAGGTGCCATGTACATACCTCGTCCGGCATCCTTTGAGCCAGACGCATGGCCCGGTTGTTTTATGGGAGACAGACCGGAAGCCAGCATTTTTGCTCCTGTGAGGGTGGTGTGACTGAAGGAATTCGCTTTGGGTATGTATTCTCTCATCAACCCCATGGCAATTGTCGGGTGAGCGAGTGAGAAGGAGATGGATGTATGATTATATGACATGTAGTCCTCGACAGGAAGAGGGATTCGATTCCCTCGGAAGCATATGTAAACATGAGATCATATAGCTGAAACGCTCGCCGGGACCCACGAATTCCACGAACACAAAGGGGAGACAGCCCATGGAATTCCATAAGAACGTCGACATAGAACAGCTGCAACCTATGAGTAGCTACAGGATTGTGGAATCGAATCAGAGGACGAGCTGCACCTTCGCACCGTGGGAGCGAGCGACAGAGGGGGATCGGGCGAGCATTGCGGGCCACGGTGTTATGGCTACCCGCAACTCGCTACTCGTTACTCGACTTACCTATCAGATTGAGGGAGACCTGCTTCTGACTTGCGACCTCCTTCAAACGTTACTGCAGAAGATCGACAGTAGTGAAGAGGCCGTTCATGACGAGGCTGTTCGTCAGGTCGTAGAGATGATCAATGAGGCCTTGAAGGTCTTCTCGAGATCAACATCGCTCTCGGCGACGGGTCTATATCGTGCCTTCGCCAAGGGGAAATCGTGGCTGGTCATTGAAGGATCCACCTTAGACAAGCACCTCCTCTTCGCCCTACATCGCATGGTGAAAAAGACGGGGGGTATCAAAGGTCTGTTCGTTCATGTCGACCCCGGCCGCTCTGGTCCTGCAAGCCACTTGATCAAGTTCCCAATGTCAAAGATCAAGATGGTCAACTATGAGGTTGTGGAGGTTCTGGCTCCCCTGTTTGTGCGGGAACCCTGCCCGCTCTCGGTCGAAACGAAGGAGCATCACTTCGTGGTCGAGTTCGGGATACTTGCAGGTGCTTTCGTTACCGCTACGGATGCAATCTGGCCGGATTGGAAGGCAGCGACGGCGACCGCAGCAGCGACCCAGGCTCAGCTGCGCTCGCTTGTCCCGATAGGCGAGCTGTCATCGTTCATGATCAAGACGACGGTTGCGGGTCCGGTGTTTGAATTGCCACCCCCCTCGACCCACCGTTACCTTCATCTCGAATCGATCTCGCCAACAACCACGACGGCTACGGCAACCACGCTAGAGCCGCCTTCATCCCCTGCGCCTCCACCCTCGGCGATGACAGGACTGTCGCGCAACTTCGCCTTAGCTTGTCATCGCTGGCCCTTCCGAACGGGTGAAGGAACAGAGCGGCGAGGAAAAGGACAAGGAGCGTAAGAAACGGCAGGCCAAACGTCGCGCTATCGAGAGGAGAAGGGAGAAAGCCGAGCAGAGGTGGAAAGATCAGCTCGCAAAGTTGGCGGCGGAAGATGAGGAGGACGACAAGGTGAAGGGCGACGGCGAGGTGAATGATGATGAAGAGGATGAGCTTGCGCCTTGAACACATGTACTTCACGACCGTCCAGGAAAGGGTTCGGCGACGGCGGCGGACATGTGATGACATCGGATATGCATTTGTCGAATTTGCTTCCGACCGAGATTTCTGAGCGTTTCTCCGACTCTGCCATCGTCGAACCATTTATCAACTGTTCAAGCCTGAGATGTCGTTTCTCCTACCCATCCACGCCAGACGTTCTAGGCCTAGTATAGACTTCATCATAATCCACTGAATCCCCGTACCAGCCAGCGAGACTGAAAGGATGCCCAACAACAAACGACACACGATCAAACAGATGCAGGGCAAGGGCAAGGACAAGATGCACCCTTCGTCCCGAAAAGGACATCAAATGGAGCGAATTCTCTTGCGGTCCGACAAGCTCAAACAAGCTACTCGACGGCAATACAACGCCAAAGAGCTGAAGAGTGAGTCCCGATACGTTTGATGGATCCGTCATGTTATCGGAGCTGATCGATTCAACGCACGACCTCCCCTGTTCGCAGTGGAGCGTCCGCTCTTCTTCATCTACTCAATGACCTCCCCCGACCCGCTCACCTTGGATCAGCTTAAAAGTCTTATCCAGGACAAGTTTATCGGACGCAACGACGATAGCATCAAGGAACTCGAGAGCAAAAGAAGACCGGGGAGGCCAAAGGATGCAAAGTTGGTCAGCGCAGAGTTGGCCAAAGAGATCGAGATGTCCGAGTACAAGAGCGGGTTCGGTGAGTCACAGTCGTCCAAGCAGCTTCGTATTTGCCGGCAGCACGTCGGTCAGGAGACAAGACGCTGATCGATTGGTGTGGCGCTTGATGGTAGAGGTACCCGATCTGACTCATCTTGGGACGACCAAGCTGATCTGGAGATGGCTCGAGACGGACGTCGGTCTGAAAGGCTCCCACCTAGACGCTCTTCGGTGAGACATATCCTCCTGTAAGCACTCGTATCTCACAGAACCAGTTGCTCACATCTGTCTCGACAAAATTGCTCCTGGCCCTTAGCGTCATCCGTGTCACTCCCGAAGGTACCGAACCCGTCGTCGTCCGGGAGGGCAGAACGGTACAGATGGGCTTGGAACAGAAATCAGCGCCGGCCGCTGTCAAAGAGACGACTCCCGTTCCCGAACTCATGTCTGTAGACGCTTGAACATCAATCCCTTCCTGCAAACCCATTGATAGTTTTGTATCATACACTACAGTATTGTACGATGATGTATCTTGTATCTTCCTTTGGGGTATATTGGCTACATAGTGACCGTGATATATACATACACATACGTGTTTGTCACTCTGCATGAACACATAGTTGTTGACTCGATTTCGCTCAGATAGGAGGATACCTTTCGGTAGTCGGGGTGCTCGGTTTGGAGACTGCTCGAGACCTCTCGTCGGCGGCGACGAGCCCCTTCAAGGTATCTTGTGCCGATTTACTCGGTGTGAGGGGTCCGTCAGTCTGATTTTGATGCTGCACCACTTTGGCCGCTTCTTTGGGGAGGTCAAAGCCCTTGATCGAGGCCGCTCGAGATCTGGCTGGCAACGACGGTGGCCTGGACGACCGTTCTGGGGTCTCGGGACGACTGGGATTACGGGAGACCTCGGTAATAGCTCGAGACGGCGAGACTAATTGCGATAGGTTGCTCGTCGAACCTGAAGGTGGCGTGGCGGATGTGAGATCGGAAGCCGTCGCGATCACGGCTGGGGCTTTCGGGCTAGTGCCCAAAGATGTACGCGTGGCCGTGACGGACGAAACGTTAGCGGTAGTTTCAGAAAGATGTGCTTCGCTGCTGATCGCGGTGACAGCGTCTGGGCGCTTCGGTATACGAGGCACGGTCATGGCTGCTACCCCGGCCGGTTGTTGACGGACAGGTAGAGCGGGTCGACCTTCGCTCAACGACTCTCGTCGCCTATCTTCGGACGAGATAGTCGATTTAGAGGGGACGTTGCCGGATGGTTGGCCGTCGAGGCTCTGTCGAGGTAGAGATGTGTTTGTGCTCGACGGTGAAGCTGCCTGAACAGCGGCCATGGCGAGTCGCTCCTGCAAACTAGTGCCCAGTCGCGGGGATGGATCGATCGATCTGCTGGGAGAGGCTCCATCCTGGGTCTTTTGGATCTGCTGCTCGACCGCTTGAAGCTTTTGCGAAATCTCCGCATCCTGAGCGATTTGTCCCGTAACACCGCCAGTCCTCTTTGCAGCCCAATTCTTGCCCCATTTTCGCATGGCATCACGGGCTTCGTTGACCGAACTTTGCAAAGCCTTCTTGTCGGCGGTTCTTGCCCTGATGTTGTTCATGAGGGCAGCAGCAGTTGCAGCGGATCCACCCGCGGCAATATCGGCGTCCGTGCTGCTGCTTACCAAGGTCCCACGCGGGACGAACCCCTGCTGAACAGCGTTCATTGTCGGCGGCAATTTGTCAAGACTGACATCGTCGTCCTGGGCGCGATCCATGACCTTGTCGCCGGAGGCAGTCGCTTCGACGGACGTGTCCATCGCTTGAGCCGCTGTCCATTGGCCGGCAGACCTTATCTCGAATCCGACCCCGGTCTTTTCGATTGCGCTTTTGGCAGGGGTGTTGAGTGAAACCGGAGTGACAGGCTCCGATGAGTGACGGTCATCCTCGGCATTCGTATCGTTCACGCCGGCTTTTGCCGCAAGCCATTTCTTGGTGCTCACGGAGATCGACTTGGTGATGCTATGTTGTGAAGCGCCTCCGATCGATTGAGCATCGTCTTCGGCTTGAGCAAGCCTTGCGGCCTTGCCTTGAGGGAGATCCAGAGCCTGTACAGCCAACGAGGGAGGCTGCCGGGGCTTGACCGACGATTTCCTCGAAAGATCGCTCTCGTCGCCGGTCGCCCTCGGCTTGCTGACTGGAATCGGCTCCAGACCGTCAGGTCCAAGATCGGCCTTGACCTCGGCGTCGTTGTTCTTAGCAGCTTCATCAAAGATACCACCTCGAGCTCGAAGGTGTCTTGTGTCAAAGAAGGCCAGGTCGTCCATGTTGGGCAGTACGATCGATTCATTCACCGCATCGCGTATTTGCTTTTCGATCGCTTTGAGCACCATGTTGACTTGGATCTTTCGATCACTGACTACAGGCAATACCCTCAGATCGATCTTGGGCGGCTTCGTGAAACCCCACCAGATGCGGTTGCTGGGAGGCTTCTTGATTCTGACGCAAATATTCCCATGAACGGCCTGTACAACAACAACGAGTTCCAGGTTGATGCTATAGGGCTTGAACCCGAATGCTGTCGGAATGATTGCGGTTGTTGCAATCGTAATCCGGACGTCGCCTGTATAATGCAAAGCCACTTCGAAAGCCGCTTCCCCCTCTGCTGTCAACTCTTTGAGCATAGGCTTGGAGAAGCTGTGGCGGAATGTGGCGTCGTTGATCAGCGAGAGCAAAGCGGCTGGATCGTCCTCACACTCACTAAGGAGGGGTCTTGCCCACGTCAATCTCCTTGACCACGATTTCGCCTAGAAAGCTTGGTGTCTTGACCTTACGGACCTTTTTCATGACTTTCGAGATGAAGAACTGCGAACACGACGAAGATGTCAACTCCAGCTCGGGGATACTTTCACGACTACGAAACAACCGCACTCACTGCTTCGAGCGCTGCCGTGCCGCAGATGCCCAAAAAGATCCTTCCGAGCATCGCATTGAGCCATCGAACAGGTATCGAGTCGCTATCTTCGTTGAGAGTATCGATCAACTTCTGCATGTCATTCGAGCTGAAGATCTTGTCAAAAGTGGGTCGGGGTACGTGGATCTTGCTGTTGGCTGGCGGGTTTGGGTGCGAGCGAAGTAGCAATGCGTGATACCATTGTTCCTGCCTACGATGGGAAGTCTTTCTTTTGATCAGTATCATCGACATGAAGACGAATGTAACAGCACACTCACTTGACGTTGTTCCTGGCAAAGATATACCATGGCCTAGCCTCAATATCCAGTCGCTTCTCCTCGCGCCTCCGCTTCTCCTTTCGTCGTGACTCTCGCTCGTGTGGTTCATCCTGTAGGACGGTCTTGGGAATCGGGACTCCAGGTTGACTAGGAAGGTCATTCCCTGTCACCCCAACGTCCATCCCCTTCGTGAGGGCCATGATGGGCGGTCCTGCTCCCCGACCAAGACCAGGGATCGCCCCTTCTCCAGGCAAGACTGCCATATCACTCGTTCCTCCCGGCAGACTTGACTTGCGCTGTAGTTTAGGGTTTTCAAGAGGTACAGATACCGTGGCCGAACTCCGAGTCTTGGCAGTCGTGTCCCCGGCAACATTGTTACCTGATACTACACCAATCTGTCTCTCCGTTGCGGGTCCACTCCGGATGCCTGATCCCGGAACGGTCGTGACGCTGCTCTTTGTCCGTCTCATCCGAGACTGTGCTGGTACCGCCCTCAAGACAACGGCGTTGCGTTTGGCAAATAACTCTCCGTCCATGAATTCGCTCCCGCCCCGAGCTTCACGTTTACGTTTCCTCCTGGTCGCCTTGGACCTGACCCGATGCTTCTCCTCGCTAGACATGCCGCTCTGATCGAGCATCTCTTGTTCTCCGGCGGTCATAGCATCGGAATCTTCCGAAGAGATCTCATCTCCGATCTCCAGCTCATCGTCGTTGTTGCCATCACCACCCTCGTCTTCTGAGTCGCCACGGGAGATGGAAACGCTGTATCCCTCGATCCCGATCACGCCGAGGCAATTCTCCATGGAAGCGTCTTCGTACATGAAAAGTACGCTTCCTTTGAGAGCGCAGAAGACGAACTCCTTGATGGCAGGTTGCCGGGGCTGCATACTAGTGGTCGAACCTGAAGGTCCGAGCACGGTTCTTTGTCCCTTCTGTGAGCTCCCGGACGAGGCCGTGTCGGATGATTTGGCTCCATCGACGATGCTCCTGTACGAGTTGAGCAGCATCGTCGAATACTTGCCCGTAACTCCAGGATTCCCTGCCGAGTCCCCGTTGCTGCTTCCATTTCCGGTATGACGCTGACCGTGGACACTTCCATCTTGTCCAGCCGCCTTCTCGCTCCTGGTCTCCAACAAGCCCTGGTTGAAGTTTCCTATGACCGTATCCGCTCCACCTTGCCCCTGCCCTGTACCCAAGCCCTGATTCCCGCCCGTATTTGGGGTACTAGTCCCGCTGAATACCCCACTCCCTCGTCTTCCCCGCGAACTCGAATTCGTATTGGAGGGGTTGAAGGACCTCCTGACTGTCAACCATCCCGTCAGATGCTTCTCGGTGAGTTTCGGACTCGGAAACACGGTTCCTGCAGGTTTGATAGAGCTAGAACGATTCCGATTTCGTAAACCGGGCTCATTTCCACCAGGCTCAGTAGACGGGTTCGTGTCCGTAGCGGTTGTCGTAGCGGATGTGTCATTGAGAGTGGATGCAGGTGTTAGGAGATCGATTTCGGGGTCCTTCAGCGGGTCTGAGCCTTGAGTCTCGGCGAGGAGGTTCTTTAGCCGTTTGAGAGGATCAGGATCGCCGATCGGTGTCGAGCCGTAGGTGTATACATAGTCTATCGGTTTTCGGTAACGACAACGAGGTGTAAGGGAGGGAAAGGAAGATTAGCCAACTTGTTGCTTCTCATCTCGCCTCGACTGCAGTATGAGGGCCTTCCGATAGTCATCACGCAGACCACTTGTACAGAGCTCAACTCAGCGATCGTACTCACAGACGACGATGATGATGACCCCTGGGATAAAAGTCAGACCGCCCAAGAGGTAAGCGTAGAGAAAGGATGTGAACGACATGCTTCGCTAGGCTGGATCGAGCTACGTCCAGCTCGGCCGTGATAGGTGGGAGGAAGAGGACGGTTTCGAGGTAGTGATGATGCTCTGATATTTGCTATGATCCCAGGTGCTGGTACTGGTTTTGCTGCTGTGCCGTGTCTATCACAAGCTTACAAGGATGGACTACGACCATCTAGCTAACAGGGAGGTCGTCATCATCTCGCAACGCGGTTCAAGGCCCGTGACTTGTGGCCGGAGACGTGATACGTAATTTGTTACAAGCTACAAGTTACAAGTCGTTAATCGATTTCGCTTCTGGATTCTTCTCAATCATCGTTGGTCATGAAATCATTCTCCAAGCTCGTCTTCCTCCTCCTCGAGCTCGTCTTCCTCCTCCTCGAGCTTGACGCCGAGACCCTCAGCTTGCTCATCGACCTCGACCAAAGCGAGGATCTCGGCGTCAAGCTCGGCCCGGTCGTGCGCATCGATTTTGGCTTGCACCTGGATCATCTCGGCCTTCAGATTTGCTAACTTTCTCTCCAAAGCAATCCTCTCCCTCTGCTTCTTCCTCTCAGCTTTCTCTTGCTCACTCAGCTTGCCCTTTCTGGGCTTCGGCGAGATCGACGGCGACGGTCCCGTGGTCGTCGCCTGAGGCTTCTCCGACGGCTTCGACGGCCCAGAGACGGTCATCCAGGAAGGTCCAGCCTGCGTGAAACCTCGAGCCGCTGGTGCAGGGCGTTTTCCCTCCTTCTCCGCGACCTGTTCAGTATCTGAGCTGCGCATTCGCGCTCGGCCCGTAACCTGTACTGGACGATCGACCTGAAGTCGGCAATCGACCCGATGTGCGAGGCTCGTCATGGTTGATGCTCCAGCAGCAGGTACTGGGAAAGACTTGGGGCCCTCAGCATCGAGAGAAAGACAGCCTTCGGGTAGGTGCGATTCGGGTAGTTCCACTGATTCGAGAGCCTTGGTGGTCCCGAAGGTTCCGAGGGTCTTGCCCAGACTGTCTGCTAACACGCTGGTCATCTTGTCGTAGTCTCGCGGGGCTGTAGCCGCTTCGGCTGGTGTTTCCAGCAGGTATCCGATGGTCGAGCTGCCTTTCGCTTGTTTAATGCGAAAGGGTAGAGGCAGGCCTTCGATGGAGACGAGATCAAAATCGAGATCGATCTGCTCAACTTGAACCCTAAGCATCCTGCCTTTGGGTCGCGAAACGGGATTCGTGGTGAAACCGGGGCTGAGACATAGGATCCTATGCTTCGTCTTTGCATCGTCGCCGCGAAGCGAGACCCAAGGTACGAATGTATCCTGTACATCCTGTTTATTAGCGAAGAATACCTAGTCAGCCCCATCGATCACGTCCATCAAACGAGCCTCAAACACTCACCGGCACAAAGATGATCTTTGACAAGGTGAGATCCCCAATATTGCCAAGGGTGATGTCGGCTGCGACTTGTCGGATATACTCGGCAGCGTAAGGAAAGGGGTGCCGAAAGGTGGTGCTGAGATCTCGACAGGTGACCATCAGGTCGTCGGCGACGGTGTAGAAGTTGTCCATTGTGTGCGATCTGTGGCTCGAGAGGTGTAGTAGGATATTGATCTATTGAACTGTATAATCTTATATTGTATAGTTCGTATATCGTATGCCATGATCGAGGGGAATGCGCTGGCTTCCTGCTGCCTGGTCGTGATGGGTCGCTGGGTCGAGTGCTCCTGGCTGCATGTCCTGCATGTCCTGAGCCTTGCCGTCCGTCATTCCGTGAGCTGTCGCCCATCGATCGCCAACGAAACGTTCTCACGCCCGCCCCCCCAACGGGAATTTCCCCTTTGGTACGAAAGGGGGGGGGGGGGGGGGGCGATTAGCAAGATGCGCGTCGCCGCGTCGCCTCCTGCACCCCACCCTCGTCACCGACAAAGAGTATAAAGAGGGCACCGTCTCTGGTCGAGATCGAATGTCGCTCTTCACCTCTCAACTTCACTTCTCTACGAACATTGGACCACACGTATTGCTCCACCAGGTGACCGGGAGGCTTATCCCCTTAAAAACGTCATGGCTGGGGTGGTCGGCCTTATTCGACGAGGGAGGTCGTCGTCCGTCGACTTTCCTCGTCAAGTCGGATACTGGAGGATCGAGATTCATCGGGGGACTTGATCTGTGTATCGCTCGGCCCTTGTGCCAAACTAAGAACCCACTCGTCTCCTCGTCCCCAGTATCCGGGGACGGACCGGTCTTCGAAGGCGTCCTGGGCTGGTGAACGCGACTCTGAGGGTCTGCCGTGAACCCCTGTTCGCCATCTCGACTTCCGGTTCGTCCACCGACCGCTGACGTTCGCCGATGGCAAGGCCTGCGTCTGGAACTGCGAATCGGGGCTCGAGGCAGATCGTTCCCGGCAACTCCGCCCTTGAACCATGTCGCTGCTAGGAGATGTCGGGACGCCTTGACTGAAGACGACAAGCTCTGATTTGGGTGGACGAAAGGCCCAGCGGTGACCCATATCCTCGTACCTTGCCCAGGTCTGTTTAATAGGTCCTTTTGAGGACATTCCCTCTGTCACAAGAGGTTTCGTGACCCAGCAAGGTCGGTCTGGGAGAATCGACAACCCGACAACTCGCGATCTGTCTGGAATCTCGCGAGCCACCGACCGCCGTCATGACGCTCACAAAGAACCCCCTCTTCGAGCTTCCTTTGTCTTTATCTTGTATCCTCGACGACACTTGATGCTGATCTTTCCTCCCTCCTCTTAGTCTCGTTCGAGGATCATCCTTCCGCTGAACCGGATTACGGGCTTCGCATCGCTTCTCGAATGGTGAGTCGCCTTGTGCGCCATGCGTGTTGCGAGTCGATGCCGACCACTTATCGTTTGTCTTTCTCTGTCTGTCGGTGTAGGTGAACGCCCATCCCTTTCGATCCCGACACGAGTGTCTTCGGCCGACATCGCTCGTCCGGCGCCCATCACCGCTTGGTTCTGGACATCCGATCATCCACCTCAGTTCCGGACGAAAGAGGTGAGTCTGGGCGAGATCAAACGAGCAAGTCCGCATCGACGCTGACGTGCTGTCCTTCGCGTGAAGGTAGTACTTCCGGCGACATGCCATGCCTCTCGCCCGGTTTGACCGCGCTCGATTCCAGACATTATCAATGGTTCGTCCTTGCCTCGAGACTCTTCAACTCCGCTGCCACGTGCTGGGATAGCCATTCCGATCACCAACCCCTATCGACGATCGCTTCATACGGTTCCGAAGTTGACGAATGTTGTCGTTTCTTGATTGCAGGCCTGTGCATCTCGCCTTCACATCATTTCCAACGACGACTACCTTCATCACCACCATCAACCATCATCGTCGTTGCAAAGCGTAAAGCGTACTCTCCATGATCATCTCCGACACCACGCTATCGCTTGTCGGACCCCGGGAAGGGATAGGGGACGGAATAAAATCAAAGGTTTTCCCGGGTCTTCATGTGTTGTTGTTTTTTTTTCTCTCGAAGAGAACTGTATCGCATTCGCGTCAGCGTAAAGAACTCTTGTAGTAGGGAGCTTCGAAGCGGAATGCTCACACTTAGCAAATCATCCGGATTCAACCACCAGTATCGTATCCCTCTCATCCTACAGGCTCCCATCTCTGAATGCTTTGTGTGGCCCGAGACATTAATGCCCTAAGACCGGGTCGGCACATGCAGCTTCACCAGCCGTGAAATGATTTGCGCACAAGGAGCGAGCTCCCTAAGACTGTATCAACCTCTCAGATCTGATTATTGGTGAGCGAGGATTGGGCTAGTCTGGCGAGACGTGAAGTCGTGGCAAATTCCGGCAATTGTGGTGCGAGGACGATTTGATGGACAACCTAAGCAATACATCATCCCGCTGGTTAGCGACTCATTTCTCAAGCTTGATGACAGGGTGTGCGATATATACCTTTTCTGCTCATGCCGTTCACCTGGAAGCCACAAAAACGGCCGGTGCGGAGACGGGCGCGCTCGCCTCACTTGGGCGCGTACCTACGTGTCTTGTCGTATGCAAGGTATATCGTCCAATTCGGGCCCTCGACATCGTCATCCTGGCTCCCAGTGGATCATCAAAGCTGGCGATGTGTCTTTGTGGCAGCGGTATTTCGTGCTTCCCAGCCCCCCTCTTGAGAAACGGATTCGTCCACCCAGGACATCACGATGTCCCGACCGGCAAGCGATATTCCCCTATCGCGTTTATGCGTCTCGGCTAGACAGGGAGCAGGTTGAAGTAGCGTTCGACCGCGAGACTCATTGAAAGAAAGTTTGACCGCGAGACGTCGTATTGATTTGAGCAGGTGGACCGATCTTTGAAGTTTGTTTTGGACCCCTAACCATAAGGAAACAGGCCACTTGATTCCCCTCCCCATAAGGGAACAGGCCAAACTTTAGATCGCCCCCGCCCATAACCAAGTAGCGTTCGACGGCCAAACCCCCTTTCAAGTAGCGTTCGACGGCCAAACCCTCTTTCAAGTAGCGTCTGACTCTCCGATTGCGAATCGCTAATTTCGAAACTCATGGAGCGATCGGCGAATCTCGATGTCAAGGTCGAACAGCGGCAAACGAAAGGTCCGACCAGGACGATTTCCGGCGCATGTAGTGGGATCGGCATATTGTGGTACGTGATACCCGTATCCCAGAGTCGGCAGATCACCTTCGGTGCCCTTCAAAAGAGGCCTCGACCAAGTCTGAAGCAGCTACATGAGAGGACATGCCTTTTGATGGCCTTTTTTCTTTTCACGAGCGCCGTCATGAAACGGCCGACCTGATATCAGTATCGACGTCCACGTCGATACATGATGGGGACTATCTCCGTATAACGATGTTCGCATCGTAGCTATCTTGTAATCTAGGTCGACCAAGGCCAACTAGATACCTGAAATTTCAGGGACGTCTACGAGTTCGTGGTTTGCCGTGATCCGTTGGACAGGGTCGAGTTGTATCAAAGCGACACGGTGGAAGGGACACCGGTGAGCGGGACGGCATGCGTCACCCGGATGTGGAAATTTCGTCACCGTTCAAGCGCAAACAGCGCGAAGCATCCATTCAGGCCAATCAGGTGCGAGGAAGCTGCTGTATATCGATAGTCAAGGGACATCCAATCAGAATGAGCAAGCGAGCGATGCTTTATCCCTGATTCCTGATTGATATAAGGCATGTAAGATCGATCGTTTGACGGTTTTGTGCTTGAAGCGCATCAAAAACGCTGATCGTTTTGATCGGACCCTGTCATAGGATTAAGGTTATCGCGTAATTCGCGTAACCGAGATGGATCATCACGTGAAGCGAGAACGACTTGTAAGCAGCCTACCCTCATCCACGCCTGCCGGGTGGAACCAGTTGGTGAGCACCATTGTTGGTGACTTTATGGAGCTTCGCTGAGGCATTGAGGCCACAACTCGCTGAGCAAATTCTCTTGTTGTTGTGTCGGTTATCAGAGCTCGTCAAGGTATAGGTCAGCGGCGACATTTGTTCCAGGTTGTTTTCTGATACAGGCCTTGAGAATGCAGGATGCAAACGACCGGTTGCGGGTTCAGTAGCGGATCCAGCGACTTATATAGAACAGTTCACAGGATTCCGTTGACCAACACTTTAGGACGAACTGCCGCTATAGAGTACCGCTAGTCGTGAAACTTCACCGAATCGTGTATGTAGCAGTCAGGGGGGAAATAACACATTACAATGGGGGAAGCGTCGCATCCCAATCCTGATCGCTTGAGGAACAAGCACAAGGTTCGGTTCGGGATACACAAGGGGAGTGGGCAAGTCTCTGGCAGTGATGTCGTTGTTTTCCTGAACCATACATGGTCCTTGTTCCAGCGGGCAGACGCTGCACGCAGAATATCGTGCAAACAGAATGTATGCCTTTCCATATTGGGTGACTCTCGCCGATCTAGATTCACCGGTAAAAATGTATATATCTAGAACAATCATATATGGAACAGAGAGACTGTACCTCTAAGAAGGATTGTAGGCGATCGGCCGCGATTTTGACCAGTGATGCTGCTACGTCGCCGTACGAGGAAGGCGCCCTGGCAAACATGCTGGATCTTAGTCATCCGAACATGGGTGCGTCCGGGTTGACGTCGATATAGTCGTTAGCAAGAACGCCTTCGAGGGAGACGATGCTGATGAGTACGAGCACAGACGATCTGCTCGTCCGTGTATGTGTCAATCTACTGAAACGTAACGGCACTCTGATAAACGGTCAGAGGTGAAACTCGAGCCCGGCCGAGGCTGTGCTGCTGGCTTCACGTAATCGCTTGCATTACTGTCATGAATGCGCGTCGCTCTACAATCGCACCGGGCGACCCCAAGGGCGAATTGATGCGATCAACACCGCCTCGTTTCCTGAAGGAATGTGTCGATAGCTAGCCATGCTCAAAGGTTCGCAAAAGGGCGAGCTCGACCTGATCTATTAGAGGCTAGATCTGTACCGATTCGAGAGCTGAACATATACCAGCCACTAGGGAGCTCCGGAACTTCTAACGACGCCATCTGACGAGCCACAGACAATCGACCTCTAACGCCCAAAAAACAAACAACAACGAACGCAAGCAAGGCAACGATTTTTCGATAGTGCTGCGAGCACTCGACCGAGTTTACATACGACAGGACGAAAAATTGCTAGCTCGTAGAGCAATATCGCAGCATGTCGAGAGGAAACGGCGGATCTCGCTTCGAGGCGACTGCAGATCTAAGGTATGAATGATTAGCCACTGATCAATCGTGTTTTGTGCGCACATCGAGCTGATGATCAACGTCTTGCTTATCGCCACGTCCAGCGAGCTGCTTTCCATCGCAGAGGATACTATCCTCGCCTGTCTACGAGAGCGATATTTAGCCGACAAACCATACACCGCGATCGGTTCTTCCGCACTCGTCTCGCTCAACCCCTTTAAGCACCTGGAGATCAACGACGACACAACGCTTCAGCTGTATGCCGAAGAGTACCGGCATGTTGGAGATGACGATAGCTCTTTGGGGCACGAAAACGATAGACACGAGAGAAGGCTGCCGCCCCACGTCTTTGGATTGGCGAACAACGCTTACTACCACATGAAGAGGACGGGCCAGGACCAGAGCATCGTGATCAAGTGAGTCGGAGCGGCGGTTGCAGGAGTTGTAGGATCATCAAGACTTATCTGATATCTTGCTTGATTCAGCGGAGAAACCGGTGCTGGCAAGTCGGCGATGAGGAGGTTGAGTATCAAGTCCATCATCGAGTTGAGCTTGAGCAACGCGGGCAAGAAGGGGGCCAAACTGGGATCGCAGATCCCGTCTGCCGAGGTGAGTCGTTGAAAGCCTTGGATCCGACCAGGAAATCGACCGGCTAAATATTTGCCGCCTGTTTTCAGTACATTCTGGAATCTTTCGGAAGCGCTCGAACCCATCAAAACGCAAATGCATCCCGGTTTGGCAAATACACCGAGTTGCAATTCAGCACTCGAGGTCGGCTCGCCGGAGCCAAGACCCTCGCATACTACTTGGAGAAACCTCGAGTCTCGGCACCGCCTACGGGAGAACGCAACTTCCACGTCTTCTACTATCTCGTCGCTGGTGCTTCGCCAGAAGAGAGGAACCATCTTTTGCTGGATGAAAACACCCAGTACCGCTACCTCGGAACCAAGTCGCCTTTCGATCGTAGAGGGGCTGAGGCAAGCGACGAAGACGAGCTACGTTTCCACCAGCTACAGGCCGCATTCAAGGCCGTCGGTCTGTCCAAGAGGAATGTCGCTCAGGTTTGTCAGCTTGTAGCTGCGATCTTGCATCTGGGCAACATCGAGTTTGTATACGACAAGGGCCGAAACGAGGATGCGGCCGTAGTCAAGAATGTCGATATCCTTCAACTTGTCGCGGACTTCTTGGGAGTCCGAGCGGAAGATCTTGAAGGCGTGTTTTCATACCGAAGCAAGATGCTAAAGAAGGAGTTAGTGACCGCTTTCCTCGATACCGATGGCGCGGCAGCGAATCGAGATGAATTAGCCAACACGCTATACTCGTTGCTGTTCACCTGGATCACCGAGCATCTCAACCAGAAGCTCTGCAAGGATGACTTTGCTAGCTTCATCGGGCTGCTTGATTTCCCAGGATTCCAAAATCTCGCCGGATCCGTGTCGAAGAACAACTCGCTCGACCAGTTCTGCGTCAACTACGCCAACGAGAGGATGCAAAACTGGATCTTGCAGCGAGTCTTCAACGGGATGACCGACGAGTTTGCTCAGGAAGGGTTGACAGGCCTGTCTCCCCCTGTAGCCTTTTTCGACAACTCGGAATGTTTGCGTCTGATGGACAATCAGCCTGGTGGTCTGATACACATCACCGATGACCAGGCCAGGCGTGCACCGAAAAAGACGGAGCACACCATGGTCGAGGCCTACGCCAAACGTTGGAGCAACCATGCCTCGTTCAAGCTGAGCGGGATGGACAGGACCGGCTTCCCTACCTTTACGGTTAGTCACTTCACGGGTCCCGTCACCTACTCGACCGAAGCCTTCTTGGAGAAGGACGCCGACGTCATCAATCCCGACTTTGTGTCGCTCCTCCGAGGCAACCCGGCCGACGAGAAGCAACGGAACAGGCGCAACGTTGGACAGGTCATCCCAGGTGCTACCGAGAGCACCGGTTCCTCAAACCCTTTCGTACAAGGCCTGTTCACAAACAAGGCTGTAGCCACCGAGGTACATCCTCATGACGAGGAGACCATCGTGGCGGCTCAGCAGTCAGTCAAGCCGATGCGTGCACCTTCGATGCGCCGAAAGGGTAGGGGAATCGCTCGGCTAGCCTCTGTCGGCGAGGAGGGCGATGCGGAAGCGGCACAAGGAGAAGAGAGTGCCGACGTGGGTGGAGGCAACAACGAGGCGCCTGCCCGTGGAATTCGATGCGTTTTGGGGGAGTTCAAATCCTCGATGGATGTCCTTTACCAAGCTTTGAACGAGACGCGGACCTGGTATATCTTCTGCCTCAACCCCAACGACGCGCATTTGCCGAACCAGGTTGAGACACGGGGACTTCGGGGACAGGTTCGGTCGTTTGGTATGCCCGAGTTGGCCAAAAAGCTCAAGCATGTGTACGAAGTCAGCATGACCCACGAGGAGGCACGAGAGCGGTATGCGGCAGAGTTGAACGGATACGGCATCTTACATGGAGGATCTTCGCCACCTGGGGAGTCCTTGAAGAAACTGCTTGCCGCCAAGGGCTGGAACGAGGATGATATGGCAGTCGGAAAGTTCAAGGTAAGGCAGATCGACATTGAATTGGTCAGGAAACAACAGATATTCTAATTCTTTGCGACTCCTGCCGATCTCGCAGGTCTTCCTATCTCAACGAGCTTTCCACAAGCTCGAAGACAAACTCAGACTGGAAGATGAAGATCCGCGGGAGCGAGAAAGGCCCGTCACCGTTGCGTACTTGTCGGCGGGCGAGCATCGTCCGGAATCAGAAATGTTTGGCGCTCGAAGCGCGGATCAACCTCGCAAGTCTGATCTGTACGAGAACCCTTACATGGAGAACACCTCGCAGGCCGCATTACCTTTGGTCGCTCACCAAGGCTATGCCGAGACTCCTGCCTCTGACGCCGGTGATGCTTACGACGACCGGAAGGATTTGGACTACGAGACCGATCGATACACCCGGTACGGCGATACTGCTTCCTTCGTAGGAACCGAAGCCTATGCGCCATCGAAGAATATGTTTTCGGCTGTCGATCAGAAAGATCGAGGGCTGGCAGAGAAAGAGGTTCTCAACGCTCCTCAGGATGGAGAGACAGCCGAGGAACTCAAAGAAACCCCTTCGCGCCGACGTTGGCGTTTGCTTTGCGGCCTCTTGACTTTCTGGATTCCCGGCTTCTTGCTGAGCTGGCTAGGCAAGATGAAGCGCCCCGACGTCCGTCAAGCTTGGAGGGAGAAGCTGGCTATCAATATCATCATCTGGTTCATTTGCGGCTGCGCTATCTTCGTAATTGCTGTGCTGGGCAACCTTATCTGTCCGCGACAACACGTCTACAACAGCGGAGAGCTCGCGGAACACAACTACAAAGACAGTCCCAATAGCGTCTATGTTGCTATTCGAGGAGAAGTAAGCAATTTTGTCTACAATGTTGCATGGGCAGCAACCTGACGCGAAACCTTTTCTAGGTCTTCGACCTTACTTCTTATGCACCAAGCCACTTGACCGTTACTCAAGTCGTTCCGACCAAGAGCGTGATGCAATTCGGCGGTATCGATGCGAGCAGTCTTTTCCCCGTTCAAGTGAGTAGTGGGCAGTATCTTGTGGGGCGAGACATCCTGTTGAATATTCCTTGCAGGTTTCGGCATTGTGCGATGGCGTCGACGGGACTGTTAGCCCATGGGTCACCCTCGATTCGACCAATACCACCAACGTCTATTCGCAGTACCATGACTTCCGAGCCTACACCAACGACTCTCGGCCTGATTGGTATTTCGAACAAATGGTAAGTTCATGCACTGGCAGCAACGTCTTCCTAAGACAAGCTAAAGTTTATGATTATCATTCAAAGGTTATGCTGCGTTACAATTACCGACTTGGATTCATCGGATACACGCCCAAGGAAATTCGCTCTATGGCTTCCGCAGGCCGAGCCGTAGCGATCTACAACGGTCTCGTTTACGAACTGTCCACATATATCGCCCAGGGCGGCGGTGGTTTCAAACCGCCGACTGGATACCAGTTACCATCGGGCACCGATAGGCAGTTCATGTCGGACCAGGTCGTCTCGATGTTTCAACAGAATTCCGGTAAAGACGTTACCAAGCTGCTTGACGATCTCTCTGGGACGATTGGGGCAGACGTCGTATCAAGACAGAAGACTTGCCTGAGAAACCTCTTCTTGATCGGGAAAGTCGACAATCGAAACTCGGCGCAATGTCAATTCTCCAAGTACATTCTGCTAGTCCTCTCTATCATCATGGTCGCCATCATCGGATTCAAGTTCCTGGCCGCGTTGCACTTTGGCTCCAGTCGGGCTCCGGAGGATCACGACAAGTTCGTCATCTGCCAGATTCCGTGTTATACCGAGGGAGAAGAATCGCTCCGGAAGACGATTGATTCCTTGGCCAGGTTGAGGTATGATGACAAGCGCAAACTTTTGCTCGTGATTTGCGATGGGAACATCGTTGGCGCCGGCAACGATCGACCGACCCCTCGAATCGTTCTGGACATTCTCGGCGCAGACCCAGCTTTGGATCCCGAACCGCTATCCTTCCTCTCTCTCGGAGATGGAGCGAAGCAGCATAATATGGGCAAGGTTTACTCTGGGTTGTACGAAGTCGCTGGACATGTGGTCCCTTACATGGTCCTGGTGAAAATCGGGAAACCGAGCGAACGTCAACGACCAGGGAACCGTGGAAAGCGAGACTCGCAGATGGTAGTGATGCACTTCTTAAACAAGGTGAGTCTCTGAGCGATCACATCGCGCCGGACTGTGTCTCATGGCTGATGTCGTAACGGCCATTTTCATACAGGTTCATTTTGATTCTCCCATGAACCCCCTCGAACTCGAGATGTACCACCAAATTAAGAATGTCATTGGTGTCAACCCGACATTCTACGAGTATCTGTTCACTGTGGACGCCGATACTACCGTTGAAGAACTGGCTTTGAATCGTTTGGTCTCCGCGTAAGTGAGAGGACAAAGCAGGATCCCAATTCGATCACTGACATACCTCGATCCACAGTATGGTTCACGACAAAAAGATTATCGGTGCTTGCGGCGAAACAGAATTGGCCAACCCCAAGCAGTCATTGATTACTATGATGCAGGTGAGTGAAGTTCAAGATATTCAGCAGAATGTAGCAGACCTGATCAAACAACGCTACGTCGAACAGGTATACGAGTACTTCATCTCGCATCACCTCACAAAATCATTCGAATCTCTCTTCGGATCGATCACCTGTCTGCCCGGTTGCTTCACCATATACAGGCTGAGGGCTCCCGATACACACAAGCCTCTATTCGTTTCGCAACAAATCATCCACGAATACCAGGAAAACCGAGTCGACACGCTCCACATGAAAAACTTGCTGCATCTCGGAGAAGATCGATACCTCACGACTTTGATCCTCAAGCACTTTCCGACGCACAAGACCAAGTTTGTGAGGGATGCGCACGCGTTTACCGTCGCTCCTGATGACTGGAAGGTCTTGCTCTCCCAACGTATGTTCCCTCATCCTATATCATTTGCTTCTTCATCGATGCTGACCCGTCTGCGCGAACAGGTCGGCGATGGATCAACTCGACCGTACACAATTTGGTAGAGTTGACGACTGTCGAAGGATTGTGCGGTTTCTGCGGGTTTTTCGGTATGCGTGCCATCGTCTTCATCGACCTTCTGAGCACGATTATCGCACCGGTCACTGTGGCCTATGTGCGTCTCGCCCCCCGATATATCAACGTCTCTGAAGTTGCTAATGACGCAAATCATGCCAGCTCGGTTACCTTCTTTACGTCATCATCCACCAAGGAGGCACTATTCCGACTCTCAGTATTATCATGTTGGCCGCAATTTATGGGTTACAAGCCTTGATCTTCATATTCCGCCTGCGATGGGACATGATCGCGTGGATGTTTTGTAAGTGTCCCTGTCTCCGACTTTGGGTTGGTGCATCTGCTAATACAACCGTTCCATCTCAATCAGTCTACATCCTCGCGATTCCCATTTTCTCCTTCTTCTTGCCTCTCTACTCTTTCTGGTATATGGACAACTTTGCCTGGGGTAACACACGAGTCGTGCTAGGAGAGAGCGGTAAGAAGGTGGTAATTCACGTAAGTTCACACATGGTGAAAGCTTGAAGCGAAAGATGTCTTACCTGCCGATCATCTCTAGGACGAGGGCAAGTTCGATCCGAGGTCGATTCCCGAGAAATCATGGCGCGAATACGAGTAAGTGTGGATCAGATCGCCCCAGAAACGTAGCATCCCCGGTACTGAATCTGCCGTTACCACAGAAACGAACTTTGGGACAACGATAATGACAACCACTCTATCGGAAGCTGGGTACCCGAGAAGCAGCCGTTCGCCGACTCGAGAGCGCCCTCCTTCTATGGACAGCGCACGGATTACGCACCGTCCCACATCTCCCCTTCTGCCTCGCAAGCCAATCTGCGTGGCATGGCAGGAATGCATTCGCGTTCACCTTCTGGGTATGGATTTGCACCTTCGGGTTACGCTGATGATGCAAGAAGCATGGCGGCTCCTTCAATGTATGGAGGTGCTGGATCTATGCACATGGGCACACAGGGCTACGATCAGGCGTCGATCTATAGCGGACATCCAGCTCAACGAGATGCATATAACCACCAGGATCATCTCGGAGCTCAATACCCTATGCCAGGCGGCAACGGCACGCCGACGGGGGCTTTCCCCTCCTCTCGACCGAGCTCGAGATTCCTGCCGGACAACTCGCCGGGCGGTGGTGATGTTACGGACGGGCAGCTAGAAGTCGAGATCCGCAACATTTGCCTGGCAGATGGGACCGACTTGGAAACTCTCACGAAAAAGAGCGTCCGCAGGGACCTCGAGAAGCGATTTGGAACGGACTTGACGAGCAGAAAAGACTTCATCAACAAGACCATCGAGAAGGTCTTGACGGGTGCTTAAGTCGATAAATGACGGACGATATATCTTTAGAACGACCCCTTGATTATAGTCAGACGAGCATATTTACGCCCCTTTCATCAACGCGAGATGTAGTCTTTCGCGACCGATCTTGCCTCTTGTATCCTCTATCTCATCATTTGACTTGCCACTCCTGTCATGGACCTAGACCGGAATCACAGCGGCGAAGGAATGTCTGTTCATGTTGGTCGCGGGAGACTAGCCCGTTTCTTGTGTCAAGTACAAAAGTGCAGTTTGTCCAAAGGCACGAGAACATCAGATTATCATGCCTCCGATTTAAGCAGAAGCCTCGGCAGCGGCAGCAGCGGCAGGACCGCTGGGGCAATCTCTGTGATCAAAATAGATGAATCGTCAATATAGCGGAAAGAACGTGACTGGAATCTGACTGTCTGAAGCGTATTGAACGTACTTGGCGATGTGTCCCTTGGTCTGGCAGTTGTAGCAAGTCTTCTCCTCTACGCTGGGCACAGCCAAACAGTCCCGGGCAAAGTGGTTCTCGCCACCGCATCGTCTGTATCAACAAAGGATCAGTCAGTACCTATTACGGCGCGATGATGATGACAGATAGCGAGCTTACCGACAGGTGACGGGCTTGCCGTCGGTGGTAGTCTGGGGTCGCTTCCTAGCTACAGGGGGAAGACCTCCGCGAGCGCCGCTTACACATTGGGCAGCAACGTGCTATGGAAAGACTGAGCGTGTTAGATTGCATTCGGTCGAAACCTGATCGATGACCAGACTCACGCCGACACCTCCACAAGACTAAGGTGCATAGGGGTCGGAGAACATCCTCAATCAGTATTCACGGCTTCTCACAAGCAAGGTCCAGTGACACTCACGTAACAGCTCTTCGAGGCGTTGGGTCCCGAGAAACCACCTCGTCCGCCTCGGCCACCTCGGAAACCACCTCGTCCCCTGGTTCCGACGGCAGCTCGAACGACGGCGCCAGCGTTCTGAGTAGCGGGGCAGTCGGCCCTGCACGTACCCGAAAGCGCAGTTTAGCTTTGTCCTCCGGGTAGCCAAAGATTGAGACTCACGCAATGTGACCGAGGCCTCCGCAGCCGTAGCACTGCTTGGCATCATGGCTAGGAGCGCTGGGGCAGTCGGTCGACAAGTGGCCGGGCTCCTATTTGCGCGTTGTCGATCAGGAGGATGAAGCGGAAAGCGACGAATGAGCACTTCCATGGCGGTGCTGCCTTCGGCCCAAGACCACAACAAACCTTGCAGTTGTAGCATAGCTTAGCCGATCCACAGTCGGCTAACCGCGCGAAAAGGGTCAGATTCTTGACATCATAGTATGGTTGAACGAAAGAAACTCACCCGCAATGTGGCCCACTGAGTCCGATGAATACGGATCAGAATTTAGACATGTCTCTTTGTCCATTCCTATGATAAGCGCTAATCACATACAGTTTCCACACTTGAAACAGCTTTGAGATACCCTGTTAAGTCGAAGAAGCCCTAGCTCAACAAATAACCCTGGAACTAGCATATACCGGAGGCTCACATCTTCGATTCGTTGCTTCTTCTTTTCGCTTCTCCTGATGACCGCTCTCGACTTCTACTTCTGCTGCTACTTCCGCTGCTGCCTCTGCTGAAACGATACTGTGAGAGGTATTGGGTATCAAGAGATGAGGGTTGTTTCTTTTCTGTACGACAAGGGTCGAGTCCGACCGTCGTTCCCAATGTTCTCCCCTTTTTACCCCGAGGTGCATGTGCGGTGGGGTCTCTCGGCTATCCGCGGGGGCGATTGCTTATCAGTTTAATCGGATTCATGTAATCGAGATGACGTGGCTTTCTGTCAATCATCATCGCCTACCCTTGTTCGCTAGAGGTTAACATCATGCATCATGTTTGTGATACGGGGAGTTCATTCACACCATCCTGTTTTGAGTCTAAGCACCTTTGGTCTCTCTCATATAATACTGCCAAGATCATAAAGCAAGCAAGATGGTAAGCTTAGTTGATGGCACGCGATCGTGACGTTCTTGCTCATCTCTACAATCGACATGACAGGCGAGAAATCAAGAAAAGGCCCAATCGATGCTATTCCGGTAAGCTCCTTTGCCCAAACAATCAGCCGACATGCTCGAAAGACTCGAGCTAATCTCAACTATATGCCCGGAAACTCAGATTTCGGGAGGCTCAGGCCATCGAGATGGGAGTAGCTCGGCCCAAGACCGATCGGAGGCCGCGGATGGCCTCGACCGTCTCGTCTTTGAAGGACTGTGAGCGATGGAGAGGAGAGATCGTCCGGGATATTAGCAGAAAGGTTTCCAAGATCCAGGATGGTCAGTCACTGACCTTCTCCCTGGCACTCGGCTCGATCTTGTGGCTAAATCCAAGTCTTTCGTCAAACTATACAGTTGGCTTGACCGATTATGAGATTCGAGACTTGAACGACGAGATCAACAAGCTTATGCGGGAGAAGGGACACTGGGAGCGTCAGATCGTCACGCTAGGAGGGGCCAACTATCGAAGAGCTAGGACGGCGATGGTGGATGACGAGGGCAGGGAGGTGCCGGGGACACGGGGATACAAGTGAGCCAGGTCCGAGCGATCGACAAGAGGCACCGAAGGGAAGTTGGCTTACTCGCCATGGGACCACTACAGATACTTTGGACGAGCAAAAGATTTGCCCGGAGTCAAGGAGCTATTCCAGCGTGGTGGTAAGCTGGCTGATATACATCAAGGTCGATCTGAAATACTGATGCGACTCGCTTGGTGCATCAGCCGTGCAAGAGACCGAAGAGTCGGCACGACACACAGCCTTTCAAAAGTTCAGGAATCAGGGAGCCGATTATTACGGAGATGTCGATGAGATGGATCAGGAGCTCGTAAAAGAGGAAGAGGCGATGGAACGCCAAGGTCAGTCTCCAGAAGCGAACCTGTGTCTCGTGAGACCGCTTCTGACCTGTTTCGCCTCTTCTGCAGATTGGGACTCGGCCTGTGCGAGGTTGGTGGATGCACTCGAGCTACCAGAAGATACCACAGTGCCACCCTTTCCCAAAGCGAATGCACCAGCCGCGGCGGCTTCGAGCACGAACGCACAAAAGCGTAAAGCTGCCGACGAGGACGTGGAGATGGCCGGAACATCAACTGAGGGCGAGGGGGATAAGCGGGCGAAGCTTGACGGCCAAAGCGTGGAGGAAGGAAGCGATTCGCAAGGAAATACGGACGCTTCGACGGCCGCGGCGTTGGCTTCGTTCTTCGGCGTGTTGGATCAAGCAAGCATGGAACCTCCAAAACAGCCGAACAAGGAGGAACTCGAAGCTATCTTGTTGGACGTTCGGAAGAGGTCGTTGTTGGCTGAATATGGTGTATGATCGGTTGACGGTGGATACAGTAATATATCGAAGAGATTATGCGTTGGGCTTGTGCAAACAACGGTGCAGTCCGCTCTAGGTGACCTCCGAGCTATGCTTCGGCTCGAAACGATATTCTCCTAGGCCGCTGGGAGGTCACGGCTCCTTGACTCAGAGACCAAGCCACGAGTTGAGAGAAACGGAAGACCCATCTAGACGTCTGACGTTCCGGCTCAGTGATCCCTCGCTGCGACTACCCCTCGTATTCAGTATCTTGGACCTGCAGCAGCTCGGATTTTACCCTCTCAAGCTGAAATCAAGGTGCAACCGACAAACCGCACAAGGCAATCTTTACAAGGAGAGCTGGGATAAAAGCGCAGCGCTTATTTCCGTGGATGATGAAGGACCCGAGCGAGCGGGTCGAAATTGAGATTGCTGTACAGGGTCGATTCCTCTCTACAAGAATACCCAGCTTCGTCTTGTGTGCAGGTATGCACAGAGCAGCTAGACCGCACGACAGCCTGCGATCTTCAATCCGCCGACTGCCAACTGAGCAACTGACAATGCGATACAGTAGCAGTAAACTCGACCAGCCTCGGCCGGGGTCTCCAAGATCGTCGATCACGTGTTTGGCGCAGATTTAGCTTCCGGGTCAGCCGATCAGCACCGAGGTGAAGTGATGGGTCGTTGGACGACTTGGAGAGTGTGGGAGAGAGTCGGGAAAGGAGGAGCAAGATAGACGGAGGGTCCTCTGTAGCCAGTACTCTGGCTACAAAGTCTCGTCCACTGCCCTCTGCTTGCACCGCTTTGGAGACCGGGAAAAGCTTTAACCTCGTACCCCTCGAGATCTTTTACAAGCTGTCGTGCCATTAGTTGCTGAAGTTATCAATACGACGCCATCAGAATGAACACGACTATCGGCAGAGAAGAGGACGAGGATCCCTCTCGAACCGTTATGCAGTGGCAATCGAGACTGCCAAACGGTATATCGGCTGCCACCGAGGCCGCAATCGACAGATCTCTGTCCCCACCCCAATCGCCTCCTCCCGCCTATCCTGAATCCGACCTCGATCCCTCCGATTCGGCGTCCCATATTGATTCTGACGATCGTGACATTCTCCTGTACTTGGAAAGCATGAGACCTCGTCTTTCTGATATTACCGGACTTTCCAAGCAGTCGGACTTTTCGGCGGGCGGCGACAGCTGGGACGTATACCGCAAGCTTTTGGATTTCGCTGGCCTCGTCCACCTGTCATATGGACCTGTAATGATTGTCGAAGGTGCCCGGCTACTGCGTATATTGGCTTCCCCGAAGCCTCTGGGCCGGAACTTGAACCTCAAACTCGTTGCGGACCTGAAGCTGTTGGAGAAGGCTATTGATGAGCCGGAGTTGGAAGAATCATACTTGGAAAGACGCATGAACGTCATTATCGTCGTGAGTATGTCTTGATCCTGAGTGTGAATCGGCTAGATGGAGCCCAGAGCATCTTCTCCTCTCGACAGGAAGCGATCAGCGAGATAGAACACGTCGAAATCCGCCACCACGATCTCGACTGGAACCGCGTCCCGGTAACCTTGCAGCGACATGTGGGACTCTCTTGTCCTAAGCCCCGTGGTACCATAGGCTATCCTACGAAAGGATTTGTCAAGCGTGGAAAGGGCATCAAGATTCAGAAGGTGCCTTCGGAGGAGGATCATCCGCTCGGTCGAAAGGCTATGGAGGATATTTTTCGCAGCGCTCTCAGAGAGCACGTGCCCCTGAACTATACCACTGCTAGACTTACAAGCATGCACGAGGTAATCATCACCGAGTATAAAGCTGTGAACAGTGCGAATGCGAAGGCAATTGCTCTCAATCAAAACCTCAATACGGGGTTGTTCAAAGTGAGTATCAGCGCATCGGTTGAGCCGAATGATATCTGATTATACAATTCGTCTTCTCAAAGGTCTGGCAGGATGTCGAATTGGCTCAGTTTCTTGGAGGTACTGTTGCTCCTTGCGTTACGCGAGCGATGGTACTCCGAGCTTATCTCCCCCTCCCCCCTTCCACAGGCTCCTGGAAAACGGAAGTCGCGAAGAACCCCCCATACTGCTTGCTGTTCAGAATCTGTGGTACATGGTGGGCTTTAGACTGGGTCGGCCTTCTATCAATTGATAACAAGAATACTACGGTCAGTCTCGGTCACCGCAGTTACATCAGTTATCTGATCGCTTCCGATTCGCAGCACTGGACTACGCTGAAGGAAGGTAACTGGGCTAAAAATCCAGTTTACTTCCTCAAGACCTTGAAGACCACCTATGAAATCTGTTCAAAGCGCGTCAGAGAGAAGAGAGGCAGTATGATGAAGGAGTTGCTGCGTCGCGCCCGCGCAAGCCCACCGGCTAGTAGCCTGGAACCACTCGAGGAACGTACATACGTTCCCCTGCCCAGGAAAGGCGAAAATCTGACAGCGAGCGTCTCCGAGAATGAGAGCCTGCCTTGAAGAACGACTCGATAGGGTTTCCTGGACTAGAAGACTTCGACACGGCCAGAGCTCCCTTCACGTCACAGCCAGATCGTTCCAAGTAAGCAGCTACATATCATGATATAGCCCTCCGGTCCTCTTCCGCCTTTCCTGATCAGCGGATGGCCATTGTATCTCATCTCATCGCTTGTCGACTATCATGTCTACCTGTTTACCTGAGAACGACTCGGGCAAGCTATCAGTATCGAGCTTCGTACAAGGCTTTACACGTCCGACTCGAGCCAATTTACAGCGTTTGCCTGCCATGTATCATCAGAAACCTCGATCCTTCGCTCCGCGACGTTTCGGTCGGCTTTCAACTGCTTCGTGCGACCACTTTGCATATTCGAAGATCAGGAACGGCAAGCTGTAGCGCTGTATGACGTATCAGCCTCTACCGTTTAGCGCGATCCGCGCCCATTCTCGTACGCCGATCCCCCTTGCTGCCTGGCGCTCGTCGTTTCCTCGACGATGTGCTTCCCGTAATTGCAGCAGCTATCAACGTCAGTGAGCGCCAGATCGCATGTGCGCAGGTGCATGATCCCCGTAGACCATAGGACGACGAGGGAGCGTCTCTCCCCCTTACTACTCTGCGAGCTGCTGCCGATCCCGACCGTGACTCCCCCCCCCCACATCCTCCTGAACCGGTGCCTCCACTTTTGTTTCGCGTAACTAGATTCCGTTCCTCGTGCCCTCCCCCGCCCTTTTGCCCAGAACGAGCGACCATCCCATCCCATCCCCTTCCCGTCGTGAACCATCCATCACCTTGCGCTGTGAACACCAGAGAAGAAGGAGAGAGAGGAGTTACAAGATACTCACTACAGGCCTTACTGCATAAACCGGCTCAATCACACCGCCGACCGCATTGTCTAGTCTTACTGGCAGATCTATCGCTGCTGCACCATATCGTCTGGCAATCGCGTTCCCGATTGGGGAATCTAGACCATAAGAGACAGCTTAAGGAGATCGATCCAGTCGCCATGTCAGGTTTCCCCTATCAAGATGGCCACCCAGGTGTTCCGTCTCGTGAGCAGCAGCAGCAACAGCAGCATTTGCAACATTCACAGCAACACTTCCAGCGGCAATCCCAACCTCAGCAGGGCGCCCATCCGCAATTGACCGGAATGACCGGCTACTCGATCCAAGGGTATCAACCTCAATCCCAGGCTTCTCAGCACCAATCCACCGGATCTGACAGGATGTACGGCTATGCTCAGTCACAGACGTATGGCACAAATTCTGTGACCCTGGCCGCACCTATCAACGTGAGTCTTAGCCCCCCTAGACCTGGTTGCTTCCCGTAAATCTGACTTGTCTCGTTCTCAACTTGGTAGGCCGGTTACGGTTACGACGTCTCGACGTCTTACTCGCAGTATCAAGAGCAGGCTCAACCATCGCAAACTCATCAGCAATATCCTCCTTCTCAGCCGCAATACGCTGATACTCTGTCCTACCCCGCCTCCACGCTCGGTCCCGCTCGACTCGTGCAAGACTATACCTACTCGGATATCCACAAACCCCTTCCTCTCGCCCCCGGGAATCCGTCTGGCTCCGGAACGTCAAGCTTTCCTCAGGAGCAGTACCAGGGCCAAGGAGAGTTGGATGCTTTCGATTATATCAACGAGAGTCGGTATGCGTCGGCGGTATCGACCCCGATGGGAGGACCCAACCAGCACCAGGCACAGCCAGGAGGAGGCCAAGGTGCTGGGTATATTGCGGGCTTTGACGGAGCTGATGGTCCGGAGAATAGGAGGCATGCAGGAGGATACGGTGACGAAGGCGTAGAGCCGTGGAACCGAATGATGTCTGCCGGGAGGTCTGGCGACATTCAGCTGCAACCGCACCATCAATCGCATCACCCAAACCAACATTATTCTCTTCAAGGGACCGCCAATCACCCGTCCTCGGCTGATCCTGGTGCTAGCCTGTTCGTGCCTTTTGCTCAACAGCGCGCCAACAGGGCCGCCAGCAGCATACAGGGCTATTCTCCGGAACCCTTGTCGGCGAGGTCTTTAGGCAACCCTATGAAGGACGCACAACAGGACGCCTTGAAGTACTCGAGTCATGGAGCCGGAGCTCAGTCGTCTGATTCGGCAAGATCGATATCGCCCAATCCCATTTTCTCCCAAGCAGGACAAAGTCGGGTGCAACCATCCTCATTGTCGCATTATCAGCAATCGTCGTACGAAGGCTATCAAGGCGGTAACGATCCGATGGCTGCCTCGGCTTACATGACCAGGGAAGGAGGTCAGATTGCCGACCCTCATGTTCACCCGATCAATGCCGGTTTTGGACTGCCCGTCTCGCAAGAAGGGATGCAATCAGCTTACTCTGTTCCGTATCCCAATCAAATGTCTCATGCTCAGGCTCCAGGTCATGCCAGGCTACCGGCGGGTGAAGCGGCGAAAGACAGTTCCGTGCCAGCCAAAAAGCAGAAAAAGGTCGACGTAGAGGGCAACGATGGCGAGTCTAGCCGTCCCGTCGTCCCTCCTCCCGTCAAGAACGCTTGTCTGTCTTGTCGAACGAAAAAGGCCCGATGTGACGGCATTCAACCGATTTGCACTCAATGCTCCAGCAAAGGTCGGGAATGCGTCTATGTCAAATCCAGGCGAGGTGGGGCCAGGAGGCGCAAGGACAAGTCGTCGCAGAACGTGCCACCTCCACCTCCAAGCGCGCTCAAAGAGTTTCTGGCTCGCCTGGATGGATTGCAGGCGCCTGGTGGGGAACCGCCTGAGCTGGACAGCTTGAGCATGACGGGCGGTGCCGTGGGCGCCGTGGACCCTGCCACAGCCGTTCGAAGTTACGCTCCAGATGACGTGGACGGAATGTGAGTTGACGTTGTTCGACTTTCACGGTTATCTATGAGCCTAACCGCAAGACCTTGTTCTCAGCCTCACCTGCTATTGGGAAGAAATCCATCCTTTCCAAGCTTTGTTGCCTCCGGTCAAACACAAGGACTGGGTCAAGCAAAACTTGATGAATGAATCGCCTTTCTTGATTGCCGTGCGAGCTATCCTATCCCTCAGCCCTCACCCGAAGGATCCCAATCCGAAGTCGCTCTCGTCTCGGAGCCTCCGTCGATCGCAATCGTCTCGACTGGCACGCGAGGCTTCGGATCGGATCGACGAGATCCTCAACGAAGTCGGTGAAAGCGAGGATAGGTCGGTCGTTATCGAGTGTGTGCAAGCGCTCTCGCTGCTCGGTCTGTACGAATTTGCCCAGACTGGTAACGCCGTCAAGAACCGGATGAAGATGAATCAAGCTGTCGAACTGGCCATGGATATCGGCCTTCATCAGGTAGACAAGGCTACCTTTGCCAACAACAAGCCACGAGACGGTCAGACGGTAGGGCGTGGAGCCAGACCTGCACCGGGCAAGCAAGTCGAAGGCAAAGATATCCACAAAGACATGCAGAGGAGGACGTGGTGGGTCGTCTTTGCAGGTATGCTGATTTCGGGGCTGGTAGCCGGCAGGGTAGGTGGTAATCTCGTGATGTATGCAGCTGTACATGGCTCATCCTTCCAAATCCTACCTAGCGTCCCATCGTTGCTCACGATGACAAGCGAATCATGTCCGATTACCCGTCCACCGTTGTCGGAGACGATGTGAGTCGGTCGTGACGCTGCCATTCACTATTACTATCACTGATCGCCGCTCGTCGACTTAGTCCTGGGGCATCTGGATTGAATCGATCGGTTTGGCCTGTCAAGCGATGGATCTCATCATGACGCTAGACTACAATCTGCCCAATCCAAATCCATCCACTCCTCCTATCGATGCCGAGGTGTCTGACGACGAGATGGCCGACATGGGTCCGCAAGAGAAACAGGCCGCCAAGGAGAAGAAGACGCTCCACAGACGCATGGTCAAGCTCGATCGGTCCGTTCTGGATCTTTTGAAGCAGGGCGAGACCATGGCGGTCATCCCTCTGGTGCCCGGAGGCGAGGAAGAGGTCGTAAGAAATCAACAGTTGGCCGCGTCGATGATGTTGGCTGTGTAAGCCAAACCTTTTATCGTCCAATTGTGCCCGTGCCTCGCTCACTCCCATCTTCGATCATAGCTGTCATATCCAGTTGCATCGCCGACAGGCATTCCCAGAAGTCGCCTTGTTCTCCCGAAAGATGTGTGGGCTGCCGAAAGCTGCGGTTGAAAGCAACAGCATCCCCACGCCACAACAATCCATCTCTGGCTACTCGGGAGGACAAGACTATCTGGACAACAATTCGGCATACGGAAACGGCTCACACCTTGGTTCTGCGACGGGGAGCAGCCTTGCACTGGGGTCGACCGCTACTGTGCCGCGATCACACTCTCAAGCAGATAACCCCAAAGCCTTGTTACCGATTTCTGATGCTCAGACCTTGCCGCTATCGCAAGAGGCACTCGCGGCAATGAACACCATGAACACTTCGATGGACGGATTGCTATGGGACCCTTCGATCTACCCAGCATCCTTCCCCACACCGTGGTTTGAAGCGCCCAAACGGGCGGCCGAGCTGTACCAACCTTTGCAGGAAGCACCAGCTTGGCTTCCTCCCCTCAACGGCTACTTCACTGCAGAGACCGGTTACATTGGGACACACCTGGACGGATTTGATGGTATGGGTATACCGATCAGCAACACTCAAGACGTCTTTTCGGGAGGATACCCCTCGAGTTTCGCGCTCCATCAGACAGCCGGTAGCCAGGGTCAATCGCAAACCCCGCCAGCCGTGCCGCCCAAGACGCACAAGGCTTGGGGAGTCGATATCGCTCGTCCTGCGGTACAGCTGTCTCTGAACAAGCCCGCTAGTACGGTCGAGCTCGATGAAGCTGCAGACGACGAGGCGGAGAATCCTGAAGCCGTTGTCGTTGGGCCGGACGGGCCTTTCCCTCCGGGTATGAGTCTGGCAAGAGTAGCACAAGCCGCACATAGTCAGTCTCCTTGATCTCGCGAGCGTCCACACTTGCCATCCTGACCGTGATGCGTACTTCTAGGTGTTATCCGACTAGAGGTTTTGCACCGGAGTGCGACGTTGGCTTTATGTAAGACTCCTGATCTCGCAAGGTTTGTATCATTTTCACGAGGACTCACGTGTGTAACCGTCTTTGTAGGGAAAGGGCCTCCCAAGTGGCTGCCATTCTGCGCTTGCGTAAGCTTGCTCTCAGCGACATCGTTCGCAAAGTAGCACGACTGACAACTCGATGCAACAACAGGGTCTTTTGAGCGGGGCGTACTCTTTCCTGCTACTATCCCTAGCTGTACAGGCTTCCTCGTTCTCCGAATCTGAAGACAAGCCCCAATCGGAAGAACTCGAAGCCTTGATGACGAATGTCAAGGTCATCTTGGCCGGTCTCGAAGCTTACGGAACGATGTGGGACGGTATTGATATGATGGCCGGTGAGTCGACTGGCTTCAACGCCACTAGTATCAGGATAACTGACACGTACGAGTTATCAGGCGAGGTCCGAGCCGCATTGGATGCAGCCAAGAAGCTGCCAGACGAGATCCGCTTGAACTCGTTATCACCTTCTGCGACGCAATAATCCAAACATACAAAAATACGGAAAAACTCCCATATTCGAATACACTAACTAAACCCAACAGCAGTCAGCCTTCTTTGTATTCTGGGAAATCCAGAGGAACCTATCAGTGATCAGTGATCAATAATGATCAGTTGTACCGTTGTATCGATACGTCTTATGATCATAACCCTCGGTTTCGCCCTCGATCGCGGCGATGCGTGACGCGTGGTGACGGGTTCAGCCAGACCTAGCGAGCTCGCGAGCTCGAAGGTGCAGAAGCAAGGATTGTTGAGAGCAATTGTACAATCGGTACTAAACGACGCTCCCATTATACATATCATGCATATAGAGGGTTCCAAGCTACAAGCTACAATAACTCGTAACATCCATACTTGCCCGAAATCCACATAATACGTGTAACAACCGAAGGTGCCAGTGACCGGGGTATCTTACGGGGTTTGGGTCGCCAATTCAAGTCGACATGCCAGCTGCAACGCCATCGGATACATCCCCCGAGGACGAGGAGTTTTACGCTTCGTATGTTAAGATCCGAAAACTCCAGGAAGGACTCTGGCTGATCGACACCGAGTCTATGCTACTTCGACCCGCTCCAGTTGGGGACTGTAAGTCGACGACCGAGTGACCTTGAGCGAAACATTGACTAAGAAGATTGTTATTCTCGGTCACAGATGTATCCTATGTGTACTCCTCATCGGAGCTCTTATCTGCTCTTATTATCTCCAGGTGAAAAGGATCCGAGCGATCCACGAGACCGTGGTGTCCATCTTCGCAGGTGAATTCGAACCTCGTCAGAAAGTGCTGCAAATGTGCTCTATAGGTGCTGATTGTCGACCCGTGTCGTCTTAGGGATGGTTGTCGGTCTTATAATCCGTTTATCGCCCGGTCACCTTATCCGGGAGATGTTGGTCAGTGGAACTGGTCAAGGTCGTATTGTTCGACGCTGACGGAGCTTGATAATCCCTTCAGTCCTTCAAACACACCCTCTTCTTCAACCTTTTACTACCGCCAATCATTCTCAACTCAGGCTATGAGCTTAAACAGGAGAACTTCTTCAGAAATTTCGGGACAATCTTGACGTTCGCTTTCCTTGGAACCTTTATCTCCGCTGTTGGTCTAGGGTGAGTTTCCAGACATGTTCACCCGTCCGCTAGATCCTATCGATTAACCGAACGGTATCACCTGGCATCGTCTATAGAGTCTTGGTGTACATATGGTCATTCTTAGGCCTCGAAGGCCTCAAATTCACCCTGCTGGAGTGCTTGATCTTCGGCTCGACCTTATCAGCAACTGATCCAGTGACGATCTTGGCGATCTTCAATACCTATAAAGTTGACCGTACGTAGAGTGCGCGTCTCAATTAGACATAGACCTACTTGGAGCTCATGTCAGTCCTCTTTGATCTTCCCAGCCAAGCTCTACACTATTATCTTTGGAGAGAGCATTTTGAACGATGCAGTGTCCATCGTCATGTATGAGTGAGTAGCGTCGGGACACGCCGCGAAGCCTTTGTGTTATGACCGCTTACGCTCCCCTGCACCAGGACACTATCACAATTCCACGGTGAAGACATCTATTTGTCCTCGCTGTTCCACGGAATTGGCATCTTCTTGCTTTCCTTCTCAATCTCGATGGCGTTAGGGGTCGTCTTCGGTCTGATGTGCTCGCTCGGATTGAAACACTCGAATTTGGCCCTCTACCCTCACATCGAGAGCTGTATCGTATCGCTGGTTGCATATTGCGCATATTTCTTCTCCAACGGGTTGAGCATGAGTGGTAAGCCTACGTAGTGATAGGATCCTATTAGCGCTTGATGACGCTGACAGATTTCGACCAGGAATCGTGTCCTTGCTTTTCTGCGGAGTGACCCTCAAGCACTATGCGTATCACACCATGTCCGTCAAGACCCAGAAGACCACAAAGTACATGTTCGCGGTCATGTCGCAACTTTCGGAAAATTTCATCTTTATCTATCTCGGTCTCAACCTGTTTACCCAGGATGCACAGGTCTTCAAGCCTTTATTCATCATCGTAACAGCGGTATGTGTCGTGGTCACTCGAAAGATCGAATGGAAAGATCACGAACTGATAGCGGTCTATCCGTATGATAGATCGCGGTCATGGCCTCCCGTTACGCAGCCGTCTTCCCCCTATCAGAGTTGATCAACTGGGTTTTCCACACTCGAGGCCAGAGGCACGAGGAGATTCCCCATTCGTATCAGATGATGCTCTTCTGGGCCGGACTTCGGGGAGCCGTCGGTGTCGCCCTCGCGGCCGGTATCACGGGCGATAACGCAGACGCCCTGAGAACGACGATCCTCGTTGTGGTCGTCATGACCGTCGTCATCTTTGGAGGTACTACAGCAAGGATGCTCGAAGTCCTTGGGATCCGCGTTGGTGTCGAGGACGATGATGACAGCTCGGACGATGATGGCGGCTGGACTGCACACGGAGGCAACCTGGCTCTCGCGATGGGTCCAGGTAGTCGCAAGTTCGCTGGGAGGCATCCTTATGGAGACGACTATGACGATGGCTACAATAGCTACAGTGGTTCTCCGCTGGAATCGCCTTACCATCCGTCAGGCACATTCCCCTTGGACGTCGGTCGATCGCGAACCGTATCGGGCGGGTCTCGAGCTGGACCTTATGGAGCGAAAGGGAGACAAGCTTCGACTGGCTATTCCGCCGGCTCGAGCTCGGATTCGGATGACAATGAACCCCTGCCCAACGCTCAAGACATTGAACAAGGTGGTGGAGGCGAAGAACCGCCTTCGGCGGGCATGGTCTTCCGAGACGGACAATGGTTCACCCAGCTCGACGAGCGATACCTCTTGCCGCTCTTTTCCAACTCTGTGGCGAGCCGCCGACATCACTTGAAAAAGGCCGGCAGGAAGAGTAGCAATTACGGAGGCGACAGTTCGCCCACGCAGACGCGAGGCCCGAGCGTGGATTGGGGACATCGGGAGGGTCAGTTCGGGGATGGGGATAGCGAGAGCGGCAAGGGAAAAGGGCCCTCGCGGAATTTCAGGTAAGAGGACGAGCGAGAGCCCGAGGGTTCCTTTCTCGCGCCAGGCTTTCCGAGGTGCGTGAGCTCATCCCCGAACGACATCACAGCGAATCCGTGACGGATTTTTTCTTCACTCGCCCGGAGGGCACAGGCTCACCTTCCGGGACGATGAGTCCCTCGTTAGCTCACCCAAACAGCGCTGGAGGCGGCGAGGTGCCGAGCCCGATGAGTCTGGCACAGGGGAGCAGTAGCAATCGGACCCGATCGAGGACGGATCTGAGAAGCCTGGCGATGACGCAAGGGTTACAAGGGCCGGGGTCGACGACTTCGGAGAGTGGGCGGGGAACGATGAAGTGAGGCAAGGATAGGGGGTGGATCGATTGCCGGGGAGATCTCTAGACGCTTGGGCGAAGGTGGTCGTTGGTCTCGCGAAATCGAGGGATATGCAGGTTCCTCGATGAACAGGGGCACGACTAGTCTTTGCTGTTGTATATACATGTGCCGGGATAGCATCGATGGCGATTCCAGCAATCTCATCACGAGCGCATCACGGGGTGCGTGTCCTGTCATTCGAAGGAGTAGAGTACAGCTAGTGTAGTTGTCTTGAACGCGAAGGGAGGCCAGGGGGGGGGGGCGACGCGTGCTCGAGTGGAGGGAGCGAGAGCTTGCTCTGTTCGAGTGGGTCAGGTGATCTCGAACCTCACCACCCTCACCCACCTAGCCTACACACCACTCTCGACAGTTCGCTCATCGCCGACAACAAGTCTGGTGAGACGCTCCCATCTCACCCCCCCCCCCCCCCCCCCCCGACCACCACCTCCGATAGACCCGTTCGGATACGGTACGCCTCGAGGCCCGGTCCGTAGGCAGCCCGACTCGTCTAGCCTCGTCCAGCCAGCCGCATCCCTCGGGGCAAAGGTGTCTGTGAGGCTCATGTCGCATACCGATACCGAATTCGCTATCAGGAAACAACTAGCAGACGCCAACAACGATAACGACGACAAGTACGAACGAGCCTACAGCGGCGGAACGAGTCAGGTCGAGCTTGACATGATGACGACCGATCCGAGCTCGTCTGCTCAGCGCGAACAGCCTGATCAGGGAATTCATGAGCCTCGACACGAGGAGGCGGAGCAGGATATGGACGGAGGTGATGAAGAGTATCGAGCGGTAGAGGAAGTAATGCATGGTATGGAGGGGAACCATGGGGAAGGACACATGAGTCTGGCTGACGCAGAGGCGGCGAGGGGAGAGGGGGAGGGGCCGGATGACGCGAGGCAGCACGACGAGGATCACGGCCATGATCATGACCACGATCACGGGCTGGTGAGTCTGACGTGTCGCAAGTCTAGCTCGAGAGACAAAGGGGACTTGATGCCGTGTATGTGCTGAATCTCAATTCCACTCTGTCGACTGTGCAGACGCATGACAGGTTACACATCCTCGCCGAACAGACCGTGGATGCCTCCCACGGACCACCCCCGTCGATGGCTGAACAGCTGGACCGACAACACCTTCAACACGCCGGCGACCTCCTCTCCTTTGCCTCGCTCGGTGCGGGTCCTTCTGGCGACCCAGATGGTTTCGGTCGGATCTTTGCCGATCAGGCTCACGAGCAGACGGCCGAGATGGGGGATCAACCTGGGATGCATGAGGATGGGGGTGAATATCAGGTCGACCTGAATACCGAAGGGTATCCTCCCCAGGCAGGGGACGAGTCGGGATTGTTCGAACCGGTACACGAGGGGCAGGACGTGGGTGATGGGATGAACTTGGGAGAGATGGGCTCGGATCAAGTCCAGAGCAACCCGAGAAAGAGGAAACGACGATCCCCGAAACCATTAAACCAGGACGAGATTGAAAACAAAAAGGCTGCTCACGTGAGTCTCGCCGCCTTGCCACCTATAGGCTGAATTCGCCATTCGCGAAGTATACTGACGGTTCCTGTGACCAACGCTCCCGATCATGCAGAAAGAGATTGAACGAAAACGGAGACACAACATCGCCGCTGGAGTCGAAGCCATCGCCGGGATCCTGCCCAACGGGGACAAGGAGAAATACAAGGGCCAGATCCTCTTCCGGGCCGTAGAATACATGCAACAGCTACAGAAAGATACCGTTCGACTTCCCGAGCTCGAGGCGAGGAACGTGCAGCTGGAAGACCAGTTGGAACAGGCCACGTCTAATATGCCGGGATTTCAGGGAGCGAGGATCGAAGAGTTGGAACGACAGAATCAGGTTTTGAGGCAGGAGAGCGAAGATCAGGCGAGGAAGTGGGCCTTGGAGAAGGGGGTCATGGAGGACGATTTGATGAGTCTCAGGGTGAGTCACGCACGCATCATCTCTGATCGCACGTGCCGAGATCTGATGCGTTGTGCGTCTTCCTCTTTGGCTTAGGCTCAGGGTCGAGGTTCGTCTGCGGACAAGGACCATCACTCGCTTACAGAAGAATACCACCGAAACTGGCGAAACGAAGAGAACCGAGCGAACAACCTCGCCGCTGAGCTGGAGCGTCTCAAGGCGGAATCGAGGGAGGGTGAAAGGCCACAAGGGTTTTGAGATCTGGTTTTTGAGCAGCGTGTCGGCTCGAGCATCCGCGTTCAGATCTTACGTTGGGGTCAGCTTGACTTGTGTCTTTCGGTCTTAGCTTGTGTCGATGTGACGCGTGTGTATATGGGAAGGACTGTGGATTGTTGTAGTACTTTCGAAACCTTGTCGATGTCTATATATATATGGTCTATCAAATTGTGGATAGACACGACCGACCCCCTCATTCTTTGGACCTCGCGTGGATCCGGTTTCGCGCTCCCTCCACCTTTCGTGGTGCTCGGTCAGGACTTGGTCGAGTGTCGACCAATGATTCGGGATGATCGCCAATTTGACCCTGGATAGTCAGTTCACATCGTACGTCTGCATTCATCAACGTCTACCGAGGTCGGAGGTTCTGCACATCAATCAATCAAGAAATGACCAGGTCTCGTATGTACATCTTGCGATCTGTTTAGAGCGAAGAGTCAAGCACATGAGATTTACCTGTGCGACCCGTTATAGATGCCAAATCAAACACCAGTGGGCAAGTCGTCTCCTGCTCCGCCCCCTCACCGTACCTCGACTGAACTCTCGCACTGACATATCGTTGCTACGTCAGTGCTCATTACACTTATCATGAACGGCGACAGACAGAATACGGCTCAAAGTCCCAGCGGATAGGAGCCGATTCGATGAAGAAGCTGGATTCGTGCTGTCTGTGTCTCGGACAAGCACAGAACTCGGTTGCATGTTCAAAGGGGCACTTGTACTGCAAGGAATGCATCTTGAGCAGCTGTGAGTGATGGACGTCGGTAGCCGTCATGGATTCAGGCGACTGATCGACATAGCCCGTCCTCGACCAGTACTCTCGCAAAAGGCTCAGATCAAGAGTCATCAGGAATCGTTGACCCAGTATGCCTTGTCAGAAGAGCAAGACCGCCAGCGTGCGAAGCAAGAAGCCAGAGCGAGGGTCCTGAAGGACTTTGAGCGGGGTCTGGGATTGGGAACGCCAGGCTCGGGATCGGTCAGTGCCGTGAAGAAGGACGACAAAGTGGAACTCAAGTCTGGGCAGGACGCTGCGGATCTCGCTAGAGGGACGAAACGAAAGTTTGAATTCGATCAGGGTGCAGTAGAACGTCTAGCACAAGAGGCAGAGGATGCTGCCATGGCGGAGATGGAGGCAGAGCAGGTGAGCCAAGGGACTGTCGACCGGACTCCCTGTGGTATTCCTCGTTGACAGGCCTTTTCTCCTTACCGTAGGCCGAAGCTCGAAGATCAAAGCTACCTTCTTTCTGGCTGCCAACTCTTGCCCCGGAAGCCAAGATTGGACCCCTGAAGGATGTAAAGCTGCAGACTCTCTGCAATGTTGGGGAAAGTCATCCTTTAGCGTGAGTTCACCAGATGAACATGCAGGTCGAACCGATCAGTGTCCTGTCTCTCTCGGACTTGCCCTCATTCTGATTTCTTTTAATCCCCTCCACCTCCTCAGAATGAAGGGCCTCCTCCCCGTCATCTTCACGTATCCGAATGGTAGCAAGGCCGACTCGAACTCGGCGACCAGAGACAAGCCGATCTGCCCGTCATGCTCCCGCGAAATGACGAACGCTACACGGTGTGTGCTCCTCAGCTCGAGATCTCCAGCAGGTGCAGAGCCGCCAAAGAAGAAGAAGAACGGAGAAGATGGGAAATCAAAGGAAGAACTCTGCTGTGGACATGTCGTTTGCGGGACTTGCGCCGATACGGTTGTCAAACCTGGCAAGCAGTGTGTGGTCTGTGAAGCGTCCATACGCCCAGATAAGGACATGGTCGATCTCGATAAAGAAGGTTAGCGACTGTCCGCCTTCTCGGGCCGGGACTTCTACTCGAGAATTGACCCATCTTGCCGGCGACGTCCGGTCGATATCGCCAAGTATCGACAAAAGTGCACCATGCTGACCACTTGTCGTCGTGTGACAGGTACCGGTTTCGCTGCGGCCGGCGGAGCTGAGGCTCGCAAAGCCGGGGTAGCTTTCATCTAGGTCTTGATCTGGGCGATCTAGGGTTCGTCGTCATGCAGGCGGAATGCGTGGAATTTCAGAACGATGTACCATGCGGTTCCCGGACTACGGAAGATATACGATTACCAGCCAAGATGTTTACTACGTAGCGCGAACCCGGACGGATACGATATCCAACATCAGCTCGTAGTGAAAAGCTCCGATAAGAAATCCCCGCGGCGACCTTGTTGCGAGTGCACTGCCAAGATAAAACGCGAAGCTACATGGACGCGCTTGGCGGGAATCAGTTACCGTCGAAACGCGCAGGTTCCTCGTTTGACGTGGTGTTGGAGTTGCCCGAACAAAAGTCGCTCCTCCAGCTTTAGTTCAGATTGACCCACATGGTACAATCGTATCTAGCACGTAATCTGATCTCGAGGTGTCGAGTTTCGAGCTTGCCGGTCGGCTCAGGCCATCGCTTTGGAAGTCACCCGGCGATGGGGACGGGTATATATGATGCATGGGCAGAGGGTGAATTATCGCATAATGGCAATTCAGACTGACAGTCAAACAAGATCTCAGGCACAGATCAATACTACAGCAAATTATCGATGTCTACCAACGCCCATCCCATTCTCGATTTCGAGTCGGCGCCTGTGCGCCCGGAAGGCTTACCGGGTCGCGCGCACGACATTCCCGAGAAGGCGCCTCTCTACGAGAACGAAAAGGACGAGAAGAACGACATGGCTCTGACCCAACAAACGTCTGTCACTCCTATTGAGAGCCTCGACGATGAGGATTACGAGGGAAAGCCTACCGAGGAAGAGATGTTGACATTGCGAAAGGTTCCGGGAACCATGCCTTGGACGGCGGTCGCGATGGTCAGTTGCGCTCAGGATGGCATCAGCTTCCCGCTATCCTTGCTTATGGTTGTTTCTGGATCGCAAACAGTGTCTGATCGAGCTATCAGAGAGGTATAGAGCACTTTTTCCCCATTTGAGATGAGCGTACTCGAAGCTGATGTGTCCTTGACTCCCGATATACAGAGCCTCTTACTATGGGTAGGTCTATCTTAGCGCGCAAGTGAAGCCACGCGACGCGAAGCTTATTTGTTCGCTTCCCCCTCAATATACTCGTAGATGTGTACAGCTCTTCAACAACTTTGTCAGGCACGTGACCGTTTGAGCACGACGCACAGGTCGACAAAGAAGCTGATAATGTCTGCTTTTCGATTTCAGAGCACCGCTGCCTGCCGGCGGGCCCGGTACCGATCGCAGAAACGCCAGGTCAGACGATTTCGATGTAGTAGAAAAAAAACAGCATGACATGTTCCCCTTGTGGTCATTCGTTTGAAACGTCTCCGCCTCACAAAATTTCTGTCCGGTCGGATTGGGGAACCTCGCCCATTTATCCTCCTCTTCTGCCACGCTGAATTGGCCGACGGGTACAAAGACTGACTGTACTATCTGCTTCCCGTTTGAGAGATTTCCATTGCGTTGTTGTCACAGCTCTGTGAGGGACTGGTGTACGCAGCAGGAACCTCGCGTCTAGCGATATTATTGATGACTTGCTACAATCGGCTGATGGCTGATCCTTCAATACAATCGGCACAAACGGGAATTTGAAGCTTGCTGATCGGCTGACGCTATCGCTTTCAAAGTAAGGGGTTGCTCGGTATGATTCGTCGAAATGAAGGGTTAGGAGAGGGTTGTCAGCACGAGCCCGGGCATCGAAACAAAGGGTCGGACAGACTCACGGGGGGTGGGGTGGGGGGGGTGGGGGGGGAGGGGACACGTCGAAAGATGCCAAAGCAGCTGGGAGAGGAATCACCTCGGAGGCGAGGCGAATTGAAAGAGGAATCACCATGAAGGCGAAAGCGGTCGAAGAGGAATCGCCCGGAGGCGAGGCAGATTGAAAGAGGAATCGCCCGGAGGCGAGGCGAATTGAAAGAGGAATCACCATGAAGGCGAGGCGAATTGAAAGAGGAATCACCATGAAGGCGAGGCGAATTGAAAGAGGAATCACCATGAAGGCGAAAGCGGTCGAAGAGGAATCACCATGAAGGCGAAAGCGGTCCAAGAGGAATCACCATGAAGGCGAAAGCGGTCCAAGAGGAATCACCACGAAGGCGAAAGCGGTCCAAGAGGAATCACCACGAAGGCGAAAGCGGTCCAAGAGGAATCACCACGAAGGCGAAAGCGGTCCAAGAGGAATCACCACGAAGGCGAGTTATCGAGAGGAATCACCACGAAGGCGAGTTATCGAGAGGAATCACCACGGGGGCAAGTTATCGAGAGGAATCACCACGGGGGCGAGTTATCGAGAGGAATCACCACGGGGGCGAGAAGGCAGGCGCGGATGCAATTCAGACGGACAACAAACAACAACAACAAATCAAAGCGAATGGGCACCGTGCACCGTGATGTCACTGGGTCCCCCACACAATCTTGACGCGCGATTACGTAACGAACTATTCAGTCATGGACATTTGGAACATGGTCATCTCCAGGATTCCGGAACGGAAAGGTAAGCTTGAGCTCACCAGACTAGCATCTCTCATCAGTACACCAAGGTAGGTAACGTCCAAGCATGTTTTCTGAGCCGACCGAAATGGGCCGGCGGGGTCAAGATCCTCAAGAGGGATTTCTCTATCTCTCTCTCTCTTTCGAGCTACCTACGCGCAATACATTTCTGGCCGTAGACCTATCTCTGCGACGCTGTATCAGGAAGTGCTCGAGAGTCTTTTCTCTGGAGAGCACAGCGGACGGTCTACAAGATTACTCGATATCGATCTAGCTTCCTTTCGGACTCGCCACAACATTATTCATCCACCTCGCCCTCTCACCTCATTCGCGCCCGCGCCGCTCCACATCACCAGATCACTCATCTAAATAGCAATAGATATACTGCACGTCTTGCGATTTTGAGCTACTCATCTGAAAACTTGAATGACATCGGTGACAAGCTCAGGAGCGGTAACAAGAACAGGCCGACCACCTGGCCATCATCGATCTGCTCCGCGCGTGATAGCAGCTACCTTTTCTGCGAAGTCATCATCGCCTGCTCCGCCTTTCGGCAAGCCGTTCACGAATCGACTGAACCGCCTCAACATAACGACATCATCTAATGCTTGGAGAGGACCTGGACGAACAGCACAGGGGGCTCAACGGGCCATTCGGCCCGGAGGAGGCCGATCTGGACGACGACCGAGGGAATCCTCTTGACTTTCAACTTTCCGGAAGTCGAGATGTTCCTGGTCCTGCACGAGCATCGGGTCCCGTCCCTCACCTAGTCGCACTTTACCAGGGATTGAAGGGGAAGGATCCTACACAGCTGATGCCTGACCAGGTCATCTTGATGTACTACGAGTTGATCGTCGATGCGGGGGATGACGTTACCTGGGATCTATGGCTTGCTTTTGCTAATGCGGCAAAAGGGACACCTGCAGTGGCCAATGAGAAGGTCTTCAAGGTCACTGATGGCGATCTCGTCAAGCTGGCTCCCCCCCACAGATTCAATCTGCGGGATGATATGTGTCACCGGGTCTTGTTGAGGAATGGCCGGGTTGTGCCACGCATGGCACTGGTTCTCGGTCTCATGCAACACTTCAACCCGCTACTGGCCGAACGGATCGTCAGTGGCCAGAGTGTCAGTCCGCAGGACTTGGCCACCGTGTTTCCCGCTTGGGACCGGCACAAGCAGGGGAAAGGCGTCGGGGTGTATGCCCTGGTTTGTAGCAGGGCGCATCCGGCGAAGACATACATCGTGAGTCCGATGTCTGAATGTCGTGATCTTCTCGGTCCTAACATCTTCATCGCTGCCTGCAGGGGATGACTTGCCAATCATTCGCCCAGCGCATCGAAACGCACCGTCAGTACGGGCACGGCAATCACAGGCTCCGCGCCGAGAAAGAGCGAGTGGATTTTCAAGACTGGCTTGTATACATCCTCGTTGATTTCGGGCCCGACTATCGTGGAAGCGCACTCAGCCCCACGATCATCAACGCCATGGAGATCGGCTTGATCGTCATGCTGGGAACCACCCTCGATGGTCAGGGTTTGAATGAGAGGGTCAACATCTTCCAACCCTGTTACATGAATGAAAGTCCGGTTTCGCGACGCTGGCTTCGTCAGGCCTGGGAGAAAATCTGGAGGGTCACAACATCTCCAAACGGCTTGCGGATACCTACAGGCTCCAGGGCCTCGGAGGAACAAGTCGGGGTTACTAGAAACGGAAGCCCCTTCGTCGACTTCCTGGAGCGCATTGGCCTTAGCGGATGCCGTAGTCCAGTAGGCCTGATCAAAGCTATCAAGATGGCCCTAAATGGTACCCTGCCCCGTAGGGCGGCCACTATTCGAGAGCTACAGAGCAAGTGGCCGATTACGCACGAGTGCTTCGAGATCAATAGGCGAGTAACTCCGAAGATGAGGACGCGAGCGCCGATAGAATCGGAATCGTGTGTGGGGAGAAAAGAGCGGACACGAGCGCCGTACACCGATGCATGGAGCCCGACCGTCAGTGTCTCGACGAGTTCCGTATGGCTCTAGACTAAACTGACGTCGAGTTGTGCTTCACTTAGTACGAGGACAAGATTCCCGAGGGCGACAGATGGGTATGGTCGGATGAGGCTGGCGGTATCATCCCGTTGATACGTACCAATGCGCCTGACTATACCATCTGGGCGGCGAGCGATTCCGAGAAGGATGGGACTGCGTTCGTTTTCGACCCATCGACTTAGAAGATTAGCTCTCTTCCCTTTGTGAAGTTGGACAATGATGATGCCAGGCGAAGATTGGTGTTGCATCCGTAACTATTATTACAGACTCCACGCTTTTTTCGGCCTAATGCTCTTGCCATCCGTCTAGCCATTACCGCCGCCATCGTCGCCCAGTTGCTGCCGAGGCCTCGTGCTTCATGAGAACCGGACCACAATGCTCTACGATGGGTGTGAGGCTGAATTCCTGACCTAGCAATTCGACACCAGTCAGTGCCCCGCTCGCATCAAAACAGAACTGAGACAAACTCACACCTGGACCGGCGATCAATGCACGCACGAATCCGCCGCCTTCCCCCCTCCGGGCAACATGTCTGAGCTGCTCCATCGCCTGTTTCTCCTCCGGGCAGTTTGTACCTCTCCATTCCCTCTCGATCACTGCCCAGATCGCGAACAGCATACGGCATCGTTGGGCGGCTACAGACTGAAGCAAGGCGAAGGCGAGGAGGCGAGATTTAGCTATCACCGTGAGAATTAGCTGGCAATTTCGTTCACAGACATATACATACCTTTACCAGCAAGAGCCGTTTGAGCGTATCCACCAGAACGACAATACCTCCCTCCCCACCGACACCCGTCAATACCTCCCACAGACCTCCCTCGTCGCCTCGTTCGACGACTTTGACTAGCGAATCAACGTCGAGGTCGTTGCTGAGCCTTGGAGCGGGCGGTGGTGGAGGTGCGAGGAAGGCCGGCTTGGCAGTGGGTGAGACGAGAGAGGAAATGGGCCGGCGCTGAATGCGTTGAGAGAGCATGGTGAGGACCTTGGACATTCTGATGGGCTGGTGGGCTGTCGGTCGCTCAGTTCCAGAGATGCCAGAGATCAAGGTAGGCGGTATAGCAGCTAGTTGCTAGTACCTAGTAGATCACCAGCTCACCAGAGCTGGTCGGGCTCAGCAGGGAGATTCGGATCACGTGATTCGGAGCCGATGTCGGGACCGTGATCGTTTGCTCATATCTGCTCATCAATTCAACCCACCATGCATCATCATTTCGATCAATCATCTGCGCTCTACAGATCTGCAGCTCACTACCATGCTCAACCTACCGATCTCGACCGTCGTCAAGTATACCCGGGGGTCCTCGACACCACAGCGGCTCACCGGCTTCAGTGACCTGTGCGTGTACGACCCTCGTCTGGCCCGTCTTGACGGGCCCCCACCTTCGTCCGCCACCGTCATCGTTGTTCCGTGGGAAGCCTGTCGAAAGGCCATCTGCTACACATCTGAGTCGTCCTACCACATATCGTTCGCCATGTGGGAGAATAGGACGGTACTGACGGTGGAAGGGCCTATGACGCTTCGTCGCGGGCTTGACATCAACCTCTGGCTTGTGAGTCAGTTCAACGAGACTGCCTGCCTATACACGTTACTTACCTCGTTCTATCTCAAAGGGGTTCAACGGCATGGACAACAAGGCGGCAAGATTTAGCAAGCCGGACTACTTGGAAGCCAGAGCGTCCTGGTTGGCCAACGGTAGTGCTTGGATGCGTGGCGGGGATGAGGTCCTATGGCCGACTTGGCCACAACATCAGTAAGTATCATCTCTACACGCTACGGGACCGGCCTTTGCTTATTCGTCCTCCTCACTGACCTCAGTAACGACCAGGAGGATGTGGAGATGCACCCAGCCACACCTCCCACGCTAAATCGAGCTCCTCCGCTCAAGCGACGTCAGGAGGATCTCAGTTCCGACCTTCGAGACCCAGACACCCCCGATCGTCGTCGAGGTGCAACTGACATGCATAAGTCGACGAATTGGACGCATACGAAGTGGGGAGCACATGCAGATGCGAGGGATCTGGAATCCATATCGGGCAACCAGCGACTGACCAGCTGGGCTGTCGATGCGGTATCCCGCAAACTCCTCGCGTCGTACGAGATGTCGAACCAGGCGGTTTGGATAGCTCCTCTCGATCTGGCGAACCCTGCGGTTTCGAAGTGGGTAGCGCGGGACTGGGTCCTACCTGTACATGAGGTGCAGGAGCTACAGCAGCGAAGAATTGTAAGTTATATTCTAGGTCCTGCCACGTCGAAAGCCACCGATCACTTGCTAAAGCTCACCGATCACCTAGTGGTTCATCCCGGTGCTCGTCAAGGGGCATTATTGGCTGTTAACATTGGAGTACGGCCGCGGTCAGTCTTTGTTCCCTTTGTGCGCAAATCGAACGAAAATTTCTGAATTTCCTTTTTGCCTACTCGACTTTTTTTGCAACCTTAGCTACAACAGGCCGCAAAGTGTACTTTTCTGTATACGACTCAGCCGTCGGTTATTACGAGTCGCCCGATCAAGTATACAGACAGGCCATCGACACCGTAATCATGAAGATCCACCGTGTCGGTGGACAGATTCCGGGCGGCTCTTTCGACGGCGGCTCTTTCGACGGCGGCTCTTTCGACGGCGGGTCTTTCGACGGCGGGTCTTTCGACTTCGACTTCATCCCTACGCCGATGCAAACGCATGACAATTCCTGCGGGATACATGTCCTGATGAACATCGGTACGCTGGTGGAACAAGGGAGACCTTGGGAGGGCGTGGGCCCGGACGAGATCATGCCGTTGAGACGTCACCTGAGGGAGATGGTGGAGTGAGGTCTTTCAAATTGCATGTTGTAACGTTTGGAAAGACTGATAGTAGCCAGTAGCCAATAGTGGAATATGCCATATGTCTTTTGTTCACGTGATTGTATTGAGGAATTCGCTTGATCGCGTCAAAGAGTTCGCGTTTCCTGGAATTCCTGGCTAATTCTCTCCCCGCATGAGGCGGTCATCATATCATCATACCGTACTATCATCTGTGCATCTCTACCCCGTCTTGTATTGATTTCCGACATCCCTCCCCTCCTCGTACCGGCGACGCATTGTCCAACAGGCAAATCTGCCGACTCGCCAGCTCAGCTCCAGCTCAGTTCTTCAGTGAGTCTGTCGGAACGCCCATCTTGGCGTACTTGGAGCGTTATGCGTTTGGTCGGCAGTTGATCCCATCTCCACCTCAGGTATGCCTGCCTGGCCGTTCGACACATGCTCCTTCGTCAAGCTAGCCAAGGAGGATCCGAAGTCATTGATCGCCGGCCTCGAAGTTCGGTGCGAACAAGGCGAAGGTCATATTCAGATCATCCATAACGCCTTCCCGGATCAGGCAACCCCCGACGTCACCCTCCCCGGTCGTTACGGGTGGACCTCCATCGATGTCTTGGGTCGCTACCTGGGGCGTATCTACACGGTGGCAGGTTCACCACTATATACGGTATCAGGAGATCGTCCCCTGAGCCTCTATCGGATATGCGGATCCATCGTTCTGCTACGAGATCGGGGTGAGGACTGGCAATTCGACAGAACGACCAAGAATTGGGCAGTAATCCCCCAGGTCCTCCGTACCGACTGGCCGCTGCCCGTAGTCAACCTGCTGAATGTCAACATGGATCTGATCAAGACCGGAGTGTCGGCAGCGACATCGACGACGGCGATGACCTGGCGGAGGTTCTCGCAAAATCACGGGGGACAACGATTCCCACTGATGTCGATGGGTAGAGATGCGATTCGTTATAAAGTCGTGGAGCACCTTGTCCGAGAGTCAGTCAGCTGCCACCTCTTTGCATGCGCTGGTGGGATGCTGACAAGAAGGACTTGTTCGCTCATTCCCAGTAACCTGTGGCCCAAAGTGGCTGATGAATACGAACACGGGGACCGCTCGGATATCAAGCCTCACTGTCTCTGGTTGCTGCAGTACGAGGACGAGGACGACCACGGGCAGAAGAACGGCCGCCAGAAGACGGCTATCGCTAGTCAGTGGGAGTCAAGGGAACGGCGAGGGATATCCTTGATGATGGTCGCCGGTACGTGGTCGTGTATTGAATCGTATTGCCGTTACAACGTCAGTCCCCGATACCACTGTGCTGATCTCGCCCGTTCGTTATTTCAGATACCGTCGACGTGAAGATTGAGTCGAGGTCAGGACACACCTTGCTGGATGTCAGGCTAGCAGACGGAAAGCGCCACATCTTCGTGGTGACTGGCATGGTGGCTCCTTAGCCCCAGAAGAGGGAGACCGGACCCGGTATGTTCTGTGTCTCCGAGCGCGAAGCGATGTGTTGGAATAGCGTCTGACCGCGAGATTCTCTCTGTACGTAGCGTTCGACCGCGAGACGTCCTGCAGGTTGGAGTAGCGTTTGACCACAAGGCCTCAGGCTTGAGTTGTCGCTCATTCTCTAGGTTATCCCACCGCCCACTAAATTTCTACGTGGACACAAGGAGAATACGAAGACATCGATGTGAAGAGCGTATGGGTCATCGCGTATGTACGTAGATATGCATAAATCATGTCATGTATTGTCATGTATCATGGAGCGTGGGCACGTCGATGGATCATGTATGCACTCGTAGCTCGTAGAGGCGGGCATACGTAGAAGGCCTGGGACGTGACAAAGCTTCCCGATCGGGCAACTTCCGGGGATCTGAACCATCGCTTCTTCGGGACCTTTTAAAACGCCGAACTTATAGTCCGCCATGGCAGATGAGGTAACAGACGAGCTCCAGTCCAGGCACCGTCGCCCTGGCGATGACACCGGATGCGTCGAGCTTGCGAGCCGCGTCCTTGAGGCACTCCAGTGCAACGCTGTGTTCTTGGCTGCCGTTGAAATTCGCCTCGACCTCGCCCCATTGGAGGAGGAGTTGATCGAGCTCATGCGCACTCGATATACCCCGGACGAGTGACTCGGCAAGAGAACGCATGAGCCTAACGGTCTCGCTGACAGGAGCCGGTTGTTCAGTCTATGTTCGCAGTCAAACTTCAGCGTTTTCCAGTCTTTCGGAAAGGATCCGGAGTCTTTTCCGTGCGAGCGACACTTACGATCGGTTGCTGGCTCACAGCCGGCATTTTTTTGACCCCCTCGGTCACTCCTGCCGGCCCCTGCTGTCCCGGAACGACTTCGTCCGCAGCCTGTGCTCCGGATGCAGACTGGGCCGAGGGCAGAGAGCCTTGCGGGCCAGCGCTAGGAGCGGAGGATGTGGACGACTGTTCACTAATAGCAGCCTGCGGCTCGCTCCCCCACTTCTTAGCCATCCGGTGGGGATGCTTGATGAGCTCTTCCAGGTCGATAGGGGGGGGTAGAGGTCCCGCGGGTTTTTTTGGGAGTGCGAAGGGGGGCATTGTATAAAGATATAGAGCGGACGAGCTTTAGGGAATCGTGGATTGATTAGGAGTTCTGCCTGTGTACCGATATATCTCAGATGATCCGATGCAGATGATAGCCTACCCCTTCAACTACGTAGTTGCAACCACCACTTCATGCGTCGAACGTGGTAGAAGCACACGACCTGCGGGACAACGTAATATCACGTACGAATGGCGAACGCAATGTCACGTGAAAATAGGCGGATGACGGACTTTGACGCGACACGACGTTGAGAGAGAGAGCGGATGATGAATAGCTACAGGGACTAGAGTACTACAAGTGCTATGAGAAAGCGACAACGCGCTTTTAGGTCTGCCACTTTGCTGTCGGCGATGACGAAGAAGAAGAAGAAGAAGCTATCCAACAATCCAACAACCTCGTCTGTTAATCTGTTGATCTCAAAACTTGCACATATTAGAAATTGCTTCCCCAATCTATAACACCAACCGTCCCGAACCAGCAGCGAACACCAACCTTCCCGACCCCGCAGCAATGACTCGTCGCAACATCACGCTCGCGAAGAAGTACTTTCGCGACGAATTCTTCCCCAAGGACGCCTTCGATCCGCAGCTGCTCGAACGAAGCCTGCAAGCGATCAAAGACGTTCTTGAGTCTTCTAAGCACGGCGGTAACTTGCAAGCTTTCGAAGAGGAGACCCAAGACGCCAAACAGCGGCGAGAATGCACGACGACAATCTCTGTTTGGCTCGCTTTGGGGCAAACGGTCTCGTATTTCAAGGACCCCATTCCTCATTCATCGCATCTCGAGGTTCTCTTCGAACTCGCCGTGAAGAGGCTCGTGGCGGTCAGGGGAGCCTTCATCCCCTTGCGAGATGACTTGCTCAAACTCAAGTACCTCTTTGCTTTGGAGGTCGCCGTTCTAGTCTTGGCCAACGTACTCTGTGATTCCGTGATAGCCGATAGCAAGGGAGTCGTCGAGGTGGACCGGCTCGACGGGTTGTTGTTGGGTTGGGTGGGGGTGTCCGACTGCCATCATCTGACCGATCCAACGCAGCCGTTGCTGACGCTTGCGAGATATCTCCACGGCACCTCCCGTCGACCACGACTACCGGGAACTTATAACAAACTGGTTGACGGGCTTCAAGACGTAGCCGCTTCCCGTCACACCGCCACCGCAGGCATCGCAGCGATCGCTTGTGTGATCATAGCGGAATGGATGCGGGATGGTGTTTGGGAAGGCTGGATCCTCCGGTATCTCGAGGAGGTTCTAGAACGTTCGGCCGCCACCGAGGCCGAACATTGGTCTATCCACGCAGGTACCGCCAGAGACAAGTGGGGTAGCCTCTCCGGCCTGGCCTCTACCGCTTCGGGGACTATCTCCTGGAAGCCGACTTCTGGAGTGTCCGGCTACCCTTTCGAGAACGAACAATCGCTTAGCTGGATACAGCGGGCGTGTGTCCAGGCCGGAGTGATTGCCGGCTCCCCTCGTGCCCTCGGTGCAGCCGAGGCAGAATATCTTCTAGCACGGCTGCGATGTGACGAGGTCATCTACGTCATCGATAACGAGGAGGAGGAGGTGGTTCGATCGGCAGATGGGAGGTTCGATATCGAGGAGGACGAGGACGAGGCCGAGGACGAGGAGAAGGAGGAGGAGCAGAGGAGGGCGGCGGATGGGCGGGTCGATATCGACGAGGACGAGGACGAGGACGAGGACGAGGAGAAGCAGGAGGAGCAGAGGAGGGCGGCGAATATCAAGCCTCACTGTCTCTGGTTGCTGAAGGACGAGGACGAGGACGAGGACGAGGACGAGGACGAGGACGAGGAGAAGGAGGAGGAGCAGAGGAGGGCGGCGGATTGGCGGGTCGATATCGACGAGGACGAGGACGAGGACGAGGACGAGGACGAGGAGAAGGAGGAGGAGGTTCAGACAAAACCGGCCGATGGGAGGGTCGAAATCGATATCGACGAGCACGACGAGGAGGTTCAGAGGGAACCGGCGGATGGGAGGGTCGATTTCGGAGGCGTCGATATGGGAGATGTCGGTCTCGGGGGAGCCGAGTGGGAAATCCCGGAACTGGACCCCAACGTCATACGCGATATCGACGAGCACGACGAGGAGGTTCAGAGGGAACCGGCGGATGGGAGGGTCGATTTCGGAGGCGTCGATATGGGAGATGTCGGTCTCGGGGGGGCCGAGTGGGAAATCCCGGAACTGGACCCCAACGTCATACAGGCTTGGTTGGAGGAACAAATAGACACGTTGTTGTCGCAGGAGGGCGAGGAGCGCTACCGTGGGGCAAAATTGTGGATCGATATGTATATTGAGGGATCGACCTAGGTGGGAACCCACGGACAAGCTCTTGAAGCGGCGGCTTCGTTATACGTGTAAGGATCAGCACATGTATATATATATATATCCATATAGGCCCGTGAGAACGAATAACACGAGTCCGCATGCTCGTGACGGGAGATGCTCGATCCCACACTATTCTCTAGTATCCTGCAGGTACATCGCCAGCGACTACAATCGTATGCGTTAGAATGACGCCATTGACGATCGTGTCAAAGTTCAAGAGTGTTGAGACGGTCGTATTGGTCCAGCTAGCCACCTGAGCATTCCCCCCAAGCCTCAGCACCGGTACCGCCATGATTCGCCCGTTGCTGTGTCGAACCACGCACCTGGGCATCCCTTACGAGCCTCAGCACCGCCATGATATGCCCGTCGCTGTGTTGAATGACGAAGAACCTCTTCTCAACCATGTTCAGCCACCTGCGAAGACAGAAAGACATCAACCTTCGTCCTCTTCTCCGTTCAACCAAGCATACGGTACCCACGTGTTCGGCCCAGAGAGACCAGATGGGGTTACTGGTGGGTCGGATGACTTGCTAGTATACGTATGCGCAACTATCGCATAAGACGGACCACCTGTGCCGTTAACGAACTTGCTCCATGGGAAATCATCATCCATCTGAAGATCGCCCATGGCCTCAGACCATGCCTGAAATTCGAAGCTCGCAAGCAGGGTCAGTCCAGCAAAGAAAGACGCTCGAAGGGGGGTTGCATGAAGGACGCGTCACCTCAACCCTCGATCAGGCCGCATGCACTCACCTGAAAAGCCTGGATGGTCTGTTCGCGAACACCTTGCGAAGTCAAAAACCTTATGAAGGGGTCCGGACCCTCCCCTCGGGTCGCCAGCCGGCTGAGACTTGCCGATATCTCATCGACATCCAGGGGTGGCAGTCTACGATCTCCGATCGTCTGTATGATTTTGAGAATAAGAGCCTCCCTTGACGACGAGCCAGGAGGTGACTGTTGCAACCGTGCAAGCGACTCTTCCGGTATCAAGGACCAGACCTCATCGTCCACTTGTTTCTTGTTCAAGACTGGCAGTGGCGGGAGATTGAGAGCAGCCGCCATTTCGGTGTCATCGCGGAACCAGGGGACGAGTTGTACAGGAAACTTTGATTTATGCAACTTAGCCATCAGAATTTGGTTGATTCGCTAGTCGAGGACCGGATAGATGTTTCTCGTATTGCTCGATCATTGGCTGCAGTCAACAGATGGTGCGAGACGAACCTGCTTTATCTTGCTGTCTAGCTTCTCGGCACCATGGGCTCCGGGAGGTTAGCTGCATATGGTCGGTGATCGATGGCGACGCGTATCTTATATCTCATATCTCACCGCGATATTATTAGATGCTGTTCTGTATATCTCTATTATATCTCTATACCTAACCTCACCCTAATTTGAACCCGGTCCCAGGTTAAACAAGGTGTGAACAGGTATGCATAAACTATTCTGCCATTGTTTAGCTTGATTGAATAAGCTGACTTTGCGTGGTGTCATAGGTACATAAACATTCATACATCCACGAATGGCTATCGGCGACTCTTGTGTGGCACCATGAGCTCAGAGTACGAAGCCAGTAACCCCCCGTCCTCACCCCCGTCCTCACCCTCGTCCTCACCCCCTGCTCAAGCGAGATCCAAAAAACCCGGTAAATCGTCGTCAAAACCCGGTAAATCGTCGTCAAAACCCGGTAAATCGTCGTCAAAGCCCAAAGCGTCGTCAAAGCCCAAAGCGTCGTCGAAGCCTAAAGCGTCGTCGAAGCCTAAAGCTACAGAAGATGTCGAGGGTTGCGAAGGTGATAAAGAGGAATCTGCGGTCAATATTGACGTCAACAACGACGTTCGTCTTACCTACGTAAGCATAGGACAGGCCACAGGAGATTCATCTCTCTCTCTCTTCCTCTCTCTCTCTCTCTCTCTTCCTCTTTTGTATATTAATCGTGACCTTCAACTCCCATGATGTTATTGCCCGTTATCCAACAGAACTGCGACGATGATGGACAATTCAAAATTCCTATCGACGACCCGAACTTGGCTTGTCGAGACTACCTAGGAGAAACGCTGAAGGATTTCGCCCTTCCGGTGAGCCAGTCTCAAAGTTTCTCTTACTGTATCTGACTCAACAGATGCGGGAACAGGGCCACCCAAACAAGATCGTTCGAGTTGTGCGAGCTAATGGAGGCGGCATTGAGATGTTGCTTGTAAGTGATAAGTGGATGTATCTCGTATGTGTGACTTATTGGCATGCTGAAACCCACTTGTAGCTCGAATTTTACGCTGGAAGGTCTCAAAGATACCTTCCATTCCTGGGGTAGGCTCTGATTTTTCGGACTTGCTCTGTTTCACACCGGAGCCGAACCCCGCAAGCTACTGAAATATTTCCAATCTTTCATCTCTAGGTCTCAAAGGTTCCCTATCCTGGCGTTGCACTTGACCCTTCTCGAAGTCCGCCAGTGGCTCCGCGACCAAGGCTTGATGACTGGGGAGTTGAACGAGCAGGAGTTGAATCATCGACTTGGGGGGTAGTGCAAGACGTATCATGTTTCTGAGATAAACACTCTAGGCCGATGCACTAGATACAATACTACGATTATGCCAAAGACGCTAAAGAACGTAGCAACGTGCAACGTACGACGTACAACTGAACCTCATTTGCCGAGACGTGAGACGAACAGGTTGAACAGGTCGATATCACCCTGACGTGAGGACCGCTTTGCCCTCCGTGGCCTTCTAGCTTCTTGCTTCAAAGTGCCGGCCCATGTCGATAAACGTTGTACGATGCACGATCAAAAAACGTGACGATTCGATCGATTGTTGAATTAGTATCACAACGAACAGCTTGGCCAGCGATCCAGCGATCGAGTTGAAAAGGTCACTTACGTCACTTTTGCGACGATATCGTCGCAAAAGTGACGTAAGGGCAACTCCTAACCCTAAGCTGCAAAGCTGATTAAGCCCAAAACCCTGCCTGCGATTATCTTGCATCTCGTATCGACACCAAGAGCTCTGTTTCACATAGACTGGCCTTCGATAACGACAGAGCTCACAAAGGGTACACAAACAGTGTCTGAACACTCAGTAAGGAAGCCTTTCATCACCTGTTTAAAGGGGTCAATATAGGCTGACTGTGCGAGGTGATATCGATTGGGGCTAGGGGCTACTCTTCGAGACACGGCATGCCTGCAAATTGCGCCATCACATATTATCTCTGGCTGCATTCCTCGTCAAAATTCGGTGGAAGGAGGAACAAGCACGTCAGATACCGAACATCTTGCCGCTACACTGCTCTTCACGCCCATCATGGAGCCTGAATTATCCATACAAAGTCAGCATGCTGCTAAACGCTCACGGAATCATCCCGATGCACCCGACGATGCAAGTCGATTGGGATGGACCTCTTCTTGTTCTTAGCTGACCTGATCGTAGTGCTTCATTGGACAGAATGCCGCTTGGTGTTCGAGCGGGGAACATGTATCAATCAAGCGACTCTGCAAGTCCCCGTCAACTCGCGACCAGGCTTGCGGATCTGAAAAAGATCACCTCTACGCCGGTCGGTTTGCTATCTCGTCTATTGTCTACCATTCCGAACGCTCATGTGGACCTGTGCATAGAGTCTATAATGCCCTGGATGATTGAGCCTAAACAGACCGCAATACCGGAACTGGTCCAGCACTTCAAGCACCAGATGTCGATGGAACCAGAGGCTCAACGGGGAAGAAGAGCTGAAGAGTTGATTGGAACCTTGTTGCGCAATCATGATGCTACGACGGAACTTATCATTCAGGCGACGGATTCCCTGTTCGAATTCCTGCCTCCAACATTCACCAATTCCCACCTCGGAAGTCGAGTGAAACGGCTCAAGAACCGACGACATGTGGATATGCTGTCCGACATAGAAGAAGCTTGGGGAGTTGGCTGGCAAGCTGCGCTAGGGTTTTATACCAAACCACCTGGGCAGAAAGCGGTATACACGATCATCCGGCTATTCGACGACCGGGTATGTAGGAGTCGCATCGGCTTGCAGATCTTGTTGCAAAAGTTGCAGCATCACAAGGCTCAGCTTGGCGGCGGGAAGAAATCAATGGGATACACTATCCCGACGTTCAAAGCAGCCGTTGATGAAATCCTCAGTTCAAGGTCGCCTTCTTCCATCCTCCGATCTTCCCCGGCTGCTCCCGTCCGGTCCGCAGCGGTAGCTGCTCCTGCCAATCCGTCCGAACCACCATCAGATATGAATTCTGGTTCGGATGTCCTCGCTGTGGCAGCGGAAAGCCTAGGTGGCATGGTCCGCGATCCGGTTGGAGGCTCGAATGTGCGGGAGAGCCTTTCGGATCGGGATGAGGATCTACCATTGGAGACCGGGTCTGTCACCAAGAGTCCGCTCGAAAGCGTAACGCTCACTACACGCCATGACTTGTCCAAACGACAGGCCACCGAAACCGGGGCTACCAGGTTACAGGCCAACGGAAGAGAGCGATCTGCCAACAAAAGTCCGCTCGAAAGCGTTGCCTCCCAGATGCTTACCACACGCCATGGCTTGTTCGAGAAGAACACAGTCCTTCGCAGCGGCGGATGCAGCCGGGACGTTCCCGAGAACCAATTCACTGTCGATCGACTCGACGCCGAGATCCTTGTCCGCCAGAGCTCGGGTGGCAAGGGCAAGACGCCGGCTGGGACCGTCTCCGACAAGGTTCTCTTAGTGGACAAGGTACCCCGCAGCAAGACCAAACGCAATCAATCCTGCGAGAACGCGCACAAAACCCATGTGACCAAGCTCCCATCTGCCGAAAGGCGAAGAGAGCGGTCAGGAGAGGAAGACGTTGATGAGGAACGAGAGTCGGAGGAGGAACGAGAGTCGGAGGAGGAACGAGAGTCGGAGGAGGAACGTTGCCAGGCAGATCTGGAAAACGTCCGATTGCGAGAAGAAGATGACGGACAAGAGTCGGAAGACGAATGGACCGAGCCAGAGGATGGAGGTTCCACCGAACAGTGTGAGGATGAGAGACCTCGTCCGAAAAAACAAAAGAAGATTGTCTACGTCGCCGGTGGAGCGGTCTCTGCGGTTCCTCATCTCGTTGGGGGAATCGAAATCCCGACGGGTGCAGCATACGAGGAGTTGGCAAACGTCAAGGCTCGCACAAATTTCTCTCTTCCTCTATCCGATGCCCCGAAATCCAACCCAAACAAGTTCTCGGGAGATTGGGATGAAGCTCCGTATCCCAGAGCCAAAGCCCAGGTCGAAAAAGCGCTGTCCGAGTATACGGAAATTGTTTTACCTGATACTTATCAAGAACTCGTCGATGCGTTGAAGGCGAAGGGAAAGACAAAGGGGAAGGAGAAGGAGAAGGAGAACGCGAAGGCAGTCTCGGGGGCGCAGGACTACACGGAAGCGCAGAAAAGCAAGTGGAACGAGACGGTAGCTCGCTATGATCGGCAAATAGACAAACTTCCCTTGCTGAAAGGGAACGTGATCATGCGTGCACAAGACGGGAAAGTTGTCCTCGTGAAGTTGGACGATGGTTTGAACCTACCACAACCAAGGGTGGCACGTCAAAGGAAGGATCTCTTGAGTAAGTTCGGTCGGGAGCGATGATCTAGTTTGCCATTTGAAGCGTGTGTTATCGCAGGTCACATGAGGACTTCGTTCGCAGCTTTGCTGCAAGGGTGGATACAGAAGGACATCCCTCCTCCTGGACCTTGCGATCAGCGTCACCATGATTATGAAGGGATGAAAGAGAAGTACAAGAATAATGGACGAGCGGGTGTTTGGCATTTCGCCTTCTGGCAGTCGACTGGACATGCCGGCAAGGAAGATCCTCACATATCAGTCCATACCACCGGCTGTCACAACGTCTACCAGATAGAACCGGTTCAAGAGTTCTTGCGAAACATGGCACCGCTTCAGCAGACGATGGCAAACTTGTTCGGGATGTTCTTCCCCAAGATCCAAGAGAAGTAAGCATACACATACACTAGTGCTCGTTAGGTTCACAATCTTTGCTGATGGACGCTATGTTATAGGTACAAGGTCTGCTTCGATCGACTCGCCCTCAAGTTTGCCAGTATGAGTTCGATCGAATGGTCTGCAAAGACTTGTTTCCTGGGCATGGCACTGCTGCAGAACCTTCGAGTCCTTCTCCATCGAGATAAGGCAGACGACAAACACGGGTGCGTCGCGATGACACCGATGGGAAGGTACACCGGAGGTGACTTGGTCGCGGGGTCTGGGTCCATCCTATTCAAGATGGAATATCGACCTGGAAGCGTGGTGCTCTTCCACTCGGCCCTTTTACTTCACGCTATCACCCCGTTCGAAGGACAAAGACAAGCGTTCGTCTTCTTTTCTCACGAAGCCTTGTTCGAGAAAGTCGAGTGAGACGTAGGCTCGATGATGAATAATGATATGTTATACCTGACCGAAGCCACTGTACCGTCGACTGTAAAAAGGTAAAGGATTGGGTCACCGCCGTAGCAACCTGAGACCCCAAACCCAGGGCTCCAGCCGTCAAATTGTCTCCTGCAGGCCCTTTCGGAACCGCGCCGGTGCCGCAGAGATTTACGAAAGAAGAGGGAGAGAGGCACGGTGCGATCTTGAGAAATCTCTATGAGTACATGAGTATTGGGTATGCGTTATCGAGATTCTTACGCTCAGTAGTCGGCGAGAAGTCTCACCACCAAGCGACTTCTCGACTCCAGAGCGAGACCTCTACATTAGGTGAACAATTGAACGATCACCTTTTTACTATGATCACCATGTTGTGATATAGCAATCAATTTGCCTTTAATATCTCTAATCTGACTTTTTGGGGTCAACCTGAGGCCTGAAAGCTGCGTCATGTCCTCCGCCCTCGAGCTCGCCATCGAGAGAAGTAAATGGCGGTATCGAGAACGTCAAGCAGCCGATGGCGGTATGAATCCCTGTCACGTCACGGCTGCGTGGTTGATCCACCATCCGGAATCGTTGGCCACCCCTCCTCCTCAAACTGCTGTCAAATTAGCAGATCCACAACCCTCGACTCTCGGAAGTCTAGGTCCATCTTGGCTTCGAGACTGGATCCAACGATTTCCTACTCCGGTGAACACGGTTCGTCTGTTCACGGGGACCTTCGAACAAGACGGCTTGGAGCTCGAGTGCTGCAACGAGAGATTCTCTGGCCCGGATGAAATCAAGGCACATATCGGGTCTAGCGGGTCTTCGATTGACGACCATACCGTATTGTTAGCACGGGTCTATTGCATCTTCTGTGGCACGCACGGAAGCCGGTACGGTAGGTCCAGGCGCACAGGTGAATCGCTTGTTGATCACTCTAACTGACCTATACCCTTGATCAGGGGATCACCAACTCATTCACCATGTAGAACCACCGATCGGCGGGTCGAGGAAAGTGCTCTGTTTGGTTCAGGCCTACTACGAGAAAGCCCCGCTTGGTCGCTGTAGCTGTTCCGAGCTCGTGAACTCACTCCGAGGTCACATATGCACGCCACCCAGCGAGGAAGAAATCCGGCTTCGTCAAGTCATTGATGACATCACGGCAGAGCCCGCTGGCCACGTCGACCCTGATTTTTTCCATCTCGCCAGGACATGGAGGCTGGAAGTCATGACTCGGATCCACGCAGCCAACAGGGGAGTACCCGTTCCGAAGTACTTGTTACACGATTGCGAGTTCAAGAACCCGTACTGTGAGGCCGATGCATGCAACGTGTAAGCTCCATCCATCTTCGAGAGGTTCCCAACGATTCGGTAGAAACGAAAATACACTGAGCGGCATCTGGTTATGGCATCTGGTACAGCTCTGAAGAGTCACAACCGTGGCCGGGGATTACAGACGTTATCGGGTATATGGATTCGATGGTTTATACACTGGCCTCAACTTGCCACATCCCCATCAAAACTCTTCGATTCTACTTGCGCGGCACCCACGGCGAACATTCCTTGTTGTGTGAATACCTGGAGGCCGTACTCGTCGATTGTGAGTCCCGACAGAACGGGGGCGAATGGCGATACTGATCCCTTTTGCTGTCGTACTCTTCGCTCGCTCGCTTGGATCGCCGGTTCCCTATCCTCGCTCGTCGCTCTCCTTTCGCTCCCCTCCGCCCTGGTTCCTCGGCTGCCTCGGCGCCCCTTTCCTTCGCTCTTGGCGGCCTGTCTCATGCGAGTCGTTATCAGTCCTCGCTCGGAGCTGTCCTTGGTATGAACGAGCTGGGGAACCGTTTTCATACTGGACCCTCCGCAGTAGGATGTTTATTCCGATGCGTCGGTCCGAGATGGAACAATATCGGTCTGAACTTGTGTCGGTGCCGGTACGGTATAAACAAAAAGAGCGAGGGACAGGAGCGAATGAGAAGTGGGATATCTGGGATGACCGCCTGGCTCGGGCAATCGAGAATTTGGTAGCAAAGCTCTATCTTGGTATGTCGATGCGTTGCAAGGTGACGAATCCATGTGGCAAATGCTGACCTTGGCCTATCCACAGGTACGCTTGCGGATGCCCGGAGTGCGATAGCAACCCGGGACGATGCAGGGCCTAGTATGGTCGGGGCTAGTGCGATCGGGTCTTCGCCACCGCAGCAATGTCTTGCGTTTTTCCTGTTTCGAGTTCATTGTGGCCACCCATTTGACGTAAGTGACCGTGTAGCGCGAGCACTACTTACGAGTGATAGCTAACGTTATATAAACAGGACTCGTCGAGCAGCTCGAGACCCTCTCTACTAAGGAAGGCTTGGACTGGCAGCTTGGCACGACGCGAGGCGGAGGTGAGTATATTGGCGCGCCCGATCTCTCCGGTCGCCTGCTGAAGACAGCTTCCCGCATGTGTGTAGGATTGGACGCCGCGGCAATACCGAGCCATCGCACAGTATTTCCGTAACCCAAGACGATATCTCCCTGAGGCTATGCCTCAGGCCACCACTCTCAATCGGCTGATTGCACAGGGTTTAATGGACTGCCTGCCGGATCTAGGCGATCTCGAGCATATCAAGGGAAAGCTATCAAGAAGTGCCACTCTATTGGCGATCCGACAAGCGATCGCCGATATCGAGAATACGTAATACACGAGCATATTTAACAGACATCCCGCTTCTATCTTCAGGATTTTGTGCCTTAGATAGAAAGAGATAATCGTCCTTCCCCATCTTAGGAGGAATCGTTTCGGACGTTTGGTGGGGTCGCTTCCGGACTCTGTGTGTCGGGACGGGTGTGGGTGCTTTTGCGCACGTTTTGCTGGTCGTGCCGGCGATCCCTTCGGTTATAGCTTCAGGGAATGCGCTCGCTCCATTCCTTATTTCTATTTACATCCTCAGTGGCGCTGCTGGGTTCATCAAGGTATGTATGCTTCCGACGGTCTGTACGCTAACGTAGACTGAAACTCATCACTTCGTTAGCCTACCCTCGCTCCCATGCTCTGCGATCAATCACCGGTCAAGCGTAGCACTATCAAGGTCCTCAAGAGCGGAGAGAGAGTACGTGTGGTGCATCGAATCCGCTGAGGTCGCTTATTCATGGAGACATCCTTCTGCGCTAGGTCATCTTGTCTCCTCAGGTCACGGTTCAAAGGTAAGCAATGCTCAATCAGAGCTTGGGAATATCGAAACTGATCCAAGTGGCCGCCCTTAGGTATCTCCTCGTCTTTTATTGGGCAATCAATGTTGGAGCGTTCTTCGGGCTCGCCACCAGCTATGCAGCGGTAAGCTCAAGGCCTGGACGCAATCTGAAGGGCTCGTCCGAGTAGCTGACACTTCACATTTCCCGCGCAGTACAATGTTGGATTTTGGCTCGCTTTCCTCACTCCCGGAATCTTCTACATGTTGATGCCCCTCGTGCTCTGGGTATGCTACAAGCGCTTAGTACGCTTCGCTCCGCAAGGATCCGTCGTTCTAGAAGCTTTCAAAGCTTGCCGATCCCTCTTCAAGGATGGCAACAGCGCCAACCTGTTCAAAAGAGGCAACGCTTTCTGGGAGAATGCTCGGCCCAGTGCCATCGCCAGCCGTGGGGGAGACCTCTCCGGTGTCACTTGGGACGACAAGTTTATCGATGATCTGCAACGGACCATGGCCGCGTGCAAAGTCTTTCGTAAGTAGCTGTAGGTGTCGATGTTTCGCTCGCATACGGATGATTGACGGATTCTTGCCTTCTGTAGTACTGTACGCCAAAAAGCATGCTATGCCAATATGAGAGGTTACTGATTCTGCGTCATGTGTATGAGTACAGTATTCCCATCTTCAACTTGGCAAACAGCGGGCTCGGGAACTCTGTCAACGCCATGAGCTCGGCCATGACTCTCGGAGGGGTTCCTAACGATCTGATCCAAAATTGGAATGCTCTTACTATTGTCTGCTGCGCGCCTCTTATCAATTACGGACTTTATCCTGCATTCTCAAAGATGGGCTATCCCATTTCGCCCATGTGGAGGATGACCATCGTAAGAGCTTTTGCGAGCTGTATAGCGTTCCGTGCGTCCCACTTAGAGCCTCGTCGCCTTGGTAGGGTTTCACTCTCGGAGGCCTCAACATGATCTACGGAGGTGTCCTACAAACGCGAGTTTGTGAGTGATGCATCCTTGTCGAGGGCACAACGGGAGCTGTGACGCTGATCGTGACTTGGGCAGACGCGACTAGTCCTTGCGGCAAGTATGCAACCTGTGAGTAACTCTTCCATCTCAACTCAATGGTATGGGATGACTGGACCACGACCCCATGCAATTGATAGCCGAATGTGCCCTGGGTGTGTCTCCCATTTCGCTCTGGGTAAGCCGTCAATAGACGAATACACCCGGGTATGAACGCTGATCTGGCGATTTTGCAGCTTCAAGTGCCACTCTTCTCGCTTCCTGCCCTGGGCGTAAGCCGTTCGGTATTTGCAGATTCGTTTGACTGAAATTGATGTCTGGGTGCGTATACAGGAGATCTTCGTAAACGTCACTTCGTACGAGTTGGCCTATACTCGAGCTCCCCCTAGGATGAAGGGTCTCGTCTATGCCTTCTGTCTGTTCACTACCGCCATCTCAAGCGCCATTGGACTCGCATGTTCGGCTGCCGTTAGTGAGTGATGTCGCACGCGAGACCGGGCAAGCAGTGTAAGATTCTGATCGCCTGGATTTCCCCGCAGCCGATCCTTATCTCGTCGAGCCATATTGGGTGTTGGCCGCTCTCAGTCTCGCCTGTGGTGAGTCCCCAACATGAATACGGTTTTATCCTCGATTTCAAGCTGACATAAAACCTGATCGCAGCCGTCTCATTCCCGCTCTTATTCAAAGGTCTGGACAAGGAAGTCAACTTCTTTGACCCTTCTCTTACGTCCATCAAGCAGGACAAGGCTGAAGTTGATGTGGAAGAGACTAGGGAGAAGCGTTAGATTTCGTGCTGAGGTTGGCAATTCGATCGAGTCATGCTACGAAGTGCCTTAGATAGAAAGAGATAAATTTCTTTCTAACCAGGATAGCGAATATGTATACTTAAGATGTCGGCGTCTGATATTGAACGACGAGTTCTCGCTCAATCATGGATCCTGGCTGGTGTGACTGGCATCGACTGGGCCGTTCAGGAAACGAGGGCGCACCATGTCATATGATACCTGCGTGACGTAGATACAGAATCTTGCTGCCTACTGCGACCGATCTTGCTTCACTGATGCTTTCGGGACATGTAGACCGCTTCCTCCCGCTTCCGTTGCGCCCATAATCTCCTTCCTACGTTGATGGTATTCCAAATCCATTGATGACAGAACACGATGAAGAAAAAGCTCAACACCGGGATCGCTGTAACGACATGCAATGACAGTGAGATTCCGGCACACATCAGCCTAAGTTTCACCGCGGAAGGTACCGAGTCTGGACAAGACTTACCGACCAACCAGAACCCGTAGTCGTCATAAGGCATACTCGTGAAGCGCTCGATCTCAATGTTCATCCCCCAGTAGCCTGTCATGAAGGTCGCCGCTATAGAATTGCAAGGCTGTGCATCAGATCACATCGTTTAGCGGTTGAATATGCCAGCCTGACTCACGCATGAAGATGACCGTGACAAGAGAGAGACGCTCCATAGACGAATTCGAATCGAAACTCATTAGCTGGATGAAATGGCAAAAGTAAGCGATCTGGCCGATACCGTTTAGCCATCATTTTTTGGCTCACGTTGAAGACGAAAGACGTCAGATGATCAGTCGTCACGGTGAATTGGTCAATCGCGTTTAGCACGGTATCGAGGTGGTCGATGACATCACTCAAATATATCTGGGAGCCGATAGGGGCGGTGACATCGTTAGGCTCAGGTCGACACCAACGACCTTAGAAGCACGTAGACTTATGGGCAGGGTTCTCACCTTGGTTATTCTCGAGATGTATCCTGCACTGTCTTCAGCAGACCAGAGCGATTCGCGGACTTCTCCACCCGGTGTATCGAGCCCGGTCTTCTCCGTCATATGGCCAACCCCGGAATGATGTCCATGATCATGGTTCAACTGATGTATCGTCCCGGACGATTTGGCGCCGTAAAGCAAACTTGCCAGCGCTCGCTCCTGGTCCCGATTCCGCAGCGTGTACAGCACCCTCGACAGTGGTGAGAGTGTCCGCTTCAACCTTGTGAGCTGAGACGAGATCACGTGCAGGTGGCGGACAGCCCCCATCTCGGGCCGAATGAGACATCCCGCTTCGATTTTCAGAATTTCGGCCTCGAACGCCTGTGAGATTTCGATTGCGATATCGACAACTGGGTTCGGCCACGCAACTTGTCAATTTGAAGCACGGCAAAGTACGGTGTCCGATCGACTTACCAATATCGAGTAATGCCTCGAGCAGCATCGATGAATCGCTTGTTTTCCTGAGTATACCATCTGCCGGCCGGAAGAGCGAATGGGTTAGGCGGTGTACTGTTGAAGGTTAAAAGCAGCATTGAGGCCTACCAGGATTCTCCAATCGAAGGTAAATTCTGTGATCGACGTGGAAGACGCGGAAGGCAAAAAAGTTAAAAAGAAAGTTGGTGAGTAGATTTCACATCTAACTCTACCATGTCTGGGCTCACGGATCCAGTATTCCCGCATAAGGGGTCGCCGACATGGTGATGAGCGTACCTGTCATCCGGTTAAACGGGGATTAGCAGATGGGCGATACTTTTCTCGCATGCTGCTCTTCTCGGCTCACCATCACGTAACATGAAGCAGCTGTAAACGGTTCGGCGGATGGGCACCATATATTTGGCCGACAATTCGTCAACGGTACTTCGATGAGCAGGTCCCATCATTGCCTGTCAAATGTAGGATGCGACGCTTCAGATTCACGGTGACATATCGATACGAGGCTGAGGATCCTCACGACTCACCATCGGTCCGTGTCCGATCCCTTGGTTCTGCAGCGGTTCAAAGACACCCTCGACTCCCTCTGGGAGCACGTGTATCTTGTTCGCTCGCTTTGCCCGGCTGAATAATCTTCCAGCCCAGCTCTGTTTATGTTTGTTACCAGAAGCTTCCAAATCTTCCTCTTCCATATTCTGGCTGCGACCTCGCCCATAGGTTGCGTGCGAGCCCAGCTCGAAGGGTCGTTTAGCAGGAAGGTTGACGGCCTCCTTGATCTCCTCTTCATCCTCCGCTCGGATGTACTGCGGATAGACAGGAGCAAGGGCAAGGATCAGATCCGCTAGCTGGCGCAGTCGGCTTCGACGTGAGCCATGCATACCTGTACAAGAATCTGTGCAAATCCGAAAAAGCGGACAGGCTAGCATGAGCACATCGAGTCCCGCTCGGAGCGATATTCAGTGCGATCGTTACTCACCTGAGTATAGAGGTGTTCCGCGTAGAAGTCGATCTTGCTTCTCGGGTTGTTGTTCGCTCTCAGAGCGTCTTCGATGGCAAGAGGATGTAGATTGTACTTCAGAGCCAGCACCTTGATCGTCTCAAAATTGATACCTGAATACCAGAGCCAAACAGCGTCAGCGTTCCAAGCACCGGATCAATCGTCGCAGAACGTTCAGCTCGTTATTCACCATCGAGATTGATCCATCTGACGCTCTTCCTCGGCCGGTCATTTGCCTTCTTCTCGTCCAGACCTGGTGTTTGAGGAGCAGGCGACACCGGCCTCTTGCCATCTTGCGAGTTTAGCCAGGTTTCCAACTTGGATCCGGGTAGATCAACCCTCGAAGCGGTCCCATCCGTAGCATAGTCGACCACGGTCACTCCCACTTCGTCGTCGAGTTCAGCATACCGGCCAGGATCCTGCCTGACGTCTATACCCGGCTCGGAACCCGTGTTGGATAGCCATCGGTAGGCGTCGTAACGCTCGTTCTGAGATTGACTGTGGGATTGATGCATATGTGCAGGTAAACTCGGTCGTCGAGGTCGATCGGAGGACTGAGAGATGCTGGCTCGCTTGTTTGCCAAGAGCGGAGATCGAGGAGAAGAGCTGAGATTGCTCTCGTCATCGTCGGATTCGCTGCCATAGAGGGGGTTACCGGAGGGCGCCTGGTGGGAGTATGTAGATCGGAAGCCTGAGGAAGAGAAAAGGGGAAAGTAGGAAGAGCTATATCAGTAATCGCATGCGGGATCGAGATACAGGGCTGAGTCTGAGCCAGAAGTAGGTCGTCGTTTGCCTGCTCACCTCCAGCCGAATCGTTCCGCTTCATCGACCCTCTTGGAGCCTTTGTCACTCGTGTTGAACCATAGTCACCAGCCATTATGATCCACGGAACAGATGCAGAGATTATAGGTGTGTGTGCGTGAATGGTTGTCCTCGTGCAGTTAGCTGTCTGTGATTCTCATGAAAGCTTCGAGATGGTTCAGGTCACACGAGCGAGTATGTACATGAGCCGAGCAACTTTTGCTTTGCCCCTCCCCCGGCGATTACGTTTCATCCCGCGCTAACAAAATGACATCAGATCATGTGCGTCGTGCCTACAAAGTGATGATCCGATTCACAATACGACTTCATCCACGCTGTACAGCGGATCCATCCATTCCCCAAACATCTTCTTGCCCGTAGCACCCGCACCCATAGCCGGCTTGCCCTTGACCGCGCCGCCCTTTTTGCCCTTGGCACCTCCATTCGGTTTCTGCTCAGCTAGACGCACAAAGCCCTCGACCAGACCACGAGCGGCAGCGAGCTCGGTTTGCAGAGTGAGCAAAGGTTCCAGTGCGGTCTTGAGTCGTGCGATGAGAGAGTGAGCGGGAGGATGCGAGATGAGAAGAGGTAGATGGGCATCGAGCAGCAGTTGCGTGTGTAGTACGAGCTGTGGAACGGGAAGGTGATCAGCGATCGTGCCGCTTCCGATAGCCTACTCTGGCCCTGACTTACCCCCTCGATAGGATACCTGCTCGACTGGCTCTTGACATCGTCTGCCTCCCATCCGACGACCCCTTTACCCTTGACGTCCTTGCCGACCTCTTCCAACCAGTCCACCATCAGCCTCAAGACGGTCTGTACCACTTCGACCTGATTCAAGCCTCGCTTGAGGGCTTGCTTGTGCATGGCTGGCGAGACGGGGATGGCCAGGTACAGTTTGAGGAAGTCTTCTAGCGCCGGCGGTGTCGTAAGGCCGGTCGCACCGACAGAGGTAGACGAGATGTGGTACTGTGCGACGTGTGAGAGAAGCGCTACGAGCGACTTGGATGGCACCGTAGGAAGCTTGTCGAGTCCGAGGACGATGTTATCCTGTCCAAAGCGTTTTGAGTTTTAGTAAAAGCGTCCCAACAGCCAACCCATCAGCAATCTACTGCTCACCCAATCGCCGACCACCAGCAGTCCATCTTGCACGAGCCCACCTTGCCCCCACATCCCGTCATTCGCCCATCCGTTCTCGAGCAAAACCGTGATCACGTTGGCGAGGTACGGCCCTTTCGCGCCCGTAGTGATCCATTTCGGTTCAGAGTCTGCGCTCGACCCTGCCTCTTCTCCCTCCTTGGGCTTTTCCTTCCGATCCGCTCGGCTTGCGGGAAGAGCTCCCTCCATAACGGCCTTGACGATATCGCCCGCCAGGACACCTCGACTACGCATTCGCTTAGGATCGGCTCGTTTCCTGGTGAAAGGGTGTTCCTCGGTATCGTGCCAAGTGCGCCATACCTTGAACGCGGACTCCGCGTCCCCGTTTGACGCAGAGAACAACTGCGATCGGAGAGAAGTCAAGAAGGCCTGGTCCCGGCTGGTTGTCGATTGCAAAGCTTTATGGGAACCGGTCGCGTCCTGGATCTTGGGTGCCGCTGCCGAGGTGTTTTCCAGGTAGCGGGTAGTTAATGTCGCAGAATCGAGCAATTGCGCGATGCCGACACCATCCACCGGAACGGTCATGTCGACTGTGTGGATCATCCATCGCTCGGCACCCGATTCGTTCGTAGTCGTGCTGATTATGGCAACCAGATTGTTCGCGAGCGGTACGAGCTCTTTGACGCTCAAGTTCTTGGTGCTGATTTCCCGGTGGGCGAGTACGGCGGGATATGTCGGTTGAAACACGACGATCGACGGGGTGGAAGTGGCAAAGGCAAAGACGGGTCCGGCCGTGTCTGGTAGCGAAGCGATGGTAGGGGACGTTGAAGATACGGATTCGTTGAAAGTGAAGGTCTTGCCGGGTCGTATCATCGAGTCAGCCTTTAGACTGATAGCGTTCGGAATCATTCGGCCCTTCGAGGCTGTTGAGAAATGATGAGCAATTATATCAGAATGTCAGGAACGCTTCATACTCAAAGACATAGCTAGACGTACTCAAAAGATGTACGACGAACGTCTTGTCGTCCATGAAAGCGTTAATAACCTTTTCCCCTTCGGCCAGAGTCTTTGCAGGTAAGGTCTTGGTCGCCCGTCTTGCGTCCTCGCCCGTGCACGTCTCGTCATCCGCACCCTTGACACCCGTAAAGGTTACACTTCCGTCATCGAATAACAGTGCATAGACAAAGATCTCGGTCTGAGGTAGCCGAGGGAGGAAAAAGACACGTAGGAGGTGAGAAGATTTTGGAGGAACAATAGGGATTGGGGTAGTCTTGAGCTGGGAGGAGATGACGGTGAGACCAGTTGACGATGCAGCGAGCATGCTATGTGTCTCCGGTATCCGGACGAGCAAGTCCACTCGATGGTCCAACTGAGTAGCCGGAGTGCCGTTTCAGTTGATACAGTCGGAGATGCCGTCGAATTCGACAGGCTCACCTTCAAGGTCGACTGCTCAAACACCTCTTCGCCCTTCCAGATCCAGACCACCTTGCCTTCGTCGGCATGGGAAATGTTCTCTCCCTTGCCGACTCCGACCGCCGTATATCTCTGCCTCTGCTTTCCTTTACGGACGACCGAACTAGCTTCTCCCGTGCTTGAGACGGCAGGATGGTAGCTGATGGGAGTGGTTTGGAAAACGGTAGATGGCGGTACCGTGAAGGACGTTATGGCCTGATGGCTTGTGACCTGAACTCGCAAAAAGTTCCATGTTCAGCTTCAGTCCAATTTGAAGCTCATTCGAGTGACCCTCACATCGTAGATCCAGACTGCACCACCTTGTACAGCAGCTACTGCTTGAGTCTCGTCGCTTCCGTATACCCTTCCGAGCTTGATGTGGCTGCTCGACGAGGAGCTCGATGCCGAGGGAAAAGCCGCCAAGGCTGTTGGGGTTCCGATATCGGTCATGAAGATGTATCAACTGATCTTCTATATCAAAATTCGATTCAGGCGAACTTCTGGTCTCAAAGAAGCAGATCGATCGACTTGCTTGACCCAAATGATAGATGATCGCTCATCTGTTCACCTTCTTGTCGACCAAAATCACGATTCCCCGCGCAACCAAAATCACGTGACGTCGCGATGTGCGGTGTTTCATCTTCATGTTGCAGCATGCATGTTGGCTACCGTCAGCTACGGGAAACGAATGCCAGGGAAACGAATTGATAGCAGATCGCACCACGTTTGAGAGATAGCCCTCGATTAAGATAGATCAACAAATACCACTACATGCGGCTTGCTGGATCCAAGCCGTTTCGCAGACCCGGATCGAACCAACCTTCTTGCGCCGGATCGCTCACAACTTGTCTGTCACTGCATACCTCTCTACAAGGAAGATACGCATCCACGCTGATACCTTCGATATACAAGACTCTCATATTCACATGAAATGGCCACTTAGATCGTCCCATAGCGCAGACGGACTTGCGACCTCTCAGGACTTGTGGATGGCCGCAACGAGCTCGCCTGCGTTATTTTCCGCTTGAGATACTCTGGGCTTTCGATGAGGAGGACTAGCATTTTTGTCTCGTTGCTGCTGGTGGTATCGCAATGGAGGGATGAAGATGGAAGTCGATGGGCGGCGATAATGGATGTACCCTTCGATCCATGAGCTAGGGGGAAATATGAACCCCGCCGATATCCTTCGACTTGGATAAGGAGAGATCTACCTCCCCTCGCCTTCATGTCCCGTTCTTCACGAGCGGGTCGCGACCTTCATGTAGTATGATATCTTGACAACAAAACGAAGCGGATATGTGTATGGATTTTCCATCGCCGCCCTGATGCCCGGGAACGAATCGCGGATGACACCTGACGACGACGCAGAACGTACCATAAAGGAAGACCTAGGAACAGGCATTCGACAATATGCTTGTTCGAATTGAGATAGGCCGTGACTCCAACCTCACCTCATTGGGAATATCAACAGTGTCAGCGCATGCCTTTCGCGTGGCACAGCTGGATGACAATCCTGAGAGACCTTCCGTGGCGCTCATCTTTTACGCATACTTATGTCCCAGATTTCGAGTTTACAGAAACCCCCGCCCGTCTAGGTTGGGGCGAAAATGGATCAAACCAGGAATGGGGGAATGACATCGGATCAAGGGACCGCATCGAATGGGCCCTTCGATTTTACGGATGGGTTCGAAAATTACTCGTTAACATCATATCTACGATCGTTTACAGTGACGATAGGGTAAAAAATGAAAAACATGGTGTGTATCCATGATTTTGGACTGGATGGAGCGACCAGGATGTCGCCAGAAGACTAACTAACCGCCCGCATAGATTCCGCATCGACATGGCGAATAGTCATTCGACGTATATCGACGTTTGATAGCGCAAACAAGCATCTTGTGAATGTCATCGATATGCAACATAGCCGTCGTATCGTACGAGGCAGCCGTACAAGTTTCGAGCGATTCTGAACAGCAAGACAGCAAGTTGCGACCTAGATCGACTGCGTGTGCTTGCTCAAGGAACGCACATCGACGACTTTGACCTTGGCCTCTAACGATTTTAGCGTTTTTTTTTTGCAAGTCTGATCGAAGCATGTGTCTAACAGGTAGAAGCGTATCTCGTGGATCACGATTATCTGCTTTTTTCCCGTGGGTTTTGATTGCCGGGGTTGGAGTCGTCCTCCATCTGGCTCTCTGAAACACGATCAGCAGCAGCAGAAGAAGCCCCGACGCTGATCCCGGAAAGTCGCCGGCCGCCCAGTTCCGAAGCGTCCGACGCGCGCGCGCCGTATAACCGGTGGATGGATGATCATGATCACGTGACATGTCCTGATACGCTTCGTCCGAACAAATCCGACGGTTGTGAACCAATGAGATGGATGGTAATCGACTCGTTGCTCGTTGGGTGCGCGTTGGGAGTGGGTCGCTCGTGTTCGGTCCAAGCTCGACCAAACAACCTTCGTCCTCTTTTCACTCACTCACACACACTCACTCACCACCACCTGTTGATATATACGACCTTTGTCTTGCTACACACAACACCTCCTCGTGCTTTGCCTCGCATCGTCTCGTGTCTATCGCAAGGTCGTTCGACAAGTCACCTCACGTCAGAACACACACACTACATACCTCACCCAACACCACCTACGTGACTTGCCTCTCTTCCCCCCTCCTCCCACTCACCACTACCAAACACTAGAGCACTCTTCATCCTCACCATGTTGACCTCTCGTTTCGGTAACGCCTCCCGGTTGGCCACCTCGGCCCTCCGAATGAACGCCTCGAGGTCGATGGCCTCGATCGCCGACCAAAAGGTCGAGATGGCGCCCCTCGAGACCGGAAAGGGACACTACATCAACTACAAGCGGATCGAGGACAACCTCAAGATCGTCCGACAGCGGTGAGTCCGAGAATAGTGTTCCGTCGTTGATCTGTCCAGGAAGACCGTGAGCTGATTCCATCTCTCTCTATTTGTGTCTCTTCTTCCCCCCCTTTGTCCCCTATTCTCTCGCGAGCAGATTGAACAACGCCCCGATGACCCTCGCCGAAAAGATCGTCTATGGTCACTTGGACGACGCTCACAACGCCGAGATCGCCCGAGGACAGTCTTACCTCAAGTTGAGGCCTGACCGAGTCGCCTGTCAGGATGCTACCGCCCAGGTCAGTCTCCCCTTGCTTCTCGACAAGGGGAATAGGGGTAAAACCCAAAAAGTCCGCTCGCTGACATGAAACGTCATCTACGTTGTGCTCGCAGATGGCCCTGTTGCAATTCATGTCCGCTGGACTCCCTACCACCGCCGTCCCGACCACCGTGCACTGTGATCACTTGATCCAGGCTCAGGTCGGAGGTGTTCCCGATTTGAAGCGGGCTATCGACATCAACAAGGAGGTCTACGACTTTTTGGCCACTTCCTGTGCCAAGGTGAGCGGCCAGGTGCTACTCTCGTTGGTATCGAGAGGCTCGTGGCTGATTGCAGGATCGACTTGCTTTTGCCCCTACACGAACTATAGTACGGAATCGGTTTCTGGAAGCCAGGTTCGGGAATTATCCACCAGATCATCCTCGAAAACTACGCCGTCCCCGGTCTCATGATGATTGGTACCGACTCGCACACCCCGAACGCGGGAGGTTTAGGCATGGTCGCCTGTGGTGTCGGTGGTGCCGATGCCGTCGACGTCATGGCCGGTCTGCCTTGGGAGTTGAAGTGCCCCAAGGTCATCGGAGTGCACCTCGATGGAAAGATGGGCGGATGGACGACCCCCAAGGGTAAGTCGAGAGCCTTTCAGGGCGTCTCTTTTGAATCTGAACGAGTGAGACTGACAAACATCTCTCGACCCGCTCCCTCACAGACGTCATCCTCAACGTCGCCGGAACCCTGACCGTCAAGGGAGGTACCGGTGCCATCATCGAATACTACGGACCCGGTGTCGAGTCGCTCTCGTGTACCGGTATGGCCACCATCTGTAACATGGGTGCCGAGATCGGAGCTACCACCTCGGTCTTCCCTTACAACCACCGAATGGGCGCCTACCTCGACGCTACCAACCGATCTCACGTCGCCAAGTACGCCAACGAGTTCAAGCACAACTTGCAGGCCGACAAGGGTGCCGAATACGACCAGGTCATCAACGTCGTGAGTAGCCGCGAGTATGAATTGAGAAGACCGATGGAACATTGGAATTAATTCCACCTATATCGGTAATAGAACCTCTCCGAGCTCGAGCCCCACATCAACGGTCCCTTCACCCCGGATCTCGCCACCCCCATCTCCAAGTTCGCCCAGGCCGTCAAGGACAACGACTGGCCCGCCGAGCTCAAGGTCGGTCTTATCGGATCCTGCACCAACTCGTCTTACGAGGACATGTCCCGATCGGCTGCCATCGCTGCCGAGGCCCAGGCCCACGGTTTGAGCACCAAGGCCAAGTTCACCATCACCCCCGGTTCCGAGCAGGTCAGGGCCACCATTGCCCGTGACGGATTCGTCAAGACCTTCGAAGACGTCGGCGGAGTCGTCCTCGCCAACGCCTGTGGACCCTGTATCGGACAGTGGGACAGGCAGGACATCAAGAAAGGTGACAAGAACTCGATCATCACCTCGTACAACCGAAACTTTACCGGACGTAACGACGCCAACCCGGCCACCCACGCCTTTGTCGCCTCGCCCGACCTCGTCACTGCCATGTCGTTTGCCGGTTCGTTGACCTTCAACCCCTTGACCGACTCGCTCAAGGGTGCCGACGGCAAGGAGTTCAAGTTCTCCGACCCCGCCGGTTTCGAGCTCCCCGCCAAGGGTTACGATGCCGGTGAGAACACTTACCAGGCTCCTCCCGAGGACAGGTCGTCCGTCCAGGTCGCCGTCGACCCCAAGTCGGACCGTCTCCAGCTCTTGAAGCCCTTCCAGGCTTGGAACGGAAAGGACATCGTCGACGCTCCCGTCCTCATCAAGGTCGTCGGCAAGTGTACTACCGACCACATCTCGGCCGGTGGACCTTGGTTGCGATTCCGAGGACACTTGGAGAACATCTCCCAGAACATGTTGATCGGTGGTTTGTCCGACGAGGGCCACGTCAACAAGGTCATCAACCAGACCACTGGAGAGTACGGTGCCGTTCCCGAGGTCGGAGCCGCTTACCGTGAGGCCGGTCAGCCTTGGGTCATCGTCGGTGACCACAACTACGGTGAGGGTTCTTCTCGAGAGCACGCCGCCCTCGAGCCCCGATTCCTCGGAGGAGCCGCCGTCATCGTCAAGTCGTTTGCTCGAATCCACGAGACCAACTTGTGAGTTTCCCGTTCCCCAGCTTTGGTGCGCAGGATTTGACACTGAAGTCCGACTTTCCGCACCCTTTTCAGGAAGAAGCAGGGTATGCTCCCCTTGTGGTTCAAGAACGAGGCCGACTACGACAAGATCAAGGGTACCGACAAGATCTCGATCCTCGGATTGAAGGAGTTTGCTCCCGGCAAGGACTTGAGCCTCGAGGTCACCCACAAGGACGGATCCAAGGACACCATCCCCGTCACCCACACCTTCAACGAGGGACAGATCGGTTGGTTCCGAGCTGGATCAGGTGAGTTGTTTGATGACGCATTTTCGATGCTAGTGCCAGTGCTGACCTTCGCCTTTGCCATTTTTCACAGCCCTCAACTTGATGGCCAAGGCTGCCAACTAGGCTTGTTCCATAAAATAAAATCGAGCCTTTGACAACAATTCGACTTGACGACTTTTCGCTTTTGATTTCACGATGTAATCCTCATATATTTCTCGGTTAGGAGCTGGGAGAATGCTTTCCAGTATACCTATGTATTATCACGGACAAACAAGTTTTGGGGTCGTGGTCGTCCACAGATTGGGAGCTAGAGATCCTGCATGATCAGCAGGCCGGACCAGTTTTGCAAGATATGGATGCGGTTTGTCGTCGACGACCGATTTGGATCCGACAGCTTCAGAGTACGAACATGAAACGCGCGGACGATTTGGCTTAAACCCGGCTGGTCATGGACGAGCGTGACCCTGCTCTGCCTGAACGATGAAACTGGCAGATAAAGCATATCGTGCTGCAGCAGTAGCAAGTGAATACAAACTTCACGCCCTCCTTCAACCGGTATCTAGATGTGCCTTAAAGCATATCTGTGTGAGATCTCACTCAAGCTCTCTCTCCTCTCCGTGCATCCAAATTGTACTTTTCAAGAGCACTTACTCGCCTGGCCTCGTTTCCTGTTACTGGTCTCCTCACACGAAAACACAAAACCTCGGTAAAATTGCCGGCCTCAGTTGAAACCGATCCTCTACCCACTCATGTGCAATATACAATCATGTTGTCGTTCGTCAATCGCCGACCCTCGCTAGTTGCTGGTCGCATGACATCATCTGGCCACCTCCGCTCTCTTCGGATCAACCCCCTTCGCATATTGTATCGCAGCAACGTATAACATCTCAGACCATATCATGCCGGATCGCCGCATCTCGGCTCCATACGGTCGCACACTATATTCCACGTCATTACTGCTTATACGATTCGGTACAATCACAAGGACTCGGAGACAATCATCAGTTCTGTGAGGTATCATATCACCTAACCTTACCCTTCTCTTTGTTGTTGGTGAGGGATGTAACAGGGTCATAGAGTCCCCTAAGTTCGAGGCTTTGTTTCGACTATGGTTCCTTCATTGAGCCTTGGGGTCTTTTTCCGGTTGAAGGCCTACTTATGCTCGAACTTCCGTGAAATCTCTACTTGGTTCGATATAAATCACTTCCCTGTCATCAAATTCATAAACTTTCTCCCTCGGATATAAGCATGTAGGTGTTGTAACCTTGATCACCCTTGCCGGTCTTGATCAATGAGCTGACAATGAGCCTCCAACTAGCGTGTGGCGGGGCGGAATCTAACTTCTTCCAGCAGGCTCGAGGTCCGTCGATGGGCTTCTCGTATCAATCTGCACATGAAACCGAATACAAGTACGGCATGATCGTTGAGAATCTGCAACTAGGAGACCTCGAGACCCAGCATGGTCGTCGTTCTATACGAGGTGAGTTGTAGGACGGCGTATGGATTTTACGGAGCGAATCAACCGTGAGCTCTGAATTAGGGTCACATCTGATTTCGCAGCATCCGTAGTCACATGCTCCTTTATCGAGACTCCCTGCATGACATTAATCGCAGCGCGCGACAAATTTGGTCATGGCGCAAAGCAGATCGAATTTGTAATGCAGCTGTGAGCAGTGTAACGATAACAATATGGTAAAGAACGCCGCTATTGAGCGAATCGATCGGCTTGCGCTGTCGTTCGGAGTACCATCGTCGCCTTCATTTTTGTTCCCCTTTTGTTGTTCCCCTTTTGAATGGACGCACGCAACGATTCCGCCACGGAGGAGAAGAACGCATCACCATATGTCATTACATCCCCATCAAAAAAGAACAAAGCGACACGACTAGACCAGGTACAACGTTCCATCTGCACCTCGACCAGGGCGTCCCTCTATCAACCGTAGGCGAGATGTCGAAAAGCACGACTCTACGCTTAGGCGACCAAGGTGGAAGCAGTGGCGGCCTCGTACTTGAAGGTAGGGGGCAACTGCTGCTTCTTGATGTAGTATCGGGCGAGACGGTGGATCCTGGACTCGATCAGAATGAGACGGCTGTCAATGCAAGAATGAAAATGTGAGGATGCGGTTAGTGAGGTAGCACAGGGTGAGGTGAGAAAGGAGGTGTCATCGGACGTACAACTTGGAGTCCCTGTCGGTCCTGTTCCTCTCCAAGTGCTTCCTGACCGAGACGGCCTTCTTGATGAGGTGGTAAAGGTCCTCGGGGATAGTAGGAGCCAAACCTGGTGAACCCAAACGACACGTGCGGTGAGACTCTTGGACCGTCTATCACGCAACGAGTGAAGGAGTGTACCCACCGTTGGACTTCAAGATCCTCAAGATCTTGTTTCCGGTGATGAACCTGACCTGGGGGATTCCGTGCGAGTCCCTGAGGATGACTCCGATCTGGGAAGGACCGAGACCTCGTCGGGCGAGCTTGAAGATCTGGTCAGAGACCTCCTCGGGGGTGGCCTTGGACCACGAAGGCTGGGATCGTCGGTAAGGGAGAGCCGACGAGGCTGCCAGAAGAGTGTATCAGTACTGTGAGGATGCTACCTACCGAATTCCAGAACGAGGGCTACTTACAGATACCCTTTCCGGGAGCGTGCATTCTGATCAATCATAAAGGGTGCATGCGATATCCAACAAGAATGCAAGGGAAAAACAACGCAAACGCCAGCCCAAGGATGGTGATCAGCCAACCGGACCGTACGTCTCGTCCACCACCTGTTTGCTTCGCGAGGGAAGAAAAGGGGTTTTGTTTTGTTTGGTAGGGGGAAGGAGACAGGAGTGCGTAGGACAGGCGAGGTAGGAAAGGGTCAAGGGATCGAGAGAGGAAAGACGGAAGAGGCTGTTCGTTCGTTCGTTCGATTCGTGTTCTGCACAACCTTGATGGCTGTCAAGCACGGTGTTCGAGGGTTCGTCTTCTATTCATTGGTCTTCAGGAGGCGGTCAAGAAGCGAGCGGAGTGTCGTGGAAAAGCCAAGGCGTCCAGAGTTTCGTGTCTGATCGTCGAATGGCGGTGAATCGAACCCAGTCGAGAGCTGGCGTCATGACTGGTGCCTCCTCGACTCGAGGTTCCTCTTGATACGCAATGGATTTGATGACTTGAAAAATTGACCATGTCGCGGTAACTATCTCGATGGCTGTCCCGCGATTTTCCGGTCTAATAGTTATGCACCTTGCGATCGGCATTGTCCTCTTCCTCCTTCTCCTCCGCTCGCTTGATGTATCCCTGACGGCCATCGATTCCTGGCCCGGAATGATCGAGAGCGAAGACGCATGCCAGCTTCCACTTGGGGGGAGTTGTATGAATGCGTGGTCCATTAAGGACGTAGAACGAACAGCCTCGACCTCTCCACGTCTTTCGATCTCTCACCGATCCCAATTCCCTCTCCTCCCGACCTAGCCACCTTGATCGTCTGTCTCCCGCCCGCAAACACTAACAAGACCCCTTTCCTCTGGCCCTCGCGAGCGGCTTGAGCACCAAGATACCTACCGACCCATCTTGAATAGATTTCTTCTTGATCTTTTGGTTGAGGGTGGCCGGGGGTGAAGTGCTGGAGTAGTCCTTGGAGGGTGGAAGGAGGAAGTCCGAACGTCGATCCGATCTGATCTCGTCAACTGGAGGTCGATCTCGAGCGAGGAAAGGGCTGCTAGTGATCTGAGCCGAGACTCTCGGTCGACCGCGCGCGAAACCGATGTTCTACCTCGCGTAAGGGACAAAGTCGACGAGATCGTTGAAAGTGCCTCGACCCAAATCGAAGCGCAATCACCTTTCGCGCGCGTAGCTTGTGCGCTTGACAACCTTCTGCGCTTCTTTCCCTTTACTTCGTCGTGCGCGCGTGAGCTGGTCATGGATGGGGACTCTGGCTGGCTTGGAGGGATCGGACGCGTGCGGGAGTGGGTGGTGGTCGCTGCAACGGACCTCTGCCCAGGCGTCCTCGGCGAGCGAGCGAGGGGTCCTTGCGGTGTGATGACAATCGATCGACCTATTCAACAACTCACGACCAACTCTACCCACCTTGGTCCTCGCTCCTCGGATATCCTTTAGCAAGACCGCCCAGCAGTGAGTCTATACGTCCCTACCCTGCACCTCTGGCCCACGACTCTCGGTGCTGTGACAAGAGAAGGAGCAGACAAACTGACCGAACTCTTGTGATTGTCGACTCGTAGTGAAGCTCAACATCGCCAACCCCGCCACTGGCGCTCAAAAGCTCATCGACCTCGAGGATGACAGGAGGTCGTGAGTGTCGCATCAGCAGAACGGACGGGATGAGGCGAGCGGGACAGGGGAAAGATGAGGATGGACGAGGAGCGGATCGTTGCTGCGGTTTTCGGGAGAAGAGCCTACAGGAAAAAGAAGACAAGACGAACGACGTCGAGAAGTGATGGAGACCGCAGCCGCAGCAGCAGCAACAACGACTCCTCGTCCGACCTCTGGTCCCGCTCGCTCAACCACGCATCATCAAGAAGATGCTCTAAACTGACTGTTTTTTTCCCCTTTTCCACTTCTGCGTTTTCGCGCTCTCGCAGCCGAGTCTTCATGGAGAAGAGGATGGCCCAGGAAGTCCCGGCCGACTCTCTCGGTGACGAGTGGAAGGGATACGTCTTCAGGATCACTGGAGGAAACGACAAGCAGGGTGAGTCGCGAATATCGGCTCGACAAGATTGGCGACCTGGTCTGTCCGGAAAGCTAAACGTGACGATGCGCGCTTATGGTCGCTTCCGTTCATCTCCAGGTTTCCCCATGAAGCAGGGAGTCCTCCTCCCCCACCGAGTCCGACTCCTCCTTGCCGACGGTCACTCGTGTTACCGAGCCCGACGAGACGGCGAGCGAAAGAGGAAGTCGGTCCGAGGTTGCATCGTCAACTCCGACATTGCCGTCCTCTCCGTCGTCATCGTCAAGCAGGGAGACAACGAGATCCCCGGTTTGACCGACACCGTTTTGCCCAAGCGTCTCGGACCCAAGAGGGCCACCAAGATCAGGAGGTTCTTCAACTTGAGCAAGGACGACGACGTCAGGAAGTTCGTCATCAGGCGTGAGGTTACCGGCAAGGCCGAGGGTGCCAAGCCTTACACCAAGGCTCCCAAGATCCAGAGGCTCGTCACCCCCATGAGGTTGCAGAGGAGGAGGCACTTGAGGAGCTTGCAGAAGAGGAGGACCTTGGCTCAGAAGGAGACTATCTCGGAGTACCAGTGAGTAGACGACCGCTCGCAGCGAAGTCGTTGTCGAACCGTCGAGACTGACCGGCCGTTATCTCTGACCCCACTCTCAGCGCTTTGGTTCACAAGCGTGCCGCCGAGAAGAAGGAGCACAACGCTGCCGTCAAGGCCGCCCACAAGAAGTGAGTCTCGGCTCGCACTTGAAAGCACTGGTCTCGTTTCTAGCCCGTCTTGCTGACCACTGTTGCGATTATCGCCTGCCTCCGCAATAGGCACTAGACGCTTATTCCCCGCTTGGAATAACACAAAAAAGCTCTGGTTTCCTTCTCGTTTACGCCCCCTTCATCCCTCTGTTCGGATGATGTAGTCTTTGCCCGTCGCAGTGCTATACCAGACGATGTATTGTGCATGATGGGAGATTATGGAATTTGGATGGGGACTTCCAAAGTAGACATGCTTGCGATCGAGGTTTGAATCTCGGTGCAGAGTTCCCTCAAGGGACCAGTCAATTACAACTGATCGGAATTTCGTTGGCAACCTCTATGTGCCTGGTGCTCACTTGAGGTTGGGACGAGTTGCTGCGTTTCATGACATGTTGGACTCATGAGTGGACATCTCGGCGACTCTCTCGCTCACGGCCTAAACTAACTGATCGAGGCAGCCTAGAATAATCGCTTCTATTCACTAACAATGCTCGAGGCTATACCCGGATCACTTTGCACGGCTTCTCTGCTCCTGGCCCGAATTATGCTTCGACAGTATGTCATCATGGCAAGTGGAGAAGCAGGGATAGGAACGCGAATGGGCTTGTCGAGCAAGTCACGGGTTCGTCTCGCATGTCGACACCTGCTATAATTGTGCCAAGGTCGAGACCCCACATCGATCAAAGGGAGAACATCGATATTCGCACTACCTTCGATGCTGTACGGGATTTTAGATGGCTTCATTGCATCTCTTTCTGCAAGGGAGACAAGGACGATCTCGATGGGCTCGTCTTATGATCTCGAATCCATGAAGGGGTCGTGACCATTGCATCGTCACTCTTCGTTACAGGCTCCCGACGACGCATGACATCGGCGCAACCATCTATACTTTCGCCCAGTGCGCCTTTCCGAATGTTGCTGCTACCACCAACGGGAAAACCAACGTCGCATCCGCATAGACCTGTATAATGTTCCACCAGAACAAAGAGGTCAGTCGTGTTATCAAGAGATGATTTCTCTGACACAGGACGGACTCACCTTGACGGACTCTGCACCCGCCCGGATCTTGCCCCACGAGACCGCCTCGTCCGGTCTCGCCCCTGAATCCGATCCGTCGAATTCCTGACCCGTGTTGATATAGACGGCATAGTCGGCTCCGTTGCGCTGGTCACGTCCAACGTGTGATAGTCTCATCAGTATCCACAGCTCAGGCGGAGGGACGTGTCCGCGAGTACTCACGAACAACATGGCATTCGCGATCTGATGCTTACAGACCCCTCCCCCGAGTACGATCATGCCCGCCTTTTTCGCCCGTACGCTCATGTCGTTCAACCGTCGGATATCGCCTACGATGTCGATGATCAGGCCCGGGTTCTTGTAGGTGTGAAAGTAGATCATGTCGCCCAGCGAGCCGTCTGTCAGGGCGGGGCAGAAGACGGGGATGTCGTTCTGATGAGGGTCACGCAAGGTATTTGGTGTCAGTCAAAGCGACAGAATGGATCGAGAGGGCGAGGAGCGGCAAGAGACTGACCTTGTAACACCAATAATACACGCTCTCCTCGTTGTCAATCTCTTTCCCTAACCGTCTTATCACCGAGCTTGGCGTCCAGACCATCTTCTTCTCCTCCTCGTCCTCGTCCTGCTCCGGGTCGGCTCGAGACTGCTCCTCCACCATCTTGTCCAAGATCGGGATGACCCAATCCTCGAAGGCACAGTAATTGGAATTCGGTACGAGCAGGTTCCCGATCCTATTCAATCCCCTTTTCCTGAGTCCAGCGCCTTCCATGGCGAAATCGCCCAGGACGGTACTCCCTAGGCATTTGATGAAATCCTCTTCGATCCCGCCCGCTGTGGTGACGATACAGTCTACGAGCTTGTGACGGGCGAGGAAACAGATGATCTCCCGTAATCCGGACGAGATCAGGTTGGAGGTGTAGCCGAGGAAGAGACGGAGGGGTTCGTCTGGGTTTGAACGGGCGAGTCGCTGCGGGCGTAGAGACGATGGGGTGTTCAGCTTGATAGTCTGATAGTTTGCTCGAGTCGAGACGCCATGCGCACGACTCACCATCTGTTCGACGATCTTGATCGCCTTGGCCATCCCCGTAGCCTGGAATCCGATCTTTTCGTAGCTCTCTAGCAACTCTTGCAGGTTGACGGCGTTGTCAAAGTTGGGTCCTCGGATATGGGTCGCGTCGTCCGGGATGGATTCCGAGGGCATGAGCACCGAGGCGTGGGCTGCATCTTGAGATTGGGATGAGCTCGAGGCTTGAGCGTTGGTGGGCTGTGTGGGGATGGACATGATGGGTTGATGTCGATAGCTCGATAAAGTCTGATCTTCGCCAGAGGTCATCATCATTTCGGGGGGCATCGCTCGACAATTCAGCAAGGTTGAGTAGGTTGTGCGTGATCGGCGATCAAAGAGATGTGTGTGTATGTGTGTCACGTGATCCCTCGCCCGATGCCGTCATCTTTCGGTCGGAACCGAGAGAGATTGATGATTCAACATACAGTATTCCACATTCTCCTTTGCGCGACAAGATAAACACAACCGACTACTAGTTCTCCTAGCTACCAGCTACCCCCACTACTACGACCCGTCTACGACATACGACGATAACAGAACGGTCACAAACGTTTCTCAACCCCCCACCACGAACATCTCGTATTTGATGACGATGGACGTGGACATCCCCGCTCCTCCGGTGCCGTTCAACGGATTCCCTGCTCTCGACAACCAAAACCACAACCACAACGCCGACCCTTCTTCCTCCTGTTCCGCGGAGAAACCTCACGTCCCCTTTCCCCCCTACCGACTCAAATCCAGCCCAGACGCCGATCTAGAACTTCCGAAGCCAAAGACCGAATGGACGTACGATATGAGACATGGCATGCAGAACGTAGCGCCGTACTTGTGGCTCGGGTCGTCCAGCGCCGCTAGGGAGATCTCGGAGCTCAAGTTGAAGAGAGTTTCGCACATGTGAGTCTGAAGGCAGGGGTATCGTACCGGACAGTCGGATGCTGGATGGTAGCCGGAGAGTATGGTGCAATCCTGGTAGCTGAGAGCTGACTCATTTCTTGGTCTCCGATGGTGATTGACAGCTTGATTTTGAGGGATCCGAGGGAAGCTTCCTACGTCAGACCGATGCACCCGACTCAGTTCTGCTATCATATCATCGAGATGCACGATGATCAGGTGAGTCTGTCTCTTACTTATGTCAATCGCACAAAAGGGGTACGCAGCTAATAGTCGATATCTCTTTCTCCGCCGTCTTGTGAGCAGAATCAACGGATCATCGCTCACTTCAACCCGTAAGCTCGAATTCTTTTCAGGTCTTCTGAGCAAAGGACTATGGAGTCAGGCTGATGTGGAGCATAACGATGTGGGAATCGCAATCTGCGTAGTGCCATCGAGTTCATCCAACAGGCCATCCAGAAAAATGGTACCGTCCTGGTTTACTGTCACAGTCAGTCGACCGTCTCCTGCCTCCTTGTGCACCTTTCCCCTTGATCGTTCTCGTCGTCTGCCTCTGTTTTGACAAGCAGCGTGCATGGATTTGCGAGCTGAAATATGATACAATCATTCTCTCCTTCGCTGTAGCCGGTATCACCCTTTCCCCTACCATCGTCATCGCCTACATCATGGCCGCGTACAGGAAGACGACCGAAGAAGCAATCGCGCACGTCCAGGCGCATCGGTACTGTCTCTCTGTCAAGCCCGTGAGCAATTGACCTCCTTATCCGCCCTATTCGAAAGATGCCTGCAAGAGCATGGAAGCTGATCGGGGGCCTTCATCGTTTTGGTCATGGTAGAATTTTGGGAAACAACTCAGGGTAAGCATGTCAGGAGCATGCGGATCGGCTCCCGGTGTATCGCAATTGACGATAACCCTTTGTCGCATCGCAGGAGTGGCAAGCCATCTACCAAGCCAAGCTTGCCGTTTCCGCCTCCGAGTCCAGCGCGCAACAGGGACCGAAACGAAGGGTTGACGATATGGAGTATGTCCTAGCTCATGTCTTTCCTAACATTCTCTCTCAAAACCTTGTGTGATGACCGAGGCTCCACGTATGCGTGCGCAGGCAAGACGAAGAGACCGTGACGAACGAAGGCAGGACGATCAGGAAGATGCCGGCCAACAGCACTTGGATCAAGGATGGCAAGGAGATGGGCGACTACCGGCCTTATGGGTAGATGTTGGCTTAGGCACTTGCTGCGGGGCTGCCCTCGATCAGACCAGGCAGTACCAGATGGGGCTGAGCTGGAAGGTGACGAAGATGACCGGTTTCTCGGAGAGAGCTGGGACAGTGCATTTGCTGCTGACAGCTTCTTGAAACGACGACAAAAGATGGTGACGGTTACGACGAATTGACGACTGGGTTTTTATGTGTTTAATTGTGTTGTGTTCGGGGTTTCATTTCCCTTACGTATTGATAGCTCGACGAAAAGATCGTATCGAGAGTCTGTATCGCCAATCAAATGTACAGCATATATAGCACTGAGTGGACGGCATTGATAAACCACTATACATCATGGAGAGTTGGACAGTTCGCCCCGTTTACAGCATCGCATTTCTAGCCTGTAGTGTTTTGAGGGCAGAACGATCTTGAAGTCAAGATGAGATAACGTCTGTTATAGTCCGTTCGGGCAGATAGTGATCGGATCAAGCTGACCTGAGGTTAGAGTTGATGTTCTGGACGCTCGTACGTACTTTCATCGTGAAGGGCGAGGCTATAATCGCCAATACAGCTTGGGAGCACTGCGATGCAGCAATTTCCGGTGGCAGGATGACGACTAGGAGATTATCATGCGTAACCACAGACTAATGCGCCGACCTTTCGAGGTTGGCTAAGCCCTCAGATTTTCAATCCTCGAAATAAATGCATAAATAGATAGTAAGCCCGAATCGATCGCGGCACCGTCAGATCGAAAACCATATAGTACGTAGAAGCCAGCTACCGTTTACAATGCATTATAGTGAGTGTATATCTGTTATTGATATCCCCCCGACCTCCTAAAGTACTTCTTGGCAGCTTCATCGTGGTGCTGAAAGAGCCCCGCAGTTGCCCTCTCTCGTAGCGCTCTCGTCAATTCCAGATTGGATCCATCTGTCGAAATGCGCTCGGACTTGGGCTCGTTCGAGAAGCTTTTCGAGGCCCTTAGGCTGTGCTTCTCCTCGTGATGGTGAGGATCGAAGGCGTGCAAGAGCCTGGCAAAAGTACCTCGTTTGCTTTGTCGACGGGAATCCGATGTCGAAACGGATCTTCGCAATACAGGGCGCGCCCCGCTCGTCCGGGATGGAGGTGACACCTCAGCCGCCAATGACTTCCGTACGTCAGAGTTTTGCGACGTGCTAGAGATGAGTATAGGTCCGGAAATGGCAGGACCCGGGTTCGTATGGTGATGAGGAACACGGTCGGTATCGATGACCGTGGGGCCGTATGTGACTCGAGGCTGTGAAGGATACGGCCCGCTTTGCATTTCGGAATAGGAGCGGGGAGCCATGCCTGGTCGTGCCGTAACTGTCGGTCTGAATTGAGTAGGGGCAGGAGGCAAACTTCGCCTTTGAGGGAGCGCAGTCCGGTGAACAGTTGGAGGGCTGCGGAGTGGTTCAGTAGGTGCTACGGCGGGCGACAACAGGTCTGAGGTCTGCCTCGGGGTATCGCGGTCTTGCGAATGCTGCTGTCTCCGATGGTGCCGATGTTCATGTGTATGAGCAGCTTGTCTGGGTGACCCCGTTGATTCGATTCCCATCATGATCGATTCGGTCAGCAGGCGAAGCGCCCGCTTTTCCTGGCACCGCCGGCATTGTTTCCTCTCGACGCGCCTTTGTTCTCGTCGATCGAATTTCGCTCTCTCTTCCCTGGTGATTGGAGAGTCGACACCTGCACCGCCAGAAGACGATCCGGTCTTGGCGTGCGCGTTGTGAAGCGAAGTGCCATCAGATAAGAGGAGAGGCGACCCCATATGGGACTCGTCGCATTCCGTCAGAGGTGAATAAGATGGAACCGGCTTGCGCGAGATTCGGTTCTCTCGAGGAGATCCCGCTGTGACCACAGCTGGCGAGGTGACGGACCGGTTCCCCATTGTAGGTCTTTTCACCGACATCATGCTGGGGAAGCGAGACCCGCCGGACCACTCGTTTGCCCAAACCGGGTTCAAGGCCCCTGGAAGGTCTGCATTTGAAATGGCGAGACCGCCGGATCTCGGCCTGCTTCGGATCTCGCTCAAGTGGTCGTTTCGTGCAGGCATGACCTGCAGCGAAGTGGGTCGCGCCCTACGAGTGCCTGTAGGTGCGGGGAAACCCAGCGCATTGGGCGTGGTCGACATGGTTGGGGTACTCTCTTCTAGCTCCTGTCGCTGAGGTGAGACTGGTGCGCTTGCCGTAGCGTCCGGCTTGCCCAGGAAAGCGGCCATACCATCAAACTTGATAGACGGAGTCGGCATCAGAGGGGTATCAAAGAGGGAAATGGGTGGCAAAGTGATAGTCCTTCCAGCGGGCCTTGGGGTAAGGAGGGGCGAGACTTGGCTCTGCTTAGGCGTGCCTACTGAGATCTCTGAAGCTAGAAAGCCGAACTCTTCTACCCCATCTGCGAAAGAGCCTCTCTTGGTCGGCAGCTCCGGGGCTTCGTCCATGCCGTCCGGCACATTCTGGGTGGCGCCTAACGTCGGTGTAGCAAGAGCATCGAGCGTCGAGTGGACCCAAGCCGAATCATTGCGATCCTCTTGAACTTGGAGATCGGGCAACGTTTTGGCACGGCTAGCTCGGAATAACTGACTGGAGATGTTATCAGCGACCGATGCGACACGCAGCGGCGTTGATTCTGACCCCTCGTGTCCGCTGACTACAGGCCGAGCATGCGGCGTCCAACCACGCAGCGTGATGGGTTCCCTCAGCCTCCGGAGAAACTCTGCTGGGGCCATCTCCGGAGAAGGAGTCTCTAGCTGGTTTGTTGTCCTGGAAGCGAACACGTCCAGGCGCGGGTATCGATTGGCATCGGAGCGGTAATCTATCGCGGTAGCCACACTCGCTAGGGGAAAGTTGGAAAACGCCATGGGTTGCCGCATAGAAGTATCGGGGGTGGCCGTGGGTGGAAGGGATTGCACCTCGGATTCATCGTCAGTGGGGATGTCTTCGGTATCCGGCGACCACGTGTTGGCAGCTCCCCGGCGACCAGGCAAGATGCTCGGCGTGTAATCCCGGTCCTCCTCCTCCTCCTCTGACGAGGAGGATTCAGGAGAGCGAGGCACGATTTCTACCACTTCCGAGAACCTTCGTCCAAGGCTATTCATACTGCGGATCTTGTCGATCTGATCGCGCTCCCAATCTCGTTCCGTGTTCCTCGAGGAGGCTTCGCTGACTGCGCTGGACATGCTGACTGCGCTCGCGCGACGTTGTAACACCTCTTGCAGGAGCTGATGAGACTGATTACTCGACCGTCTCCGAGATGGTAGAGAGGCGCTCAGTTGGGATCCGAGCAAACTAGATTCTGATCCTCTCCGTGTCGCGTTGGTAGGCGAATCCAGTCGCACCATTCGTCTGGGTGTAAGCGATCTCGACGGGCTGCCTCGAGGAGAAATCGAGATGATCGAGGGTCTACGATCCGCAGACAATCCCGACACCGTCCAGGGAAGAAACCTGTCATATGGACCGAACTCAGCAGTTGAGTAAGAGCTCTTTTCGTTCGCTGAGCTCGAGTTCCATGCCGTGGCGGCTGCGATATCTTCGTACTCTGTTTCGCAATGATCCTCAACGTCGCCTTCTCCTGAGAGCCGCCGGAGGTCGCCTGGAGATTCAACAGAGTAGTTTGACATGGGAGAGGACGTCCACTGCATAGCATCGGAAGCTAGACCTTGAGAAGCGAACATGATCATGGTCGTAATCTGCTTGAGACTTTAGGGAGAGGTGAGATCAGATCTCTCTCTGCCGAAACACGACTAGCGATCCTTACGGGAGTTTAGCGCTGCGCTAGGTCGTCCGTTCCCGCGATATAGTTTCAGAGAGCTTGACGGATAAGTCGAGTGTTGTACCGACCAGGGTACCACAAGACCACGACGCAGTGGTATTATCAGAAGCCTGTCTGATATGAGATTCGACCTGACCATCATCGAACCCGTCGTCTCGAAGATTTTCTGCCAGGAACATCTCGCGATATATAAGTCGCTGCTGAAGGTGAATGGATCATCGATCCGCTCTACACTTTCACGGCGATCGAGCCGAGATGGCATGGCTGGGATAAGGTATAGACGACCTCGTTTGAACCCGATGGAAATCGTCAAAGTTTCGAAAAAGAAGGAGCCTGATGGCACATCTGATCCCGAAAGCTCGGCCCAGAAGCTCTGTCTGTCGTGTCTGAAAGGTTCGGGCCCAGCGCGCGCGTGTCGAAGAGATGGCGCGTTCAAAGTCTAAAATGAATCCTCTACCTCGGGTTAAGTTACATGCTAGGAGACTGGGCACCGATGATCAGACCAGCCATCTCGTTCCATCATACGCTCTGATCATCTGGCTCACCCAACTTGTCGAGACATGTTGTCGACGTCATATTTAACCCGGTCGCCGATCTTCGGCGACTCAACTTTGGCGGCTGCTTTTTGGCACGTCTGTGCTAGGTGTTTGCTGCCATCTATAGTAGGTCAGCCTCTCCATGCATGACGGGATTTGGAGATATGCAGCCTCCCCAACCTCAAATCCGTAACCCAGCCTCGGGGCCGACCACCCACGAGACACGCCAAATCTCCGAGCCAGTAGGCACGCGAAAAGCGAAAAAGGCGTAAAGGTCAGGGTCCCGCATACAAAGCCACGACATCATCGCACTCTGTGTGCTCGCGGATCCAGCATGCATTTCGGGGCCAGAGTCCTAGCCGAAGCGTGGCAGCTTGACACGAGTTCGAAGAAGATTTGATCAAACCCTAAATATTGCGACCGGACGTGTGTGCCACACGCGATACAACCTATAGGTCTGCCTCATCTTCTTCAGACGACGCTGCCACCACTCGCCTACGTGCTGAAGCTCTAACGCGCTGCACCGTGTCAGCATCCTCCGAGTCCTCGTCAGAACGACTAAACTCGGGAGGATGCGACCGTTCACGTCCCACAAGGCTTTGAGACTCGGCCGCTCTCTTACGCTTTTGGCGTTGCCTGGCTCGAGGTCGGGGACGCTGAATGCCGGGTACCTGAGGAACGGGAGACGGCCCGGGGTTGTCACTCTGTGCACTTTCGTCGTCGTCCTGCCCGCTGGCACTGCTTGGTGAGGCCTGGTTCGTGTCCTGAACCAGGTGTGATAGAGAGCGTTGGTCATTCTCAGGCTGCTGTCTTGACGATTTGGTAGAGCCAAGCGAGATGTTCTTCCTATTTGCCTCCCGGTTTGCAGCTTCCCTGGCAAAGAAGGCAGCGTCCGCTTCTGGGTCATCGTCGGAATCATCGATGAACTGGGCACTCTTCTTCTGCTGCACCTCGTCGGCTTGCTTCCGGCGACGAGGGGCCCGTTCAACGTCAACCGAGTCCCGCCGACGCCGCTTGGCAGGTCTTTTTCGTCGTTTCCGACGCAATAACTCAGCCGGCGTTATGCCATTCAGGTCCATCGGTTCCCGCATGAAGCCTTCAATGATCCGGATGGAGGATTCTATCTCTTGAGGTAGCAACCCTTTTGGGACTGTCCACGTAATCTCTGAGCACCGCCGTGGTGGTACTGGTCAGCTCGTCGTTGCCTGGCTGAGGCATCCGACAAGCAGAACCTACTGGATTCTTCTTCCGGCTCATCAGGAATGCTCTGCTCGAACTGGACCAATGTGCACAGCAGCTTCAGGTGGGGGTTGTAGACGAGCGCTGTGGCTTGCTCTTCGGTGTCGGGCCTCACGACTAATTCGGAATGGCGTGGCGAGGATGTGGCTCAAGGTCAGCACAGCCCGGTCCTTGTTCAGCGGTACCATCAAAACTTGCTATGGTCGACCAACTTCTCTTTGGCTTCTTCCGAAGGGCCTATCCGCGGTCGGGTGTCGTCAAGATCGGGGTCATAGGCTCTTGGCTCGCCGTCCGTTGTGAGAATGACCTCCTGCCTTTCCACACATACCAGCCTCAGCAGCTATACAGATTCGAGGAGCCATCAGCTTCCTTCTGATCAAGAAGTGCGGTGCGACTAATAACTCACCTCGATCAGCCACATGATCCAATGTACCTTCCTGTCGTCAAGCAAGCATCTAATGGCGATTCCTAGCTTTTGGCTCCAGGTGAACTCTTTGTCAGGTTTGAATTCGAGGTCGGCAGGAATTTTTAGGGTCTACAATAATAGCAACATGTGAGTTACTCGATTTCGCGAAAGAAGAGACCCAAATCTCACCTTGGCCCGTCCAAGATCATCATTACTATCGTCTCCGTCCGAATTCGAGCCCGAGAATTTTCGCAGTTTACCGCGAGGTTTCGGCCAAAAGGCCTCTACTGCAAGCAAAGGGTTCTGTTGCAGATTCTTGAAGAACTTCCGAAGAATGAAGTTGATACAGGCCAGAAGATCCTTGGTTGCTTGTCCCGCAGGGAGAGATCTTTGATCTTCGAGCACCTTCTTGAAGACTTCGAAACCTGAGACCTATACAAGTATGCTTGTTACTACAGCGAGACGACGGACGCTAAGAGCCGATGTTCTTACCTTGTAGAAGAACGCATCTGCACCGACACTGACTACGATACGGTGCATGAGGCTTACGAGCCTCTTAAGCTTTTTCGCATCGTTGAATTCGCGGTACCTGCCGAGGTAACGAATCAAGGTGGACACTATCCGTTCGTCCGCGAGCGCCTTGATAGATGAGGACACGGGATCAGTATCGATCAATGGCGAAGGAGTATGAAGCTGGAGACGTACCCTTTCGAAGTCACGGAATTGACGCGCGTGTTCAGTGTACGTTGCGGTCGCTTTTTCCAACGCTGCAGCCTGTTCCTCCTCATCGTCCATGTTTACAACTTCAGATTGCTTGCTTTCTGTAAGGCTGGTGCTACTAAGTAAAGACCAATGTCAAAGCATTTGGAGAAGCCTTACTTTTACGCTGGTTCATCTCGCGCTTCTTGCGGATATGAATTTGGCCTCGATCTTTCGAATAGACTTCTAGAGTCCGTATCAACGTGTAGCAGAAATTGATGGCGGAATCCAGATAACTATCATGACATATGGAACACTTTGTCAGAAATCGTCGAAGCATCGAGACTCATTATATCAACTCACGCCATCGATTGTTGTTTGTAAGTCTTGAGGCAATCATAAGCCGTTTCGATAAACTCGGCATTCTGTAGCAACTTGGCGGAGAGAGTATCCGACAATTCCAGTATCTCTTCGTCCTTGTCGTTTGACATCGCTGCGATCACCAGCAACTTTGTTTGTGTGCGTCAATCCCCATGCATTGTTTGCGGATATCAGAGACGAACATACCAACTGGGTAAAAAAATCGAGACACGCCTGGATTTCTAAGTCCCCTCTTGGCTAGCATTGATGGACAGAGTTTCAGTATGACTTGATCTACCGAATCATCAACTTGACAAGGCCGATTTTCACCTTCAAATCCTTTGCCTCTCCTAATCGACGACCAAGCCAACCTCGGGTCTCGTCTTGAAACACCTCAGCCAGTAGTCGAAAGTCGAGCTCCGGATCGGGCTCTGGATCGTCTGTGCCAGCATCCTGGTTGTCTACAGGCTTTTTATCGAACTCTGCCATTAACGCATCGTCGTCCAGCCCCAAGTCTGCGAACGGATCCCGCGACTTTTCCGCTTGTCGTTTTGCTGCTTCTCGCTCCTTTTCCCTCCTGGCCTTGTTGTCTTGCTCCTGCTGCTGCAGCGCCAGAAAGTATTCCATGAAGAAGCGACACAGGAAGAGTACCCTGAGGTTGTCGGTGTCGCGTATCTTGGCGCGACCCATCCGAATATCCTTCAATATGCTATGGAAAAAGTCTACTTGGCAACGAGACAGTCAGCACAGTCGGCGCGCTTGCCCGTACAACGAGTGCTCACTGTCAAAGCAGAACAAGAACTGTCTAGCAAACGGCTTCATGACCGCCAATGCTTCTTCATTAAGCGCCGTGACGCCCCCAGCCTTCAGCGTCAGCTCATCCTGTTTGGTGACTTTTCCTGCCCGCTTCCGCTTGATTCCGTCGAGGACAGCGCCAGCAGTGGTCGATATGGATGATTGCTTGTGCAGTACATATCGGTCGGAACCCTGATGGCGAAATGCTGAGCCTCGAGGTTGCATAAGTCTGCTTGCATGTCTCTTGACTCACAGCCTTCATAACGATTGTTGTGCCAAACCTCGAATGCCGGCTGTTGCCAGTGCGCTTCGCTTGCTGTTTACTCCGGTCTTCTTCGTCCAGCAGTTTTGCCAGTGCTTCGGCAGCTACCTGTACATGCGAAATATGGAAATTGAGCCTCAAGATGGAAAGTCCCAAGGAACGATGCTCTTCTTACCTGGCTCGATTCCCTCAACAGATCATCCACCTCGACCGCTCGAAACATGAGCCATAGCGAGTCGAGAACCAACACGTTGTATTCTTCATACTCCCCCTTTCCTGCGTTCTCTGCCAAGGTCAGCAGAAGAGGCAGGAATCTCGCCTCTTCCAGCTGAACGATTAGACGGCTCTGCATCGAGCCGAGCTCCATCGTGTCTCCCGAGTCTACCCCTGAACCGATTGGATCTCGGATGGCAAGCAGATTTCGTATCAGGTATAGCATGAGCGAGACAATACGCTTGTCCCTCTCGGTGCGGTCGCTGCGATGTCAAATGCACAAGTCAGCTGAAAGCGACCATGGCTATCTAGAGCTTGTGCAATGAAAGACTTACCGGTTGGATAACGCAAGCGATGGTAACAATAGCACCATCAGGTTGCGAATAGTCGAGCCAGATTTCATTATCAGGGCCTGTAGATTCAGATCCTCCTTAGAGCGCAACCCTTTAGACTCCGTAATCGACGCTTCACTGACCTTGTACTCGACCTGACTCCGACGCAAACTCGCATAGTCCGTCACGACCGTCTCGGCATCTTCCAGCATATCCTTGAGCTCCTGCTGGACATCGATGGGCCATGTAAGAGCCGCTAGCAGATCGGCAGCTGCCAAGGCCATCTTTCGACCGCTTTGTCCACGCCCTGTGCACTCGTCCAACAGGGAAACCAGTTCGGTGCAGAGACCGGCTTTGGCAAAGCATCGAAAGACTGTCCGCTCGTCGTCCGTGTCGTCTTTCCGCCATAACCTTTTGAGATCCCTCATGACAGCTAGTGCAGAGTCTCCTGGACGATAGACAGTCTCGATCTCTTCCGTCTCAGGATTCTGTACCTCCTGGATAGAGGTAGCCTTGACTCCATCAACTCTGGTTTAAGCGTCATATTTCCGACCATCAGGTCACGCACCTCGAATCCTCCGAGAGCTCCGACCAGACGTTGTACGACGGGCATGAACAATTCCATCCTGTCTACCATATCGTCGTCATCCTTTTCCTGGTCCATGCCCTCATCCTCGTCTCGTCCCTCCGCTTGCCGGTCATACTGATCGGCCAGTGCTCTTGCGCTGCTTGCGAAATCCATTGAAGGCTATCCGGTGCGGCGCGGCCAGGCGGCCCGGGTTTGGTAGCTTGTCTACGTTCCTAGTTGCGACAACGGCTTCTTGTTCACCAATCGTACGTGATGCTATTAAGGGTGGCTAGCTGAGACGTTGATTGATCAGTAATGTCGTAAGATTGCAAGACAAATCATCCTTGTCCTTGTCACAGTCGGAAGGTCGCGAGGTCGTAGGCACAACGAATGTTGGTTGCAGGGACGCCGTGGACGTTGATCTTGTCGATTGACTGCAGCTCCAAGCTGAACGCGTAATTACAAATGATCCAAATGACAACGCGACGCGTCGCGACGCGATCGAACGTCAACCTTTGCGACCGACAGCTGTTCAGTGAGTCAGTACATGCAGTACAACGCTGAGCTATCTCGACTCAAGCAGCATCGGGACAGATACTCGACCAAGGTGTAGATCTAGTATCAGTTTGAATCATCTCCGAACAGATCGCAGGTAATGGACATGTCTTGATCTCAGACAATCTGTTGTACGAACCTCCCGCAAGAGCAGTCCGCGATGGCAACGTATTTCGTGGTATTCTGTATATCGTAAAAGCAGCAGGAGCTCCAGAGTCTCCCACTGGCGCATCCATTCGCATCGATTTCGGATGCATCCGTTTCGCATCAAAAGAAAAGGAAGAAAGGCATTGATCTTGACCAATCGTTCCGATTGACTGAAACGGGTAGTACCGGCGTACAAGCATCCCCGACCGCTCCTGTCACAGCATCCCCCGCTCCTGTCCCTCCTCTATCATCGAACGCCAAGAACCTCTGAATCCACTCCGATCGGCCTATCTCCTCTCAAATCCCTCGAATTCCTGCAGCCCGGCGAGCCCTCAAGCGACTCGTATCCGTTGTACATTTGTCCGATATTGCATTGCTCGAGATGTGAGGTGATGTCGACTAATGAAGGGAAAGTTCTTAACGGAGACGACTGAAGTTAATGCAAGGCAAGATATCGTCAGTCAATTCCGTTGGATGGTCCACTATCCTATACCACGCGTATCGCGACGGCGATATCAAGTTCTCCAACTCACCGAGCCTCCCTCTCGGACTCCAAAAGAGCCAAGATGTCATCAACCTTGACGGGTCCCTTGACGTTTCGGACAATGGATCGCGAGCTGTCGTCCATGAACTCGACTCGGACCTGAGTGATACCTCCTCGGGAACCGGTACGACCGAGGACCTGTGAATCATCGAGCATATCAGATCAGTATGACACATCTCTGGACGAGGCGTGGTGAGCAGGCGGCAAGGGTCTGTTGGCGACTGAGAGGCGTTCGAGGGCGTGCTACCGATCGGACCGATCCGTAAATTGCGATGATCGTAGATGTCGTCTTTGCTGTTGAAAGGGCCAAAAAGCTTTCGTCTCTCCTGCACCGAATGATCGGCTGGACTATCCCAACTCCCGGCCGGTGGTTGTTGCGCTGCACGGCCTTTTTGCTATCTCGGCTCGTCTCGCATCTGATCCCTAATCTGCTGTTGCCCCTTCAATCCTCGGCGTAGCGTGCTTCTTTTCGTCTTGACGGATTTTTCCCTTATTTCGATAGACCCTTGCCTCCTGCGTGCTTTCGTAAACGTACCCTGGTGACCTTAGCGAGCTTGACGGGTTGCTTCTGAACGTTCTCCTATTGACGCCCAATACGTTGTCGGATCAGCATGACCGAACGAGCGTTACTCCGGTGCGAACCGGGGGCATTACGACGCACCATTTTGACGGGCTTGAAGTAAAACTCTGCTGGTGCTAGATCTGAATCTCAGTCGCCCTTGACAACATCGATCTCTCGGCCAGGTGGTTCTGACGAAGTCGTTGCGTGAGCTACTCCCGGTGGGCTGAGACTCGAGGTCAGCCAGGGGGGTCCTATCGTCCTCGCGCGAGCGAGTCTCTCTGGCCGGCGTCATCGAGCTGAGGTCCAACACCAACTAGAAGCGCAGACACCCCTCTGCACACGCGAGAGCGCTTATTCGTCGGATATTGGAAATCGTGCTCACCAGTAGAACGGGTACGGCATGATCTGAAACGCTCGTACGGTCAAAGTGTTTCGAAAGGAATCTACTGTGGATTGGACACTACAAAGCTCGAAGCGTGGAGATCACCCGGATAAGGACCTTCGGACGCCTGATCCGCAATGAGCGGTATGTTTACCGCAAGATAACCTTGTAGTCCGATTGACATATAAATCACGTATGCACACACGGCGTTCATCAGGGATCGCACGTTTGTTGAACCACATCCGGTGAATCATGCATATCTACGGGATACATTATTGTTTCAAAAGAACTTTATCGTCTAGGGGGCGCATTATAGGTTGAAGAAGAAGAGAAAGCATATCAAGATTTCGAGGCAATGTGATACAGCTGGCCGAAGTGATCGGCGTGCGGGGTTCGGGCCTGTTAAGAAGGAGATGCGGCTCGAGGGGATCGCGCTCGCAAGGTAGGGCCATACTGTAATGGCGAAACGCATGAAATTAGCGGATAGTCCGGCACCAACATCATTCACGAGTCAGTGACTTACGAAGTAGAGGAAGAAGGGTAGGGGCAAGAAGAGCAAGGAGACGAATCCGAGCAAGGAGGTACCCCAATCGACCTTGAGGTTAACGAAGAGTCCGTGAGCAGCCAACGGCATACCGGCGCCGAAGGCGCTTCTGATGAAATCGTTCTGTGGTATGAAGCATAGGTAAGCTGGAGATTCTGCTCTACTCAGGACACGCACAGACACGTACCGAAGCCAAAACACTCGCCGCCTCAGTGGGGTACGCGTCGGTAAGATAGTTGATGATGGGATTGAATAAGCAGGAAGCTCCGACACCAAAGATGGCCGTGGAGACGACAGGAGCCATCCAGTGAGTTCGGCCACTCGACCACGCAAACCTGATGGAATGCAGCTGTCAGCAAGCCGAACGAACAGCTTGCAGGGACTTTGACAACTCACCAGAAGAGACAAGCGGGAAGGCAGAGGGCCCCAACAAAGGCAGGCTGCAATCGCTTTTCAGGTGAGATGTGTCCTTCGGTCCGGTCAAACTCGCGGCACCAAATCCATCTGTGCAGTGTCGGGTGATCAAATCCGAAGTGATGAGCGCCAGGACTTTCGCGCGTCTAACAGACATAACTCACCTGTGCCATGCGCAGATCCCGAGGAAACCACAGAACGCGCCGATGAAGAGGGCGATGAAGGGGAGCTGGCTAACTCCCAAGGAGAACCCGTACATGTCAACGTATACGAGGGGGAAGGCCTCGAACCAGGCGTAAAGCACCGCGTACACGAAACCCTATAGAAGATCCGCAAGATCAGCTATTTGTTGCACGAAACTAGAAAAATGGGCAACACCCACGATGAACAAGTTGTTGGCGAAGATAACCGGCTCCTTGAAGTTGAGACTGAAGGGCTTGATCAAGGTGTTCTTGGCACGTTGTCCGAAAGTAACCTTCTCTTGCATGATTTGTCCTTGAGACTTGAGGTCCTGGTTGCCGGTCAATGTTCGAAGTCGGGCAGCTCGTCGGTAGAGGATGTTTTCAGACGAAGTCTGTGAGAATGTCAGACTTTCAGCCTCAATTTGGAATCGAAAGAATTAACATATGAGGCGAACTGACCTCGGGCATGGAGATGGCCAAGAAAAGCAAGGCACCGCCCGAAAGCCAGAGCATGATCCAGAAGGCCCACCGCCAGTTGTTGGCCTGGATGGCAAATCCTGAGACGATGGGGCCGAGACTTATTGCAAGAATGGAGTTTAGTTGTATGAGCCGATTATTCTGCACATTGCACAGCGCAAAGTCTGGAGACTCACGACGGTCCTCCGGACGCAGCAACACCCCAAATTCCCAGAGCGTAAGTTCGGGCCTTGATCGAGTACATGTCCCTGTGACATTGCGAAATCGGCAACCGATCAGTGTCAGGACATGGCATGATTCTTAAATCACCCGCACTCACTGCAAGGAAGCTCCTCCAGTAGCAAGAGGAGGAGACCCGAAGAATCCGGCCAAGAACCTGAGTACGCAGATCCCGGCAAAGTTCTTCACGAGTGCGGTCGGGACTTGCAGAATGACGAAAATGAGCAACGTAAGAATGTAGGGTGGGTTCCTTCCGATCGCGGGAATCTCGGTCAAGGGAGACCAGAGAAGAGGTCCGGTTCTGCGAATGGGATGATATATCGAAGCAAAGCGTATAAGCGATCGTATGCACAACTCGTTGATTGTGTAACAATCCCTCACCCATAACCAGCAACGAAAAGCGACAGACTCAGGGTGGCAGGGACCTGAGCGACCCGGAGATCGGTCATGATTCCCATGATACCGGGGGTGACGATACTGGAGCCCATATAAACCGCGATCGTGATGAGACAGATACAGAACGTGACGTGCAATTTCTTGGGCAAGGACCAGTTCTGAGGGTTTTCGGGATCATCTGGATGAAATATAAGGCGTGTCTGTAAGTATCCAGATGACATGGTGTATAGTGTTGAGTCCCGGAATGGCTTACTTGGCCCATACCAGGTGACGATATTTGGATCATCATCATCTCCTTCGAGACCCAAGGCCTGCTCTTCGTCTTCCTCGTTCGAGTTGACTCGAGTGGCGCTGGAACCATCACTTCGACGACGACCCGCCTCGACATCACCGATCCTCACAGGCCTCTCGTCAGCGACCGCCTGCTGAGCAGCCCGCTTTTCAGCGGCGTCGATGTAACCTTGCTCGCCTCCCGTATGCTTGGGCACAGGAGCGATTCGGACAGGCTTCTCCTCGCGAGCCTTCTGTAGCTTCTTCCATTCTTCCTGAGCGCCCTTCTTGGCCTGGATTCGCCTCGATCGACGCTCGAGGAGAGCCTTGGTGTGGTCGTCTCGACGGTAACGAGCGGGGATCTCAAACCCCTCCTTCTCGTCGGGGTACTGAAGGACTCGTCCGCCTGAAAGCTTATGTATGACTTGTCCAAGGAACTGAAGATCGAACCATCACGTTCAATTGCGACTCTCCTTTTGATCAAATACTTTGCAAACTTGACTGACCGACTCGCGCAAAGTGTCCGCCATATTGCAATAGCTCGGAGATCGGGTGCGATACTGCTGGAGACGATTCCTTTTGGATTGCTGCGATTAGCTACGATCGAGACCAGGGTAGCCAGGACGGTATGGAGAGTTTCAAGATATGGGGTCAATGACTTTATAACTTGGCATGCACGACCACCTAGGTCACCCATCACCACGACCTGCGTATCCGCCATCCAGGTCAAAGAAAAGACGGGGCAGGCGTCATCCTCATTCGCCTCGATCTGATGCCTGATGATCGGCGAGGTGGAGAATGGTTTGTAACGCGGGGATGGTAGGGCGACGTAGTGCGGGTTGTTCTTGGCGATTCCGATCGAGGAGATCCTGCTGACGTCTTTTTCGGAGGAATCGTCGAAATCTCCTCCCGTCTGACTCCGGTTCAAAGGCCAGATATAGCTGTTCACATGTGACGTCTGTCCTCGATCCTCGACCTCCTGCTCGAAAAGTGACGGTTTACGATCACCGACCGAGACAGGCCCTAGTCCTATGACGTAGTTCTGGCGTGGAGCGCGCGTGTTCCGTCCAAGCGCGCGCGTTTCAGTCCCCGATTCAGCGCGAATGGGGCGATCGAATTGTCGCAGCATACGACGTTCACACCTGTACACTCACTCCCGTGGTCAAGGCTCAGGCCTCTCAGGGTGGCCGGCCGACGTGGGTACGTGGTCTAGTCTGCAATGTGAACGGTCATCACCCACGTCTCACATCTTGTGACGAATTGACGGGTATGTCTAACCTCCATACTAGCTACTAGTCCAGTCCGAGCCCGACTGCGAGTCACGCAGAGATCCAGGGTTAGCATTGGTCCACGACAGATGCTCAGCCCCTGAGTTTGGGTTTGATAGCGTGTGCAATTGCGAGTTCGAATTATAGTCCACAGAGCCGCGAGAAGGGGACACGAAGAGAGCGAGTTGCAGTTGTGAAAGAGCGAGGCAATACCTGGACAAAGGGAGGACGAGGACGAGGACAAAATCCGGCTCAAGAGATCGTCTACCGATACGCAAAGCTAGGAGTGAAGATCAATGTTCATGAGTAAAAGGTTTGAAAGACACACAGACAGATCGGTAGAATGAATGGGTAGGTAAAGACCAAGAAAAAATGAAATGATGAGATATCTCTCTTTTGAACGTCCAATCGACATCATTAACAATGTTCAATCCTTTTGGCGACCTGACCTCGATAGACCGATTCAACGGTCCATCATCTTCCATCGAATCGAACTGAGCGTTATTGCTTCGCTTTCTCTCTTGCGAGAAGGCTAGAAGGGCTGAACCCAACATTCAGTTCCGGATTGAATTCACGTAGGGGCGTGCCCCGAGAGATCGATCGGGGGATACGATAGAGTCGTAGGGAGAGTTGCATGGAGAGTTGTAAAGAGAATTGCAGGGGTAGAAATTCGCGAGCTAGAAAGGCAGAAAACAACGAATCAAGGGCGACTGAGAACCAGGTATTCGCGCCTTTGGACGGTCATTCCATAATAACGCCGTCGAACATTGATGTCTATCTTCGATACGATGAGCCCGTCAAATTCAATCGCATCACTAGCTGTTGCGTATCCGCCGATGTCAAAACTTGTCCGTCTCCCGCCTCAAATCTTCACATAAGCCAGGAAAGTCACATCCTGAAACGTCTTGCGCCACATCAGCAAGGCGGTACTCGACAACTTCGACGCGAGCGAGGCTCTTGTATTACGACCACGTTTAGGCCTCGAACACGTTCCGCCTGTTCCCCGGACGGCTGCAGATCGCTTGCCACGCATCTCCCTGTCTCTCCTTTCATTCGAGTTGTCACCAGCTCTCGGCTCGTCATCAAGCGAGATGTCAATTGTGGGAATCTCTGTTTGATGATGGGGGCGACAGACCAGGACTCGGCTGCGGCGATCTGGTTCAAGGACGGTCTACGTCCCGAGGCTCGGCGGCATCAGCCCCCCTCCGTTGTCTCGCAGTGCGGAAGCAAGTCTTGGCCAGTTCGAGCAAGGGAGGCAGGAGCGGCGGCCAGAGCGCGGGCTGAGGAAAAGGCGTGACGTCAGCCACCCGAGCCCATGTCGTAAGCGGCCCGCCCTCCCTCTTTCAGCAGTCGCGACCGCGTCATTTTTCTCCCGAAGCGATGATGATCAGATTGGGAAATTGAAGGGAATAATCGTTCGACTACTTGAACCTCCCAGAACGGAAAGACCAAAGAGTGCTAAAAGCAATCGACGACGTAAAAGAGGCGAACCCTCCAATTACATCTTCGACTTCTTTTCAATCGATCTATCCCTTGCGATACCTATATAGGCAGAACACACTTCGTGAGTGGAAACATCGACAAGTAAACAACTACGAAAGGTGGCTGAACCTCGTCCTTGTTGTTGTTTGTGTTTTCTACGTCGTCTCTTTCTCGATCGCCCAATTATCACCTTCAGCTCAAACCTACTCACCCAACTCGTACAATCCAATCCAACACAATGGTCGACGCTGATGCTTCTGTCCGACGGGGTCACCCTGGTGAGCAGCGACCTGCACATCAGCTGGGGAGTTCGTATATCGGGACTAACTTGGACGTGCGATTCGGTCTCGTTTAGTTATCTTCGGTCTCGTGGCCCTCTTCTCGCTCATCGAGATGTGTATCACTGCCTACCTGACTTCCAGGTACAACGCCAACGGGTACCCCAGCGGCCACTTCACGGGAACCATTCGATTCGGTCTGTAAGTACAGTGTCGGAAATCGATCTTTTCGACTCTAGACTCTGCCCGTTTGCTGATGTTCCCGGCTTTATGATTTTTGCAGCTTCGTTTCCATCTGGACCTTGTTCTTCAGCATCGCCTACCTCGCCATCTTCTTGACCGGTGTTCAGAACTTTATGAGTTCGATTGCTTCTCACGGTGTTTGGCTCTTCATTACGTGAGTCGCAGGCCAGATCCCGCCGGCCATGTTTCATTGTTACCCAAGACGATATTCCTGACGCTACCTTGCATTATCTTTCAGTTGGGTGTTCTGGCTCGCCTACGCTGCCTCTACCGCTGCCATGCTCCAGGGTCCTGGCCGATGCGGAGGGGACATCTCTCACTGCACCCAGAACGTCGCTGCTGAGGCTTTCGCCTGGATGAACTGGTGAGTGTCTCTTCCCTTGGCTCTTGGGTCATTTCATTTGGAATGAGCTAACCTAGATATTGCGTCTTCGTTCTCAGGATCCTCCTTACTTTTGCATTCATTGCCGTCGTCCTACTCGGAGTCAGGTCAATGCGCAAGGGCGAGCGTATCTCCGGTCCCCTCACCGCCTAGACGAATGGTTTCGAGGCCACGGCTTCAGGAACCATCCATCGATTTGTTATCAACCCACCCACTTCATAAACTAGAAGAGCAGAGAAACGAACGCGCTCGCCTCGAACTCGAAACACAAACTAGCAGAGAAACCAGCATAAGAACCGCGGATTCGGGAGCGTCATGGGAAGACGAACATTAGAATGCTCATCGAGACGTCTGAGAGCGTTCGCACTTGTTTTGTGAATTACTTTTCTTTATAATTCCCTTATAATAATATGCCAAACTTTCGTCCGCAACTGTCTGCGAGTCCCTGACCGCTCCGAGCCTGTCAACATCTTGTAGGCGAAGTATCCCGTTGCAAAGCGGTCCTGACCCGTCCGTGCGCGCCCGCCTATCCGACCGGATTCGCCGTAGACTTCTAGATCGTGGCGTGATCAGGCTGAAACCGTGATCCCCTTATTTGCCCTCGACGCGATGGTCAGCGTGCAGCCTGGGTATATCATCAGTAGGAGCCGGATGAGACCTACCGACGTAGTCATGTGATTCCTATCTGTCTGCGTCGGCTGATGGTGGTCCTGTTCTTACTAAATATCCTCGCTCAGAGGTCGCAGCATTGCGCATGTCAATGCATCGATAGAATCGAGATCACTATAGCGTTCGCCAAAGCTGACCGGTCGCATCCTCACACCAGGTCGTGACTGTCTCGTGCCTAGCTTACGGGAATAATTTTTGTGGTCAAGGCGTATGCTTCTATCATCTCTCGGTCCTGGACTCCGAATCATCCGCATTGAAAGCATATGGAATATCGTCAACACAGAGGCGGTTTGCTGCGGGACTTACTATCATCGCCTTCTGAAACATCGCATGCTACTCACCCCGAGATGAATAATACAATAAGCCACCATACTTTTCCTCGACCGCCTGAAACTATCCTCATACCGGATCGGACTGACTCGATCATCTCGATCGGGAAAGACAGCTCTTACAGCTTCACGAGAACGACGTGGACGGTAACTGAGGAACGGACAGATGACAGGGAGACAGTCTGTCAGAGTTTCTCTTATGGTTCCCACATCACCAGCCGGGATGACCACGAACAGCAAGGGATGGTATATTCCGATATGGGTACTGCAGAACCAACCACGGTGCGAGAAGTATGCCAATGAGCCAGCGTCCAGATAGATGACGCCTGGCATGATCACCGAAGACGAGATTGTAGCGATTCGCGCCACTCTGGATGACGGGAAGGAACCAAATCCATAAGTCAAGGTTTTCAGCAAGGTCTTGCCAATTCTGAGACGCGAGCAGATTCGATGAGACGAGTTGATCCAAGCTGACATAGGTAAGGAAGCCATGTCTCGCCCTCAGAACGGTTGGAGATCAGCAGAGTGGAAGACGACCATTTGGGGCCCGGGGGATTTGATGTCTAGCGGATACGTTCATGAATTAAATTGAGTCGTCCCGAAGACCAAGGACTTGTACGAATTTACAGATGGTGTATGGGGATCAATCTCCCAGATAGACGAGGCTTGATTTGAGCTTCCTGTATTGCTTAGTGACAATCATCTATCTGCTCCGAGTCGCTGCGAGATAACATGAGCATCTCGGTCAGAGTTTCTCAATAGAAGAGACCGCGCCATAGTAGGCCGCCGATACTCCCATACTAGCCATACTGCTCTGTTACCGTACCGTTTCAGCTACTTTGCTCAAGGCAGGCTGCGGTTTCAGATCAAGGCTCGAGGTTCGCGGTCGCATCATTTTGCTTCCGATCACGTGGCCATAGCGTAAGATCACCGTCATGGCATGGGTTATTTCGGATGAGACCCCTAGATTGCGAGCTGCGAGCTGATCCGGGATAGAGGTCTGCGATTTGCGAATCCGTCGAGATCTGTCAGACCGTGGAAACTACCAGCCGCCAACGAATATACTCTAAACCTACAATTTGAATCAGTCTGTTTCTCTGCTATCTCATCGTCTCTCGGCCTTCGATGGGTTGAATGACTCGACGCTCTATCGTGGCCTCGACTGCTTCAAGATGGCCCATCAGCGTGACGGTCAAAGGGAACCCTCAAAACATGTTAGGACGACCTCGACCTCAACGTCAGTTGAATGTGTCTCTCCAGGAGCCATCTCGAGACGGCGAGTGAGCTGGAGCCGCTCCCGAGCCGATATCCCGATCCTACGGCCAGATCCAACGCCGTATTCCGTACGCAATGCCAACAGATACCTAGGTCCCGCAGTCAGCCAAGAGATTCCCTATCGAGGTAGCTTGAATCAGCAGCAAGAAGAGCTGGATCATAGGCTATCAGACGTCTCCTTGGGGCCCAACCTATCGTTTTACGACATCTTCGGCCATGATCGGACGGAAAGCAGGGTCAGCGGACTTTCTCAGCCGGTAGCGAGCTCTTCACGGGTACACTTGGTGTCGACAGAAAATGCTCGACAGCCAGGCAAGGATAGTTTTGGCAGAAAAGGAAGTCTTGATGAACAGAATCCGGAAAATGGATTGACAGACCCGAGCTACGGCGATGACATTCCAATGAAGAAGGTCGGTCGTGCCAGCAGCTCCGATGAAGAGGAGAGTTACGAACGGGTAGACGAGCTATCGTATGCATCAGCGGGAAAATCTGACCGAAGAAGGACGCATAAACCGTACGAGAAAGGTGCCAATCGACATGAATCCATACTACGAGTCGTCGACTCGGTTGTCCGGAGAAGCAGCACGTTGAGGTCAGCAGCAGGTCTGCTTCAAAGGGTCAGCCGGCGAGTAGCTCCTGTCAGACCGAACGATAGTGATGACGAATCGTTACGTCCACTGAGATTCGCCGACAACCTGGATGTTGACCCGAACAGTCCCGATCGACTTTTCGAGGACCCCTCTTCGGATAGCGAAGCCGCAGTTTCTGGATCCCAATCTCGCCCGCTAAGCCCTGATAGAACGCCCGCAAGAGCTGGTCGTGCGGATGGTTTAATTAGAACTCCGTCGGCAGGTCTCTCGATGCAGACGTTACCCAGCTCAAACCCGCCAGGTGTCAAGTCGGAATTACCATTAAAGGGAAAGTCTTTGGGCGTATTCGGCCCCAAAAACAAGCTGAGAGTGGCGCTTTACCAAGCTTTGAGACGACCGTGAGCTGCAAGAACCGATTTTCAGAATGTCATAGATTTGCCGCTGATTGCAAGCGTTGTCACCGTCAGTTATACCGAGTTTATCATCTTACTGCTTATTATCTTTCATGCTGCCGTTCTGATCTCACAATCGGCTCCTCGAATACACGGACCACGAGACACCTCTGGTTACTTCTATACCTGGGAGGACTCGGGGTTGCTCGTCATCTTCATTCTTTACACGTTCGAAGCCTTGGCTCGTATGATCGTGACGGGTTTTGTATTCGACCAGCAGATCACGCTGACTGCGGTTCCGGGCATCATCGAACCCAGGAAGGTGTCCCAGCCAAAGGTCCTACTCGAGCGCCTCCTGTCAGGCCGGAGAAACGCGCATCAACCTCATGGCGCCGGGGATTATCGCGTACGGCGAGCACTATCCGCGATTCGCCCCAGTGCTGTTGTAAAGCAACAATTTAGGGCTCAACAGCAATGGAGAAGCGAAAACATTGAACGCGAGCAGGAGACTTTACGATCCCTAGGCAACGGTCGACCCGGTCCGTCCAAGCCCGCTACCAAGGCGAAGCTTTTCGATGAGCTGCCGTTCGAAGCAGCTCTCAAGCGGCAGGTAGGCATGGTCGTCAGCGGCCGCCCTTATTTGAGGCATTCTTGGCAGTAAGTCAATGTAGATCTATCGCAGGACCGGGGTATTAAAGCTCAACAAGGTCGTGACCTATAGTCGGATCGACTTGTTGTCTATCATATGCTTCTGGATAGCATTCTCCCTTGCATACACGGGCAAGGAAGCGACGGACGATCGTCACCTCTTTATTTTCAGAGGCATCGCTACTATTCGAACAGCCCGTCTATTACTCATTACGCAAGGCACAGCTGTAGGTAACGCTTCCGCGGTAACGAGACCATTAGAAATGAACGCTAACCAAAAAACGTGCAGACCGTCTTACATTCGCTCAAAGTAGCTGGTAAGCTATTGCTACAAGTATCCTTCTTCATCGGATTTGTTGCCCTCCTTCTCGCTATCGCTGGGGTCCAGAGCTTTTCTGGCTCTTTCAATCGATCTTGTCAGATGTACGATTCACACTCGAACTCAATCATCGACTTGTCCAAGCAATGTGGCGGTCACATCGATTCAAATACTCTGGCACCCGTTGCCTGGGCGCTGACTTCGGGAGATAATCGTTACGAACCGAAGGGGTACATTTGCCCGATAGGTCAAGTTTGTCGGGTTGTAAATGGGAACCCCGAAAACTTGGGAACTTTCGACAACGTCTTTCAAGCCCTATTACAGATCACCATCATTGCCTCGGCCAACAAATGGAGTCCAATCATGTATCAACAAATGGATTCGGATTATTACTCTAGTGGAATCTTCGTGCTGGTTGCTCTAATCCTGCTCAACTTCTGGCTCGTATCCTTGTTGATCGCTGCTGTCGTCAAGGCATTCCAGTCGATTCGAAGTGCCAACGGCAAGAGCGGTTTCGGAGGACACTCAAAGACCTCCCAGGTCAAGCCGCAAGCATCGGGGCCATCGGAACGTACCAAATGGATCAAGTGGTTCAACAGAAGCGAGCCATTTTGGCTGCTCCTGATTTTTGGGAGTATTCTGGTACAAGCGCAAAAAGACACCACGCAATCGCGAAAGGTTATCACTGTGCTCGATAACGTCGAGCGAGGGATCACCATCATGCTGGACCTGGAGATCATCTTCCGCGTGCTCGCGTATGGGCGTAGATGGTCTTGCTTTTTCGAGAGCGGAAGAAACTCTTTCGACGCCTTCTTGGCTGCTGTCACGACAGTTTTGATCGTCCCTTATATCCAGGAAACTAGCGTCTATCCCTGGCTCACGATCTTTCTGCTCATGAGATGGTATCGAATCATCTTGGCGATTCCTCCCTTAAGGCCGCTAATCGGGAACGTCTTTCGTCATTTCGCCGAGATTACAAACACGGTTCTCTTTCTGCTGCTGATGACGGGGTCAGCTTCTCTAGTGGTACGTCAGGCGTCAAAGAGATCTCTGGTCGGGTCAACTCATCCCAAACACGCGAGAACAGGGCGCCCAGATGCTCAGAGGAGATATCGACCCGGAGTCGACACAGTTGCCATTCGATACCATCCTTTCCTCCTTCTACGCCATGTATCAGGTGGGCCATCGCTGCAGGCGAGATTCTCTCTTTTTGCGCTGACTCGATTGACATAGATAATGCTGCTAGAGGATTGGGTCACGGTCTTAGGTGATGCGGTCAGTAACTGTCCCTGAAGCTTGCGCCTACTTCGAAGACTGACGCGTGGCTCCAAGATCGTAGATCACTGCTGGACGAGACTACAAGCAAACTGTAGTACTATGCATTCTGATCATCGGGTGGGCTCTGCTGTCCTCCAATATCATCTTGCAACTGCTCGTTGCAGTCATCAACGAAGTGCGTCACTCATGTGTCTAAAGCGGTTTGCGAAGCTAATCACGAGAACAAAACGGCATACTGCTCGTGCGTCAGGCTTTCGACTTGTCTGAGCAGGAAAAGATCGAGCTGCAAAAACAACGAGTCGCAAACCGCAAGAACCAGCCTTTGGTATTGCACCAGACGTGGTTTGAGAGATGGAACCCCTATAGACTACAGGCCCCTCAGCCACGGCGTACATCAAACTCTGACAACGTCAACTTTGACACTGTCTTTGAAGGCCCAACGACCGTAAGTCTTCTCTCAGGCGAAATCTGATTTCGTCTGACCAGCTTGATATAAATTCGGCAGCTTCGAGAAGACTGGTCCAAGTTTGTCAAGTTCACCACGAAGCTGCTCAGATTTCCCAATACCGGTCGAGTGGGTGACCCAAGTGTGAGCGGAGCCAGCCGTTCAAAGCAAGACGCCGGCCTGTGAGTAGTCCGCCGCTATCATAATCCCGCTGTGGGCTGATGTCGCGAACTTGACAGCAAACGCTTGCTTCGGCAGGATCCGGATCTCTCAGTAGACATCGCAGAAGAATCCTTGAAGGTCCGGCGCAAGATCCAAGCGGAATTCATTCTTGATCATCCCGGCTATGACGTGTCGCTGTTTATCTTTCCTCAGGGATCAGGGATCAGGACGTTTTGTCAAGCATGCGTTCCTTGTCTATATGAGCGACGGCTTTTTGGACGTCAACCTGGCCGGCAGAGATACATACTCCAAGCGATCGTTTTCGCGGCGATTATCGTCTCGATCGCCGTTTCCGCCATCACGACACCTGCCTATCGCCAGCAGTATTACAGCGAGAACGGTCTCGTAAGGTCGTCCTGGTTCATGATTACTCAGGGAATCATAGGGCTCGTGTTTCTGGTGGAAGTCTGCTTGAAAGCTATTGCCGATGGATGGTTCTTCACGCCCAACGGCTATCTGAGATCGTTCTGGAACGTCTTCGACTTCCTCATCATCACGAGCTTCTTGGCCGTATTCATTCAGGAACTCATTGTGTTTGCGGGCATGGGCCGCGCCGCACGGGCTCTGACTGCGCTACGGGCCTTGCGTCTGATCAGCTCGTCACGCCACATGAGGGACGCGTTTCGCAAAGTCCTGTATGGAAGTGCGCTTGGTCTCTTGGCCGCATCCACCATCATGGGTCTGTATCTCGTCCCCTTTGCGATCTGGGGTCGCAATCTCTTCTCTGGTCGGCTATACTCGTGCAACGATTCCACTGCAAGCGGAAAAGCGGATTGCTACGGCGAATTTATTAGCATGCCGGTTGACGAATCGTTGGCCTTTCTCGCGCCTAGAATCTGGACGAACCCCAATCCAGCAGGATCGGAGTGGAGCTTTGACGATTTTCGCTCCTCCCTCCTGATCCTGTTTGAGTCGGTATCACTGGAAGGTAGGCTTGGATTGGCTTTGCAGCACATGGTTAATTCTAGCTGGCTGACTCGCCGGCTCGTCTAGGATGGACTGACGTATTAGCGTCGTTGATGAACATCAACTCGGGAAAGGATCTACAGCCAAGACTCAATAATCAACCTCTCAACGGCTTATTCCTGGTCCTGTTCATCCTGTTCGGGTCCATCTTGATAGGTAGCTCCTTTATCAGGTTCGTGAAACCTGAATCAAGGCCTCGAAGACACCTTTTAATGGTTATCGCTCTGCTCAGTATCCTAATCACCGCATATTCGAGAAACAACGGTACGGCTTATCTCACCCAAGCCCAAGAAGACTATCGGGCCTTGCGAAACTTTCTCGAAATGCAAACGCCTACCGTACGACCTGGTCGCCGAACAGGATTTAGAGCTTGGTGCTTGGAGCGAGCGATCAAGAAGCATGGCTGGTGGGCTAGATGCACCACCGCTATCTATACAGCACATATGCTTCTGCTTCTGTAAAAATCGCACGAGGGTTGGCTGACAAGATGATAATGACGGCTGACGCGGCCTTTCTTATCAGTTTACAAGACAATCGCGATCGAATCATTTCTTCTGAAGTATCCAGTAAGCTACTCTCAACCGTCAATGAGGAGCAACCGCGTGGCTGAGGCTTCATTTCATCCCTTCGCAGACTGGTTGTTCTTCCTCATCGGCTCCCTGTTGTTGATGGATGTACTTGTACGCCTCTACGGTTTGGGACTACCGGTCTTTTTCAAAAGCCGCGCTTCGATCTTCGATGCGATCGTGCTTGTAGGTATGCAAGCCACGACTATTCCACTCATAGTGAAGAATAATAGCCCTTGGGAGGTCAGCTGGGCAAACTTCCAGCTGCAAAAGGTATGTCTTGCGATGATGTGCCAATTCAACGAGTGCTGATTTCTCCCACGCCTAGCTTTTTCTCTCATTGCTCTGTCTCAAACTGATTCAACGCAATGATGGGCTTAGCTTACTATTTCGCACCTCCATGTCAGTTCCTGGTAGCAGCCCTCTGACCCCGCCGAGTTGACGCTAAATCGCGTCCAACTGGTAGCGCAAGTCTGGCTGCCATTGGCAAGATCCTGTGTCTGTGGGCTATCCTATTCGCCACATTTGCGTTGGCATACGTACAGGCTTTCGGCAACACCAAACTTGGGAATAACGCTACCAGCCGATACAGCAACCATCGCAGCTGGGGGAATTCTTTGCTGTCTCTAGCCACAGCATCGACAGGGGAGGCATGGAACGCTAATATGCACGATTACATGGTAGAATACCCACGCTGCGTAGATAACGACTCGTATCTCATCAGCGACTGTGGTCACGAGACATGGGCACTCGGGCTGTTCAGCAGTTGGAACCTGATCTCTATGTGAGTCGCGGAAACAGCAAAATCGTGATTATGGAGAAACTTGACGTCGCTATTGTTCTAGGTATCTGATGTTAAACGTGTTCATTGGTAAGCTTGGGTATCATATATAGATATCAACCGAGACATCTGAAGCACAAGCTCTGTGGGCAATGTAGCCGTTGTGGTGGAGTCCTTCGGTGTGGTCTGGGGCTCTAAAAGGGTGACTCGGGCTGTCATGCGTGAGTTCTGTACCCGTTCCGCTGCATATCCAGGCTGACCGACAGGATTGCTCTCTCGGAATTGCAGGAGAAGTAAAAGAGATCTGGGCACGATTGGACCCTCATAGCACTGGCTTTATCGAGCGCGCTCTGATTCCAACGTTCCTTCAGGTACAGCCGATCCGATCCCCCGACCTCGCTTCGTTCTGTTGCTAAAGATCAACGGTTCGCTCGCCGGTCAAGGCTTTGCCGAAGCCATTCGACATCGGTTCGCATAATAGCGATCATCAATTGCATCATCTACTGGAAGCAGCAAAGCCCGATGCAAGATCGCCGCCTGATGCTCGGGTTATCGCAGGCGCCAAAACGGTCATTGACATTGGTAAACTTCAGACGGCTTTGGCGGACCTAGATGTCGCCGAGACGCGCTCGAGGAGAGCGATCTGGAGTCAGGTACTGCACGAAGCCAACATGTCTGCCGTCGATCCCCGCGGACTTGCATTCACAGATGGCCTGCTGATATTGGCCCGGCGCAAGATTATCAAGATGGCGGATGCCTTCGAGTAGGTCAATTAGATAACGTGTGATGTGGCGCGGAATTGCTCATATGGACATATTCTTTAGCCTTGATGAACTGTCCGCTCGGGCAAAGGTCGAGCTGGAGATACAAGATATGCTCAATCTCGATCGTGTCCGATCCCTGTTACGCAAGGTGTATTGCCAACGCAGGTATCAAGAAATGCTGGTCGAAAGTCGGCTACGCTCCAATTCTCCACGGCCAGGTAAGTACCGCGCGCGCTAGGTGTTGCCCATAGTCAGACGTCCTAATATCTCGTTGCCGCCAGACATACCCTCGATCGTGATCAATAAAAATACCCCCTATGCACACCATCATGGCCCAAGTTCCAGTCCCCCTCTCACACCGGTAGCTCCGACATCTCCATCAATCTGGAAACATGTGGCTAGTTCCGCCGCGTCAGCAGATGGACAGGTCTCCCCGGCTGTCGAAACGTTTGACTCGCTTGCACGCGGGAGACGACCGAGCTTGCAATCACAAAATGATGTCCACGACATACCGCATGTGCGTCATCATTCGGACATTGGAATGCAACCATCCCATATGTATGTTGATCCGTGAGTGCCATGCGGCTGGAGAGCATATGCATGTATATGTTTGCTGAAAGGACGCGGATTTCCAGCTTTAAGCAACGCAAACGCGATCTCCTTGACGACCCAAATGACTCTGACGACCCTGGCCATGAGACGCTTTGAATAGATGCGAAAATAGAGCTCATGACTTTGCAAACGTAACCTTGGCGCATCAAGTGTCCATTGACATTACCCTTGTGCGTGCCCTCCAGTGATCATATGAGATAGATACATACGTTACAATACGGAGAGCTGTAGGCTATACCGCAGAACATAATGATGATGATGAGGTGATGATTTCCCGCCTCAATTTAAGAGAGCAGATCCGAGTTGCCGCTCGCGCTTATGGCGATGATGGTCTGCATTGATGCAAGATATACGCCTCAATGAGCACATCGTGTTGAGGAATCGAGAACGTTTGCCTAGACTCACCTCGTCTTCCAAATACTTGCTGACAGCAATACTGTCGCTCAACCCCTTCCTTCTTCGTGTCTTCAGTACCAGATCTCGTGCCAATGCCTGGCCTGTTGCGGGTTCGAGGGGTCTCAACTTGATGCTGGTATCGGTTGGGTCGCCCGGAACGACGCTCCAGTGGTCAAAGTGCATCTGACAGAAGGCTTGACCCTGAGTTGCCATTCGCAGATCCGTCTCGAAACCGTTGGCGTCCAGTACGGGGATAAACGCTTGTACCGTGTAGAGGGGGGAACCAGGCTTCGGAATATCCTTCGTGACGTGACCACGTCGTCGTGCCAGGACAGTATAGACCGCAGCAACGCAGTCCGCCGGGGCTTGCACCTCGACGTAGTAGACGGGTTCAAGTAATCGTGGCGTGGCCTGTACAAGAATCGTCACTCTGAGTAAAGCCTTTCCGGTAAGAGAAGGGGACCTAGCTCACCAAGAGGAAACTGGAATAACAGACACGTCTTGCAGTCGGGATGATCTGCCCTCCACCTCGATATATTGGCTCCTGGGCTAGTGAGGCATCCAATACTCGGAACTTGACACCTCGAATGGCTACGATCGCAGACGTGTCTTTCAGATCCTTCCCCTGTTGAGTTTTACCTTTGATTGCGGTACTCACGTTCATCGCACAGCGGTCCCTCTCGAGTACCCCACTGGAATCCCTGCTTGATCGATTCTCGCACGCTAGTCAAGAGTTTCGTATCGACCTGCAGGCTACATATCAGTTGACAGGCTCGATGAAGCTGACTCGACTGGCAACCGCTCACCTCTGATGGGAATGTATCGTTAACGAGGATATTTGGCCCCTGCTCGTCTGGTCCGAATGCCCAGATATTTCGGCTCGCCAGAAGATCCCACTGGTATTTTGTCTCGAAAAACTTTCCTCTATCCTTGTTGGTCATCTTCATGGTGACCTTGCCACCCTCCAGGTCTTCGGCCAGACCTCGCTCCAACGGCTCCGCGATCATGGTCAGCCGGTTCTTCTTGTTGGGGGTATCGGCGTAACATTTGAGTGCCGACGTTTCTACGACTGTCTCGCAGAACTTCACGACAGGGTCGGACACCTTGATCTCGATTTCCGAGAACAGTCTTCTCAGGTCGTGCATGACGCAGTCGAGGTACAGCTCTCCCGTACCCAGAATGATGTGCTCTCCTGACTCCTCCACCTTCGTCGTCAACAGGGGGTACGACTTGTTGACTTTTCTCAGACCATCCAACATTTTTGGTAATTCCGCTGGCGAGATGGGTTCAACAGCAATCTTCAGCACCGACTGCGTAAAGTGCTTGATAGGCCGGAAGATGTAAAGCTCGTCGTCCAGCTCTTTGGACACGATTGTTGCCGTCTTTGAGATGGAGGCATCGACTCCTCCCAGCAGCACCAGGTTCCCCGCCGATGCGTGATCTGTCTCGACAACGTATCTGTTCAGGGCAACAAACATCAGCTTCGGCTGTCTTGCCGATACACCGAATGATTCGCAATACTGACCGCGACTCATTCACCCAGATATTGTCGATTGTCTGCATGGTCATGTCCTCTTCATCTTCGGGCGAATAACCCTCTCCAAGGACCTTGACGACCTGTCCTTGCTTGATCGTCCCGCTCATAACCCGTCCGAAAGCCCGGAACTCTTGTGCATCGGCAGTATGGTATAGCTTGGCAACCTGAACTACGGCCGGACCCGAGGCGTCGCATGCCAACATGGCCAACGCTGCTTCGCTATCCTGAGGACCAGTATAGTTGAACTCGACCTTTTGGCGGGAAGCTTCCAGTGGTGACGGGAAGTTTTCCACAATCAAGTCGACAAGACCCTTAGAAGGCCCGAAGAAGGCATCGAGGACGACTTTTAGCAGGGGTCGGACATCCATCTTGTAGGCAGCCGGTCTGAGAGTGATCCTCAACTTGGCAAGGGTCTCCTTCAACGTTTCTGTGTCCTCGCTCAATACCTGTCGAACGACGACAGCACCTTAAATAAGAAGGCGGTCTATAGTTGCAAGCGCTTTCCGCCGGGATGGCAAACTGACCTGTGAGTAGAGCTTGTACAACGGCTCCAAGATGAAATGCACAAACGACCGCTTCGTCTCGGCGTCCTTCGGGTTCCTCGAAAACTTTCTGTCCTCCTCGTTGTAGTAGATGTTACCCCACAACCTCATGGCAAAGGCATCAACGTCGACCGCCCCATACGTATCGCTGTAAAGCTGAGCAAACGATTGGAGTGTGAAACTCCATCCCATCTGGGTCGATGCGAACACAACGTTGCCTCGTTCTGGCGAGATCCTCATGCTCTCATCCGGGTTGATCGACCTAGAAAGATGCAGTTCCTGTCAGAACGGCTTGCGTGTGTACGTCCGGTAAAGCTTGGACTCACGCAATGACGGCGTTGACCTCCTCGATCGAATGCTTGATCTTGAAGAACGCCTCGGAAGGAGGCAATCGGAGCTCCAGAATCAACCTGTCCATCTTATTCAATACCAGCACGATAGGTAGCCGTTCTTGCATGGCATGTTTGATGATTTCCGTCGTGTTGCTCATCACACCTTCTACCACGTCGACTACCAACAACACTCCGTCCACCAATCGGGTCGCACTGGCGACTTCGTCCACAAAGTTAACGTGTCCAGGAGTGTCGACCAGGTTGACGAGATGGGATTTACCGCGGGAAGTGGAGAGGACCAATGACATCGAGTTGGATTTGACCGAGATACCTCTCGAGCGGGACAAGGTATGAGTATCGGTGTATCGAATCTATCGAGAGCAACTCGACACGATCAGATGAGCACTTCTGAGTGCAGGACCAATGTCGAGCTCGTAGGCTACTCACCGCCTCGTCGGCATCCCAGGTCAGCTGATGCGTCTCGAGGACGAGCATGTCCAACAGCGAGGTCTTTCCGTGATGCAGATGACCGGCTACCATGACGTTTCGAATCATCGAAGGGTGTTCCATCAGATCCAGCATGAATCTGTTCGATGTGAGTGTGAACAACCTTGTCCAGCTTCCAGGTGATATGAGGTCCTGTATTGATGGCTACTTACGACTTGTCGTACCGCGTCACGGGCATCTCCTTCTCCTGCTCGACAAACTTTCTGACCTTGATCGGTGCTACGATCGGTTCGGAGAGCGGCTGGGCGTCTTCCTCTTGTACGAGGGTTTCGACATCCGGTCCGTACGTCTCCTCTGCGGTAGGGTAGTACTTTTTGTCTTCATGCAGAACGATTTGATTTCGGGGGTCTATCATGAAGGAAGCAACGTGTCGCATTCAGATCGATTTCGTCCCTGCTATCTGGCCATGATCAATCTACTGACTGGTACCGACTCCAGCCATAGTCTGGAGTTGCATGACGCCATTTTGAGGATCCAGGTCCATCATCTCGGCGTCCTCATCGTCGTCGTAGCCCTCCAGAGGAGCTTGAGCTTGTCCGGCGTTGCCGTTCTGACCCTGAGCCGAGGTCGAGGCCTGGGCAATCTCCGGCTCGGAGACATCGTCGTCCGAGTCTAGGTCATTGCCGATGTAATTACCAAACTCTGCAAGGTGGTCGTACCGAGCCACACAGAACTCAGTTTCGCTGCACTTCGACGATCCGCACGCCCAGAGAGAGTGTTTCCCTCACCATCGTAGTCTTCCATAGACATCTTGAGCGGTCTATGCTTTGATGAGACGTCCTTGCGTAAGATCCGAAAGGCAGCTAATTCGACGTGTCTTGCTGAAGGCCAATACTTTTCGGTTCGATCCCGATTCTCGAGTCGTTCTTCTTGAGGAAAAGAGTGGTCCTTTCGCTCGTTACTATTGATCTGTGTGTCAGCTAAGACTTTTATGCTGTGTGAGATGTCGTTGTGAGAAGGTCGAAGCTGTCGAAGATGTTGAAGATCTACCTCTCGAGGATGGTCTCCCTACTCTCACTCGTAGCTCGTAGCAAGCTCGGTAGGGCGGGAAATCCGATTCTCACGCGCGCGCAACTTTTGGGCCAGGTTCAGCACCTCGGCCTGCTGAGAGGTGATGGGTAGGGGCCGAATCGATGGTCATTCGGGATGTTACACTTTACCTCGAGCTACGGTCACGTCAAGGAAACTCATTCCGATTCCATATCAGCTTCAATAACCAGTCATGTTGATGTCGACCACAAAAAATGCGCTCAGTCGCGGCGCAACTTTCGTCTTCGTTGGTGGACGGACGTTCTCTTCGACCCGACCCACCCTGATGGAAAAGTCGATGGCAGACCTCCTACAAGAGATCCCCCCAGAGCTCGCCATCCCCGTCTCGACACCTTGTAAGCTGCCTTTCGAACCTATCTCGTATCCAGGGAGGCCAAGCTGATCTTGATAATTCATACGCAGACTCTGGTATAGGCCGGAGATTCGGCAAAGCACGTACCGAACGAAAGGAAACCGTCAGCTTTGGCAGCAAGCCCAACCAAGTCCGGGCTGAACAGAATGCCCAACGATTGTACAAACGGGAAGATTCAGTAGCTGGCGGATTCGGGAGCATGATGAGGAAGGATAAGGCTGTGGCAGCTAGCTCGTCGACCGGGGGATCGAGGTCTCAAGGTGATGAGCGAGCGGGACAGAGGGAGAGGAAGCCATACAGGAACGATAAACCTGCTCGTCCATCCGAGTCCTCTGGATCCTCTGGGTCCAGATCAGCCCAATCTGGCTACCAGCCTCGGGAGAAGTTTAGCAGGATCAAACCTATGGCTGCTGAGCCTCCCGTACAACAACAACAGATCAGGCTGGAGGACTATGCTCCACAGAAACCGCGGGGCCAGGATGATCTTTTCGGGACAACCTCGTTGTTGGATGTTGATGTCGCCAGTATGAATCAGGTGGAAGGGCAGAACGCGGAATTTGTTGGCGACGAGCAGAACATATCGGCCGATCGAGGTTGGTCTGACCTGAAAGCTAGAGTCATGCTTTCCATACTTTACGGGGAAACTGACAACCGTTCTGTCTTGTCAACACAGACTCGGCACTCCACCGTGCCCTCCTGTCCGTCGGCTCGTACTCGCATCTTGTCCCCGCACCCTTCTCTCAATCCACGATCTCGTCGACCAACTCGATCCTCGATCCCAAAACCAATCGAGAGACGCTGCACCGATTCGCCGTGCACCAAGCCGACTTCGCGCTGACGAGAGGCGTCAACGTCAGTGAGGGGCAACGAGGCATCGCCAAGGGGGTCATCATGGGACGATTAGGAGTGAAAGCTTAGATCGCTTGTATATGCTGACGATCGAGACAATGCATGTATCATATGGGGCATAGCGGGTGCAACATACCTGTAGAAGCGTATAGCCGGCGAGTTGCAGCAGTCGAGGGCCCGGTGCATTGTACGAGTGCGAACAAGCACTTGCAGCTCAGAATCCCGCCTTTTGCTTACAGTGGCCTCCCTCGATCTTGGGGCCAGCTTTCGTACTCATTTTATGTTGAAGTTTATGTGTTGAGCACAGCATCGCTAATACTAATTTGGTATAGTACAGTTGGAAAGGGTTTTAAAATATAACTCTTTTTGTAGAAGTCCCCAGGTCCTGGAATCGATGATCTACACCGCTACACCTTTTTGCCCTTTTTTCCGCCCAGAGTTGCTATACGGCTTAGACTATGACCAGTCAGTCATACTGGTGAGGTCATGTCTACCCTTGGTCCATGGTCAATAACATTATTATAGTCCAGCGGATAACGTCATGCTTACAAGTACCCGGCACTTGCTGATGCCGAATCCTGTCTATATTTAATCAAACGGCGATGGAAGTCAAACATCTCACTCTACGGAGTGTGCAGGAAGCAGCGGTTTTGCAACTCCATTTCCCGCCGCAAGTGGATCGAACGAGCTGTCGAAGGGAAATTCAGTAGAGCGATCTTGTCGTCGTGATCTCGGGGCAGTCGCTATTGTCGACCGATTCTTCTTCGTTACGCTCTGCAGATTCACCTGTTGATAGCCCTTGTGGCAAGCGGTCAACTCCGATGAGCAGACAGATCTTCGATGTGGATCGCATCAGGAAGCCTTCGATTTACACGTGATCAAGCGTGGTGTCGCAAGTCTCTTGAGGTCTTGCGATGGCGTTTCAGGTTGATCGCGCTTGGCGCCCGTGATATTCGAGAAAGGCCACGGTCGTGCGTGCGATGATGGCAAGGCAAAATCAGCACGACCAAGGCATGACAAACTATTTGATTGCTCTGGAATCTTATCCCGAGTCATAAACGATAAAGGTACAAGGCTCTGGCCCGAGCGTCGACACGGGCTTTCTGCCTTCTCGACAACTTGTTCCCATTAGAAACAAACGGCCTGACGCAAGACTTTTCGAGACACGTTTGTATGCCTCTGATCAGGCGGTGGGGAAGACAACGGCGAAGATGACTCACTGATGTATACGAAAGATGGACCGTGACTCTGAACAGCAGCGAGACCTCAGATGAGAGACGCTCCTTCAGAGTCGGCGACCACTCAACTTGTTGCAGATGGTAGAGGAGCAAGTTGAGACTTGTTCATCTGCTATTTCTGTCATGATGGCTTTGTGCCTATCTTGTTTCTCCCTCTTATAGCGGGCCGCTTCCAACCACGGCACACTCTGCTCTCTTCAGGTTGTTTCGGCAAAGTAAGCAATTAGTCTTTGCCTTGTCTGGATTAGATCCGGCTCCGCATCGCTGTACATTGGTGGTGAGAGGACGGTTCCCGAGGAAACTTTCCTCTTGATGCGGTTATGTATGCCTGCACGAGAAAGTCCGCCCTTAGCCAGTTCAGTTCGATCAACTGAATGACCCTGTTGTAATTGACCATCTCACTGGACTTCGAGCATCATAGTTTTGGGCTCAGAAAAATGTCGACATGCGCCTGGCTGTGCAGCACCGCCTGCTCATCGACTGCTCATCTGTATATAGGCATGGGGTTCTTGAACTTCGCTTGTCTCCAGGTCATGATTTTGCTGTCCGAGACGATTAGCAAACAGAACATATGGGATCGAGAGATACGTACTGGTACAGGGTATGCTTTCGAGCCATACGGTTGCCTCGGAGCGGCGAAGCTCACATGACTTCCTCGGTTATTCAATAGCAAGTGAAAGTTCCAATACCCCTCATAAGCCTCGCAGAACTCAATGAGAGAGCTTTCACCGCATATGTTGGCCAGATTGGTACATCAATCTTTCCGAAAACACAGGACGAGACACGACGATCCTCGCCTCACGCCACAAAACACGCCAACCTCGTGGTTCATACGAAACAACCCAAATTACAAAATATAACATCGTTCATCGTGAGATCAACAACCGAAGGTATATCTGGTATGATGAGAGAATTGATGTTCAAGTCCTGAATGCAGGTCGTCCAGTCATTTTCCGCACACTCTAGCAGATACCCGTCGACATAGTCCCTCTTTCGTCTTTGCACCGGATCTCACAGCGATGCATCCTATTTTCGAATATTGTGTAGGGTATCGCATGCCTTGATATCTCTCGCGTCATCTATCATACCTTGTACATATACAACGAGCGTCTCTCAACGGTTCTCTGCGATCCAGCCCTAAGTGAATTATTGATATCCGTCCATCCGTTCTGACGCGAACCGCAGCAGGATGTGCTAGCAGAGAGCTAGGATACGCGGACGAAGACGAGGACGGGCCTTGCGAGACTAGCTTCCTAGACGGTCAACTGATACTCGTACTCATCCGAACTGCTCTGTGCGATCCAGAGTATCAACGAGCTGATAGAGAAATGCAAGCCAAGCCCGACCCGGATCAGCACAATGTTTACGATTACGACCACAACGAGGCAGATACGACGGAACGACCTGGGGTAGCGTGTGGGAGTGGGAGACTGACCTGAGCATGAGTCCACCGTTCATTCCAACGTTGGCGGCTCCGTAATAGGCATAGGCGTTATACCCCGGTACGAGGTATTTTAGGATCAAGACCGTCTGTAGCGAGACGAAGGTTTTACGTTCAGGCAGAAGCAAGGAGTATCAAGATAGGTCCAACTTATCAGTCACCGTACGACGACATCAGTCTGGTGTCGAACACCTCAAGCGGAAGACTGACCAGACTTCCAGCGAACCCCCCTGCCAACAAGGCCACCCCGATGAAAAGTACCGCCCTAGCTCGCGAGGCAATGGATCCCTCTGATCCGAACGAATCCGAAGAGTTCGAGGTGAGATGAGTCTTGTCCAGGATAGAGATCGTCAGGTAGCCCACTGCGAGAGACAGAGAGAGGTTCGAAGCAAAAGTCAGCTTCGAGCGACGTGACGCCGGGACCAAAGTCAAAGGACGGAAGGGACAGGGAAACAAGGGGAAAAGCAACACTTACGGGTACTGAAGATGGCAGGGATCCAGTCCGTAAACGAGATGTGCACTGGGACGGTATCATAAGGAGCGTCGGGGGGTGGTTTGGCGTGTGACGAGATGGTAGAAGCGTCGATCAAGAGGAAGAACGATGCTGCGAACTGTCAGCGTGGGACAATGCACGATCGAGCAATTCATGCAACCGTCAGCTACGGATCGGAGCGGCGAGAAGTTCGAGTAACGATGGATCGGACGCACGAGACCTCCGGCGAGATAGGTACCGATCTCTCTTCCCTTGCCGCCGAGGTTGAGCTTGGGTAGGTTGAAGAGGAAGATGCGACGGGGGTCGTAGGACGATCGAGGGAGTCCGGATGACATGGTGAGGTGAGTCTATAGGGTGAGGGCGGATGGTATCAGCCTGTTACGGCGATTCGATCTCGCAATCTCACAGATCCGAGCATATGCGAGCATGTATGGTCATTCAAAGGGCCCAAGGTTGGGTTCGTCATCCCCGGACGAGGTCACGGCGTTGGTCGACGCTAATTCCACGTCATTCAGTCGTAACCCTCTCTGGTCGTTCCGAATTCTTTGATAGAACTCGAGCGTTTCATCGATCGATTCGCGAATCGAGGGTTCCCTCCCTCTTGTGCCGTCGTTCATCACTTACGGCATCATTATCACGGCACCCTCGGTCGTTTTGCCTTGTTTGGTGTTTTTAGTTTTTAGTTCGCGCGGCGGCCTCCCCTTCCGAAGTGACATTTCACGATCCCACCTGCACACTCGAAACTTTGTTGTTGATTTGGGGGTCGCGCGCGGCACAGCGAGGGCAGAGGAGGCAGAGGGGGGAAGATGTGATGATGATGGATGTTCCATCAGACCGTGTCACATCACACAGTACACAGCGCACACACAGCAAACGAGTATATAACTCTCGACGACCACCCTCCTTTCTTCATCACTCCCCCTCTTTTTCGCCCCTTTCTCTTTTCACAACGCATCTCACGTACTCTTTGCACGACTTTTCAACTTCTCTACATACAACAACACACTCTACACAGTCTTTACACGACACAACCACATCTCGACGCAGAAACCTTTCAACCGCAGACCTAGCACATCAAATCAATCAACCCTTTACACAGCAAAAATGTTCTTCTCCAAGCTTACCGCCGCCGCCGTCTTGGCCGTCACTGGTGAGTTCCCTTTCTTTCCTACTCGTCTCCCTACTCGTTTTGTCATCCACGTTAGCTGCCTGTCGATTCGATCTCCTCGGCGAGTCTATTGAGTGATAATGCCCACGTGATCAAATCGATGTGGTCGTGTGATGGCAAGGTGTCCGAGCCGGGAGACACCCCTCCACACCTCTTCCTCTCGAGGCAAGGACGCCCTGTCTGACCATCTCTCTATTTTTCTGCTCTATTCACAGCCGTCTCTGCGCAGATCAACACCCCTGCTGCTTTGTACCAGTGCCAGCCCATTCAGATCTCGTAAGTCTTCCTGCTCGCACCTTCGTGATGAGCGTGCAAGGGATCAAGGTCATTGACTCGATGATGTTTTACGACAAACCAGTTGGGTTCCTTCCACTGGACCTTACTACCTCTCCGTCATCCCCGGTGGTCAGCCCAGCGCCACTCCTCTGCTTGACTTTGGTCAGGTCGTACGTATACCATCCCGATCAAACCTATGCACCTTTGAACGAGACCATGTATACTGACCTCCTTGCCATTTCTCCCCGGCCTCGTAGGAGAACAGCCCCATCACTTGGAACGTCAACATCTCGGCCGGTACCTCGGTCGGATTCACCCTCGTCGACTCGACCGGTGTTCCCAAGTACAGCGACGCCTTGACCATTAGGCCCGGTTCGTCTGACGCTTGTTTGTCGTCTTCGGGTGCCGCTGCTGCCCCTGCCGGTTCCTCTTCCGCTGCGTGAGTCTATCATCTTGTGGGATCGTTAAAGGTTTGAAAGACGATGGTGGACACTGATGAGCGTCCGTTGTCTTGGCTGGGTTTTCGCTACAGCTCGGGAGCCGAGTCCGCTACCTCTGCCGCCGCCAGCACCGCTGCCGGAGTCGCCGCCAGTGCTTCGTCCGTTGCTTCGTCAGCCGCCTCGGCTGCCAGGTCGGCCACCTCTGCTGCCGCTTCCGGTGCCAGCTCGTAAGCACCATCATCACTTGACTCCGAATCAGCGCGAGGTCCAGCTGAAGCTCACCTTCACCTCGCCTCTTCCTATTCCTCGATGCCCGTAGTGCTGCCGGAGGTGTCACTGGATCCCGAACTACCGGAGGTGCTGCCGCCGCAACGTCCACCCCCGCCAACGGTGCTTCCAAGGTCGAGTCTGCCGGCCTGATGGCTGCCGCCCTTGCCGTTGTCGTCGCCGCTGCCCTCTAAGCGCGCCTCTGCATCTCTTCCGACTTCTTAGCACAACCCCACCCGTGGCCTATCTCTTTTGGTCGAGCGACGTACCCTGGACGGGACGGGACTTGACAAGGGCAAGGTTCAGTATGGGCATTACGACGAAATGACGATGGACCTGGACGGTTTCTTTCTGCTTTTTCACGCATGGACGGTTTCGAGCTATGGTATCACACATTCCCTCTCTATCTTCCCCACATTTAGACATTCTCTTCATCCTGTAGCCCTTTTTCATGATGAGCAAGATATCCTCACCGACTTTCAGTATGGGGGAAAGAGCCACACGCACGATCAACCAATGGGCAGACTTAAATACCCTTTCTAGAGGACACCCCCTTCGGTTGGCTGTTCTCTGCCCTCGTTCGGTTCGAGTGCTTTGCGTCTTGTAATCGTCTCGGATGCTACTATAACGACCATTCTTACCAACTGTTTCCGAAAATTTCGAGGTTCGGGTTGATAGTTTCTTGAGCATGTGATGAGACAGAAAGCGAGTTAGGTCGACGGTCTCCTCTAATCAGAACAGAACACTGAGACTTTTGTCTCAAACGTCAAGCAGCGTGTCTACCGCAGGATACTTTCACGATAAAGCAAGCCTGGATGGCGAGAACACCCAGCTAATGAACACCATGCAAGAAAGTATGCTCATATCTCCTTATAGCACTGTCGCGGACAGTATAGTGGAAAGGATCTTTGCCAGGAAACTCAGGCCGAGCCAAAGCGAAGTTTTTGATGCACATCAAGGCCAAGCGGCGAATCGCCCCTCTGACCTGAACATGCTGGTTGGTGGGCCAGTCGTTGCCAGGAGGTATTAGGTGCACCCGTTCAAGGAGGATGTGGATGTTTGCCGGGTGTCAAATATACCAATAGACCGAGGCTTGCATACAACGTGGAGATCGAGACGGGAATGCTCTGAGAATGCTGAACTGATCAAGAAAGGATCTGGAAAACAGACCGGTGAGACTTCTGATACAGAGCATGGATCTCGAAAGCCAACGAGACTTACGGCCAGAAGAACGATAGCAGCCACAAAGGCGAGGATGAGCATCAGGCACAGCATCCTCCGCCCGGCTTTTCGCTGATAGTCGTGAGCCGTTCTCAGCTCTTCGCCCGCAGAGGTAACGTCGTTGTTGACAGAGACAATGTTGCTCTCGATATTGTCTGTATCCGGCAGACATGCATATTAGTATCCGATGTTCCCCAACGTGCAGTAAAGTGCTATAACTCACCGATCATGCCACCCTGTTCCTCGACGATCTTGCCTAGGTCCCGGAAGATCTCGTTCAGCTCGTGAATGCCACCTTCAATCTCTCGAATGTCGGATTCTCGCTCGGCAATCAGAGACTCCTGGAAAGCTAGTTGCTCTGGCGGAATACTGCGAGAGATCATACATGTTAGATGCAGACCATCATACCGTCCTGAGCCTCGATCAATGCTCACTGCTGTTGTTGTTGCTGCTGCACCTGCTGTAGCACCAGTCCATCCCGCTCGCTATCGGCACCACCGTAATCGTCCTCGTACCCGACCTGTGCATCCTCAACCATATCGCCCAGCTTCTTCTGCTCTTTCCGCACCATCGTCTTTTGTCGCTCTGCCGATACCTTCTGGATACGCTGGAACGCCGTCAGCGCGGTCGTAAAGTCTTTCGAGATCTTCGACTGCAAAGGTTTCCGGGAAGGGCCCTGGCATTTGATGAAGCCGTCAGTTTGACGAGTGTATACAGAGAGACGGTAGAATGCTCACCCCCGATGATGATTCTGATGGCCAAGATGCGAGCTTCTTAACGTCTTCCGTCGTACGCTTGGCCATAGCTCGAGTCGCTTCGGTCAAGTTGGTTCTACATGAGAAATCAAGGATTGTTAGCTCACGGACACCTTCATTTCTGATTATACTCTCAAGACAGTATAATGACCTGAAATAGACAATATATACACGACTCACAGACTCGTCCTGACGCTGTCACTATCCTGCGGCGTGCCCAGCTTGTCCACCAGCCGAGTGATACCCTGTACATTGCTTTGAATCTTGAAGATTTGTATCGAGACGCTGTCCTTGAGCTTTGTGAAAGCTTGCTCTTCTTCTGTAATGACCGACTGAATTGTAAGCTGCAGCTGGCAGCTTGTCACCCCTTTCGAACCGACTTGCCGGACTGAGATGGGCCGCCGGCTGATCGACCGGAACTCCCGGGACCCATCCCTCTTTCGAGATCGTTGAAGCTCATGTCGACGTGATATATATATCTGAACAGATGCTGAATCTAAGAGATGTACCGGTTTGATGGCAAATCGGAAGGTGCTTGTCGTCAAGGCGAAAGGAAGAGATCATGATGGTTGTCGTCCTCAGCGGTTGATCGGAAGAGTTGCGCGCGGTCGACGGGGCGTGCAGCAGCAAAGATGTAAGAGGACGAGGAGGGGTTTCAAGGGTATCGAGACCGGAAAGTCTATGTCATTGTCTTACAAACACACACACATGCTGCTGTCCATGCTAGAGTTTTATGCTGCCACTACATCTTGAGCTGGAATGGATCCGAAACCAAATCGTATGCTCCCAAGAACACCGCTCCTCCCAACGAGATCCACATCGTTCGCGGTACCACGCCGGCAAACAACGCCTTGACGCCCTCTTGCGAGGTGATCTGCGCTAGGCGGGTCGGGATAGACAGGACCGAGGCAGCCCTCCTCGAAGCGCCGTCAGCTTTTGTCGCCTGAGGTTGTAAGGTGGGTTGTTAGTGATAACCCCTTTGAAAGCAATATGCTGCAGGACGAACCTTGGCCTCGAGCATCGCTCGCGTCTTCACGACATCAAGCGGCGTCGTCAATGCAGCTGCGATACCTCCTGCAATCATTCCACACACAGCAGCTTCATGGGCAAGCGGCTTTCTCTTGTCAGGAAGGTAGTTTTCCGACAGCTTTGTCTTCATGGATTCGTAAAGCGGGAACTGGATGGCGGTAAAGGGAATCTGATGCGCACAATTCTCGGCGTCAGCGAAGCTGGTTGTATTGGGTGCGTACGGTATCTACCTCTCTTGCCAAAGTAATCCCGAACCCTCGATAAAAGCCTCGCAAACCTTCGAGCTTCCACACGTTTGTCGCACTCATAAGACTAGATGCTCCCGCTCCATAAGCCGAGGTCTGAGTTCTAGACTTGACAATCTCGGTCGGGACACGGATCAAGCATGCCATCTGTTCAAGAAGGGTAGTTGTTAGATAGTTTGACGGACAAGAGGCAGACGATGATGCTCACAAACTCTCCGCCGGAAGCCGCAAACATGTGGGTCAAGGCTGGGTTGGAGCTGAACGCTGCCGAATGTTTTGGCAAGTTCACCTTCAAGTTCTCGTAAGCGGTGAAGAACGCGGCAGCTGTCGACCAGGATCAGCGTTCTAAACAGCCTACGAAAGCAAAAGCAGCGACTCACCACCTGGTGCGCTTCCTACACCGACACTGCCGACACCTTTGTAGATCCCCTTGAATCCTCCCGCCTTGACGAATCCTTGCTGAGACTGTAATCGTGTCTTGATAGTATCAATCGGATAGAACATCAAATCCACCGACAATCCTGCGACTGCACCAGCCTGTCGAATTGCACAAAAAACGTCAGATACTACGCTGGGTCACGCTGACGTTCTTTGGACTCACCACCAGGGCGCGAACAAAAGTCGGCGGTGTGCGGACAGAAGCAGCTGAATCTTCTTCCTCTAGTACGCTCGAAGCGACGACGCTCGGACCTTCTAATTTGCTTGTAGTGGACGAGGTGATGGGCAAGGCAGCTCCCAACTGGACAAAGCCTTCAGCGCGAGGAGGTAACATCTCGACCCCGCTCGCAGATGGCTCGGAAAGGCTGAGATCCGTGATACCCGCGGGCAATTCCGAAGGCTGGTCCGCGTTGTGGTACATCGGCTCCGGAGTTGTCGATCGAGAGATGACCGGATCAACCAGAGCAGAGTCGGGAGAAGGAGCGGCAGATCTGCGACCGCGTTGCGGCGTTGACATAGCCACATCGGTCTCAAACCCTGGGGTTCCCGGTTGTAGCGTGGAGGTCGGCGTCTGAGGAGGATTCATCGCATCCCCTTCGTCTACCAAAGAGCTCGCACTCAATGGGATAGCATCGCCGTGCTGTATATCAACCAAATTTCCCTTGGAGTCCGATGCCGTAATTTCGACTGGGCTTTGCAGCATGGTACTGTTGCGAGCAGGCGATATAGCCGTTCCCTTGATGCCTTCGGACGGGCTGAGCGAGCTGGACGATTCAACTTTCACGTCATCCAGCATTCCAGGCACCTGTTTTCTAGACGTGTAAGAGGCTGCCCTTGGTCGTTGCGAAGCTTTCGAATCCGCCCCAGTGATCGCCAATCCGGCCGATTCTTTCCGTTCAATTTGACCCATCTCGTTGACCACGAGAGGCTGAAGCCCAGCTGAAGGGGATCTTTCGAGACCTGGAGAGGATTCGGGTCCGGAAGGAGGGCTTTTGGGCTTCGAACTCATCGATAACATACCAAACAGGCTAGTACGCCGATATGTCTTGACGCGTTTCGAGCTTGAGCCCGAGATTGTTGAAGGGGATTGGGAAGGAACAACGTTCGGGGAAGCGGGAAGCGGCCTCTTCTCGACCGGTGGAGGTGGCAGAGGAGCCGGTGGGGGAGGCAAATTATATCGGGTCCCGCTAATGACGATCCAGTCGCCTTTGAGACGAGCAGTAGCACGGATCGCGTCGTCTGTCTGCATGATCAGCAAGACTGGCCAACCCGGGTAGAGATCCGCTTCCTGGTCGATCTCCGCGTCTTTAAGAAACGCCAAGAACGCTGGTGAAACGTCTCTCGCTTGAAGCTGGTTGATCGTAAAGATGCCAGTCACATCACGTTTCTTGCGTCTACTGCTCATGCGGACACTTCCGGGGCTGGTGGGGCTAAGGGGTCCATTCGTACTTTGCTTGCCGAGCGACTGAATGGCGAGATCGCGATCACGGCCGTGTACCTGATCTGGGCGCTTCTCCTCAAAAGCGTCCCCGAGCCGAAGACCTATGGGTTCTGTTCCACTGCCAAATCCACTTTTCGTGAACGTCTTCCAGTCTGCATCTCCGCCAGGCGCATCTCCGGACGCGGTTAGACTTGCGATAGGCCGGGAGGTATTGCTTCCCAAATTTATTGCTGAGCTCGAGCTGGAGGAAGGTTTGGCAGGTTCTGAAGAGGGTAGCCAGCTGTTCGAGCGGGATACCTGAAGGGGCGTGCTAAGATCCGAGAAGAAAGACGATGTGGAGGCTTTGCGGAAAGGTCGGTATACTGTCGTATTCTCGAAGGCCGAGCCTGGACTGAGCGGGGCAGGAACGACAGCTGGATCAAAGTCCGTTAGGGTGTCCCCGGCAGCGGTTGTCGAGCGACTCAGAACATCGAAAAGGGCGATTTCAGATCCTGGCGTCTCTTGATCACCTGCCTCCTGCCACCTAGCCAGCGAGACTGGTGAACCATATTTCGCTTCCCTGATCAGTCCCACCCCAAGCTCGTCCTGGGACAACGCCATAGAAGGCCGCTGATCGTGCTCCAACTCATTTGTAACCTGTAGACACAGTATCCTGCGTTGCGAGATCGCCGCCAGCTCGAATTCTGCTCCGCGGTACTCTCCGACGAGATTGCGAATCAACAGTGGTAGTTGACTTCGTGTAGCGTCTGCCGGCTGATTCCTGCGAATGCCAATATCAATGCAGCTTTAGCTATAGCATTCACCATGAGATAAGGTTGGTGTCTCACCTGACCCAACACCTGAATAGATGTCCCATCGCCTTTGACGCACTAGTCCACCGTTCCTCTAGCGCAGCCAGGCGATCGACCCGCTTGTCCGCGTTCGATGTCGGTACCAGAAGGTCTGAACCCAAGAGCCACCAGCCCAATGTGCCACACATGTAGTCGATACTGGCGCCGTTGTCCGCCTCGTTGGCACAAACGATTGCAACCCGGTCGAACAGCTCCTCAAGGTAATGGCAGTACGAAGTCGGGATGTGGGACTCGAGAACGGTATGCCATGCGTTGTGCGGGAATCCCTCCCTACTCTCGTGCTCTGCGAACTTGCTGTACCATTCTGGCAACCCATCTCCTGACCGCGCCCCTGCTTCGGGGCCATTCACCCGCTTGGTAATCCACCTCAGGAAATGTACCAGAACCTGTGGATTTCGAACATATCCCGAGTAGCTGCTATAGTCGGCGTACCAGTCGTGATCATCCGTCACGAAGGCTGGAGGAGGAAAGTAGTCGGAGAGAGAAGGGTATTCCGAGAGACACGAGGGGTCCGAGGATATGGTGAAGATGGCGGCTAAGCGATAAAAGTCCTGCCGGGTAGTCTCGAATTCATTGTATGACAGATCAAAGAGGTTTTTGCTCTTCAAACCTTGCAAAGTGAATATGATGAGGAAGTATATATCAGCCGACCTGTCAGGGTCTCGCAGCGTTTATGATGGTGAACCGCTCACCGATGGCCAGTAAATCCCCTCCCGACACCTTCCAAGCCTGAGCCGCTGCCTCGGGTGAGAAACGCATTCGATCGACCGCCTTCTTTTCCCCTATCAGAAGATCCTTGGCGTCTCCCTTTTCGTGCTGATGCTCCTCATACGACAATGGTGCAGGAGGGTCGAGAATGGTTCGTTCTCCGGGAATCTTGAAATCCAGATCGATCCTAGGTGCAGACGTGGGCTCTCGTACGTCCTCTACCTCGGCAAGCGCCGAAAAGCTGGACCTGCTTCGGGGCATGCCCACGGTATGTTCACGCTTTCCATTGAACGAGCTCGAGCTGTTCGCATTACCGGTCGGACGACCTGCCGACTTGGAGGTCGACGTCGAAGCCGACGAGCCGTCCTTTGAGCGTTTCCTGTACGGCTTGAAGCGGGCCAGAAACTTTTCCATGGCGGCGGCGGAACAGACTTTGTCGATTCGGAGCCAACGAGATCAGGGTTGCGATGGTAACAAGGCTGCAAGGAGGTGCAACGATCAAGAAAAGACGTGTGGACGGATCGATGATCAAGATGATGAATATGGTTTCGGGTAACCCCCCCGCCGCTCCTCGGCCTGACGGAAGCAAAACACCGGAATGAACCACAAAGCTAGCGTACGAGTAGCGAATAGATGCATTCAAGTACCGTGTATCGCATGTTGCTATGTTGTACATCGTGTATGATATCGTAGGTATATTATAATAGCTTACCAGGGGCCACTGCTTACAACGTGCAAGTCTGTATGTACTCATCTATAAATTTACGTATGCGCTGGCCTATTTCTGAGCCTGTTCTTCTTCCACCTCCTCTGGGTAGCGAGGGCGAGTCTGGTTGATCGAGTCTACAGATCGAGGTAAATGATTGTATCATGAGCACAATAGATTGTGGCATCCATGTAACCTCAAGCAACTCACCTCGAAGCGAAAAAAAGACGTCTTCCACGGCCGTACTGCTGAAATGAAAATCGCAATGCTGTACGACGACGACCATATTAGTCTCGCTATTCTGGCATAGACAGGTCATGCGAAGACTTACCTCGAGCTCGTCAAGCTTTTCCACCCTGATGGGGTGTATATTTTCCTTCTTCTCGAGCCGTTCCAAGAGAGGCTCGGTCAAGACAAGGTAATCCTTGCCCCCATAATAAATGCTCAAAGGCGGGAACCGCTCGTCGAACCATCGGTCGAGGGTGTCGTCCAACAAGCATTTCCGTTCGGCGAACCCGCCCTTGCCGCACCACCAGAACACGGCGGCCGAGCTGACAGGTGTAGGTGTGAATCGGAACATTTTGACTTTACGTCGAGGTAGCCAGTGCGTGTCGGTCCACGAGAAGAGGAACGCAAACATCGTACTGCCGGGTGGGTCCAAGGTTCAGCTCCCGACGAACGATTCGACTACTAGCCATCCCCACAGTACTCACTAGCCTAGCGTGGCAAAGACCTTGGCCGGAATGAGGTTCGAATCTGCCGCATACCGCATCAACGGGATGAAATCCAGTACCCCAAACAGCTTTTTCCACAACGGCCATTCGATCTTGCCCAGTTGCGCGAACGGGAAGCCTTGCGTCAAAGGTCCCGCATAGACCGCAGGGGCGAGGGCGACAAAGAGCGACATCTTCCTTCCCAGATCCGGGCACATGCCGAGGGAGAGTGAGATGAAGGTCAACCCGTTGCCCTGCGAGTGTCCGATGAAAGCGAGCTTGGAGTAACCGGTCTGGGCGAGTACGTGGTCGACCATGGCGGGCAGGTCGTACATGGCCAGTTCTCTGATGGTCCAGTCCCAAAACCTAGGGTCGGACCGGTTGAGGTTCCGATGACCCATCCCAAAGACGCCCCTTCCGTTCCCGAGATAGACCTGATAGCCTCCCTGTTTCGCCAGCCAGAAAGCCAAGGATCGTTCTTCCGACGTGATGAACGACCCGGAGGACTGAAAGAGTCCGTGCAGGATCAACACGGGGAATCCGCCCTTGCCATCCGAGTGTTTCCTCGCGTCCGGATCAATGACCTTGTGAACCCTCAACTGATAGCCGTCTTCAGTTTCGACCGTCTCATCCTCGATATCCATCCCGATCGCCCTGGCGTAATCCCTCGGGTTCCTGCTCGTATGGTCGTTCTGCGTCCAGTATTTTTCGTCGTCCCAGGGAAAGTTATGCTTCTTCGACTTGCCTTTCAGAAAGCGAGGGATCTGGGTGATGCTTTCCACGCTCACTGCCCAGAGCACGACACCGGAGAGAAAGAATGTCGAGATGACGAGCGAGACGGTCTGCATGAAGAACAGCTTGACCTTTTCGATGGGCCCTAGCGGTCGTGGCGATGCCGGGGAGTAGGTCGACAGGGATGGTGGGGGGAAAGTCGGTCGTAAGAGGTGTTGGGTGGGCGAGGCGGAACGGTCGATGAATACTCTGCGCAGGAGGGTATTATCCCTCCAACCAGACGAAGGGGATGGACTCCGCGAAGGTCCTCTGGAGGAGGACCAACCGAAAGCGTTCAATGCCGTCCCCGTCGCCGCCGCCACAGTCCGTCCAAAGTACCCATCCTCGTTCGATCCATCCAACCCATTCGTTCCACCGACCTGTTCCTCTGCCGCATCGGTTGAGTCAAAGGCCAACAATGGTACGTTGGCCGCCGATCCGTTCGGGACGTTTGTCGACGAGGTATAGCTATTGCCAACCGGCCGTGCTTCTCTCCCTTGAACGAGCTCGAAATCAGGCGTCATGACGTCTTCCGGGCGCCGCCGGAGTGCTCTGGCCTGTTTTGTCGAGGTCAAGGCGTTTGGCATGTCTAGACAGCGATCAAACGATGTGCCCTGTAGGTCAGCCTCGACTTCCCGACGCCCTCATACCAATAGACCAGTCCAGACTCACTCAACGCGGCCCTCGCCGGAGCATCCATCAGACCTATCAGGTCTTTTTCGGATCGATTGGCGACATCGGCGGGCAACAAGTCTGCCTCCCCGCTCAACGGTGCGCCCGGTTGGACCTTCATCGATTTGACATAGGCGGCGGGATCTTGGCTGAATTGCCTCGGGAACGGGATCGAGGGGATCTGCATGGTAAGGGGGTCGATAGGCTTCACCTGTCTGATCTGACCTGTGTGTAGCTTGTATAGGGGATGATGATACTGTCGATGAACGTATCGATTGAGAGGTTGCGATTATCGAGAGTTGTCCAGGGGGGTTGTTATTGATTTCGATCTCGTCTGTTTGTGTTTGTTATCGCTTCGCTGATTCCCCCGTGGGCTCCGCCTCGCCTCGCTCGATGACGATATCAGGAGATCGCTTTCTCAAAGGTGGTGGTGGTAGATATGACGTCAAAGTGGGTTATCACCTTGCCCTTCTAGTGGATCTGATAATCTTTTGAAGTGGAAGGCTGAGACCAGCTGAACGAGTAGTCGTACTACGTTGCAGCTGACCGCAAGCAAACCGAGCACGATCGCTTCGCTTCGATGATATTTAGATTGCAGCCGCCCCCGTCGTGTTGTTTGTTTTGAGCGGCCGCGCACGGAGTAATTCCAACAACAAGGACAGAGGAGGCACACGGAGAGGGGTGGGGAATTGGGGGATCATCACTATGGGAGGATGGCTGACCTCCTCGAGATGCTAACTATGTCCATCACACCATCAGCTATCAGCCAACAGCCAGCATCTAGCTGCGACTCCCCAGCACCCCGCGCCGAGAATCACCACACACAAATGAGTACTCATGCGATCGCACCGTCCCACAGCCGAGCCATGCGCGTAGAGTAACTAGAGTAAATAGGGTAATTTAGCTCTTCTGCATCCGAGACTCATACTGCATACTGTAGATCGCGCCTCGACCTCGGTACTCGATCGGGGCACGGCGCTGCGATATTCCTTCATACCGCACCTGCCCGTGTAAGGTCGCAGGTGACAATCTCGACACATTTTCAGACTGGTCAGACTGGCCTTTTGATCAGATTCGGAGGATCGGGAACATTCGGAAACAGCAACGTCTTCGTTTCATGAGATGTGATATAGAGACGGTGATATGGTAAAAGGAAAGTATATGTAGGTCTCCCCGGGCCATCGCGCTGTGATCCTTCTCTTCGTCTATAGGATCCAGGCTGACGTGGGGGCAGATCTCGTTTCGTCGGTCGTTTCGTGAAAAAAACATCTAAACACCCTTGTATATATGTAACCGAGAAGAGAGGATCCTGCGGTGCCGAATCGTGTACGCGAGAGAAGAAGCTCTTCGGTCGACCCGGTCGGAAAGACCAAATCCGATGCCTGAAAGCTTCTTCCAATGGTGCTGATCAGACCCCACCTGGGCCTCTACTGGCTAACCCCTTCAGTTCTTGTCGGCGCTGACATCGACGCCCGAGTCGGACTGCGACTCGGGTGCGACGGCGGCGTAGGCGGCGACACCACGGGCGTTCTTGTAGAACAAGACGTCACCAGTGTCCTCGATGAACTGCACAGGAACGAATCGAGCGAACATGAGCCATTGCTCTCGTCTATTGGGGATGAGAGAAAACGGCGCGACGACTCACTCGGCACTGCCTGTAGTTGTTGAAGACCGACTTCAAGAAGTTCTCGTCCGTGTAGTGGTAGTACTCGCCGACGTAGTTCTTGATGGCCTCTGTGGCATCCCAAGCGGCGTAATGAGGGATCTTGCTGGAGATGTGGTGGGCGACGTGGGTCTCGCAGATTCCGTGCAAGACGTGCTTGCCGATGGGTCCAAAGAATTTACGGTCGAAAGTGCAGAGGGCTCCCTTGGCGAAAGTCCATTGCTTGGCAGAGTAGTGGGCTGCAAACGGCAAGGTATCGAGATGTCAATCCAGTGATACGATACGATGTAGAATCACAATCGCGCGCGAGTCACTCACGCAACAAGGGGTCGGTGTGCTGGGCAAAGGTGATGGCGACCAACCAGTGGTTGACCTGCAAGTAGGGCAAGATGTAGAGCACCAAGACCTCCTTGAATCCACGCTGGCTGGCCCAGTATCCGACGGCCGAGAGGACAATCAAGAGACCGACATCGGACATGATGATCTGGGACCAGTGCTCGGGCTTGAAGATGATCGAGGACGGCTGGAAGTCTGCAGGCGGCGGGTCGGTCAATTCTAGGATCTGAGAAGGTAGAAAAGCAGCGACGCAAGCTGTGCTCACGGTTGGTCATCTTGGGGTACCTCCTCTGTCCGGAAGCGTTCCTGATCAAGTAGGCGGGCCATCCGAACAGTTGCTGGACGACGAGGTGGTATAGAACGACGATGGGAGCATCACCGATGGCCTCCTTCAACTCTTCCTGACGTTGCTGCGAGACGCTGCCGGGACGATATGGTGGTCAGATGTCAGCCGGTGCAAGAGGGATACAGGACCGCGGCGTCGAGGACTCACGAGATGCCATCAATCTCGGCCTCCTCCTTGATAGCCGGAGCGCCGTACTCGCTCCTGGTCTTGGGAACAAAGACCTCGTCCCTCGTCACATGTCCCGTAGCAGCGTGGTGTCGACCATGCGAGATCCTCCACGAGTGGTAAGGCACGAGCAGGATCGAGTGCAAGACCCATCCGACGGCGTTGTTGATCTGCTTGCTCTCCGAAAAGGCTTGGTGACCGCATTCGTGGGCGATGATCCAGAGACCGGTTCCAAAGAGACCCATCCAGATCGAGATCGAGGTGTGGATGACGGCTCGGGCGAGCTGGTAAGCGGGGTTGGGGAGGTTGCTACGGGCGAGTCGAGTCGAAAAAGTCAGTCACGGGTGCCACGTCGTCGATGGCAGGTCGACCTCCTACTCACAAGGAAGCGAGGAAGGGGTCCGTCTTGAACGAAGCCCAGACCAAACACCCGAGGGCGATGACGTCCTGTACGATGTACTGCGAACTCTTGATGGCCGACCTCTCGTAACAGTGCGCCGGGATGGCGTCGAGGAGCTGCTTGATCGTGTAGGTCGGTGGGACAAACTGCTTGCCCTGAGCGATGGCGGCAGCCTCTTCAGACTGCTGCTTGACCTCGGCCTTTTGCATGAGGGCCTCCTTCTGCTGTTGGCCAGCGGTGGAGCGTTGACGAATCGAGGCGGTGGACATTGTCAAAAGGAATGAAAAGTCTAGCTAGTCTAGTCTAACGTAGGGAAAAGAAAAGAGAAGGTGGAGCGAGTGCGTTGTGGAAGAGTGCAAGAAGAGAGGTGGTGATCTCCCTTTTTTTTTCCGGTTCTTCCGTGTCGGCCTCTGTGTGGTTTTGGTCGATGGGGCGGTGGTCGTTAGCTCTGCACGACTCGACTTGAGAAGAGTAGTGTGAGTTGTCGGGTTGGAGAGGTTCGTGAGGTGGAAAGGACAAGAATGTAGGAGGCGAGAGAGAGTCGAGGAATGTGGATGAGATCGGGGTTACTCTTATAAGGGATCAGGCGAAATTGCCAGCTAGCAGCATCCTCTTTGTGAAAGGGCGATCCGACCCATCAAACTTGTGGGGGAGACAGGAGATCAAAGGCAAGGGGAGGGAGGGGAGAGGGGAAGGGGGGACAAGGGGCGCAGCGGACCACGCGCGAGTGGAGCGGAAAGATTTCGATGGCACACACACACCAAAACCCAGCTAGAAGGGCCAAGCGAGCTTCCCGAGGCCAAGGACAAGGGCGATGGGATCGAGAGCCACTGCGGGAAGCTACCTCATATCAGCTGGCTCATACACGGTCAAAACACCCTCAACCGTATATCACACAGCTCATACCTGGTGTATTGTCGGCGTTTCAACCCAATATCAAGAGGTTAATTTTACTTGAGTGCCAATATCAGCCTTTTTCACCGTGTATGAGCCAGCTGATATGAGGTAGCTTCCCGCAGTGCGAGAGCAGCATTCTCATATTCTCATCACCATCGTTCCGTCGTCACCTTGATTCCCCCGAAACTCATTCGTCCCTAGACATTGAACGCTGTTGTAAAAGGTTCAATTGTGACCCAACTCTACAACGTGAAAGGGATTGATCGAAAGGTCTTGCTACGATCGTACGAAAGAGCGAAAGAGCAGCTGATCCGCGGATTGAGAGGATCAACGAACAGCGACCGGTGATCGGGAGTGATCGGATCGGAATCTCGCGCCGAGGGGCAGTCACCCAGCACCCAGCCCAGGGCGCGCGCGCGCGCGCCCCAACCAGGAGGACGGCATTTCATTCGGACGATAGGGAATAGACGGAAGCTATTACTACCTCTATCGTTCGTTATCACGCCATTTACTTCCGGGGGAACGGGGGAAGATCCGAATTGTTGAGCAAAAGAGAGAGAGAGAGAGAGAGGCGACCCGAGATTACGAAAGACGAGATGCTGGAAGAGAGAGATAACACTCGTGGCCGTACGCCGTCGAGATATACAAGGACCACAGTGGCACTCGTACAAGACTAGATACTACGTTCGTCGCATATATCACTTCCCACTTGCCACTCGGCAGCGCCGCACCGTACACCACTAAGTCGACCACCCCGCAACGAACCGAAACCTGAAACCTCCGATGACCACCTCGACCTACCCTCGCCCACAAGGCGACCTTCCCCTCCCGCTCACTTTCCTACCAGCACCCACTCGTCGAGCTCTGATCGTCGGCGTCAACAAGCTCGCGGCCGCCAGAGCATTCACCTTTTTGGATTCGAGCTTCGGGGTCGTCCTGCTCGGTGACAGGCGGGAGGCTTGCGACGAGTTGGTGTGGAGGGAGGAACATGGCGAGGTCGAGTTTCATACCGATGACGACGACGAGGCGACGAGTCGATGGTCTGAAGAGACCGACGTCGAAGCTTGGACGCGGTTGATCTCCTCCATAGATTCCGTCGACATGGTCGTCGTAGCCGATACCATCTTCACCCCGACCTCTTCGTCGCCCCGCCCGCTCCTCTCGGCCCGATCCATCTTTCACGCCTGTACCCAGCTACACCTTCCCATCAACACCACCGACTATCCGGCGTGGAGCACGTTCACTTTTCCCTCGGTGGCCAAGTTTCCGGGGAAAGAACCAGGGACGAAGAGCAACCTCCAGATCGCCGTCAGTACCAATGGGAAAGGGTGCAGGTTGGCAGGGCGGATCAGGAGGGAGGTCGTGGGGAGGTTACCCAAGGATGTCGGGGCGGCCGTGGACAACGTGGGGATCTTGAGAGCGAGGGTCAGGGCGAGATCCCCGGGGTTGGGATCGACCAGGTCGGGCTCTTGTACCCGCGCAAGGCGACAAGACGCAGCCGCGGCACAAGCTCACAGACCTGTGAACGGCAGGACAGACTCGGGTTTCCTGGGGGACGACGACGACGTCTCGCTCTTCTCTGGATCTGGGCCTTTGAACTCGCCGGTACCACAGCTGGATAGCCCAGCTTTGTCGAGGACGTCATCGACCAGGAGCTTGTTCCACCCTCAGGTTCAGCTCGTCACCCAGATGCATCAACACCATCACCAGCAACAACAAAAACAAACAGCCGATTCGTATCCCTTCCCTAGCATACTCACCCCCCTCCCCATCTCACCCGCCATCACGGCCAAGACGGCCCCTTCAACAGCTTCCACGACGCAGATGGATGAAGAGGACCATCAATTGCGACGCATGAGATGGGTCAGCCAGATCTCTGAATATTGGAGCATCGAGTATCTAGCGAGGATGGGGGAGGAGGAGATGGAGAGGTGTCTAGCAATGTGGACCGAGGGTGGAGAGGCGGATCGAGTGGATGTTGGCGAGATGGGACAAGAGAGGACCGGTTCCGGGGCTGGGACTATCAACGGTAGCTCGGATACCTCCCGAGGGAGGACCTCGGGAACCGGCCCCGGCGCTGCTGGGGATGACATGACACCGACCGGCGAGACCGGTCTGCAATTGACTCCTCGTCACGGACTCGCTCTGGACGCTGCCCCGCGCCCGCCCCCACCTAGACGGGGCAAGATTCTCCTCCTCGGCTCGGGTCCCGGCCATCCTTCCCTGCTCACCGTCGCCGCTCACCAGGCGCTCTTGACTGCGACCCTCATCCTCAGTGACAAGCTCGTTCCCGCCGAGATCCTCGCATTGATCCCCAAGACGACGACGTTGCATATCGCCAAGAAATTCCCTGGCAACGCCGAGGGGGCGCAAAACGAGATGATGCAGCTCGCGCTCGAGGGGGCGTTGAAGGGAGAGACGGTGGTCAGGCTGAAACAGGGAGATCCGTTCGTCTACGGCCGAGGAGGGGAAGAGGTCTTGTTCTTTAGGGAGCACGGCTTCGAATCCGTCGTCGTTCCAGGAATCTCGTCTTCGATCGCCGGACCGCTGATGATGGGCATCCCCGTCACTCAGCGTGGGGTGGCTGATAGTATGGTCCTCTGTACCGGTGTGGGAAGGAAGGGCAAGGCGGTTCAGCTGCCAGGGTACGTGAGGGGACGGACGTTGATCGTCCTCATGGGCGTGGCAAGGATCCACCAGGTCTTGCAAGTCTTGACGAACACCAACCTGAACGACGACCCCGTCGCCAGAGAGACCACGGGATGGAGGGACGGGGACGCCTTCCCGCCTCACTTGCCGATCGCCATCATCGAACGCGCTTCGAGTCACGATCAGAGGATGGTAGCCTCGACCTTGGACAAGATCGAGGACGCGCTGGAACGATCAGGAGAGCAACGACCGCCGGGGATGATGATCATCGGATGGGCCGCGCTTGCTCTTGAGGGAGACGGGGAGGTCACTGTTCTGGACGATGACGAGGACACGCCTGATCTTGAAGCCCGGGACAAGGCGAGGGTCGAAAGGTGGTTAGGCGGGCAGGACTATATCCTGAAGGATGGACTAAGGGAGGAGTGGGCGCAGTTCTTGCCTCCTGGGGCCGTCACCGAGGTCGAGTGAAGAGGAGTTGCAGGACAATCCAGACAAAACAAGCTCGGAAGATCACAAGTTGTAATAGATGTCACGCGCATTGTTCGGTATCGTTATTTATTCACATCCCTGACGCTAGTCGGAGCAGTCTCTGAGGTTCCGCTCTATTGTGTTGCCCGTCGGCGCCCCCGAAATGAGAAGTGTTCTACGTTCTACTTGGACGTTGGCATGAGAGATATAACGGGTGGGCCTGTCTCCGAGACCTTTCTGTCGGGCCAAAAAGTACACAAACACTTTCTCTCTTACGCGACGCGAGCGACGTTTGAGCTTCCTCCGTGATTTCGGTTCGAGGTCATTCGAGATTTCAGGCTGGCAGTCGGTCAACCGCGATCGTCCAATTTTGCATCGATCGTATAGACCGTCCGGTTCGAACCTCGCCTTGACCCGAAGTCTCTCGCTTCAGGTGCTTCTCGACTGGTCATCGTCATATCCGGATCGGCGAGCGGTGATCTTTCTGGACAGAGGACAAAAGATAGGACCAGCTAGAGCTACTACAACCATATATACACGCTCAACTGCTGCTGTGCACTGCCGCAGCGGAAGCCTAGACCTCCACAAGGTCAGTATACTTGAAGGATACGCAGCATACTGGCTAGTGGACTTGTCGACTGAACGAATTGTCAATTGATCACGTACTGGCTCACCTTCCTGCTTAGCGGTCGACATGGTACGACAGGCGAGCGTTCAGACCGTCGAGGACAACTCGGACGTCGACATGGACCAGCAAAAGCTCACTGCGCCTAGCAACGGTCGTTCCAGCCGCTCCAAATCGGCTTCCGTTCGTAACCACCGGGATTCGTCTGTCATTGAGGTGCTTCCCGATAATGAGGCTTCCACTTCGAGCTCGAAGCGTCAGACCAGAAGGGAAGCGGCTGTCGTCGTTGAAGAGCCCTTCACGAGGTTCTTCCTGGATTGTGTCGAGCTTCCGACCTTGTCAGACACGGAGAAGGCAGAGTATGAACATGAACGGTTTCTCGCTGCTGTACCGGGCGAACCAGATCTACCCGCCGAGGACTATGTCACCAAACCGGCTCTGGCTGCAACTCGCAAGCCAAGGTGGAAGACGATAGCGGATACCTCCGAAGGCGAGGACGAAGAGGACATGCCTAGACCGAAACGTTCCCGTAACGATACCAATTACAAGGGAGCCGCATTGGGTGTCGATAGGGTCGATCTGGATGGGGACTTTGATTCTATCGAGTCGGAGTCGTCGGAAGAAGTCGAAGATGTAGATCTCGAGAGCGAGGGCAATGAGTGGGACAGGAGGCCTCGCGAGACCCGTATGAGGACCTCGGTCAGGCGAAGGCGAGGAAACGCTGAAATCGAGTCAATAGAGGTGAGTCATCTTCGTTATTCAGTCCTGGACGAGTTCGTGGATACTGAATTCCGACCATGTCAGTCCGGCTCGGATACGGTTCCTACCGGCCGCGGTCGTGGGAAAGCCAAGGGGTCTCCTATCGAAGTCTCGTCAGATGGGGACGACTTTGACGAGATTCTCGACGAACTGGAGGACGAGGTGGACGATCCGGAGCTGACCAAAAAGCATCGCCCGACCTGTCACAAGTGCAACTTCAAGCCCTCGCACGACATGTACCGTGCGTTGATGCAGAAGCGCAAGAAGAAGGGTTACCGGAAAAAGTCCAAGGTGGATGACCTGTTGATGGACGACGACGATCTCATCGACAAGCTCGGGGGATGGACCGAATGTCGTCGGTGCTGCACGAGCCTCCATTGGAATTGTCTACCCTCTCACTTCCGTAATGAGCTGCTGGCGCAGGACAAGAAGCTAGACTTCAAAGACAGGAATATGCCATCGGGTCGGCTTCGGATGGACCACAAGATTGTCATCGATTGTCCCCACTGTATCGCGCCGATCTCGAAGAATTGCTACGTCTGTTGGACCGATGACAAGCAGGACGGGGCGAAGCTGACCAATACAGGCGAGGGGGACCCTAAAGGCAAGGGCGTCGACCGGGGCACTGAACCCGCATCGGAACACAACAAGGATCTGCTCTTCCGTTGTGTCCGATGCTTTCGAGCGGCGCATTACGAACATCGTGCGTAACTGGACATCGTATTCAGTAGCAAAAAAACAAAGCATTTGAAGCAAGCTCACTTACGTTAATATCAACAGTTCCTAGTCTTGACCCCGAAAAGGGAAACCCACCGGCATTGGTCTTGGCCGACCAGTATCAGCCAGGCAAGCCTAAGATCGGATGGCATTGCCAAGATTGCCGGCGACTGCCACACGACATTGAATACGTAAGTATTCCCAATCGAATCATACCTGCCACCTTGACAGCGTAATATTGACACGAGCCTGGACTTACTTTTCGATAGATTATTGCTTGGCGTTATAGTCCGCCTGAAGCCAAAGACGACAAATACGACGAGGACCTCCACCCGGCAGCCCAGCATCTGCGTCGGGAATACCTGCTCAAGTTCAAGGGTTGGGGTTTCCGCCATGTAAGTCTAGCCAAACTATCATACTGAACTTGCGAAGCTTATGCAGGTGCTTTCTCACAGGCTACTTGGGTCGCCCACGATTACGTCGTCCAGACCGCTAATCAGAAGGCCAGATACTTTATCGACAACGGGAGTCGCCTACAAATCAAGACCGAAACGGAGTTGGCCAACGGAGCTGACGAGCTTGCGGATGACGAGGAAGCCGTTCTGAAGGTGGACGGCGATGCTGACCAGATTGATGGTGATGACGAGAGACCACTGCCGAAGCCGGAAGCCGATCGCGATTTGCCTCGGGCTTGGAGTACTCCGGACCGCATCCTCGATTTATGGTTTTTGACGGGGAAACCGGTAAAATCCTCCAAGATGAAGCTCAACCGGGTAGAGTCGCCTGAGCCCGAACCCGAAGGCGTGCGATACGACTTCGTCAAGCCGGACGACTCGACGTTGATCCACATCGATGACTGGGAACGTCGGAATAGGAAAACTCTAGGACCGGACGATGCTCAGGACCTCGTCTCCCGTATCGGTCTGGTCTACGTCAAATGGCAGGACTTGCAATACGAAGCTGCCACTGAGGACACACCGATCGCTCCTAATTCGCCCTTTTATCCGGCATTTCTTTCAGCATTCCGCAATTACCTTTATGCACGGACGGTCAAGATCCCGATTCTTACGAAAGCCGAAGCCAAGGCTCGAGATGCGAGAAAGATTGATGGATACCAACGACTCATGGGCATTCAGCCGGATTGCGTAACGAACGGGGTCAGTATGCGGGCTGACGTCTGCGACAAGGATTTGAATCGTTGAACCAGTCTGCATTTCTCGTTTACAGACGTTGATGGGTTTCCAGATCGACGGTCTCGACTGGTTGATGAACAAGTGGTACAACCTGACATCCGTTATTCTTGCCGACGACATGGGCTTGGGCAAGACCGTGCAAATCGCTGCGTTCCTGGGGCTGCTAGGTTCAGGGGCCTGGAATGTTTATCCAGCTCTTGTGGTAGTGCCGAATAGCACTCTTCAAAGTGAGTATCGCTGTGGCAGAAACGCAGGGTCCCGCCGACCCGGCCTCTTCTTTGCGCAGACTGGCTCAGAGAATTTGCCAAATGGGTTCCGCACCTTCGCGTCGTCCCCATCCAAGGATCGAAAGAGTCGCGCGAGATCATCCGCAAGTACGAGATGTTTTCGGCCAAGGGAGACTTGAAGTGGTATGTTCGCTATTTCCCTCATGTGCACCAATCACTGCTGATCGACGGGGAGCCGCGCGATTCTAGTCATGTTGTGCTCGCGACCTACGAGATTGTCACTTCTCAAAAGGATTTTTCCGTACTCTTGAATAAGGTGCCGAGATGGGAGTCTCTCATCGTAGAGTAAGCGAATTTAATGACAGCGTTGATCTAGCTGAGACTTAATAGACGCTTGTTACTTCTTACAGCGAGGCATCTCGACGTGAGTTTGTCTGCGAATCAGCCTGACATAGGTCTCACTGACAATCTGTGGTGGTGCCCGTATAGTCAAAAGTCAGACCAATCTTATCGTCAGGAAGCTTACGCAACTGCAGCCGGTCCACAAGGTCCTGTTGACGGGGACTCCCCTGAACAACACGGTCCGAGAGCTGCTCAACTTGATGTATTTCCTGGATCCAGAAGAGTGGAGCAACCTCGACGAGTTGGAGAAGCACTATGCCGAAATGACCGAGGACCTGGCGAAAGAACTCCGGGAAAAGATTGCACCTTATATGCTGCGAAGGAGAAAGGAAGACGTCCTCGATTTACCACCCAAAGTGAGTTCCGTGATACAGTCATGACACTGTGGTAGACATGTTGAATGATCACTTTTCGGACGATTAGAATGAGATCATTGTACCTCTAACGATGCGACCTCTCCAGCGAAACGTATACAAGTCAATCTTGGAGAAGAACGCCGATCTCATGCAGGCACTTGCGCAGGCCACGACCCGCGGAGGTGCGCCACTGAAAATGAAGGCATGTCACAACATCTTGATGCAGCTGAGGAAGTGAGTCTTCAAAGTCTCTGGCAAGCCTACACGGCGCTACAATGCCCACTGGCCCATCATGGTTTGATACTCTGTTCCTTGCTACTAGATGCCTTCAACATCCATTCTTGAATACCCCGGAACTAGAAGATCGGACATTGGGTAACAAAGAGACCCATCAAGCTCTCATAGACGCCTCTGGAAAATTGACCTTTTTGAAGACCTTACTGCCAAAGCTCAAGGCCAAGGGGCATCGAATCTTGCTGTTCAGTCAGGTGAGAACACGATAACGGTAATACACGTGGGCGCGAAGCTGACCTTCGTGTTTCTTTGCTTCCGGAATCAAGTTCGTCATAGCCTTAAATATCAGTAAGTAGTTATCGCTTGTACCGATCGGACCACTAGTAACACGTCGTTCTGGCGCAGTCGAAGACTTCTGCGACGGTGAAGGGTACCGCACCCTCAGACTGGTCAGTCGTCACCATCGAGTTCAGGATCCTACACTGCTAACATGCGTCAGTTTGTTTAGGACGGGACCACCCCTCAAGATCAACGGCAGCGGGATATTGATACGTTCAACGCGCCCGATTCGGAACACTTCCTCTATCTCATCTCGACTCGGGCGGGTGGGATGGGAATCAACCTTGCGACTGCTGATACAGGTAAGCTAGTCAAGGACAGGAGTCTGTTCGAACAATCCTTGATAAAAGAGCTTCGCTCTCCTTGTCTAGTTATTGTGCACGACTTGGATTTTAACCCTCATCAAGATATGCAAGTGAGTGTGGGATGAATCCGTCAGCGCTATTCATGCCGATTGCTGACACCGAGTCCAAAGGCCATCGCCCGTGCCTATCGATATGGGCAGAAGAACAAGGTACTGGTCATGCGTTTCATGACTACACCCACTGTCGAAGGTGAATTGACACAAAGGCGGTACAGTACATATGTCCGCTCGAGAGCTGAATCGGCTATGCTGCGCCTGATAGAGCGGATGATGCAGATTGCCAAGAAGAAGCTCGTTTTGGACCACTTGATTGTAAGTCGGTTGCCTCATATACCCGAGATGGCACTTCGGTTAGGCTGACCTCAGTTTCTCAACCCTTCCGTAGGTGCAAGCGAAGGACTCGGACAGCAGTGACAATATCGCAAGTATCCTGCTCGATGGCGCTCGGGCTATTCTCGACGGGACCGACACGGACGATAAGACTTACGACGATCAAGCTGTCGAAGAGCTGATCACAAAGCTGGAAACCGGGGAAGACGAGAAGAGTAAGGACGAGAGCGGTTTCACCTTCGCTGCAGTCTTTGACAACAAGAAGGGAAAGCTGCAAGCGCTTAAGACGGACGATGCAGCCAAGCCGGAAGACCCCGACTTCTGGGCAAACGTTGTGAAGCGAGCAAATGAGGAGAGAATCAAGAGGGAGACGGAGGAGCACGGTCGAGGGAAGCGAAAGCGAGCAGCTGCTGTCAGTATAGAAGTCCTGACCCCCTAATTCCGAACGATCGACACTGACCTGCTTGCCGTCAGAACCTCACGATCCACATCGACGACGACAACGAGCAACCAAGCAAGAAATCCGCTGCCGCCAAAAACAAAAAGAAGGGCAGTAAAGATCAGGTGGATAGCGAAGGTTCGGACTATCAATTCAAGGATAACGAGGTGGAATCCGATGTCGAAGTCGACGCTTTGGAGGTAGCCAGAGAGATGCAGGGCGAGCTGCAACCCGGACAGCCCGGTCCTTCATCACGCAAGACGATCGTCAAGACCGCAAAATCGCCTGAAAAGGCCCAGAAGGTTGCCCGTCCGGCACATCGCCGGCGCTTATCGGCAAAAGGCGAGGAATTGCGGAGACAAGGAGACCCGATGCAGCTCGGGTTCTACCATCTCAACCGGGTCCACGAACTTGCTCAGAGGTTCGGTCTTTACAGCAGGGAAAAGCTGAACAAGCTGCTCGGCGCGATTACGGATTCGAGCAAGACTGGCGAAGAGCGAATTGCAGAATACGCAAAGGCAGCAAAGGTCATTGATGATCATCTGGAAATCCAAGGTCAACCGAGGATCTGCGGATCGAATAAGACGATGGCGGAAATTCGCGTCCTCCTCATCCAAACGAGTCAACCCCGAAAGCCCAAACCCAAGCCCGCTCCTGCAGCGAAACGCAACGCTGTACCATCTGCTCCTGTCCAGCCGCCACCATCGATTTGCCCCAGCTGCGGAGTGAGTACTAGGCGACCTGTACACTTTTGAAGAGCATGATTAACCGATCCCGCCTTCGTTATAGGCTGTGGTACCGTCTCATGGCGCATGTTTCAAATGTATCGCAGGCATCCAGGTAGGCCACGCTTGGACGGAACGCGGGCCTAGCAAATCGCTAACAAAAACGTACCAAAAAAGTCGCAAATTCGAATAGTAGAGTCGAGCACAGAGGACAACGAGGAAGACAAGGCGAGTCGATGCTTGATATGCTTGCGAACTAGCGCTAGCAAATCGAACTGAATGAGGATCTCGCACCTTGTTTTAGAATGAGGCCTTGCGTCAGCTGGAGGGGATGTTGAATGATATCCGTGCGCGATCGGGCCCTACGCAGTCAACATCATGAGCATATAATGATCAGGGGTTTGTATGGAGGGAGGTGTTTACCTATGCTTCTTGGTTCTCCGGGTCTGTGCATGTACTCGAGGCCGGTTGTACAAATACTACTACTCTGTGCAAAACAATCAAACCAGGCATGGATCGTCACGACGCCGGAGCCGAGGGATGTTGACAATCTCCGGGCGCGGCCGGGCGATCGCGCGTGCCCGATCGAGCAAAGATATGGAGAAGGGTACGACGTCATGGCGTCATTGGCGACCTGTTCGTTCAAGTGTTCTCTTTGCGTGACCTAGATAGAATAAGCTTGAATATACTCTGGGAGTGCTCTAGCAGATCAAAAGCTGCAGAGGACGCTTGATTTAACCGGGCGGCCATGGCACCGGCTGCACAACCCGGCCTCCGCCGAATAGGAGGACCACCTAGGAAAATTCCCCCTGCTACCCCCGCTCGCAGAGAGGCAACCGGTTCGACCGCCTCGCCATCTACCTTGGCCGGATCACAGTCGGCTCCAGCGAAAGAGGAAGGTACTCAATCGAATCGGAAGAAAGTCTCTCTCCGGGCCAACCCGTCTTTGATCTCCCAACTCGAATTCGAGGAGGAAGAGGATGACGACTGGGATGAAGTCGCCCTTCCGCCAGGCCGCGAGCCCATATCCAGGGACTTTGCTTCTCCTCCCGCCGGTGGCATGAGTTCTCGAGCAGCTTCGAAAGCACTCACGGTGACTGACGACGAAGCCGCTACGGACAGGACTGCGACAGCCACGGAAGGGGAAGATGAGGAGGACAAGGATCACAATGACTTGATGGCAGCCTATGGATATGATTTCAACGCAGAGGAGAAAGACCAGAATGCAGCTCACACTGATAGAGGAGATATCGAGATCAGCTTGGGAGCTCGGGACGGTCTGACTGAGGAACAGCGGAAGGCTCAGGATGAGTTAGCAAACAGAAAGTGCGTTTGGGCTCGGAGGAGAGGGTTCTTCGGCCAGTCTTTATATTGATGGAAGCCTTTTACTGATCTTACAGGAAGCCGTTGACGGCAAGAGACCGTGCACTTAGACTCGAGGCCCACAAGCTGCATATAATATGCCTGCTTGCGAATGCTTCGATCCGAAACAAGTGGTGTTGTGACGATCTGCTCAAGGCAAGTCCCAAAGGCACGGCCTCTTAGTCCACTAGTCAACCTCTGATCTCAAATGGTGGTTTGCAGTCAAGATTGCTATCTCTTACCCCTCACGCACTCCACGCAGCCTTTCACATACCGCCATCTCGTTATCCTGATGCGATGCACCGAGCGAGGTTGTTTCAGACAGCGCTCCAGGATCTTGCAACATGGTGGGCGAACGATTATTTCGAGGTTTCGGACACGAGCGTCGGCATACAGACTCGGGGATGGGACGAAGTCATGGAGATTGTGGAACGGCTGCCTCGGTTGGTCCAAAACGCCGGTCTTCAGATCGTCGTCGATGGGGAAGACAAGAACCTGGATACTGCACTGAAAGAAGGCAGGATGCGCGCCGTCGAGAATCTAGACCAAAAAGTGGTCGAGGAATTCCAGGCTGCGCTTGGTCCTGGTGGAGAACGGATACGAACGGTCAATTCGTTCATGAAGAAGGTCCTGCAGGCGCGAGGCGGACGAGACACTTCGGCCCAGCTATTCGTAGCGCTGTGTCGTTCGCTCGGATTGGGGGCGAGGCTGGTCGTCAGCTTGCAGCCAATCCAGTGGAAAGCAGACAAGCAGCCGACGCCTAAATCAAGTAGTAGCCGTAAACCCGCTGCTCAGGACGAAGGCTCCTCCGCCGCGCAACAGACGAAAGGCTCAGCTCGAGGAAAAGGCAAACAGACCCGCCGGAAAGGCAAAATGCCAGAGAAGACGGCCAGCGAAGAGGAGGAGGAAGACGAGATGGAAGAAGTCCAAGTGACGGGCAGCAACGCTCAAGCTCTTGGCTCGAGCACGCTTGACCAGGCCGCCCGGAATATCAATGCGATAGATCCTATTGTGATTTCAGACACTGAGAGCCATGCGACCAATGCTTCAAGTAAAAGCAAGAAGCTGAATGTCGGCAAGGGTGGAGAAATGAACCCGCTTAAGAAGGAGAGGGCGGATTATTACAAGCTGGGAAAGTCTAAACCGACAGGTCACAAGCTTGGCGGGCCAACAAAGTCGAAAAGGCGGAAAGAAGAAGGTGGGTCCATACAGACCATTTACCAGATCTTTGAAGTCTACTGATACACCAAAGTTCGGTTCCAGACCTTACACGCTATCCACCGGTGTTTTGGGCGGAGGTGTACTCGCGATCCGAGCAGAAGTGGATTCCAGTTGATCCTGTCAAGGGCGTCATCAAGAGGAAGAAAGACTTTGAGCCATCGAGTGAGACCGGACCGATTCGGATGTTATACGTCGTCGCCTTTGAAGAGGGTAGGTTCATGCTCTGAATATTTATCGAATCGGCATAACTCATCATTTGCGTCTCACAGATGGATATGCACGAGAGGTAACAGTGAGATACGCCCGCAACTTTGCTGCAAAGACCATGAAATTGCGGGTTCCGGTCAAGAAAGATCAAGAGGATTGGTGGAACAGAGTTATGCGTATGTTGGAGCGACCATACCGCTTAGTGAGTCGAGTATGACGAGTCGAGCGGGCCATTCGCTGATGTTCCGTATTCCCACCTGTCCTTTAGCATCGGGACGATATCGAGGATGCTGAACTCGAGATGAGCCAAGTCTCAGAAGGCATGCCGATGGTGATGGCTGGTTTCAAAGATCACCCATTGCAAGTCCCTCTGATCAACCCTCCTGAGCACATCAGCCTAATGAGATGGCCTTTTTCTCTTCGTCCGCAACTAGATACGTTCTGGAGCGCCATCTGAAACGAGAAGAAGTCATCATGCCAAAACGAGAGGTCGGACGATTCAAGGGCGAGCCGGTTTACCGCCGGAGCAATGTGGTCTCTTGCAAAACCCCTGAAAACTGGATGCGAATAGGAAGAATCGTCAAGGAAGGACAGGAACCTCTGAAGTGGGTGAAACAGCGCGCCGTAACCCTTGACAGGCGACGTGCCCAGGAATTGGCGAATCAGGAAGGCAAGGATCCTATACAACAAGGTCTCTACGCGGAATGGCAAACCGAGCTGTTCAGACCCCCACCGATCAAAGATGTGAGTCGTATTCGATCTCGTTGGCGGACCGGTGTGAGATACTAAACTTGCCTCTGACACCACAACAGGGCAAGATCCCAAAGAACGCTTTCGGGAACCTCGATCTGTACACTCCTACTATGTTGCCGGAAGGAGCTGTTCATCTACCTTGTGGGTTCGAATCGGGTGCCAGACCCGGACGAGACTGATCAATCGATACATATCCAGACAAGGGCATCGCCAAGGTCGCCAAACAGCTTGGGGTCGACTATGCCGAAACGTGCACGGGATTCGAGTTTAAGAAGCAACGAGCCATACCAGTCTTGACGGGTATCGCAGTGGCAACAGAGTTCGAAGCTTTGGTGCTTGAGGTCAGTCGAGATATGCTATAGTTTTCCTCTTGTGTCAGGATGCATGAATCTGACAGACTCGACCGAACCCTTCGTAGAACTATTGGAAATCGGCAGCGGCAGCGGAAGAAAGAGCTCTCAACAAGAAACAGCAGAGAGCTCTGGAGCGGTGGTTCAAACTGATCAACGGTATCAAGATCAGAAAACGGGTTCAAGCTCAGTATGGGGAATCGAGTTCCGGGATTGCTCAAGCGAGTCGCCTTTTGGACCGGTTAGTGGTGTCAAAATGCTGACATGTACACACTCGGTCAACAGATGCCTCGTACGACATCTCAACCTAAGCGCGCCGAGCAGACGAAGCGGCCGGAGTCTGACGACCGCGACTCGCCGATGGTAGATACCACTCCCACCGCTACTCTGGATCGACAAGTTGCTGCCAAGAACCCAAGCATGCCGACCCGACCGATCACGATCAAACTCAATGTTAGCAGTACCGAAAAAGATGATCTGCCTTTGCTACTAGATGACCAGCCACAGCGGAACTCTCTCGTGGACGAAGATATAATGGATGAGGTTCCGGTACAAAGAGCCGTCACCCCTGAGCCTGATCGACCAACGGAAGTGGAACCACCCATCGGCCGGAGAACGACTCGGAGAGCTGCCGCTGTGCAAGCGAAAAAGAAGCTCAAGGTAGATGAAGATGCTGAGGACGCTGATGATGAATATCGATCGGCCTCTCGACCCGCTGTGAGGAAATCGGGGAGGGTGACGAGATCGAGCGGGCGGTGAGGAAGCGAGCGCAAGGCGGAAGAGATCCATCGAGGATCGCGATAGGGTCGCCAAATTGCTAGTCGATGTATTCCGGGGCCTGGGAGTTGTACCGGGCGTCGAAGCGTCCCTGATCACATGATTATATCAGGAATGATCATTTTTCTCGGTGGTTCGAAGCCTACTCCCACTGGCCACTGAAACACGGCAGTCGCGCGGAGCCGAAGGGCAAATCATAGGTCTGCCTAGTGATTCACCGAAAGGACTTCGCATCGGCTTTCCACCCATACCTGTGGCCTGTGATGAGAATCCGGACATACGATCATCGGCCATCGGAGTATGCCCGATCTGTACAACAAAAGCTGGGTTTCGATCGATCCGCACGACATTGTTCTTTCATGCTTGCTACGCGAATCCTTCTTTGCGAGGCTTTCTAGCGTATAAACCTTGTTTATTCGTCGGGCGTCTTCACCCGCGTATTTCGGCTCTCAGCGACGAAACAGTGATGGCACTCGCTTCCGTCGACCACCCTTTGGGTCCTTTGATCTTTTTCGATGGATCATCGCTCGTCGTCGGTGGCGTCGTCGTCAAGAAAGGAAATCCTTCGGGTCAGAGGAGGGACAAGGAGACGGATCAACCCGTAGCTTGTAGGCGGAACACCCAAAGCAGGGTTCACTTTGTCGCCAGGTCGTCGACAAAGGATGCTCAGCTTCTCCGTGATGGCGGGCTGTGTTTGTGTGGGGCCGAACGCTCCTTGCGCCCTGATCAACCAGCACAGCGGGGCTTTGTAAAGTAGCTCGTGAAACGTTTCGAGTGCCGTCGGTCGTCATTGCTATGCCCATGCCCGCGTTTCCAACTCCAAGGCACGCGGCGACCACGACTGCAAGCAAGTTGATGGAAGAGGTACCGCTAGCGATTCTCTTTGATCAAAGCGTGACCCTCCTTTGAAGTCGTTGTTCATCCGCCGACTTGCGAAAGGTTTGCACCGCGCCATGCCACCAACTTGCGAAATGATAAGTACAGTCGCCGCATCTTGGCAGGTGATTCGACCTCCCGATCCTGGCCATACCCTTTGCATCGACGGCGATGACGCTCATCTCGTATAAAGTACATCCACTACTGCCTGTCTCGATCCATCTCCCTCGAATGATTTGCTGATTCTCGATTTTGATAGAAGAGACTCCAGAGGGAAAAGAAACCTTGACCAGGACATTGTTGTGCATTGGGTCCTACCATTCACCACGCCTACAACACGCCCCCTCTTGTTGTACGGATGATCTCGGCGAAGGAGATCGACATTGATTTCCTCGGGCGCACTAACACAAGAGGTCCACGGGTTTGACGGCGAGATCATCGCCCTCGAACATTGCCTATATAGGAAAGGCAGGGTCTGCTCCTGCAAGGGGGGAATTCTCACCCTCACGTACATCGTGCTCAATCGCACAGCCTTGCAATTCGGCAACATCGCCCAACGTCAACATCGCCTTATGCTGTTTCAACAAGGATTCCCAATCGGATCCTCCCATTTTCCTACTGCCCACGATACAATCATCGCCTCCAACCTCTTCCCCGAGACTTCTCTCGAGATCCCGGACCTACAGAGCTCTTGGAACGACCTCGCCGTTCATGACAAGGATCACACTGTCCGCCAGAGACGCAAACAACCTCCTCCTGCCATCGCTACGCAGGCCATCGCGGGACTCTTCGCTACTGGACCTCCAATCAATCCTCGAGTCTGGTCCGTACAGAAATACGAGCTGGCCCAAAGTCACATCGCCGACGGTTCTGTCTGCAGCACGCCTCCCCTGACTGCGTCTATCGGCTCCTTGCCAGAGTCTCTCGCCTCGAACTCTTGCCAAACGCCCTTTTCCCCAAGCGGACCCTCGTCGCGCGACGTCTTTGTCAAGCTGTCGGGAGCCAACATCTACACATCGGGTCTTCCCAATAGGGGTTCTACCTCGACCGCCTCTCGCACTCGTCAAGGAGACGATTACGGTCAAATGTTCTCGCCACGGAACAACATGGGTTACCTGTCCTCGCTGCAGGGAAACCAGTCTTGTCAGCAGAGAAACACCGAGATCGCCGAGTCGTTCTCGGACTTGAGAGATCAGTTCTATAGCATCGTCAGGGAATGGCCACAGAAGGATGGGATGTACCTCACGAGCACGACTCCGTACATCGGGATCCGATGGTAAGTTCGGTTGTTTGCCTGCGCGGACGCCACATGATATTGATGGATTGCCTTGACACAGCGATACGTGGGAGAACAACCTCAGACTTTTGATTGAAGAGACGGTTGATTACTGGGTGAGCTTAGCTTCACGTCGCATCGAATATCCATTGGTTAACTGATATCTATCGACCAACAGCAACTACACTTGCTCTATGAGGAGACGTCGCAGATCGCGCTAGCCGGTTAGTCACACGCCGTCTCCCGTTTCAGCTCGCGAAATCACGCGCTACCAGGCTGACGGTCTTATCGTCGAGACAGTCTGTGCCGATTGTCTTCAATGTTACATTCCTAGGGATTCTATCTTCAAGATCATCGAGGAGCTTAGGGCGGCTTTGACTCCGGGAGTTGAGTATAGCGATGTGAGTTTCCTCAGATGACTTCCGGCTCGTCCACGGTCATGACAGAGGCTAACCAATAACCTTCAACGTCAACTATTGTGTAGTGGTGCCCTAACGCGCCGGATCTCGAAGAGGATGACCAATACGTACCACATCATACGGCGCAGCACTCTAGCGGATACACGGCTCAAGGGTACGGTCCCATGACCGCCAACCCGGACAGGTTCTACCCCAGTCACCACGAGCTCCATTCCCCCGACACAGCGGGGATCTCGGAGGTTGACAGCGAACTCTGCTTCAATGTGGATTTCGACATGTGAAGCCTCACAAGCCACCACTGGGGAAATAAATCGACAACATGGAGGAGGGGTTCAGCAGCGAGAGGGGAAAGAGCTACGCGCATTTGCAGTTGGCAGGAAACGCATTCGACAGGAAATGAGAACGGCAGCAATTGACAAAGATTACGTCCAGCAACGAAAGAACGAACAGCAATGAACACTGAAAAGAAATTTGTAGACGAGTAGTATACCTTTGAGCTTCTGGGCCGGATTCCTCGAGACGATCATCAGCAGATTTGTACCGTTCGATCGTAAAGTATATAGACGACATTGTTCAAACGCGATCAACCACGAGAAAGCGCGAGACGTGTCATCGAGCCTTAGCGCAGCCGAGAGACGTGTTGGCAACAGTAACCCTAGGGCCATGATGATGATATGATGATGTATTGTATACAGCGGGCCAAGTCGATAGCTCGGTTCAATAGCCTGGTCTACCTTTCATACACGACGTCTAGCAGCTCTTTGCAATCCGAATCACACTAGCCAGAGGATACTTGCAACTGCCAGGTCGACACTCAGGGAGGAACAGGATCTCGGCTCCAACCATGTCGTTCAAAAAGGATGAAGAGCTCGGCGGAATGGGTGCGTTAACACAAGGCTCGACACGGCTCTGACATCATGAGCTTGGCTTAGACATCCAAGCTGATCACGTTCTGCAAGCCACAGCCTTCTACCACGACAAGGCTACCATTGTGCAGGAAGCTCGAGTCTTCAACGAGTCGCCGATCTCTCCGCGTCGATGTCGGTCTCTCTTGACCCGAATTCTATTCCTTTTGTACGCTGGCGAGACCTTTACGACTCAGGAGGCCACCACCTTGTTCTTCGGCGTCACCAAGCTCTTTCAGCACAAGGATGTGCGTTCTTCAAGTCCCCTAGTCATGCTGCTCGAGCTGGAACTGACGACATGCCTTATCAGAGCGCGCTTCGTCAAATGGTCTACCTCGTTATCAAAGAGCTCAGCAGCATCGCCGAGGATGTCATCATGGTCACTTCCTCTATCATGAAAGACATGCAGCCCAATCTCGAGGTTGTCTACCGACCGAACGCCATCCGAGCTTTGGCTAGGATCATCGACGTGAGTCGGTGTGGTTTGTTGTTCACGCGAATAGCACGGTCAACTCACCTACAATCTGGCTGCCTTTAGACGCAATCCGTTCAATCCACCGAGAGGTTCTTCAAGTCAGCTATCGTCGACCGAAACCCTTCCATCTCGTCCGCTGCTCTTATCTCGGCCTACCACCTCCATCCGATCGCTCGAGACACTATCAAGCGATGGGCGAACGAGACCCAGGAGGCCGTCAATGCTAAGGCCGTGTCGTCCGGAAGCATGTTTGGAATGTCGTCAAGCTACTTCGGCGGAGGAGGTAGCAGCAGCAACAGCAACGGGTCCGGAGCTGGTCAAGTGCAGAGCACCAGCTATATCATGCAGTACCATGCCCTCGGACTGCTGTACCTGATCAGGGAGAAGGACAGGATGGCTATTACGAAGATGGTCCAGCAACTCGGAGGAAGTGGGAAAGGAGGATCGAGTGGCGTTCTGCGGAATCCTATGGCAATCTGCATGTTAATTCGATATGCTAGCAAGGTGATGGAGGACGATCCCAAGTGAGTGGACGAGGTAGGGGATGTCTTGCACGGGACGCTCTGCTGATCTGTCAATCGGTCCGTAGTGTCCACAAGCAGATGTTCGACTTCTTGGACGGTCTACTGAGGCACAAGGCTGACATGGTCAACATCGAAGCTGCTCGAGCAATCTGTGACATGAAGGGAGTGACGCCGCAAGAGTTGTACCGACCGGTTGCAAGTGAGCACGAATTCTGGAAGTAATTTGCATTCGCGCACTAATCGCTCTCAACGCTGCTCATTCACCAAAGTCTTCCAATTGTTCCTCTCGTCGCCCAAGCCTGTGCTCAAGTTTGCCGCCATCAAATCGCTGAACAAGCTGTCTATGGTTCACCCTGCTGCCGTATCGGGCTGTAACGTCGACATCGAGAACCTGATCACCGATCCTAACCGAAGCATCGCGACTTATGCGATCACTACCTTGTTGAAGGTATGTATCGCTTGCGTGCAAGAACCCCAGCCTCAGGCAGTAACCGCTCGTATCTCGTCAGACCGGAAACGAAGCGTCGGTTGACCGGCTCATGAAGCAAATCTCCGGGTTTATGACGGAGATCACCGACGAGTTCAAGATCATCGTGGTCGATGCTATTCGGTCGCTATGTCTCAAGTTCCCTGCCAAACAAGCGGTCATGCTCTCGTTCTTGTCCGGTGTCTTGAGGGACGAGGGCGGCTACGACTTCAAGCGAGCCGTCGTAGAAGCCATCTTCGACATGATCAAATACATCTCGGACTGCAAGGAGACAGGTCAGTCGGCGTGTCTCGGGGTCGATAACCGCTACCAAAAATTGACCGGTTTGACTGCAGCCCTTGCGCACTTGTGCGAATTCATCGAGGACTGCGAGTTCACCAAGCTCTCGGTTCGGATCCTGCATCTGCTCGGATTGGAAGGCCCCAAAACAAAACAGCCTACCAAGTTCATCCGATACATTTATAACCGAGTCGTGCTGGAGAATGCGGTTGTTCGTGCTGCCGCAGTATCGAGCTTAGCCAAGTTTGGTGTCTGTGTCGGTGATCCCGCGGTCACGAAGAGTGTGAACGTCTTGCTCCGCAGGTAGGCTCGGTGGTGGCCATTCGCGACTGATTTTCGGATAGCTTACAGAGCGTTCAACTACTGCAGATGTCTCGACGATGTTGACGACGAGGTGCGGGATCGAGCAGCTCTGTACTTGAAGGTACTGAATGAGCAGGCTTTGGCAGACGTCTATGTCCGGGAAGGTTCGTCTACGTAACACAATGTCCTTTACACAAGATGCTCAATTCCGTCACCTTTGTCTTGTAGAGGGCACGTTCCCCTTGGCATCGCTGGAGGCCGAGCTGGCAGCCTACGTTTCTCACCCTGAAAAGCAAGAGCAGGCATTCGATATCACCACCATCCCCAAAATCAGCCGTGAACAAGCCGCTGCTGAGGTGCCACGTAGGTCTCGAATTCTTTCGCGAACCCAGGGCTGTCGGCTTACAGCCTGACTTGACAGGCGCTGCCACCGCCGACTTTGTCGCATCCGCCCCCAAGGCCATCGAGGAAGCCAAACCTGCCAGTGCTGCCGCAGTGCAGTCGCAGTACGCCGAGCAGCTCAGCGCTGTTCCGGAATTGCAGAGCTATGGTCCGGTCCACCGAAGCAGTGCTCGACCTATCGCTCTTACCGAGAGCGAGACGGAATACGTAGTCACTGCTGTCAAGCACATCTACAAGGAGCACATCGTCTTCCAGGTAAGTCAAGCGTACATATCTTTGATGATTTCCCGACCTAACCTCCCGCGAATCGCATTATCAGTTCAACATCACGAATACCCTGCAAGAATCCGTTCTTGAATCGGTATCCGTTCTCATGACCGCCACGGAGGAAGGTTTGACTGAAGACTTCATCATTCCGGCTGAATCCATCACGGCGGATGCGCCTGGCATTGTCTATGTCTCGTTCACCAGGACAGCGCCAGAGGAATTCGCCCTTTCCAGCTTCGAGTGTACTCTGAAATTCGTCAGCAAGGAGGTTGACCCTACTACTGGGACTCCAGAAGAGGAGGGTTATGATGACGAATACCAGGTTGAGCAGATCGATATCGGAGCCGGCGACGTGAGTTTGGGTTCGGTTAAGCGATGGATTCTGCGCTTGGAGACTGACCTGTGCTGGAACACGATAGTATATCACACCAACGTATGCCACTTTCAATTCCGAGTGGGAGAGGCTCAAGGGAGGCGCAACTGCTACCGAGACGTTCGCTCTGTCCTCGTCGGAAAGCCTCAAAGGTGAGACTGAATTGCAGTCGGGCAGTGCATTCAAGGACGCTCATGTATATCCATTCTTTGCGTAACAGCCGCATGTGACTCTCTTATCGAAGGTGAGCGATCTTGCCTCATCGTCTAGTCATCTGAACGGCCACTAACCCTCTTTCCGACCCTCAATCAGAACTCAACATGGAGGCTCTGGGCGGAACTGAAGTACCCACTTCGACATCGGTTCACACTTTGAACCTGTCTGGTATGCTTGCAGGCGGTGGCGGAAAGATTCTGGCTCGATGCCGAATGACCTATCAGACCGAGAGCGGCGTGACGCTAGAGTTGGCGGTACGGGCAGAGCAACAGGCAGCTTGCGATTTGGTAATGAGCGCGATCTAGACGAAATGTGTCCAATTCTTGTTTGTATCTCTGTTGTTCTTTTCAAACCACGATGATTCCTGTGATGAGATTAGCCCACTCGCTACCATCCGGACTCGGTACAGCCCCGTTCTGTCGCTCCTTATAGCCCGCAACGAGATCCTGGTCGTTGGGAATCGCGATATGTCTTGTTCATAGGATCTGTTGCGAAGAGTATACAACACCAGCCATACGCATCCGGACGGATGTCACCATACAAACTCCCAGTCTCGTCACCATTCCCCACTTCTATAGCCTCCTTGGCTTCTTGGCTCGAGTACCACCAATCTTGATCGGTGTCCTGTCTTCCACCTTGACCACCCTCGTCCTGATCCGAGCGCCCTCTGGCCCTGCCAGCGCCGCGGCTACCGCTTCCCTTCCCTGACCGAAGATGCCATTGAAGGCCACGCGGATCCTGCTCTGCCCGTGCTCCTCAATAGCCTTGAAGACTTTCAACGCTGCCTGATGCGCGGCTTCGTAACTCGACCGATGAGCCTTTTTGAAATCCTTGTCGATTCCGCCCGTGATCGTTCGGAAGACCTTTCCTCCCTTCGAATCATCGGTGTAGGTGAGGATGATGTTGTTTCGAGAGGATTTGACGTGCAGGGAATGGGTGGGAGTAGTCTTGACATTGCTTTTGGCTTCGTGGTTCAGCTTTTTCGATTGTTCAGACACCGATCCCGCTGCCCTTGGCTGTCCACCGGTTTGGGCGAGAAGGTCGTCCAGCGGCCTCGTCATCTCGGCGAGGTGCCGCGACGAATTGTTGATATAGCGTCTAGCTGTCGAGGTGCTAGCGACCGCAAGACTGCTGAAATGAGGCGCGGCATAGATCGTCCTGGACGCTCCTAGCAGGGTGCTGGCTATGCTGGATGATACCATAGGGACTGGAAGGGTGTAAGAGGCTCGTCAATCAGCTCGGATTGAACTGTATGTTGCGGCTTCAACTTACCTGGAGCTATCGTTTCTGCAGGCTCGTAGGATTGTGATGTACTTGGTGTACTACTGGGCGAAGTGAAGTGTAGTGCGTCTGTAGGCGGTCCTTTCATTTCAGCAAGGCGAGCGATTCTGTCGCGATCATATAGGCTTTCACGATTGACGCAAAGGCTCGGGCGACCGAAATCAGGAGTCGGACGCACACGGACATAAGAAGAATGCGCCATGTCCGTTCAGCCATCACGCGGCCGTTAACATAGGATCTCTTCCCACATCCATTTTGCCATGTCGTGCTCAAAACTCTATCTTGTCTTACTACAGCTAATCTAGGGTATGACTCTAACTTAGAGCTTTTTGAGGATGGCGTCGATGACCTCGTCGGTCTTGCTCTTGCCACCGAGATCGGGGGTAAGGAACCTGCCCTCGAGGAGGACCGAGTTGACGGCCTGGTTGATACGAGCGGCTTGCTCGGTATGGCCCAAGTGAGACAAGAGCAATGCTGTCGATCTAATGGTGGCGATAGGGTTGGCGATACCTTGACCCTCGATGTCAGGAGCGGAACCGTGAACGCTATTCAAGGCAAAAGTGATCAGGTTGAGGATCGATCCGTTGTGAACAGCACAGCGTCTGGACTCACGGTTCTCCCATAGCGAAGCTGTCTCCGGCATTCAGCGAAGGGACGAGTCCAAGAGAACCGACCAGGGCAGCGGCACCATCACTGACGATCGCGATCATTTCAGCTTTGATAACGACTTTCGTGTTTTGCGCGGTTAACTCACGAGATGATGTCTCCGTAGAGGTTAGGAGCAACAGTGACATCGAAGATCCTGAGTAGCCCAGAATAACATGGTCAGCAAAATACGTTCATGCATAGCGCATTTATTCACCTACTCGGGCTCCCTGAACAGCCTGTAGACCATACTGTCCACAATCTGCTCCTCCAAGAGGATACTGCTGTATCGCGCCTCATCGCTCTCCTTGACGGATCGGACAGTCTCGCGGAACAGTCCGTCGGTAGCGGACAGGACGTTTGACTTGTGGATGATCGTGACCTTGGGAGGACCCTGTCAAATAAACACATCAAAGAATTGGCTTTCTGATCAGTCGAGTGACCCTACCTGACATTGAGAGCCTGCTCGTGCTCACCTTCCAGAACGATGCCGACGGGTTGATCTCCCTCTCTTGACCCCTCTTGAGAGCCAACTCGAAGGCCATCCTTCCGATCCTGCTCGAGGCTCGCTCGGTGATCTGACGGATGGCGATAGCCTTCTTGGTTCCGTCGGGCAGGGTGGTAACCTCTTCCTGCTTGACGTACTGCGAGCGAGCAAGCGGGGTCTCGGCGTCAATTGAATGTATCGCTGTTGACGACAAACGATATCCAATGGCTAGGACTTACCAGACACTCGGTGTTCTCACGGACAATGACCATGTTGATCTGCTTGCCGTCCTGACCAGGAACCTGTCAAGTGGAGTATCAAGTTTCAGACAGGGATCAGCCCCAGAAGTTCCGTATAGCAAGGGGCCATATACATACCGAAGCTACAGGTCGGATGTTGGCGTAAAGATCCATGTGCTTTCGCAGGGCAACGATCGGGCTCGAGTATCCAGCGACCTTGTGCGAGGGGGAAGAGACGGCCCCGAACATGGCTCCGTCACATTCTTCCTTGAGGGTACTATTTCATGCAAGACAAAGACACAATGATGAATTCCAGACGGTTGGCAGGGGTTGAAAAGCGTCTTCGACGTTGTTAGTCAATTTCGGATGTAACTTCTGAGCGCTGGGACGAAGGCTCACCGAATGGTCTCCTCGGGCAGAGCGGTCCCGGTCTTCTGGAAGAGGTCCCATCCAGCGAGCAAGGGAATGAACTCGGGCTTGGGGATAGAAGATCCTAGAGCCTCCAAGGTTCTTTGAGCGGCCTGAAACGTCGAAGTTCCGTCATCAGTCACTTCAGTCGTCCGCAACAATTTCGATAAACCCGAAAACGTACAGGGAGGACCTCCCGACCGATACCGTCGGCCGGGATCATACCGATCTTGAGAGTGTTACGGATAGCAGCGGCAGCCATTTCGTGTGGTAGGGCTTGGACAAGACTGATGGTATGTGATGTAGAGTGGGTGTGGGGTTTGCACTCAGACCAGGTTCAACGTGTATGACGAGATCAGTCAGTTAGATGCAGGTCGGAAATGTCGTTGTGCAAGTCGCGATGTTCTCGGTTGCGCGGATGCAAAATCGGAGAATCGGGTTCGGGCTTGGCTGATGCGTCCATGGTGGCTTGCTTGCTACTGTCCTCCACTTGGGATCTGGGTGTGCATGATGTGGCCTCGTTCGTCATCTAGTCGTCCGATAACCAGACTCTCTGTCAGCTTTTCTGGTAAGATCTTGTGAATGCAGCGAGCATCGCATAAAGTCCTGGCACGATTACAAAAGACTCGAACAGGATGTGGTAGATCGCTTCGAATGGAGTTCATCCTAATCCGATCTGAATAGATCACGCCTTTTCATGATATCTACTATCAGCATGATCTCAGAAACTTGAGGTATAATTGCAGATGTTCACACGCACCAGCATTAAGCTGTCCACACATTTACCACCTTTCGAGATGGTGTCAGGAACGGTGATGATCAAAAGTAGTTTGAAACATGTCACGTTACAAAAGAGGAAGAAAATGAACTAGCGTGAGCGCTGGTCTCCTACATGACACAGGCAGACGCCCAAGCCGACAGACCACGGGACGGTTGGCATACACCCTCCACAAACAGCTTCAGACCAGGAGCACATAGCGGTACGCATCTACAGGACTCGGACGAATGATTCTGGGTGCCAGGCAATGAGGATTCATGGGCGGGACTTCCTGTCACTGCGCCATGGCTGAGGGCGCTTATCGACGACCTAGAGACTTAGCAAGCTACTAATGACGACCCATAAGCCAAGGCCAGAGCTGGATACTCATGCAGAAACATAGGCGAAACACATTGGACATACTTAGCAAGTTCATCCGTGACGCCTCAAAAGGTTTTGGATCGGTGGAAAGTCTTCTCTGATCAAGTCTTCTTGATGATGATAGACGAGACCCTTTCCTTGGTACAACCTAAGTGGCTTCGATGCTCACGGGTGCTATCTTGACCTCGAAGCTCAATCGTGCGTCGAAAGTGCGCCTCAAATAAGTTCCTAGGAGATCTGGAATGTGGGACTTGTGCGGATGTCGAGCGAGTTCTACTGATTTGATGTCCTTTGTTTGGTCATCTGGATTTCTGGTTGCTTGCGTCTGCCGTCAACTCTGGCCCAAGGCACTTCGGCACTTACATAGGTACCATACATCATAATTGCAGTCTTGCGAAAAGCGACCGGGTCGTCAATCACCAGCGGCAATATCATCGGGGCGTTCCCGTTGGGCATCGTATGTAACCACTCCGCTATCGTTGTCACCGACCTTGACAAGATCGCTGTCATTCATCATTTTTCAGCCTAGCACATCTGCGAGGGACGGGTTGTTTCTAGGGACCTAGGGCATATGTGGTGCAACGGGATGGTTCTTGTAGCGCAAACTCGTGTTATGATACCTGTTGTGCTTGCACGTGTACGAAATCGGTCGTTCCGGGTCGCGTGCGGTTGGTAAAAGATCGAGAGCAATCAGCAATGTGCTGAGCTTTCCTGAAACAGCCGCGCATTTGGGATGGGACCATCTTGTGAAGCCGCCTTGACTAGAGGACCAACGGTCAGGCTGCGCCATCGATACGAGTCGTCACTGCATGCTGCTGCTGCTGCTGCTTGATGGTCAGATAATCGGCAGCGTCAGCACGTATAGCGACTCTGCGATGCATTCCCAAGCAATATCAGGGTATGAGCAATGAGCCGCTTAGGAGGCACTCGAGTCGTTTGTGCCCGGACTCGGAGGAAGACACGGCGCAGAAATCTAGCATCGATCTCCACGACCTCATCCAGCTTGAAACCACCTCTGAACGCACTGCACCGAGGATAACGAAGAAACCCCGTGTGTCTTTGTGATCCTATTTCCATATGCACATGTCGCCATCCGAACGACTTGCTGCCTCCGGCCTACAACGTTCTTCCTGGCGTACATGACACATCTGAAGCGAACCTCAAGTTGGCTGATTTTGACAGATCCCGATTCGAACTAAACAGGATAGTTCATTGCTTAGGCGGAGGCCTTCTTGGATCGTCGGTTGGACTTGGGGGCCTTGGGAGCCTTGGTGTTCTTGACGAGGGTGGTGGCCCTGGCGACGGCGGCCTATCCGGAGGTAAAGATCGAGTAAGCGTTAGTAAACCACGTAAACTGATCGGAATTGAAACTGCAGTCATTCTGCCGGACGCACAGATCGCAGGTCAGGCCTGGTCTTGGAAGCAGCGTTCGAAGCGATCGAAGCGGCCTTCCTGGCGGAGGTACCCCTCTTCAAGTTGACGGTCTTCATCGACTTGGCAACACCTCGGGGGTTCTTGGTGGCATCACGGGTGACAATGGCGACACCGTTCTCGTGGGCATCAACGCCGATGGACTGCAGAGTAAGCAGAACGCTTTCAGCGAAGACGTTCCCGAATGCGTAAAGCTTTGATGGATCGCTCGCTGACCTTGTCGTTGGCAAGGGGAGACAAAGCCTGGGCGTGGATGTTCAAGAGGTTGCCCTGAAAGCCGTCGAAACCGAACTATCAGGATGTGCCGTTTCCTGTTTCAATATCCGTTCGTGCAGACTCACGGGCTCCCTGGAGAGGATGACATCGGGGGCTCGCTTCTTGACGATGAAGCTAGAGTTGGATCGGACGAGGAGCCAAGTAAGATCGGAAGACATTTTGCTGCGGCCATCACGAATCATCCCCCCATTTTGTCACGTGTCAGCATGCGACGTCCGATATGATGCGACTTCGAGGTCGAGTTCATTTCCAAGGCGATGCTCACGATGAAACAAAAGAGATTGGTTGAGAGAGAAGATCCAAGGGGTGTGATCGCGAAAGGGTTCGAATTCGAGGGTCAACCCTGTTCGACTTCCTTGATGTGACCGAGAACCGCTATGGCTGGTTTTTCCGCTGAGGATGCTAGAAGCGCGCGTCACGTGAAAGTGTTTGATACTACTGATGTGCCGATACTTTGGCCATATGAACGACTTGACGGGTGGCTTCTAGATGATCCTGATATATCACAGACAGTCCCGATGCCCTAGTGTATACTGCTTATATATATCGTCACATATCTGGCAAGGAAAACGACCACATTGCAATGTTGCCGGGAGTTTTGAAGGGTCGCGCTTACGGTTGTACGGGATGGTCACTACTTTGTATACTCGAGTAACATGCGTGCAGTGAATGGGATTAGGGCGTAAAGCAGCTCGGACGGATTTTCAGGTTAAAATCGGCTGAACCCAGAAGAAGTCCCGACGTCCACCCGCTCACCGGCTGCCATGAAAGGCTATAATCTCGGTCACAGTCAAGAAGATGTACACACGCATAGCATTGTTACAAAGAATCCCGCCTAAACGGTGCCCCATCCGTTGGACTTGTAAGCGCTCTCCATCTGGGAGACGATCTTCTCCAACCCGGCCAACCACCCCTTGAGCTCAACCTCAGCTTCGGGTCCGCCCAGACGGGTGTAGAAGTCCTTCCTGTAAGGGGTGGCCTTCATGGCGAGCTGTGACATGGGACGGGGCGGCAAAAACGAAGTGGGTGTGAGATAGAAGGAAGAGTAATGTAGAGTGCGAGGAGGAGACTCACTCCGAAAGCCTGCTTGATGACCCACCCGTGGTGAGGCTTCAACGAGCCCTCGTAAGCCTTGGTAAAAGACTGAGCGAGCTCCTCGGACGGGTTGTTCTGGGACGATTGCAGTCCGAGGAGGGTGAACTTGAGACCTCTACAGGCGAGGCCATTCACATGTACACATCCGGTCAGCAATCGAACAGCGGGAATGAGCCCCCAACGTGAACAAGACAATGGCTTACCGGATGAGCCACATCAACCCTTCACCGGCGGTCCCCAACTTGCCCTTGTTCTCGGCCATCTCGTTCTTGACCAGGTCCTCTAGTGTACCGGACTGTTCCGGGGCCTTGGCGTACCTCGCCCGGACTTTCTGTTGACACACGATGAAAGATAGCGAGACCAATTGGCATCAACGGTCATCAAACGGGTTGATTATGCAGGCGATTTCGTCGACTAACGGCGATGTTGCCCTTGAGATCTCCTTGAACGATAGTGAAAGCGGCGTTTCCGAGCACATCTGGTGGAAATCAATCGAGGTTTCGGGTGTGTAGCATAGATTATCGTTTGTATACGCAAGGGAGTTGTATCAGCATCACTCTAAAGCACCAGCGAAATCTGATTTAAGGGTGGCATCTCACCGAAGATGGAGACGAGACCTTCAGCGGCATTGGCGAAACCTACAGTCTCAACTCCGGGAGTAGTCGAGACATCCTTGAAGGACTGTCAGCGGAAAGCATTGGGGATCAGTGTTCTTAGTTCTGGTCCTGGCGGATTGAGCGAGTCGAGGTTGTGTTCCTCCTGCCTCGAAGTGACGAACGTACCGTCTGGATGGTCTGGAAGAAAGGCTTGTTGAGCTCTGAGACGGTAGACATGGTGAGAATCCTTGAGACAGATAGGATTGAAGACAGTTGAACGAGTTGCGAGCTGTATCGTCGTCAAAGGGTTTGTCTGAATTGATCGGATGATGATGATATGATGAGCTGTTCGCTGTTCGACCGAGCCAGCAGCGATCCGAGAGCCTCGGGTTGTGTGGCTCCGGAGGTAATTAATTCACGTAACACACATCGGAAGCAGATTTCGCCCGAGGCTTATGCAGGGTGGAGGGAGGGTACAGTAGAGTATGGCAATCTGGACCAGTTGACTGGTACAGTATGTTAGTGTCACCATTCATTCTCGACCACGACAACAACATCACTCCTTCCAAGATCTACTTAATTATCCTGTTTCTGTTGGATCTCGAGATGGCTGAACCAAAGTCGTTCTTCCGGAAACTTCTGAAGCGGCCTAACCTCAGTCTGCGACGATCTACGGGCACACCTGACCCGTCCACGGCAATACAACCAAATGACGTGCACGCTTTCGAAAAGATCTGGTTGGACATACATGTGAGCCCCGGCTCAATCAAAAGCGGACACGAACCAACCGGACTGATACCAGGAGGTGTAGGATGTACTGGCAGAACCGGACGAAAAACAGATACTCAAGGGGATCACAAGCACCGCAGTTCCCGCTAGACTGAAATCGATGCTCGGTGCATTGACCAACGAGCTTGACCGGACGCCTCAGGGGTGAGTGACATCTTGGCTGATGGACATCGGGTATGACTTGCTGAACCGAACGATCTCTCGATCATATCAGGGCGACGGGTCCCTTTCTGGAATGCTTCATGAATACGGAAATCCTGCATCAGCTCGTCCATCTGAGCCAGACGGACCGGCCGTTCGGTATCAAAGGTTCGCTATCGTACTTCTTCTGTTTCGGAGGATAGTGCTATAACTGATCATACCGGTCCATCACTTTAGCTGAAATTTTGAAGTTCACCACGTCCTTGATCAAATTATTGCCCTACCGATTTTTGCTACACTCGGCGATACATCAACCCGTCTCCCGCCTGATCCGGTCTAGCATGTCTGAAGCGGACCTGAATAATCAGGGGTATCTTTATGGTGCAGCAGCCGCCTCACCAAAGCTGAGGACGAGAGTAGGAACCCAGACCGACGGCGACGAAGAAGAGGAAGACGAGGAAGAGGGTTTGAGGAGGCTGGCCGTTAGGTTGTTAGTGGAGGTCTGCGAGAGAATGAAGGCACAGTGAGTCCCGTCTCTGCGACTTTAATGCAGCAGCTTAATCGAATTCGATGTCGTGTTGCGCAATTACAGTCCGCTGTTGTTACTAGTCTTTCTGAGCGACCCTGCCGACCCATCTACTCGCAAATCGCTCGGTACCGACTTTATCTTCTTCAGCTGTCTACTTCGATACACAAATCAAGACGGCGATATCGGACGCATCGCTCGTGATGGGCTCATGACCCTTTTCGAGACCATCTTTTGCGATAGGGAGACGGAGACTCCCAAGATTGAAAAACCCGAAGCCGAGATCTTTATGCTCGAGGATGAAGGAGAAGGGGAAGATGACGGGACGACATCGCCGATTGTTGCGGCTGACCAGACGGTCGGAGAGGCACGTCTAACATTAGCCAAGCATGTCCTCGCACAGGATCTAGTCGAGGTGCTCGTGTCAGGGATCAGCGCCGTATATTCGGTTCTGCCGACCAAGATCAAACTGCCTCCGCCGAGCAAGGATGACATCGACTATGAGGGCGGGCTCACCGTGCTGAGTAATTCGAACGCTCTATTCGATATGAACGAAGAGGATCGACCAACATCTGAACAGATGGATTTACCGTCCATCCAGGACGAACAAGTGCAGGACCAACTCGCCCTGCTGGCTGACCTTGTGGATTTTACCGACTATATCCTCCTGTGCTGTCGAACTCCCGCCATACAAGGGACGGGAGAGTTGGCGATGGTGGGCACCAAGCTGGCCGAGGCGTTCGAGCGGACGATAGCGACCTCGTTCGTCGACCAGGTGATCGCGCCGTTCGTAAGCCAGAGTTCGGTACACGACGGCTCGTGCGCGGCCATCGCGTGTTATCTATCACGTCTGGTCATGGAGACGTCGGTAGCCGAGGGGACCGTGATGCACTTGACAATAGCGAGGCTGTTAGAACAAGGGACAGAAGGGGATCGACCTGGTCAGTCTCGAAGAAAGGAGGATCGCGATTACCGCTTGATATTGACTCGCTCGTCGGCCAGCAGTCGCGCTTCAGAGCTTGGCAGGTCTCGGCTTCCTACAGGTCATCGTCAGTAAGACCAAGTCTACCGTAGACATGTGATTGGTGATCCTGGCGATCAACGGTGTGCGTCTTGGGCAACTCTTATCAATAGGGAGGGGAACGAATCAACAGACATGGGCATATTGACGACACTCTCCGTATCTCTGCAATGTTTGTACTTTGTCAAGCTAGTCTCTCATTGCCCTCGTGTCAGTCCGAATCTATTGACAGACGCAGTCATCATTACCGGTGTTATTTGCCCGCTCAAGTCGCTCGACGATATGCTCCTGGTCAGATGCGCAGACGTGATTGCGTCATCAAATCAGCCGGATCGCCCAAATAGTAAATAGCAAGTAGCATCGTAACGAACAATCCGATACTGTAATAGACTTGCAAGCCCGTGACGCCCGCTCCACCTCAACATCGCTCTCTGAAATTGATGCCAATTCGGACATCATCGTCAATACAAACGGCGGCTAGCGTTCAATCACATCGGCCTGACAGCCGGCGAAGAGCTGAACTTTGCTACTTTCGATCGCCGGTGCAGAGCACGACGGGATGAACTCGCTCACACCCGCAGAGCGGATCAAGCTAGAGCAAGAAAGGCTCAGCAGGCAGAAGAGGAGGAATGAGGAGCTCGATTCTCCAGATGTCAAGCAGAAGGATTCTGCGGAAAAGTCGGTCAAGAGGATCAAGATCGGTAGTACGGGGATCGCCGACAACGAGATTATCGAGATATCTGACGACGACGACGACGACGACAAGCATGCATCCACTGGATCAAAAGCGCAGGCATCAACTTCAAGAGCGGTGATTAGCAAGGCTAGTGATCACGGAACAATGTTTTGGGAAGGGGAAAGCAGGTCTGTGCGAAATCAGTTGGTGTCAAATCCCGCGAAGACGTTTAGCCTCGAGGAGATCGTTGGAGAAGTGAGTCAGCTCGTCTTTCGTCTGTCGATCAAAGCTCGTATGCCTCGTCTGAACAATTCTTTGTTTCCAGAAATCGGAGCTCGAGCTCGTCGTCGCCGCTTCCTTCTGCTGGGAGATGGACTGGTTCACGCAACACCTGCCTGATCCGGCGGAAGTACCAACCGTGATCCTCACTCAACCTACAGGCGATTACAATGGACGGGTGAAAGAGGCAGACGAGTATACGGAGGGTTTCAAGCTAGGTGTGTTGATGATTCATTTATCCTTGACTCTTCTTTACTCCGCACCTGCGAGCGTTACGTTACTGACCGGGAGATGTGCCCACCCGGCTCATACAGCCTCAGTCGTCTCTTTCGCTTTCCTGCCAGGAGGATTCGGTTGTCAGCACATGAAGTTTCTACTTCTGTTTTACAAGACTGGAAGACTCCGGGTGGTTATTACAAGCGCCAACATGCGATCAGCCGACTGGTACATCATGGACAACGTACGCGATCTTGATGTCGACGAAGAACACTAGAGACGAACCCGCTAAACATGGAATTTGCAGACGGTCTTTGTGCAGGATGTTATGAGACAGTCTACATCGCGAGATGCAGCCATGTTCCCGCATTCCTGGCCTACCCAGTTTGAAAAGCTCTTCCAAAACACTCGTATGGCCCAAGCGTTCGAACATTTACGGCGACATCACGGAAAGCGACAGAGCGCGATTTTAGCCTCGGCGAGTGATCGTTCCTCTTTCTTCTTGCATCAATGGGACTGGACACGAGTGAAATCGATCCTGGTGATGAGTCTACCTGGTTCGCATGGAGAGGGAGAGAAACTCGGCATGGTCAGCGTCGCGGTACAGCTTCGAGACAAGGGCTGGATTCCTTCGCCGAACGAGACTACGTTTGCGGAATATCAAGTAAGTTCCGAGTCGGTGGTCAGATACATGATGAGGGCTCGACTTATCCATTTCCGTTGCCATAGAGTTCTAGTCTCTGCAAGTTGACGCCTAAATGGGCGTATCACTTTCATGCTTGCTTGAGCGGAAAGCCTATGGCCGAGATTGCAAAGATGAAAATTCCGTCAAAGCTCACAGCAGCGGAGCCGCCTATCAAGGTCCTCTACCCAACTTTGAAGACGGTAGATGATACACTGCTTGGAAGAGAGGGAGGGGGGAGCATGTTCTGTACTCCGTCGCATTTCACAACGGAAACACGGCCGTACTTTGCGGATAGCGTTTGCAAGTACGGTAGTCTGCTCATGCATACCAAGGTCCGTTCGAGAGTACATGTCCCTCGATTGTGCGAAGGTGCGTCGCTAAACACAAGGACTTCTCGCCATCCTGCGCTCTCAGATGATCCTTTGCATGTTCCGGCGTTCGAATCAAGTATCGCTTCAGACTCACACCTCTGTAGGGGACAGTTCCAGCAACCCGACGGCTGGTGCAATCGGAGGATGGGCTTACGTAGCCGGGTCTCACAACCTCTCGCAAGCCGCTTGGGTGAGTTCAGAGCGTATACGAGCAGATTCGTGTCAGGGCCGTGGAGAACTCACGAAACTCTGCGACACAGGGTCATCTCTCGTTCCCTCAAGGAAATGCGAAAATATAGTATGTGATGGCGGAGACTAGCCATGATGATACTACGTTTTAATCGATTCGATATACAGCATCAAAAATTACGAATTGGGGGTCATCTTACCTCTTCCGCAACATGATCTGGGCAGAGCTGCAGACCAGCTTGCTACATGGAAGCGTCCTGCGCGACTCTACGCAGCCAACGACGAGCCATTTGTGAGTACATGAGCATTGCGCTGGGACTGCACATCGGTCTGACGAATCGCCGCAGATGCAGACCGTACACCTCCAGTCTCAATGAGATGGGAAGACGAATCATAACGACCGAATGACTATTGAATCAGCAGACCACGAAGAACAGAACGATCCCTGCAATGATTTTCAAGTAGCCAGATACCCTCGACTGAGCTCAACATCCTTGGAAAGCCCTACAATACCATATGAACTAGAAAATAACGAGACTGCATGTATATGGAAATGCTTTGCGTAACCTTACACCTCCCAGTATCGAGGTTGTCCTCGGCCTCGACCTCGATTTGGCAAAGAATTCCGATTGCTTTGCGCATCGTTCGCCCAATCCCGCCTAGATTCTCGATGATCGCCATCCCACGCTTGCTCTCGCGTATCCCGTCCGACCTCGCCCGCCCAGCCCCGTACCGCTTCCCTCCGCCTTCTTGCCTCCCTGACTTCTTGTGCATTCCACATGTCGCTGTATTCGTTACCGCCGCCGGCAACTGTGCTGGGCGTAGCCGAGAGGCTTGCAGCAGCTTGTTTGCGTTTCGCCTCGTTGATGAGCGCGAGAGCCCGTGAGCGTTCACTGCTCTCCCTCGCTATCCTCGCTGCTGATGGGTCCGTAGGAGCTGCGGGTATCGTTCTCTGATGTCGCTCATAGATAGGGTTCGCTTTCTTTTGCGATGTCGAAAGGGCAGATTGTACCAGCATGAGCGGGTCATTCCGTATCTTGCTCGCTTCCTCTTTACGTCTGTCGGGTCGATGGAATGGAATAAGAGTGATGAGCATGCGGGCCTAGGACAAAGCTCATTACAAGCCTCGAACTCACTTTCGACTCTCCCGCTTGCGCTGTGAATCCTTGTCTTCGCTCTTTTCCTCGTGGCGTTTTAGATCGGCATCGGCGTACCACGGCTTGGTCTCCCTTTCTGGTCGATTCAGGTACATGGTAGTCGGATCATCGTCCTGGATTTGATCCGGAGTGGGCTTGGGCTTGTTGAGCATGACTGCACCGGGTATCGAGGCTGTCTATTGGTATTCCGGACAACAAAGTCATATCAGCAGCAGTACTTATGACACGCAGTCTTGTGGCATCACTTACGTCCTTTTCTAATCCTGCCCAAAAATTGATGTGCTTTCCGGTCCCTCCGATCTCCGCATGCTCGTCTGGATTTGTCCTGCCAAGCTCTTGATCCCTCGCCCTCTTCTCTGATTCCTTGATTGCCCGTTTCTCTGCCTTTCGCTTCTCAACATCAGGCCAGTCAAACTCCAGCCTCGCTCGTTCGCTCCTCGCATCTTTGCGTATACGATCTTCTGCCGATTCGTCCTTGTTCTTGCGATGCCGAATGAGCAGCTTCGAAGGCTCAGAAGGCATCAGAGAGGAGCTGGAAGCTTGAGCATTTGTGTTTATAGAGTCTGGGCGCTGGCGAAGAAATCCGAGACGAGCGGCTTGATCCTGAAGACACGGATCGATCACTGCTAATCAGCCAACACGGAAGCACGGCTCAGCTTGCTGTGCTCCGACCTACTGCTTGCAGCATCTCCCGCTCCTGCTCGGCCTCCAATACTGCCGCCTTCTCCTCATCTTTACGGACCTTCTCCTTATTCTTCTCGAGATACGGATGGTAAGACTTGTGTCTGAGGGTATGAAGCGAGGCGTCAACGCTGAAGAGGTTTCGATTGCAGTCGCGACGTCAGGTTGTGCTTACTGCAAGATTTGTAGTCGCGGCATAGCTAATCAGGTATTCTAGAAGATGACCTCTTCCTTTGGCAGTCTATCGTTTATGTGTTAGCTAGGCGATGCAGAGCAAGCCATGTAGCTCTAGTTATGAATAGTGTAGTACAAAGTAGTCGGATTTGCAGATCGAGGAGATCTAGTGACCCGCTCATGCACTTCTGATCGAAGATGCGCGGACATGGCCGAAGATGTCATCCCACGAGTTCACCACTTCCACACCAACGAACAGAGACGGTGTCTCGATGTCCAACGACAGCAGACTTTCAGACTGGTAATACACCGTCCGCTGACAGACGAAAACCACACTCGTGTGTTCAACAATACAACGTAATCGGCGGGCGAATCTAGCTTAAATCGAACATTATACATTCCGAGCAACCGCTCGATCATTATCGGTCGAGATCCATCCCTTGCTCGCTGTCCCCGGTGCCATGACCATGCAAGTGTTGGCCGTTCCCCTCGAATATCTCTTGAAACTTGATGAGGTCTCTCGTAAGGTCGTCCATCATCTGCATGCTCTTGCTGACCGGTACGTGGCCGGTGGCGGATGGACCGTTCGGGACCGTCCCCAAATCGGCATGCTGCGGTTCGAGAGCGAGCCCATCAAGCCCGAGCATCCTGGCCCGCTCACCACGAGCGACCTCCTCCACCTGGATCCTACCGACGTATTCCAGAACGGACCTGACGCGTTTCTTCATCTCGCCGACTGTCATACGCTTGCCAGGATACTTGACCTTGGACGGTTGTTCAAAGTGAGTTTGACGTTCCTCCGACATGGGATCGGCCGCCAGAGCTGCTGCTGCAGCCTTCGGATTCGTGGGCCGCGGGGTCATTAACTCCAGAGGTTCTGGCGTCGTCGTGGGCAGTACGTGTGAGAACGCCGACAGATGATCGGGCAAACCCCATGACAAGGGTCCGATCCCGCTCGACGTTGCGGCAGGACCAGTCACAGGAGTACTAGCCCTGGCACTGGCATTCGCAAACTTGCGTGCTTCAGCTGCGGTTGGTGGTTTCTTTTGGGGTGAAGGTTGGACCTTGAGAGGGATCGGGTTGCCGGATTGTCCAGGCTTAGGTCGATACGTGTATTGATTGGGGTGCTTGGCCTTTGATGGAGCCGAAGATGAAGCGAGTCCCTTGCCGACGTCTGTACGAGCAAATCCAAGATGGATGAGCTTTGAGTCGGTCAAGCTCGAAAGTGCATGTGCATACCTTCTTCATCTTCATCCTTCTTCTTCTTACCCTTACGAGCGGCTCTATCCTCCTCGCTCTCCTCGTCTCCGTCCTCTCCTCGACTTCGCTTGGTTCCGCGCACAGATTTCTTGCTGGCTGCATCATCCGCAACATCCTCCTCGTCATCCCTTTTCGCGCGTCTCGCAGACTTCGCTTTGTCGCTCGTACTGACGGGTGCAACCGAACTCGGAGCAGGACTCCCTCTTCCTGATTCCGCCAGGCTCGCTCGGATGGCTGCCTCGTACGCCGCGTCACGAGAATTCATGGTACTTCGTTTCTTCGCGGTCGACGTCCCTGCCAAAGGCCCCGAATCCTCCGAGCTGTCCGTGCTCGTTCGTCGATTCATTGAGGGCCTCCGCTTTGAGCTCATTCCCGACGTGCTCTTTGCGCTTGGAGGTGGTTCCGTCTGATCTTGTCGCTCAGATCGAGTGTTCCCGCCGCGTTTCCGACTGTCGGCGCTCGTACCGCCCGTGTTGATAGGACTAGGCGCTCTGCCTCCTCGTTGACTTCTGCTACCATTCGAAGCTTTGTGTGTGAGGCTAGGAGGCGCTGGGGTCTTGCCCTTCTTTGCGTCGGCCCACCGTTTCGACTGAGAAGGTGGAATACGGTCAGACGTATACGTGTGATGTTGGAGGTCCGCAGGTGTAGGGGGTACGAAGGGATCGTTGCTATCAACAAGTCGGGAACTAAGTAAGAATCCTTCGAAGCGATGGCAACAACGATTGACCTACCGGTTCTTCCAACGCAACTTCATATATCTTAATAACGGCGCATGCAAGCTCGGCTGACATTCATCGCAATAGTATTCTGTAAGATTCCGCGCGTTAGTTCGAGAAGAAGAGCACCGTGGTAAACAATCCGAGACGATATAGGCTTACCATCAGGTGCCTCCTCGTCGCCCCAGATTCCAACACATGCTCCGTGTTGCCAAACATCACACCCGTCGCAAGAAATCATCATCACGTCAATATCTGTTCCGTAGATTTCGTTTGGAGTTTGTCGAGTAAAAGGGGCGATCGAAAGGACACAGTAGAAAGGGGAGCATACGGTCAAAGGCACTTTCATTCAGCCAAGCGGTACAGACGCGACTATGTGTCCTCGTGACTCGAGGAAACCACCCGACTCACCGCCCCGCTTGCAAACACACCGCGTGATGTCCCCTCCAGCTGCACCCTCCACCTCGAGCTCTTCTTCCTCCAGCACTGCAGGTTGCCGAGCGACGACAGGTTTTTCGTCTTCCAGTGCTGAAGCGTCAATCTTGCTACTCCTTCGTGTCTTTTTCACGACGTCCATATTCGGGGGTACGGCGCTGGAGGAGGATGTCGAAGGTTTCCTGCCTTGTCCTTGTCTCGAATTCGATATGGAAGACGAGGAGAGACTAGTACCAATCGAATCCTTTTTACCCGTTGATTGGCCAGTCAAGGACGGATCCAAGACCGGGTCGACCTCGTTCTTGATATCGACCTGTCCGCTGGTCGATGGATTGACATCCATATCGACATCCATGTCCATGTCAACGACCTCCTCCCGTTCGACCTCTTCCTCCTGGTCGTCCTCGTCCTCGTTGTCCATGGTAAGGATGCTACTAGCCATACTAGCCATCCTCTGCAACCTCGCTGGCCTTTCCGCGGAACTGTCAACGATCGGGTCGGCAGCATCCTCGGTTTCAGGCACTCCGGGTTGAGTTTGCGAAGGGGATTCCTCGATCGATTCGGCCTTGTCCCGAGTTGGCAAAGGCTGGTCTTTTACCTCGCCTGGCTCTTGACCCGCAATCGTATCGATAGTCTTCTTTTCCTGGATATTTGCGTTCTGCTGCCTATCGACATCGCCAACATCGCCATTATTGACGTTGACGACCGGCGACTGCGGCCCCGAACCCGCCTGCTTCTGCCCTACGCTCCTCCTCGAGGCACCCAGACTCGCCGAACTGGCTCGACCTCCGGCCATCCCGAACCCTCTCGACTGTCTCTGTCGGCGGGCATAATTGGCCCAATCTCCTTCGTCGTCCTTGTCATCGATCGCCGAGGCCGAGGCCGAGTTTGAATTCGAGTTGGAATTGGCTATTGATTCTGAACCTCGGGTCTGATCCGGTTTGGTCTCGTGGGTGACGTTGTTCAGCTGTTCGGCCGGTTTGGCATGCGTCGGCGTAGGGGTCACAGGCAGACCTCCTTCTTCCTCCATGTCTCCTTCTCCTTCCTCATCCCCATCACCATCGACCCATTCGTTCCTCAAGCTGCTCGTCGTACTGCCCTCCTTGTCTCTCCTTGAGCTGGCTCCGCCTCCACCCACACCGAGGCCAGAGTCAGAGTTTGTATTCGAGTTCGAGTTGGGGGACCGTTTGACTTTCTGTTTGGGCATCTTCGGAGGGAGGGGTGGGAAGAGGGGGTTATCGGGAGAGTTTTTAGGGAGAGGACCGATCCGCGCTCGGGTCGGGCGGCGGCGGGAGCCTGGGGCGAGGGGAGCAAGGGAGTGGCATCAGCATGTCGCTTCTCACTATCGCTGCAAGATGTTCATATGTCCAGGGGCGACTGCAACATATGACGTTCGGGACTTACCATCTTCGCCGTCCCCGTCGGCACTGGCCGGGGCGGGAGGGTTGTTCATGCTGGATCGACGAGAGTCCATGTTGTGTGTTCAAGCGTCTTGCTGCGATTTGATGTAATCGAGCTCGTTCTTGTGACCGATACTGCAGTGGAGGATGTTACAGATAAGGACGACGAGTTGAACAGTGCCCGTATGTGGCTCGGCGACTCAGCGACGAGATCGTTGGTAACGGTCGATGGATCGATGTCGATGTGGATGGGATGGATCAGCTGATCCGCCAGGTTTTCGCGGCCACACAGTGCAGTTCTGTGACGGGCACAAGTCGTGAGTGGCTGGTGATCTAGTGATCTAGTGAGCGAGGGCGAGGGAGGATTCCATCTCGTTAGCTCGTGTGTGTGCGATGGTTGTCTGCTGGTAGCTGCTTCTGTTCAGGATTTCGACGGGGACACCCGCTGCTGCTCCTCCCCTCCCCCCGCTCTGCCGGCATGGGGAGGGCACCTTGCGGATATAAATATCGACGATCAGCTTCCGCCCCCCTCACACCTCCCCTCCCCCCCGATACGGGCAACCATCATATCGTCATCGTCCATCATCATATCGCCTCGCAACCACGATCTACCAAGTGTCACCATAAGCAGCAACCAGACCACACAGCTACATACAAAGACCTTCACATACGCAAGATGAAGCTCTCCATCTTTTCCTCGCTCCCCTTGCTCGCTTTCCCTCTCGCGGCCATCGCCGCCCCCAGCCCCAACATGGCCGGTCTCGTCGGATGGGCCGCCGACAAGCTCGTCTCGGATGGTGAGATGAGGACGATGGACAGTTGGCGTTATGTCGATTGTGGTGAGTCCGCCGCAATCGCACGTGATAACGTCGTCTAGTTTGCTTACATGCGGATGGCTCTTTGTTTGTGATATGGGTAGGATCGGCTTCGGATGTCATGTGAGTCATGACCCCCACGCCTCCTCATTCCGCCTCCCTTTATCTACCCACCTACCGTCTGCAACTTGCTTCCTGGATACTGAAAAACAACAATATACATTCTTTACCTGATAGCCAACTCAAATCCTTGACCGTCAAGCCCGACCCTCCTCGACCCGGTGAGACGCTCGAAATCACCGCCAAGGCCGACGTGCTCGAGACCATCAAGGTGGGTTCTGTCTCACCAAGCATCTGCTGACTACATTCTCAGAATGGGACTGATGCGATTGTTAAATCTTTTCCAAACCGTTCAATCTGCACCTTGATGCGACCCGACAGGACGGAGCTTACGCTGACGTCGTCGTCAAGCTTGGATTGATCAAGTTGCTCCAGAAGCAGTTCGACGTCTGTGAAGAAGCGTGAGTGTTCGGCTATTTCTCCTAGTTCATCCTACACCATGACTGACACAAAATGTCTCAATGTACCATTTTGAAACCGACATTTTGTAGTGTCAACGCCAACGCCACCGTCCAGTGCCCCGTCGCCCCCGGATCATACGAGGTCGTCCAAAGCGTCGAGTTGCCCAAAGAGATTCCTCACGGTGAGTAAAGCCCCTTTAGATTCGTGGGGGACTTTGGTCTGACCCCGTATCATGCTTGGGAAACGTTCGCAGCCAAGTTCCAGGTCCAGCTCCGAGGGTACAACTACGACGATGCGGACATGATTTGCGCCGACATCTTCATCGACTTTATGAAAGGCAGGCCTGGATCGGCTTGAGCACAGAGTCTGGTTCATAGGAACTGAAAGGAAGAAGGACCGGCTCGGCTCGCCTTCTTGTCTCCCCTGATCAGTCATGGAAGATTTGTAGAATTCGGAAAGACATCTCGGAACCACGCGGCGTGATCGTAGCTCATTCAATCCCCCGAACGAGCTTGATTTCGCCGTCAAATTAGTATATGCAACTGTTGTCGATCATCAACCTCGTCTGTCTCAAGTCATCTATCTAGTCTCGGCCCATGTCATTTGTGAAACGTGAATATGCGATTGACCCATACCTTTGCACCATTGTACCTCTTGGGGTGCTCCTTAAGGTCGCGTGCTTCGGGTTCTCACGCGCGTCAAATCTTTCGAGACCCCGTTCAGTCTCAGAGGTCGAAGTGAAGTTCGAGCTGCTTTTGTCGATCGAACATGTCTTGCTAATTGCTAACATTACGACAACATAACAGCTATTAGCGACCCAAAACTAAAGAAAAGAACCCTAGACGAGTTCACCCCAACCCTCTTTTGACGCAAAAAAAACCGATCTCGATACGAAAGATGCCCAGTTCAACCAGCGCCGTCGCTCCCAAGTCTACGGAATCTTGGCATGCTCCCAGCTTTCGACCGGAGGACATCAACGCCTTGATCTCTGGTGTCGGTTAGTACACGATGTTCTTGCCAGTGGGCATACAAGGAACAGATGGCTGACGCAGAGTGACCTTGTTCGTGGCTAGACCGATACAACCCGCACAACGTCTCGCTCTTGGAGGACTACCTCGACGTCCAGATCAAGGACGGTCAACACGACTGCTTCGCCAACTTGGCCATCCTCAAACTCTACCAATTCAACCCCAACATGTCCAACGCCAAGGTCGTCATCGACATCCTCCTCCTCGCGCTCGTCTCCACCCCGACGATCGACTCGCCCGACTTTTCGCTCGCCCAGTCCTTGGCGCTGGATCGACCGAGTCAGGCGATGCTGAAGCAGCAAAACTATGACGACGAGGACGATGCGGCAGGGCATGTGGATGAGATCGAGACGGTCATGCCGTACTTGCAAAAGCTGTGGGCGTTGTTGAAGGAGTGCAAGTTTAGAGAATTCTGGAACGTCTGGAAGTCGGACAAGAGCGATGGGGCTGAAGGTGAGCAGTAGACAAGGTCCTTAAGATTTACGATGCGCGGTGGACTAATACATTATTTATTTACTCACAGTTATCCGAAGCCAATACCTCCCCAACCACAACCACGCCGTCTCCTCCCTGCGTCTCCTGATCGCTACGACCATCGCCAGCTCGTTCTCCTCCATCCAGACCTCGCGTCTGCAAAAGTGGCTCGATCTCGACTCTGCTAACGAGGTCAGCTCGTTTGTGGAGGGTCTGAACGGATGGACCGTCCAGGGAGATTCCGTCAAGATCGAGGGTAATGGGGATAACGATGTCAAGGCCGGGGTTGTCAAGGAGCAGGTCGAGCTGAGTCGTGAGTCGCGGTGGACCGATTAGGTCGGTTCTAGAGCAAGGTCAACTGATGCCGACGATCTTATGTCATTGCAGAGTTGACGAGGTTGATCTCGGTCGCTGCGCAGTAAGGTAGTCGCAGGCCAAAGAGAGGGTCAGAGGAGATGGGGTTTTCTGGGCTGCCCGCCCTTTTTGCTTTTCGCATTGTCTCGACGTGTAATTGGAGCATATCGTATACAACCAATAGATCGAAACCGCTGGAAATGGCTATGCAGAGCGAGGCTGAAGACGAATGCATCTTTGGCCGATCGAGTCGAAACGGGCCACGGGAAGCGTCTAGCTGGCACGATGACGGGGGCATCACGGATGATCGCCAGCCTGCCTCGAAATCTGCCGGTGCCTACGATATATCGATTCCCTTCATACTCTATACAGCGGGCTGATCGATTCGTCGACATGGCAGACCTGACGCTCACTTTAGCCATGAGCTTTGATTGTGCAGTGATATCGATGCATGGAAATATGAGGAAGAGCGACTCGTTCAATGCGATCAGTACGAGGCTAGGCTGGAAGGGTCGAATATGGTTTGGTTCTAGTCAACCTCGATGGAAGGTAGACCCTGATACATGTGAGCTCGACCGGAGGTCGCGAATGGGGGCGCGGAGTCAAGCGCGGCTGGATCTCATGGCACGCCTAGTAGGTGTGGTGCCTTGGGGGGTGAGCGATGAGCGAAGGATACTGTGCCAACGAATCTGACAAAGGCATGTGCGAAGGCGAAGAGTGCAAGTGACGTTGAGGGTTGAAGAATGGAGAATGTTGGTCAAAGGTGAAGGGGAAGATTTTTGCCGAGGGTGAGTAAGCTGCTGACTTGGCGAATTTTCTGAGCCGGCCGAAATTGGCCTGCCGGGGTGTTGGGGGAGCGATCGTCCAGGGGGGCGATGTTCACGTGAAAACTGACGGTGGGATTCCGAAGAGTCATGTCTCAGGACTTTCTGGATCACCAAGAAGGAAAGCACGTGAAGAGCGGACCAAGAAAGCCGTCCTGGGTGGCGAGATAATTCAGAAAAGGCCGAAAAAGACGTGATTCGGGTGACAGGGTTGTCTGGCGTGTGAGGCCTGAACGGCGCGGTGAAAGTGTGTTGGGATTCGCGGTGTGGGTCCTCATGAGTCTCAAGATGCCCAGCGCGATGAGCGGACCAAGTCCCCGGAGGATCTGGAGGGCTCTCCCTGAGCGGACACGCGGGCCAGGATGTGAGCGTTCCGGTCGGATCTGGAGCAAAGATCTCGAGGCGAGCGCTCTACCGAGGCCTGGTGGTGCTCTATACAGTATGTCCCATCAGTACACCAAGGTAGGGGATGTCTGAGCATGTTTTCTGAGCCGGCCGAAATTGGCCTGCCGGGGTGTTGGGGGAGCGATCGTCGAGGGGGGCGATGTTCACGTGAAAACTGACGGTGGGATTCCAACGAGTCATGTCTCAGGACTTTCTGGATCACCAAGAAGGAAAGCACGTGAAGAGCGGACCAAGAAAGCCGTCCTGGGTGGCGAGATAATTCAGAAAAGGCCGAAAAAGACGTGATTCGGGTGACAGGGTTGTCTGGCGTGTGAGGCCTGAACGGCGCGGTGAAAGTGTGTTGGGATTCGCGGTGTGGGTCCTCATGAGTCTCAAGATGCCCAGCGCGATGAGCGGACCAAGTCCCCGGAGGATCTGGAGGGCTCTCCCTGAGCGGACACGCGGGCCAGGATGTGAGCGTTCCGGTCGGATCTGGAGCAAAGTTCTCGAGGCGAGCGCTCTACCGAGGCCTGGTGGTGCTCTATACAGTATGTCCCATCAGTACACCAAGGTAGGGGATGTCTGAGCATGTTTTCTGAGCCGGCCGAAATTGGCCTGCCGGGGTGTTGGGGGAGCGATCGTCCAGGGGGGCGATGTTCACGTGAAAACTGACGGTGGGATTCCGAAGAGTCATGTCTCAGGACTTTCTGGATCACCAAGAAGGAAAGCACGTGAAGAGCGGACCAAGAAAGCCGTCCTGGGTGGCGAGATAATTCAGAAAAGGCCGAAAAAGACGTGATTCGGGTGACAGGGTTGTCTGGCGTGTGAGGCCTGAACGGCGCGGTGAAAGTGTGTTGGGATTCGCGGTGTGGGTCCTCATGAGTCTCAAGATGCCCAGCGCGATGAGCGGACCAAGTCCCCGGAGGATCTGGAGGGCTCTCCCTGAGCGGACACGCGGGCCAGGATGTGAGCGTTCCGGTCGGATCTGGAGCAAAGATCTCGAGGCGAGCGCTCTACCGAGGCCTGGTGGTGCTCTATACAGTATGTCCCATCAGTACACCAAGGTAGGGGATGTCTGAGCATGTTTTCTGAGCCGGCCGAAATTGGCCTGCCGGGGTGTTGGGGGAGCGATCGTCGAGGGGGGCGATGTTCACGTGAAAACTGACGGTGGGATTCCAACGAGTCATGTCTCAGGACTTTCTGGATCACCAAGAAGGAAAGCACGTGAAGAGCGGACCAAGAAAGCCGTCCTGGGTGGCGAGATAATTCAGAAAAGGCCGAAAAAGACGTGATTCGGGTGACAGGGTTGTCTGGCGTGTGAGGCCTGAACGGCGCGGTGAAAGTGTGTTGGGATTCGCGGTGTGGGTCCTCATGAGTCTCAAGATGCCCAGCGCGATGAGCGGACCAAGTCCCCGGAGGATCTGGAGGGCTCTCCCTGAGCGGACACGCGGGCCAGGATGTGAGCGTTCCGGTCGGATCTGGAGCAAAGATCTCGAGGCGAGCGCTCTACCGAGGCCTGGTGGTGCTCTATACAGTATGTCCCATCAGTACACCAAGGTAGGGGATGTCTGAGCATGTTTTCTGAGCCGGCCGAAATTGGCCTGCCGGGGTGTTGGGGGAGCGATCGTCGAGGGGGGCGATGTTCACGTGAAAACTGACGGTGGGATTCCAACGAGTCATGTCTCAGGACTTTCTGGATCACCAAGAAGGAAAGCACGTGAAGAGCGGACCAAGAAAGCCGTCCTGGGTGGCGAGATAATTCAGAAAAGGCCGAAAAAGACGTGATTCGGGTGACAGGGTTGTCTGGCGTGTGAGGCCTGAACGGCGCGGTGAAAGTGTGTTGGGATTCGCGGTGTGGGTCCTCATGAGTCTCAAGATGCCCAGCGCGATGAGCGGACCAAGTCCCCGGAGGATCTGGAGGGCTCTCCCTGAGCGGACACGCGGGCCAGGATGTGAGCGTTCCGGTCGGATCTGGAGCAAAGATCTCGAGGCGAGCGCTCTACCGAGGCCTGGTGGTGCTCTATACAGTATGTCCCATCAGTACACCAAGGTAGGGGATGTCTGAGCATGTTTTCTGAGCCGGCCGAAATTGGCCTGCCGGGGTGTTGGGGGAGCGATCGTCCAGGGGGGCGATGTTCACGTGAAAACTGACGGTGGGATTCCGAACGAGTCATGTCTCAGGACTTTCTGGATCACCAAGAAGGAAAGCACGTGAAGAGCGGACCAAGAAAGCCGTCCTGGGTGGCGAGATAATTCAGAAAAGGCCGAAAAAGACGTGATTCGGGTGACAGGGTTGTCTGGCGTGTGAGGCCTGAACGGCGCGGTGAAAGTGTGTTGGGATTCGCGGTGTGGGTCCTCATGAGTCTCAAGATGCCCAGCGCGATGAGCGGACCAAGTCCCCGGAGGATCTGGAGGGCTCTCCCTGAGCGGACACGCGGGCCAGGATGTGAGCGTTCCGGTCGGATCTGGAGCAAAGATCTCGAGGCGAGCGCTCTACCGAGGCCTGGTGGTGCTCTATACAGTATGTCCCATCAGTACACCAAGGTAGGGGATGTCTGAGCATGTTTTCTGAGCCGGCCGAAATTGGCCTGCCGGGGTGTTGGGGGAGCGATCGTCCAGGGGGGCGATGTTCACGTGAAAACTGACGGTGGGATTCCAACGAGTCATGTCTCAGGACTTTCTGGATCACCAAGAAGGAAAGCACGTGAAGAGCGGACCAAGAAAGCCGTCCTGGGTGGCGAGATAATTCAGAAAAGGCCGAAAAAGACGTGATTCGGGTGACAGGGTTGTCTGGCGTGTGAGGCCTGAACGGCGCGGTGAAAGTGTGTTGGGATTCGCGGTGTGGGTCCTCATGAGTCTCAAGATGCCCAGCGCGATGAGCGGACCAAGTCCCCGGAGGATCTGGAGGGCTCTCCCTGAGCGGACACGCGGGCCAGGATGTGAGCGTTCCGGTCGGATCTGGAGCAAAGATCTCGAGGCGAGCGCTCTACCGAGGCCTGGTGGTGCTCTATACAGTATGTCCCATCAGTACACCAAGGTAGGGGATGTCTGAGCATGTTTTCTGAGCCGGCCGAAATTGGCCTGCCGGGGTGTTGGGGGAGCGATCGTCGAGGGGGGCGATGTTCACGTGAAAACTGACGGTGGGATTCCAACGAGTCATGTCTCAGGACTTTCTGGATCACCAAGAAGGAAAGCACGTGAAGAGCGGACCAAGAAAGCCGTCCTGGGTGGCGAGATAATTCAGAAAAGGCCGAAAAAGACGTGATTCGGGTGACAGGGTTGTCTGGCGTGTGAGGCCTGAACGGCGCGGTGAAAGTGTGTTGGGATTCGCGGTGTGGGTCCTCATGAGTCTCAAGATGCCCAGCGCGATGAGCGGACCAAGTCCCCGGAGGATCTGGAGGGCTCTCCCTGAGCGGACACGCGGGCCAGGATGTGAGCGTTCCGGTCGGATCTGGAGCAAAGTTCTCGAGGCGAGCGCTCTACCGAGGCCTGGTGGTGCTCTATACAGTATGTCCCATCAGTACACCAAGGTAGGGGATGTCTGAGCATGTTTTCTGAGCCGGCCGAAATTGGCCTGCCGGGGTGTTGGGGGAGCGATCGTCGAGGGGGGCGATGTTCACGTGAAAACTGACGGTGGGATTCCAACGAGTCATGTCTCAGGACTTTCTGGATCACCAAGAAGGAAAGCACGTGAAGAGCGGACCAAGAAAGCCGTCCTGGGTGGCGAGATAATTCAGAAAAGGCCGAAAAAGACGTGATTCGGGTGACAGGGTT